CGTTTTCCTGGTCTTGTCCAGGGCATGGCATCCGCGAGCAACTTTTTGCACATGCACTCTTCTTACCTTGTACACGAGTGCATGTAGACTCACACTTCATGATCAGCCATGTGCTTTCATCGCACCGTGGCGGCTATTTTCGTGCTTTGATGCATATTCCCGCACAGAACTTTCTACCACTGCCAAGATTTCGGGATACTGCCAGCTATCCCGTGGTATAAAATTGTCTATTTGAAGCGTCCACAGCCTCCTTTGATTGCTTTGCGTTGCCGCGCCAGCAGGGAACAAAGTTGGCAATGCGTCTCGGAAGCAATAGCACAAAAAGAGACAGATTCCCCACTCTCGTGCAACCATGGCACTTGGGGCAGCAGTTCACACATGCCAATCGAAGAAATTTCTACATTCGATTGATACTCCGTCTCCAATGTTATGATGACAAACCCCCTGGATGCTAGTATATCTGGCACGGCGACAGGGCTGGAAGGCTTTAGCCTAGCTTAGTTAGGATGGAAGTGTCTGGGCGATATGGAACGCGAGGAATGGCACCGTGTTGGACGCTGGCACGATCAGCACTGGAGGCTGCCTGTGCGGTGCTGCATGATAACAAGCTAGCCCACTCGTTTTATTGGGGCTACATCGATTATCAGGGGGCACAATTGGGGCGAGCAGCAGCGTCAGCAACACGTATGACATGGCACCGGCATGCTTGACCAGGATAGCCAAGGGGCAATCGTCGGCGGACCATCTGGGATTGCACTACTTGATCGGTAGATTACAATCATCAAATCACTGATCCGGCCCGCTTATAGGCATCAGTTTTTTTGCATTTCTGCAAACTGCCAGCGAGATAACCCGCTCCTGGGCTTTTGCACTCTGTATCTCGAATTTCGTATTTCCAACTAGAGCGCAACAAATGAACCAGGCATCCAGATTCGGCGTGGCATATGTGGCCCGGGCCCTGCGCACCTCGCAGCCTCTTGCATCTTCTGCGCAGGCGCTGCGGTTCAGCAAACCCGCCACCATGAATAGCTTCCGCGCGTCCTCGATTATCCTGAACAACACCCGGAGCCGGTCGTTCCACTCGACACCCATGCGCCGCAACGAGGCGGTGACCCCTGCCGCACCCAGCAGTGTAGTTGAGACGGTGGCAGCTACGGCCCCCAGCAGCGTAGCCGACACCGTTGCAGCTGCAGCGCAAACACAACTCGATCCAACGCCCGCGGTACAGGCGGCTATGCAGATCGGCGATCTGGCCAAATACGGGCTTGACACGACTCTGCCGACGCGCTTGACAGAGTATGCGTTGGAATTCGTGCACGTCACGACGGGTCTTCCCTGGTGGGCAACAATTGCGGCTGTGGTGGTGGCGATCCGCGCGGCATGCTTCCCGTTGGCGGTATTCGGGCAGCGCAACGTGGCCAAGCTGAACAACCACAAGCCGGAGCTGACGCTGATCATGGAGGAGCAGAAGCGGGCGCAGGCAGCAGGCGATGTGATTGCGACGTCGCGGGCGGCGAAACGAGATGCGGCAGTTCTATAAGCGGCGCGGAATCTATCCGTTCCGCGGTGCTCTGGCGGGAGCTGCCTCGGCACCCTTCATGATGCTAGCTGTTTTTGGCGCTGCGCGATCTGGCCAATGGTGCCGGTTGCACAGCTGCAGACTGGCGGCCTGTGGTGGTTCACGGATCTGTCGGTGATGGATCCGACGTACATCCTGCCGGTGCTGTCGTGCGTGGGCATGATGGGCGTGATTGAGCTGCAGTCCAGGCTCAACTCGGCCACTGAGCAGAGCAAGCAGGCAAAGATCCTGATGCGCTGCATGGGTGTCGGTATGGCGTACTTCACGTCGGGACTGCCGGCAGGCATCTTCACGTTCTGGGTGGTCAACAACCTTGTGTCGGTGGGCCAGGTTGGAATCATGCACACCGACTGGTTCCGCAAAAAGTACGGCGTGGTTGACATCACAAAGGTCAAGTTTGCGCGCGAGCAGGAGTCCATCGATTCCCAAGTTTGACTTGCAGGCGATGATGGGCAAGAAGAAGTCGACCAAGTTTGTTGTCAAGCACAAGGACATTTCGGCACCCACCAAGCAGCAGCAGTGAGCAGTTTCTAGTAATAAAAAAAAGTCTATTTTTGACTTCACAAACCCGCGTTAAAGATCGAGACCGCTTGGGCAGGGCTTGGGCTAATTACAGAGATATCAGGGGCTGCTGCGAGTCCTCCTGGCTGCGAGGCGCTAGCTGGCGGCGCTGGCGACTGTCGAGCTGGTTATTGCCGATTTATCGTCGATTTGGTTAGCCAGCGGCAGAGCTGCGGCTTGCTGAGCGGGCCCTGGCACGTGCACTGTTCGATGGTGGCGGCGGTGGCGGCGGCCTCCTGCGGGCCCTGCCAAGCGACGGGGTCGGAGACGTCGGGCTGGATGTGCTACTGCTCGATCTACTGGTGTCAATCACGCCGCCGATGCGACGCGGTGGCAACGGTGGCGATAGCAGGCTGCGGCGTCAGGGCAGGGAAATGGAGATCACCCGCATCGTCGGTGTTCAGCGCAGCCGAGGTCAAGAACGGATTGGTGTTGAGCGGACGCAGGGGCGGCGAAGACGCAAGCTGCTCGCTGGCGATACTCTGCAGGTCATTGAGGGTATTTGTTGGGTTGGTGTGTGCGCGAGTATGACGCATGATGCTACGGCGGCTGTGGATGTTGGCAATCGCATCCAGCTCGGCAGCGTCAAATGCCAGCGCTACTGGCGCAGGCTGGTGCAGGCGCAACGTCCGAAAGAGTGGTCTGTGATGACTCGATATGTCCAATCTGAGATAAGTCTGGCGTTGCTGGCTGCACTGTGATGTCGTCCTGAGTGTTGACAGAGTCACTATCAGCTGTCGTTGTTGTTGCCATCGTTGCCATCGTTGTCATGTTGTTGTTGTTGTCGTTGCTGCTGTCGATACCGTTGTCCGCCGCTTGTCTCCTTCATTCTGAATTGGTTCATCTTCCTGTTGCTGCTGCTGCTGCTGCGCACCCACCGGCCCTCCTTCACCATCCACCCTCGTTTTGCGTTTCGGCTAGGCTCATGCGAATAGCCTCCTGGATCAAGAACTCTTCCAAATTTGACTGGCCAGCAGCCCGCATTGCAGTGACATACGTTGAGTACTCAGATGCTCTCATCCGGTGGCTGTTGCTACCTCCGCCAGCAGCCCTCCTGGTTCTAAACACACCATCGCGATTGCTCCGTGCGCTGCGCCTCTGCGCCGACGCAGCAATTGCTGCCATGTTTTGCGACAGCCTCTCCTGCTCGCGCTTGTGCCTTTCCTGCTCTGCCTGCAGCTGGCGCATCAGTCCCGGCCTAATGTCGTCGCTCATAACGATTATTGGCTCTCTTGTCGTCAGCGACTGGCTTCTGGACCGGTTATCCAGCATCTTGGGCCGCGACGCATTGCTGGCAATAGATATGGACGAGCTCTGGGAGAGCTGAGAGCTGAGCTGCGGGCGGTGCTTCATGTAGTTGGTGCGAGCAGCACCAGTGGTGATGGACGGCGGATAGTATACTATTCCGAAATTGGGCTCGACGCAGTACGGGCAGTGCGTGGATGAGATGGTCCCTTCCTCGAAGCTTGCGCTTTATCTGCACGAAGCATTCGGTGCACACCGGCTTGTGGCAGCACCGGGTATAGTTGATATTCTGCGGGTAGTACTACAAGCGCAAACGCCAATGCCAATATAATCAATTGTCCCATGTGAAAAAACAAGGGCATTCACGGCATCGCGTGTTTGACGGCTGAATCGAGCAATAAAAGTCAAGAGACCCCCACGAAATAAGCATGACACGCAAACTTACCAGAAAGCAGATAGGGCACTCGATATACCTCCTCAGCAGCCGCCGGCACACCTCCACATCAAGCTCGCACGACTCGGCTGTCTCTGGGCCGCTGCCTGACATCTCGGTGGCATTGCCAGGCCGCGGCGACGACGGCGATGACGGCGACTGAGTGCCGTCGCCAGGAAACTTGGAGCTGCTTGCTGACGACACCTTTAGACGGTGGAAGAAGCCGCTGCCCTTGCGACTGTGCCCTTTGCGGGCCCCGCCCGGTGACAGGACTGGCAGGCGTGGAGGCGGACGCATGGGTGGGGACGGGCTGGAGTCTGTCGTGATCAGTCGACCCAGCTGACGACAGCTGCCGGCTGTGTGTGCCGCTCTTTGGCTCTGTATCTAAAGCACATGCAAAGCAAGAAGTGGGCGGACATCCGCGACAGCTTAGTGGACTCTCGGTTCCTTTTTGCACAGAAGAGCTTTTGCGCAATAATGCACCGCGCTTATCCAAACAAACTGGGGGATACACGCCTTCCATGCAAGTGCTTTACTAGCTCATGCAATAGGGGTGGAAAAACAGGAAAGGACCGGGGGAAGGAAAGCCTGGCCATATTGGTCCCCATGCTTTTTTTTCACTCCACACCCGCAAGAGACGATGCCCTTGGGCTAATATTTGCTGCACTTACCGCTGCCGTCCTTCTTCTGCTGCTGCGCCAGCATCAGGTTGTAGCTCCACCAGCCGTCGTCGTTCTGCTCGCCGCCCTCAGCCGGGTCAGGGGTCATCGGCACCGACGTAGAACGGCGCCAGCTGGCGGCCAAGGATCAGCTTCTGGACAATCTTGACGTCAAAGTCCTGGGCGTCCTCTGGGTATATTCCGTTTGGCGACATGTTGCCGTAGTCGCATACGGTCGCGCCGTTCAGCTTTGTTGGTGTATTCCCCATGGGCTTTCCTGAAATGCGCGCGGATAGAGCAAATATAAAAAGAGTTTGTTTGAACAAAAAAAAAAGTCGAAGGGCGGGAAAAGACTCACACTGATATGTGGGGAGGAAAAGTGGTTTTCCTTCGTCATTCAACCCCGGGGCTGTGTCACGTGCACCACCTACTTGGCTGCTACACCAACCAGCTGAGCCTAGCACGCAATCGGGGTAGAACACAGCCTTCATCCGGGTAGCTGGAGTTTATTAGCTCCCAGGCAGGAGGTGATGCCATGAACCAGGACAGGATGAGGTCCCGAGTCACCGCCAGCCGAGCCAAGTGCCAAAGGAACATTGGCTTGGACATGATTGCTATTCACGGTTGCGTACATCGGTCTCTGCAACTGGTCATCAACAGGCATATTTGTGATCGACCTGGACACCACCTAGGAGCAACCATATAGCCTTGTTTTGACAATTTTTGGCCTGTGTTTCTTGTTCACTTCCATATATTCAACATTTCAGCTCCTGAGAACCTGCGCACGCCTTAGCGCCACCGGGTCATCAGCCCCTATCCCGAATCCAAGCCATTTCTCGCCCTTGCCACTATGGACAAGCTGCTGCTAGTATACATCCTTCTCTGACCAATCGCAGTCCTGAGAGTACAGATCGGCTCATTTTAATGAGAAAGTTGTGGCTGCTCACTATAGTTATCTTGTGAAGTTCTTCAGATGCATATGTAGATGTCTGACTTTGAAGGGAAGACCACATCTGCCCTGCCCCAAACTGGATATATACTTGCTCTCACCAGCTGGGTGATGGGATGTTCCTGTGTGTAGTCGGAACAGCGTAAAGCAGACAAATGGCATCTACCAAAGCTTGATTCTCGCAGGCATCCGTGATTGTGATGCACTAACGCAAGCTTGTGCGGGGATTAATACAAATTCCAATACTGCTTTTTGAGAGCAAAGATTGGTGCTCAAACCGAATACGAAGGAATGGCATAAGCCCACATGCTCTAGCTTTTACAGCATATAAGATGTAGGGTAAGCGGTAGTTGACACCTGCTACAAGGCGACGTCAGATATAAAACTGCACACTCTGGAAAGAGAATACTGAAGCTGGAGACATGAAGGAGCAGTGTTGTAGAAACAAAGGCGGAGGCCATTTTATGCATATTTTTGACATTTGTATCTCCGAGGCGAGCAGCTATCCGAGCTCCCTTTATTCGCGCACACTTTGCTATTGGCATACATATTTCTGACAGCCCCGTCGGTATCGCTGAGCAGCAGCGATGAGGCATGTTCATTGATTTAATCCTACCTGAAACGGTTATTAGGGCCCTGCCCTGTCTGCTGCGTCTGACCGGCACTGGCCCATGACGACAGCTTCTCTGCAGCACATTCTGATTCCGCCATCCCTTTTTTCCTGAAATTCACACTACTTTTATCTATAACTTACAATGAGCGACGAATTCGATCCCATGGCCGACTTTTTGGCCCGCGAGCGCGCAGCACTCGGCGAGGATGCTGACCTGTTCCAGTCAGGCTCCCCATCTGCGTCGAAATCGCCTGAGGCAGCCACCAGTGATGTCTTTGGCATTTCCTCGGCTGGCAACGACGACCTCCTCGCCAGCAACTTTCAGTGACACTGTGCCTGCTGCAGAAGATATCGTCGCCGCTGCTTTCGAAGCCCAGCCCACCTTCCGCTCCGGCTGCCCCTGCCCCGGCCGCCTCTGTGTCAAACCCGGCTAGCTCTGCCCAGGCCTCGCCAGCAGTCGCCCAGGACTCTGGCTTTTTGCAGGAGTGGCAGGTGAAGCAGAAGGAGGCCGTCGAGGAGCGCGACCGGGTCTCAAACGAGCGCCACGAGGCGATTGTGAAGGAGGCACGCGAGTCCATCGACAAGTTTTATGACGAGTACAACGAGAAGAAGGACAGGGCGATTCAGGAGAACCGTGCGACGCAGGAGATTGAGATTCAGGCAGCCAACTCAGGCAACCTGTGGGAACGCGCCATGAAGCAGATTGACCTTGCCACCAAGGCCACCCAGGATACGCAGAAATCGAGCGGTTCGCCGTTCGGGTCCACGACGCAGGTTTCACGCCAGGCGTCTCAGTCGGCAGCGCCTGCTGCCACCAGAGACACGGTCAGGATGCGCGAGCTGCTGCAGGACCTGAAGCGGGACAAGGAGGCGCCAGGTGTCAAGAGCAAGAAGGTTGAGGCTAGCGCGTAGACGGTGTTTATTTAAATGAGACTAAGAACCCTGTGGTAATCGTTGACAACTGAGGCAAATGACTCGGCGACTTTTTGCTTCTTCTCGTCGTCCTCCAGCCCGCTGAGCAAATCGACGTTCTGTGCATAGATCCGCCGCTTGACAAACAATCTGTACCTGCCATATGCCTCAGCATTGGGCTTGTCGAGCATCTTGAGTAGACCCATCTCGACACACCTCGCCATCTGGCGCTTACTGATCTTGTATTCGATCTGCAGTTTGTGCAGGTCCTCTGGGCTGACAGGTGCCGTAAGCCCGTCGAATGCGTGGTGATCCAGCAGGTACCGCATATCGTTGCGGTCACGCATATCGTCGAACGACTCGCTTGGATCCTCGACCGTCAGATCAACATACTGCGGGCTAGCCTTGACCATTCCGTAAATATACCTGTACAGCTCCGACCCATGGCCTTGGCCCTGGAACGGTGGCAGCACCAAAAACTGCGAGATCCTGGGTCGCTTGCTGTCAGGCCAATGGAAGAACTCGTACATTGTGCAGTACCCGACTAGCGAGTAGCTGGTGATGCCGTTGAGGTCCAGACGCTCGTACACTGTGAACACCTGCCACCGCTCATCGGTCTCATCGATGAACTGCGCGCCCTCAATGTAAAACAGCAGAAATGTCTGCAGCCGCCGGTGGTACTCGCGGAATTCCTTCATTCAGCCGGTTGGCGTAAATCTCGTACCTGCCTGTGTCCCGCACGTACTCGTGCACCTTCTTCCCATGCGGCTTAAACTCCTTCGTGTCCTTGACAACGCGCTCTGCAAACTCCTCGCGCGACCCCACCAGAGAATTCTCCGACAGCACCTTGCGCATTGGCGTGTCGACATCGTCTGATTTAAGCTGCACCGGCAGGCTTGTCTCCAGGCCGTCAATGCGCTTGGTGTAGTCTACGCTAAAGTACGTTGCTAATGAGCCAGCAGCATAGTAGAGGCTGATGCGCAGGCCCTTGTATCCGAATATCCGCTCCTGCTCACCGTAGATCGGGTATGTGAAGATCGGGTGGAATTCGATCGCGTCGGCTCCGTCTGCACCCTCTTCATCCTCGGCAATATCCGCACGCAATGCGTTAAGAACGCTCTCAGTGGTCTCCCCGCTGACTATAAACCAAAGAGAAAGGACTTCAGTGGCATATATGCGCAAAAGCATGCGACCCAGCCTCTGCGTTTTACTTACTCAGTCGCAGGAATACAGCCGAGTTCGAGTCTGCCACCCACTGTGACGCATTGGCTGCCAGAATTTCGTCCATTGAATTTATAAGAATGCGCGATTTGAGACAAAACAGAAAAAGCTAGCAGCGCGTTTCCTGCCAGCAAAACTTCGCGTCACCGCGTGTGCAAATGCTTGATTTGATGTGTTGTTTAATTTCTACAGGATTAGTGACACGATATCCCGAGGCGAAACCCCATCGTTGTCCTGGATATCCATCGACGCGCCATTGCGAGTCAGAAATGCCACTGCCTTTCTGTCCTGTGCCATCATCGCCTCATGCAGCACGACGCCGCCGAACCTCGAGCGGTGGTTGACATCGGCCCCCATCTCCAGTAAGGCCTGCGCCAGATCTGAGCGTGATTGTGACGTTTGCGCTGCCCGCATAAATGCTGTGAACCCGGCCACATCCTGGGCATCGACAGCAACGCCAATCCCATGCAGAAACTCGAGGCACTTTACATGGCTGGGTTCAGCATACGGTGTGCTCTGGTGATACGTCGGTGGCCGCCTGCCCACATAGTACTGAGCACCAGCGACAACCACCTCCATTGCCGGCATACGAAGCCTTGTCTCGCACATAGTGGCGTACGCCTCGGTAGCACACTCTTTGGATTCTTCCAGAGCCTTTCCCTCGGCAGTGAATTTATCCACCAGCTTCTGATAGTCATGCTCTAGGCGCCCAATGTCGCCGCGCACAAGTGGCTGAGCGCGCTCACTAAACTGGCCCACGTCGAACTTCCACTCCGATATCCACTCGCGCAATAGCTGCTGCTCCTCCCCAGCCAGGGGGAATTCCCCTGCCAAAAGTATATCTATTGAACGAGGTTCTGAAACAGTCATGTCTGAAGAGAATGCAATGTCTACAATTGCTGTGAAAAGAGTGTGCTTTTGTAGTAAGGATGTGATGAGGGAAGGGTGAGATGGGGGGAAAGGATGTGGATACTTGGGTCAGCCCCGAGTCCTAATCAACAAACAAAAAATACGGAATTGCGTGTCGCAAAAAGGGTGGGGTGTGCAGAGAATACAAGATGGTGTTCGAGGTTGGACAGTGTGAGAGCTCAGGTACAACAAACGAAAAAAGGTAAATAACCGTAGTCCGTGGATATTTTGCAAGGGAGGAAGAGCCTGCGCATATAAATGTCCTGGAGGAGGTAGGTGATCGGGAAGAGAGGAATAGGGTTCACATCTAAAATGAGATTCTGCGGCCTTGGTGTATCAGCATGCCGAAAGAGAGGGTCCCCGGGCACTCACAACGCCTGGGATATAAGTCAGACGGAAGCCATGCATCATGAAGCCCGTTTTAACAGGCACTATTAATTGTCTTGTGCCGACAATCGTGACGTGCGCTTCCCATGTTGTGATCGGGGGTGTCTGGAAACCGCCCATAGCAAAGCCGGGATTCATACTACTCTTCCCAGCTGCACTCTTTCAGTGGAGAATGCACCGCGTGTCTCTCCCGGACAAAGGCAGAAAACTACCTGCTACTATGACATTCTTTTGAGTGCCATATACAGCCGCTTGATAGAGTTGCCATACCAGGAATTAACTTCACGTGTATGCCAGTGATCGGCCGGCCAGCCATTTCCAGAGCGACAGCCAGGGAGAAAAAACGATACCAAAACATAAGCCGCTATGCTACTTTCGTGCGCAGCACAATCCCACGACCACCGATTGTTCTGCTCCAAGTGTGAAAGTGGCTGCGGTCAGCGAGGGCGAGTGGCCCCAGAATAGAGCGCGCAGTCTTCATGTCGTGGACTCATATTGTGTGAGGGCAATTGTGCCAGGGGTTTAGAAAAGCAAGTCCAATAGGTGCGAGGCCAACCACGCCAAGGATGAGACGCTCTTAGCATGTGCTCCCCCTTCCCTGTCCCCAATTGCCTCTGCCCTGCGCCCGGGGGTCGCCGGATTGGGTAATGGGTGCCGGCTGCCCTGCCTTTCTGCTCGGTCATTCCCATGCGGGAAATGAGTGGTTCCTGGAACAAGCAGCAGCTGGTGCAATCACCCGCAGTGGCAACAGCGTCAGTGACAACAGACGATAACAGTTGCTCAATGGTTGGTTTAAGAGCAGGTGAAGGTTCGACCATGCCCACAGGCTCAGTCTGACGGCGTGTTTTCAGAGCTCTTATTCGCTTGCCTCTAGACCGAGGTTAAGGATGATAAGCATTAGAGCTGCTGACTAAAAATTTTGTGTCACTAGCTAGCTGAATAGCTGATCACCCCATCACTCCCGGCAAGTGACCTCGATGTGGGGCCCAGTAGGCGACTGGGGAACTGGGACCCAGTGTCGTCTGCAGACACCATGCACACCCGTCCTGGCCTAGTATAGAGAAGCCTCTCTCACTATCATAGTGAGATCAATCCCTGTGCGTATAGTAAGCAACCATGATCACAGCGATGGCTTAGCTGAGGCGGCCCATTTTCTGCGGCTATTTTAGTTGAATCCGCGCTAATAGCCAATTACCATCTGGATTAGCGATATAACCTACAGGCTGGAGTTTTTTTTGAACGATCGACCCTCTTCTCACTTTTGCCCACCCTTCACACAAGCAGCACTTTAAGCGTAAGAACCGACCTGGGAAATACGGAAATGCGCTAAATGCAGGAGACAAAATTGACTCAGAATTATTGCCAACGTGTAGCAAATGAGCAGAGCGTTTGGAATTGGCCTGGGCTGGCTCAGGGTCAACCGATCCAGCACGTCCGTGTGCTGCATTGGTGCTATCGCCGGCTACACTGTGTACTGTCTGATTGCAGACCAATGGATCTCCAGCCGGCGCAGCATTATGATTGAAAAGCGCAAGCAGCAGGATCAGCTTATCGACACAAAGGACACCCGCAACCCGCCGCCGCTCTACGCGTCGCTGTTTATTGGCGGTCCGATTTGTGAACCCCTTTGATACGTGGCGCGACAAAACACTGTGGGACTTTGTGAAATGGATTGTGACACGCAAGACTGGCAATGGGCTGCCGTCGGACCGATCGCAGCTGCATGATGACTTGCCAGTAATCCTGCCGCACTTCCACCTGCTTGATGCATTTTCGCCGCCCAGTGCCCGCCGGCTGCGCACCTTGGTCGAGGATCCCGGCATACGCAGAGTACCCAGACGTCAGCTCGCTCAATAGGGACTCGCAGATCACAGCAACATGGCTTGGCCAGTCGACGTGTTTTGTGCAGATGGAGGGCCTGAATATTTTGACAGATCCGATTTTCAAGCGCAGGACCGTGTTCTCATGGCTCGGTCCTGAGAGACTGCGCCCTGTGCCTTGCCAGCTCAAAGATCTGCCGCACCCTGACATTGTCCTTGTCTCGCACAACCACTTTGACCACCTCGACATTGATGTGGTCAAGTCCCTTGGAAACTCGGTAACATGGTATGTGCCGCTGGGCCTCCGTGACTGGTTTGCGCGGCAAGGAATCTACAAGGTCAAGGAGCTTGACTGGTGGCATGAGTCGGATATTACAGTACGCGATGTCACGTTCAGGGTTATTGCTGCACCGACGCAGCACTGGAGCGGCCGCAATGGCTTTGACAGCAACTGCTCGCTGTGGTCGAGCTTTTTGGTGAAAGGTGTTTCCCAGTCATTCTTCCACTGCGGCGATACTGGATACTGCCAGCATTCAAGGAAGTCGGAAAACGGTACGGCCCTGTAACCCTGGCTGCGCTGCCTATCGGTAGCTACGAGCCACGGTGGTACATGTGCCATCAGCATGTGAATCCAGACGATGCAGTGAAGATCCACCGGGATCTTGGTGCCAAATGGTCAATTGGTGTGCACTGGGGAACATTTATGATGTCAGATGAGCACTACTTGGCGCCAGTACGGGATCTGAAGACTGCTTGCTGAAAAATACGAGCTAGGTATCGACGAATTTGTTGCGCCCACGTTCGGAAAAACCTTGCTGTATCAAGGAATATCGGAGTAGGATTTTCCATAGTCAGCGGACCTAGACGCTATGGCACAAAAACACAGCCTCTTTTTGGTCAAGTATAGACACATGCTCTCTCCCTATCAGCACTCTTCTGTTTCGATATTATAATGCCACTCAAAATTTCTGTGTTCGGCGGGCTTAGGTTCGCTTGCCCATGAATTTGTAACTAGCGCTGTTGTTGCCGACCACTATATTTCCTGGTACCTGCATGAAACCGACGATGTTTCCGGACGAATTCGCCGACCACACCGAGTTCATGCGCATCACACGTGGCACTGGATACACTCGAGCACTACCGCGAAGCAGTCCGTGACAGTGACGCAGTCTTTGTTGCATTTGATGCAGCCTACACGAATCCAGGGTCGTGGGCAACGCGCCAAGCCATGATCCAAACAGCAATGAAAAAGGAATGCGTCGAGCGGATCCTGATTGTCACCACACATGGTGCTGGCGAGTCTCAGAAGTGCCTGGATTGGTCAACCTGGTTCATGTTCAATCTCAACCAGGCAAAGCATATGGTATTTGGGATCCACCGATATGTGCTGGTCACTGGCAATGCAGTTTACGAGGCAAGAGGAGGCTCTGATGAAAAAGCGACCTAAAATGGACGATTATTAGGCCAGGGCTGGTTACGGTGGGGAGAGGCAACCGGCACGTATTTAGCTAGTCATCGTGATGTGTTTGGTGGCACGATTTCGCAGGCGGATGTTGCAAATTGTGCAGTCCACGCGCTTGAGGAGAACATGGATATAGGCAAGGCATTTTCCATAGCCTATTCAACCAGGGTAGCCTGAGACAATATATTGCCAATAGCTTGAGACAACGACATTGTTACATACTAGGAGAGCCCGCCATGATGGGAGACAAATAGCGTTTGGCTCACTTCCATGTAAGCTCGCAACACGAGTTCACGACCCCTAGTTGCTACATATGGAAAGACGACTAGCTGGGAGACATAGCTTTAGATGCAGGTTATTGTATGGACCAGCATAATCACAGCACCTGAATGCCGTAGCGACTGTTTAGGTCATGTTTGAGGAGAGAGTCTAAAATCGCCAAATGACGAATGTGCTGTTTCGTATTACTGCTATTCTGGCAACCCCCGACTGAGATTTTCAGGCCAAAATTTTTCAATGGGCGATCGGTGCAGAATCGACACTCGACCGGCAGCATCCAAGGGGCTTTAGCTCAGGGGTAGAGCAATTGGCTGCAGTCCAATAGGTCACTAGTTCAATTCTGGTAGGTCCCTTCCCTTTTTATTCCCTTGGCCATTGCATTCCACTACTGCATCAGTTACTATCTACCAGAAAGAGCTAGGCAGTATATAGTCTTTTGATTTGATAATTATCAATACCAAGGTTATATCAATGGGTGGGACAAGCCAATAACTTCGAGTTTCCATGTATAGTGAAAACCCTAGATACTCTGTGTTCTGTGGACAGGAATTCAAGCGCTGAGTGATGTCCAGACTATATATTCATATGTAACTAACCTACATGTTGACAGCGTCGCATGCCAATATTATTGCGACTTAGCATTTATTTCCGAATAGATGCATGAGCTAACCAAATATTTGGATTCTCTGCAACTACCAATGCAGAACACCATGTATCTATTATCAGGAAACACGCCATTAATGTTTGAAACCTATTCATAGCATCTGCTGGGAGTAAAGCGAAATCAAAGGAAAAATATTATTATAAGCTTAATTTTTGGAAAGTAGAAATTTGAAACGGAATCGGATTAGCTTGCTGGTTCTGAATCTTCTGATCTGGGGGTCTAGCTCAAATGGTAGAGCGCGCGCTTCGCATGCGTGAGGCACTGGGATCGATACCCAGGTCCTCCACAGATTTTTTGCTGCCATCCTCGGTGGTCGCCGTTCTTTTTTAGGTGTCGGTGATATCGAGTGCATCTTTCAGCCCGGTACTGTTTTAGATGTGTTGGGCATAGCAATGCTAGTTTCTTTTTCTTTGGCATAGATGTTGTGGCCGTTTGATCCGTAGATACGTTGGCATCCGCTACCTGGTGTGTGGTGATTCACGCAGACTTACCGCGCTAATATGTGAGGATAGTGCTGAGAAAAAAACAGAAAGGAGACTTGGCTCTTACCGTATGATATTCCATGTGATATGTAAATGGCTACTGGAGCAACAGCAGCATGTGTATTGTTATACAGAGCAAAGCCATATGTATGTGTTCTATAAAAAGGTTACAGCTCAAACGAGACATTCTGCGTGGCAATGTACGCCAAATTGCCCTTCTCGTCCTTGATACAGCCACGCAGGAAGCCAATAGATTTTGTCGTCCGCAGGCACTCGATCTCCAGGGTCACAGTCGAGTTGACCGGCACGCCCGCCAGGTAATTCGTGGTCAGGTCGGTCGACACAATCTTCTTTGCGCCATTGGCAACCACGGCAGTGGCAATTTTGCCGGCCGCATTGAACAGAGTGAACACGCAGCCGCCGTGGATCGTGCCCCAGGTATTGCAGTCGGTGTTCTCGACGCTGAATGTGAAGGTCAGGAAGGCGCTGGTGACCCGGTCGCCCTTGGCGCCAGTGGGCTTGATGCTGACGAGCTGCAGGCGCGAGACTGGCGGCGTTGTCAGCTTGACGTTGCTGGCCAGCAGCTGCTTGTGGTATGTCTCGGCGCGGCGGGTCAGCTCCTCAGCAGGCACAGGCGATGTGAATTCAGGTGCAGCGGTCATTGTGTATGAAATTAGTAGCGGTGACAAAAATACATAAAAGTGTAGAGTTAGGGAGAAATGAAAAAAAAAAAATTAGCGCGGGCTTTCATATGCTTGGAAGTGGATGGGTTGATTTCTACACCAAAACTCCGGTCCCGGACTTCGGGAAGTCATGTGTACCGGGGCTTTTCGGGCTATCTAGATCCGCGCTTTCATCATGGCTTCCAGCTCCCTTGTGTAGAACTTTGTGTGCTGGGCGGCCGCATAGACCAGGTCCGGGTTCTGGGCATCACGGAACACAGCGGCAGCCGAGAGAGGCTGGGTGATGCTGATGAGGCGGCTCTCGATGGCTATGCGCGTGCCGGACTTGATCGGTCAGAGAACCTTGGAAATCAGGGCGGTCGTGGCACTGAGGCTGCTGGGGTCAGCAGCCTTGATGATCGAACTGGTCAAGTTGTCGGTGACAGCAGTGACCCATCCTTCATCCAGGGTGCTGGGGATGCCGATCTTGTCGTTGGTGATAAGCTTGTTAACATAGAATGCAGAGATTCGAGCGTCAGTACGAATAGTGTTGAAGAACTCGACCATGCCATAGCGTGGTGGGTTTGGCATCGCTGGATAATACTACAACTGAATGTGCATGAATTGGAAGGGGACATGTAGAGGCAAGGAGAGGAATAACCCACTATTCGTTAAACTATGAGGCGTCTCTTGCATAGAAAGGCAGTCAATCAGCAACCACCAGCCAGTGCACTGGGCTTTTCCCTTGGTGAGTTTTAGTGTGGTATCCAATTTCAGCAGCTGATACCGTATGGTCGCCATACGGTTTATTCCTTTGTTGCCAACTAGGAGAATGATGAATGATATATGTATATTCAGTTTTGAATCATGGATCGGGTGCAGCCGACACATTAAAGAATGCCTCTTGCTCAGATTTTAGGCTGCGTGACAACCAGGTTGTTCTTGTAGAACTTTGTATGGCTCCCCACGGCATAGACGGTTTCGGGCTTCATCTTGTCCCTGAACACGGCGGTGGCATGGGGCTGGATTCCGCCGCGGTTGGTCAGCTTGCAGCACATCTCGACCAGGGTGTTGGGGCGTACTGGCATGACGCCCTGGACAGAGATCGCCGTCGAAACCGATGCCCGACCGCGCTCCCCCATGACACCGATAATGATGGCCGTGGTGTTATCAGTGACAGTGCCTAACCAGCCTTCGTCCAAGGTGCCGGATGCGCCAATGTCGTTCTCTGTGACCAGGATTTCGCATCTCATCTCGCAGTTCGCTTGGTCAACATGGGTGATCCGCGGCTGCACCTGGATCCCGTAGTACAGGTAGGCGTTTGTGCGGCTCTGGCGGTCATTGAGGGCCTGGAGCAGCTCGGCATCAGACAGATTTGTGGGCAGCGACATAGTGTAGAGATTAAAGGAACGAGTTTATAAAAAGGCAGGAAAAGGAAACTGGATTAAGCTTTTTTTCTTTTCTTTTCTTTTTCTTTTTCACGTTAGCATGCACGGAGGTTCGAGTTTTCCTCCGGAGGGATGGGTGCGCCGAGGGCATCCGATCTTGCGCGCGGGAAATTCTGTTCTCTGGAGCCACTTTGGGAAATTTTCACAGTTTCCCAAGCACGTCCTTTGCGAATTTTGTGTGGCCGCAGACCGCATAGACAACGGCAGGGTCGGTAGTGCTCCTGAATGTCGCCAGTGCATGCGGGTGGGACAGCTGCGGGTTCGTCACTTTGCAGATGACCTCGACAGGCGTGTTTGGCGCGATCGCTGCGCATGCCTGCACGGAGAGCGAGACAGATACGGATGTGGCCACAGAGCCGCCTCTAGCGGTGCCAACGACGGCCAGAAGCGTGGATGTGTTGTTGTCGGCTATGGTGGCGACCAGGCCCTCATCGAGAGTGCCAGCATCGGTAATGTGATCGTCTGTGGCGATGAAGGTTAGAGTCAGGATGCCGGCGTCCAGGTCCACCGAATCGACTTCAGTGCCGACATCCTCGCCAAAGTAAGATACCGAGTCCATTGTTCATTAACCGCAAAAAAGAAAATGGTAGGAAGGAGAGCAGGTTGCGTACATTTCATTTGGTGTGTTGTCTCGCACCATTACATGTGAAAAAAAGGTGGGGTTAATCCTCATCGCACATGACCAAAGGATATTTTTTTCTTAGCCAAAAAAGTACATGTGGATTTCACAGCCTGGCCAGCGACACGCCGCCCGGCACCTGGCCGACGTGGTCTTTGTAGACCATAGTATGCAAGCCCATCGCATACACTGTCCCGGGCTTGGCTGCATCGCGGAACACTGCGGTCGCCTGCAGCATGCGCCCCTGGAACATGATAACCCGGCACTCGATCTCAAGACGCACGCCAGCCTCGATCTTCTCCAGATTATTAACAGTCAGCGAGGTCGTGAAGGTATTGCGGGTGTCAGGCCACTGCGCAGATGAGCGGGTCGGTTGCATTGTCGGTTACGGTGGCCAGCCAGCCTTCGTCCAGGTAGTTACGCGAGACTTCCGAGGCTGTGACCGTGTATTCGTAGGTCACCCGGCGCTGCTTTGCGTCGGCTGTGGCTATTTGCAGGTCGATGGCGCTGCCGTAGTTGCCGGAGGGAATTGCGCCCTGCGGCAATTCTGTCCAAGAATTCGCGCATAATAAGGCCGGACATGGGTAGTAGTGGTAAAAAAAAGTAATGGTGGGTGTCAGAGACACAAAAGGAGCCCTCTGTTGATCGCAGTATTGGCAGGAGGCACAGGTAGTAGCGTGCCCCCTGGCCACCTGCGACTCGGAGACATGCATTGAAAAAAGGGAGTGCATACGTCACATGTCCAGGCACTCAGGATCAGTGAAAGAAAATCACCAAATTTATTTCTATTCCCTCGCTGCCCGCTCGCGATTCAGCTGAGCCGCGTCCAGGCGCGCCAGATCCTTGGCCGACTCATACAGCTGCACAGCATTAATAAGGTTCTTGATCCACACACACCGGGCCTGCCAGTACCGCCAATGCGGCCACCAGCCAGCACGCCAATGCCGTTCACATAATGCAGAACATAGATCAGCATGAAAAACGCCTCGTTGCCGAAACAGAAGCCAAACAGCACCCGGCGGTCTGTATAGTATGCGCGCAGAATCCAATGCGTGCTTGGCGTCCACCTGCTTGTGGTTCGTCTTGCCCGTGATCAGCTGGCTGTACATCTGCATGTAGTGGCTCGAGATATCCAGCGAGATCAGCAGACAGAATATCAGTGCACATTTGGGGTACAGCTGCGCCAGGTACGTCAGAAGCACCGTCGTCGTGCACCGGTCCGTCACCATGTCTAGCACTTCGCCAAACTTGCTGCACTGGTGAAGCTTGCGTGCGTAGTAGCCGTCAGCGGCGTCCAGGAGCTCGGAAATTGCATACGAGAAAAACATGGCTACCCAGTGCTCGCTGTACATGGAGTAGACGGCGACGGCAGTCAGGGCTACGCGCGAGTAGCCGATAAGGTTTGGCACGAACCAGAACACGTCGTGGTAGCTCAAATTGGACATGATTCCAGATAGTAATTTGTGTGTGGAAAAAAAACAAAGCAAACAAGAGGGCAGGGCAGGCGGCGGAAAAATGAAGCTCGTTTCTGAGTCGCATTGGGCAAAATTGGGGGGAAGGGGAGGGAAAATCATGCCATTTGGACAAGTTTCTCGTTGGAAAAAAAAACACGTGCTATGGGGTGATGAGGTTGTCCAGCGATGCCTTGGAGCTGCGGGCCAGGATGTCGGGGGTCACCAGCTGCTTGCGGTTGGCATAGAGGATCTTGTATGTGGTCTTGATGGTAGCCTCGCCAACGCCAGCAATGCTGGAGATGGCCTTCGCGTCCTTTGGATTGGCAGTCAGGTGCGAGGCCATGTAAATGCACGCGCTGGCAATAGACACCGGGCTCTTGCCCGCAATCTTATCCATATCCTTGGCCTTCTGGCTCAGCAGCTCAGCGATGCGCTGGGTCTCCATATCCAGGGTCAGGTTGGAGCAGAAGCGCAAAATCAAGTCATCCGACGACGTGACGCCCTGATTCGGTGCCCAGTCTACCCTTCAAGAACTTGAAGGTCCTGCCAATGTCCCTCCTGTCGACCTTGGTCAAAGCACAGATCTCCTTAAAGGTCCGCGGCACGCCTTCCTGGCGACAGGCCAGGAAAATGCATGCAGCAATAATGGCGTCGTTGTTTTTCCCGCGCTGCAGATTCTCGTCCTCAACCTTCTTGTACAGCTGCTTGGCCACGTCCCCGATCACCTTGGGCAGGTCATACGCATCGCACAGCGCCGATATCTCCTTGTACGCCTGCACCAGGTTCCGCTCGTGCCGCTGCGCCGTTGACCGGCCGTGGATCCGGTTCAGGTCGCGCGCCAGCCCCTGACCCGCCGTCCCCGCCCCGCGCTATCACCGTGTCCAGCTGCGCCCCGTCCAGAAACGGATTCGCTGCATTACCCCACGCGTGACGGGTCGTCGCCCTCATCGTTGGCAAACGTCCGCCATTCGGACCGCGTGTCGATGATCCGGTCCCCCAATACCAGCCCGCAGTCGCCGCACACCAGGTCGCCCGAGGCGAACTCCTCCACTATGTTGGGTGTCGGGTTGCGGCAGTCGGGACAAATTACCGTCACGTTCAGCGCCCGTGTGGGTGCTGACGGCGAGGAATCGGCGCTGAGGGTCTTTGTCTCTGGCATTGCACACTGCTCCTTTTATTTTCAATGACAAAGGAAATAAAAGGAGAAATGAAAAAAACAAGAGGTGGAAAAGCACAGGAGAAAAAGCCATGGGGCGGAATCTCTCAGTGCTAGTGATGCAAAAGGTCACGGGACAGGATCTGATCGCTGTATGCTCTTACGCCTTCGCCCAAAGCTCAGAGAATCCCCTGCCTGAGTTTTAGGCCTCGGATGCAGCTCCCCCACAAGGGACAAGGAATCATTGGGAACCAGATACCGTTTTTCAACAAATTTATACTAGAAGAGTAAAGGCAGATGCGGCCAGGACAGCATTTGGAGTCAGGGCAGAGGCAGAAGGTCTATGGAAGCGTGCTGGGCAAGCGCCAGCAGGTCGTCGGACAGCAGGCGCTTGCGGTCGGCAAACAGCAACCGATACGAGTTCTTAATCGTGACTTCGCTGACCCCAGCGACATTGGAAATAACCTTGGCGTCCCTGGGCTGGCCGACCAAATGCGACGCCATATAAATGCAAGCGCCGGCCACCGACACAGGGCTCTTGCCCGCCAACGTATCGCACTCCCTGGCGCGTCTGCTCAGCTCCACTGCACACTCCACGGCGCCCCTGAGCAGCGACAAATTCGCGCAGAACCTAGCCATCAGATCGCCCGACGACATACTGCAGGCGCCCAGCTTGTCTTTCAGGAAGCTTAAATGTCCTGCCGATATCGCGCCTGGGCACGCGCGTCAACGCACAGATCTCCTTAAAGGTCCTTGGCACGCCCTCCTGGCGGCAGGCCAGGAAAATGCACGTGGCCAGGACTGGCATCGAGGCTTTTGCCGCGGTGCAGGCTGCGGGCCTCGGCGCGTTGATACAGCGAGCGCGCAGTATGGTCTATTGTCAGCGAAAGGTCCATCGACTGGCACATTTGCGAGAGCTGCGAGAAGGCCCGCGTGAGATTGCGCTCGTGCCGCTGCTGCGCCGCGCGGCTTGCCGGCTTGGGCGATTCGGCCGCTGTCGAGTCGCCAGAGTCGCTGCCGGCCACGTCCATTAGCAAAAGTGCGTCTTGCAGCTGCGTCTGCTTGATTGTTGTCCAGCTATGGCAGCTGCATGCCGTCGGCGTGATGTGGATACGGGATGTGCACTGTGCGCACGGTATTGTTGGGCTGCGCACTGGTGTTGTGTCTGTAGAAGGCATCGTGAAAAAAATGTATGGAGGGTTTTTTTGGTTTTACAAAGTGGAGATAAAAATTTTTTTTGTCTGTTTTCGATCCAGGTTTTTGCTACTAACAAAAAATTTTGTAATAGCCTTGTCGCCCTGATTTCGCTGCCGGCCAATGTGAGCGCGAGCCGCATTTTTCCTACACCCCACCCAGGCGGTTCTCGACTCTGTGTGCTTTGGTCATCGAAACCACAGCTCGTCTCTACATATTTTTCCTCGTCATTTTTCTTACCTTTACTATGCTGTCGCGCTGCACTCAGCTTCGGGCTGTCGGGCGTAGGGTCAGACTACCGCAACACCCTGTACGATCGGTGAGCCGCCGGGGCTTCTCATGGCATGCCCGGCCAACACTGCCCCGGCTCGCAATTCTCAGCACGCTTGGCGCCGTCGGAGCGATAGGAGCCGTGTGGCTCGGATCCCCCACGCCACTCCCACCCCCACCACCCATACCTGCATCCACGCCTGCCCCAGATCCTGAACGCTCCTGGCTCAGCACGCTGACCACCCGCCTGCACATGTACCTGCTGGAGCCCATACTGACAGTGCTGCGAGCCGGCGAGCTGCTGGTGTATTTCGTGCCGGTGCTACTCTGCTATCCAGCGATGTGGCTCGGCAGGCGGCGGTTCTGGTACCGCCTGCTGCGTATGCAGATGAGTCGGGCTGGTCCGACGTTTGTCAAGCTGGCACAGTGGGCGGCGAGCCGCACGGACCTGTTTGAGTCAGCAATGTGCGAGGAGCTGGCACTTCTGCATGACGCGAACACACAGCACTCGATTGAGCATTCGCATAGGCAGGTCTGCCAAATGCTTGATATCGGCGATATCTCGGAGGTCTTTGCGGAGTTTGAACCCGAGGCCCTGGGCGCTGGTGCGGTTGCGCAGGTGCATTATGCGCGGCTGCATCCCGAGTATGCGCAGAAAATGCATATGGAGGAGACGGTGGCGGTCAAGGTCCTGCATCCAAACATGGCATGTCGTGTCAGCCGGGACCTGCGGATCATGCACTGGGGAGCGGTGCTTCTGAGTCTGCTGCCTGGCATGTCGTGGCTCAGTCTGCCCGAGGAGGTCTGCGTATTCGGCGACATGATGCAGGCCCAGCTGGATCTGCGCACCGAGGCATATAATCTGGGGCGGTTCCGGGCAAATTTTTCCCACCGCCCAGGCGTGCGGTTCCCGCAGCCGTACAAGGGCTCGCGCCAGGTTCTCATCGAGAGCTTCGAGGATGGCGTGCCCCTGCGTGCCTTTTTGGACAGCGACAAACGCACCTTGTATGACCGCGGGCTGGGCGCACGTGGGCTGGACGCGTTCCTGCAGATGCTGATCGCCGACAACTTCGTCCACGCCGATTTGCATCCAGGCAATATTCTGGTGCGTCTGCGGCCGCCGTTTGCCGAGTCGCCGCTGGACCGCTTCATCGAGGAGTTCTTTGACAAGTCGCCGTTCCGCCTGCACACCGAGCCACTGCCTTCGTCCCAAGAGGCCCATCAGCAGGTGCGCGCACTAATGGCAAAGGGCCAGGGACTGCAGGACTACATGTCGGTTCTCTATGCCAACGGGTATGCTCCAGAGCTGGTCCTGCTGGACTGCGGCCTGGCGACCGAGTTGGACTCGGCGAGCCGCCGGAATTTCCTGGACCTGTTCCAGGCCGTGTGCGAGTTCAACGGCGCCCAGGCCGGCCAGCTGATGATTTCTCGCTGCCGCACGCCCTCGTTGGTCATCGGCCCCGATATTTTTGTGCTGCGGATCCAGGACATCATCCTAAAGGTGCGCGCCGTGTCCTTCCGCCTGTCCAAGCTGACCTTTGGCGATATCTTTGCGCCTGTCCTGCAGGCCGTACGCACCCACCATGTGAGGCTGGAGCCGGCGTTCACCAATATCATCATGGCCATGTTTGTCTTGGAGGGCGTCGGCAGGCGTCTGGACCCAGAGTCGGATATTCTCAAGGCTGCGTTGCCGCTGTTGCGCCAGTGGCTCAAGGCCGAGGGCAGCCAGGGCTTGGTGGACTGGCATGTGGGCAAGGTGTGGCTGTACATTGAGGTGCGCGAGTACATCGACAGGATCCGCGACTGGGGCAACGACGACCATGAGTTCTTTGGCCCATTCGCGCCCTTCATCACTGCTGACTCGAGCACATCCTAAGCGTTTTTTCTATACAAGTGTATTATTATTCCTTTTACAGCTCCTGGTTGATCTCCTCCAGACGCTTCGCCACGTACGCGAAATCATCGAACGCCTCGTGTGCGACGTTATTCTCGATGCACCACTTGTCCAGGTCGAGTCCGCGCCTGGCAAACAAGTAGTCGGCGCGCTTCGCACTGGCCACATCCGACACGCCGTCGCCCAAATAAACCACCTTGGGCGTGACCTGGTACCGTTCCTTGACCTTCTCGATAGTCCTTGCCTTGTCGTGCCCCAAATCACTGTCATCAGCGAACGTCACCGTCCACTTGTCGTTCTTGCCAATCTCTGCCGTATTCGAAAACACCTCTAGGTACGACAACTCCTGCTGCGTCAGGTTGCGCTTAAACACCAATTGGATCAGATTTTGCATGCCGGCGCTCACCACGCCAAACGGCACATTGTGCTCTGCACACCAAGAGATCACTTGCGAAAAATACGGGTCGACCCGGCAGTCCTTCAGCAGGGAGACTGCTTGGATCCATGGCATTTTGATCGGGTTCCAGCACTGCTCTTGCCGTTGCCGCCAGGTGATCTTGCCCGACAAATACTGGGAGTCGATTGCTTCCCGCCGCTTGGTGCTGATGCAGTAGTCGCAGATTACGTTGCCCGTATCGTCCAGTGCGATCGTGCCGTCGAAATCTGACATGACGATGATCTTGGGCGAGCGCAGGACCGGAATTGCAGGCATTGTTTGTTAGTTTCAGTAAAGACGATGACAGTAAAGTTATTAGAGCTTATTCACGACCGTTGCGAAGAAAAATATGCTTGCCTTATATATGATCTCTAGTACTCCACTCCAAACCCCCCAAAAACGCTTGTCCGGTAAGAGATACATTAGCTGACACATCTATGTTGCCTGGCCCGCCCCTGACATCAGACCAGGCCGTGCGGGCGGCCATTTCCCGCCAATACGCGCACTTTCCAGGCTTGACTGTAGCACACGCCACATATCCACGGACACCCACTCCCCAGGATCTCAATCAATTGCTGCGCCTTTTCATGGGCAGAAAACTTTGGGTGGGGAGTATGGCGGGCTTTCGCCAGTGGTCTGCTTTGTTGTCCGAGAGATTAACTGCCTAAAATCACCATCTGTGATCAGGCAATCACACATGACGTCATCGGCAGATAGCGTGGAAAATTCGCCGCACCTCTTACTCACACGTGCAAAGGAGCCTAAATATCTGACTCAGAGATGCGGCGAATTTTTTTTATGTTATCTCCCTCAGAGCAATAAACGTCTTCAAACCAAACGGCCTCCAGCAAAACCCCTCGTTGCTTATTTTCTCCTTTTGTCTCACCTATTTCTCCGAGAATCAATAATGCCGCACCGCATCACAGTCGAAAGGCTAACCATCGACAGCTTCAAGCCGTACGGCGACGTCGTCCAGCTCGAGGGCCACCACAACATCGTAATCGCGAACCAGGGCACCGCCAAGCGCGTCAACAATGTGGCCACATTGACCAACCTACGCCCACAGCCTTTGCCGGCTCTCCAGAGGGCGTCCCCGAACATGTGTATTTTCAGCTCGGCCCCGCGCCCGACCACTGCCGGACATTTCACTGTGTCGCTGCTGGAGCGCCATCCGTTCAGCTCGCAGGTCTTCATGCCCATCATGCAGGAAGGCGTCGAAAGCGACCCTGACGCCCCCTCGTATATTGTCATTGTGGCGGAGAACGGCGCAGACGACAAGCCTGATGTGAAGACAATTCGGGCATTTGCAGCGAACTCAACCCAGGGGATTAACTATAAGCCCAATTCCTGGCATAGCCCGATGGTGTGCGTTGAGAAGAGGGTCAATTTCCTGGTGCTGGTGTGGGAGAACGGCGTCGCGCTGCAGGATTGCGAGGAGGCCGGTATTGAGCCCGTCATGATTGACCTGAGGCCGGAGTTCAGGAACTTGCCCGAGGGCAAGCTGTAATAAAGTCTTTTTTGTCCAAGAGAAACTCTAAGCATGTATCTGTGGGCTGGCCGTAAGTTTGCCTAGCTCTCCAGCTACTCCTTCATCGCATTGCCTGTCCTACCTCGTTTTCTTTAGCCTATTGCTTCATTCCAAAAGTACATGCTGGGACATGCAGCTGTATCTGCATATCCTATTTCCTGACCAAAACAATAGCCTGTTTACTAGCTCACTATGTCTATTGATCTAGGCAGTCCCCCTGATCCCCATGTTGGGCTGCATAAACGATTTTTTTGAATTGAAACTCGAATAGATTCCAACTATCTAAATCCCACACACAATTGCCACTGCGCATCCCTGTTTTTCATGGAATCAGAGAACCCAGTACATAAACTATCCGATTACTGCCCAGTACAAATGATCTTGTGCACTGCCCAAGTGCTTTGTGGGCAGCAGAACGAGGGATGTGGCTATGAATCCTCCGTCGATTGTATGCAGCACAGTTCGCGTCGGTCCTTGTTTCATTATTGTGACTATGCAATTGTCAATCAAGCTTGAAACTGCGTTCAGTTTGCAACCCACCCCCACTCACTAAGTGTGCTTTCCCAGCAAAAGCTATGCTTTCTCCTATACATTGGCATGCTAGAACCAGCATTGGTATAAAACCGGTGGCATTCCAGGCAGAATTCCAATTCAACACATCAGCTTTCCACAGCAAAAGTACTTTATCTTCCCGCCTAAACATACCCTCCTCGTGCCTCTCCAAATTGCACATCTCTTTAACGCCAAATACCCTTCCTTTCTAGCATTCGCTTTTTAGCACACCATGCGTTTCACTTCCGCTATCACTGCCTTCTCGGTCGTCTCGGCTGTTGTCGCCAACCCGGTGTATGTCCGCGGCTACTCGGGCAATGTCGGTCAGGTCATCACCTACCCAGGTGCCGCTCCCTATGTCCCCTATCCGGATACTGTTCCCTACCCGGGCACTGTTCCCTATCCAGGCACTGTTCCCTATCCAGGTGCCGGCCTTCCTGGAGCTGGTCTCCCGGGTAACTCCGGCGGCTCTAACAACGGTGGTGGCTCTAACAACGGTGGCGGTTCCAACAACGGTGGTGGTTCCAACAACGGTGGCGGTTCCAACAACGGTGGTGGTTCCAACAACGGTGGCGGCTCAAACAACGGTGGCGGCTCAAACAACGGTGGCGGCTCAAACAACGGCGGCTCGGGCGGCCAGATCGGCAACCCGGCGGACTGCGGCCTGAAGCCGGGCCAGAAGGCAGCGCTGACGCCCCTGGTGGACGAGCTCAAGCTGACCAGGACCGTGGACGACCTGAAGCATCTGGTGCACCAGATCACCGATCTGCTCGGCGACACCCTGCAGGAATCTGCCATCACCTCGGTCCTGAACATCGTCGATTCGTTGGTCGCCGGCCTTGGCCTCGGTGGCCTCGACCTCAAGGCGACCATCGATTCCGTCACTAGCATCCTTTACAAGCAGGTGCCGTGCCTGGTCGACACCCTGCTACCCAAGCCCTGAAAACGGGATCCCGAGACTTTTCGTTCTTTCGTTAACGCGCAATTTCCTCGATGGAAAGTGCCTTTTTCATTTGCAGAAATCTTCGCAAATAATTGATTGCTTTCTTTCAATATACAAGCACACCCTTTTAAAAATATCTACTGCCGGTACCCAGGATTTGCTTTCCTAGCAACCAACATTCACCTTTCTAGAAGGTAAACACCTCGTGTGCTTTCCGATTCGACAAAACATAGAAGGATAGGGACGCTGCTTCCCAAGATCTATTTTTAGGCTGTCAAATTTCTGAAATATCATAAGCGATTGGCAATATCCAGATCATGCTAGAAAGTACCGAGACCATGCCAAGGTGGTCCTATAAAAAGAATTTCTTGGAAAGGCAATTTACATTGCACGGCAGGAATCCAGCACCGTGTTTCCTACCTCTTCTGAATCTCCTGTATGTGATCTGCCCATAGGATTTCCGCTACTTGCATAGGCAATTAATCGCTGATACTGCAGTCTACGCGTCGCTAAAAAGATAGCTGTGTCCTACAAGGGAACTAAAATGTGCCTATAGTAGTTTGATGGATTTGCAAACTGCGTACCGTCTTTGTTGACATCCTTTGGTTTCTCGCAGATGCCCAGCATTGATTTCCTCTAATGATAGTTCCTTTGGGTGTTTCACGTAGGCCGGGCATTCTTTGGCAGGTACCGGCGAGGGCCGAGAGGACGACCATTAATTTAAATTACCAGCATAGTCCACAGTGATATAAAAAGCAACGATTCTACTCCACAACCAACACCAGCAAACGCTAACCTCACACCTCCAAGCATTCGCATCTCCACCTCATACATCCCTTCTGCCCAAGCATCCTCCCCAAAACCGGACTTCCCCATATCAACAGAATGCGCGCATTTACCTTCCTCGCCCCCTTCCTTCTGGCCACGCTGTCTGCGGCCGCCCCGACTGGCCCTTCGCTGTCTACGCGCCAGGAGCAGAACCCGGCCGTGCAGAAGATGGTCAGCTGCGGCGTCAAGAAGGAAGACATTGACGGATTGACCCCGATTGCCGAGCAGTTCAAGGAGAACGTCACCACAGATGGCCTCGAGACCCTGACAAACATCCTTGGACATGTCGCCAGCTCGGTCGGCAGCGGGCCATTTGCACCCTTGCAGATCGCCTTGGGCGTTACCAAGGAGCTGACCCGTGATGTGAACATCACGCCTCAGAACCTCAAGCAGCTGGTGTCGTTTGTCGGCGATAACCTTGAGAACCTGCCTTGCCTTGTCAACGGCAAATAAATCCTGCTACCGGATTGTTTCTTGGTACCCCTCCCTCCTCTCCTTTTTCTCCAACTTATATTTTCCCTCTCACAATAAAGCCGTGCATGCCGCCCTATAGCGAGTCAGAAACTCACATTAGTACCTATGGACACGTATTACGTCATACGAGAAACGACTATTTCCGATTCTATGAGTGTGCGTCTAGAAATAGCGGTGTTCATTATTATTTTGTCCCTCCCTCATGACCGAATCTTGCATTCGAGAGATGCCAGCATGCTGCTGTCATGCGAAGTGTTTCTCGAAATAGTTATGCTAATTTTGTACTGCCACTCACACATTGCACTAGATTCCTTTCGTGCTTCACATATACCGATGTGTCATTAGCACCGTGGACAGGTATATAAGATCCGACGAATGTGCTCGACAGCACCATCTTCCTAGATACACCATTTGCGAACCACTCAGCATCCGAATAAAAACAACCATGCGCCTCTTCTCCACCCACGCTCTTCTCGCGCTCGCCTCTTTTGCAACTGCCTCACCTATCCACCTGGAATCTCACCACATGGTCGCCACAACTGCTTCCCCCATTCCCGCATTCCTATCCTTGGTGCTGCGCCGGCTGTTTCCAGCGGCAACTCAGGTTCCAATGTAGGTTCCGTCGACCAGCTCCTAAAGACCCTCTCGATCGTCCTCTCTAGTATCGCCTCCCCTGCCGGTGACAGAAGTTCAGTGCCCCTGAAGCAAGAACTTGGAAAAGTACTCCAAACTTTCAGCAGTTTACTGGGCAACAATAGTGCCGCGAAGATAGCTGGCCCACAGAAGCGGACTAACATGGGGGCTATTGATAATGGCACGGCAGCTATTAGTGAGATTGTACCATTGGTTGCAAGAATCATTAGCCGCTTCAATTCTGGTGGTGCCTCAGCTTCTGCTGCTCCATCCACCAGAGATTTTGCAGCGGGACCCATGAACATAGCACAGCATGACCTCATTACGATCGCTGATAACGCTGTCAACAAGGCTATGCTGCCTCTCAATGACACTAGCAACAACACCAATCAGGAAAGCGCTTCCGCCTGATTGCGTCCGCAGTTTTATTCAGTTGTCTCCGATAAATAAATAACTGCTCGCGCATACAGCGCTGCCAGACATGCAGAAAGATGTGGCTTTTGTGTCAGCAGGCCGGTAATCGGGCCGTCTCATACAGATCATCGGCTCAGCGAATCTACACACGCCTCAGTCGAAGCCAACCAACAGTGCAAAAACAAGCAGAAATACGACTCTCAGAGTGGTGACATAGGGCTATTATGCCGATTTGTGGAGGGTAGGCAAAACTGTAAACACACCCCAAGCCTTGTTGGCCACAACCAAATGTGGGCAGACGGTCTATATGCGGTCCGCCGTGATTGTGACGGAGCTGTCAACATAGGCTGACAATATGTGCAAACGCTGTTCAAAACACAGCTCTGCATTTTGTCCCAGTCAGAGCTTGTGAGAAAAGTGTAAGCGAAAAGGTCCATATATTGTGTTTGTGGTTGCAAAAGAGGCAAGGGGTGACAGTTTGTTGTGCTTTCGTGAGTGAATTGTCAAGCACAAATAAAACGAAGGAATACAGGAGCCAAAATGCAATCTCCCGCCAATCATCATATACGTCTCTGGTGGCTGCCGTGCATATATGGTGTCTCTTTAGCTATCTGGAAAGCATGCAGAATTGCGGGTTCTAGACGGGCTTCTAAACAATCGACAGGCGGCGCAAAGCTTTCCATACTGCAGCGGGCTCCGCCACATATCTTCTGCGGTCAATCATTTGCGAAATATCTATGCGGTCCAAACCGAACGCTTCCAGGCAGTATGGATGGTCTGGCTGTTGAAAGAAAGTACTGTAACCGCATGACCTCTGGTCATATTTGCCGTATATAACGGCATGGGGAATCTCGCCCTCACAGACGATTCGATATCAGCCTTTCAAGCACAGTTTGAAAACAGCCTTCTTCTCGCATCTCCTAATCCCTCGTCCCCTTCCTCCCTTTATCCTACCTAGCTAGATAATTTAATAATTGGAAATGCGTGTCTCGTCAACCTACCTTGCTCTTGCTCTTGCGGCTGTTACTGCTGCTACTCCTCTTGTCGTTCGCGGCTACGATAAGCCGCCCTACGGTGACGACGGTGTTGGCCATCATGGTGGTGATGGTTTCCCTGGTGGTCCGGGTGGTGGTTTCCCCGGTGGTCCGGGTGGTCCGGGCAACGGCGGCCCTGGCAACGGCGGCCCTGGCAACGGTGGTCCGGGTAACGGCGGCCCTGGAAATGGTGGTCCTGGCAACGGTGGACCGGGCAATGGTGGTGGTCCTGGCAACGGCGGCGGCCCTGGCAATGGTGGACCGGGCAACGGCGGCCCTGGAAATGGCGGCGGCCCTGGTAACGGTGGTCCGGGTAACGGCGGCCCTGGAAATGGCGGTCCGGGTAATGGTGGACCGGGCAACGGCGGCCCTGGAAATGGCGGTCCTGGCAACGGTGGGCCTGGCAACGGTGGTGGTGTTGGCAACCCTGCTGACTGCGGTGTTTCCCCTGGCCAGATCTCTGCTCTCACCCCGCTCCTTACGCGCCTCGGTCTCGATACCACTGTCGATGGTGTCAAGAAGCTCGTTGTCCACCTGACCGATGCTGTCGGTGACCTGCTTGAGAGCCCCGCCATCAACGGCCCGGAGGGTGTCAGTGGCATTGTCAGCAACCTTGTCAACGGCCTCCTCGGCTCACCCCTGGACCTGTCCAACACCCTGGACGCCGTCAGCAGCATCCTGTACAACCAGGTTCCGTGCCTGCTCGACACCCTCCTCCCCAAGCCCTAAGCACGCCAGGCGATGCTTTCGCAAAACGGTCTCTTTTCCATATACTAGTCTCCCAATTTTCGATTATTAGTCTCTTTCTAGCAGGTCCGGTTTACCAACAATATTCGCATATCCATAATACCCGTCTGGAATTTGTTTGTGGCGCCGCCAGAAATATTGGCTGGATGCAAGAGGTAGCTATTGTTTCCATCTCATTCTCATGGCGCGTGGCTTGGAAGGTGGTCTGAATGTACCTGGGCGCTCGCTGCAAGCCACACATGCGGGTATCTGAGAGACAGACCGAGCTCTTCTGCATGTTACGGGTGCGAGCATACACAGGCGTGTTCAATGGCAGGCGGTAGCACTTGAATTGGCATATATTTTACGGCCACAATCTTGCGCATCCCTTGAAAGCCCACAGGTGCACTATTCGTCTGGACTTTGACAATGCAATTATGCCGCCCTTATTATTGCAAGAAGACCTGTTTGTACATGTAAAGTGCGAAGCGTCAAGTGCTTGTTCGGTGGCAACAGCCTGTCGCCCCTTCATCTCATGGGAACAGCAGATGAATATGGAGATTCCATATAAAAGTATAGTGGAGAGACAACCACTCCACTGCTCCGCCACTGCAGCCATGCAGGACCGCTATGCTATTTCAGTGACCTGGGTAGCGCTCGGTGCATTTCAAACGGTGCATTTTTTGCGCCATTATTCACGTAGGGCACATCTTCAGCCTACACGTTCGTTAGAACAAGCCATTGCTGAGCTTGTGAGATATTCCCGAGTCCACTTCGTGCAAAGCGTAAGGCCTAGTCCGAGCAGCCTGATGCCAAAAGTATTTAAAATGGCTCGCTGGAGGACCTACGACATGACTACCACACCAGCTTTCGGCCTTCCTCACCTCAGCCTAGTTCTTGCAAGATCAGCAGCCCAGCTCCTTCGGTTGACATCCCACCATACTTCATCTGAATCAGTACAATGCGTCTTTCCTCGACTTTCGTTGTCGCCGTCCTTGCCACGTGCACTGCTGCCTCCCCAATTACTCGTCGTGGCGACTACGATGGTCCTCACGCCGCTGTCCCTGAGTTCGTCTATCCTGGCTTCCCCGGCTTCCCTGGTGGCCATGGCGGCCATGGGGGTCCCGGTTTCCCCGGTGGTCCGGGTGGCCCTGGCAATGGTGGCCCTGGCAATGGTGGTCCTGGCAACGGTGGTCCGGGTAACGGCGGTCCTGGCAATGGTGGACCTGGAAATGGCGGACCGGGCAACGGCGGCCCTGGAAATGGTGGACCGGGCAACGGCGGCCCTGGAAATGGCGGTCCTGGCAATGGTGGACCTGGAAATGGTGGACCGGGCAACGGTGGACCGGGCAACGGCGGCCCTGGAAATGGTGGACCGGGCAACGGCGGCCCTGGAAATGGTGGACCGGGCAACGGTGGACCGGGCAACGGCGGCCCTGGAAATGGTGGTCCTGGCAACGGTGGGCCTGGCAACGGTGGCGGTGTTGGCAACCCCGCCAACTGCGGTGTTTCCCCTGGCCAGATCTCTGCTCTCACACCACTCCTTACGCGCCTCGGTCTCGATACCACTGTCGATGGTGTCAAGAAGCTCGTTGTCCATCTGACCGATGCTGTTGGCGATCTGGTGAATAGTCCCGCCATCAACGGCCCGGAGGGTGTCAGTGGCATTGTCAACAACCTCGTCAACGGCCTCCTCGGCTCACCCCTTGATCTGTCAAATACGCTCACTGCTGTTAACAGCATCCTCCACAACCAGGTTCCATGCCTGCTCGACACCCTCCTCCCTAAGCCCTAGAGTGGAAGAGGGAGGCTCCTATAGTGGCCAAACCGGATACCTTGGCTCAATATAAGGACTAGCACTGTTTATCTTCAATAATACTCATTTACCATTCGATTAAGTAGTGCTGCACGCCCGCTGCGGCTGTCCCTGACGTAGTCATGTCGGCCGAATCAGGTGACAGCAAGCCAGGCGCCAACGAGAGCCCCGCTACAGCCTACGATATGGAGGTAGAGTCTAGCCTCTGATAAGTTGCACAGACGACCGTATTGAAAACTCCCCTGCGCAGCTCGTCTATTCCCTTTTCTCTCTTAAAATCCCCACACATTCAACAAACATAACAGTAGTATGCACGCATGAATCATGGGGTTTGTTCGTGCTATGTATTGTGATGTGTCGATTGTCAATCTACATGGACAGTTTACATGCAAATATAGAAATGGCTATTAACGTCTAGAAAAGTAATGTGTATTGGGAAGTGTATAAGTTGGATTGCGAGTACGAAAGACGAGCCTCCTCACTAGAAAGACAATGTCTACAGGTTGTGAGAGCGACATCGCCTACTTTTGGTGCTGCGCTTGGAAATCAAATGCAGTGTGTGGCAGAGGATTGCTGTTGCCAGGTAGCGATGTGGAAAGCTGCTGGAGACTTGGGTTTCTGGATATGTCGAGTGATGCACTGGGGAGGCTAGGCATGCACGACATGTTCATTGCAGCGGCCTGCGATGCCAGTGCAACCTGAGCACCATAGCTTTGCTGCTGCTGCTGCTGCTGATGTTGCTGCTGCTGCTGCTGCTGCTCGGCAGGCATAAACATTCCGCTGCCTGCACCAGAGAATGAGAGCGAGTCGGCGTGGCTACTTCCAGCGGGCATGGCCAAGCCAGCAAACGAGTCGTGAGGCTGCAGAGGGAGGATATGCGACGACTGGTTAGATATAGTAGCCGCAAGCACTTGCGTGGTGACTGGGTCCAACCCCATGTTCGAAACCAGCTGCGCGATAGTGGTTCCAAAGGACTCTGTGTCATGCTGGTCACTTCCATCCATATCCATGGCACCGGCTAGCGACGATGCTGTCCGCTGCTGCGACTGATCAGTTGCCAAAAGCTGGCCCGGCTGGTGCATAGTACCCATATGGCTGTAGCTACGGTATTCTCCGCTGGTCATGCGATCTGGGAGCTGTCTTTGGCGCTTACTCGGCGGCATGCTTGCAATCGACTGGGCATCGTCGCTCGGAATATTGCTGGGCTCAGCTGCAAACGCATGGTTCCTGGCTGACGGGAACGTAGATGAAGGCATGGTCTGCGTAGACATCGCTGCCGATGATGGGTCCTGCGGGATAGTCGACGGGTCAGACAGCAGGGCTTCGAGCAGGGGTAAAGTGCTGATATCCGGTGTTTGGTTCTGTAGATCTGGGATTATACTGGCAGTGCGATCCAGCACGCTCTTCGCTGTCGGGCTATCTACTTTTGCGCTGGCCACACCATGCGATGGTGAACTAATGTCACCGGAAGCCACACTGTCTACCAGGTAGTGGTGCGGCCTCTTCAATGCCATTGAAGGCGTCAGCGAAGCCGGCGTCTCTGCTGCAGCCGCCAGCGCCGATCGCCTCGATCCAGAAGCGCTGCCGATAAGGCCGCTGCCGTCGTTTCCAGGCAGTGAATTGGAGGCGGCCGATGCACCAGTCGCCAGCAGCTTCTTGCCCTTCGACAGGTGCGATGTCTTTGCAGTGGGCTTTGGCGGACGACAGACCAGGCGCCAGTACCCGCGCATCGAATTGAGCAGCCACTTGGGGCAGTCGCCAGGGTGCTTGGCCACGGCCAGTGGAGATGAGGCAAACTCTATTGATAGCAAGCGCAGACGGTGGTCGAGGGCCATAGTCACCGCATCGAGGCTCTTGAGGAAGTAATCAACGGTGACTCCGGTGAGCTCGATGCCCTTGACTGTCTCTTCGTATCCCGAGATGTCCTTGGAAACCTCAACCTTGCTGTTCTGCAGCAGGTCATACACGGTGACCTTCTTGCTCTTGGACGGGCCTGACGACGACAGCTTGTTCAGCAGCTCAGAGAAAGTCTCTCCCATGTCAAAGTTCACCGAGCTCAGCTTGTTCTCGGCCTGCTCGTGGCAGATGCGCAGAAGCTGCTTCTCGTACCGCTTGCGGAACTCGTAGATTTTTGGAGAAGTCGCTAGCGGTAGCACATTCCATGCAGTGGACAGCTTGGCCAGATTCGGGTACTTTGTCATGGGCGGCGGCGGGTGTGACTCGGCACCAGAGGCTGACAAGTGCGGTGTTGCCGACAGCCGGCGAGCATAGACCTGCCGCTCATCAGGTTCCAAGGACCGCAGCCGGCGCCGACTAGGAGCAAGCATGCTGCTGGGGAACAGAATATCGCGGTACACTGCCTGTACTTCGTTTGTTGAGAACGGACCATGCAGAGGCCTGGGCTCCGAGTCGTCGTCCTCGTCATCGTCGGCGCCACGGTACGTGTGTTCAGCCTTGACCTTTTCCGCCGATGCAGTGTCTATCGCGGTCATACGACGCTGTGCCAGCTCCTTGTATGCCTCTGCCTTGAACAGCCTCCACTCTTCCACCAACGTGCGCATATCTACCAGCTGCATTGGTGGCCTCATGCCGAGCTCGTTGCCGCTGGAGCCATGCACTCCAAGGCCTGAGATGGTTGGCACCGAGCCGCGCTGTCTTTGCGACTCTGCAAACTGGGCCAGATGGATGTTGCCAAAGACAGCAAGGTCCTCTGCCTTGGCTGGGTACTTGTCCGGGCTCCAGAGCTCAGAGATCGCCTTCAGGGAGTCCAGGTCGTCAGTGGAGAAGCGCACGTGCAGGTCCTGCAAGATCGCCGCTGCCGCAGTGCGAATGAGCTCGATCAGGCGTGCTGGGCTTTCATCCTTCGAGTAATTGCACAGCTTGAAGCTGCGGAATGTGCATTCGTTGGAGTCATTGTTCCGGGTAGTCAGCTGCATGAACTCGTTCAGATGATGGCCAGCATAGTCGTCATCTCCCAACTCAACGTTCACCTGGGGGGGAGTCCTGTCGACTTGCATCGAGCTGTCTTCGTCGTCGTCCTCTTCGTCGTGACGATCATCTCCATACATCTGGCTAATCGAGTCTACTACATCACGGATTGTATCGACGCACAGACGCTGTAGCTGATCCAGCGTCTTCTTCGGCTTGTCCTCCGAGTTGGTCTGCATTGCAAACGCACGACTAGGTGGCTCCAGGTGGTTGCCCAGATCCAAGATCGGCTTGACCTGCAGCAATATGTCGGCCATAAAGTGCAAGCAGCCAAGGAAGTTGTAGTCTCTCAAGTGCTCATACAAGACGTCTGGCAGCGGACACCGGTTCCCACCGCTCCTCGACGAGCTGCCCATTGAAGACATGAGTATGTCAACAACCGGGAGTGGGATCTGCATGGCTGCACGCGGCGATTTGGGCGACCGAGTCAACGACGGCGAGATGCCATCCCCGGTATCGGGAACCACGCTGCTGCGCGACGGATCCAGGCTTGATGGAGCTTGGCGAGCTGTTGATACCTTGGCCAGTGCTGCTACCGTGACCACGATCTGCGAAATGTTGCGAGCAATGGTGATGACAATCGTAGGCATGAGCGAGATAGGCAGGCGCGTGGTGCGCGTAGTGTCGGTGAGCAGGATCTCAAACAGCGTCTTGTAGAGGGTCTCCTGGAAATCAATGCCCAAAAACGCGAAGCTGCCAGGGTGCGAGTACACAAACAGACACAGGTCCATCAGCGTCATCGAGAAGCTGACAAAGTCATCCGACTTGTTGGCAATTTCCTCATACAGCTGAGGTGAAAGCGAATGTGCATATGCAAATACACCGTGCCAATGGAGCGCATGCGGCAGCCGAAGACGCTCCATGGCGTTAAAGCCCGCTGTGGTTGGCCGCTCGTACGATATGCATACCAGCCGATCAAGGTCGATCTTGGCCCGCCTCAGTAGTACCATGACAATGCCGATAGGGTCACGACGCGCGACTCGACCGTCTTTTTCGTGGTACAGATGGACGCAGCGCCAGAAGCGTGTTGCTACCTCAAGCTCGCCTGTCTCAGACAATGGGTCGCGGCGCAGATAGCGCAAATACAGCAACACGTGTGCGACCAGACTGTTGTGCTCGCGGATCGGTGCCTCGTCAATGATCACCGAGAAAGCTGGCGATTCGCTGACTTCATCCTTAATTAGCGACAATACCTCACTCGACACCACGTGCTGCAGTGACCGCGCAGCTTCGATGCCATCGCACAAAGCGCCTGCCAAACTGACGTCATCCTTCTTCGCCCTGCTCCTGGCTGCAGCGCCAGTCGAGCCGATGGTCGAAATGGGTGCCGGAGCGAGCTGCAGCTTGTACAGATTTAAGACCGATGACAGCGGGAGATTGTGATCCATGGCCTGGAGCAGCGCCTGCAGCGCAAAATTGAACTCCTTAATGTACTTCTCCTCCATCATTGCGCTGCTGCTGCTACTGACCGATGACGACACTGTGGTGCGGCTGGCGCCACGTACCACAAGGTTGCCACGCGGCGCTTCGGGTGCAGGCGTGGCCGCTGCGGGGTGACAATGATCTTCTGACATATGTGACGCAGAGTTGAACGTGTCGACGGTATTTGTCGAGTCAGCCGTATTGGTCTGAGCTGCGGGTGTCCGGGCTGAAACGACAACTGAGCCGTCTGAAGACTGTTGCGTGTGGTTTACGACGATTGTCGATGCTTCTGCAGTCTCTGACATCTGTGGCATGTGTGGTGGAAACCCGGCGCCACTGACTCTTGCCAAGTTTTGCAATTGCTGCTGGTGCTGGTGCTGGTGCTGGTGAGGTGTTGGTGCTGTAGACGATTCTGAAAAATGACGCATCTCGGACACAATCTCCATATGTTGGCTGGGATTGACAAGCTCGAGAGACTGCGAGGCACCGGCCTGCCGTGGTGGACCAGGCTTGGTAGCTGTATTCATACCGCTGGCGTGAGGCGTATTCGCCGAACTAGGGGCATGCCGTGGCGACGAAGTGGCTGGGCGCAGTTCGCCAGGAGATTGTGTCAGCACGACATTTGTCTGCAGTGGCTTGTTATGATCACTGGCCGAGCCAGTTGCGAGTGAGGAGGTCGGCGACACTGCAGCCCACAAGCCATCGATAAGGACAAGCACGGGGTTGCCGGGCCCAAAGGACGGGGCACCAAAACTGTGCCACGCTCCGCTGGTGGTCGTTGCTGGTAGAGTGGTCGACCAGCGCCGACGTCTTAAAGTTGCGGCTGCCACGCTTGGCAAACTGATTCGCACGCTTGCCGTCCTTGCACAGCGCACACATCATGGCATTGGCCTGCGGGTCAAAGCGCAGCCATGGGTAGTCGTACAGCCATTTCAGATTGAACCGGCGCTTGTCGCTGCCTACAGCCGCTCCAATTGTCATTGAGCTCCGTCCAGTAGCCAGTAGGTCGCCGGGGATCTGGTAGTTTCCGTTGACGGCAATCACTGCGCCACGCTCAGCGAGATCTTCCATGCGAACGACACCGCCATTATCGACGTCAGCATTGTTGCTGTTGTTGTGCTGAATCTTCTGGGTCGAGGCTATCGGCGGTGGCTCCTCGTTGTTAAAAGCGTGCGCTGCTCCCGCTGGTACAGTACTCTGGTGACCATGCGTAGTGCCTATTGATTGGTGGCCGTCTATATCCCGGCCACGCCCCCGTCCCCGGCCACGCCCACGGATCTTACCACGCCCACGCCCAGCAATAGTGCTTGGGTTTATTTGCGATTCAGCCGAGACTGTGACTGTGGCCGCACTCACTGCTGCTGCCGCTGCCACTGCCGCTGCTGTTCTTGGCGATAGTGCCGCTTCTGATACTAGGAGCGATTGCCGGCTCCGTGGTGGTTGTTGTTGCTGCTGTTGCTGCTGAGTATGTGCATTTGCTGAAGGTGCTGGCGTTGCCAGTGTCTGTCGCCGAACGGGCTGCTCTACAGTAAGGAAATCGTCCGGGAACCGCATACGGTTAGGCATTAGCGGTAGAGTAGAAAAGGGGAGCTTTTATAGTGAGAGATGCATCAACAATGAATAGGCAGATATGGCGGCTAATGCAAAAAGAAAAAAAAGAAAAAAAGAAAAAGCCAGTGCAGATATATACAAGAGAAAGCGATAAGGGAAAGGAGAGAGGCATCCTCGGACTGGTGGTAGGGGGCGGGAGGGTCTGTTGATGCTGCCAACCTGGTATGGCTTTCTTTGCCTCCCCGATTTCGCCACTCTGTGAACACGAAAGGAGCAGGCTCCTCTCACACAATCGAGATGCATCTTTTCTCCCTCGCTCTATACGGCGAACAATGGCCGAAAATAGGGAAGGGCGCCAGGCGTGTCTTGCTACGGCGGAAGAACATTGCACTCGCTGGGCAAGTAGTACGCAAGTACTCATCGTGCGCACACCCTGGAAATTATTCCCACCGCAAGGACACGCAATAAAACATAATCGCGACAATCCCTTTTGACTTTACCTTTGAGGTGCCCACTATTGACAAAGATAGCCGGCGTTGTTGATGTAGTGGCGATTGGCACGGCTAGCATTGGCACAAATGGCAGCGCAGGATTTATGCCACCCTGCGCCAGCGCGGCAGCCACATTCTGCTGCTGTTGTCGCTGCTGTTGCGAGGTCGATTTAACCGCGCCTTCCATATTTTGCCGGTTTTGAAATCCAAGAGCAGTGAAGTAGCGGCCAATTGGCAAGTTCGACAGGTCAGTAGCCAGCGATGGTGGCATGCTGCCCATCAAGATTCCCGCCGATTTGTCGACGCCGTTATTGCCGCCGTGGTCAGTTGGGTTGTTGCTGCCGCTGTTACTGCTCCCCTGTAGCGTCAGATATGTCTGGTGCGATGCTGGTGTCTGGAGCATAAGGTTGCTAGCAAAGTTGTGGGTGGCCGGATGCATGCCCGCACCGTAGGAGGCGGTCGGTGCCGATGGGATGTTGCTATGTGTTGCTGAGATGCTGGCAGCATTGTTGCTGTAGTTGTACAAGAGCTGATCCATAGCCGATCCACCGCTGTTCACTGCGTTAGCTGCCAGCCCGTTAACCGCTGTCATCTCGTTGATCAGACTGTCAGCCAACGATACCGCCGGCTGCTGCTGCTGCTGTTGCTGCTGCTGCTGCTGTTGTTGTTGTTGATGCTGCTGCTGCTGCGCCATCGAGAGGTTGTTTTGATCTGTGCCCTGGCCGTATCGCATGGTAGCCAGCCCGAGAACAGCTACAGATGATGTGGGCGTGAGCGACACTAAAAATCGGTTGTCAGCCCCTGCACTACGGCTGCTGTCAACTGCGCCACCGAATGGTGCTTGATTTGGGGTTTGTGGCCGACCTGAGGGAGGCGAAGTAAGGTGCTGCTGGTGGGTGGTACCGTCGCTGTATGTCGAAATGCGCGGGGCCGGTCCGCCACTGCTCGGGTTATTCATGAGTGGGCGGGAGATTGCGTGTACGCTGGAGTGTATCTGCTTGATCCGTAAAAATCACCAGCTGCGCGAAAGCAAACAGGAAGATCAAGCGCGGTGATCAGAGAGCTATTTTTGATGGATGAGGCTGGCCTACAAAAAAGGTGGGGAAAGGTAGATCGATGCTGCTTAGTGAGGCTCATGCTATGATCTCTGGCATGTTCATGGATGACGGACATGGGAAAACAGGGCGTGCTGTCAATGAAAATAGTCAAGGCATAAGCGAACCTGCGACCGGTAGCAGAAGGGCGAAGAGTGCGTTTCTTCGGGGCAAGAGAAGTCATAAAATCATCAAGCACGGTTTTGCGATAGACCGCCTATATCTCCGATAGGTCGTCGTATACATGTGCGTGGAGGATGTAGAATTCTGCAGAGGCTAAGCTGCGCCTTACCTTTTATTGCCAAGCGCTATCTGTTACTGCCTGCGAGTTGGCCGTATCCACTGCGTCGGAGCTCTGTTTTACTTTCCGGATATCAGGTGACTAGATAGCGGAAGCAGCTTTTTCGGGAGCACTGCGTGGGTGTGATGCCACCTCCTGGTCTTTCTGGAAGCCTACTGCAGGTGGTGTGGCTGGAGGGCGGGTCGGAATCGAAAAGAGCAGGCGCACTGGTTCTGTCTGAGGCGTTCTGCTGGGTGACTAGCGTCCGACGGCGGGGTTTGCTGCTAGCAAACAAAGGTGCAATAATAAGGCAGGTTTTGTTGCGAGTGCGTGGGCTACTGTGCAGTAGAGCGCGTGGCGTCTGATGATAAGAGTACAAAGCTTCGGGATAAAAAAGCAGGGCGGAAAGGTATGCCGGGTAGAAAAGCTAGAAAGGTGGGGGAGTGGAAAAGCAAGGAAAAGAATCGGCCGTGGCCTCGCAATTAGCCTCTTTTTGTCAACCAGCCTGAGCCAGGAAGAGATTATTGGCTTTTGCCCAGAATTTTTCCCTTTGATAAAAATGCCAGACAGCGAAGCGGGACGCTTATGAAAAGTGGATCACAATTGGTTCGTTCTCGATCGTATGATATCCTAAAAGGAGCGCCATCATGGACGGATACATGCCATTGGAGCACATGCGGGCAGCTTGCGGCAGTGGGCGCCGGGCACAGTCAACACGCGCGCTGCTCCAAAATGGAATTACCGCAAGCACAAACACACCCAGTCGCGCACCCCACCACTGACAAAGACAAAAAGATAAAAAAAAAACCTTTAGGTCGCAGCAGCGGCGCACAGCGAGATACAGATGGCGTAAGCAATACCACTAAGCAGTGTGTTGGGACATCCGCTGGCTATCTCTTATTTTACCGCTGTTGTGACGTTACTTTGCAACGGCAGGCATACTGCGCGCTTGCTGCTGCTGGTAACGTTATTTCAGTGACCGCCTGCCATAGATGGAAAAATAGTAGTAGTATCCTCTACACACATGGTGTGGCGCAATGCCCAGCCAACTGTATGCGCATGGCTTGCTGTATGCACCGTCTCTCCTTGCTGGTGGGGGGAGGAGGTGGGCTAGCAGTAGTGGGATGTCAACAAACGTTCTGGTGCTTGCTGGTCATCGGAGGCGGTTGATGGGTCTTGCTGACGTGTTGGATATGGCCCAATGTCTCCTGATATAAAGCCGGGCAGCTCTGGCAATCCCGCTCCTAGAATAATCATCATCTCATTCTCGACTCCCGAACCCGACGACCACACCACCCTACACCTCTTTCCGCGCTCATCACCCGGCACTACCTTACCCCCTACATCCCTTCCTCCGCGGACCATCTCACATACCGATAACGCAATCACGCCACCCTCCCTTTCGGAAATCAATCCCAGACCAGCATCCCTACTCTGTAGATCTCTTTGCAATGAAGTTCACCATCGCCATCTCGCTGCTCGCTCTCCTCTCGTCGTCTGTCGCTCTTCCTGTCGATTCGCACCAGGATGGATCTGACAGCCAGCGGTCGGGCATGTCAAAGAAGGATGTAGTTCCCGCACCCCCCCTTGATCCCACTGCTTATCATGCCGATGTACCTGTTGACGTTCCCCCGCTGCCGCCGACCACCTATTCCGCTCTGCCGCCGCCACCCCCGCTGCCTGTGCCCATTGCTCCTGTTGACCCAGTCCCTGTTGGACCCATTGAACCGGTTGAGCCTATTGCACCTATTGAACCAGTTGCACCGGTTGCACCTATTGTACCCGGCCCTAGCTATGTCGCCCGCTCATTTGATGGACTCCCCGGCGGCCCGCTAGTTCCTCACGCACCATATGTCCCATTCGGACCTGGTGTTCCATTCGCCGGCGTGTCTTTCATCCCTGGTGTCGGTTATGTGCCCGTTACTCCTGGCAGTTTCCTCGGGGGCCCTATCGGCCTCGTCGATCCGTTCTTCCCTGGCTTCCCAGGCAGTGGTGTTCCAGGTGGTCCTGTTGACCCATTCACTCCTGGTGGTCCTGGATCCGGCCTTCCAGGTAGTCCTGGTGGAGGCCTTCCAGGCAGTCCTGGTGGAGGCCTTCCGGGCGGCCCTGGCGGTGGTTTCCCAGGCAATCCTGGCGGTGGTTTCCCAGGCGGTCCTGGCGGGAACGGATCAAACAGCGGAGGTGGTGTCTGCGGACTCTCGCCAACCCAAGTGTCCGCACTGACCCCCTTACTCAAGAAGCTTGGTCTTGCACCTACAGTCAACGAGGTGAAGAACGTGGTCGACAACATTGTGTTCAGCCTCGGCGACCTGCTAGGCAGCGAAGGCATTTCTCAGCTGCTCGGCGCAGTCAACAGCCTAGTCAAGGACCTTGGGCTTGGTGGTCTTGATGCTAGGCCCGCTGTCAACGAGGTGATCTCCATTCTGCGGAACCAGGTGCCATGTCTGCTTAACACGCTCCTTCCTCTTCCATGAATTCCTGATGATTTCTGTAATCCTTGACTCCTCAATAATATCGCGATTTTTAACGTTGTCGGTCCTGAGAGATTGCCGCTGTGAAGTTCGCTTGGTGATCTAAGCTATCTGTTTAGCCAGGAGGACTCTCTGCCAGCAGCGACCCACCCTTGGCCTTCTGGCTTCACCAGTGTCATTTCTCTGCCGGCAGGGGATTTGACAGCGCTTCAATGGCTACACATGCTCGCAAGATACCTTTCGTTGTGCGTATTGGCAGCAAAACTGTCATACAAAGACGCGTGCCCTGCCCCGGCCATGGCCTTATGCATTGTCACACAAGGTGCTGCTGATTGATTGAAGCCCCAGCCAGAGTAGGGGTGCGGTCCAGTCACTCTTTCGCACCCTCTTTCGCCGGTTCTCAAATTTCACAAATGCTTTACAACACTCTGTCGAATTACAACTCTGGAATGTGCTGAATCAGCCAACCTTTATCTACAACCCCTTATTTCTCAATTCTGTCGTCTCTTTTCCAACTTCTACCACCAGCAAGCTTGGGCGTACTTTCATGGGCGGAGGAGATAGCCAGTGCGTGCACAGCTTACTAAAGGCGTGGTCTACTTGCGACACTCCAAATTCACTATTAATTATCAACCAACTATTCGGCAGCACCGACTCACAGCAGGTATGGAAGCAGTCGTGCACCCAGCATCAGTCTGACGGCAAAGCCGGCACGTCGGTTTTCGAGGAGCTGGCGGATATTGCTCGCGTTGCAGTGTGTTCTGTGAACGCCCTTGACAAGGCTAATTTCGCACGCACGTGGTGTTTAGAGCTTCCGCTTGCTATCGCCCAGTTCTGTACTGACAGGCAACAGCCGAGCACAGGAGCTGGCTGGCCACAACATGTGAGGGTGGGTGGCCACCTCCCTGAACATATTCTCGAGGTGGCGCAGGGCTACATTAATAGAACAGTGGTACGATATCCCAACAGCCAGCATCTGCTAGTCATGGGAGGCGATGAGCCAATCCATATGCTGCTTCACCTTCTGAGCCTGTCGCTACCAAGAGGTTCGGTCGCAGAAGAATGCTGGACGTCAGCTACGTTGGTATCAGCAATCATCCTGGCAAGCAATTCTAGGCTGTTTCGGGATTCAGGGGTTTGGGTCGTTCTGCTGAACCTGGTTGGAACATGCATCTCGCACCAAGCGCTTGGCCAGGTCGGACTACAGCGCTGCGTATTGGTCGCCCATCTCGCCATTAGCCAAATCGACACGCTGCTGCCATCGGCACAGGAGACAGTAATTGCACTGGTCTACGCATTGCACTCGCAGCACGACTGCGATATCAGTCTTTGCATCGAAGACCTAGTGCATGCATGTGCTACAGCGAGCGGTACGGGAACAGCGGCAAAAGTTATGGCGGCACACATGGTTGGTGACATCGCCAAGGATGACTCGCTGGACCCGCTGTCAGCAGACAGTGTGCGATCAATCAAGAGCCTGCTAGGAGATCCGAGCGATGCTGTTCGCAAAGGGTGGTATCTAGCTGCTAAACGCACGTCTGCATATGATCCACTGAGAACGGCAAGCTATGGCGGTTCAGTTTCGAGCGTTGGTCGTGCGCTAGCTGTGAGTAGCTGCCCGGTTGGTTTCAGCAGCGTGGCATCAATGCTTGCACGCGAAATGACTCGATCGGATGCGCTGCTGATAGTTCGGTGCTTGACGACTGACTGGCCCAAACAGATGAGCGACGATGTGCACTTGACCGAGTTTGGCCTCCCTAGCTCGGTATTGGATATTGCGGTTGGTTCACTGAGAGCAGCAATGCCGTCTAATTCCTGCGGTGATGTGCTCATGGATATCCAGACTGCTGTTGCCGCTTCGGCACTTGCTTTGCGCAGTTCGAGTGCAGATGAGATTGGCTCAATCGTCGCCCTGCTGCTTGACGCTCTTCGCAAACTACCTTGAACCGGACAACGCGTCCAATGCATTCCCTGAGGACATCCCAAGCAGTACCATCTATTGGATTCTGGAGTTTGTCTACCACTATCTTGTATCGACTTCGCATGCGCCAGAGTCGCTAACTACTGTGGATGTGCAGCTGCTTCTTCTGCGTGCTGCAGTTGCCAGTAGCAATCTCGGATTTGCTGTCTTCATATGTCAGCACCTCACACGCAACCACCGCAAATCGGCCAAAGGTAGCCGCAAGCTAGCTATTTATACACAACTGCTCAGTGCCGCGCCATGGGTTGTTGTCAGCGAATTGCTTGGCAGTGAGGCTGGTGACATGGTCGACAGTTTTGCTGAGATGCAGTCTCTCGAGTCGCAGCTCAGCGGACTAGCGGTTTCTGATCACGACACTGGTGCGATGGACAGACTCAAAGACTTCGACCTGGGCGACCTAGGGATTCGGACAGGCGATGTTGCGCGTGCGGACCTAGCGCTATTATCTGGGCCTGTGCCCTCTCGCAGCACGTGCGACTTTCTGGGGCGGAGTGACCATAGGATTCAGATAGTGGATCGCTTCTTTGACTTTGCTGTGGCGGACAACATTTCGTATGTGGATGGCCGAGGACCACCGGTACTGCTCGAGCAGGAGGCGATGGGAAAGCTCAGATGCAGCTCAGGCGCAGCCACGGCAGTCCAGATTCGATCTGCTCGATGGCTACTTGGCCGTGGCCACCACCAGCAGGTATTGGCGGCTCTGGAAACAATGGACGTGAGTGGGTTTGCCTCCAAGCACCTGCGTGGCTGGTGGAGCACTTTTACGGATACCTTGCTTTTGCGCGCAAGCAATGGTCGCACAGACTCACCTGTGCTATGGAAGGATGCTGCTGTAAGACGCAAGATAATTGATGCTGTGCGGGCAGGTATCCCTGCCGATAGCCGGATCGACTTGGTTTTTGCTCAGTGTCCTGGGCAACCTGTTGGCGATTTTGTCTCCGATCTAGTGCACCCAGCATATCCGATTTCTGTTGATAGCTTGGTTGCTCAGGGCGTGGATACCGAGAAAGCGAGGCAAGCTGTTTTGTATCTTTGCAATGACACTTTGGTCGCCGATGAGCGCAGCCAGCTCTACTCCGGATCCATCATGCACGGCCGTGGGAAGATCCGATTCTCGGCTAAAGGCGTGCTTGACCCTGCAGCAGCGCTTATATCTGACGTTTCCCGGAACCCGTCGAATGCACCGCAACTAGTTACCGATTCATTGACTACCAGTGCCACTAAGCAGCTCGCGCCGTTTATCCCCCAGCTATTCGGATTGCTCAATTACAGGGAACTGCGCGACCCGAGCACTAGCATGTCGACTGCAGCCGATAGTGCTCTGAGCATTCTTGAACTCCTGTCTGAATCGTCCCCAGATGTGGTTATATTCCATGCTGTCGTAGCCGACCAGTCGCAAGCTAGTGGGACGCACGGCCAGCGACGTACCGCACAACTCCTACGGCGTTTCTCGCCTGAGCGGGTTGCAGATATCCGCCTGTTCTTGAAATCGGCTGAGCAAGCGATGGTGTTACCACAGGAGCGAATTCGCTGGCAGTGCATCAAGACCAAGTCCGCATATACTAAAGCGCTGATGGCCCACTTGCGGCCGGAGTCTTCACAAAGTACGGTTCAGGCTCCACTGGCGCCGCTATATAGCCTACTGGACGAGTATTCCGCACGGGTTCCGCTGTCGGCTGCTGAGAAAGATCTGATTTCTGTTATCCCCCAGTTGCGATCGCTTGTTGACCGGCTTGCTGTGGCCGACGCTGGCCTGCGTGCAGCAGAGGACATATGGAATGAGCTGTTCATGGCCCTCAACACCCCAGCAAAACTAGCTACTGCCTACGCTAGTCCCGCGCTAGCCGAGTTCACCACTGCCATACCCATTCCATCGCTGGTAGACAGCGGCGAGCCACGGTACCTTTCGCATGTTGGAAGCTCACTGCGTGTGATTGCGTCGAAGACACGGCCAAAGCTACTGACATTGCACTTTGCAGGAGCTACAGGCGAGATCACTAAAGAGCGGTACATTCTGAAGGGTAACGAGGACTTGCGCGTTGACGAGACGGTAATACAGTCATTCATGAGACTCAACCGTGTTGCGCGCTCTGCTGAGGGTGGAGAGACAGAGGGCGCATCACCACTGCGTCACTCTGCCCAACTGGCGGTCTATAATGTTGTTCCCACAGGACTCCTGGGTGGACTTATCCAGGTGGTCGATAACGCACCGTCGCTGTTTTTCATTTACTCGCAATTCGCCAAGGCCAAATTCGCGTCCGCCAGCGGACCTGATGGCCGCAACCAGCCGCCAACAACGATGCAGATCCACAGGCAATGTGCGTCGCGTATTCTCAAGAGCAATGGAATTCTACCGAACACGCCTTCCGCCAAATGGCCACCAGAGCTCCAGGCCGAAGTATACGATACGCTTGTATCCACAATCCCGCCGAATCTGCTGCACCGGCAGGTCATGGGTGCAGCACTAAGCCCGGCGCATTTGCACATGGCATCGCGCAACATGGTCAAGACAATAGCCATGTCATCTATGGCAGGCTATATCCTGGGGCTCGGGGACCGCCATCTAGACAACCTACTTGTGGATGTCAGTCGTGGCCAACTTGTGTCGATCGACTTCAATGTGTGCTTCGACTTTGGTGGCATATCACGCGTTCCTGAGCAAGTGCCATTCCGCATGACGCCAATTCTGCAGTACCTGTGCGGCTCACCGACCCAGTCGCCCGGCGATGCGTCGCTCGGCAACTGGGCTTTTGCAAACAGCCGTACATTTGCCCGGGCATCCGGAGCTGCCTTGCACTTTGCGCGGATGGATAAGGATGCATTGGTGAATGCGATTGCGCGGCGGGTCCAGTTCCAGCCGTTCCAAGAATGGGGCGATATCGAAATGACGTGGCTTAAAAGCAGCACACACGGCCAAGTCCACCAGCAGCCATCCTCTGCAAACTCGCCATCGGCGCTTGATGACAGTTCCAGCAACCGTGAGCGGTGGCTGTCGCCGGATCCGGGCGATGCCAGCAACCAGCCATCGCAGACACTGCCCACGAGTAGCCTGAGCCTTGGGTCGCCTCAGCAGTCCGAAGAGGCCATTCGGGCAACCGGTTTGTGCCCGCTCAGTGCGTTTTTGCCCCATGGCCAGACTGATGTGGTGTGTTTAACTGAGTCTTCAGCTGGGTGGAGAATCGCGCAGGCTGCTGTGGGGCGCATGGCAGCCAAGCTCGAATTCAGAGGCTCGAGTGTTTCTGATAGCTGCGATTCTGTGGTCAAGGAACAGGTGCTGGCTGTATGGGCTGCCTCGGTGGCAAAGGAAAATCTTATGAGAATGTATGCAGGCTGGGCGTCGTGGATATAGACGGCTTCTTCACGCTAGGTAGCGACCAATGCGAATGTACCCATACATAGCCCCTAACTGATGTGTATATACTCGGAAAAGCACAAGCCCAACGCGCAGATCGGGCAAGTTCTGCTCCTCATCCAAGAGCAAAATTCCCAAGGACTGGCGTGTCCAAACACCATGCGGCTCTATCTCAGTCTGCTCTATTCCGAGTTTTGTGCCATGGATATACTCTCATGGAGGAAACCAATTCCTATTCAGCTAGTAGCACACCAGCCACCAAGTGATTGAGCCTGCTAATTGACCCTAACACGAAGTTGAGGGAGAGATAGGCAGTCACTCGTGATGCTGTAATTATAAGTGCAGGGACAGGCATCAATACTCCATAGTCTGTCCTAACGGCACAGCTTTCACCGGATGGAGTTGGTCTAGTTTTGAAGGGGTCTTGAAAGTACTTGCAACGAACGAGAACGACCAGCTAATAAAGCTAGTAAAAGGCACCACCTGTGAAGATATCAACCTGGCTAGAATTTAGTGGTTTTTGGAAGCGATAATGCTTTTTATGAGCAGTTTCCTTCAGATGGTGCCTTTTTATAATCACATTGAAGAGTCACAGCAATGTGAGAAAATGAAATTGTCATTAAGGACGCAGGGGCGGTGTCGCTGATTAATCTAGCCCTGGGTCAAGCAGGTGGGCGAAGAGCCAGGTTGGAGAATTATATTACCTTTTGAAAATAACTGACATGTGATGTTTTCTTGATAGGAACTGCTATTACCGGTGGTGTTTTGTATTCTGAATTGCCTGCCGTGTCCAGCCATGTGGTATTTCTTGCATAGGCTCTTGAGGGCAGTCTTTTTGAGCTCTCAAAGCCACCTGGTGCTGGCGTGAAGTGAAAAATAAATGTGTGTGTCCGAGAGCGGATTTGTATGCGACAGCAAAGTATTGTGTGCTTGCAAGGCAAGCCATGAATTCCTGTGGTGGGGCTCAGAAGAGCATAAAGTCCTTCAATCAATCAAAAGCGCTCTAGCGGGCAGAAAGACACCTTTTAGGCTATCTTGTCATGTATAAAAACCTTCATTACCATCGCTGCAATGGTAGTGGCAACATATTGTGTACATGCAGTATTTATTTTCATAGCTTTGCGATGGACAGGGTGCTGCTAAGCAAAGATAACAGTGCCCTTAGTAGTAGACCTTGGCTGAGTAGTGGTTGCCGCCGCCAATGGGCGGAAGAGGCTCAATTACCGAGTACTTGGGAGCAGCAGGCGTCGTGGTAGTGTGGGTTGTTGTAGGCACGTTAGCTGAATACTTCGGAGTAGTAGGGGTTGGCGTCACAACTGAATGCGAGGTTTTCGCGCTAGTGCACGAGGTGGTCGAAGAAACGGGGGGAGGCGGAGGTGGGGGGTTCGAGGTCTTTGTGCTAGTGCAGGTAGTAGAAACAACGGCTGGGGTAGACGTAGGTGTAGCATTAGCGCCAGTGCAGGTTGTGGATGAGGTAACCTGGCCAGATGCAGGTGTCGGATGCGTGCTCTGGACACCAGTGCACGTAGTTGAGGGAGTCACAGGGGTGGACGTAGGAGTGGGAGCGGTAGCATATCCACCAGGATGCGATTTAGTACGATAGCCCTTGCTATGCTTGCTATGCTTGCTATGCTTGCTATGGTTTCCAGGACGACCCTTCTTGTGACCGCTCTTCTTGTGACCGCTCTTCTTGTGACCGCTCTTCTTGTTTCCGCCCTTCTTGTTTCCACCCTTCTTGTGTCCTCCAGGGCGAGTGTGATAACTGTTGGGATGGCTCTTGTTAGCTTCGGTGCAAGTGGTCGTCGGAGTAGCACTGCTTGTGTGTGTAGTCGGGGTTACAGCCGAATATTGGGGAGGAGGAACCACAGCAGAGTACTGAGGAACCGGGTTCACAGCGGAGTACTTAGGAGCAACCTCCTTGTAGTGACGCTTGACATGTCCAGGAGCAGCTGATGCTGCAGCAGCAAGGAGCAGAACAGTGGAGATAGTGAACGAGCGCATGGTTGAAGTTGTAGCTTGGATTTGCTTTTGGGGTTTGGGTTGAATTCCTAGCAGTGATGTTTGGCAGATATGCAGGAAAATGCAGATGAGGTATGATGTAGATGAGTGGTTAGTTTAGGTGGACGGCTGGTACTTTTACCATATTTATATGCGCCGCACTGTGGGTTCTGCTATGTAGTTTCATCTGCGCCAGGCCATGTTTACATTTGTTGACAGCCGATTGCCGAAAATAGAATTTTCAGGGATATCACAAATGATTGACCAGGCTTTTTAGAAATGTATAAAGGAAGCGGTCTCCTTTGCGGAGCAGTCGCCCACAGCATATAGTTCGAAAATAGACGGATTATCACATGATATTAATAGAACTAAGTTATCGCGAAAGATGGCCCCTTTACAAATTCTCCAGCTAGAAAGATGGCTTCTGGGAAGAAAGCACTGAAAATAGCCTGGGTTTCCTTGACACAGCAGGCCTGCCAAGAGCAAATATTTGCAAATATAGCCCCTTGCGTCGCATACAATGCCAAACTAGCCCCTTATAAATTGATGTCTGAAAAATTTAATTGAAAGGGCTCCACTCTAGGCAGCTGAGTGGCAAAGACTGAGCCTACGACGCCAGAAGGCAGAACAGGATATGTTTGATGGCTGTATATGTAGCCAATGAATATAGCCAAAATATACCTAATACACCAACAATAGGGCAGATTGGCTGCGGGATTATACATATTTCTTTTTCTATAAATGCTAGCTTCACTACCAGTAATGCAACCAGCTCGAGGTACACATCATTATTACTCAGTGTGTATATAACAGGGGGCAGTATCATAAATTCAGTACTGATAAATAGAGTTCAAACTAACAGGAAACGGCCGGGTTGGCTTCTGACACGATCCATGACCAGCATAGATGCAGTTCCTGTATACTTAGTTGGCAGCGCCAGCTTCAGCGACATGGTGACCACCGTGACCGCCACCATGATGACCGCCATGATGGCCGCCATGGTGTCCACCATGGTGACCTCCGTGATGACCTCCACCATGGTGGCCACCTGCATCAGCACCAACTTGATCCTGTCTCTTGTGGTGACCGCCATGACCACCGCCATGATGGCCGCCGTGGTGCCCACCATGGTGACCTCCATGATGACCTCCATGATGACCTCCACCGTGGTGGCCGCCAACATCGGCACCAGCCTGATCCTGTCTCTTGTGGGGACCGCCGTGGCCACCGCCGTGATGGCCACCACCATGATGTCCACCACCGTGATGACCGCCGTGGTGTCCACCATGGTGGCCTCCGTGATGACCTCCACCATGGTGGCCACCTACATCAGCACCAACAGGGTCTGCAGTAGTTGCTAGAACAGCAGCAGCGAGGAGTAGCGTGGATGAGAGTAATAGGACACGCATAGTTGTCGATGAGTTTAGAATATTAGACGATGGCTTGACTAGTGGCTCTTGTTAGTTTGCTGAAGTGTTTCGAAGGAGTAGCTTGCTTGTGATTGAATGAATCTGGTCCCAGCAAGGGCATGGTCAGGTATTTATACATGGCCAACTGTGCTGTTTGATACTTTGTCTCGTAAATTTCGCATTCTCTCCCGTATGTATACGGTTCAGCCAGAAATATGCTATATGTATGAATGCAGTCAATTTTTTCTCACGAATACCCTGTGACCACCGACCCAGAGATACTTTTGCCAATATGCTGCTCGCGCAAAACAGGTACTGCCATCCCTTTATGCAATAGATATTGTACTATGCATACAATTGCGGCGATGTCTCCGCTGTGGACCGATAAGGTTGTTCACAAATGACGTCTGCTTTATTTGCGCATGGTGATGATAGACAAACTACCATAAATAAACATGACTGTGTGAAAAAAAATTGAAGATACGAGCATGCGCTTGCACTAGGTGCCCTCAGATATGCGTGCTCGGTGGCAGCGGCTTTCGGGGTGTACTTTCTGATGGAATTTAGCTAGGGGATGACTGCAACAGAATCCACCCATGTTCTCGTTTCTAGGGACAGCTCCTGTTTGGTATGTCCCTCAAGAGTGAGATGATCCCTAAAACCCTGGGAAATCGCGCAATAGGGATTATGTCGGTGATATTTTCGTTCGATTCATGTCTTGAGATGTAAAGCACAATTTCCGACCCATGTATCTGGCCCGGGGCTGCTGAAAACACATCCTTCCAAAGACAAGGCTTAACAGCAACTAGAATTTATTCTTCTAATACTAAACGCTTGGCTCAACACCACACATACGCTATCCATGGCACTGCCATGCCACACATATTCTGTATATGCATTGATAGCTATTGCTGTTCAGATTGTAATATTGATAGAGAAGGAAAAGTGGAGTTGCAAAGAGTGCCTGCTATCTGACACTCACTTGTTGGTACCCTACGAAGGTATGCCTACGAAGGTATGCCTACGAAGGTATACCCCTCAATGCTATATCCGGATATCCAAGGCACAATACCTGGCGTGCTTTTCACGCTGGTAAATGCATTCAAGACGTACGTATTCATTGCCGACGACGCGCATTTGCCGCATTATCTCTCTGCATAGGATTGAATCTCGTCGAGCTAGGTGGTCTTGGACGCCCATCCTGTGTACCTCCGCGCGCCGGGCCCACATGCGACGGTGGCCCGCCTGAATATGGGCCTCCATTCCGGGCCAAGAGCCCTGGTGGAGGTGGGGGAGGAGGTGGGCGGCCCATCATCGAGCGCATTTGGCTCAGCGGCGGGGGCGGTGGAGGGCGCTGCTGCGGCGGGTGAGGCGCACCAGCTGCCCGCATGCCAGGCAAGGGGGGTGGCGGTGGCAGAGGCGGTCGGGCAGACTCAGCTTTACTGTCGCCAAGGCCAGGTAGCTTGGTGATGTTTTCTTTCATAATATTGGCCATTACTCGACCAAGAGACCCGGACGATAGCCCAGGTAGTCCTGGCAGCGTCGAAGGCGTGTTCGGCACAATAGCGTCGTTGGCGGAGTCCTTGCCATCGTTCTTGTGCGACGCATTGGCAGGTCCAAATCCCAGGGAGCTCACAAACTCCGACGACGCTTTGAGATTGACGGCCTCGCCATATATTCTCTCCTCCTGCTCCTTATCGGCCAGCTCAGTATCTAGGTGCTCTGCGGGCCTGGGGCGAGACCAGAACCGAGTCGTATGGTCATTACTACCAGATGCCAGGATATGACCCATCGGGTGCCACGCTAGCGACCAAATGTATGACTCATGGGCACCAGTGATCTCACCCTGGTGGCCCTTCTCGCCTGTAAACCAGAAGTGGATACCGCCATCGGACCCGCCTGATGCAAACATTGTCTCATGAATCGGGTGCCATGCGACCGAGGAAACCTCTTTCTGCGGGCCACGGAATGCCTGCACCTCCTTCATAGCACGCAGGTCGAACATCTTGATATTTTGGTCGCGGCCGCCGGTGAGGAGCCAGTTGCCGTTACGATTCCACTGCAGGCTTGACACTGTGTTGTTGTGGCCGTGCAGAGTAGTCAGGCACTTTGAGGAGCGCGGGTCCCAGAGCTTTACCACGTTGTCCTTGCCCCCGGATGCAATCATGCCCATGTACGGGTGCCAGTCAATTGTCCGCACATCCCAGCCGTGGCCCGAAAGCTGGCTCTCCTCGGCGCTACGATTGAAGTCCCAGATTTTCAGCACGCCGTCATCACCGCCTGTGACAAACTTTGTGTCGGCTGGGCTGAAACTCAGATCGCGGATTGTGTCCTTGTGGCCCTGGAAGACCTTGACGTTGTTCATGTTGGGCTGCCAGTACTTGATCACACCATTGCCGTCAGCACTGACCAGCCACTGCGCGTTGTGTGTCCACTCCATCGCTCGCACAGCGGTATCGTGCGCCTACATGTATAAGATGGCAATGGTTTGAGCACACTCTTCCTCCCAAACAGAGCACCATGCTTGAAACATGCTTTATTGGATTCTGACCAATACATGGCTAGAGAATATCTTCTGGTGTATCTTACCTGCATGATGGTTTCAAAGTTGAACGTCAGCCCGCTCCACATTGTGAATTCGCCAGTGGACGCGCCAGTCAGTAGTCTCCTGCCCTCAGGCGTCCACCGAATAACGTTGATTGGGCACCGCATTTTATTCTGCGCCTGTTGAATAAACCTCGTCGTAATCGACGTCTCAGGCTCCTCCGGCACAAATACCGATGGAAACACCTCAACCGTGTAGCTGGGATCGCTGGGCAGATACTTTAGGGACATGTTGGCGCCACCCGACCGCAACTCCAGACCGCGTGCCGTCGACGCGTAGTAGTCGATTGTCCGGCGCTGCAACGGCCTTCGGACGCGCTTATTCTCGTCACCTTGCTGGTTGCTGCTGCTGTTGCTGTTGTTATTGTGGAATGATGGGCGCATCTGCGGTGCGTACCCCTGCTGCTGCTGCTGGTACTGGGGCGGACCACTGTGCTGCTGGTAGCCGCCCCCATTGTTGGGCCGCATACCGCCTTGCTGCATCGGCATATATGGCGGCCGGCCATGCTGGTTGTAGTTTGGCTGCATTCCGTGGCTCTGATTGCGCGGCGCCATTTGCTGCTGTGGGCGGAAATTGCCACCCATTGGAGCGTGCTGCTGCATATACTGAGGTGGCCTTGGTGGGCGCGATAAAGGTGGTGGCGGTGGCGGCGGTGGAGAACCAGACATTTTGGATGAGCAATGTAAATTTTGATAATAAACTGTAGACGAATTGAAAGGAAGCAGATCCCAGAAATCAGCGCACCTCCAGAGGCTGGGTTAGGGCAAACGGGCGTGCTGTTAGAAATATGGGAAGACGGATTATTTTTCGTGCTTATTTCTTGTCCACTTTAAACTACTCTGAGGTGGCATCGTCTGAGGCAGTGGTTCTGGTTGACTGTCCAGGCGTCAAGATGGTCGCATCATCATTATCAGAAATGTATCTGCTAGGAGAAGGGCGACAGCCGCTGCCTGGTCTACGGGTCGTGCTATTGGAGCGCCGGTTCCGGACTCTGGCATTCGACGAACTGCCCATGCCCTCTTTCGGGGGAATGGGCGACGGTGATCTGCTTCCAGAATGTGGGTCTATAACATGGCGTGTTGGGTATCGGGAAGGGCGCTCACTACCGTGCACATCCTCGTTATAGCTATCCTCATCTTCCAGCCAGTAATCTCCTCCGCTGTTGGATTCAAGCTCATCGTCATAGACTACGCTTTGCTGAAGTGCCGGTTCAGAGGGTCTCCGAGAATTCCTACTATTTGGCTTCAGCGAACCGCGGTTCTTAACACTGTGTGCTGGTCTCTGGCTAGACTCCTGATGACGGATCCGTCTAACGTGGTGTTCCTCGCCCTGAAATGACGGATCATGGTCAAATTGGCCTTCTTCAATATCGCCATCCATATCCCCTAGGCCATTATTATATTGTGTGCGTACATCGGCATCACTTGTAGGATGCATCCGGCCCCTGCCTCGTCTGCCCCCTCTATGAAACCTACCCGGGTACCTCCCGCCCCGGTACCCGTCTCGATGTCTGTATGGAGGAAATTCATCATGATATATCATTCGACGGGTATTTCTCGCCGGTCCAGAGTACCTTTGCCCACGCCCCCTCTGCGAAGCCCTGTCGTAGCAGTTTTGGTATGAACGGTGCGGGTGCCGGCGAAAATAAGGCGGCTGCTGGCGTTGAGCAAAATGGACAGTTACCAGGCTGTTGCCCAGCGTCTTGCCATGTATGGCAGCACACGCTTCTTGGGCCTGTGTGCTCGTATCATATTCAATGAATGCGTATCTACTTATGCAGTGCCGCCATACTGCAAGTATAACATACCAATTAATACCTGGAGCTCGAGAAACATACTGTGTGGCTTCATGCGTGTATCATGTCAATCCAGCATTATTGTATCTGCCACACAAATTCCACGGCTTGCTCACATATATGCTAGTGAAGTGTGCCATGCAGATCCTTTGTATGTCGTTGAAACTTACGGATGCGATTCACTGCCACGAAGAGGAGGGATTTCACAGCGAATTATCCTGCCATACCTAACGCTTATTTTGCAAGGAGAGCAGTTAGAATAAAATCTTTGCGATTATGTATCCTAGTGGGCTCTGGCTTCCTAATAGACTCACTTTTCAAACTCGGTGCACAATGCTACGTGTGTGATGTCGGGTGTGAAACCGGCTATGAAGAGCGTCTTTGCAGAATCAAATCTCATATTCGAAAGGGTATGCTAATGCTGGGGTGTTGGAGATTAATGTAAACGAAGCAAGACAAAGATGGAGACACTAGCGCATGCCAGACGTTTTTCTTCTTATACTCACCCTCTAGTCGCCAGCTAATTGCCTGTTACTGTCCTGCCACACACAAACCGAGAGCCATGCTTCCCCATGTTAGCGATCAGCCGCCTGCTTAGCAAATCTAGAGATCTAGCCCGGACTCCACACGTGACCTCCCTCTCCTTTTTAAGTATCTGGCCAGTTTGCTTATCGTCTCCAAACTCCTCTTCGCTGCTCCTCTACACCACATTCCATCACTCATTTGCAGAATGCTCAGAGTTTTTGCCCAGACCGCTCGGTACACAGCCTTTACCCGCAGCCTCTCTACCACCCGGTCCATTTTTGCCGCCAAGGGTGGCCGGGTATTTGAGACAACACAAGAAACGTTTGAAAAAGATGTGCTGGAGTCCGACACACCAACCCTGGTAGATTTCTACGCCAACTGGTGCCAGCCATGCAAGATGCTGAGTCCAGTCCTGACCAAGGCCGTGGAAACCGACGGGCGCGTGAACCTGGCTAAGATCAATGTCGATGAGAATCTGGATCTGGCGCACGACTACAAGGTCACGTCACTGCCGACGGTTGTGGCATTCCGCGATGGCGAGCCCACTGCTGCCTTCATCGGCATGCGGCCGCCAGCAGCGATCCAGCAGTTCATTGACGAGACGGCCGAAGGCAAAAACTGAAATGCATTTAAAAGACTTTTAGTTGCTCTTACGCTTCTGTTCATAAAACTTGCTCAGCGCACCCTTCTCTGCCTCAGGGACCTTGCGCTTCTTGTTTTCATTGTCGCGCATACGCTTCTCAAGCAGCTCCATTTCCTGCAGCTTCTTGAGATCCATGATGTTGCTCTGGCGCTTGCGCTTGTAGCGCTTGGCGGTCGAGTTACGGCCACGCGTGCGGTTCCGGACAGTGTTGTCAAGGTACTGTCCTGAGGCCTTGTTCTCGGTATACTCTTGCTGCTGCCGTGCCACAGCTTCGCGCTGGCGCTGCACGGCTGTGCGCGGATCCAAGCGGCCGATGAAGTTCGGATCCAGCTGGATGGTATCGGGCGCCAGCTTGTCCAGCAGAGACTTGACCTCTGCCTCCTGCCGCTGCTTCTTGGTCTGGAATGGGTTGGCAACATAGGCGTCAAAGTTGGGCTCTCCTGACCCGGGGATCACAATCGACGAGATACCCTTGTCAGTGCCGTAGCCGAGCACATCGTCGTAGGGAACAAACATCACGTCGCTGATCGACGTTCCACCCACTGTCCTCTGCATGTACGGCTTCTTGACCTTGTCGGCCAGCGCATCCTTCCAGATCGTCACGTTAGCGCCGTATCCAGCAGCCAGCAGGCCCTGCTGACTAATGTCCAGAGAGTGGGCAGGACGTGTGGTCTTGTACTCGTGCAGCTGTTTGAAGTTGCGGATATCCCATATCTTCAGCCGCCCGTCCTGGCCGCTGGTTGCCATGTACGTGCCTGTCCGGTCGATTGCCATCGCCTGCACGGGGCCCTGGTGGCACAGAATCTTGGCCAAGGGCTGTGCTTGCTTGGGCGCCCACATCGACACAATGCCATTACTGTGGCCCAGATTCACCACTGCGTTGTACGGATTCACCTTCAGCACATGGCACTCGCCATAGCCTGTCCGGTGCTCACCGGCAACGGAGCCCTCAGTGACATCCTGGTACACCACCTTGCCAGTGTTTCCCGTCGACGCCAGCAAGAAGTGGTACGGCAGGAAGCCGAGCGCCGTCGGCTCAACGTGCTTCTGTAGACAATGCACTTCAGCACCAGTGTGATCGTAGATATAGGCGTACTTCTTCTGTGCCACAGCAAACAGGCTCTCGTTGTGCAGCCATGCGACATCCCGAATCGTCTCACGGACATGGAACTCGCATGTCAGGTTGCCGTTGCGCCAGTCCATAGTAGCCAGGTGTCCCTTACGCCCGCCCAGCAGCAAGAACTTGCCGTTCCGCGTATAGTCCATCGAGTACGGCCCGAACTCCTGCAGATCCAGATCAAAAATCTTGTCAGCACTGCTGATATCCAGATGCTCCTTCAGGTCGCGCTGCTTGATCCGGTACGTGCGCTCCATACCCTCGGCCTCGAGATAGCCGGCCTCCTCCGTCATCAGAACCTCGGCGCGCGCCGCATCCAGGATCGCCTGCTCGCGCCGCCTCTGCTCGTGCTGCACCTTGTGAATCGCCTTCTTGCTCTTGACCTGCACCTTCTCCTTCCTCTTGGCGCCAGGCACGACCCCGCGCTGGTACTTTTCCGATCTCTTTAGAGTTGCCTGCTTGATTTCGTCGTCAGAGTCTTCATCCTTGCTCTTCTCCTTTTGCTGCTGCTTCTTGCCCTTCTTGCCCTTCTTGCCCTTCTTGGCTGTGGCCTGGCGTAGGGTGCGCGGTGCAGGTCCAGAGTCGCTCTCCTCGGAGCCAGCATCACCTGTCGCTGTAGCTAGCCGCAGTTTCCTCAACGTTGCCTTTGGCAAATGCGCCTCCCTTGTTGCTGCTCTCTGCTGTTGACATTGTTTGGACGTCTAGTAAAATGTGAATTTGCGAGCGAGAGAGACGAGTCGAAAAAGGAGCAAAGCAGAAATCGAGAAAAAAAAGTGCTCACTAAAAAAACCAGTAATTGCGATCAAACAGGGATCAGTACAGGATCAGAGCACGTGCCTTCACCTTCCACCACCAGAATGTAGGTGAGGGGAGCATTGCATATCTTCGTGTCAGATATTCACAGCTGACATCCCCATCCGAGCAGCATACCACAATAAAGCACCATCATCTTTGGCGGAATATAGCATTACATCGATGCCAACAATGCGAGCAGGCAAACATCTCTTGACCATACATGCCATCGCTCACAAGTTCATTCTAGACTACCCCACTTCTCGTATGGATTTCGGTTGCTTCAGACACATTAGGAAAAGTGCGTGCAAAATCATTCGCAATTCCCACAAAATACCTAGCTCGCTCAGTGATGCTCAGCAGCCTGGGCCAACATCAGCTGTCTAAAGTAGCCCTTCTCCTTGCCCATCAGCTCATTGTAGGGCCCGGCCTCCTCGATATTCCCGGTGTCGCCAACAACCAGGATAGTATCGCTCTTCTTCAGCGTGCTGGAGCGGTGAGCAATAGTGATCACAGTTAGGTCAGAACTAGCACTGATCTTGTCCAGGGCCTGCAGCACGCGTGTCTCGCGGGTGCCGTCCAGTGCACTAGGTAGCCTCGTCCAGAATCATGATATCGGGCTTCGCAAGCAGGGCACGCGCAATCGCGATACGCTGCTTCTGGCCGCCAGACAGGGATACACCGCGCTCACCGACATAGGTGTCAAGTTGTGCCGGGAACCGTGAAACAAAGTACCACGCATCGGCCATCTCGAGTGCAGCAATCAGCTCGCTGTCAGTAGCCAGCGGGTTACCGTAGAGCAGGTTATCACGAATCGTTCCAGCAAAGAGCACCGGCTCCTGGGGCACCATTGCGATATGAGAGCGCCAGCTAGCGAGGTCCATATCGCGAAGGTCGATGCCGTCAACAGTAATCGTGCCGACAGTAGGATCATAGAAGCGCATCAAAAGACTGGCGACTGTGCTCTTGCCCTTGCCTGAGGGACCAGCAATGGCCACATGCGAGCCCTTGGTGATCTCAAACGAGAGTTTGTCAAACACATGCACGTCGCTACGGGTTGGGTACGTAAAGCCAACATTGTCGAACTTGATTGTGTTGATGTCGCTAACCTTGACGCCATTGGGGTTCCGGTCGATGGCTGGCTTGCGGTCCAGCAAGTAGAACAGACGCGACCCAGCACCAACACCCTTCATGACTTCGGAGTAGAAAGACGACAGACCAGAGAGCGATGTGCCAACGTATGCCGAGTACAGCATAACCGAGGTCATGTCACCAATAGAAATTTCACCGTTCATAACCATGCGTCCGCCGAATCCGAGGAAAGCAAGAACCGCCAAGTTGCCCGCCAGTCCGTTACCGCCAAAGAACAGGCTACTAGCCATGGCCTCCTTTTTGGCCAGGCCAAAGATCTTTTGGACCTCGATGTCGTAGCGCTCGACCTCCTGCGACTCACGCGAGAACGCCTGCACGGTGCGCACATTGCTGATGCGCTCCTCTGATACCTTAGTCAGGTCACCGACGGCCTCCTGCGTCTTCTTGGACAGCTTCTTGATGTACTTTCCGTAGATTACAGCCCACAGTGCCACTGGTGGCACGATGCCTAGCATAATTCCAGTCAGCTTCGGGCTGACATACAGCATCATTCCAATGCCAACGACAGCCGAGATCGAGGACCGCAGCCCATCAGACACATTGTTGGTGATGCTCTTGCTGACAATCGACGTGTCGGTGCTGAGTCGGCTGATAAGATCTCCGGACCGGTTGCGATCAAAGAAGCCCATGTCCTGCTGCATGATCCGCCCAAACATCTGCTTGCGCAGGCGAGCAATCATGCTCTCGCCAGCGGTGCGGATCAGGAACACGCGGCCCATGTTTGCTGCCGCGCCCACGACGAACATGCCTCCCAGACCTGCAAACACCTCCTTCAGCGACAAGCCATACGGGATCACTGCTCCAGCATTGGTCACGATATCGATGATCTTGCCCATCGAGAATGGCACCACCATCGTCACTGATGACGACACCAGGAGCAAACCTACTGCTCCACCTAGCAGCTTGTACTCGGGCCTAGCCAGCCTGAACAGCCTGAGCCAGGCCTGGCTCGTCTTGACCTTCTTTGCACTTTTGGCCTCCTCAGGGTCAACGCCCATAGCCTCGGCTGCTTCCTTCGTGGCGGGCTTGTCCTTGTCGAGCGGTGCGATATCGCTCAGGGATGGTGTCGGCGAACGCGGCGATCCAGATGGGGTTGGCGACGAGTACTGCCGCCGCTGCGCACGAAACTCGGGCGACCTGAGCAGCGGCGTCGATACATTGACCGGGCTACCGCTGCGCTGCATTGTGGCCCTGCTCCGTGTCCTTGAATTTGTGAAAAGGCGTTGAATTTGTCGTGTGCTTACAACTGCGCGCTGGCTGGTGGCTTTTAGTGAGGTGTGGGTGAGAAATAGCGCAACCGCCATCGGGTGTCTAAGAGAAGAGAGGGGGCGATAAGGCAAAAAGGAGCTGGCTGTCTGCGGTCTAAATACTGTGTTTTCTTTTGCTGATCGGTGACAGAGAGACAAAGGGTGGAAAGATCTCGCTGGAAGGCATCTTCAGTAAGCCAGACACTGCTGAGGCCGAGCCCACTTCCGCCAAGAGAAAAAAACCCATGCTGCTGCCATTACACAAATCCGGCCGCATGAGAGCGGTGCTGATCGTGATTTGATTCCAGCCTGCAGGCCACTTCAATATCGCCATCGCCTCCCTGTCGGCGATCGAGTGACACCAATACTGGCGCATGTCTCCTGGCTGCTTGCAGCGACAACGCCCACCTCGCTCTGGTCGCCAGGAAATTTGTTTCTTAGCTGAAATAGCAGCCGCAGTGGATGGTGCATATGAATAAGATTGATGGGGTTGGATACTGCTATTTGCCTCCATTCCAGGTGCCAGGAAATAGTTAGATTTCTGTGTAGCCCGAGACACTATTCATCATTCCCCCACTCCATGACCTACCTGCTGCTCAACTCACCCCCTTCCCTGTGTACCTTGAACCCAGATAAAAATAAAAATAAAAAAGCCAAATAGCCTAGACACCTGAATCGGCTCCTGGGTCTCATAGATTCTGGGAAAAAAAAGTATACTAGTAAACATGATCTTTACTGTCTTCCGTCGGCTTGTAGTCTTTGTCATCCTACCGCGTTTTCTGCACTTCTATATTACTTCTTTTGTTCCCCACACGCTCCACCTCGACCCTTATAGCATAGCAAATATCCCCACGGTTGCATACTCTTTTGGAGCTAGACGCCCTCTCCTTGCTAGGCAATAGAATTAGCACACAACAAGCGCAGACGTCCTCTTCTCTTTTAATAATCCAGAATCTCCTCCTCCACGCAGACCCTTCCCTATCCTCCATACTTGGCCTTCTGTCGTCCGCTTACCGCTCTATTTTATGCCACAGCTCTTCTAAAAGCAGCCGCTCATGGGGAAAACACCAGCAAAGGGAGTCGACGCCTTGGTCCAGGCTCAGCGGCCTGTGCTGCGTGCTGTAATCTACGCTACCATTGCTCTTATGTCGATACTGCAGCTGGCGCTAACCGGCGTATCCTGGACCAGCATCGAGTTTATGCGGCGCTCGGGAGACTTTATCGGTGCACTGTCAGTGATCTCTGGCATACTCACGTTTTGCATATCCAGCATCTACGCAGCCGCAACGATTCTGACCGAACGCGCAGAGAACGACCACGAGCAGGTGCCGCTGTTCTGCGAGCGTTTCAATCGGCCGTCAGTCGAGCGCCTGATCAACTGCATGATGGCATCGTGGTGGTTTGCCATGGCTACCAGCAATTCCAACATGCTGTTTGTGTTTCGCGACGATATCTCAAAGTGTGTGCGTGGCGAAGACAGAAAACTCGTCGACCCGACGCCTGCAAGATAATGCGTGGTGCGGTCACTCTCAACTGGCTGATCTTGCTGATGTGGATCATTCGCGCATGGCGTGGCTTCACTCGCGGCAACATGCACTTTGACTCGCGCATCTTTGCCGAAGCCCTCGATGACCACGAGCTTTTGACGTACCCATCGCCAATACCCTGACGCCAGTGCCCACCAGCAGCAGCCAAAGCAACTGCCACTATCAGGCAGACCCGGTAAAAAAGTCAAGCAACACCTCGATGGGCTTTGAGGTTGTTGGCTCGCTTACCACCGCTGCCGCAGAGATTCTTGAGATCGTCCCTGGCAGGGCAGACAGCACACCCGCAGCAGGCTGCCACAAAAGAGTCGGATCCAGTTTCCACCTTACTGCAGAACCCTAATGGCCAGACACAGGCTCATAAATCTGCCGCCCCACACACCACCCCGGCCGCAATTCAACCGCCCCACACGCCCCAGCTACGTAATCATGAAAATCTGACTCTTGTACGAGACGTAGCATCCCACACACCGCAGCAGCAGCAGCAGCAGCCTCCGACACACCCACCCACTCTTACGCAACATATCATCGCAACCAGCACCTGTTAGGACGGCGATCGCAAGCATCAATCCCCAGAATATGGCCAAGGCTCTCCCAGTATTCCCAGGTGGCGCAAGCCCCCAGCAGCAAGAGCCACCTGGATTGCATGCGATAAACATCACGCATGCACACGATTGCAGCCCTGCATTTGAGACAAACGGAACGTCCAAGACTGTCGGCACCATCCACCCGCAGTTCCAGAGCACACCAGCTACCGGTGCTAGCAGACAGTCCAGGTACCCAGCGCCGCCCCGTGCAACCCCACACTCATCAGTGCTGCAACCTGCATTCCCTGCACACGGACAGGGACCTCCATCACATACACGCGAAGCCTAAGCGCTATTGATTCCTACCCCTTAGCTACCTCTCCTCTCAAGTAGTTGTGTCAATAATCTCCCAATGTTTATAGCGAGAATGGGGTTTTTCCAGTCCGTTGAATGTCCGGCCATCCTCACCAGCCCATGAGACTGTAGCCATATGACATATGGCAGCTCCTCCTGTGTCTGATCTGCCTTTTGTTGCTTCTGATACGGGCAGCCTGAAAATATCTGAAACTGAGCGATAGCCCCATGAATCCCCTGTTGCAAGACAATCAATACATCCAATTTCCAGTGGCCATGGACAAAGGTTATTCGTATCGGTCTAGAACATATTTGGCGTCATCGCCTATGTTCTAGGTGTAGGTGTAGATCAAACATAGTGTATTTCGACTGATATTTTTGGACGACCCGACTTTTAAAAAATGGACGGGAATATATGAAACAGGCGCAGAATCTGAAAACCCTTTGGCCACCCATGGTCGGATTTCTGGACAGCAATCTTGGTGGTATATTAGGCCAGCTGTCTGGCCTAGACGCTTCCTCCATTTGAACCCCTTACGGCCCACCCATCCCTGATAAATACCTAATAACTCTATAAATACTGCCACAGCTGCTTCTACGCCTTTGCATTGGCAGACCCTCCTATCCATACCTTGTTATTCACTAGTAACATAGGCATCCTTCACCTACACATTTTGTTATTTTCGCAAAAGCGCTAGTATTTTTCCTCTTTCCTCTCCTCCCCCACAGTCTCGTTATTAACCACTAGCGGTCAACCTCACCCAAGCCTAATTTCCTCTCCTCTGACCTAGCCATGTTGTTCGACAGCCTGCCTCGCGCGCTACTGTATGCACTGGCATGGGTGCTGTCCGTCATCAACCTGGTTATTTCGTGCGTTGTCGCTGCTACGGGTCACTGGAAGCCGCGTGCGGCGTCCGTGTTCTCGGCCGTGGTTGCGGGTATCACGGATGTTCTCGCTGCCAGGTATGTTCCTGGGCCCCAAGTTGCCGATCATCGGCAGGTTCTACAGGGGTCGGGCTCTCGCAGCTGGCAAAGTTGCTCCTGACTGGCTTGTGGCTCGGGATCGTGGGTGTGGGATGCAAATCAGCTCAACAAGTTCCACTGCCGCACTCGCACCTCGGTCGTCGAGGAGGTCATTCACCCGTCGCCCGGTCACCAACCAGCTCGGCTTCTCGCTCTACGGCCACACCCTGACTCCCTCGGGTGCCCCGCGCGAAGCGCTGATCAACAACGTTGACATGTTTGACGGGGATGCCCGCGATCTGGTCGGCCGCCGTCTTCGGTGCTAGTGGCATGCGGCACTTCAGGTCGCGTTGCCGCCTGTTCAAGGGTGTGCTGGGTACTGCCATTCCGATCTTTGTGCTGCTGTTGGCCGACCTCATCTGGGACATGTTCAGGGTCAACCGCCGTACCCACGTGCTGCCCAGGTCGCATTCGTCCACTCCGAGTGTCGCCAGCGTGTCCAGCGTCGGCAGCCCCAGAATCGCCAGTGCCACGCACCCGGGCCATCACCCGGTCCGCGATGCCGTCGTTGCCGAGACCAAGGTCTAAGTGAGAGGAAACCACCATGTCCACAGCAAGAAGAGATGCAGGGGAGGTATTGAAAGCTAGTCTCCGTTCCGTGCCCTACGCTCCATGGAGATGTCCAGTTTGGCTAGGGGTTGCTCCGCAGTGTCGCATTTGGCATTGCATCTCTAGTAGCCAAGCCATCTCCATCCACCTCGGTCGGTCCTATTGGAACCATGGGCGCCTGCCACTCCGACCAAAAACACACCTGTTCCAACACTGTTTTCCCAATGCGAAATGGACTATGGCGATGTCTTCACTTAATTTCATATATTTCATGCAGACATCGCCATGGCCACTTTGCATAGTTCTGCCGATCACTAGTTTTTCAGACACGTTTACCCTTTTACACTCTTTTTACTCTCGCAGCTCCTTGTCAACCATCCCTTACTAAAACTTTCTTTTGCAGATGTTTCTTCCTATAAAGGTGTCCGTAATATATGAGAGCTCGTAAAAAGGTATATATTCTTAGTCGTAAAAGTGGCTTAAGAGCTCCTCCAGCGACAGAATGACGCTGTCCTGATACTCGAGAGTCTGCTGGCGCAGTTTTTCATAGCTCTCCTGAATCGCAGCAGGCGTCCTGCTCCATGGTCGACTTGCTGCGTTTGATCTCCTCCTGCAACTCGTCGTATCTGGCGCGCTGCTCTGCCATCTTGCAGGATATTTCGGTGAAGCGGGCCGTCATCTCCTTGTTCTCTTTCTCCAGGTTGGCAATGCGTGATGGAGTTTTGTTCACGCTTTGCTTGGCGGGTCTGACTCAGCCGCTCAATCTTCCCCTTTGCCGACTCGTCCTGGTACTTGAACTGCTCCTCGCGCACCGACAGGTTCTTCAAATTGCTGGTCTCCTGGCTAACGCTCTCCTTTTCGGCCGCCAACTTGCGCAGCTCCTCCTCGTGCCTGCGCACAATGTCCTCGGCATCGGCCATCTGCTGGATGCACCCGCGGATATCGGTCAGGATTTCATCAAGCATCTCGATCTTTGCTGCTAGCTGACGCGACTCGGACTCCTTTTGCGCCAGCTGCGTGCGGCCACTGGCAATCGACTGGGTGAGCTGGGCAATCGCCTCCTTGATCTTCTCGGGGCTGTGCACAACCCGCGCATTCAGCTTCTTCAGCTCTTCTTGCAAGCCTGCAATTGTGTGTGAAATGGCCCCGACCGCATCCTGCAGCTCACTCTTCTCACTCCGCAGCTTATTGTTAGTCTCGGTGGCTGCCTTTTGCGTCGACGCATGCTTTTTAATATCCCTCTCCATAGCCTTCGTCTCTTCCTCCAGCTTATTGACTTGCGGTACATCGCGCTCGTGCTGCGCGCGGATCTTTGCAATCTCTGCCTGCACCTGCGCCAGTTCCGCCTGCATCTTCTGCAACCGCTCATACTCCTCATCGGCCTTGGCCGTGTATTTCTCCAGCACCGGCATGCGGTCGTCGCGGAACATGGCAAAGTTGCACACGCTGCTCAGGATCCGCTTCACGCGTACTGGCTCGGGCTTCAGCATGTCGCGCAGTGAAAAGTCCTCGACCCCCACTTGTCGCAGCAGCACCATCATTCGCTGATAAAACGATATCAGCAAGATATCCTCAGAGTGCGACTCCGGGTAGTCGGTTATTTCGGACAGATCCAGACTGGTTTCATCCACCGCGTCTAACGACACGCCCTTGAGGAATGAACAGAAAGGCCTCATACCACGCAAACACGCGCTGGGGCGTCGGCTTCTCGAGGTCTTCCTCGCTAATAGATATCTCCATTTGGTTCATGACATCGAGAATGTCCTGCACGTTGAGCGTCGGGTAGAAGCTGTTGCTCTGCATTATAGAGTCGGGAATGGAGCGCTAGGAAATGAGGGCAAATTACAATATAAAACTTGAAGAAATGCAGAGCAGGGCGGAGAAGAAGAAAAATGAAAATTTTATTGTAAACAGTCAAAGAGGCGGGGATTGGCCATGCAAGTGCTACACGCAGTTGATCTGGCTCAGAAGCAGCGAGATCTGCTTTTCAGCATTTGACGGCCCAGCCCCGTCCAGGTCCTCGGTGACGGCCAAAATCTCCTGCGCGGTCAGGATAAGGCTTCTGACGGTCGAGTCGCTCCATGTCTTTGGGCCCGACTGCAGCGAGTTCCACGCCAGTTTTGCACACTCCAGGCACTGCAGACCAACTAGCGGGTGGAATGGCGGGTACACGCACGCATAGTACGCCAGAATGTAGAGCGCTGAGATGTAGGCCCAGTCCCACGGCATACTGGCTGCAGCCGAGTCTAAGCACTCGTCCTGGCACTCGAGCCAGTGCCGGTATGCGACGAAGGAGAAGTCGTGAGGAGGCAGATTCTGCACGGCATTGAGACAGTTTTGGGAAAAGTCTAGGGCAGTTATTTGCTTCAGGGTCAAGGCAGTGAGGCTAGAGACGATAGACACAACCCAGGGCTCGGAGAGGGCGGCTGTAGAGAAATCCGTGGGCAGGTTTCCTGGAACATGCACCCTGGCAACATCCCGATCAAACAGCCGGTCGATCTGGGCCACAGGGTCATTGCTGGTGTCAAAGCATCGGCGGCACTCGCAGTCGAAGAAATACACGTCGCCTAGGATCTTTTTGCGCTCTGACCTTGGCTTCAGCCCATCCACATACGCCAGCGCAACCTCCTGACCCTCGCTGATATCCGACAATGCCACGATCTGCTGCTCGCTTGCCTTGGTGTAAACAAAGGCGGCATTTGGATAGCAGCTGTGGTTAAGCAACAATGATGTTACCGGGCTGCACAGGTGTCCCGATGCCCGGACACGCTGGTCATAGGCAACAAAGTTGTTGCAGCCGAAACGGCACAAAGCGTCGACGCCCGAGAACGGCAGACTACCGGTTCCGGCGCCCTTCTCGGCGACTCGTGTAATCTCGCTGTACTGTCTGAGAATGTGTGCCGGATGCTGCTCCTGGTGTGTGACTAGCCGGTCCCAGGCAGCTGCTTGGACACGCAGCCACACGGGCAGCTTCTTCGCCCTGCATTCACCGACAAACCCAATAACCTTGCCCACACCCACCAGCATGCGCAGATATGGACGGAATACAGGCTTGACCTTTGCGGACTCTGCGTCAACAGCTCTGGCTGGTACCCGCTGACACTCGATATGGTGACGCGCCGTCCAGTGCTCCTTCAGGCACACCATGCTGCAGTACTGCACAGCATGGCACTGGCTGCACTGCGGCCGCTTTGCTGGCAGAGTATCGAAGCAGTTGGCACATCGGCTGGACGCACCCACCGCAGTGTCGGTGCTCTCCTCGTCGTCTTCGCCGGTGCGGATCGGGAAACCAAACAGCGGGCGGATTGAAAACAGCGTGTCGCCGCGTCTGAAGCGCCGCGTGGCAACTGTGCGCTGGCCCTTGGCGCTGTCTGCAACTAGCGCGAAGCCATGGGCCTGAATGAACGCGTCCAGGTCAGTGCTGAAGTCCATGTCGAAAAAGCGTTGGTCGGATTCAAGAGGGGCAAAAATAAAAAGTAATCAACCCCAAGTCTGAAATTTCACCTTTTTTGCTTTCTGCTTCTCCTCCACCTCAATTCCCAAGTTTCCCCCTTCTTACACTTTCTCTCTCGCCTCCCTCCCTATACCCAAAATCCCACTTTAACGACCCTTTCGAAGCAATGACTCAAGTTCAGGACAAGGCGGTTGGAGCGGCGCTGCTGGCAATTGGCTCGTTTGTGTTCACCTACTACAGCATCTGGACGCTCATTATCCCGTTTGTCGACCTGGGCCACCCGGCGCGCAAGCTGTTCCCTCCCCAGTGGTATGCGATTGCTCTGCCGGTGCTCCTGCTCACTGTTGGAGTTACGGGCATCTTTGGCTTCCTGTCGTTTGTCATGCTCAAGTCTGGCAAGAAGGCAAAGTCCACATAAAGAAAACTTTCTTAATGTTTCATTGCGACGTGTTTAACAAAATAGGCGTGAAACTAGAATATATCACTTTTTGTTGCGCTTCTCGTATGCGCGGTACATGAGCTCTCGCCGGGAACTGGCAGGGTCGCCATCCCCAGAGTCCTGGGCAGGCGGAAGCTCCGGCGCCTTGCCGCCCAAAACAAATCCCTGCGGCTTCAACGACCCGCCATCAACCTCCATCTCGATCTTCGGGTCGTAGTACTCTGCACCTGCGCCAGCAATGCGGTTACCGCGCTTGGTCCAATCCAGCTCCACGACCTCTCTGCAGTGCTCGCGGTTCAGGCTATGGAACCGCTCGTCGTGCTCGTCCCAGATCATATGTGCCAGCTCATGCATCAGCACCTGCCGGATATTGAGGTAATCCCTGAACCCCTCAAGGTCGTCAGTGCGCAGCCGCAGCGCAATGACTTCGCCGCGGTTTCTGTTGTACCCAAGAATCGTCCGTTCGAACGGGTGCAGCTCGCGCAGCACGCCGACATTGTATTTGCGCTTCTGCATAATTTGCTTCACGCCCTCGTCGTTGGCCAGCCTGCGCAGAACCGCCATTGCCTGGTCGCGCTTTGGCAGCTCCGGCAGGGTCTCAAATGAGTGGAACGTGTACTGGTCAGATCCGTCCAGAGTGCCGATTCGCGGTGTGCGGTACACGGAGCTGGCGGTAGCCATAAATTTTGCGTTGTTGCGCCGACCCTGTTCACGCCTTGCTACGGTGTCGTTGAACTGGCTCAATTCGCGCGTTGCCGTGCCCATCAGAATCACTCTGCTGCCGGCAGGTACGGCCTTGCACACTGCTACCGAATCGTCAGCTAGTGCCCCGCGCAGAAGCAGTTTTTGTTTAGCTGGCTCGACACCAAACTCGTGTGCGATCTTATCGCGCAGCTCTCCTACTGTCGTGTGCTCGTCGACGCTGAATTCAACAGCCCGGCCGGCATGACTGACGGTAAATGTGTGCATAATGACGTAATAAAGAATTTATAAAACAGAGAAGAAGTGAGCAGACGAGAGACAACGAGGCCGTGGCCCCTTCTTTATACCTACAGGCAAGTTAAGTGCATGCACTGCACAGACGCCGTTGCTTATTAATCCACGCATCACTCATTGGACACGGCATGCAAGGCTGCGCGATACGCAAGCGCCTGGGCATCGGCCCTCTCTACGCCGTTGTTCGCCGCCCTTCTATCGCGCTCCCTCCCGTACAAGGCCCACCGGGCTTTCTCGTCGCCAGTCTTTTCCTCTTCTAGCCGCGTCCTGGTATCCTCGACTGCGGTGCCGAGCCTCTGCAGCTCCTCAATAGTCTTGGGCACGTTCTCACCCAGCTTCTTTGCTACCTGCAATGCCTGCTGGAACTCGCCGTTAATGCGGTCGGCCACATACGGCAGCCCATCTGAACGCTCCTCCGAATCCTGCAATTCCGTCGTGTTTTCGGCTGCGATTGACTCGCGGCATACCACGTCATTCACCAGGCTCTCGATCTGCTCCGGCACTGTCTGCCGCTTCTGCGTCACCGACAAAAGCAGGCTGTTGGCTTCCTCCCGGAGGGCCTCGACCTCGCTCTTCAGCTTCTCGTCCAGTGGCTCGATGCGCGCCCGCTCTGCCATGGCCTCCCGGTAGGGGAACCCATTTACCGAGATATTGTCGCCCGCAGCCTTCCATACTTTCTCTGACCACTCTTGTAGGGTCGTCAGGACGAGTGCTCGCGCTTCTTCGCGCTGTGCATCAGTGTATGGGCCGTCGCGGAGGGCTGCATTGCTGTTCATGGTCCTTTGCAGGAACTCGGAAAACTGACCCTGTAGGAATAGCACGTCCTCTTTGGTCTCCAGCTGGATCTTTGGGATATCTCCACCGACCTTTCCGTTCGCTTCCTTTGACATTGCGTTTGTGCGTAAAGTAATGTAGAATCCAGAGCCGAATGGAGCAATACTGTTGCGAAAATCGTGTCTGAACAACTCGGCCAGTTTGTTGACATTTAGAGGCTAGAATAGTTGGCGATCACCACATTATGGAATCAAGTAGACAGATGCCAGTCTTATGCCTCTGCTTGAAATGGACCTTTTTACCACACAGTCTGAGGGCATGTTGCATTGGAACAAACATCTAATAGCTCTATTAGCATGCCCTTGCTCGAATCCATAAGAATAGCCCGCTAGGATTCGCATGCAAACTGATTATCCGCCAACGACCCAAGTGGCTCATCACCTCGGACACATCTTATCACCTCTACAGACACATATGCTAGACAACGAACAGTACCGGCAGCTTGTCATTGACACAGCCCGCCACAAAAGCTCGCACTACTATTATTCGGCCGAGGTACCGGCGCAGGTCATTTCAGCCGATGCACAATCGCGCTCTGCCGTGATCCAGACAACCGTCACTGACAGCGAAATATGCGCATCAGGATGTATCGACGAGGGCTGGGTTGCCACTGTCGCCGACTACTGGACATCCACCATGATCTCGGTCGCAAATGAAGGCAAGTCCGCCGTCACTACATCATTGAGCGTTCAAGCCGTGAAGTCGATAGAACCCGGCTGTGTAGTTCTTATAAAGTGCCAGGTCACAGACACCGGGCTTTCCATGCCCCATGCCATTGCCACTTTTGAGTCAGAGAACGGCGATATCTACGCCTTGGCTACGCATACAAAGTTCTTCAAGTCGCTAAAGAAATAAGCCGGCTAACTGCAGACCAGCACACCTTCGATTGCAGCTGCCACGAGTGGGGCAGCTTGTCTGACACGAAGTGAAACCAAGCCAGGGCAATGCCCCCGAGCTGGCCCAAATAATTTACTTTGAACTATACATATCACAAACCGAGCCACAGCTACAGTACAATTTAGCTAGTCAAGCTTGCAGTAGTCGTACGGGTGGTCCAGTATAATAATAAAACTCTTCCACGGCGTCTTATCCGAAAACGTTGGAACGCAGTCCATCTCGTCGGCATCCTGACTATGTTCCTGGGAAACCGGAGCGGCCTCAGCCGATGCTAGCATGGTATGGAGATAGACTTTATCTCTAAAAGAGATACGCTTGATACGCTTAAGAAAGTGAATAAAGTGAAATAGAATGAAATGAAAACCAACAAGACGGAAAGAGCAGCAAGCCATGTTTCGTGGCGCAGGCTGTCTGAAATCCAGGCACAGGGCGAATCCACCCAGTTAATGTTATTACTCTACTGAGGCAAAAAAAATGGTGCATAGACATCCTCGTCAGCTATTTTAATTACTTTCGAGGTGCATTAGCAGATGCCGCTCGGCTTGTCATTTTGTCCCTGTCCGCAGCTTGACTGGCCATGCCTGCACATGTATAAATCCCACCTTTTTACCCCTTGTCCTCAGATGAATGACAAGAGCACTGCACGGTTGCTCAAACTGAATACCGGCTTCGGTGAATTTTAGCCCGTCTCCTCCGCACTGCATCTCAAGGCGGATCTTTTCCTCTTCCTTTCTACACACCATCGTCAATTTTCCTTTTTCTTCGGATGCCACGACAACAAACTGCGCTCAGGCCGACGCCGAGCTCTACCAAGCAGTTCCTGACCGCTACAGGCGGATAGGCTCCTACCTCTACTACGGCATTGAGGTGCAGCCCAAGCTGGTTCATGTTAGCTTGGAAGACCGCCAGATGGTAAGCGAGATTGCCATTACAGAGAACGAAAATCGGCGCGTCCGGCACCCTGGATGAGGGATGCCTAGGCACTGTCACTGATAACACTACTGCCATGATTATCGGTTCGCTAGGAGATAATAGCAAGAAGTCTGTGTCGAGGACCATTTCAGTACAGGCTGTGACGCCTATTCGCCCAAACACCCTGGCGGAGATTTGCTGCAAAGTGACAACCACACGCGACAGCGCCAACCCGCACGCAGTCGCCGTTTTCCGCGACAAGATGAATCCAGCAGAGATTTATGCTGTCGGGTCGCAGACAAAATTTTACAAAAGCAACCTTGTGGATATCCAGCCAAAAATGTAATGCCAGAATAGGTTATGTCAATCTACATCTGGCTGCCCCTCATGCAACCGCTCTCTTTTCCACACCCTTTATCTTTTTTTTTTTTTTTTTTTCAGTAAACTGCTCTTTTTCTCGCTCCGATTCGATAACCGTAAACATGGCTAATATCAGCGACGCTAACCAGGATTTTTTCGACTTAATGGCCAGCATGCTCAAGCCTGACCCGTCCCTCGTCTACTTTGGCATGAATGTTGGTGTTGACGTCATTTCTGTCGATGTCAGCACACTCTCGTTTGACGCACAGACCGTCATCACCTCTGACGAGATCGGCATCGCCGGCACCCTGGACGAAGGATGGGTCGCTACTGTCACCGACAACTTGACCAGTCCGCTGATGGTTGTAGCTGGTAAGGGAATGCCTAGCGTCACAACCTCGCTGTCGACCAAGGCTCTCTGTCCGATCAAGCCCGGCACACGTATCATCATCGAGAACAAGATGGTCAGCACCAGCCAGCCGCCAGCAACAACCACAGTGTTTCGCGATGCCACCACACCGGAGGTGGTCTATGCGACGGCCCAGCATACAAAGTTTATGAAACCCGAGCTTGTGCGAAAGGCACAGGCGAAGTTTTAGGTCTGACGGCCGCGAGTTTGTACGCCCCCCTCGGACTCTGAAACCCTCCGATTGTCCGCGAGTTTCGGGACCTTCGGTCCGATCTTGTGGAAAAAGGACAGCAAAACAGTCACTCCTTTTTTACACTACTAGTTCTATACACTTTTGCCTCTAATTTCATACCAATGACCGCTGCACCTGAATTCACGTCGCCCGTGCCTGCCGAGGAGCTGACCCGCCGCGCCGAGACATACCACAAGCAGCTGCTGGCTAGCAACGTCAAGCTGACAACGCCGCCGGTCTCGCGCCTGCAGCTCGTCAGCATCAAGCCCACTGGCGCCAAGGGCGACCGGGTCACCAGCGCCTTCCTGACCTTCACATTCAGCGTCGAGAACACCGACTGCAATACCTGGGGCACGATCCACGGCGGCTGCGTGTTCACTCTGTTCAATGCGGCCGGCAAAATTGCCACTGCCTGTGGTTGCCAATGGCGCAAAGAAGATTGTGTCGACCGACCTGACCACGAATTACCTGGCGGGCGTGCCGGTCAACTCGACTGTGACCCTGGAGATCGAGTGCCTGCGGACGACAAAATCCTATTGGCTTCCTGCGTGGCTGTATCAAGGACGAGAAGGGCAATTTGGCGTACATTGCCACGCAGAATGTCTCGTTTGAGCTGTAACCTTTTTATAGAACACATACATATGGCTTTGCTCTGTATAACAATACACATGCTGCTGTTGCTCCAGTAGCCATTTACATATCACATGGAATATCACACGGTAAGAGCCAAGTCTCTCCTTTCTGTATTTTTCTCAGCACTATCCTCACATATTAGCGCGGTAAGTCTGCGTGAATCACCACACACCAAGGTAGCGGATGCCTAATGTATCTACGGATCAAACGGCCACAACATCTATGCCAAAGAAAAAGAAACTAGCATTGCTATGCCCAACACATCTAAAACAGTACCGGGCTGAAAGATGCACTCGATATCACCGACACATTAAAAAAGAACGGCGACCACCGAGGATGGCAGCAAAAATTCTGTGGAGGACCTGGGTATCGATCCCAGTGCCTCACGCATGCGAAGCGCGCGCTCTACCATTTGAGCTAGACCCCCAGATCAGAAGATTCGGAACCAGCAGCTAATCCGATTACCGATTTCTAATTTCCTATTTCCTTGGAAATTAAGCTTATAATAATATTTTTCCTTGATTTCGCCTTACTCCCAGCAGATGCTATGGAACAGGCCTTCAAACAATCAATGGCTGTGTTTACCTGATAATAAATGCATGGTGTTCTGCATTGGTAGTTGCAGAGAATCCAAATATTTGGTTAGCTGATGCATATATTCAGAAGTAAGTGCCAAAGTCGCAATATTATTAGCATGCAATGCCTGTCAACATATAGGTTAGTTACTATATGGATATATAGTCTGGACATCACTCAGCGTTTGAATTCCTCTCCACAGAACACAGAGTATCTAGGGTTTCACTGTACGTGGAAACTCGAAGTTAATGGCTGTACCATCCATTGATATAGCCTTGGTATCGATAACTACCAAATCAAAAGACTATATACTGCCTAGCTCTTTCTGGTAGATAGTAACTTATGCAGTAGTGGAATGCAATGGCCAAGGGAATAAAAAGGGAAGGGACCTACCAGAATTGAACTAGTGACCTATTGGACTGCAGCCAATTGCTCTACCCCTGAGCTAAAGCCCCTTGGATGCTGCCGGTCGAGTGTCGATTCTGCGCCGATCGCCCTGTTGAAAATTTTGGCCTGAAAATCTCAGTCGGGGGTTGCCAGAATAGCAGTAATACGAAACAGCACATTCGTCATTTGACGATTTTAGACTCTCTCCTCAAACATGACTCAAACAGTCGCTACAGAATTCAGGTGCTGTGATTATACTGGTCCATAAAATAACATACATATTGAAAATTATCGTCATTTTGACACGCTTCTTCATTCTTGATGTTCATTATTATTGCTTAATGCTGATTGTATAAATATTATTCACTCTCAGACGAACCGCTAGTGTATATATGAAGCCATTCCTCGAGTCCATTGCGTTTCGCTTTGATCAGTATTTTTCTTTTTTCTGATGCCGTAGTCAGCCAAAGTCTTGTCAGTAAACTGTGATAATGGTGCATTGCTTGTGAATGGATCGGCATCCTTTGGACGAATGTGCCAGACTCGGTCTTGAATGGGCAGCGGTTTTCTTGGTGGCACTGTTCTGATACGTTTGCGCACTGTGGATGTGTGGTCGATGCCGCATAATCCTGTGGCTGTTTCATTCAGACCCCATTTTTCAGACGAATTAGATGATGCGGGTATACCAACCACGCTTCGAATCACCTCTGACTCACCCCGGGTCTGCTTGCGCTCTTTCTTTGCAGCCTAAAAACAACATGATTTGAGACATTATACTATCAGAACAATTACCATCAGCACCCAGACCAAAATGACACGGTTTACTTACTCTAAATACTTTTCGTAGCTGTGCGTTGGCATCATCCGCATTTTTCCATTGCCTATCGTTTAAAAGCTACTCATTCAACATATTAGCTAATGAGACTATGTGCAAGCAATCCTATATAGTTCTAGATTTTTACCTTTATAGCCGCCACATGGTCGTCTGTTTCTATCTTCTGCTTTTTTGGGCTTCCTCTATCAATTACTGGTTCAGGCACGATCATCTTACGGGCACCTCTTGTGACTAGGTACCCGATGCCCTCCGGGTTATGGTGGAACTCGATCCAGTGCCGACATTCACAGCACCTTGTCCGGAAGCTCCATATTGGCGTACTGAGATAGTTTCCAACCATCCTCTTTTCAGTCTTTAGCTGAGTCCCAGTTTCCAATAGCTTGTTGCAGCCATCACACAGGATATCATAAGGTAGCTCAAGAGTGGTAATAGAAACTCCCTTGCCTAGCTTCTGTGACCTGTTATGAAGTGAGTGCTGGCGAGAAGCCCAATCAAATGATTCCCCATTTCGCGAACTGTGCTTGGCCATATTGAAAACAGAATTCTATGAGGGGTTGAAAATAGGAGTCCCTCATAGGGTCACATACATACACTGGACCAAACATCCCTGGCACATGATTGGATAACTATGGTTGAACGAGGTGGGGGTAGCCCCTGGAAAATTGCCTAGGTGGTGGGCAATGTCTGCATATCATTGTTCCTCTTGTTACCTAGGCAAACGCTGTGGGTAGAAGGGCGCTGATGTATGATCTCCATGGATTAATTTGTGAGATTGTGGCTCAGAGTAGGGTATCCCTCAACTATACGCACTACCAGTGCCGAGAAATATCTGCACATGCTGAAGACGGGGTCAGGTATCATACCAACTATGTTTATGATGTAGATTCGACTTTCGATTGGATTTCTATGACAAAAGATTGCGATATATAAACCACACCTGCCTGGTCTGCGTTCTATTAACTAAAGCGAGTATCTATTGTCTTCCATTCAGTGAATAAAATCCTTTTCATCACCGCTATCCTCCTTGCCGCTGACACAGCTACATTTACCACAGCAACAGCAGGCAGCAGATTTCGTCACTCTACTAATCAAGGTCTTCCCCACTATGCTTCATACTAGGCAGTGATTATACGAGCCAATAGTCAACCAGAGCATGTCATCAACGGAATACTCACCCCGTACTCCTCTCAAAGTGCAGCGGTTGGAGCAGTATGTGCTTTATCTGCCAAAACCGTTCCAAATTACGACTGTCGCTGACTGCGCGATGCTGCTGTAGCTATGTCTAAGGTTCCTGAATGGCTCAAGGATACCAACAACACAATTATCCTTCAGCTATATGAGCAAGGAATTAAGGACTGTGCTGGATCTAGCCCTGTAATTCAAACCAACTGGAACTCTGCCGGCCTAGGCACAGCCAGATTCAATATAGATGGCTCACGGTTCACATGGCAATGGCGGAAATCACATCGTGACGGTGCAGCGCCGCCTGCTTCATCGATTATTAGCTATGTACAGTATCTAGTATCCTACGAGAAAAGCATAGGGCAGTACCACAACGGTGGTTACCTGACAAGCTCGGTTGTCAAGGTGGACGTTTAATATGCAGCTTGCAGTTGGAACTCCAATGAATGTGGCTGCAATATCTGGGAAGAGGCTGTGGGCGATCACCTGTACACAAGACCTGGCGCGGTTGTACGCAGCACTTGCCTCGTCGGTCAGACACCGCACACGTGCAACCGCCATAGTGTCTGGCAAGCGACAGTATGATTTCCAGCATGGTGATCGGGAAATAAATTTAAGTTGATTTACAAGCCTGATTTTGAGCCCCAGCTGTGCATTTTTTTCAGAGATCGTAAGGTGAGGGCTTGTGTGTGTTTTTCTTTTCATTTGTCGCGCTCATTCCCAAACCTTTTTTTCTGCTCTATTCTTCCCATGGACTTTTTCAAATTGCTTGGCGCCGGGGCCAAATTCGACAAAGCGCGGTTCAAGGAAGATATCTCCGTGTTCAAGGTAGTTATTGAAAGGAGAGAGAAAACGTGGAGACTTTGGTTGGCTGTCAAGTGCCTTGCAGCTAAAACTTCCCCACATGTATTGCTTTTTTATAGCCATCGAAACGTGCTGCACACCACACGGTCGATGTAGTGGACAGCGTGCCCAAAGAACTCGATTTCTTTGGTGATCATGGCAGGCAGCAGCAGCAGCAGCAGCAAAAGAAAAAGACAGCGGGCGTGCCGACCAGCCAGCTGAGTGGATCAGCCAGTCAGTATATTCATACGGAAGATGACCATTCGCCATTCCAGAGCGAGTCAGAGGTTGCCGAATTCCTGAAGAAGCACCGGATCAAGGTGACAGGCAGCGACGTGCCGCACCCGGTAAAATCGTTTGATATGCTGTGCAAGGAGCACGAATTCCCGGCGTTTGTGCAGCGGAATCTGCAGAAGTTTGGATTCCGACAGCCGACGCCGATCCAGATGCAAGCGGTGCCAATTGCAGTGCACCGGCGCGATCTGATTGCCAACGCACCAACTGGATCAGGAAAGACCTTGGCATTCCTTCTGTCGATTCTGCATGACATTAATACGCCCGAAAAGGAAGGGTTCCGCGCGGTGGTGGTATCGCCGACACGAGAGCTGGCAACCCAGATTTATGAGCATATGCGCAATCTGACATTCGGACAGAAGGTCAAGACGTGCCTGATGACGAAGAAGGCGGCGACATTGCAGGCAGAGGACCCGATGATGCGGCAGCGGTACGATATCCTGGTGACGACGCCGCTGCGGCTGGTGCATTCGATCCAGAAGGGCGAGATTAACCTGAAGCACGTGCGGCGGCTGGTTCTGGATGAGGCGGATACACTGATGGAGAAAGGTTTCCTGGAGCAAGTTGACGAGATCCTGGCAGCATGCACGTCGCCGAACTTGCAAATCTCGTTGTTCAGCGCAACGATGCCGTCGAGCGTGGAGTCAATGGCGAAGACGATCATGAAAGGACCCGGTGCGCGTGATCATTGGTGCTATGAACTCTGCTACGGACACGATCGACCAGCAGCTGGTGTATGTGGGCCAGGAGGAGGGCAAGCTGGTGGAGGTCCGCAACATGATTGCATCGGGATTCAAGCCGCCCTGCCTGATCTTCGTCCAATCCATTGATCGAGCACAGGAGCTGTTCCGCGAGCTGGTGTTCGAAGGAATCAACGTCGATGTGATCCATTCAGACCGCACGCAAACGCAGCGGAACCGGATCATCCAAAAATTCCGCTCGGGTGCGCTGTGGGTGCTGATCTGTACAGAGCTGATGGCACGAGGCATTGATTTTAAGGGTGTCAATATGGTGATCAACTACGACTTCCCGCAGTCCGCGCAGTCGTACATTCACCGTATTGGCCGAACGGGTCGTGCAGGGCGGGCCGGTAAGGCCATCACGTATATTACAAAGGAGGATGCGCCATACCTGCGTGTGATCGTCAATGTCATGCGCCAGTCCGGGTGCGATGTTCCCGAGTGGATGCTGGAGATGAAGAACCCGACAAACAACGACCGCAAGAAGCTCAAGAAGAAGCCCGTTGAGCGCAAGGACATCAGCACCAAGCCCAACTATGCAAAGAAGCGGCACCAGAAGAAGGCAGATGGCCAGTCCAAGGCCAAGAAGCCGCGTGCCAAGAGCGACGACTCGGAGTAAGTGCTCGTATTTAAATTTAAATATAACTGGAATTTCTTTAGAGAGCAGTGCCAGCGCTCGAGGTTGTCACGGATCTCCTTTGTGTGCTTGTCGTACATGCGGTTGATGTGGCGATGGCAGGCGGGCATTCTTGTCGTTGATGTACGTCACGTCCTCGCCCTCCTTCTCGATTTCGGGCCGGTGCAGTGCATCGCGGCGCTTCTGCTGGTCGTCAACCATCTTGACCAGCTTTTCGATATTGCGCGGTTCAGGCCGGTGCTCGACTCCCGATCCCTCTCCCGCCTTCTGTTTCTGGTAGGCGGCCAGATCGGGCCTGAGCTTCGCAATATCCCGCTCATACTTGCGCTGATTGACCTGCGCGAAATCCGTAAAGCCCGTCTCCTTCCGCTCTTCCTTCCGGCGCCGCTTATCCTCATAGCGTTCTACCTGCTCGACTGAGTACTCCTTGAACCGTGTACGCTCGTAGTCGTCACCTTGGTAGTCCATTTTGTCTTTGGCAATCTCGGCTGCCCGCCGTTTGCGCTCGGCGCGGCGCTCAGAACCTGGGTTCTCGCGGCTGCGCTGGTACTCCTCGTAGACCTGCTTTTTGTTTTCTTGCGAAGAGTGGGCAAGACGGGCGCGCAGAGCCTTAAGTCGCTCGACCTGTGGCTGCAGCTGGGCGGGGATGTTCCGCCGCTCGGTTATGTCGGCCGTGGACTCGTCCGACGACGATTCCGAGTCTGAGCAAGAGTCTGAGACTTCTCCCTGATCTGCCTCCTCCCTCACTTCCTGCCGCTCTTCAGGCCTCTTCACTGGCTTTCATTGCTTCCTTTTCCCTGTTGTTCGCCATTATATCGTATAGAAGGTAATATACAAAAGCTTCTACTACGCCTGTGAAAAAAAAAAAGCGCCGCAAGAAACAGATGACATGTTGCTCTACGCGGAATGTTATGGTGAATTTCCAGCTGCCTTCGTGTGATATGGAGCGTTTTCTGGATCCACCCCCTAAAAAGGGTTTAATACGTTGAGACAGTTCTGGGTGATGCGTATCATACTGACAGTAAACGCAGTCAATGGCGTCGGCTTTTGGACAATTCACCTATAAAGGCGAGGGCCAACAGCAGCTTCTTTCATCCCTCAGATATATTTGTCCTCTCAACAGCATGAACAAGATCCGTACTTCCACTGTACCCTACGTTACTGCCCCCTATGCAGGAAATCTGCCCATGCGAATATTGTGCAGAACACAACAGAATAACAGGCGATGAAGCAGAAAGTTGAAACATAGTATTACCAGCAATGTTGATCTTAATAAATTTGGGCTTTGTCATTATCCATGCCGTTTACATTCAAATGTGTATATCTACATATTGCATTGTTCAGTGTAATAAACTTACTAAACTTGTGGCGCCTGCGGTACGAGCTCAGCTAGTCAATAGGGTTTAGACCGTCGATTTTGTGGAAGTGAATTTGCTACAGAGGTTCATGGCTTAAGGCTGATATAGAAACTGCCTGGAAAATTAAGAATAATTACTCTTGCTAGGGGCTTGGCTTGGGGGATTGTTTGCTTGTTTACAGTCTGGGTGCCAGCAGACCTATCGGGTGCGGGGTCAGTAGTGAAACCTTGCAGGTGTCTTGCCTGTCTGACACAATATGAGGTGTGTTCCTTCGAAGTGACCTCGATGCAACTCACCTGTAAGTATAGCAATTTATTTTTATCACAGGAGGCTGCAGAGCAAAAGTGGGCTTTCATGCCATTGTCCACGGTAGGCGATTCTTGTGCTGTTAAATATATCCAATGAGTGGTTGCCGATACACATCACCAAGTCGAACCCAGCATCAGGATATGTCATAGCTGGCAGCCATGAAGATTAAATAACGGAATGTAAAGGGGGGTTTGTAGGGAAGTCAGAATGTATGGAAAGGGGCGAGGAAAAAGAAAAGGTGAATATCACAGGAGAGGGTCGCTTTTAAATATAGGATGTGTGTTGACCAGCAAGACAACAGTTCCAAGTCTGAGCGCCGAGGATGCGGAAGTCAAGTGATTTGTTTATTGGATTGCTAGACCTACAAAATGTGAAGGATCGAAGACGAATAGCGCTTTAGTATATGGTGCCGGGTTTAGTTTTACCAGTTTCTTTCAGATATATGTTTGACAGCTTAGGATCTGAATCCATCAGCTAAAAGAGAGGGTATTGTTTTTAAGGGTTCACAGAACGAGTCGCGCATACTTGTTGTGAGGCTCAAAAGGCGTGAATCCTTTCAACTAACCAAAAAGGCTCTAGTGGACGGTCTGACACACTTGGACAATAAAGCTTTATGTAGTAGAGGGATTCAGCAATGTGAGTAACTGTCAAATACCATTCTCAGGCTTAATTATTGATATCAGCTGCCCTTGCAATGTGCGCTTTATATGATGCTGGTGTGATTCTTTCGAGCAGTTGTGCTCATGCAAAATGGATAATTGTGCTATTTGGTTTGGCTGGGTGATAAGCATCAATACAACAGCAGTAGGTGCAAACATCCAGCGAGAATTTGTGCCTATAAAGGCACTCCTAGAATGGAATGCTGTTGGGAGTTCCTCGTATTCCTTCTTTTGTCCCTTTCTGATTTTGCGACAAAGTGTATACATCCACCAATGGTCAACTCTGCTATTGTATGTCCCATCAGCGACGACATCTACCCAGGAAAGCGATGTACATGCGACATATGCACAGGGATATCTGACTAGTAAAATCAAAGGATCCATCTTTGTGTGAGTGAGGAGAAAACAGGCAGAGTGGTATATGCTGCTCGATGGCAAGGTTGCGACATGCCGCACTGCAGCCAAGCTCATGCTTTGTATCTCTATTACATCTTATAATATACCCATGCCCTAAAATGTTCACCTCAGCAATTGCTTACGCCAGCAACCAGTTCTGTGTCCAGATTCTGAGGTGCAGATGCGATAGATGTCTTGGAACTGACTAAAAAAGCAAATAAAGTACGTGATATGTGCCCTAGGAGGACTTCTAATGTAAAACAGAGAAGAGAAAATTAAATAAAAGGAAAGGTTTTTGCGAGTTCTTTACATCTTCAGCTTAGTGTCGACATCGGCAGCAATGCCGGCACCAGACAGGTACGAGTCAAGCTGGCCCGAGGCAGCAAGCAGCAGACCCAGGAACGGCGGCGACGGGGACAGCGGACGGGTCAGGTACTCGGGGTGGTACTGGACAGCGACAAAGTACGGGTGGCTCTCAAGCTCAAGGATCTCCATGCGCTCACCAGTGTCGGCATCGCGGCCAACAAAGTGCATGCCCTTGGCCTCCAGCTCATCAACGCGCTCGGGGTTGACCTCGTAGCGGTGGCGGTGGCGCTCGTTGACCTCGTCGACGCTGCCGTAGAGCTGGCGGATCTTGGAGTTCTGGGCAAAGCTCGTGCCCTGGAACTTGGTGGGGCGCGAGCCCAGGCGCATGGTGCCGCCCATCGTGGTGCGGTCGATCTCGGGCATGAAAACAACCACGGGGGTGTCGCAGTTCTCGCGGAACTCGGCCGAGTGCGCAGTGGGCAGACCGGCCACGTGACGCGCAAACTCAATCACAGCCACCTGCAGACCCAGGCAGATACCGAGGTAGGGCACATTGTGCTCGCGGGCCCACTTGGCAGCCAGCACCTTGCCCTCGACACCGCGCTCACCGAAGCCGCCCGGCACCAGGATACCGTCGGCAGCGCACAGACGCTGCCAGGCCTCATGGTACTTGAGCGGGTCCTTCTGCGCCGACGACTCCTCGAGATCCGAGGCCTCGACCCAGCTGATCTCGATCTTGCGGTTGACGTTCAGCGACGCGTGCTCCAGCGCCTTGACCACCGAGATGTACGAGTCGGTCAGATACGTGTACTTGCCGACCACAGCGATGGTGGTGACCTCGAGGTCGCGCGCGCGGCGGCGGGCAAACTCACGCCACTGGGCCCACAGCGCATCACCCTCGCCCTGCAGCTCGCCCGAGATCGACAGCTTGTTGAGCTTCAAGCGCTCGGTCAGGACGTCAATGATGCCCTGCTTACGCAGAAGGATCGGCACGTGATACAGGCTCTCGCAGTCATGCACCGAGAACACTTGCTCGGGGCGCACCTGGCAGAACATGCTGAGCTTCTCGCGGATGCCCTCCTCGAAAGGCGTAGCCGACCGGCACGCGAGGATATCCGGCGACAGGCCGAGACCGCGCAGGTCGCGCACGGACGCCTGCGTGGGCTTGGTCTTCTGCTCGCCGACAGCGCCAACAACAGGCACCAGCGACACGTGGATCAGGCAGAAGTTGTCGTGGCCGACACGGAACTGGAACTGACGCATGGCCTCGATGAACGGCGCCGACTCGATATCGCCAACAGTGCCGCCCAGCTCGACAATGCACACATCAGGGATGCGCCCGTTCTGCGACGTGGGCACACGGCCGACGCGCTCGACCCAGTCCTGGATCGCGTTGGTGATGTGCGGCACCACCTGCACGGTCTTGCCCAGGTAGTCACCACGACGCTCCTTTTCGATGACCTCGCGGTAGATCTTGCCCGTCGTGATGTTGTTGTCGCGAGACAACTGCACACTCAGGTACCGCTCGTAGTTGCCAAGGTCAAGGTCGACCTCACCTCCGTCGTCCAGCACAAACACCTCACCGTGGTCCAGCGGGGAGAGCGTGCCGGCGTCGATGTTCAGGTACGGATCGATCTTGATCGAGGTCACCGTCAGACCCAGAGTCTTGAGCAGAAGTCCCGTCGACGACGCAATGATACCCTTGCCGATTCCAGAGATCACACCTCCCGAAACAATAATGTACTTGGTCTGCTTGGCCATAGTGCTGGTGTAGTTCAGATGATAAAGATGACAGATGGAGGGGGTAACTCTACAGAAATGAAAGGGCCATAGCCGATAGACGGTCAGCATCCAAGCAGTTTAGGCGCAAAAAATATTTTTTATGAGCAACAGCACGTAATTTGGTGATAAAATCCAGCGATTACAGGTTACAGATGACTGACCGCCACAGCGCATGCAGAGAGTAAAAGAACTCCTGTGCAGGTGGCGCGTGGACGGCGCCTCTAGATCTGCTCTCGCATCGGAGATGGAGAGTTTGCCCTTACATTGCTTGGATTGCCGTAGAGTTAAAGTGCCCGACTCAGAAGATGTGGAAGGAGAACGGGAAGAAAACACATTTTGGCCCTGGGAGACACTCCCCTTTTATACCCGTTGGAGCAGCGGCCATGGTTGAAAAATTTTCTCCTCCGTTTTACCCAGTCTGCGCAGGCACTCGATTCAAAATTTTTTTTGGGGGAATGCAGCTCAACCGCAAATCTGCACCAGCCAATCGCCGCTGGGCTGCGATGTGCTTTTCTCTTGAACCTGGAGCCGGCTTAGCAGCTCGGGATCGGCGAGCCGGGCTGTGGAGAGCCGTCCGAAACCCAATGACAAACAAAGGCATCTATGAGTCTACGGGGATACTGGCACGTGGAACGTATCTGGATATCTGGAAATTATAATGGCAGCCAAGGATATTTGGTGCCATTGTGGGCATTGGTGATAGGTATTGGTGTTTATGTTGAATAGTTTCACAGCAAAATCGCATCAGTAGCAAGAAGGTATAGACAGCGATAGTGGTACCCAGCTATATTCATTCAAGCCCTATCGACTCTGAATAGTGAAGAGGACAAATAAAGCTGGGTAATCTCTTAAGCCCATATAGTGTATTCATCTTGAGCATTATTTTCGCCTTCACTCCGACTATCATGGACCTGAAGATCAAGGCGATTCATTTCTATGGTTGTACCGATAATATAGTTGAAAACAAACGATGTATCAATGGACAGGCAGTGCTAGCAGCATAACCGCCACAGAGTTTATAAATGTGCAGTGTTCCAATTCAGAGTAGAGGAATGTTGGCACCTGCTACTCCCCGAGTCTAATTTCATGATACTAGAGTTGCTCTGCTCGCGATGCGAGTTCGGCTGCTAGTCAGCATGGGTTGACACGTCGATAAGAGCATCACGGCTAGCCGGTCATTTGAACGTGTCGGATGGCTGTTGGTGCAATGTCGATCATGGACATCTCCAATCTTGATGGCCTGCTCAGCGTAGGTGTTTCAGCGCTGGCTCGCTGCTGCTGGCAGCAGTGTTGTGATCTAGTTATTGGTTTCAAACAATAAAGCCAAATAATTTACGCTACACTCGTTGAAGTTGGACAAACTCTGTATCAGTGGGCATCTAATCCTCAGAGCTAACCCTCGCATACGATGTTCAAAGTATCTATAACCATAGTCACAAATTGTATGACTACCATTCATTTATGGCTGGAGAAGTATTGATATTGGAAATACTAGAAAGAAAAGATAATTACAGATATTTTTTGCTCACGAGCAGTTAGGGTAGGCCTGAGCGTTGGTGGGAGTTTGGGCAAGCTTGACCTCGGCGTTGCGGCGGCGCGTCAGGCCAGACAGAACACGGCCACCAGCCTTGTTCCACTTGGGCAGCTCGCCGGCAATGACAGTGTTCGGGTTCTCACCAGCGTTCAGACGCTTGACCAGGTTCGATGACTTGGCTCCGCCGCAGCCAACGTTGAACACCCACGACACCAGCGCACCCCACTGGTAGTCATTGAGCTTGACATTGCCGTTCAGGTAGTTGCCCAGGCAGGTGTACTTGGGGATATCGTCCTTGAGCAGAGCCTCAGCAGTGGCCTGGGTCAGCGGGAAGCCGTACTTGACCTCCTTTGCAGCCCTTGGTCTGGCACAGGTGGCCGTAGCCGACGGTAGGCAGACCAATGGGATCGGGAGCCGGGCTCTTGACGAAACCTTCGAACTCCTTGATCATGTTGAGTGCAGCAGCGTTGACGCTCTTGCAGTATCCGTTCGAAGAGCCGCCACCAGTAGAGCCGCCGCCGCCGGTGGATCCGCCACCAGCGGAATCGCACTTCGTAGTGACGTAGCCGCTGCTGCCAGTCTTGACATAGTAGTCAGCGACATAGCAACCGTGCTGGGTCTTGTCCCAGAGGGAGTCGCCCTTGATAGTCTCGCCAGAAGTTTGGCACGAGAGAGTGACGTCGTCGCTGCTGCTGTATGAGCGAACGACGCCGTAGCTGGTACCAGGTCCAGAGCGACAGTTAACACCGTCACTCTTGATGGCGTAACCAGAAGCGAGCTGCGAAGTGGCAGCAAGAGCGAGAGCAGTGGCTGTGAAGAGCTTCATCTTTTCGATGTTCTGTGTGTAGTTGGGGAGAGAGTGGAAGGTGTTGTTTTTGCTGTTGATGATGGGTCGATGGAAGCAGGCTGCAGCATGCCCTCTATATATGCGAGAGATTTCGAGATGCAAGCATGAGGCATACGGTCATGGCTTTACTTTGCATGGCAGGTCATTCTAAAATTAGCACATGGGTAGCTGCACCATCTGTTTACGGCTCAGTATGCGTTGTTGAAAGATGTAGTCACCATAGAGCAGGAATCAATGCACTGCATATGCTGCTGGTGCTAAAAATAAACGACGGTCTTGCAACTTTTGATAACTTGCTTACAACAGTCCAGAACTTGCTCAAGGAGCTACCGGTTTGAGCGAGTATCTAAAAATAAATTGACAGGCAAAAATCATATGGTGCAAATTCCAGGTCGATCTCCATGTAAGCATGCATGGTTATGCAGATACACGGCATCTAAAAATAAACACATCACTTGGGTATTGATGTAGTGGTAAAGCTAAGCGGTTCGTATATAAGCATGCATGGAATATCTTGGATTACATGACCTAAAAATATAGGAAAAACCGGCTAAAATATTCCATAGCTTGAAAAAAACATGTCTGCCATACATTAGCGCTTCTATCGAAATGGGATGCACTCCAAATTCTCATGAAGTTGCATTATCTTTGTAATAGCCTTGTTAGCATTAATCTAGAAAGAATTGTTAGGGTGATTTCTGGAATAGGCTACATATCGACAGCAGCAACAGTTGCGTTATGTGTGCTTGTTTGCTATATGAGCTATTGCTGCTTACAAGAATTTCACTGAAATATGGCTAGTGAAGTAGAGATTGGAGATTTGTATATAAACTCGCCGGATATCCTATTTCAAACCCTATTCAAACCATATCACAACCAGAAGACCAGAAGACCAAAAATATATATTCTTATAAATGAAGCTCATTTCAGTCGCTGCTCTTCTACTCGCCACTGCCTTGCAGCTCGTCTCTGGCTACGCCATCAAGGGCAGTGTTGTCAACTGCCGCCCAGGTCCGGGGACCTCACACAAGGTCGTCCTCGTGTACAAGAAAGGAGCCCAGGTGACGCTCTCGTGCCAGACTCCGGGTACAGACGTCAAGGGCAACGATATCTAGGACAAGACCCAGCACGGCTGTTACGTGAGCGACTATTATGTAAATACGGGCAACGGCTATGTGGCCGAGAAATGCTCCAAGCCCAACGACAAACCCAAGCCTTGTGACAAGCCCTGCGACAAGCCTGACGACAATCCCAAGCCAGGTGACAAGCCTAGCACTAGTGCGGATCCGATGAAGGATGTTTATCCATACAAAGACGGTAGCTGCAATGGCGTCGACAAGTGGAGCTACTACAGGTGCCAGTGTGTCAACTTTCGTCGTCCGGTGGATCAACTCACGTCTGGGCATCGACTTCAACAACCACTACAAGGATAAGAGGTGGGATAATGCCAACGAGTGGGATGACGCCGCGCATGCCTCGGGCGTCACTGTGAGCAACACGCCGAAGCCGGGAGCTGTGGGCCAGACTGACCAAGGCAGCAGGTAGGATATGTGGTGTGGGTAGCCAAGATCTCGGGCAACAGCGTCACTACTGAGGAGTACAACTACAAGCATCACAAATACGGCACGTGGACTGTCCCCAAGAGCTCGTTCGGGTACACCCACCTCAAGAAACAAGCAGGAAAGTGACAAATTAATACTCTATGTAGCATATCCCAAGGAAGCAAAATACCAAAAACGACTATAAGCAAAGCACATGGATATGAGGATGAATGTAGTATATCGGAACCACCCGTTGACACTGTTGTTAGAGAGGATTGTGTCTTGGGCACGATGGGGGTTCAGCGACTTGCTGATCGTCGCCAAGCAATCAATAATCCGAATCACCAGCATGTGGGGGTAGTAGATGTTTGAGAGTGACGTTATTAATGGAGACAATGGTACAGGCAGGTTTCGCACCCTGTATTTTTTTTTAATTTTTTTTTTTGCTATTCATTGAATTCCACGGCGAGATGGACACAATGTCGAGAAAGAAGAGCATGCGGCGCACCTATGACAGTAGCACCGCGCGCCATGCTGGATGCAAAGCCAGCGGCAGACGCACAGCAGGCGGAGGTGCCGAATGTAGTGCTGAGCGAATTGGTCGCGTCGAATTTCAAGCCCGAAGACTACTTGAAGCGCACGCTCAAGGCAGTGCCCGAGAAGAGCATCCGGCAGTTCCGCAAGGCGCTGGAGGACTCGCGCAAGCTGACGGCGCGAAACCTGCAAAAGAACGTGTACCGGAACTACGAGAGCTTTGTGTTTATCTCCAAGGAGATCTCAGGAATGGAGCGCGACATGCAGCTGCTGCGCGAGCTGCTGTATAATATCAGCCAGGTGGGTGACGATTTGATTGAGGAGGAGACAGAGGAAAACCTGGGGCGGCGGCGTACGCTGCGCATGAGCATGGCGAACCAGCAGGATATGTTCAAGGAGCAGCTGGCCAAGGTGTGGCGGTCGGTGCAGGATGCGCAGCGGATTTGTGCCGTTTGCGCCGAACCGGCACGTGATTGGCGAAATCAAGGGCATTGGCGAGCTCAGCCCGTCGACGCTGGCCGCGCGGCAGAAAATCGACGTGGTTGTGCTCAACGACATTCTGCTGCTGGCAGTGCGGCGCAAGCGCGGCAACTACTCGCAGGCAATTCCGGTGGCCGACCGGGCATTCAACATGGCCGATGTATCGGTCGAGGACCTGGGCGACTCGCCGCGCATGGCCAATCTGGTCAAGCTGGTGAACCGCGCCGAGACACTGATCTTTGCCTTTGCGCATATTGAGTCCAAGAAGGAGTTTGTCATGCTGATTGACCACGCCAAATCCACGCTGTTCTCGCTGGACGCCATGCCGATGCCGCCGGTACGCGACCTCCCGGCCCGCTCAGTCAAATCAGGGGCGTCCGGGCAGCTGGGCAGCATTGCCGAGGACGAGGCAGGACAGTGGGAGCGCCGGCGCCAGGGCTCGGTTCGATGAGATGCTGGATGCGCTGGACATCCATATTGCTCGGCGCGAGTTCGACGAGTCGACAGCGCTGGTGCTGAAGCTGAAGCAGCGGCTGGAGGCGGCGGGCAAGGGACCGGAGGCTGTGCGCGAGGCCGTAGAGGCGCATGTTGCGGAGCTGGCGCGGCTGATATTGGCAGATCTGCTGATTCCATGCTCGCCGCGCAAGCAGGTGGCAGGCAACGTCTCCCTGCTGCACCGGCTGGGGTGGGACAAGGAGGCCAAGGAGGCATTCCTGGCGTCGCGCAGCGCGACCATCAAGAACCGCACGCGGCAGCTGAAGCTCGAGGGCAACACGCGGCTGTATATCCGCGAGCTGGCAGTGGTGTATTTCCGCCTGATCCGCAACACCTGCGAGTGGTATTCAGAATTCTTCCAGGACCCGACCATGATCTCGGCGCTGATCGCCTGGGTGCGCCAGGAGATGGCCGGGTATGCGGCGATTTTCCGCCGCCACGTGTTCCACGAGACGCAAAAGTTCCAGACCATCGCGTCGTGCCTCAAACATACGCTGGTGGAGGTCGAGATTCTGGGCCACGCCGGGCTGGATCTGAAGTTCATGCTGGACCAGGAGTTCTTCCCGGACCTGACCGGCTGCATCCGCAGTTACGAGACCCGGTGCATCGCAATGTTGGGAAAGGCCGTCGCCGAGGACTCGCTGGCCATTGCCAGCAAGATCACGGCCGGTACGGAGGAGCTGGCAAAGGTGTTTGGCAAGCAGATCCCAATCATTGCCGCTGTTAGCAAGCTTGACGAGGTGCTGACGGACTTTGGCAACGAGCTACGGTACATTGTGCGCGACTCGCTGTACGGCCAGTCAGTAGCCAGCGTCACCGCCATAATCGAAGGCGTGCTCAAGCACCTCCTGACGGCACTGCGTCGCGGCACCATCACATATGCACAAGAGTTCGCATTGCTGGTCAGCACACAAGCCATTGTGAGCTGGGTGATCCCACGCATCGGCTACGCAGCTCGACCGGGTGTTTGGGCGCACCGTCACCGACATCCACAACCTGGAGCAGCGGCTCGAGGCCTTCCCGCTGTCCCTACAGGACGTGTTCTGCCAGAAGCAGTCACTGGCGATTGCCCGGGCGACCTTTGACTTTGTCACCACCGATTTCAACAACGACAGCACGGTGACCGACGCAATGACGCCGTCGCAGGAAATGGAGCGGCTCTTGCTGCGGCTTCGGCGATGTGGCGCGCGCGCTCGACAGCTGGCCGGCTTTGCCCAAGCGCACAGTCCTGAGCGGCATCATTGACTGCCTGTTTGTGCAGATGATTGAGCCGCGCAACTGGGAGACGGCGGCAGGCGAAAAGCGGCCGGTTCAGCCATTTCGGCGTCCACCGGCTTGTGCTCGACATTCATTTTCTTCTGCGCGTCTGCGGCTCACTGGTCTCCAAGGGCACCAACGACATGGCCAACCGGGTGTGCGAAAAGGGCCTGCGCGCGTACTTTGCCGCTAACCGCAGCAAGGGGCTGGAGATGAAGAACCGCCCGTGGTATGATGCCAGGGTGCTGGTGACGATGCAGAGGCTTGGGTTTGCCTTCCCCGAGTTTGGCCACGGGTTCGAGCACCGCGCACAGCAGAGCTTTGAGGGTGCGCCGCCCAGCAGAGGCAATACCGCGAGCCCGGCCACGCCGGTATCGGCGACTGGCGGGCAGTTCTCGAGGACGCAGTCCCACCAGTCGGCGGCTGACCCTGCGCCGCAGTAACAGCACCGAGAGCCAGAAAATGTGGTGTCGGTACACACTGCAAATCCTTTTTGCAAGGGACACCAGCAGTTCTGCCATGTGAGGCAAGCAGTGTGACATGGGGCATTAATTCGTGCAGTAGTTTCAAATCAAGTTTTATTCCAACGGTGACTCCATGTGACGCGGTTTATTCGCGCCTTTATACCAACGTTGTGATAATAGCGATATTTGTTTTTCCTCTTTAGTTTCCCTAGCACCTTTCTTCCTACACTTTTCCTTTCCTTTCTACGTTCATTTTGGTAGTGAGCCAAATGGTGTGGCAGCTGGCAAACCTTTGTCATACGTCGTCGAATCATACAATTTGTCATTGGTGAGTGCACAAAGGGCTCCACAGACATTGCAGCCTTTGACAAGCAGTACTACAGGGATCGGGCAAAGGCGCTATCGCCACTGCTGTGCGTTTGCCGCGAGTGGTACCAGCTTTTTCTCCCTGCCCTGTACATGCATTACATTATCACCATCGACAACAACAGACATACTGGCAACCTGAGCTTGGCAGCATCGCGGCTAATACACACGCTCTACATTGAAGTATTGCCCACAGTGTCCTCCAAGCAGGCCATCCCAGCACTAGCATCCATTCTCTCCGATGGCGTATATTCATTCCACACGGTGATTGTCGAGGCGGATCTTGTGGAAGACCCAGCAACACAAACGACCACTCAGCCCTTATTCATATGCCAAGGCCTGTCAGCAATCTACCTGAAAAGCGCAAACACCGCGGTTCACATGCCTCCAAACACCGGCTGCGCAAGGCATCGCTAGGTCCCTTTCATGCCTCAAAGGGTACGCTGCGGTGGCAAACAACTACGCAGAAGCTGAATATGTTTTGCCTGTGGTTATTTCGGAACTGGCCACGCCAACCTCGCTAATGTTTACTAGCCTGGACGCCCAGGCGAACGCCTATGAGTTGGTACGGCGGTCCGCCCGCACGCTGGTTTCGCTTACCTTCCTGATGTCGTCATATACGGCCCTGCGGAGAGTCCTATACGGCACCAAGTCTTTGCCCATAGTGTTCCCGCAGCTGCAGAAATTGTGCGGCACATTGGAAAACGGCAGGTGGTTTGCGATCCCTTTAGGCACATTCCCCAGGCTGCAAATGCTCTGCGATAAATTGCATTCTGCGTGGCAGCAGCGGGCCGGCGGCACAGCACATGCACTGGCCAGCCTGGTGATGCAGATTGAGCTGCCTGAATTGACCACGCTGGCAACGCATACCGCGGCGGGCATGGATCTGGTGCCGGCGAATGTACCGAATCTTAGGTCGGCTGAATACTCGATCCAGCCGTTTTCGGCCGAGCGGCTGCGCGATGAGGCTGTGTCGGCACAGCTCCACAGGTTGTTGCTACTGCCGCATCTGCACAGACTGCTTCTGCACGACCAGATCCCGACCGTGTCGGTGCGTACCGACCAAGTGGATCTGTGGCATTACGAGTTGCGGTATTTGAATGTAGGGTTGATCACAGTGTCGTTTGGTAGCGCCATTAAGCTACTCCGCAGCTTGCAGTGGCTGCAAACTTTGGTCTGCGCGATCAGCGATTTAGTCTCGGTTGCCGGAGGACGTGCCAGGCGACCAGGCTCTAAGCAACACCTTGCATACTTTGGCAATGTACGTGATCCGCAACAAAACTCTGATCATCGACCGGCGGCCATCGGAGGTCATCCTGGCACGGCTGCCGCAGCTTGCGCTGGTGCAGGTCCAGGCTGACAGCCTGGCAGTCGATGGGTACTTGCGCGGGCTCGGGCAGCAGCTACGATTTCCGTGGTCGCAGGATGTGGCCGAACGCGTGTCCGTGGTGGAAACAGATCTGTTTGAGCGGGCGACATGAAAACAAAAATTGCATTACTAATAAATTTTTTCACAGTCGGCGCACCGGGATGTTCAGACGCTGGTTGCGCTGCCAGAACGCCATTAGGATTTCCGCCAGCTGCTGCGGCAGGTCCTCCTGGATTGTGTGGCCGGCTGAAGGCAGAACCTCGAGCTGGAACTTGCCCTGCATTTGCGCAATCAGCAACTCCTTGTCCAAGCGGTCAGTGCCCGCCAGAACCAACAGTCGGGCTGCAGGTGCCGTGACAAATGCCTTCGACAGGCCCTGGTACCAGCCGCGCCAGAACGGCTCAGGTGGGCAGAAGGTCCGTGCGCCACACATACTTTTTCGGTTCAATCTCGCGCACCAGCGACGGCACCGAGAGCCGTGCCGACTCCACACTGTGGATGGCGCCCGAGTCGATGTGCCAGGCTATCGCCTGCTCCACTGACGCAAAGCTCTGCGGCCGCATACTGATGAACACCGGGATCGCATGCAGCGAGTCCATTGCCGAGCCCTCGACAATATCGACCAGAGCCACGCCTAGCACATGCTGCAGCCGCTTCGCACTATGTGCTGCCACCGCTCCGCCCATACTGTGCCCCATCAGCACCACGTCGCGCGCATTGCCTGGAAACATCTCCTCGAACACTGCAATTTGGTCGTTCACCAGTTGCGCCAGGCTCAGGTCATCGTGTGGGCCTGTGGTATCCCCGTGGCCGCGGCAGTCCATGGCTACTATGGAGCATGCGGGGAGGTTGGCGGAAAGGTGCTTGGCCAGTAGCCCGAATGTCAGGCCCGAGTGGCCGGCGCCATGGTGCAGAATAAAGATCGGGCCTGTGTTTGTGTGCTTGCAGGAATACACATTGAAAGCGGTGTTGCCTACCTCTATCGACTGCTTGCTGTCAAAGTAGCTGGACCAGTCGAGCGGGTGCAGCATGCTTGTACTGGGCACGGCAGGGGCGGCAGGCGGCACTGGGATGGTTTGTGCTTTGAACATTGACTGCCACATTGACAAAAAGGTGTTTTAATGAGGAGGGCAAGGCGGAGTTGAAATGCAAATAGTGGAAGCCTGCATGGACTGGTGAGCTGGCCATTATGCCTAGCTCGGCTGGTGGGGCTGTCGGCTCTCCGAGCCGCATCTGATCATGGCTTTCTAGTATTAACAACTACAGGCTCTACACGTATCTGTAGAAGTCCCCAATGCAGTCACCCAAGGCCGCGCTGGCAATCCTGCACGAGCTAGACAAGAAGATTAAAATCTACGAAGGCTGTCCGTTCCATCGAAATCCAGTTCCAGGAGGATGTCGCACCAGAGCTGTTTGAGCTGTATACACAGTGAATCCTGAGGCATGCCGACTGCTCTAATGCTGCGCGTTGGGAATTCTATTTGCCATAGACAGCTTAGTATTTGCAGCTGAGTGAACACGCTTCAGCACTTTCGGTGTCTCTTGTATCATGCCACCACGGATCTAGAAATCAAGTTTACTTTCTGGTCCACCTAACAATTTATTGCACCATTGTGCCAAACAGGTGGCTGTGGGAATACGCCGTATATAGCGTAGAGTGGTGTGTGGACATAAGTCAGCCACACAAGCCATTCTCTAGTCCAGATAGTGTGTAGAAATGCATTTTATCTTCTCTAGCTTTCGTTATTTGCTTAAACACATCCAACAGCACGGTCAACTATGGCCATCTCACAATCAGTGGTCGAGGAAGAGACCAAGTGGGTCACAGCTAATGGTTATGAGTTCTACACTCGCCTGTTCAAGTCCGTAGTCCAGCCGCCCAAGGCCACCCTGCTGCTCATGCATGCGCTCGGCGACCGAGTTGAGAACTACACAGCAATGGCTCAGTACTTTGCACATGTCGGAATCCAGTTCTTTGGGTTCGACCAGCGCGGGTTTGGCAAGTCTGGGAGCAAGGCCGGTGACTTGGGAGACAACGGCGGTGTAGATAACGTTGTCAAGGACATTGCTGCCATGAACAGACTTGCTATGATCGACGGTGTGAAACATTTCATGTTTGGCATCTCGATGGGAGGCATGCACGTTCTCAACTACTGCCTGGTCCACAACCAGGATGGTCATATCGCTGGTATCATATCAGACGCACCTGCGCTTGAAAACTCTGGGCTCTTAGTACCGAGCGACGAGGAGGTCAAGAGCTGCGAAGAAGACTCTGCCAGCCGCAAGATCAAGAAAACCTGCGGATTTAAGCCCGAAGACGCTTTTTAACAACCAAGCGATAGTGGAGCAGTGGGAAAGAGACGACCTCTGTTTAAATTACTCTACCTTGGGTACTTTGGTCGATATGTATACTGTAGGCCCTCGCATTACTGCTCGCGCATCTGATTTCATCACGCCGGTGCTGCTGGACACATGCTGATGGTGACAGTATCACGGATCCGAATGCCACAAGAGAGTTCTTTGCTGGTCTGCCTGACAGTCTCGACAAGAAGCTCAAGATAATTGAGAACTGCCCTTTCCATGTGATTACCTGGCGTGGTTGGGCATGAGCTAGAGCTAGCTGACGAGTATACGCAATGGATTCTGTCGCGTGTGGAGAGGGATAGCTAGATAGCCTGTATAGCCTGCATAGTCAACTATACTTTCAATTCAACTATACTTTCAATATATCCAGCACTGGTGAGGCAGAGGAGCCTGCTTGTGGCAGATATTGCTTGAGCAGCGATTTGGCGCAACGTGCTTCCAGGACCTCGGTCTGTTAGATCCTAGCCCTGCGGCTTATTTTCGGACCATGCAAGCGGTTGCCAAGTACCATTTGGTTGCAATTTTAGAACTGATTGACATGGCTGCTGGTATGTAAATTGGCACTAGGATTGACTCTGCGCATATCTGAAAACTAAAAATAGATAGCATGCTGTGCTATTCCTTCTTAGATATTTGAGGATGCCATTTCGCTTGGCAGGCGGTGACGCATGGAACGGTTCAAAGGAAACTGCGTCATGCCAAGATTGGTACTTTCTGGTATGCAGTGCATCTTTGCATGTTATGATATCAGAATTCCATCTTCACCATCGATACTCATGGGGCGAGATAGACGTTTCTGCCAGCACCGACAGGTCAAGCGACATATAAAAAGCTAGACGTGACACCAAGGTATTCCTCGTTTCCATCAACAACTACATTTCGCTCCAGCATCTACACTTGCATCTGCATCGCCAAAAGCATCATCAAAAGCATCAATTCACCAAACCCAATACCAACTTTCAAGCTTGAAACAATGCGCGTCATTATCTCTGCCCCACTTGTCCTCTGTGCCGCACTTGCTGTAGCAGCTCCCGTCAATCATGCGCCTACCCACCAATCCGAAGAGTCATTCTATTGACCACCATATTTCATCTGCTCGCCACCATGGCCATGCTTCTACCCTTAGTGCCCTACCACCCGCACTCTTCAAGAAAGTGGCATATTCCCATGGGCCATGGGCCGGTGGTGATTCCATCTAAGCACTCGGCAAACCATGCGGGCGCAACACCAACCCTCTCCGTTGACTTCGAGGACATCATTGAAGATTTCTCTTCGGATGCTATCCTTGGACACGGATCTATTGAGGACCCCGTCGTATGATTTTGAAAGCCACCATCCGCACTCTACCACCCACCGGCACCTTCGGTGCTATCCCTACCCCTCCGTCGCACCATTTCCAAAACAAGGTCAAGGTCCGCCAGGTCGCTGAAGATGACATTGGCTGAAGATGATATGAGCGTCGATGCCTCTGAAGATACCCAAGACGCCGATCCTCTTCCTGATAACATCGGAAACGATGATATGGCATCCACTGACGATAGCAGTCCTAATGATGATCCTCTCGATGGCTCAGGCTGAGGATACTGCGTCCTCGGCCACCTCGCAAAAGAAACATGGCAAGAGCGGTAAAAAGCATGGCAAGAGCGACAAAAAGCATGGCAAGAAACACGACAAGGGCCATAGCAAGAAGGGAAAGGACAAGAAAGTCCGTCAGCTTGCCGACGACGAGACTGAAGGTGCCAGCGAAGACGCAGATATCCCTGTTGATACTGAATCCTCCTCTGATATTCTTGGCGAGGTCGGATATGGCCTCTGATATCCTTGACAACGACTCTGTTGAGAACTCGCCTGAAGACGCTACTGAAGATCCCATTTCATCAGCCACCTCACACAAGAAGCACGGGAAAGGGCGACAAGAAGAGTCATGGTAAGAAAAAGCACGGCAAGAAGCATAGCAAGGGCGACGGAAAGGGCAAGAAGGGTTCGTCAGATTGGCGAAGACTGTGTTGGATGCTACGGCTTCCCCTTTGGCGATCACATGGGACATGGTCCAGTAGTTCTTCCTACGCCCACTGCGCACCAGCCGCATCATAGCGGGCACAAGAACGGTCATTCCGATGTGAAAAAGAGCAAGAGCAAGCACGTCCGCCAGGTCGCTGGTGCCATCGAAGCCCTCGAGGGATTTGTTGGTGACCTGTTTGATGTTGGCATGAACAACGTCCAGAACGGAAACGAAAACAACCACCCACAGACTCCCGGAGCGCCCATTCAGATTGGGCAGATTGAAATTTAAATAATAAAGCACGCATGGAGTAAATTACGCAAACGGTGGCTATACCTGTAGAATCCTCCTCCAACACACATCGTGCATCAATAGGCTACTGATGGCTATAATCTAGCAACTATTTTGTGTCCTAACATTGACGCACGCAAAAGATTCACCGCGTATCGAAAACCTTGAATAAATGTTTGAACCTGAAGATAGCGGCAAATGTTCGTCCAATATATCTTCACCACCAATATGGCCAACATGATAATATAACGAACACACTAATTTCCAATGTCTATTGCCTGTCATGTATACAAGGAACATGATAGTGCTCATTGGCAAATGTGCACACTTGTCGAATATAAATAATGGAAGAGTTATCAGTCCACAAGTGCTCTTTATCCATTTTTCAACTGGCATCTGGGGGGAACCCGGCCTCAGGGCACCTGCAGGCGGACAGCCCTACCACAGAATAGAGGAGCTGTGGAAACAAGTCTTACTGGCTTATATACATAATTTGCGTGAATGCATATGGAGTGATGGAAGCAGGAGTGGACAAAGCATCCAGCGCATTGCTTACCGTACATACCTAAAGAACCACACCTCATCAGTGTACAGTCAGGTGGCCGATGTACTTCCTCGACATGTAATCTATGATCCTCGACGTTGCCCCTGGAGCTTCTCCACAGTCGGTATAGTGGTACGATATATGATACAGAACATGTAGTTGTGGGTGTTCTTTTAAAGGTTTTGCATTTAAGGATGAAATTGCAAAACTGAAGAGAATAGAAAAAGGGAGAGGAAAACTACAAGCGCAGTGTGGCACCCTTTTAGAATACTTTGCTGCTGCGACTCAGCTACCGTGCAGCAGTGGAACCTGAGCAACAAACTGTGATCAGTGTGATTACAGGGCTCTGGTTGACGTCTCCATTGTCTCGGCCGATGGAAGCTATGCTCGCTGTCGGTCGGTGTGATGGCTGCCATGGCATCGCTATGCTGGGCGTTATCAGCCGCGCAGCACCCCAGATGCGGCGTGAAAAGGGGCAAGAGATGCTTGTGGACCAACAAATCCTACACAAATTATATTAAAAAGCTACAATCAGATGCGGTTCAGAGAGCCGACAAACCCGCCACAGAGTTAGGCCTATAGCCCAGCGGGGATTCTCCAAGCCTCGGCAGAGGTGAATCAGGAAGCCTCTCTCCGCTTTAATCTGCCAAGACCTTAACCACTTGTGCATCCATTCCTGAGCCTTTTTTTTAGACCCTCTCCGAAAATACATTTAATGCTATAGCCATCCGAATGGACTCGTTCAAGCAGACAGCAGGCACATGGCCGCAGACGTCGTCGCGGCACGGGTCCCAAACACATAGTCCGCCCAGGTCGTTACATTCAGCTGGTAATTCGGTAAGCGGGTTCCACAGCGACAACGACGACCTAGTACCGCTTCGACAGCTGCGGGCGTCACAGGACGCACTGCAGCCAGAGCCCACAGACATGATCACTGGGTGGCTCTACAACGGGCCGCTGCAGCGGGCACGGTATGAGGATTTTTCGACAATCGATTGGATCTACGAGACGGCGAAGGCGCGGCGGAACCGGAGCAGCATGGCGGGGCAGGCGCGCGGCTGGCGTGGGCGCCTAAAGGTACTGTGGAATGCGTCACAGTCATGGATGGTGCTGCTGGCAGTCGGTGTCTTTGTCGGTATCCTGGCGACGTGTATAGCAGTGTCGGCGCAGTGGCTGACGGATATCAAGAACGGGCACTGCCGCACAGGATTCCATTTGAACCGGCGGTTCTGCTGCTGGCAGACGAATGCGTGTGCGGACTGGGAGACCTGGAGTGAGACACTGCATGTGCGGTGGCACTGGGTGGACTGGCTTCTGCAGTACCTTGTGTATGTGACACTGGCTATAGTGTTTGCGGCCGCCAGCACGTATCTGGTGACCGAGTGTGCGCCGTACGCAGCCGGCCAGGGCATCGCCGAGATCAAGACGATCATGGGCGGGTTTATGATGCGCAGGTTCCTGGGCGCCCGCACACTTATGGTGAAGTGCGTGGGCGTGGTGCTGGCGGTGGCTGCGGGGCTAAGCTTTGGGCAAGGAGGGCCCGATGGTACATATTGCGTGCTGTCTGGGCAATGTCTGTGCGCGACTGTTTGCTAAGTTGCGCAATAACGAAGGCCAGAAGACGCGAGCTGCTGGCGGCGGCTGCGGCTGCGGGAATTGCAGCGGCGTTTGGTGCGCCAATCGGCGGGGTGCTGTTCAGTCTGGAGCAGGTGTCGTATTATTTCCCAGCCAAGACCATGTGGCGGAGTTTGTTTTGTGCCACTGTGGCGGCGGTGACTCTCAAGGCCCTGGACCCGTTCCGCACCGGCAAGCTGGTGCCGTTCCAGGTCACATATGACCGCACCTGGGACCAGTTCGAGCTGCCAGGTGTTTGCACTTATCGGCGCCGTATGCGGGCTTCTGGGAGTGATCCAGAACCGCCTGGCATCACACCTGATGCAGGTGAGGAGGCGGAGCAGGCTGGCGGCGTTTGCGCGCGGCGAGGTCGTTGTCGTGGCATTGGCGACAGCCCTGTTGAGTTACCCGAGCGCGTTCCTGCGTGCCGACACCGTCGCATTGGTGTCGAATCTATTTACCGAATGTGCTGCTGCCGACTCGCAAGGCTTATGCAGCCGCGCAGACCGCTCTGGGAATGCCCTGGCCCTGGTGGTTACGGCGCTGGTGCGTGTGGTATTGACGGCGGTGGCCAGCGGACTGGCAGTGCCAGCCGGTATGCTGATGCCGTCGATGGGCGCCTGGAGCAAGCGTGGGCCGCGCTATGGGGATGGCGGTCCAGGCGATGCAGGAGAACCATCCGCAGTGGCGGGTATTTGCTGCTTGCAATCCTGATGTGCCGTGTGTGACGCCCGGCGTCTATGCGTTGGTAGGTGCGGCGGCGATGCTGGCTGCGACCACGCGCATGACAGTGACGGTGGTGGTGATTATGTTTGAATTGACGGGTGCGCTGATCTACGTGCTGCCGATTATGCTTTCCGGTGACTGTCGCACGCTGGACCGCCGACGCCTTCGGCAAGGCCTGGCTTCTTCGAGGGCATCATCCGCCTCAACGGTTATCCGTTCCTGGGCATGGAGCAGGAGGGTGTTTTGCATGGCAATGCCAGCGAGGCCATGGTAAGGGCGTCCGAGATGCAGGTGCTAGAGGCTGGCAATGAGACGTTGGAGGGCATACAGGAGATGCTGGCGTGCCAAATGTTCAGCGGGTTTCCAGGTTGTCAGATCGCGCCGGTCAATGGCGCTGGTCGGATATATTGCGCGGTCCGATCTGGCCGATGGTGGTTGAGCGCGCGCAGCGCTCCGGCAATTTCCTGTCGACCAGCCTGTGCTGCTTTGCGCGTATGCCGGATGGTGAGCCAGCCGTGGACTGTGCGCCCGTGGGTGGACCAGGCGCCGATGACCATCCATTACTCGATGGATATTAATGATGTTGCCGAGATCTTCCGTCAGCTGGGCGTGCGCTACGTGCTGGTCGCCCACCATTCGGTGCTGCTCGGCATCATCACCAAGAAGGATATTCTGCGTGCTATCCGCATGCAGGCCAGAGGCAACTTTGGCAAGCCGACGCTGATGAGCGTGCTGGCATGCGGGTCGGCCCGCCAGTGGACGCCGTTGCGCACGGCCGACCGCACGCCGGTGTTTTCGTCAGAGTCAGCTGTGATTAATTAAATTAATAGATCCTGAACACGCGCATTCAGCTTGATGGGAGGTTTCGTGCTCTCGCTTCTTGACGCGTCCTTGTCTTCACTGCGGAGGCCACTACGAGCACGCGTTCTCTTTTTCATTTCGTTCTCGCTTCTATATCCCCTACCCCTGGCCAATTTCAAAATTAGCATGCATATTAAGCGAATCACAATCCAGGGGTTCAAGTCCTACAAGGACGAGACAACCACTGATCCCCTGAGTCCCCACCACAACGTGGTCGTGGGCCGCAACGGATCCGGCAAAAGCAACTTTTTCTCTGCCGTGCGCTTTGTACTGAGCGACGCATACACAAACCTGGGTCGCGAGGAGCGCCAGGCCCTCTTGCACGAGGGCGCCGGCCAGGCAACAATGTCTGCCTTTGTCGAGATTGTCTTTGACAACACGGACAACCGCTTCCCGACCGGCAAAGACGAAACCGTGGTCCGCCGCACGATTGGCTTGAAAAAAGACGACTACTCGCTGGACCGCAAGAGCTCGACGCGTGCCGAGATCGCAAGCCTTCTGGAGAGCGCCGGCTTCTCGCGCTCCAACCCGTACTATATTGTGCCGCAGGGCCGGGTCACGTCCTTGACCCATGCCAAGGACAGCGAGCGCCTGGCACTATTGAAGGAGGTCGCCTGGCACGCGTGTCTACGAGGCGCGCCGCGCCAGCAGCCTGAAGATCGTTGAGGAGACCGAGCGCACGCGTCTGAAGATCGCAGGAGGACCTGGGGTTCATTGAGGAGCGCCTGGCCGAGCTCGATGCCGAGAAGGCCCAGCTCGACAAGTACCGCACACTCGATCGCGACCGCCGGGCCCTCGAATACGCCATTTACGCGCTCGAGCAGGAGGATGTCGCCGAGCAGCTCGATGAAATCGACGCCCGTCGCGAGCAGCTCGCGGGAAGCCGCCAGTGCCCGCCAGGAAGAATGCAGTGCTCTGGAGCTGCGCATTGCCGAGACGGAGCCCGCCATTCGTGCTGCCCGTCAGCAGCTTGAGATTCTGCAGATCGAGCGCGAGCAGCTCGCCACCGAGGCTGAGGAGCATGCGCGCACCCGCGCTAAGCTAGAGTCCGCCATCCAGGACCTCGAGATGGACCGATCAGCTGGCCGCCAGGGAATCACCGAGCTACGTCGCTCCGCCGATGCGCTCACCCGCGACGTGCGCGCGCGCGAAACCGAGCTGGCCCGTGTCGAGACCAACTATACACGCGCATTGCAGGCCGAGACTGTGCTGCGCCAGGAATTCGACTCCAACGACCGCCAGCGGCGCCTGCTACAGCAGAAACAGGGTCGCAGCGGTCACTTCAACTCGAAGGCCGAGCGGGACCACTGGCTGGACCGCGAGACTGTCCAGCTTTCTGCCTCAATCGAGCAGCTGCACGTGCAGTATGCGAGCGCCGAACAGGAGCAGGCTGATCTGCGTCAGCGCTCTGAGCAGGCCGCCGCCAAGAGCACTGCTGCGCGCGAACGTGCCGACCAGGGCACCGAGCGGATCAGCGAGATCCAGGCGCGCGACGTGCAGCTGCGCGAGCAGCGCGACGCAAAGATCTCCCAGCGCAAGGAGCTGTGGCGCAAAGAGGCTCGGCTTGAGAGCGAGCTGCATGATCTGAAGGACGAGCTGCGTCGTGCTGAGCGCAATATCGCTGGCACCGTCGATCCGGGCTACCAGCGAGGGCCTGGCTGCACTTGCCGAGCTGCGTGACTCGCTCGGCCTGCCCGGGATCCACGGCCCGCTGTTCGAGCTGTTTGACGTCGATGAGACCTACCGCACATGCGTCGAGTCCATCGCCGGCGCTAGCCTCTTCCACGTGGTTGTCGACGATGACGAGACGGCCACCCGTGTGCTGGCCGAGCTGAACCGCCGCAAGCTCGGTCGCCTGACATTCATGGCCGCTGAACCGCCTGCACCCATCCTCGGCCACGTACCCGGACGCCAGTGACGCAATCCCGATGCTCGGCCGCCTGCAGTACAACCGCCGCTTCCACAAAGCGCTGCAGCATGTGTTTGGCCGCACCATCATCTGCCCGTCGCTGGATGTAGGCAGCGGCTACGCACGCTCCCTGAACCTGACCGCAGTGACTCTGGAGGGCGACAAGGTCGACCGTCGCGGTGAGCTCTCTGGCGGCTTTGTCGCCCGCAAGGGCTCGCGTCTGCAGGCCGCCCGCTCGCTAATGCAGATCCGCACCCGTGTGCAGACCGCGCAGACGCAGGCAGAGCAGACGCTGGCGGCGCTGGCAGTGCTGGACCAGGAGATCACACAGCTGCATAGCGAGCTGCAGGCGCTGAGCGCGCAGCTGAATCAGGTAGGCAGCGACCGCGTGGCCGCCAAGCAGGAGCTCAAGCTGCTGGCCCGGGAGGAGGCCGAGCTGCGCGCCTTCGGCGAGGGTGCCACCAAGTCCCTGCAGACCCTTCGTGCCCAGCAGCTCACGTGTGAGGCCGAGCTCTCCGCCCTGCGCGAAGAGCGCGCACAGCCGTTCTCCCGCGGCCTGGATGCCACAGAACGTCAGCAGCTGGCGCAACTCGTGGCTCAGGTGGACGCGCAGGCTGCCGAGCTGGCAAAGCTATCGTCGGAGCGCGCCGACCTGGAGGGCCGCCGCAATGTGCTGCAGAACGAGCTTGCGCTGGGTCTGCATCTGCGCCTAGAGGAGGCGCGCGGGCAGCTGGCACAGGCTGTGGCCGAGAACCCCGACCAGGCGCTGGGTGTGCGTAGCCGTGAGCTGGCGAAGCTCGAGGAGCTGCAGCAGACGGTCAGCGAGCGGCTGGCTGGTGCGCACCGTGAGCTGGCGGCGAAGCAGCGCGAGATCACCGACCTAGAGATGCGCTTGACCGAGACACGCGCCAGCCTGGAGCGCGAGACGCGGCGTGCGCAGAAGGAGATGGAGCAGCTCGAGCAGTGCTTGGCACAGCGCAACCTGTACATGCAGAAGAAGAACGAGTACATGCGCAACATCCAGGACCTTGGCGTGCTGCCTGAGGAGGCGTTCCGCAGCTTCTCGCGAGCGCAGCTGCCGCGCCTGACGAAGAAGCTGCACAAAACGAACGAGAAGCTGAAACTCTTTGGCCACGTCAACAAGAAGGCCTTCGAGCAGTACACGATCTTTGCACGCCAGCGCGAGAGCATCCAGGAACGCAAGCGCGAGCTCGACCAGTCGGCGCAGGCGATCCACGAGCTGATCGAGCAGCTCGACCAGCGCAAGGACGAGGCGATCGAGCGCACCTTCAAGCAGGTGTCCAAGTACTTCCGCGACGTGTTTTGCCAAACTGGTGCCAGCCGGCCGCGGCGTGCTGGTGATGCAGCGCAGCACCGACCGCGCAGACATGCCGGTCCCTGACGACGATGACGAGCCGATGAGCTCCGGCGAGTCCGTTGAGAACTACATTGGCGTGTCGATCCGCGTCTCCTTCAACAGCACTACTGACGAGGGCTTGCGCATGCAGCAGCTGTCGGGCGGCCAGAAGTCGCTGGTCGCGCTGGCCCTGATCTTCGCCATCCAGAGGTGCGACCCGGCGCCCTTCTACCTGTTTGACGAGATCGACGCCAACCTCGACGCCGTCTACCGCACGGCCGTCGCTGACATGATCTACGAGCTCAGCCGCAACTGCCAGTTCGTCACCACCACGTTCCGCCCCGAGATGCTGGTCCACGCGGACAAGTTCTACGGCGTCACCTTTGAAAACAAGGTCTCGCATATTACTACCATTGCGCAGGACGCCGCCGTGTCGTTTATTGAGGAGGCGCAGCCGTCGTAATGTTTTTGTGCTACCTGATTTTTTTTTTCCAAAAACAGTATTTCCATGTCCACCTTACCGCATGCATTACCATATGTTGTGTGCTGAACACGCGTCATCCTATTCATTCCAACATGCAAACCCGTTTTCTGCATGTGGGGGATGGGCCAGCCTTGGCATAGGTCTCAGTGCGGACTCCATCCCCTCGCAGCCCATTCGCCTCTTTTCACACATAGATGACACCCCCACGAGGCGGAGACAGTGAAAGGGGGCGATCGCAGCGAAAGAAGCGAAACACATGGTGTTGTTGGATTTGCATCGCCAAAAAGGAACTGTGGAACAGGGACTCGCCTTGTTTCTTTCCTCTGCTTTTTCTGATATATTTAGCTAGACGCGTAACGGACCTTCTCTTTTCACTCCTCTTTTCTACATTAGGTACAATATCTTGTTCAGTGCTGGCACTATGAAGACATCCACGCAGCTCCTTGCCTTTGCCGTGCTCGGCGCCCTGGCCGCTCTCTCCACGGCTGCACCGCAACAGCCGATTACACGGATTGGCCACGCCGAGGTATCGGCAACGCATGCGACCACCCGGGAGACTACCGGGACTACGGAGACGGAAAAGACCACGGAAACGGAGAAGACCACGGAGACGAAGAAGACAACGGAGACAAGTCAAGAGACTGATGAGAAGCCTGAGAGCACAACGCATAAGAGCCGGACTACCAAGGCGTCTGAGGAGGCGACGAGCAAGCGGGCCACGCGGACCACGTCCAGCGAGGAACCAAGAGTCTATTGAAGACACTCCCGAAGGAAAGCTCGGCAGCGCCGATTACCTCGACGGAGTTTGTCGACCAGACAGGAGACTGTCACAGCGACGTCGACGCAGAAGACTCTGCAGAGCCCCACTGGTTTCAACTCTGCCAGTGGCCTAGGGGCCAAGCTGTCGGTAGCGGTTGCGGGCCTGGTTATTGCAGGATTCATGTAAAGGCGCCTTTACCGCTCGTTTTTTGTTGAAAATACATTTCTGCCTATAGCTGTTTATTCTATTTTTTTTCTCTTGGACCGCCATGAAGGGATCATTTTCCTCCACACCTTATGTCCTATTGCTCGCGCCCTGGAACCCCGCTCAGACCGGGGAACCTATTGAGACTTTCGGCCCAAAGGGGTCCACGGTCCCTGGAAACAGCATATACACGTGATTCTTGTGCCGACCGGGATCCAGGCGGCTCTGCTCCTGTTTGCTCGCAATTGTGCGCGACAAACAGACCCCCTCACCTCCCATCAAATGTTTACAAGCACAACTGAGTGTCAGTGCTCCAATAGCCCCTACAAATGTTTACGGCCCAGAGTGCCAGTGCCCAAGCACATTAGCCGCATGATTAGCCACTATATAGAGCCGATCATTTGCCGGCGGTGACGCGACACCCTGAAACCTCCCGGGTCCATTTCACTTAAATACCTGCTCTCTTTTCGCCAAGCCAGCCCTTGGCGAACTGTGAGCCAAATAAACTACCTTCAGCAGATACTGCTTTCCCCCTCCCCACCACTTTCTTGAACTTAATAAGCCCGTGTCCAATATTCCCCTGGATTTCTCCCGCAAACCCCAAGAATGAAGATTTGCTCGACTGCACTCGTGGGCTTGGCTGTTGCGGCATGTGTTTCGGCGCAGTCCTCGTCGCGCACGAGCAGCTCGGCTGCGCCGACCAGTAAGGCATCGTCGTCTGGCAAGGAGTCGCATAGCGGGGGCTCCAAGTCCTCATCGTCCTCATCCTCGTCCTCGTCTAGCTCGGCGGCCGCCCCGCCCCTGCTGACCCACGGACAGAGCGGACTGGTTACTGTGGCCATGGCTGCGGTTGCGGCTGCCGCCATCGCATACTACTAAGTGCTGTAGGACACCGACTCTAGTATAAATCTCCTTTTCTTTAAACAAATGTCTATACCGTATGTGACAGGGAGTTACCTCGCAGAACAATGTATCTAGTGATAGGATTCTGCTTGTGAACAAAAGAAAGGTCTTGAAAAGTAGTTGGGATATTTTTGCTTTACAGTGAGCACCACAGCTCCAGCCGCTCGACAATGTTGGTTTCGGGCGCCGACATGTCGCCTCCGGCATACGCCTTGGCCAGCTCAAAGTCGTCTTCGTCGGTCATCAGCACGGCCTCGCCGTCCTCGTCCAGGTACCGGATCTTGAGCCCAGCGTTCGGCGACACCGTCTGCTGCTGGCCGTACTGGGCCAGCACCATTGCAATCTTGTCCGTCAGCTTTGTCACCAGGCCGTCAAACGTGATGCGGGTCGGGACCATCAGGTTGAAGGTATCGTTGGCAAAGTGGAACTTGATCTTCATTGATCCGCGCTTGGTCGGCGCACGCCGCAGCCCGCTGCCGCCAGAGCCCGTGCTAGCCGGCGTCGCGCTGTTGCTATGAAGATCGAAGCTGACGTTATGTGGGGGTGCCGACGAGGCGGTGCTGCTGGGCGACCGCGTGTGCTGCATCCGCTCCATGTACTGCGGCCCGGCTGTGGTCGGCATGGGGCCCGGGCTGACCGACGACGCCACTGACTGCGGCAGCGCGTGCGCCTGGGCATAGGGCAGCTCTGCGTTCTGCACCTGCATGCCAGCGACGCCCTGCGCCATGCTGTTGATGTCGTCGTGGCTCAGCGGCGGAGTCATCATTGGTGTCCCACCGGTCTGCGTCTTGGCCAGCGCCGGGGCTGCGCCGGGTACTCCATCTCGCTGCCATACGCTGCTGTGTTGGGCGGCTGGCGTGCCACCGGTGCCGGGAGCTGGGCGCCAGGACCCCGCTGCAGGGGCGCCGACATTGGCGATGTTTCATCGATCCGGTCCAGAGCAGGCGAGCCAGCTCCGTCGCGCTGCGCTCCACGGTGTGGAATCTTCAGCGTCACCGACCGCTGCTGTCCGGCGCTGCGCGGCGCCTGCTGGCTCTGCTGGTTTTTCAAAGGTTGTGCGACGGGCAAGACCGGCTCGAATGATCTCCAGAGGGTCTGTGCCACGCTGCTGTGTAGCGCCTGGACTCGGGCTCGGGCCCGGGCTGCGCTGCGGCATTTCGCGCCTGGTGTCAGGCTCGGGCGTGAGCGCTGGTGCGCTGGCGGGCGGCCGCGAGGCATCACTGTAGTCGGAGGCAGACGGGCTCTCCTCTCCTTCGATCCTGTACGGGTCAGCGCTGTGGGGCTGAGTGCGTTGCGCCTGCGCCTGCGCAAGAGCCTGCAGTCTGGCCTGGCGGTAGTCCGAGTTCATCGACATCTCCGACTTTGTCTTCGTCATCTGCGGCGGCAGGCTCATTGCCTCATCGGGTGTCCTGCTCTGCGGTACTGGTGCGGCCGATTTCGGGTATGTGCCAAATGTGGGCGTGCTGGCGTCAGAGGTGATTGCGTTTCCGTTCACACGGTGGGCCGGCATCGTGTTTGAGCGAGCGAGCGAGCCCAAGGCCTCTGGCGGCGGCGTGCTCTTCTTGACACGCATCGACTTTTGGTGTGCCATATTGCCCTGTCCGCGGCCGCTGGATTTGAGAGGAATTGTCCGCATAGTCTCCTTGCGCACCAGCGCTCCCTTGAAGCCCGTAAAGTTGTCCTTGCCGTCTGCCGACGCAATGACCTTGGCCGAGCCCAGAAAATCAATCTTCTTCGAGCTCTTCAGCTTGCTTGCCGATGGACGGTAGATCACACCGCGCGGCACACAGTACAGCGGGACAGTCCATGCCATGGGAATGGATGGCTTTGCTAATCCACGAGTGCCGGTCGTCTGCCGTACGTGTACCTGCCAACTCCAGGTCCTTCATCGCATTCATCTCCTCTCCCAGGCAAAAGTAGCACAGAGCCCGATTGTACAGAACCTCGCACAGATATACCTTGTAGTCGAGGCCGATTTGCGAGTAGTCGATGCAGTCATTGTCGCGCAGGTACTTTAGTGCCTCGTTGAAGTCCTGCAGCGCCTCGTGGTTCTGCTGCTGCACCATGCGCGCTACGCCGCGCTGGAAAAGCGCCACCACCAGATAGCGGTCCAAGCCCAGGGCCTTGGTGTAAGCGCTGATCTATTCTTGGCAATTCAGGCAGTCTCTATTATTAGCCTGATGTTCAAAACAAACAGACGGCCAGGCCGAGCTCTGGGGGTACTTACCGCTTCTTTGTGGTTACCCTGGCGGCCCAGGATCAGTCCGATGTTGAAATGAATCTTTGCAGAGTCCGCAATGCTCTACGCAAGGTGGGGTGGGTATTAGCATCACTGCCGCTGAATAAATAAGGGACGACAATAAACGCAGCACATCATGTGTGCGACAAAGTCTAGAACTCGTCGTTCTTTCTGATAGAAAGGTCAGCAATGAACGCCAGGCCGATGCTGACTGACAGGCCCATGGGACGGGAGGCTCTACGCTCCAGGAGCTGGTGCACTTACCTCAAAAATCTCGAGTGCTGCGCCGTAGTTCTGGTCATCGTAGTATTCGACGGCCTGGTGCCACTGCTCGAGCTCAGCCTACGACAGGGATAAATGGAATGGCGTTAGTCTTCGATATGGCCTGTGCTGAATAGCACATATGGTCCCGTGTATAGCAGATGGCTTCAGTTACCTTCAGCGACATGGTTTTCTCTGTGCGTGCGTGTGTTCGGGAAAGACGATAGAGCGTGTATTCCTGGCTGTAGTAAATGGAAAAAGAGAGGAATAAATTGTTGCGGAATGCAGATGAAGCGAGAAAAAGGTCAAAGAGTAGAGGAAAAATGGAAAAAAGGAGCACGATATGCGTCTTTTACGGCCAGGCTGAGCCTTTTTGTTTTTAGCCCTTAAACTTTGAAGCTGTCCGGCCGGCATCTATTGGCCTGAAAATGGACTATTCCACAGCAAAAGGCGAGCCGTAAAAGGCTTCTAAAAATGTATTTTTCTTTGTTCCTCAGTTTCTTCGGACCACAGGCGTCTCACCCCTTGCCTCACAGTCCCGGTCCGCTGCCACTGCGAGTGGGCGGTAGTAATCATAGTGATCTTTTGGGGGGCAGTGGCCCCACTCTCAAGGCTGTCCACAGCAGAGCTGCAGCACCGTTGCAGGCCAATACCCGCGTGTGCCCAGCCCCTTCTTTCTCTCTTTCGCTTTTGCTGATCCCAAGTTCTAGGTCTTCGCAGTGCTCCAAAGACGTGGCTAGCAATCATCACGCTAAAATTCTGCCATATATGGCCGTTGCCGTGTGGTGGTGATCTGCGAGTGCAGGCATGTGTGTTTCTAGTGGAGCATTGTTCTTTGCAGAGAGTGAAAATTATGATAGGGTCTTTTCTAGACCGGAGACTTTTCCATGCGCTTCTGCTCCGACAGACTGTAGATGACGGCCTCGTAGCAGAACGCCAGCTGATCGAGCGTCTGCACCATCATGACGCGCTGGCTGCGCAGGTTCTTGAAGATATCCATGATCAGATCGCCATTGTATTCGTTGTGGTGCGTGGCCAGATGGTCGATTGATGAGTCCAGGGTTATAAACGAGCCGGTGCGGCCAACGCCTGCGCTGCAATGGACAATGACCGGGTGCTTGGTGTCGGGGACAATTTCTAAGCGCAAGTACTGGATGATATTGAGAATGGGCAGGGGGCTGGGCGGCACGCCGTGGTCCGGCCACTCCATGTAGTGGAGCTGCACGACGCTCCTGATTTCGCCATATCTTGCCAGGACGAACTTTCTGACCAGCGTGTCGCCACGGGCATCCATCGGCCGCTCGCTCTCCAACGTCACCGTGATATCGCCGAGCTTTTGCGACTCCGTGGGCCAGTACATCTCGCACTTGCTGCGGCCATCCTCGACTGGCTTGACAAGCATGACAATGGCCTGCGCCTTCTGCTCCCACACCATGCGCCAGAAGTCGCCTACAGAGTGCTTGAGCGGGCCCTGCGTTGCAATGTACGTGTTGGGCGTCACCTTGGGCATTTTGATATGACTCGCGTTGATGTAGTCGTTGCGGCCCTCGAGCCGCACGCGGTTGTCGTCGAACGGCAGAACGTTCGAGTACCGGTTCAGGTCGTAGTTGCGCCCGCGCTGCGCGTCCTCTAAGCTGTGCCCGTCGTGTGAGCCGTGCTCAGTGGCCAGTGAGATCATTTCCGCTTCCCTGCGCGACACCTCCTTGAAGGTCGCCGCAAGGTCGCGCTGCGACGCCTTGGTGGGGAGGTTGCGAAGCACTTGGCTAAAGGTCGACACTGTCATTCAATTATATAAAGATAGGTGGTGGGTGGTTTGAAAAATATTAATAGGTTGCGACCGCCGGGAATAGAGTGGGACTGCGATGCCGGGCATATATGTAGAGCGGGTTGGCCTACCTGCCACCACTTTTCCTGTGATTTTCTCCAAACACCCCACGCCGGCCGCTTTATGGTATTTTAATATCTCAGAGCCACAGAGCAGGATCTCTTCTTGGAGAAGAAGCGTCACGCTTCCGTAACAGCAGCACTGGATATCTGGTAGCAGGTGGGGTCTCGAGATGTTGGAAGGGGGAATACAGGGATTAGAAACATAATCCGGGGGGATCGCTACAAGCCGGATATGAGCCCTCCACATTGAAAGCTTGTTCTCTCTCTCCTCCCCACACACTTCCCACTTTTGATCCCTCAAAGAAAATAGCTTCTGGCCATGACTCTGCCCAAGATCGCGCGGAGAGACACGCTGACAGTGGAGCAGTTTGCAGGAAGAATTCCTCGCCCCCAATGTGCCGGTAATCCTGGGCTCGGGCTTCACGGAGCACTGGGCAGCACGCCGCGACTGGGTCACCAACGGCAGGCCCAACTTTGCCAAGCTCCGGGAGCTGTACGGGGAATGCCAGGTACCGGTGGCCGAAAGCGACACCGCGTATTTCTCGGACCAGAAACGGACCACAATGCGGTTCAGCGAATTCCTGGACGCGTGGCAAACCGAGCCTGAGCGCAAGCTGTACTGCAAGGACTGGCATTTTGTGCAGGCCAACCCGCAGTACCGGGCGTACGATGTCCTGCCGCACTTGTCGGACGACTGGATCAACCTGTTCTACGACGACCACCCAGAGTTCTCGGACGACTACCGGTTCAGCTACATGGGCGGTGAGGGCTCATGGACGCCGTTCCACGAAGACGTGTACAGGTCGTACTCGTGGAGCGCCAACATCTGCGGGGAGAAGCACTGGCTGTTTGTGCCGCCAGGCCAGACCCATCTGTTCACCGATGCGTGCGGCAACTGGATCTACAATCTGCTGGACTACGACACGAAGCAGTTCCCCCATGCCCACAAGCTCCAGATCATCGAGGCCGTGCAGAGACCGGGCGAGACGGTGTTTGTGCCGTCTGGCTGGTGGCACCAGGTGCGCAATGTTGGCGACACAATTTCGATCAACCACAACTGGGCCAACGAGTTCAACATCCTACACATGTACCAGCGGCTGCGCAGCGACCTCGACAGCGTCCTGCATGCGCTGCGGGACGTGGCAGATATGGATGGGTTCGATGAGCATGCGCAGGTGGTGCTGCGCGCCGACAGCGGCACAGACTACTCGAGGTTCTTTCGGTTCGTGGAGCACATTGCCAAGGCGTACCTGGAGCACCGGATAGTCGGTGGGTTCGACGGGTACTTTACGTCCACAGCCGGCGTGGTGCGCGCCCTGGAGCGGATCGCAGCGGTGTTGGGGCTGCTCTCAGATGATCGGGCCACTGTGGGAATCCAGGGGTTGCGTGACGAAATTGCGAGGCTGGAGGAATCGGTCCGCGAGTGTCTGAGGTAGAAAAAAAATAATCAGCAGCCAGGTTCCATCTTTCACGTTACGTTTCTCCTTTATTGCCGTCTACGACACCTTTTTCCTTGGAATTTCGCCTTGCCACAAAATACACTCTTTTTCCCTCGTTACCCTCATTAAAAAGCTAGAATGCCGACGGCGATGGTGGACTACACGTATCCACCGCAGCAAGCAGGGGGCCATAGAAAAGTCCGAGATGCCGCGGGGGGCATTGCGTAGCACCAGCGAGTATGCATTGGACTGATGCAGAGCAAGTTGTCGCAGAGCTGGCAACCAATCCTTCGACGGGCCTGAGCCGGCAGAACGCCAAGCAGCGGCAGGCCATGTACGGAACGAACACGCTGGAGACCAAGGACGACGAGAACATATTCGTAAAGTTTGTCAAGAGCATAGTGACGAACTCGATGGTGATGATGCTGTTTGCGTCGGCGGGGGTCTCGATCCTGGTCGGCAACTGGGACGACGCATTCAGCATTATTTTTGCCATCCTGATTGTGTCCACAGTCGGCTTTGTGCAGGAGTACCGGTCCGAGAAGTCGCTCGAGGCGCTGTCGAGCCTGGTGCCGAATTTCTGCCATGTGGTGCGCGATGGCGAGTCGGTGAAATTGCTGGCCGACTACCTGGTTCCTGGCGACATTGTGAAGCTGGCGATGGGCGATCGGATTCCAGCCGACATCCGGTTTGTGGATGCGCAGCAGCTGGAGGTGGACGAATCGGCGCTGACGGGCGAAAGCGAGGCGCTGCATAAGACCACCGAGAAGGTGGTTCTGGCGGGCGCGCCGATGCTGGCGTCGACGGAGCTGTCGTTTTCGGACCGGCGCAACATCGGGTTCATGGGCACGCTGGTGCGGAACGGCCACGGCGTGGGTGTGGTTTTGCGGACCGGCGCCAGCACCGAGTTTGGCAAGATCCACGCGATGATGCGGGACATCGAGGTTCCGCGCACGCCGCTGCAGAAGGACATGGACAAGCTGGGCGAGCAGCTCTCGCTGGTGTCGTTTGGCGTGATCGGATTCATCTTCCTGGTGGGTGTGCTGCAGGGCAAGTCGTGGCTGGAGATGTTCACGATTGGCGTGTCGCTGGCGGTGGCAGCGATTCCCGAGGGCCTGCCGATTGTGGTGACAGTGACGCTGGCGCTGGGTGTGTTCAAGATGGCCAAACGCAAGGCAATCTGCCGCAAGCTGCCGTCGGTCGAGACGCTGGGCGCCGTCAATGTCATCTGCGCCGACAAGACCGGGACGCTGACCATGAACCGCATGGAGGTCGAGTACCTGTACTCTGCGGCGGACGGCCTGACGCCTATGGGCTCGGCTGATCTGTCGGTTCTGGCACAGACGCGCTCGTTCCTGCAGCTGCTGCGGATTGGCAACATCTGCAACAACGCAGCCACCGACGATAAGGGCGCGTACATCGGGCAGGCCACGGACATTGCGATTCTCAATGCGGTGCTGAAGGTGCGGCAGTTTGACGAGCGCAGCCGTGTCGAGCGGCTCGCTGAGTCGCCGTTCAACTCGGAGACCAAGTTCATGCAGGTGACGGTTGGCGCCGACGCCGAGCCGAATCTCCCGCAGGCCGCTGGAAACGTCCTGTATATGAAGGGCGCCCTGGAGGTGGTGCTGGCGCGCAGCAAGACGTACTTTGGGTCGCAGGGCCGCGCCGAAAAGCTTACCGAGAAGGTGACCGACGACATTGTGAACCACTCGAACCAGCTGTCGCAGCGCGGACTGCGGGTCGTTGCGGCGGCGTTTGGAACCGATCCGGACCAAATGGTCTTTGGGGGACTGTTTGTGATGCGGGATCCGCCGCGCGAGGACGTCGAGCGCACGATTGGGCGGCTGATGAGCGCCGGCGTGCGCACAGTCATGATCACTGGTGACTCGGGGAAGACGGCTGTCTCGGTGGCTCGCAACATCGGCATCCCCGTTGTCAACGAGCAAATCGGGTGCATGATGGGGCCGCAGCTGGACAGCATCACGGACTACGAGCTTGGCGAGCACATCAAGCACATCTCGGTGTTTGCCCGGGCGACCCCGCGCCACAAGGTGCGGATCGTCTCGGCGCTGCAGGCTGCTGGCGATGTGGTGGCCATGACGGGCGACGGAGTGAACGATGCGCCAGCATTGCGACTGGCCGACATTGGCATCTCGATGGGCGAGAATGCGACCGACGTGTCCAAGGAGGCTGCTGACGTTGTGCTTGTGAACGATGATCTCTCGACGATTCTGAGCGCGATTGAGGAAGGTAAGCGGGTGCATGCAGAGCATGATTGGTTGGTTTTTGTCCGAGTGCCGCCGCGTTTCATTAATTTGCCCCTCCGCTTCCGACTTCAACATAGGCAAGAATATCTTCAGCAACATCCGCAACTTCATCACGTTCCAGCTCAGCACCAGCGTTGCCGCGCTGACGCTGGTTGCTCTGTCGACGATGCTTGGGCTCCCGCAGCCGCTGAATGCGATGCAGGTGCTGTGGATCAGTAAGTACCTCCCGAAGCTGCCGCATGTGACGGCTTTTTGCCACCCTTTGTCTTTCCACCCACTACACCCTCTCTGTGTGTGTATCTCTTGCCATGTTGGCGCTCATGCATGTTTCACGCAATTGAGCATAAATTTACAGCAGGACCCAGCTTGCATGATGTTGCCTTTTTGGCCTTGACAGGGTGAAATGAACCGAGTGCTGTTGAATGCTGCTATCCGGATTGTTCCTATCTCGCGAGCGAGTGAGCCATCATCACGTGGGTTCAGTGAATCTCATATTAAAGTTTTGGTTGTCTTGTAGACATTCTCATGGACGGGCCGCCTGCTCAGTCGCTTGGCGTCGAGCCCGTCGACCCGGAGGTCATGCGCCAGCCGCCGCGCTCCAAGACAGCCAACATCATCACGCGGCGGCTTGTCACCCGAGTGCTGGTGGCCGCGGCATTGATTGTGACTGGGACAATGTCTATTTACGTCTCGGAGATGCAGGACGGCGCTGTCACAGCGCGCGACACGAGCATGGTAAGTTGGATGCGCTCTGTTGATTAGGGATCCACACGCAGTGCTTGCTCCGCCCAAGCCTTGCACAGTACAATAGTAGGCTGCAGTGCAAGAAGGGGGAGGCGGAGCGAACACTGAGAGTCTTGGCAAATCCGCAGGAGTATATAGGGCACCTGCTAATGGCTGGTGTGCTTGAATGATTTGGCGCGATTTACTCAACAATGACGACGCCCGCGAGGCGTTCGCCGTCACTCTTCAATGTGTAGACATTCACGACCTTTGTGTGTTTCGACATGTTCAACGCCCTGACGTGCCGATCATCAAGACGTTCTGTTGTGGAATTCGGTCTGTTTACAAACACAGCCTTCAACTTTGCTGTTGCGGCTCGCTGCTTGGCCAGCTGGGCGTGATTTATCTGCCGTTCCTCCAGCAGGTGTTCCAGACCGAGGCGCTAGGGCTGCTCGATCTGCTAAAGATCATCGCCATTTCGTCGTCGGTGCTGTGGGTTGACGAGGCATTCAAGTGGTGGGAGGCCCGGAAACAGGCGCGCGGGTCAGGATCCGAGTACAAGACCACCGAGGATATCCAGATGCTGAGCGTCTGAGGTCATAAGGGGAGTGTCTTTCTACAGCGGCGGTCCTCTTTCGGTCCGCTTGCGCTCGCCCTTGCTGCTGCTCCTTTTTATGATTTACTCCAAATAGAAACATTTCCCTGCAAACCCAGCACCCGAGCGTCCCCATTCGGCCCGCACAGCTCTCAGTCGCATTGCCTGGTGAAGCAGTGCCAGAGCCTCTCTCCCCCTGGGCCAATGCGCGGGCGCTGCTTGGCTGGAGCTGTGCGCTGACGTCAGGAGCCGTGACCGCTCATTTCGAGGGAGGGGCAATCAAACAAGGTTTGCGCTTGATCATGGTGACGTCACTTTGGAGTCCCCGCATTATGAGCCGATGCGCCTCCAGCGACCCCTCGGACGCATGCGGCCCAATCAGCGGGGCGCTGGCTCTCGCCACCTTAAAGCGAGGGCTGATTCTATTCGCCCACAAATCACGGCAGCGAGAATTTTTAAATTGGGGCGTGTGACGCAGCACCAGAGGCAGGAATGAGGCGACCATGCACACTGGGCGATTCACTGGATGCGAGTGATTTTCTCCATTTGCTCTCAGGCCAGCAGTTCAGGGGGAGCACACGCATTGTCTCCGCGCCAGAAATCCATACCCCCTCCTTGCTCTCCGAGGATCCGTGTTTCCTTTGCTTTCCATTCACCACTCCTCCATCCCCCTTTGTCACTTTGTTTCAGAGCAGAAAATTACCAACAGGCTATCATGGGCGATACCGGCAATCAGAATAACAAGGTAGGCGAGCATCGTGAGCCCCCATCGGCGTATAAAAGGGCCAGCCGCGGAGTGCGCAAGACTGTTCGCCGCCTAGACGTCCTCCACGATCCCCAGTCTTTTGACGCTTTAACACCCAGCCCGCTCAGTACATCTGACTCCCGGGCCATTGTAAACAACCTCGACTCACCATCACTCTCACCACCGCCGGAGCGTGCTTCTGCGGCCACTTGTTCTGAACCACAGGCCTCATCCAGCAAGGAGAGCTCTCCCGACGACTACCTGTCCATCCAGCGTAGCACACCGCTGCAGCTCCTGCCCTCGCACTTCAAAGACGGCAAGCCCAAGGCGCTCCGCCAAGACATGCAGCCCCCAGCCTCCTCAGGTCTGAACACGCCTGAGAACCGGTCGCCGGCACTGAATCCGGTGGCAGGGATTTCGCGCGAAATCGGCACCTCGACGCAGCTCGACATGGGCGCAACACGCCCGGGCCACTACCGCACGCCGAGCGCATCGACGACGCCGCTGCGTCGCAATCCCAGCACTATCATCACAAATGTCGAGAAGCACGGCGGCCCGCGGCGGAGACGGTCCAAGACCAACGTGCGGTCATCCAGCCGGTCGCTGTCGCGGCCGGGGTCGCCCACCGGCTCGGTGTGCAGCGATGTCAGCAGCGTCAGCGGCAAGAGCCTGACCATTGTGCTGAAGCTGGGCACCAGCTCCATCTGCGATCCCGTCACACACATGCCAATGCTGGCCAATCTGTCGCTGATGGTTGAGACCTGTGGTCAAGCTCAAGGAGCTGGGCCACCGTGTCGTGCTGGTCTCCAGCGGTGCCGTCGGCGTTGGCCTGCGCCGCCTCAACATGCCTACCAAGCCCAAGGACCTGGCTACCATCCAGGTAAGTTGTTTTGTTTTTCCAACCCCCTCTGCTGCTCCCAATGCCTCACTGGACAGCGCTCGCGTATCCTGCCTAATTACTCATAAGCCGGGCACGCCTGTGCCAACACACCATCTCGGCGAATTTTGATACTGATTCACATCTCTCCCGCCCCTGGTCCTATCCCGCTACCGCCTTCTGGTCTCGGCTTTTTTTTTTTCACGCTGTAGGCTATTGCTGCGGTCGGTCAAGGCCGCCTGATGGCTCTCTGGGACGACCTTTTCGGTCAGCTCAGCCAGCCCATCGCCCAGGTGCTGCTCACACGCCACGATCTGTCACAGGTAAGTGCTGCCAGTCAGTCTCAGTGGTCCCTAGACCAGAAATATGCCGCTGGGATCAAGCATGTGGCATATCCAGAAGCCGTTGCACAAGATGGCGACATGCTCGCTGATGCATCTCGGAAATTCTCCATGTAGCGTACGCAATACCTCAATGCATGCAATACATTTGAGGCGCTGCTCGAGATGGGCGTCGTGCCCATTGTTAACGAGAACGATACCGTCAGTCTGGGCGAGATCAGGTTCGGCGACAACGACACCCTGTCGGCAATTACGGCTGGCATGGTCCATGCCGACTATCTGTTCTTGCTGACTGATGTCGACTGCCTGTACACAGATAACCCCCGCACGAACCCCAACGCCAAGCCCGTCACCAGCGTCTCTGACATCCACGCCTTGCGCGAGGCCGTCGATGTGTCGTCGGCTGGGTCGGCCGTTGGCACCGGCGGCATGGCCACCAAGCTGATCGCAGCCGAGCTGTCGACTGCCGCTGGCGTGACCACTGTAATCACGCGCGGATCGACCCCGCAGAAGGTAATCGACATTGTTGAGCACTTCTCGAACCCCGAGGTCCTGCCCGATGCCCCGGTCCCGTCCAGCGTGCTGTGCACCCGCTTCATTGCCAAGTCGCGCCCGATGATCGACCGCAAGTGGTGGATTCTGCACGGCATGTACTGCGCCGGCACCATCTACGTCGATGCTGGCGCCGTGGTGGCCATTGCCAAGTTCAAGAAGTCGCTGTTCGCCGCTGGTGTCAAGCGCGTCGAGGGCGTGTTCTCGTCCAACCAGGCCGTGCGCGTCGTCTACGAGCCTGAGCGCGAGGTGCGCGACAACGTCAAGAACCTCGACTCTGACGAGGCCCGTGTGCTCAACGCCGTGGCCCCGATCAAGTCGGAGGTCATTGAGATCGGCCACGGCCTGGTCAACTACACCGGCGCCGAGATCAACCGCATCAAGGGCTGCCACAGCTCCGAGTTCGCGGAATATCCTCGGCTACTGCGACTCTGACAACGTGATCAACCGTGGTAACATGGTTGTCACTGTCGACGACCACATCCTCGACGATGTGTTCATTACCAAGATGCACAAGACCAAGATCCGTGCCGAGCAGCGTGCCCCGGTCCCGACCCCGTCGCCCAAGCTGCGTGCCACCCGCCGCTTAATCTTATATAACTCTACTAGCCTAATGTCAGCACTTTTATCTACAGTTTGGAGATGTGGCATACACCATACAACCATCTCACATTTGTGCCAGAGTTCAAAAAAAAAAGCTCAGTATATAACATTCAGAATTGCACACGACTGCTGCCTACTACAAAACGCTCTACTTGCTTTCCTCAAGGTCAGGCATGCGCACAATCTTGCTACCACGCTTGGCTGCGTGTGCCCGGAGCTTTTGGAACACACCCATGCTCGCCACCTGTTCGGGCGCAGGCGTCTTGTCGGTCGCCCAGTAGAAAATGTCCCAGTCGATGTTGCTCAGGAGCGAATCCAGATCAGCCAGCTCCTCACGCGTCAGCGACTTCAAATGCTCGGCCGCAAACGTGCTCAGCAGGAGATCGGTCTCCAGGATCCCGCGCTTGCGCATCTGGTACTGCAGCCGCCGCCGCAAAATCTCAATGCTCTCGTTATCCCTCTGCTTGCGCTCCAGGCCAATCCGGGATTCATCCAGCACCGTGCGCGTCGTGCCAATCGTGCGCTGGGCCGCTGCCAGGATGCGTGCTGCAGGGCGGGGCGGTGCCAGGACGCGGCACGCGATTGCGCGGACAAATGTTGGCCTCATTGGTAAAAAAAAAAGAACAGAAGCTAAGGTATTTATAGCGAAAGGGCAGCTATGGCGATAAAGCTCAGATATGGCTGCTGCTTTAGAGAGCGTCCTTTTGGTTCGGAAAATAGCCAGATCCGTCAATGGACGCCAAGACTCCATCCCCCGGCTCGGCTCACTCTGGCTCACTCAACACGCCTTTGTAGTGCATAGCTGGCGCTGGTCCAGGGGAGCGCTCAGGTATCCTCGAGTTCCCCATTTTCTTCCTCTGTTCAAGATATAAAGCGGGCCGCCCACCATCACCTTTTTTCTTCTTCTCACTCCATATTGCTTTATCTTCTCCTTTGAATGCGCAGAATGACAGTCGCAACCTTTGGCAATTTCCTCAAGTCGCTCGGCAACAACACAGCGCTGCTGCACAACCCAACGATCCACCAGGGCAAGCTGGCGCTGGTGCTGGGCAACGAGTCCGCCGACTTGGACTCGATGGTCTCCTCGGTGGGCCTTGCCTATGCCCTGTCAGCGCAGTACCCAGACACGCAGCACATCCCGGTAATCAACGTCAACCGGTCTGATCTGGCGCTGCGGCCCGAGTGCGACCTGCTTCTGCGCGAGACCCTGATGACCGAGGGCGGCAGCATTGACGACCTGACATTTATTGATGATTTCAACCTGCAGATGGTGACCGACCAGGGCGACATCGGTATCTGGCTCGCTGACCACAATGCGCCGGCCAGCCGGCAGTCGTTTCTGGAGCGGTACGTGGTTGGCATTGTCGACCACCATGCTGACGAGGGCAAGTCCCAGGGCGCCAAGGTGCGGCAGATTGAGACCGTCGGGTCATGCTCGACGCTGGTTGCCGAAAGGATCAAGGGATTGGGTGATTTGGTTGAGCCTACGCTGGCGCGCATGCTCCTGGCGCCGATTCTGATCGATACCACAAACCTGAGTCCGGCAGCGAAGCGTGCAACGCCCAAGGACATCGATATGGCGGGTTGGCTGACGCCTCAAGTCGACTGTACACCGATGGCCGAGGGCAATGTGACTGCGGACAATGAGACCTTGGCAGTAGCCGACCCTGCGCAGCTGTTCAAGACGCTGGATAAGCTCAAAGGCAAGGTCTCGCACCTGTCATCCCGTGACCTGTTGCGCAAAGACTACAAGCAATGGCAGGTTGCTGACCCATCGGGGACTGCGTGGTCGGTCGGAATCAGCAGCATCAGCTATCGGCTGAAGAAATGGCTGAAGCGCGACGGCAAAAAGGACATCAAAAACGCCATCCAGAGCTGGGTCGCTGAGCAGAAGCTGGACATTGCTCTGGTCATGACGCACGGCAAGGTCAAGGACGAGAGCGGCGAAAAGGCGTATGGAAGGGAGCTTTTGGTGGTGTTCCCGGAAAGCACCGACAAGGCCGTGGTGGACAAGCAGGAGAAGGTGCTTAGGGCGCTGCGTGACACCGAGGAGCTGGAATTGGCCGAGTTTTACGACCCTGCAAAGCCCGAGTACCTGTTTTTTGTCCAGCAAAAGACTGGAGGCTTCCCGAAAGCAGGTGTTTCCCGCCGTCAAGGCCATCATCGAGGGCATTGATTGCAGTGAGCAGCAGCCGGTAGCACGGCCATCGCTCTAGGCACGTTTCGAGATGCTAGAGAATGGAATGTCCCCCTTCCGCTCTGTGGCCAATTTATGTATCCCTAGCTCACCAATGTCGTTAATTAATTGCGCTGGTAGAGTGCAAACATTGACACACATCCCACATGACACGCTTTGTCGTGGAGGCATCAGCATGCAAACAGCAACGTCATGAGCGAGATTTGTGGAGTGAGGGCAAGTAGGATGGCACACAGACACGCAAATATGGCTGTGAATTGAATGCGAGCAAGGTTGAAGGCCGACAGCTCCAATATGTTTAGCTGGTGTTAATGTTAGAGGGGGTTGGAAAATTACAAAAGAAATAGGTACAAAGCAGACATAGGATGCAGGGATGTTGAAAGAGGAGGATGCAGATAGTGTTTTTGGGTTGCTGGGGGAAGGCTTTTTTTGTAATAGCTACTAGCCTCGACGAATGCCGACGCCAGCACTCCTCCTTAGTCGACGTTACCATGCACTGCTAGCAGTGCATGGTGCATGTATGTGTCTGGGCTCAATACACCGGCGAGCGCTTTTCCAACGACAGCGAGCCCACAGTGAAGAAGTCGGCGTAATCATGCCACTCCCGACTGCCCGCATGGCCCTGGAACACTTGACTCCTGCCAGCTGTCACTGCGGGAATCTGCAGAACCACGAGCAGCTGGGATGACCACACGGCCGATCCCCTGCTGATACCGAGGCTGATTGGCCGCGGTGTCCCGCTCTGCTGCGTCATGGGCGCCATGGGCGTCGACATTGCCATCGCGCTCTAGCATGTATAGCGACTGGATTGATGTCGATGACCGGCTGTGCTTTAGCATCGGTGTCCCAGGCTGGCTGTAGATGGTGCCGTAGCCGGAAATTCCTGCGCGCTGCCCACCGGGCCCGTACGCGAAGGCGTCGAATTCCTCGTCCTCGTCTTCAAAATCATCGTCGTAGTCGTAGTCTTCGGGGCTTAGAAGGTGTGGAAACTGGCCGTGCGGCTCGGGCTCCTCGTCTGTCAGCATGCTGTCGATGCACCGGTCGAACCAGGAGCGCTCGGCCTCAGCTGCGGCCTCATGCGTGTCATCAATTCGAACCATGTCGTCGTGGTCAGTCTGGATATCAACGTCCATGGCTGCGCTGATTTCTTCCTCGCAGTCCATTTTGGGCACTACTAATGGCTGGGGATTGTTCATAGTGCCGGCAGGCTGCAGTGCCATGTCCATGTCATTGTCGGAGACTGCCGCCACTGTTTGTACGGAGGCATTATCGCTGCCGTCCAGAGCTGCCTCGGGCATCGTGGCCTTGAAGACGTTGTAGACCAGAACCGTCTTGCGCAGGTCCGCCGGGCGGTGCGTCGAGCGTTGGTGCTGGCGTATTGCGTGCAGCTTCTGCACCGACATGCTTTGCACCTGGTCTTTCCGGATGGCCGGGTGGTAGTACTCGGATGTCGGGATAAAGAACCGCGCTGATGGCAGGGCCGAGGGCATCAGGGCTGTGGTGGTGTCCATGGCTATATGCGTTGTGCGCAGGGTCTAGTGTGTCTGTGGGATATCAACAGCTTTTCAAATATGTGGAATTGATTGTCAGCCGAAAAGAACAGTGGTCAGAAATAGAGGGCAGTTGTACATACAAAAGCAACGGATGAAGAAAAATAAAAACAATAATAATAATAAAAGTTACAAGCTGCGCCAAAGGAATAAAAAAGCTGGATGGAGACAAGGAGGGAGGGAGGGGCGAAGAAGGCATTTGGCTGAGCGCTACGTTTTTAATTAATGCCCTCTGAAACCAAATGACTCCTAAATTTGATGATGTGACCGACTGAGAGGGTGGTGACTTTGTGCATGTGTGAGAGGGGGATTCGGACTTTTTTCAGACCAGAGAAACAGGGAGAGGAGGTGTGCACGACTGCCGTGAATATTTTCAGGCGAATAGGGAGTAAACCCGAGTTTCGTCATTGAGGCATCCGCAGTTCACAATAGATGGCAGGTTGCTGGTGCTTGGACGAGAAATAGGAAACCCTTAGTGCAGGGATCCTGATCACCAAATTCACTGTCGTAATTGCGTATTACTACGGCCACGTCTTTTTCAGAGCGACTCAGGGCCAAAGAACGGTATCTCCAGCAGCACTCCACGGCGTATTACTGGACCCACTTATTCCTTCGTAGCTCTACTGGGGTGGGATACGTGTCTTGGTAGGTACTCGGGTTTTGCGCCTAACGTACTCTGGTGGTTTGAGTCCCCAGCATAGAGCGCATCCTATGAGCGTTTAGTAGGTATATGTCTGGTGTGGGCTGGTTACGATATTGGCCTCCAAGTGCACATAGGCCAATCAGCAGAAAGGCATGTAACCACTGCCTCTATTTTGTCCGGTGGCACAACCCGCTGTTCTAGCTTAGCTTATCCTCGGTTTGTTCAAACACCGAGTGGACTCCAAGCAGCCTTCTCCTCTGACCCGACTAGGCGTTGGGTCTAGCTGCTGGACCCATCCCACCAAGTGGTTTGCAAGCTACTGGTTATAGAGCCACGTATACATTACTGTGAAGGCGGGCTTGCCACCTATGCTGGTTTATCCGTCATGCATAGCACCAATTATTAATTTTTAAAGCCTCATCCTCGAGACAGCCGAACGCTAAACGGACGACGATGTTTGGTAACACAACCTAATGGAATACGCATCTTTTCTAAGGCAAGCACTTTGCATGGGAGCACTATGAATTACAACACGCCTATATATGTTATTTCACTTGTCTTGCTGTGTATTACCACTGAATCTGCGGCACAGCGGGCAGTTCCGGTTGATGGACCGGTAGAATGGGTGTACTCACATATTAGACCAAAGTAAGTATGGAATCCTCATTTTTGCGCCTTGGATGGTGGCCAATAGCTAATATAATATGTGTAGCGGATTCATGCGTATCCCGCCTGGAAGCCATAGAGTCTCTCAATTCTCGTGCCGATGGGATCATGTCTCGTTTGATGCCAGGAAAACAGGCCGATTGGTGCAGAGCTGACAGCCATTGAAGATAACCTTTCGTACTACTGGACTGAGGCCACTGCACAACTGAAGAAAGTGATTAGCCAGATCCAGAGCCAGATCCAGAGTCAGATGCTGAGTATTGGCGAATCTGGGATCATGGATCTCATAAATATGGCAGTTGGGATGGGCATGAGCATGGCGGGAATGGGCGCATTTAGCGGAGTTGCCAGACAACTCATTTCCTACATATTTGCGCTAGCCACACAGGTGATTGCTTCTATTGAAGGATCGAGTAAGGCAGCAGAGCAAGGCTTACTCAATGGCATCCCTAGATATAACATGTCCAGTATGTCACAATGGCAAACCATGGCACAGTCAATGGCCACGAGCGCCAGGGGCTTTATCCAGAGTGAGGTTGCCAACCTGCAAAAGCAACTCAAGAATGCCGCCGACGTGGCAATAGCTAATATTTCGTTTGTTGGTGGTGAAGCGCAGAAACTTGTGAACCTGGTGGCGGCGTTCTTGCAAGAGTCGTTTGAAATCGTGCTAAAGAACCCACTGCTCTCGACCATCGTTGGTGTCGGCAGTATCGCTAACCCGATTATTGGCCTTTTGATAGTATTGGTTGACATTGACCCACTGAAGGCTATCTCGGACTATTCCGGATGGCAGAGCCAGATAAGCTCGAGGAATAGCGTGCTTTCCAATAGTGCCAGCAGCTTATACATAATGGCCTCGAATGAGCTGCCAAATATAGAGTCGCAGGCTATTGCAATTGTTAGCCAGGTGGGCAGCGTGGCCGACTCCTTGACAAGTATGCAGTGGCTGCGCTTGCCCGACCAGATACTCGCCATTCTCCAGCTGTTTCCGATTCTGTTCAGTGCAGAGATGAATCTGTTTACATTGGTTTCTCGGTCAATGCCGCAGATTTCATCCGGTGCAAGCTCTTTTTTCAGTTCTATTCAGGCCAGCGGCATACTGAGACATGATGAACTGCTGCATTACAATGACGACCAATACTTACCCACTCCAACACCACTGGACTGGCAGGCTGGTGAATCTTTGGGAGTCCCCGTTGCCAACGCTGTTCATATAACCCTGTGCCTGCGGTCTTAATTCGCAGCATGCAGCCCCGCCTCCTTTCTAGAATCCCCATTTCACGTTGCGGTTTTAATAAAGATGCTATGTATGGTTATATTACGCTCGGCAAATTTTTGAATGGTGAATGTACTGCCACACTTTCCATGATGCGTACCTGGTATAAAACGCGGCCTGTCGCATTAATTTTGCACCAAGCACACCAAACCCTACCTCTACCTCATCTCAAACTACACCTCTAACTATGAAAGCCGCGACACTAGTATCTGCCCTTTCTTTGGCCGCTGTATCTACTGCCCTTCCATCCCATCGCAGCGACCGCGATATTCCTATTGCCCTCGTTGACTCCAATGCTGGGATTCTAGGCAGTCTCGTGCAGCCGGCTGTTACCGCTGTGTACTACAACCCACGCGCTGATCGGGATGCCCAGCGCGAGGAGCGCCGCAAGGAGTGGCGTGAGTGGTCACACGAGACTGGCGCCAACGGCGTTAGCAACGGTGCTAATTTCGTCAACGGCATTCTAGATGGCGTCAGCGGAATCGTCGACTCGGCAGTCGGCCCGGTCTACTCGTTCTTCGGAGTTAGGTCTCCTTAAACACACAAGCTACACGGATGGCACCGTTTCGAACCAGATGTTCTCAATAGAAGGCTGCTCAGACTGGTTGCATATTCACATGGTGCCAATCCCACTTTATAGACTGGCATCTACTCCATCAATGGAATATTCATATTTTCACTACGTTTCAAGATTGCACCGTTATTAATAAACGCACACAGAATAGAAATACCCTGAGACCATCCCAACCTCTAAGTGAGTGCCCACATGCTACAGTACTTGATTGTTTTCAAATCTAAGAAAGAGCCATTTAGTATCACATATGCATTTGTTTGATATGGCATCTGTGTAAGCGGTGTATGTCTGGACCCTTCATAAATGGGCTGATTTGCCTACTTTTCAAGTGATTCCTTGGAATGCACGCCTAGATTACGTGTGCCAGATTAGCTGTGGTGGCAGAGCAAACAATGTTGCAGATTTCTGCGCCTTGATGTGGGGGGACAGGAATATCCCGCTGCTTTTTGCTCGCAGGAAGGGCGGGCAGGCAGGCAGTCATGCATGTACATGCCTGCAGCTACATGCCCGTCTATGTATTAGGCTGCCAGTGCCTTCCGTGGCCTGGACCCAGGTTTGCAGGCTGCATGTGAAGCTGCCTGCTGCGGTTGCGCTTCATCATCTGGGGAAGGCTTGATGAAAAGGGAGCATGAACAGACAGGCCAGTTCCTCGTCAGACTTATTACCGCAGTCTCACTTTGTAAGCGTTTTTGTATCGAAACTATACTCGCTAATGACGCCTGTGTCTAATAATATACATGTGGCAAACTCTACTCCAGGCGAAAATAGACGAGAAGAAACGTGGCTGAAACTGTGTGCCTTCTAATCCCTAACATGGCTGAGCGCCAAAAAATACCAGCAATAAAAAGTAGGGAGGGTGTAGTAGGGAACACGAACCCGTGGTGTGTTTCTACAAATAGGGCGTGGACCTCACGCAGCCAATGGATGGTGTAGATTGCAACGACCCAAGGTAGGTCATGTGTGCAGTTGTGGTACTTGGACATGTCCATCAACCCGGATGACATGTGGTGCAGCCAGCATGGAGCTACCACGCCTGAAGAAGCGGGGGTATGTGTTGGAATAGCAAGGGGGTGCAATGGAAAAATGGACGCGCTTTTTTGTGATCATGCGGCCACCAGCTGAGTAATGCCTAATGTTTTGAGGTGAGCACAATTGCACGACACGTCTTGCATATGCAACCTGAGCTGACCATCACATTGTTCTCTGGGTCGGTGATGGGCACGTACATGCATATACCTGTCCCGAAGCAGTTGTCGCGTTCTCTTATTCTGCGGTTTGCGATCGTTTTCTATTTTTCTACCAACCCACCCCCTTGCCACCAATTACCCGCTCTCTTGCGCTCTCCTTGTTCATTTCGCTGCCTCTTTTTGCAGGATCTCTGCCCTTCTGTCTTGTGGAATTTTAGGGACATGCGTGGGCTGGATGAGGCCTGGTGCCTGCCCGCTCTGGTGCTGCTTTTCCTGTGCACCTAGTGACCAGCCCCTTCCTTTCTACAGACGGCTATCCTACAAATGTGCTTGTTTCCTACATTATCGCTGGCCTATGCCTTGCATACAGGCTGCAGGCCAGCAGAATCCTGTCTTTTGCGCGGTCTGCTTGCGTGCGGGTGCATGGAGAAGAAGCCTGGCCAGGTCACTGGAATGTAACGAGGAGGGTCTTTGAACGATGGCTCCGTGCTCGGTAGAGCGGAAAACAACATATCCGGAATAGGCGACCTCGGGCCATCCATCGATTGTTCGCTTCGTCCCTTGTCAACAAATCCTCTGGTACTTTGAGCTGGTGCTGCTGCTACTGCAAGTGCGCACTGGGCACCCTCCTGCTCAACAAAAATAGCCACGCTTGGCAAGGTGTGGATTTTCTGGCACGGTGGATGCAGCTCGCTTACAGTCACTAAACCTGTTGTTGCAAGAAGCAGTTCATCATTTCTCTCAGCCGGCACGCACTTTTTGGCGGCGGAGAAACAAGGCTAGCGCGTGCTTGGTTCATGCAGGCCTAAATTGGTTGGAGGGGAGGCGAGCAATAATGCTGCGATATCGCGCAGCTGCCGTGCAGGCGCCCAGCCTTCAAAATACATTCGGCTGCTTCGGAGCGGACGACAGAGGACGATGTCCCTTGGAAAGAAAAAAGTGCACAGCACAAACACCAAGCCGCAAGGCTGCGCCATGTATGATGCGATCGATGCGATGGCTCGGTGGGCCAACGCAGAATGTACCAGCACTCTTCCCAGAAAAAGGCAAGTGAACAGTGGGCAAGGGGAAAACGTGCGGACTGGCGTTCGCAAGCGTGACCAGTAGATTTCACCTTTTCTGGTGGAGCCCTATGCAGCAGCCCAACTGATGCTGAGATGATACGCGCACAGGTGTCCTCATTTCCGCTTCCAGCGGTATCTTGGAGGAGATGTGCAGTCAGAAAGTGTGCGGCTGGCCCGGAAAATAAGAAATTAGCAATGCGTTGTTGGCGCAGAGGCACCTCAAAAGATGTGTGTGTCTGCTGCAACTTATTTTTACCTACCTCGATGCAAGCTCATCGATGAAGCTCGAGCAGGATTGCGTACTTGAACAATCAAGGATAGCCGCGGCATGCCGCAACTGTAAGTAGAGTGCCAATCGCACACTATCACCGGCGGCAGAGGCAATGCCGGCAGGCACAGCCGGCGAGTGGTAATATACTGGACGTATTGCTCAATGGCCTAGTGCGGGGGGCGGCCATCCCTGAGAGGATGTGGGAACAAAAGCTATATACGCAGCACAGGATTGTGGTGCTGATAAATGGGCGAGCCCAACAACGCCCGAGCTTTACTGCGTTGCCCCTGAGCTCTCCCTCGACCCGGCTTTTATCAGAGCGTCATCAGCCTATGAATTGTACGTGATTTTTGCCATGATAACGAGCAAACAAGCAGGCAAGGCGCACATCGCTGAATCTTTTCCCTCGTTTGGGCTGAATTCCCTTGGTCGTGTTCTTTTTATTTCTGAACAAATGAGAGCCAAGGAGGGTGTGCGCGGGGATTGTCATGTCGCATGCATGGTGCTTGCCGGTATTATAAAAAACGAGAAAGGAAAAAACCACATCATGCACATGTACTGCACGCTGGTTGCTTGTTCGATTTCGATTCGATTGGCCCTGATAACAGCACAAGGGCGAGGGCACGGGGAGGGGTGTGGGTAGTGATGGCGGCAGCACCGAAAGGAAGCCCAGCAAAAGCCTTGTTCATCATGGTGGCACAAGAAAGCATAGCCTTCGCTATCCTGAACATCTCTGCCAAGTCTGCGCTGCCCAGCGCCGGTTTTGCCCCTTGTGCAGCTGATCTGGCACGGGTGCAAGAAGAGTACAGTTTAGGCCGTGCAGCGCGGCCGCGTGGACAGCAGCGACCATTTACGACTCTGGCCGATCATCCCTCGGCCAATGTAACGCGGGGCTTGACAAGGGAAAATAAGCTTTTTTAGGTTTGTGGATATCCTCCAGCCTGTAAAGCGTAGCTGGCTCTTGTCTCGCATATCTACCGTGGGTTGATAAATGCCCACTCCCCTGTCATGCGACAGCGGGAGATCAGACATTGGGCGCACATCCAGCAATATGCGGCTCCAAACCAACAATGTGCGGCTCCTATTGTCCGTGCTGGCAGGAGCATGGCCATGTCCTGGATATGTACCTCTGCTCAAGCTGCAATTGCTCGTATAGGGATGGGCTAAAGATGTGTTTGTTTGGACAAACCAACGGCCACCGCTATGCTTAGAGTTTGTGTTAGCTATGGACTGGCCAGTGCATCCAGCGCGGCCAGCGCAGTGCAGGCGAAGGCAACAGCGACCAGTCCGCCAGGCGCCTAATCACTCTTGGCTGCGATCGAAGAAGATAGTTGACCGCCAGAGTGGCTGGGAGGTGGTCGCACAAGAGGCAATATTTGCAACCAGCTGATGCGATACAGACCAAGGATTCCGTGTTATTGAGGCAAGGTTTATGCTGTTCCTGGGCTTTCTCCGCTCCTCTTGCCATGGACGAAGGAGCAAACGTGCATTCAAGGAGGATGGCGCGATTGGGGTCTCGACTCGGGTCTTGTCGGCACGGGGAGCAAGTGAAATTTCCCTATTCGCTTTTGACTATTTTGTCATTTTTACCCAAGCAAACACGAGCGATTTATTTTTTGAACAGCTTTCAGATTCGGACCGGTCTGAGGCAAACATGCAAACAATCGGCTATGTACGCGTGCCTTGCCTTCTGTGGGTCCGAGGCTGAACATCGCGTGCGCCGAACCGCGGCTGAGCAGAGGAGAAGAACAGTCCGCGATGACACCCACCGGCCATTATGTTGGTTGGAAGCTCTCAGCAGTGAGGACGACGATACCACTACTGGCCAGACACACGAGCTCACACTCTTCTCTGAATCACTCTGGATGGATGAGGGATGTGGATGGAAAAGGGGATACCGGAAACGCCATGGGTGGCCAGCTCGGCATGGGGTGAGGCGGGAAATCCACGGGGCTGTGGAGGTTTCCAACCCAGTCTTGGCTCGCGCTACTCCGCAAGTACACAAGACCCAGTGATGCAGACTGGGCTGCCCCCCCATGGCTGCCTGAGGAGACATGTTATGGTGGGGGAGGCGGGTGAGCTGGCAATACTGTTGTGGTCTGGCATCCCCACCATTCTTTCTAGCTGCAGACTGATCGCGGTACACAGGGCCGCTGTTCAGTGCAGTCTCAGAAATTTTTTTCATGTCAGCCCTTCGGCAATACATCCATACATGGTATTATCGAGCTGGGGCGAGTGACCGAGGGCGATAGGTCTCTTGGATCGTCAGCAATTTCCGAGACCACCTCGCCCTGAACAGCCTGCAATCTACCAGTAGCGCTTCGGCCAATTTCTGCGTTTGGGCGCTATCGGTGAACGATCAGGCCAGCCTAGATCTGAATCGATGGCGAGAGAGTGCAGCATAAAGCGTTGAGCCCTCTCCGCCATATACGTTTTTGGACATGGAACGTGGTCAGGGCCGCCTGTCATCGTTACCTGCTTGGCCCGCCACTGAGCAACAAAAAAGCAACCAATGCAACTGATTTGTCGAACGCGACCATGAATAATGTGCATTTTTACTGGCCCGAGCATCATCATCATCATCGCATACTCAGCAATGTAAAAAAGTGTGTTCATAGAACCACTGCTGGGCAGCTCTAGTCTGTATCCTCAAGCAACTGACATACTGCTCAAGTCCCCTTTCAAAAAGAGGGAGCGCGAATTATGTGCCAGAATCGAAATCGATTGCCCTGCAAAATGGAACGCTGGCCAAAGGATACGACGCCATTTGCAAAGGGATAGTGAACGGGGACACGAAGTAGACAGGAAAGAGAAAAACCTGGGCCAAGGCGGTTTCCCCGCGCACAGCCCAGCGGTGCGGGCCAAAGCACAGGAGAAAGAAGAGAGCGCAAAGGATGTACATGCGCTGGATATATGCCGGCGCGCACGAGAGAGAAGGGGGAAATAGGGAGCGGCCAACGGCATAGAACGACCAATAATGCCTGCTTGTTCCAAGGCATTGCAGGACGGGAGAGTGGGGGGTGTTTGCTACCACCCAGTCAGCCTGCACTCTAAAATCGATAGTACCCCCGGGGGCGGCTGACGGGGTGATCCTCCACCCCCTTGTAGTAGATTGGCCTCGCTCGACGACAAAGAACAGGAGCAGTTTCAGTGGCTATATAAACAACGCGAGGTCTTCCTCTCTAGCCCTCGTTTTTTCTTTTGAGTAGGCCAACGATTTTATTAAAACAGCTTCCCTTCTGTACCCATTTCCCTTACACACTTGTACCAACACCACGATTTCTATCCCTTTCCAATATTATAAGAAAAAAGTTGTTCTGTATACTTGTCCCCTCCCCTCTGCCGGATCTCAATATACCCCCTCGTATTTCAAGCCTATATCAGCTCTTTCTTGATTGATCCACGTCTGTTTCTCCTCCTCATTTCAAATACCCACACGGCTTCATATCTACACATATTCCACACACCATGTATATTCCGGCATCAAAGTCGTCTTTTATGTGCAGCGGACGCAGCGTGATGCTGAACCGTAGCAACAGCACAACTGCAACCACCACGGTGGGAAAGCATGAGGGTGGGGCACCGCTCTCACTTATTCTACAGAGCCACACATCGTCAGCCGCCAAGCGCGCCCAGGCACGGCCCACATACACTCCTCCGGCTGTGGTGCGCAAGAACTCTGGGGAGATTGTGCGCTCCTGCCTCCGCAAGCGTGCTACCTCCGAGCCCAACCTCAGCTCGATGCAGCAGCCGTCCAAGTTTGTCCACTTTGGAGCGGACTTGGAGCGCGTGCGGTGGTTCCTGAAGGCCCAGAGCCCCGAGAGTGTCCAGGCAGATGCCTCGCTTGACGACGAGCTCTCACGCGCATCGACACCCGTGGATGCAGCACACACAGCTGCTGCACGCCCTGCCATGGTGCGGCTCACATCCATCCGGCGCCCGACACCCTCGTTCATTGTGTTTGAGGAGAGCCCGGTTGTGCTGGAGCGCATGGACCTGGCTGACAACAAGGCCTCATCGGCCGTCATCTCGGGCACCATCAAGGTCCACAATCTGGCGTACGAAAAGAACATCGTGGTGCGCTACTCGCTTGACGAGTGGAAGACCACCCAGGAGGTCTGCGCCAAGTACCAGCGCACACTGGCTGAGCCCTCAGGCCCGCGCCCCGGCATCGACCGCTTCACATTCTCGCTGCCGCTGCCGGCCTCGGCCATGGTTCATCTGCCTGCTGTCGTTGCGCTGTGCGTGCGCTACGATGTCGGCGGTGCCGAGTACTGGGACAACAACAAGGGCTCCAACTACATGGTTAAGGTATCGCACCCTGCCCTGCCTGCCATCGCCGACGACGATGCCGACCACCCCATGATTGCCATGAAGTGCAGCGCCGGCTACTCGCAGGAGCTCAGCGCGCCTCGCCGCCTCACGTTCAACGAGACTGCCTCCGCCCCGTGGGTACCTACTGCCATGGCCTCGTACTCCAACCCAACCCCGGCCGACACTCGCCGATATATGGCCAGGTCCGAGGCGCTATTTGCTTCCCCCTCCCAGCGGGCATCTGCCAGTAGCAATAGCCCGTCTATTGATGCCTTCACTCAGCAGCCGCCCATGTACACGCAGCAGGCGTTCTCGCCGCTGCAGCCAGGGCTGCCGATGTACCAGGATGTTGCGTGGTGCGGAACCGACTTTACCTCCTTCGACTATGCACCCCCGGCGTACTATTACCGTCAGCCGAGCGCAGCTGTGTCGCCATCTTCCCTGTCACCTGCCAACATTGCGCGCCTGTCGTCGCCTGTTGCCCAGCAGCTGGCGGCCCGCTCGGGCTCGCCACTTGCCACGCCCATGCGCACTGGCAGCCCCATCAACCACCAGGTGTTTGGCCCCAGCGGCGCTTTGCGCAACAGCTCGCCGCTGACCTGGGCCCAGGGAACCACGGCCTCGGCACTGCAGTGCTAAAAACAACTGCAGATGCAGCAATTTATTGGCGTTTCTACCAGCGCTCGGCTGTCGATGAAATTGCTTGGGGGAGGTTTGTCGGGTTGGGTTCGCTGCGGTTGGGCTCATTTTTCAATGAGCGTGCATTATCCTGCCGCATCAGTTTACCACCCTCGGGGGCGTGCGGCGGACCTCACCTCCCCTGCGATTGTGCCGCCCTTTGGCAAGGGTGCCTTCAGTGCCGTTGCTCTCCTCCTCCCAGAGCTTTGCGCGCATTGTCGCTGTGAATCGCAGCCTTGGCCTTTGTCTGCTGGACATTGAAAAATGGCCCTCAGAACATCTGATGATGCGCTATAGCTTGTCTTTTGGCAATTGCACTCCTTGCATTTCTCTGGGGGTGGCTCCTTGTCCATCAGGAACTCCGAATCCATTCGACGCCAGCCAAGACAGGCACTCCAACCACCACAAAACCATTCACCTCATCATTTATCTTTCCTCCGCCTGTATAATATCATTAACCTTAACAATATCCACTGCTGCCTGCTTGCATCCCATCTCTCCCACACCCCTTCTGCAACGCCGGCGCCGCACCGAGATCTGTCTCCAGCATAGCCTGCATCCCCGAGCGCAAGCCGGAGAGTCGACATGACCAGGGATCAGACACAAACTCTACCAACATACCAAGCGAGCTGGTAACTTTGGTATACACTGCGGATAAACCCTGAGTTACATCCTGGGCATTTCTTCCCATGTATCCGCCATATCACACGTATCATTAGATCTGAATCGCTCAATACAACCATCATATCTTGCTATATTTCGGCCTCTGGTTCCAGCTGCTAGCACGTTTCAAGGCGCTGTGCAGCCGACCCCGTGTCATTTCTAGTGGGGCCATCCCATCCAGCCATGCAGCCTCGTCTTCTCTCCTGTTTGCACAGCCGGCCAATTGTATGTACTCTTTCCTGGCAACGGGTGTCCCAGAGAAAAACAATATGCAGTGTCCTGTTGTTTGGACGCATATCGCTTGATTTCCTTCTAGCCATGAATGGATGCTGCAGACAAGGTGATTTGTCGTTGCCTTGTCGGCGGCAGCTCAAGGTGGGCATGGTGTGAGGAATAGTGGGAAGCCCAGCACCAGGACAAGCGTTGCAGCATGCGGTCGGGCGTCCTATTCGCCCGCCTGTGTATTGTGCATTTGTGAGCATGCACAGCCAGCTGCCCTGGAACAATGCGCCTTTTCCCAGAATGCTACAATTATGTCCATCCACCGCGTTGTTCCTGCCTGCTGTCCTTTTAGCAACCCACACCCCATCTCTCCAATCACCAGTAGTGAGTGAAAACTGCAAGTACGCGCACAGCCGTGGCAAACGCGAGGCGCAGGCAAGAAATCAGGACCGTTGCTAGAAACGCACAACCCAGTCAGGCATCCAGGCAGTTCATTATCCACATGTCGCCACAGCATTGATGACCGCTGAGCGTGACTGCACTCTCCGTTTCTTCGTCACATAATGGATCCACATGATCCGTGTTTTTTCCTTCGTGCCTCAGGAGTGATTCAGCTGCTATGCAAAAGGTTCTATTCCCCAGAGAAGAGCTTTTCTGCTCGTCGGCCGAGAACAAGCTCACCCGGAATCGCCCGCGCCGCACGGCTTCTGGTATGTCTATTTTTGTCTTAATGCAGCTTCCGTAGCAATGAGCTTATTGCCCGCTGCATACGCGATCCATGCAGGCCGGTTCCTGGGCAGCTCTGGGCCTATAGGCAGAGCCCCTGCTGATTAGCGCTTGGGATATTCGCGTCTGGATCTACGCAGAAATCGCCAGCGCCAGGCAGCAGCGGGCTTGTGCACCACTCCCCTCCCCTTCGTGTCGCAGCGATCCTTGCCGAGCGCTGTTTCGCTAATGAGGAGCTGGTCGCGAGACGACTGGCTGATCCATTGTCCGAGCCGAGCCACGGACTATCACGCCAGGTTCTGACAGGCACGAATCACATGGACTCGCACGCCAGTTCCTATTTGCGTGCTGTGGTCCGAGCGGAACAGGGCGGCGGTGGTGTGGGAACAAAAGCGCAGAACGTATGTTTTTCTATTCAATTCATCGATAATGTAAGGCGCGGCCTCCGTGCATCTTTTTCTCCTCTACTATACACAACAATCGAGCCTTTTCTTGTCCTCTTTTTGTCTTCCTTGTCTACAGCCCAACAGCGACAGCCTCCTCCCAGCCATGCCGACCGAACAAATGAGCAGTGCCAACAAGCCCCTCAGCGCCGAGGGCCGGACATACCACGTCGAGACCAAGTATGGTGAAGGTAAGACAGTGTAGCCCACACGCAGACCGGTGTGAGTGCAGTCTACTTCTCTTTTGCCGCCCGTGCTTCCTGTTGCCGTTTGGGAGAACAATTGAAGTGCGCCAGAGTGTGGCAGCCGCACAAGGGGTTTAGTTGCGCCACGCATGAAGTATGTGTGGCGTGTGCGTGGAGAGCATTGAAGGATTTTCTACTGATCCCTGCTCAAAAAATTTTTACAATGGTAGTTGCTAACCGCATCATCACTGTCGGCGACCCGCAGCGCGCTCGCATGATGTCAAAGTTCCTCGACAAGGTCCTGTTTGAGCGGTCCTCGCACCGTGGGTTCCTGACGATCACCGGGATCTACCGCGGGCTGCCGGTCTCGATCGTGGCCATTGGCATGGGCCTGTCGATGATGGACTTTTTTGTGCGCGAGACACGTATGGTGGTTGACGGTCCGCTGTCGATTGTGCGGTTTGGCTCGTGTGGTTCCATCGGGGAAGCCAAGACCGGCGATGTGATTGTGGCTCGGTCTGCGTTTGGTATCTCGCGCAACTTTGACTACTTCCGGACCCCCTCTGACACGCACATTAGCGACAAGCCGTACATTCTGTGGCGCGCATCGCCGGCAGACTCGCAGCTGACTGAGTGCGTCAAGAGCGAGATGGGCAAGAGTATCGGAAGCGAGCATGTGTTTGAGGGTGATGTCGGTAACGCTGACAGCTTCTATGGATCGCAAGGCCGCACGGGTACTGATTTCTACGACGGTAACGAACATCTGCTGAGGTACATCCACGAGGTGTACCCGGGAGCTACGGCGCTTGAGATGGAGAGCCACATGCTGTTCCACCTGGCCGAGGTCTCGACTGGCGCTAACAATGATCAGCCCAAGTCGATCCGTGCTGCCTGCGCCCTGATGGTGTTCGCTGACCGTACGGGCAACTCGTTCATCAGCCCTCAGCGCAGCGCCCAGGTCATCGAGAGCTGTGCCCGGGCACTGTTCGACAGTCTGGTGGCAGACATGCCTTCACAGGAGGGTTTGCACCCGGCCGAAGGCAGCGTATGGGCCAACGAGCTGGCAAAGTAAGCTAAATAGCATATTAACACCAGCTCTCTTCTGCAAATATACACTGTATCACGCCATCTTGCTTCATGCAAAACAACACATTTGTGTGCAGACCAGGGGACATTCGCTCAGGCCCGGATTTAAGCTGGCTGATGTATATGGAGCTGGAAAGGGCATGGTGCGACACTGGCACAACCACACAACAAAGGCTACTCCCCTCGGCGTCTGCACCAACCTAAGGGCGCCAAGGACACTACGAGATTCGCCACCTACGCAGTGGATTCATGTGCAATGCTGAGGGTGCCCTTGTTGCCTGGCGCCAGCTTGAGCAGCCAAAAATATGCCTAGGGTCTATTTATAACCAATGATCCCAGGTGATGATGTAATTCAATGAGAAGCGCCTGTCGTGAAAGAGCTGGTCTGAATTCCAGAATATATGCCTGTGCTGTTCTCTGCTGCTCTGTGCTGAGAGGCAGGGGCAGACTATGTGATGTGACGAAATTCAAGCATTCGATTGATCTCGCCACTGCGGTCCAGATGAGGGGACGATCGACTATGTCCGTCTCCAGGCGGCGCGGGCAGCAACGCTGGCCTCAATCCCTTTTCCAACCAACGAAACATCCTGAAATGGATTTGGTGAATTGGGGTGCAGTGTCATACGGTTTCGCATGCGAGCCCGAAAGGCGACCCCTATGTCGTGGCAGACCCGCTGGCCTGGGCTATTTCTTCCAGCCCAGAGCCAGCATGCAGCACCCTTCCAGCAGAAGCATGTCATGTAAAGCCGGTGGTACCTTGCCCTCACTCTAGACATCAGCCAACGTGCCACTCTTGCACAAACTTGGACGGTATCGAGCACCGACTGTGAGCCAGAAACAAATGGCTGGTGCAATCGGATGCCATTGACTCATCACTGACCATTGGGATCTATATCGTTGTTATTGCTTGGCAAGCCCTATAAGAATAAGACGGCGCTGTCGTGGAATGTTGTCTTCGGGGCCGACAAGATGGTGGTAGATCGCGCTTCTCTCAGGTCATGGTGTTTCTTTGAGCATCTTCGAGGGACCAGGGATTGGGACAGCCCACACACGCGGCGCTGCCTTGGTGCGGCAATACCGCCTCTTTCTGATGAAGAATTAAGCATAGAGCTGCCGAATACAAGTGCAGAGTGCATTCCAAGCCCACTCGCTGTTGCACACAGCAGATTGTTGATGCTGCTGCTAGTCACTCAAACCTATCTCTTCCGCTGCCACCTATGCAGCAGCAGCTATCTATGGCAGGAGTGAGCGGCTATACACTGCACTTTGGCTTTATGATCCACATCTATTATTAGACAGGCTAAAAAGTACCTGTGGGCTCGCAATACCGCTCGTTCACTCATGCGCACTAGTCTCCGGCTGCGCAGAGCAAAGTGGATCGGGTGTTTGAGTGGATGCGGTATCCACACCAGATAGGCCGGCTGGCTCACGATGCAGGCTTTCCTCCAATGCTTTGGGAGAAGGGCCAGAAAGCGGTGCAACCACCAGGTGGATTTCGGTCGGATGGTAGTACATTTTCAGGCAAAAATATTTGGCCCAAGTCCTGGAGAGCGGTGACTGTGGATAAGCGCCATCTGCAAATTATCAGCCGCCTGCTGTCAGTAGTTGGGATGTCTGTATAAAAGCCATACCTGCCCAGGCCGCTGGCTAGATTTCCTCATACTAACATTTCAGTTCTTTCTTTTAATTCCAAGCCCTCTCGCCTGCGCCAAACCCAGCCTGATAACCCCCTATATTTCAAACCCACGTATAGTACACATTTTTGCTCCTAAATCACATAACCCATGAAGTTCGCTGCTGCTCTCGCTACTGTCACTGCTCTGCAGTCGCTCCTACACTGACCATCGATCCTATCGCTACCCCTATCAACCCAATTTTCACCTCCTCGAAAACTCTGACCTGGCCTGACTTTGGTGTCGACTCTGCCTCCACTGTCTCTACGCTTGGGGACAGCCCGCTCGCCACCCCTGTGGTGCCAGCCATGACTATCTTGCTCCCCAAGTGCGGCCACTAGATCAATGCACTAGAAATGTTTGGTTATCTCTAACTTACTCTCGGCTATTCGACAGCTTAGCGTTTGTTTCCGCTATCGGCTCATTGCCAGCTCTCGGTAACAGCAACATTATGTTTTAGGTGAACTAGCATGCTCTGGTTCCATTTCTGTGCTTAGACGATGTGCCTATTTGCCACTCGTTCTTGTTTGACATTGTACGATATATAAAAAAAGTTAGCCAGGCGTAAAAGATATACTGGAGCATTCCCTGCTGGACAGGACGACTATCATAGTGATTTCCTGCCACAAGCTACATGAGCTATGAACTTCAGCTCTGGCGCATTGCCCTTTTGATGCAGACGATAATGGCAACCCAACATTCATCTCGTATATTTGCACGCATGTTGAACTGCGCTAGGATAGAAATTGACAAGCGAAAAATGTATAAATTTACTAAAATATTATCCACAAGAAAGACAAATGATATGGCGAGAAAGGTGTCGCTAGAATATTTCGAATTCAACGCAAAGAGCCATGCTGGCCCAGAGAGGAGCCACGGGCCAGGCAAAGCGGCGCAGGTTCCACAGATATCAGGAGCGAGTAGCTCACGCCTTGGGCGGCGGCATCTGTGGCTTATGCGTATGATGGGGATGATGAGAAGTGAGTGGTAGTACATTGGCGGTAGAGGGAGGGTTGTGGACGGGAGCCACAGGCGCCTTTACATGCGGGCGCACAATATGCGCAGCAGAAGGTGTCGTGGGCATCGGCTGTGCCCGCGATACACCAGCACCGCCACCATTGACAGCCGCCGGTAGCCTCTGGGGCAACGACTCGCCTGTGCTGGCAGGGTGCTGCTGCTGCTGCTGCTGCTGCTGCTGGTTGAGGCCCCGAGGCAGTGGAATCTGCACGGGTGCTCGGCTCTGCTGCGGGTAATGTGGTCTGGGGGTCACACATGCTGTGCGTTGCGGTGTCTGCTGCGAGTGTTGCTGAGCAGGCGATGCGACACGTGGCGGCATGTGTGGCCGTGCACTGGGGGCGGTGGTTGGGCCATGGCTGGCTCGTGATGGTGGTGGCGATGGCCCATTAGTGGCTGCCACTGTTGAACGACTGTACTGCTGGGGGCTACTAGCAGGAGCTGGTCGGCGCACCTGCTGATGCTGCTGAGAAGGGTAATGGCCGTTCACCGCAGACGCCATAGGTCGGTGCTGTGGACGATTTGCCGGCGCACCACTGGGCATCGGGGGGCGATAGTGGACGTTGCCGGTCTGCTGCTGCGGTTGCTGACCAGGAGGCCGGCGGATAACCTGCGGTCGCTGCTGCTGTTGCTGCGGGTAGCCATTCCCCGGGCGCTGTGGCATGGGCACACGGGCTGTGGGCCGCGTGCCATTATTGGCTCCAGTAGGCATGGGCCGCTGCATTGGGCGCTGGCCTTGAATCGGCGGCGATCCGTTGGCAACCGGTCGCATGATCGGGCGTCTGACAGGTGTACCTGCCATCTGGTGCTGGGGACGAGGAGCGGGCATCGGGGGCCGTGCATTGGACAGCGGGCGCTGGCTGGCTGAACCAGGGGACATAGGTCTAGGCTGATGAACCATGCCTGGCCGGTATTGCTGCTGCTGTTGCTGTTGGCCAGGTGCCATGGACCGCTGCTGCATGGGTGGTGGGCGGTGAGCACCGTTCGATGTAGGCCGTGAAGCATGCTGCTGGTGCTGGTGCTGTGGCTGCTGCTGTATAGAAGGCCGCTGCTGGGTCTGCACAGGGCGTGGAGGCGGACGATTTTGCTGCGGGTGCTGCGGTTGTCTCTGTGAAACACCCGTAGGTGAGTTTCTACCGCTGCCTGCTGTTCTAGGCGAGCTTGCAACATTGCTGGCCTTCGTATGGCTAGCCTGCTGTTGCTGCTGCTGCTGCTGCTGCTTCTGCTGCTGCTGGTTCTGTGCCATCGCTGCCATGTTCAGCGTGTGGTTATAGATGGCACTAGCAAGCCTCAATACCACCGCGGCATCAGGGACCGACGACCGAGGGTTTTTGGTCTTGGCAACCGCCGCCTGCTGCTTCTTGGGTGTGGGCTTGCCGCGGGGGATGCGGATAACACGCGCGCGCTTGCGGACGCCAGCGTTAGCAGAGTCGTCGTCGTTATCGGCCTTGGCACGCTTCGAGTTGTTTCGGTACAGCAGATACGGTGCCACAGCTTGCTGTTTACCAGTGCTCTTTGCTGCTGCCGCCGCACGCAGACGCAACAGCAGATTGGCCTTGGCTGTTCCCGTGAAGCCAAATGCCTCCATAGTCTGAGCTAGCCGGGCATTCAGGCTGCTTGTCGGCTGCTGCCCATTTTTTGCGCATAGTACCGCGCGAGCCGCTGCTAGTGGCTCCGTCAGACTCGATCTCGTTGCTAGAGAGCTTGAGCGGCGTGGTCGACAATTTACGAAGCGCTGGCGGCGAGCTGGGCGGCGGCGGTGGCGAAGGCGGTGTCGAGCAGCAAATCATGTCGACGTCGCTGTCCTCTCCAGGAATCACCATGCTTATATCCAGATCTAGGTCATCCGGGAAATGAGCGTCCATCGACGGCGACAGTGGTTTGCTGGTCAGCGGCGTTGCTGTCGAGTCTACCGCGCTAGTAGTGCTGCTGACGCTGCTAATCAGGGCGGGCGACGACTCCTTAGAGTCTGCCGACTGCTCCACAGACGCGGCCAGTGCTGCAGCAGCTGCTGCAACCACCGCGCTGGTCGAGCGGGTGACACGTACGGCTGCTATACCCTGACCAGTGGTCGCTGGGGCAGCCGAGGACTTGCCCTGGTCCACTACAGAGGACACAGTAGCACTGCTTGCAGCAGTGGTCTTGGTGGCAGACTGCGGCGATTTTTCGGGGGTGTTGCCCACCTTTGTCATCAAAACCGACCCTGTGCCCGTGGTTGTCTCGTCATCACCATTGCCGTCACCATCACCTTCATTGTCGTCGTCATCATCAACGGCCATGGCTGCGTGCTCGTCTGGAGATTGTGAGCCCGATTTGGCCGACTGCTTCTGCTGTTGCTGCTGTTGCTGCTGCTGCTGCTGCTGCTGCTGTTGATGCAAGAGCTGCTGTTGGAGCCGGTTCTGCTGCTCAGCCACCAGTGATGTGCCAAGCATAGGGCTTTCTGCACTGAGCAGCTGCAAGAACGACTGCAGGTGTCGGTCGTCCGAGCCAAAAATCGCCTTGGCAGCGCCAGCAAAACTGAAAGCGCCCGGCCGCGTGGCCAACGACTGAATGATTGACGGGGATGGCGTGCCTCGCGCGGTGGCTCCAAAGGTGCTGGTGCGCGAAATGCTCTGTTGTGACGCCGAGTTGCCTGCAATCGCCGAATTAACCATGGTCTGGAACTCAATGCCAAGCCCGCTCTCGGCGATCTCGGCGCTGGTGGGCGCGCGTATTGACGGCGTTGCCGCCGACCCTGAGCCAGACTGGGCACCGCCGGGCTGCTGCGATGCCAGCAGCACGCTGGCAGGGTCGTTGAAGAAGGGCATGATCAGATGGCGGATGAACGACGTTGGCAGGGGTGCTGGGAAGTAGGCTTCAAGGTTGTCGTTCAGGAACGGCCCGAGCCTGTGGTTCAGCGAGCATGTGGCAGCCAGTGCGCGCGCCCGGGGCAGTGGAATCCACGTTCCATACAACTTGCTCTGCGGTCGCCGCCACTTGAACCGCCCGACTTCAAGGCTGAGCACAATACTGCGCTCTTGTTCAGATGCCACTCCGCCGGCCAGCAGCAGCGACGATGCATTCACATAGCCGTTCTCTACCAGCCGCAGTAGCCGGTGTCGCCGCACAATCCATTTGCCCTGGCAGTCGGCGGCTGGCTCCGTTGTGGTAAGCACGGTCATATATACAGGCACTGTCTCGACAATCGTCAGCACTATACGCGGCGACACAGGAACCTTGGTTGCGACCATGGCTGTGGGCGAGATATCGGCAAACGGGTCGGGCAAGATGACCTTGCTCGACGACCCGGTTCCAGACGCCGAATCGTCCCCGTTGCCCTTGCCGCCCTCGGCAGCATCCAGGCTCAGTGCCGCCTCGGTATCAATCATCGATTTGCTTACCGAAAGCAGCTCCGCGTCGTCTGGCTGGAAATCAACCGTGGTTGCAGTAGCAGCAGCTGGTTGTTGCTGCACGCTATTGTTGTCCTTTTTAATATCAGTGGGAAGCTCGGGGGCTGCTGCTGCCACAGCCGCAGCCGCAGCCGGGACGGCCTGCTGGCTGTCGCTGCATTTTTCGCCATCTGCTGTGACTGCCCGCGAATCCTGCTCCCTCACCTCCCCAGCGGCTGGCCCTCCATTGGCCACGGAGCCCGTAGACAGTGCCAGCAGCTTCTGTGTCAGCTTTGAGGACAGCTCATCGTCGAGTGTGCCATTGGTGCCGTCGGCAGAATCTGCTCCACGCCATTGCTGGCCCCCGGTGTGTGTGCCAGAGGCATCTGCGTCAAAACCACCGGCCACAGAGAGGGCACGGCTGGCGCTGTCGATTTTGCTGCTGCTGTCTGATTGTGTGGGGTTAGAGTTTGTCCAGAGCTTGTCGAGCTCATTGACCGACATAAGCTCTGCATCCATAAGATCGTGGAAGCTGTTAAAGTCAAAGTCGTCGGTATCGTCGTCGTGGTTGGGTGCGGAATGCTGGTGCGACAGACCTGCTGCGTCATGCAAAGGCTCGGCCTTGATGACAACTGTTGCGGAAACGTCGTCTGAGGCTGAGCTGTGGGGCTCGACCTTTACTGTTGTTGTGGAGTGTGCTTCGAGCGTCGCTGTGTCTATTGCGTGTTCCCGGCACAGATCGTGAAAGAGTCGGTGTTGTTGGGACACGACGTCAAGCATAGGATGCACAAAGGCGAGTGAGTAGAAAAGGTGAGTATGAAAACCCGACAGTCGAGAATAGAGCGCAAAGGGCAGTAGCAAATAGAGCAAGAAAAAAAAAAAAAGAGAACAGGCAGGCAAAAAAGAATCGGAGGCTATTGCTTGTTTCTTGCCTCTGCAAAGAAGGGCGTGCACACAGCAAGTAAACAAATAGGAGGATTTCGCACACGGGAATAAAAAAGTTTGGGGAGGCGCGGGCGATGTAGAAAAAGTCAAACAGTTTGGATGGTATTTTGCGAGTGCAGAGGGAAAGGGGCGCGAAAAAAGGCTGCAGGCTTGTCGGTGTACCCACATCCTCCAATATGCGCAGACCCAAGCAGTGCCCCTCGCTCTCTGGAGCGTATACGTGGAGCGCGAGTGCGTGACGAAGGATCCAATGAAGTTACTCAGTCAATGCACACAGCTCAGCTACACATCGCTTTGTGGACGACAAAGGGCGGCGAAGCCTGCAAGGATGTAAACAGCCGCCGCCCAATTCCTCAGCCCTTCAGCTTTTAATGACCCATGTCTTACCTGAAAGTCGGGCATATTCGTCGCTGTCGATTTGGCCTGGACACTCGCTTTTGATGGTGGAGGTGGTGGCCGAGTCGCTGCTGTCCAGCATCGTCGCTGCTGTCGAGATCACTGGCGTCAGCATATCAGCAGCAACGCTGTCCTTGCCCACGATCGGCGACACGCCAAAGATGCTGTCGAGCGGGGGAGACATCAGGCCACGCGGCAGCAGTAATGGAGATGCCGACTGCAGCTCGCCAGCCCCGGACCCAGATCGGCTGGGCGAGTGGCCGAACTGGTGCATGTCGCTGGGATCATCGCCCAGCGTGCTGTCGTGACGCGGGCGGTGCGAGGGGGATGTGGCAGGCGGAGCGGCGTCAGATCGGGCGACGCCGAGGCGCGCGGCGTGGTGTGTGGGACAGGCGGCATCAGTGTGGAGTTTCCAAGGCCCAGCAGCCTAGAACTCTGCCCACTACCGGTGCCCTGCATGGCCAACGCATGCGGAGAGAGAGGAGGCGATCTGCCTGAAGTATCCGAGTCTGAATCCTCATCGTCGTCGTCGTGGCTGGCACTCATTTCCCGGTCGCTCTGCGAGTATGTATCGCTGGCGTTGCCCCCCTCGTCCTTCCTCGCCCGATGTATATGTGGGCCGCCACTTGCCCGCTCCAACGCGCGGCATGCCGCTATGGTCAGCCTTTGCACCTCGTCCTACATCATGGCTCGCAGATCGCCTGGCACGAAGTCCGCTTACGATTGGCCGCTCGTCTGCCAGGCGCGATCTGCGGCGTGGGTATGCCTGTGAAACTGCAGAGCGGACCGATTTGTAGCGCTTGCGTGCATAGGGGTTACTACTGCTGTCTGCATCGTCGCCGCTATCGCTGGTGCTGTCGCCGCCGTCGCCGCTGTATGATGTTCGCCGGGGCCGCCCTGTGCTGGACCGGCCTATGGTTAACCGCGGGGCTGGCTCCTGGACACGACTGCTTTGGCGGATTGCTGGTGTCTGCCACGCGCATGGCCGACGTGTCATCGGCGCTGACGGCCCTGCGATTCCGCCGCTTGGCAGCGGCCGCAGCCGCAAGCGCTGGCTCGACGGCTACGGCAGGGACCATGCACCGGGTCTTCTTTGCTGATTTGGATCGCCGCGATGCGCTCGGTGTGGCCTGCGTCGGAATGATGCCCTCCTGGACATGCCGCAGGAATTCGTCCTGCTCGGTGCCCGATGCCACATAGTAAAAGTATTTGCGTGTGTGCTTTTCGTGAGCCACCCGGCCCAGAATTGGAGGTCGTGGCGGAACGTGTTCCAGAATCCGCTTAAAGTGCTGCGATATCCGCGATGAGACCGTCGCGTAGGGGGTTGCTCCACTACAAATAGGCGATATGATATTAGCAATTGGCCTGTGGAAACCCAGAAAAAATTTTCCCTCCTCGCCGCGGGTGTCCAACGCGGTCGTCGGTCAAGGCAAGGCATTTTTGAGAAGGGGCAGGGGGTGTGGCAATCACGGAACATTGACAAAAAACCTGCAGGCACACAATTTCATGCACTGAATAATTTCAGTAAGCACCTGGAGCAACACGAAAAAACCGGCCGCACTAGATACTCTACCCTAGCAGCGTGAACTCGTGTTTCATGATACATGTAGCCAGTTCCTTTGGCGAGCTGGGCTTGTTGTTGCGTGCCACCAGCGCCTTGAGAATGGCCACAAACACCTTATCCCGCGCATCGTCTGCATGTAACCGATCGATATCGTAATCGCGCGGCGCAAAGGTGTTCTCCGTCTGATCCTCATCTGACGACGACGACAGTGCTGATGTTGTTGACGAGGCTGCCAGTGCAACCCGCTTTATGTCCTCTGTTACCGCCCGTAGCTCAGACGGCGAGATCATGTCCTTTGGGCCTTCGTTGTGGGTTGGTTCTGTGCTGCCGAAGTCTTTGTCTATACGCGCTCCTTTGTTCCTTTCTGGTCTACACGCGCGACACGGAAAAAGGAAACAGATAATGTAAATAAGAAGGCGGAAAGAGGAGAGACAGAGTGACAAAAATTAAAAAAAAACGAACAGATAGTAAAAAATGGGGGAAGGGGAGAGGGAGGAAGCGAGAAAGCGAAATGGCGTCAAGTTAAACCTGCCTCTCTGAGCCAAAGGAAAGAGTGATCCAAAAAACCCGGCAGTACTGCGACTGACTTCAAAAAAGAAATTGGAGGCTGGCGATGAGATAAAATTGCAGCGCATGAAGCAGAGGTGACCTGTGTTCCGAACATCACCAAGTGGTTCACATGGGCAGGCAAAGTGCAGCGCGTGTAATTGATGCTATCATTGCGCTCTCTCTGATGAGATCAAGATAACCCCCGTCTGTGGTACATGCAAGGGCGGGAACCAAGAGACCTTGTCGCCAGACTGCCCACCCAGCCAGATCCTGGTCTGCAGTTTTTTTGCGCAGCCAATCGGTCCCGATATATGCCAGGTTGGCCCACTGTTTATCAGAGTGAGACCGGCCCATCAGATCTACTGAGCGCCAGGCGCATACACAGGCGGGACGCGTTGAATGTATGCGCGGTCAACCGCACACTATATCCCTGGGCGTCCCCTCCTCTTTTGTCCAAATCGAGGCATTGCTTGGCTCCGGGTGGCTTCCGGCAGGCTAAGCGGCAGCGCGGCAGGGGAGCGGTCTGAGTGACTTCCTTTTTGCTGCTGCATACCCATTTCTGTGGGGGAGAAGCGAGGTGGGGGACAGGATTGGCCGTGACAATGTGTGGGGGGAACACAGGATGTAGATGGTGGATATCGGCAGGAACCGCGGGCCCGCAGAATCCCTCTCGGAGAGCCGCCCGATCCGTAGCCTAGATCTGTATCGCTTACCTTTGGTAGCCGGCGATCACACAGGCGCGCAGGGAATAAATGGTTTACAATAGAGGTTGCTCTGGAAATACAGGTGGTAGCAAAGAGAACAAAATAGTGTCCAAGGGTGATCGGGAAGAGAAGGAAAAGAAGTCTACTTCAGACGCTGTTGAGCTTGAACTGTGACAGTTGCAGGGAAAAAATTTTTGGGGGTGGGGAGAGGAACGAGTCACTTTTTGTAGAGATCTTTAAACCCGCCTTTTCCCTTCCCCTGAGGCTTCTCCTCCCGCCGCCACCCACCGACTTGTTTCCACTACCTGGTCCATCCGATCATGCTCCTTACATACCCCATGTCGTGCTGGTCAAGTGGGGTGGTTGCCGTGAGCATGGACCCTCCAGCTTACCGTCATTTTCTTAGCTAATGGGCACCGCTGACATTCTGCATGACCCCCGGCCATCATCTGGCCAATCGCTGAAGCCATATTCCTGGATGCCGCCTGCTTGGCCATGACTGCTTTTTTTTTTTCGCTTGTGTGCGCAAGAGTTGCTAGGACCTGGCCAAGCCGGCAGAGAAAGCAGGCGCGTGGTCGAGGCAACCGGCGCGGACTATCCCGGCTCTCGGTGGTAGCAGAAGAGACACAGCAACACGCATACTCTACACCATTGATCGCCGGCCGCTGTGCAAGGTACTCTGGCGCTATCGCAAAGGCCGGAAAAACGACTGGGGGAATTTCTGTCGGGAAAAGGCGGAACTGGTTGCAAAAGGTGGCCCAAGCTCACTCTTGCCTGCGCTGAGGTATTTTTTCACACTAAATGATGCAAATCACTTAAACTGCCGCTCCCACATCTCCTCCTACACTCGTCGCTGCGTTCGGTTTCTCCGCCCGGAGTGCTCCACTGTACTCGCCTGACCACTGGTCGGCTCCGCACATCTTATGCAAAAGCGGTCTACAGGCGGCGTGCCAGCGATGTTCTATACACAGGTATCGTAGCCGAGGGAGCGAATAGTGACGGTAATCGCACATGGACGTAGGAAACATGTCAGCTGGCATTGCCGGCCCAGCAAGTGTAGACTGAGACTACGGCTCTCCGCAGCCGCTGTGGCTAATGGGTGTTGTTTGTAAGGTGGAACCGTAGTATCGGCTGTACCACACTACTGGCCAACAGCCGGCCTATCAGCAACCAGGTTCAAGATACAGTAGATACATGCTTGCATATACTGCCCCGGGTTTATTGATACTCCTAATGTTGCGCGGTCGACGATGACTGCCATGATGATGCCATGGAAGTTATCGAGTCGACCGACAACGAGAGCAGCTCTCGCGCTGAACCAATGGAGATATCCAGCGGAGACTTGTGACCACTACAATCACAGCTTTCCACCTCGGTTTCACTGATGAGGTCAGACGTCGCACTGCAACGGAATCTTCAAAAAGGCTAATGCGTGGCATTACTAGTTTTCCTTTCTCTTTTCCTTTTTCTTTAGTTTTGAAATCCAAACTTATCCACACCCCCTTATTAGCACAACAAAATTTTTCAAAACTCAGCTCATAAATTATTATTATTAAAATGTCCAATCGTGACACAACACCGGGTAAGGGCAGCACCTCTGCTGCGCCAGTTCCCGAAGGAGCAAGTGCTGCACCGAAGCAGTTTACCAGCGTAGAACATATGAGCGCGGTGGAGCTGCAGGCGGTTTCGACAGTGCTGCTCAACATGCATGAAATGGTTGAGAAGACTGACAAGTTCAATGCAGACTTGGACGGCCCGACTACAGAGGAGTGGATCGAGAAGATCACAGCCAACATCCAGTTCTTTATTGATGCTAAGGTGCCCACAGCTTCAATTATCCAGGCCATCAAAGGAAGGCTAGATGGCAAGGTGAAGGCAGTGATTGGTGATCGCAAGTTTGTGCACAAGACTGAACTGAAGGATGCGATGATGCAGGCGTTCCCTCAGGCACGGTTTGCAAAACATGCGCGTGAAAAGCTGGGCAAGGTCTCGACGTTTAAGGAGCTACCAGTGGACAATATCAAGCCTCTTGGAATGAAGCTGCTGCGCCGGGCCGAGCTGAACGATACACACTGTATTATGCTTGCTGAAACCCTAGCCAAGCTCGATGCACAAGCCTGGTATGCGACGGAGACCAAGCCGTCAATGGCCACCACTGCAAATATTGAGCAGATGCTGACAACTTTCCAGCGGCATTATGACATGCATCAGGAAATTGGTGAGGCTCGAAAGATAGTCGAGAGGACATCCAATGTTAGCAAGGGCCACGATGAGTCTACTCAGCCTGGAGATGCAGCTGCACAGGGAGGCATGAGGTCAGCACGTGCATCGCGCAACGCTCGCCAACGCCAGCGAATTAGGGAGAAGCTGCGTCGTTTGGATGAGCTTGAGGCGAAGACTGCCAACCCAGACCGCCGTACTGAGCAGAAGCCCGATAATCCCCGCCAGAGTCGCCCAAAAGACTAGGCGGCCTTCATAGCCAGCAACGCTTTGCATCGGCTTCATTTGTAGTTGGAATTATTTCGAATGCATTGGATACCGAGCAAGCAAACTGTGAGGGCCGCTACATACCTAAGAGTCATTGGAACTCAGGCTGGAGGAAAGTCGATGGCATTTCGATTAACGGTAGCAATGTGAGTGCAATTGCAGATGAGGGATCTCAGACTGCATTGATTACACACAATGCTGCACAGCGACTTGGCCTGCGAGTGTGGACGCGGGAGGCACCGGTTCTGCTGCCGATGTGGGGCAATGAACATGGCTATAAATCCCTAGGCCGTGTTTATGCTACTGTCAGCATTGATTATGGACCCGATGTTCGCATATGCATGGTTGTCGCTGATTTACCTAATGTGACCTGGGATCTGCTACTCAACAAGTCGACGCTCGACGCGCTAAATATACTGCTGATGACACCAGCAGCACGCCGGCGTATTGAAGCTCGACAGCGTGAGCAGAAACAGAAGAGGCTCGAAAGTGTTGAAGACACATACAACGCATCCGAGAAGGGCAGCGAGCCGGACAGCGGTCTTGCCCTGACAGATGACGACGATAGTGTATACGATGCTACATTCGAGCCTAGCAAAAATAGCCAGATGATAGATTCGGCGACAGATCAGTCTGCAGCGGATAAGGCGAGGAACACGATAAAGCGCGGAATGCGTGTGAAACTAGGGTTGCCACCAAAGTTTTATACATATGAGCGTGATGACGAGTTCCGACGCCTTGATGCATTGTATCCACCGGTTGACATTGATAATGTTCAGAATCGACTTACTGAGCAGTGTCCAACACCAGTGATCAAGCAAAAGTTGCTAGACATAATGATGCGGCATGCATCAGTTGCCAGAGAATATCCATCAGGCTGTCCACCACCCGCAGCGATATCGCCAATCATACCACCGATGGTTACTGAGCCCAAACCGATTCATGTGCTCCAGCACTCACAAAGCGAGAGTGCTGTGGAAGCAGTGAACAAATTTGCTGCGACCCGTTTGAAATATGGCATCGATTACCCGAGTTGTAGCCACGCACAGGCACCAGTATTTACGCGACCCAAGCCGAATACTACTGCGCGCAGAGTGCTGCTTGACGACTCGGCGAATAATGAAGTCAATATGGTTTCAACAGGTTTGCAATTGCCTCGACCATACGATGTGCTAGCCTTTATGCGCGACACCCGAATCATCAGTTCGATCGATTTGGCATCCTTTTTCACTACAGTCCGACTGTCACCCGAGATTCGACATATGTGGGCATATGATGCAGCGCAACATGGGCATGTGGAGACAGCGCGTTTAGTCCAAGGCAACTCTGAGTCGCCAGCATTAGCGCAAGCATTCATCGAGTTTGTCATGTCTCACGCACCGTCCTTGAAAGGCAAGCTGCTTTTGTACATTGACAACATCTACTTGAAGTCAGTGTCAGGAGACTACGACGCACATCTAGCCGATTTGGAGGCAATGTTCAAGAGCACTTGAACAGGCTAATCTGCTCATTAACATGGACAAGTCGGTGTTGGTGGCTACAGACCAAGTCGAGATACTCGGATATATGTGGAGTGCAGACCATAGCTGGCAGATTCCAGACCACCGTATAGAAACACTGCTCGACTTACCGATGCCGACCACAAAGCATGGAATTCGTGAGCTTTGTGGCGGTGTTACAGCAGTTGGTCGACATCTACCGCATACTCAGCATTTGCTTGCGCCTTTTCATGCTTACACTGGCACAAAACGGGTCCACGAAGAAGGTGCTACGTGAATTGGAGCCAGCCTGGCATAAACTCAAGTCTGCGTTGCTCGATGTCAAGACACTATACATTCCTGAGCCTGGAGCTCCGCTAGTGCTGCGGACCGATGCATCAGAGCTTGGTATGGGAGCAGTATTGCTGACACAAATATCCCCTGACGAAGACGATTTGGCTCCTGTAGCGTTCTTCTCCAAGAAGTTTGATGGACTGAAAGGTCAGCGTCCCCCTGGATGGCGAGAATGCGCGGCCATTGTAGAAGCGGCGAAGTACTTTTACCCGTATCTCGATGGATGTGCCAACCTGCGGATTCAGACAGATGCTACTACCGCACATGCCATATTCCGACACAAGACAGAGAGCGATGCAGATAATCTCTCAAACTTCAGGATGGAGCTGTCCAGCATGGGCATCACAAACCGAATGATGGAGCATCGGCCGGGTATCAAGCAACAAACAGCAGATTGGCTGTCGCGCGATATTGCACCTTCGGTTGGCGAAAATAACCGGAAAATTACCGAGCCAGTTCACTATGTCTTTGGCGCCATTCGAACAGACACCGATGACGAAGAGTCAAGTTCAGATGGCGAGGTTGAGGATGTCGAATTCTCAGTTGATGACTATGACAACGAGATATCTGACGATGACAGCAGGAACATGCCACAAGCCGACACACAAAGCACGCAGCAGGACGACGACGACGACGACGACGACGTTGACGACGTGCGGCATGCTATAGGTGCACAGCTGGACGAAGAAGAGCTTGGTTCCAGAATGGAGCACATGTATACAGCGCTTCCTGATTTGCCGCATCCATCAGAATATCTCGAGTGCCAGTACACTGACAATTTCCTCCTTATGATCCGGCGTATGTGCGAAGAGCGAACACAAGTAGGCACGGATGCAGACCAGCCGCATTTGGATGAAGCAGCTGATTACGGACTCCAAAATGGAGTACTTGTCCATTTTGTTGAGCTCGGAAGTCTACGTGGTACTGATCTATGGGCGCCAGTACTTACAAAATCTGCAGCTCGTGAGTACATAACCGTGGCACACATGGCATTGGCACATCCACGGTATAAACGGCTCTATGGGTTTGTATGCCGACGGATATGGTACCACCAGTTATCCAAACTGGTCGATGATGTAACCAAATGCTGTACCGAATGCCAGATGACAGCGATTCAGCAACGGCCTAGTATGGTAATGGTGCCTTCGCAGATGCCAGCTCCACGGGAACAAGTCTACATCGATCTGCTTACAGTTGGTCCAACTGACAATCCCGAACGTGAAGCATTGGTCATTGTCGATGCTGCAAGTATGTATTTTGAAGTCTATCCGATGACAAATACTACTGCAGGCGATGTCATTGACGTGCTCACTATGAATTGGTTCCAGGCATATGGCCGACCCCAGATTTTGACCTCAGATCATGGGCCCCAGTTTGACTGCATTGAATTCCGCAACTTCTTGCAGAGTAACGACATCGCATGGAACCCATCGTCAACATACCATCCACAAGCCAATATTGCCGAAACTGCAGTAAAACGCTTCAAAAATGCCCTGAGGCCGCTCTTGCTGCAGCATCCACATGAAAATTCATGGACGCATCATGCAGCCCGAATCGTAGCTGCGAACGCCGTCACCCCTAACAGTACAATTGGATGTACTCCAGCTGAGCTGTTCTTCGGCGAACGAAATCAGCACACGATTAACGAGCTGGCTGAAAACCTTTACCAGCGAGCACGTCAGCAGCAACAGCACATACGGCAACAAGCAAGACTGCGTGCGAATGCCATTGTAACATTGCGCTACTTCTTACCCGGTGAGCTGGTGACCACCCGTGCTCACCCAATCGCACACAACATTGCTCAAGCACCAGAACGCCGACGCGGTCCATACAAAGTAGTCCAGAGAATAGGCACGGTCTATAAGCTCTGTGACAGGCACGAAAACGTGCTGGCAAAGAACTTTGCCGGCGCTGACTTGATGCGATACCGAGAAGACGACGATGGTGAATGGCGACAGACTAATACATCAAGTGGACCCGGACCACCAGGATCACCAGGAGCATCAGGAGCACCAGGAGCACCAGGAGCACCCGGTAATCCCTTCGGATCATCCAGATCAAGAAGAGGGCCACCTAGTTCGCCAGCAGACAGTGGATCAGGGTTGAGACCAAGCAGTCAAGGCCAGACTCACTGGACGCCAACACATCATGTGCTAGTTGCAAACGAGACGATGAATTCGGATGGCACGCAGGCAGAAGCAATAGTACCAGCGACAGCTGAAATGTCCGAACCAATGGATAGCGCACTAAATGGCCAAGAAGTGCCTAACATTGAGGCTGAACATTATTCTGCACGCTCAAGACCGAATACATCGACCGAAACGGAGCGCCATAGACCAGTAACACGGTCATTGTCTCACGAAACAATCACGCCCCCAGATTATAACCCAGATCGGCATCGGGACGTTTACAGATGGGTTCGTGAAGGCCAGACCGATCGTGGACTTAGAGTTGATCCCATTGCTGAACCTGACCCAATACTCGAAGGCCATCCCAACATCTCCCCGGGTATTAGTACGCTGGACGAGTATGGTATCAACAAAGTTCCAGGATATGCAAGTCTGTCGGCGACGTACGAACGTGACGGCGAACAAGTAAACCTTGAAGAACCGACGACAAACAGGGATAGCGCTGAGAGCAGCCCTAGCCGCAATTGTTGCGCGGTCGACGATGACTGCCATGATGATGCCATGGAAGTTATCGAGTCGACCGACAACGAGAGCAGCTCTCGCGCTGAACCAATGGAGATATCCAGCAGAGACTTGTGACCACTACAATCACAGCCTTCCACCTCGGTTTCACTGATGAGGTCAGACGTCGCACTGCAACGGAATCTTCAAAAAGGCTAATGCGTGGCATTACTAGTTTTCCTTTCTCTTTTCCTTTTTCTTTAGTTTTGAAATCCAAACTTATCCACACCCCCTTATTAGCACAACACTAATAAAAAGACGTTACTTTTGGAGTGCTGGCAGATTTACACCAACAAATGCCATGATCGACTGAATCACATTGTAGCGGCTGACAACGACCTTTGCAAACTGCTCGGGCGTTGTGTCGTTGAGGTCCTTGATAGCAATATCAATGTCCCGCTCGACGACATGCAAAAGGGCATTGGCAATATGCTGGACGCTGGCTTCGTTGAATAGCGTGTCCAGAGCAGCGTCTGTTGAGCACCCCTGATGTGCGCTGGCGGTGGAGCCGGCAGCAACCAGAATCGATATATACCTGATAAGCTTCATAGTTTGAGTAGAAATGGAGGCACAAGATATGGAATTGGGAGGAGGGTTCAGCTGGTGCTCGCAAGCTCTAGTCAATAGACTGAAGTCTGCTTTTGCAAATGCACGGCGCAGATACATACTGGTGTGTGCAATCACGGTCGGCATATGGTGGCACTCTTATTGAAGACTGCTGCCATATGATTGCCATGTCCAAGCCATGTAGCTCATATATTTATGACAAACCAAAGAATTCACTAGCACAGGAATTTAGATTGGCGGAAGTTGGGAAGCAAGGAACCACGGCAGCGTCGTCCTGAGCAGTCTGTACCTAGAGATGATATCCGCAGCAACCGCCTCGGCAGGCACCTTAGCCACGTCCACCTGCCATTTGGCGGCGCCCGTCTCCAGCGACTTTAGGAACTGGGCAGCCATGATATCGGTAGTGTTGTTGTTGATCAGTCTGTTGAGGGCCTCGTCAACAGTGCACGAGTAGTGCGCGTACGCGGAGGCGAGCAGGGTAGAGGCGAAGGCGACTGATAGCTTCATTGCCGGCACTCGTTCAATCGGTAGTATCTAGAAGAGTTAGAAATATAATGAAGAAAACGAAGGGTGCAAAAAAAAAGAAAGATATAGCATGTGTACATGGCAAGACTTGTCTTGCAATGGCGGTCGTCAATCAGCCTTCTAGGGAAATGGCGGGTATGCAGGCCAATGTATGCTACTGGCTTCTGATAGAAGTGATGGTGCAATAGACATGTAGGAGGCGGTTTTGAGCTCATTTCTGTGGACGCTGCTACCAATGATAACAAGGAGGACGGTGGGCTGGCAGAAAAAGACCTGAGATGCGGATTAGACCGTATGTGCGCATTTGTAAGCAAATGGCTGATCCACACAGGTAGTACCACCCAGCAGCATATCCATTTATCCTCTCCCCAAACACACAATAGCACCAAATACCAGAAGCCCAGATTTTATAAACAAAGGAGCTGGCCACCGCCGGAGTTCCTTAATTTTCCAGCGCACCCAAGTAGAACCGCGGCTGCATCTTTTCTCCACTGTATAAACTTTATTCGGCTCTTGCTTTTCCTGATACACTTCTTTCTTTCTTTTTTATTTTTATTTTTATTTTAATGATGGACGTTGTTCGGCACCGGCTCAAGCAATGGATACGTGCACTGCCCGGCAAGCCTGGGCACCGTGGGCTCTGGCTCCCAAAGACACCTAGCAATTACATAAAGCGCATGGCCGGGGTGCAGCGCTACAGCGGCGACATAGCTCCGCCACCGCCAGTGCTGACCTGGTCGGTTTTCTCTGGCGTAACCTCGTTCCTGGGCATGGCCACAATCGCCATGATCCAGAAATACGGCGCCGCAATCAAAAACCACGATCTGCCGTTCGCCATTGCGCCATTTGGGGCCACCGCCGTGCTTGTGTTTGGTGTGCCGGCCGCACCGCTGGCCCAGCCGCGCAATGTGCTGGTCGGCCACGTCCTGTCGGCATTGGTGGGGATTTTCGTGCATGAAATCTTCAAGCATGTCGACGACAGCCTGATGTGGCTGCCCGGTGCGCTGGCCGTGGGCATAGCGATCGGGCTCATGGGGCTGGTGAACTGCTACCATCCGCCGGCCGGTGCCACGGCGTTCCTGGCCGGCATGGCGTCGCCAGAGGTGAAGCGGGTTGGGTGGTGGTATCCGCTGTATCCGGTGCTGCCGGTGGCGCTGATCATGGTTGCGGTCTCGGTGATTCTGAACAACCTGTGCCGCGTGTTCCCCGTGTACTGGCTGACGCCGGCCAAGATGCCCGCAGAGGAGCCCGCGTCAGCCAGCGGCGAGGCAAAGCTGGCTGGAGCCCGGGCGGAATCCGCGACCACCAGCGAGTCTAGCAGCGAGCACGACGTGGAGCGCAGCGTAACGGAGCAGGCCGAGAACGAGCAGACAGCTGAAATGGCGTGGCTGCGGGAGCGTGTGCGGGAACTAGAGCATGAGATTGCTAGGCTCAGTCGCAAATAAAAAGCATTTTCATCTCTCCAGCAATGCCCCGGCCTTGGCCAGCATATCAGCGATTTCGTTGCCGCGGATCCCCGCATGGGCCGGCAAATGGTGCACAAACACAGTGTGGCCGCGGCTCCCCAGGCGCGCCATGCTCTGGTGCAGCAGCACGAATGCGGTGCGGTTCGCCACCGGCCTGCCCTTGGCCGTCTTCCACTGCGCCTGCCGCCAGGCCTCCGCATGAACGTTGATGCCGTCCACAGCATACCTGCTGTCCGAGCACACCCAGATCTCGACGCCCTCGGAATCCTGCACCGCCAGTGCCATCTGCTCTAGCGCCGTAACCAGCGCATAGACCTCTGCCCTGGCATTCGACTGGTGGCCGCGCAGCCGCTTTGCAATCGGCGCCAGACCGGCATTCTCAAAGTACACGCCGATGCCAGCCGACCCGCGGTCCGGCAAATATGCGCCGTCGGCGTAGGCGATCAGCCGCCGATCGTCGGGCTTTGGAATCAGCTCCGCCAGATGGTCCACCGACAGAATCGAGTGGTTCGGCGCCCGCTGGTGCACCAGGCCGCTGCCGCTCAGCGCCAAATGGTGCTGGGGCTTTTTCTCCCTCGCTGGCATGTGCATTGGGGTCACCATCAGCCCATGCTGCTTGAGTGACATGCGGAGGAACTCTCGCACACCCTGGTCATTCGCTGCATGGTATAGGGTGCTCCACCGGCGGGAAAGTGCTGAGCGCGCATACCGCCTCAGTGCCTCCCTGGCTGCTTGCGGCATGCGGCATGCACGGGGCAGAATGTGCGAGTACGGGGTCAGCGGTGAGTACTCGGCGTCGTGGTTGATTTGCAGTGCGCTAGGCATTGTCTGGCTGCCCGCCTGTGCTGTTAACCGCCTGATGAACTCACTTGCATAGTGCTCGCGGACGATAAACTCCGCCAGAAACGACCCAATGCTGCTGGAGGCCGCCACCTGCGAGGCGTCAATGCCGAGAGTGCCCCAGATCTCCTCCAATGCGCAAGGTGCCAGCCGGCTGATGTCGACGTTGCGCATGTACACAAATATCCATCGCTGCCTGCCGTCAGCGTCCCCCATGCTGTGTGCAAATAATCCAGGTATCTCCTTGAAATCGTGAATGTGTTTGCGAACTAGTCTGAAAGATGCAAAGGAGAACAGGTTTCTAGCAAAAAGAAAAAAAGAAAAAAGCGAGCCAAGTAGCTATTCTTTCATTGAGGCAGCGTGTTATGATTTCCAGTCACATGAGACCGGCCATGCCTAGATACTATTGTTTTTTTTTTAGCTCCTTAGCTCCTTCGCGGAAGCCCTCAGTATCAAAAGCGAATCGCGTACTGCTGCGCACATTCAGTATCATATACACCTCCATATACATATTTATGTCGCCCTCAGCGCGTAGGAAAAACAGACAGCCACTCCATAGAGCCACGCTTGTGGTTCAGAGCTAGGACACGCATGAATGCGAGGTGTAAAGAGCGATCCCACGGCGCTGTTTTATTCGGCAGCAGATATAGCGTTGCACAAACAGGAGGCTGAGGCTACAACCATTCCCCAAGCAAAGCCCCGGGTACTGACAAGAAAAATCATACGTGGGCAATAGCCGCTTATTTGACAAGCAGAATTGTGTGTGCGGTATGCCGGGAATTGGCTGCGGGGTTTTGTAAATTGCAAGAGTGCTAAGGTCGGAGCTCTAGGCAGGGAAAAAAATCAAGAACACAACCCATTCGCATGTTGGCCATTGCAGTTGGTGGCGAACAAGGTGCGCTTTCGATTGTTAGCTATTCTTGCTCACTTTGTCCTGCCCACACTACATTTGCTCTGTGGTTTTTGTCGCGACACACCCACACGCTAGCCACGCTTCGTGGCCCCTCCCCTTTTGCTGCCAAAGTAGGGGCAGTGGTTTTATTTGTGACATCGCTAGGATGGAAACAAAAACCTTGCGCTAGGCAACAGAGAGGCGCCCAAGAAAAAAAGGTGCGGCGTTTGTGGGCAGCATAAATACTGGCCGTGCCGTGGCAGGGAAGGAAAGGAGAGTGTGAAACCTCAAGTTTGCCTCATTCCCGCTCTTTTCCTCCACATTATAAAGGATACTTTTCATTTTTTTTTCTCCTACAAATACGACCACAAACTCTTTCAAGGAAATGGAACTGCGCGCCAAAATACTTGTAGGTAAGTCGCATCATATGCCGATATATTCAATATTTTCCTAGGAGAAAAATTAAAGCTAAAACCAGTTTTTCATTCTTATTTTTCTCGTTTGTAGTCGGTGGCGGAGCTATCGGTGGGCTGGTTGCCTGGCGCCTTAGCATCAACCACAATCTCTCAGTATCGGTAGTCTGCCGGTCCAACTACGATGCAATTTCGCGGCACGGCTACCGCATCTCTTCGGCGCTCTACGGCGAAGGCACGTACATACCAGAGTCAGGTAAGATGACCTTTTTATCGTGAGAACCACGAGCATGTCGTCGTGGCTTTTTTTATTCTACGTAATCTACGCCATGCATGTAATTCAGAACATTCTATTCAATATCGCGCTTTGTATAGTGTTTGCCAGTGTTGAGCAGGCGCAGTCCGCAGGGCCCTATGACTACGTGGTGGTGGCATTGAAGGCGCTGCCGAACATTTACGACTGCCCGTCGTTAATCGCGCCGGTCATCAGTGCCAACACAATGATAGTTCTGATGCAAAACGGCATTGGCATTGAGGCATCGTTTGCCGAGCGCTTCCCCGAGGCGCCGCTGGCCAGCACCGCGTGTTTTGTGTCGGTCAAGCAGACATCCCCAGGCCATCTGAAGCACGGCGCATTTGCCATGCTGGCGGCCGGCATGCACGACGGATTCCGGACGCGCCCGAATATCAGGAAGCTGCAGCAGCTGCTCAGGATCCTGGAGCACAACCAGGTGAACTGCCTGTACGAGCACGATGTCCAGCCGTACCGCTGGCAGAAGCACATCCTTAATGGCTCGACTAACCCGGTGTCGGTGGTCTGCGGCGGGTCGAGCTGCCAGGAGATGGTCAGGAATGACCATTGCTGCAAGCTGCTGCAGGAGCTGATGGCGGAGATTTTTGTGCTCGGCAAAGCGGTCACGGGCAAGGCGTTCCCGGGCGTCGATGGCATCGTGGATCCGCAGTCGGCGACAGACTACATCAAGTCGATTCCGGTGCCCGTCTACACGTCAATGCTGGTCGACTCGCAGTGCAAGCGGCCCATGGAGCTGGAGGTCATCCTGAAGAATCCGATTTTGCTGGCCGAAAAGCACAACGTCGATGTGCCAAATATGAAGGCCATGTATGCGCTGCTGTCGATGATTGAGGCCGGGTACTCGAAGTAAACTACTTTTGTTTTGTTTTGTTTTGTTTTCAATATATTCACTGCCTAATCTTGTAGACCACTCTATATCAAAACAGACCGTTGGCAAACTTGTCCGCAGTGACCCAGCGGCTGCCCACGACCTCGACATCAATACGCAGATACTTTTGCTTGGCGCCATCCATAGGGGCAGCCATCTTCGCGTACTCCTCCCAGGGCGGCAGGATCGCCGAGTGGTGGTCGTCCTCCACCGCGTCGCCAGCAACCACAGGCGAGTAGAACGACATGCGCGGACGCTTCTGCGCTCCCGCCGCAGCCAAAGTGGGAACCAGCTCCTTGCCAGATCCCGCCAGTCCCACCACATTGCTGTCCTCTTCCAGCGAGCGGTCGCCATAGTGCTGCACAATGCCCTGCTCAGAGACCTCCTGAGTAGCTGCTGGGTATGTCGCGCGCAGGACCCGTGCCGACGCAGGCCGGTACTGCTGCTGCGACTCGAATCCGCGCATAGCCGATGGATCCGCGTCGCCTGCAAACAACACGTGCTGGACATTCTGGCAGAACATCATCGCGTAGTCAAGCGGCTTCCCAGACTCGGCCGGGCGCTGCTGCGACACAACCGACAAGGACGACGCCGGCTGGTGCATCACCATATCGTCGTGCAAAACTATCTGCTGCAACACCGCTGGCCAGCCCACGCTTGATCCACGCATGCAGCCCCGCACTCTCCTCCATCGTCATCGGGCGCATCTTGTTGCTGCGCATTTCATCCGCGCTTACACTGCCAGCCGGCTCGCTCGCAGAGCTGTTGTTAGCCGAGGGGCTGCCGCCATCCACCTGCTGCGTCATGGCCGAAATCGACCGCCTCACACGCTCAATCAGCGGCGGCTCACCCGACGCCTCGCTCTCGTTGCGCTGCTTCGCCCCAGAGATAAGCAGCCGGGACTCGGTCGCTGGCAAAATGCCCGCACTCTGCGAGCCTCCTGCCGTCAGCGAGTTGTCGGACGTGTAGAGCGACGGCAGGGTGAAGAGCGAGAACGAAAACAGCATTGCCATCAGAACCGCTCCCATTGCACGCGGCTTGGCCACTGCCGGCTGCACCGACAGCTCAGTACTGCCAGCTTGCTGCTGCTGCTGCTGCTGCTGCTGCTGTTGGGTCTTGGGTGCGTTGACCGGCAGGGACACGCGCGGCCGGATGGTCCGCGGCACAGCATTGGCCGCCGCCTTGGCTGCCGCCGCCTGGCGCAGTGAGTTCTGGGCCGAAGGAGCTCCAGGTTTCAGTGAAGCCGGCAGCACAGGCGCAATGGAGCTCAGCAGCGAGCCGCCGACAAACTCCTCGTCGACCTGCATGGCATCCGAGGGCTTCGATGCGGCGGCCTGGCTGTCACTGCGCTGGCCCGCCACTTGCCCGGCGCTCTTCTTTTTGCTGCTCGCCGCTGGTGGAAGCAGCAGTGGACGAAGGCTCCGATGGCGAGGCGGTGGTTGTGGCAGCAGTGGTGCGTCTGAGCTGGTCGCGCTCCGCTGCCATAGCATTGAGCCGCTGTTCCATTTCCTCGAGCCGCTTCACCAGCGACGTGTTAGACTCGCGCAGCTCCTCGACCTCGGACTCGAGCTTGGTCAAGTACTCGCGCTTGCGCTTGCGGCTCAGCAGTGCCGCCGCACGGTTTCTTGATCAGTCTCTCCTGCCGCTTCTGCGCGGCTGGGTCGGCGCTGCCGCCTGCCTGCTTTGCTGGCGCCGCTGCCATGGGGGCAATCGACGGCCTGCGTGCCTGAGGGGCGTGTGCCTGTGCAATCGGACGCAGCCCATGGTCGGGGTCGGCCACCTGCATGGGCGCCTGCTTCTGTGCCATCTTTGCCAACACGCTCAGCCCAGGCGGTGTATTTGAGCCCGAGCGCGGCTGCCCACTGGCTGACTGCACCTGCGGCTGCTGCCGGGGAGCCAGAGGTGCAATGAGGCGCTGCGAAGCGCTGCTGCTGTTGCTGCCGTTGCTACCGTTACTGCCGCCGCTAACGCTGCGAGCTGTAGGAACCGTAGCCGGCGCTGCTGAACGTGGCGGGGGACGGTGCCAATGGCCGCGGCCGCACATTCTCAGACGCACGACGTGGCGACGAAGCATTACTGCCCGATGAGGCCACGGCGGTAGCCGGTGTGGAGCCCCTTACTGCCTGTGCTGCTTCTGTAATACCGGCTGCCTTTGGCGGCGCAGTGGGTCGCCGCTGCTTCTTGGCTGGCGGCGGAGTGGCAATAGTAGAGGGAGATTCAGACACAGACAATGTCTTTTGTGGGGCAATATTCGCCATTGGCGTTATCAGGCTAGTGAACGGCAGCGACGCCAGAATCGGCACCTCTGCGCCCACGCCGCTTGTTTGTGATTGTGCTCATAGCTGGGACCGACGTTTCGCCCACCGGGCTGCCGGAGCTGGCGCCACATAGGGCTGCTGCCGACGACAGCATTGACACCAGCATGTCCGGCGACGCATTGGCAATAGCCGCAACCGTCGACTGATCTAGGATATCCATGCTCGGCTCTGCCGGTGAAAACGACAGCGGGTTTGTGGCCGCACTGGCCGCCGGAACCAGCGACAGCGGCAGTGGCGATCCGCCATTCTGCACTGGCATCATCACCAGTGGGCTGCTACCAAACGCTGCACTTGAGAGCGACGGCATAATGGCATCAACACTCACCGCGCGCGACTTGCTATTGCCATCCATGGCCTCCGTGTTGACAAACTGCTGCAGCCACCCGTCAAGCATTGCATCTGCGGCGGTAGTTGTGCCCGCCACTGAATTATCCACTGTGCTCGGAAACATTGGCTCCTGGGGCCCCCAGCCTGTGCTTGATGTCGCCAGCGGATCCGCCGCACTGAAGGAACCGTGGTTGCTGCCTGAGCTCATGGACCATGCCGGCGACGAACCGCCGCCACCCACAGGCGAATCAAAAGTGAACCCACCAGCCCCTGCACTAAGGCCCACTGAGCACGTCGCTGAGCTGCTGCGAGTACTCTTGCAAATCGGCGTCGCTCATTGCCAGTCCAGACTCATCGCCGCCCTTGGCAATAAATGTATCGTCAATTGAATTTCCACCTAGGGCTAGCGTTGACGCCTGCTTGATGGCTGTAGGCGCTTTTGTCGTCCGCTTGGGTTTTTGCGTTGCTCCAGCCATTTAAAAAGCGTGTGTATAGAGATAATAGCGGTATGAGACAGATAGGAGGCAGGAGGAAAGAGGAAAGATATAATGTGCTTTGCACGCAGGAAAAATAGAGGAGAGGAGGAAAACAGGGAGGCCAAGAACGAAAATCTAACGACCCCTTCAGAAAAAAAAAGTGCCAGCCTGACGATTTTCCCATCCCGTTTCCGCGAGGTTGAAAAGTAGGAGCGATGCACGCCCATGCGTGATGATCAGCTTTTAATAGTCATTGGGGGGAGTAAAATGGCTGCTTTCTTTTTCGCCATGAGGGGTCCGCAAGCAGCTGACACAACCTGTGTCCTGTCGCGCCCTCAAACCTCCACATTGCTCGAGACTAAAGGAAACGTTTTATTCAGTTGAATGCCTCCGCAGCCTGCTCTGCGGCCATGGCCAGCGAGCTGGCAGCCTTCACAGTCTCAGCCAGCTCCTTCTCAGCCAGCTCACACTTGGCCCTAATCTCCTCGGCCTGCTTATTGGCCGCGGCCACTTCCCCGCGCAGACTCTCGGCCTGTTGCTCGGCCAGCCTGCAGCTTCTCTTCGACCGCGGTCAGCTGGTCCACAGTGATTGCCTTGTCGAGGCGGTCCTGCAAATCGCTGGCCGCGCGCTGGCTCTCAGCGGCCAGTTGCTCGGCCTGCGCCAGCCGCGCCAGAGCGTCCTCTTCGCGCTTCTGCAGCGCTGCCACGGCACTCTGCGTCTGCGTGAGCTCGCCCCGGACCTCGTCTAGCTGCGCACTGAGCGCCGATGCCTGCTCCGCGCCCGCCTTGGACGACGCAGAGTGCTGGCTGGCCGCATCTGCGAGCTGCTTCTGCAGCTGCTCGTTCTCGGCACGCAGGCGGTCGAGCTCGGCCGATGACGAGGCTGCAACAGCCGGCGACGGCGACCGGGTGCCAGGGGTCAGCTGGCCGCGAGAAGTCGCTACGGGCGCTGCTACTGGTGCTGCTGCCACTGGGGCAGGCGGCGGGGCAGGCGATGCTGACGGAGCCGGCGACCTGCTCGGTGTCGACTGGGCCAATGGCGAGGGAGCAGCCACAGCCGGCGCCGGTGCCGCCGAGGTTGCAATCTGTGGCGCACTGCCGCCAGCAATCAGTGGGCCATTGTTGAAAATGGTCTCCATATCGACTGTGACAGGCTCGGCGGTCTGGCCCGCGAAATACTCATCGGCCGTCATCGCCGCCCTGCCTGCGTGTGCTGGCGGGTAGATGTCGTTCTGGAACGCCTCTGACTTGCGCGGCACGCGGAACGAGATCGGCTCGATCAACGAGTTTGACGCGACCTTGTAGAACCGCATCACCTCACAGGTCTTCACGTCCACACCACGCTTGGGCATCACACCCAGTCCGCGCTGTGGCTCCGGCGACTGGTACTCTGACAAAAAGTGCAGCTTGTCGCTGTCGTACTCGTAGTACCGGATGTTTCCGTCGCCCTTGCCTGCCACATACAGCATGTTTGTGCTGGCGTCGTAGAACGGCATAAGCATACCCGACGAGAGATCAATGTCCTGCTTCAGCAGCGGCTTCTCCAGATTCGTCGCGTCCCACAGATACACCTCGCGGTCGCTGGACCGAGCAAACCCAGTGGTGACCAGGCGCGGCTCACGGCCGAGCCAGGTGACGCGCGACCCCTTGACGCCCTGGTGCGACACGCCCTCCTGCACGAGCTCTCCCGAGCGTGCATCAAACACGCGCAGCTTCTTGTCGCGGCACGTCGCTGCAATCAACACTCCGTCGTGGCTCCAGTCCATCGAAAGGATGTTGTCCTTAAAGCCCTGCAGCGTCTGCCTGGCCTGCCCGCTGGCCACATCCCAGATCTTCACCGTGTAGTCCGAGCTCGACACCGCCAGCACGTTCTCGGCCACTGGGTTCCACGCCACGTGTCCGACCTTGCGCCCATGCCCTGGCAGCTTCAGCAGCGGTGTGGTTACGTTCTCCTCGCGCTCCAGCAGGTCTTCGGGCACCCGCCAGATCATCGCCGTGTGGTCCTCGGCTACCGACGCAATAATGTCATCGTCGAATGGCGAGAATGCCGTGTCAAGCACTGCTCCCGCGTGCGCGCTGAACAGCGGGAAGTCGCCGCGCAGCTTTCCCACCTGCGAGAGTGGCACCACGCAGAAGGCACCGCCGCCTCCAGCATCCCAGTTGGCCGCGACATATTTGGGGTTGGCCGTGACAAAGTTGGTGTCCCACGCGCCCAGAGAGATGCGCAGGCTTTCGTAGCACCCCTCGCGCTTCGATGCTGTGCCGTACACGTGCCGGTACTTGCTAGGTCGAACAAACGAATACATGGCCGTGCGCTACCAATAACTACAAGTGTAAAGGGGTGTGGTTAGCGAGATGACTGCTGCCACGGCCAATTCGGGGCCCCCGCCAAACGCACTGTGCCGTCCTCACCTTGAGATGGGATAAATGTGTGAGAGTAAAAGAAAATGGTGGTTTAATTGACGCCTGCAAAAGTAGAAAAGAGGTTTACCGAAAGGTTTGAAGCCTAGCCGGTCAATTATTACTACCGCCAAATCGCCTAGAAGCTTGGGCGCCCAATGTTCCCACCCTAACCCCGGACTGCCAGGCTGAACAAAAAACTGTGAATGCTACAGCTTGGACTGCGTCAAGTATCTGTTTTCAACCATGGTCAGCAGCGCATAAACCGTCTCGAGGTGGGGCACCTCGACGCCGTACCTCTTGGCCAGCTCGATCGGGTTGCGCAGAATCACCGCGTGCTCCATCGGCCGCTTCGCGCGGAAGTCCATTAGCATCGACGGCGTCACTGGCTTTGGCAGCATATCCGTGTTGTTGATAATGTCGTCAGGCTTCTCGAACCCGCCAAGATAAACCAGCTTGCTGCCTGTGACCGTCTCGCCCGCCTTGATAATCTCGACCATCAGGCTGCGAATTAGCGCCTTGCACTCGGCGCTATCGAGCATTTGCCTGGTGTCGTTGCCACCAGAAACAACAGAGACCGTGTTGAACGATGCGTTCCAAACAAGCTTCGCCCAGCGAGACTTTTGGATATCCTCGGATATCAGAACATGAACACCATTGTCCTCTCCACATCTCGCCCAGCTCCTCCACGCGAGCAGCCACCGAGCTGACATCGTAGTTGGCTGCTTTGGGGCTGAACAGGCCCATGTCCAGCAGAGTAACCACCCCGTGGTTGATGGTGCCGCTGGAGGGCTGGCTTGAGTCGAGATAGGCAACAGTACTGACGATGGGGTTGTTTGGGTACCGCGCAGCATACGGATCCTCAATCCCAATGCCGTTCTGAATCAGCATGATGATCGTGCGCGGGTCCCGAACCGCCGGTGCAATGATGTCAGAGCTATCCACCAGGTTCGGCAACGGCCTTGGTACACACAATGACAAAGTCATAGATTTCCCCGTCGGCAACAGCCTCAGCGACAGTGCGCACAACATTATGCGGGCGGTACACCTCATCGCCAAATGCCAGCGAGTTGATGTGGAACCCGTCCTTCTTGACAGCTTCGTAAGTTCGACCGGCACACAGTCGTGACATGCGCTTTGCCACTGACATCCAGGCGCCAGGCATAGATACTTCCAAGTGCGCCAGTGCCAACCAGCAGGACTTTGATAGGGGAATTGACAGCAGCCATTGCTTAGAAAGTGAGCTTCAGGTGTGAAAAAAGTGTAGTGGGTGGATGGAAGATGCAGAAGAGCAAGCGAGCAGCGACAGCAGGACCCTTCTCTGGCAGAGCATCTTATTTCCACGGAGTGGCCTGGGCTCCGTGAGAGAAGCGATTGTCCGCTTTTTGCCACAGAAATCCACCCACGAGAACATTCCCAGCCGCTTGCCATCATGCTTTTATGCGCCAAGCCCATCTGCTATATAGGCACCATCATTTATTGCACACGATTAGAGATCACTTCAGATAACCTTTCTCAATCATGGGCAGCAGCGCGTAGACAGTCTCGAGATGAGGCACCTCGACGCCATGCTTTTTTGCCAGCTCTATCGGATTGCGCAGAATAACCGCATACTCAAGTGGTCTTTTGGCGCGGAAGTCCATCAACATCGACGGAATAGTTGATGTTGGGAGCCTATCTGTGACTTCAATGACACCCTCGGGCGTTGTCTGGTTATTAAGCGAGGTCAGCTCACTTCCAGTCACTGCCTTCCCTGCCTTGAACACCTCAACCATCATCTTGCGGATCAGCTCTGTGCACTCCGGACTACCCAGCATCTGCCTGGTGTCGTTGCCACCAGAGACCACCGAGACAGTGTTGAACGAGGCATTCCAAACAAGCTTGGACCAGCGCGATACCTGGATGTTGTCGGATATTCTGGTTTCCACGCCACTGGTGGTCCACGCCTGGCAGATTTCCTTGACACGAGATTGGACCGACTTGACGTCGTAGTTGGCAGCCGTCGGGTTGAACAAGCCCATGTCCAGAAGCGTGAGGGTCCCATGTCTGACGGTACCGCTGCTTGGCTGATTGGCATCAATATACGAGATAGTACTGATAATGGGGTTGTTTGGATACCGCACAGCATACGGGTCCTCAATACCGATGCCATTCTGGATCAGCATAACGGCTGTATGTGGGTCCTGAACTGCCGGGGCAATGATATGCGATGTATCGCCCCGATTCGGCAGCGCCTTGGTGCACACAATCACAAAATCGTAGACCTGTCCGTCAGCGACAGCCTCATTGACAGTGCGCACAACCCTGTGGGGGTGATAGACGCTATTGCCAAATATCTGAGAGTTTATACAGAATCCATCCCTCTTGACGTCCTCGTAATTGGACCTACACACGACTGTAACCTGCCGCCTTGCCGCTGACATCCAGACGCCAGGCATAGACGCTTCCAAGCGCGCCCGCACCGACCAGCAGGGACCTTGATGAGAGAATCGGACGTAGTCATCGATTGCCACAGGAACACGAGGTAGTATGAATGGCGCGTGCGTAGGAGAACGAGAATGAGAACGAGAAAGTCATGTGCAGAGTGGCAGCAGCAACTGGACATTTATATTACTCACATTATTTCCAGCTTGGGAGAAACGATTTTCCGTTTTTTGTGGAGAGGCACGCGCAGTGCAGCATGATCTATACAGGCCATCTGCCAATTTCCAGCAGCGGACCTGGGCTAGCACGCGCCTCTGTCATATCGTGAGAACATATTGGCGATCTGGGTTTATTTTAACCTTGTTGTGAGTCATTGCAGATACCCCTTCTCGACCATGGTCAGCAGAGCGTACACGGTCTCAAGGTGCGGAACCTCGATGCCGTGCTTCTTGGCCAGCTCGATCGGATTACGCAGGATCACCGCGTGCTCCATCGGCCGCTTCCCGCGGAAATCCATTAGCATCGACGGGATGACGGTCACAGCACGTGTCTCTGTGTCCTCGATGACCTGATCAGGACCAGACCGACCATTGAGCGCAGGCAGCTTGCCCCCGTCACTGCCTCGCCAGCCTTGTACACCTCGACCATCATACTACGGATCAGTGCCTTGCATTCAGGATTCGCCAACATCTGCTGTGTATCGTTGCCACCCGAGACCACTGAGGCCGTGTTGAACGATGCGTTCCAGACCAGCTTCGCCCAGCGCGCTTTCTGGATATCCTCCGAGAACTTGTACACGACCCCGTGGTCGCCCCACACCTGGCACAGGTCCTTGACACGAGCCATTGCCGAATCCACGTCGTAATTGGCTGTCGTGGGGCTGAACAGACCCATGTCCAGCACAGCAAAGTTGCCATGATCGATCGTGCCATCGGTGGGCTGGCTGGCATCGATATAGGCGATGGTGCTGACGATGGGGTTGTTTGGGTACCGCGCAGCATACGGATCCTCAATCCCAATGCCGTTCTGAATCAGCATGATGATCGTGCGCGGGTCCCGAACCGCCGGTGCAATGATGGACGAGGTATCGCCTAGGTTCGGCAGCGCCTTGGTGCACACAATGACAAAGTCGTAAACGTCTCCGTCGGCAACAGCCTCGTCGATAGTGCGCACAACCTTGTGCGGGCGGTAGACCTCGTCACCAAATGCATGCGAGATGATGTGGAAGCCGTTTTCCTTGACGGTCTCGTAGTTTGACCGGCACACAGTCGTGACCTGGATCTTGCTGCTGACGTCCAGGCGCCAAGCGTAGACGCTGCCCAGCGCACCGGCGCCGACTAGCAGGACTTTGGTAGGAGAATCGGGAGCAGACATCGCAAAGAGTGAAAAAAGCAGATAATGCGAATTGAGAGGAGGAAACCAAGCTTGAGGAGCCGCCGCAACAAGCCGAGCGAATCGCCACTATTCTTATACTCCACAAGAACAGGATGGCGCACAGATTGCCCAAGATTGGAGACGGCGCGATTGCCCACCAGGCCAAACGGCGTTGCAGCTGTTTTCCCACACCTTGCGCATCGCAAAGGTGTCGCCGTTTTTGTTGAGAATGCCGCCCCTCGAATCAGGATTGCTCTTCCAGTTTTCTAAGCAATTCCCCAATTTGGGATCTAAAGGCATGGCCGGCCATTTGACCACCGAGTCCACCAGCGGAGCCCATCGCGCAGTCGGGAGAGAAGCCAACCCCCGCCCAGGCAACAGAGGTTATAGCGTAAGGCTATGGCGTAGCCATACCTGTTTCTCGCAAGCTACTGGCTTCCGCCGGATGTGGCTGCCTCTTTGGTAGGGTCTTGAACCTACAGAAGAAAAGCTAGAAAGTGACGTTAGTGTAGACTGCTCTGTTGTGCGAGGGGAGGAGGTCAACGAAGGCAGATACTTAGCAGATTCGTGTGCATAAAGAGATACGCTCTGAGAGCAGGTCCTATGGCTGTATATGCCACTCCAGATGCCCTCTGCCAGTGCCAAAATAGCTGCGATCAGAGTCATTTAGACCCAGATACAACTCACTGTGTGCCTGCAGAGCGGGTCACGCATCTCCGTCTCAAGACCTAGGGTGTGATTCCCTTCAGCCAAACAAACGTGCTGCCAGCCGGTCGGACACCTCAGGACCGGAAAGTCTTAAATCTGGTGCGAGAATAAGCTTTTAGATATGTAATTTCTCTGGCACGATCTGCGCAACTACTACCTCATCTCGCTCGACCAGATCGCGAACTAACGCGTGCAGCCACACACTGTCGGCATGTGGATGTAGTCTATTTTAAAAGAAAAGGATGAAAGGGATGTTCGCTGCGAGAGAGGTAGCCGTGTTACAAATATATACTGCCTCACGCCTTGGTCGCCTCCTCATCATCGCTGTTGTCTTCGACATCAGTATCGTTTTCCAGCTCCTCCTTGGGCTCCTGCTCATCCTCATCGTCGTCCAACAGCTCATCGCCGTACTCCTCGGGGTGGGCGCGGAAGCAATCCTGCATGGCCTTGAACTTGTCAATGCAGTCCATACCCTTGGGCTCCTCCTCCGAGTACACAAAGCACGAGAACGCCGACTTGAACTCCTCACCGCATGTTCCGTGCGCCATGCCGCCGAGACACGGGCAGTCCCAGTTGATCTCGCCGGTCTCTGGATCGAACGCCTGCGAAGGCGAGTCGTCCTGCTGCTTAGACTCCTTCTCCTCCTTGGCCTGCTCCTGCTCTTGCTCCTGCTGCTGCTCCTGCTGATGCTGCGGCTCCTCGCGGGCACCCAGATCAACGCTGTCCAGCGTGGTTGTGGTGTTGTCCAAGCTCGTCGACATTTTATTTTACAATGGGGGTATCACTGAAGATTCGAATTGACTGCAAATTAACTGAAGCGAGGATAAAGAAGGTCGCCAGGATTCTGTCGACAAGCTCGATCCCGCTGCTACGATTAAATAGACGCACCCAGCTTAGTAATGGACTTTTTTTTTTGCAGTAATCACCTCGCTGAGGCGGGAAAAATTTACCGCCTGTATCTAAATCAAGAGCTGCGCGCCAGCAATTGGCCACACCAGCAATGCTTTATCACGTGCAATGGTCCCAGCGGTTTGTCTGAACATTGCTGGATATCAGTGCACATGAACCAGCCATCGAAGACGTGGGTCACACAAGAGGAATATATCCCATGGCACTATCTAGACCCTTGCTATATGCTACACCTGCGAAACACTAATACATATCTGTCAATTTGCAGAAAATGGTGTCTACGCCACGACAGCCATGAGATATTTATTCAGCATACTTGGAAAGCTTGGGCTCGTCATACTCAACATAGGCTCCAGTTAGCTCATGTTCAGCAAAGAGGGCAAGGTTCCCAATAATACGCCCGGAAATTTCTGGCGTGATCCTAGTAGAAAAAGATAGTCAATGAATTCACCACGCTCAGGTTCAGCGTCCCTTGCGTTGGTGTAGAAGGTCGCCACCATGTCGGTGTCGACAATACCTGGGTGGACTGCAATGGCAGTGATGTCGGGCTCCTCCAGTGCCAAGGTTTGGGTCATGTAGCTGATAGCTGCCTTGGAACCGCTATAGCCAGCCTGGTTCTTAGTAGGAGTCTTGAAGATTGCGGACGTCAGGTTGATGACCTTGCCCCTTGACTGGCGCAGCTGCGGCAGAGACTTTTTGATCAGGCTCAGGGGTGCAAAAAGATTGACATCGAATTGCTTCTTCCAGTCGTCCACAGCAGCATCGGCAATAAGCGCAAACGGCTCAGTGATAGCTGCGTTGTTTACCAGTGCAATCAGGGTGCCATTTTGGGTAGCAAGGTCAACAGCCTGCTGCTGCACAGATTCATCGGTGACATCACCAGCCACAGGAATGAGCTTTGCTGATGTCTGAAGCTTGCCTGCCTCCTCTGACACAATTTCAAGAGCACTGGCACTGCGGGCAAGGCCGACAACGGAGACGTTCTTGGATAACAGATGGAGTGTGATAGCCTTCCCAATTCCGCGTGAAGCACCAGTGACGATAGCGATGCTGTTGCTTGAGGTAGTAGCCATGGTTGCGAGTTTCTATTGTTATTAGGTGGATACTAAAGAGGAGAGCTGACGGTTTGGATACTGCCGGGCACACCATGCCCTTTTAAGCCATTCGTTGTCATAAGCTGCCTGCAGATAAACAAACAATTTGGTCAGTACTATTGTGAATGTAGATGGCGCATGCAGTGCGGGATTCGTTGTTGGTGGATATTCGCACACCTCCTATGATGCGGAAATTTTGACAATGCACCAATGCTTATAATAATGGCGTCTCTGGCTGTTCCGCCCTTTCTGTCTTTGGCACTGATGTACATGCATTTTGTCATCAATTGCTGGGAACCTCAGGGAAAACAATTTCCGCACCTTCTATCCGGCATTTCAAGGGCACGCCTACTTGAATCTGAGGGCTAAAGCAAAAATAGATATGCAGTAGACTGCAGACGCGTGTGTGTGAACTACAGCTCAAAAATCAATGATCAGACATCACTGGCCTAAATCGATTTTGTCAGCCCAGCTGATGTATGCTCGCTGTTTCCTTACTTCTTCCGAGCACATGTAAGCCTTGATTTGCTTACTAAGACAAACTGAATTACGTAATATCGCTGCTGACCCTTGGGTAATGTTGTGTCTCAGCTACGATACACTTGGATAGATAACCCCCTGCAACTGTCTGGAGCGCGTTTTCTCTCTAGGCACTTTTCAACCACATATATTGGATGCATGAAACATGTTATATGAAAGAAGAAAGGAGGAACCGCCAGGTGAAGAGGACGGGTGCCTGTCCAAGTAGTGATGTTAGTCGACTGGAGTAGTATGGGTGGCCATTGTGCCCGAGAGGTTTTGATCCATGGGTTCCTGAAATCATGAGGATTTGGAACCACATGTCTGCTTCTTAGATACATTGAATGAGCTAGAATAGTCACCTCCATTACTGTTATACTATCAGATGGTTCTTCTTGTCGACACATCATACATATACAAATGAATAGAAAAAGCGACTTAACCCCGATATACAAGAGATACAAAATTGGTAGTTGAATATATGTGACGGCAGCAGTTGCAGTGGCTATATGTTTCACCTTGCTAACGAAACACACTGGTAGGTTCTTTAAAATATATTGGAAAGATAGAAGAAGACATTGTCATTTGGTACCAATGCAAGTTATTGAGAGTACGTAACGCAGACTCGAAGCCCTCATTTGTGCCATGTACTCACTTCAGCATACCATACGTCGTCCTGAATTCCCGTTTACAAGCAGCACTTTAATGTCTTACCTAGAGATACATAGGATTGCGGGCAATTAGCAGATCATATAGATATCTTTATGGCTATTCATTACTCATCGCAATCAAGGCAGCACGAATTAAATAATGCAATAGCTTTTGCGGCTGCAGTGTGGTTGCAATTGCGAGTAGCATGCTTTATCTGTACTCATTATACCATACATACAAGTGAAGTACGCATACCAGGGCATATATGCAACTAGACTAGTCTCATTTAAACAAATACAGCAGCGCTTCTGCAATTGCAGAATCATAGATCCCAATAAACTGGACTACCTATGGTTTCCTTATCATCAATGCTGGAATGGGGTATCTCAGTATTTGTCTCGCTAAGAAGAGTGCCTCAGGAGTTTTGTAATGTGCTCGTTCCGCACAGGCACTCCTCAGCCAAGCGAGAATCATCAGAGATTTATCAAGTGATTAACATTTATGAGCATTTTTGTCATGCGTTTTTTCAGTCGCCAGCATGGCACTTTGAGCGCCCGCCAGATAAGCCTGTCGCCTTTCGCCTCTCTACTCTCCGTTGCAGGGTTTTGACAAACACATTTTCTTCAATTACACAGTATGAATCGGGTGCTGAAACCGGCAGCAATAACACTGCGCAGTCCGCTAGTGGCTCGGCGTACGGTCAGCGTGCTTCTGAATGAGCGCAACAAATCGCAGTCCCCTGCAGTCCCAGTCACGCCAGACGAGGACAGTTCGCGCGTCACCAAGGTATCGCGCAACCTGAGCAACATTTTCCAGAGCAAGCAGCAGCCGGCGCCTGTCGACCCGCGCTTCGAGGTGGTTGATTCTGGCTACGGTTCCTTGGTCCTCGCCAAGATGCCTGCATACTCGCAGTTCTACGCACAGGTCGGGCAGACGCTTGGCCAGTCACCGCACGTCACGTCGCGGGCCACCACAAAGGGCGCTGTGGCAGTGGCAGCATTGAGGCCGCTGTTGGGCCGCCGGGCGTTTGTGCAGGAAATCTCGACCGAGGAGACCCCGGCGGACGTGCTGGTGGCACCCAAGCTCACCGGCGATGTGTCGGTGATCGAGCTTGATGGGTCAGTGGACTACTTTGTGCGCAGCGGATGCCTGCTGGCGCAGACAAAATTTCTGAATGTGTCGACGTGGAGCGGGCTGGGCGCTGGATTCAACGCACTGGCGTTTGACCGGGTCGGCGGGCGCGGCACAGCAGTTATCAATACGTTCGGCGGTATGCATCGGCTAGTATTGAAAGAGGGTGAGGAGTTCATGGTTGATCCGCGGTATGTCGTGGCGTGGACGTCATCGCTGAGCATTGAGCCACAGTCGGGCCGGCCAAAGTCGCTCAAGGCTGCAGAAGTCGCAGTGAGTGAGACTGCCAGACCTGCTGCAGAGACCACCAAGCCGATAGTCGAGGCAGAGACGCCGCGGGTTGCGCCGCTGATGGGCAACAGCCCGTCGGTGGACAACAAGGTCGCGCCGCTGAGCAAGTCACCGGCAGACACCACACAGAAGATGCGGCTAACGACCCAGGGCAAGAATGAGTGGGCGGCAAAGATCCTGTCGCTGCAGTTCCTGCAGCCGGCATGGCAGGCAGTCAAGGGCGGGTTCAAGAGCGCAGTATATGTATCAGCAGACGCAGTCAGGGTTAGCACCTGGGCAGCAGCCAAGACCGTCAAGACCGTGGCAGGCGTGCCGGACCTGTATCGGGTCACTGGACCAGGGTACATCTACGTGTCGACCAGGCTTGTCCCGCGGCCATGGACTAGGCTGACGAGCGGTGTTTCGAAGTAATTAATAATAATTGAATGATTTGGAGGGTTGCGGTGTTTGTTCGTCGATGAGGCGCGGATGTAGGTGGATGTATGGTGGCGATTGTGTGTCCAACTGATGTCGGAGAAAACAAGCGCTGTTTGCTTGTCGCTAGGACTTGGTTACACAAGCCCCGCCTATGGCCACAGGCCCTGTGAATAGAGGAAGGGAGCTTGTCCTTGCCTCCGCTCTTTCAGCCCTGCTTCTCTACACCCGCTTTCATATCTTTGTAGTTTTTGAGCCAAACCTCGTCAGTAGTAAAGATGGCCAGGCTCGACATGGGCGACATGCTGCCCAAGGAGGCTATCAGCCAGCGTATCACCGGCGACACGCAGTTTATGTTCCAGTTCTACAAGCCCTGCATTCACTACTTTGAGCCGTCCTCGCTGATATCGACCATGAACGAGCCACGTCTCCGCCAGTCGCTCAAAGTTGCCCTGCAAACCTGCCCGCTGCTGTTCTCGCGGTTCGTTGTACAGCCGGACCTTTCGGTAACCCTCGACTACTCTCCGACGAACCCGAACCTGCCGACGCTGGAGTTTGCACACTCCCGGCTGACATTCCGCGAGGTGCGCAGCAACAACTTTGCATATGCGTTTGCGCAAACGCACAAGCTGGACATGCCAATCCCGACGGCACCATCAAGCGCAGCATGGACACCCCCATGCTGATGGCGAAGGTAACGTACATGTCCGACGGCGGCATTGCCATGTTCTCAATGACCAACCACGTGGCCTTTGATGGCAGCGCCATGTTCCACTTCCTGGCGCACTGGGCGAAATGCTGCCGCGCCATCGGCACGCACACCACGGTGGCCAGGCCGGCCGAGCTCGAGCCGTATGCAGTCTCCCTGGTGGCCCACACGGACAGGGACCCGGAGTGCGGCCCGCAGGAGATTTCGGTGGACGCAACGCGGACGCCGCAGCAGCTCATGTTAGCCAACACCAAGAGCGTCAGCGAGCTGCAGGCGTGCGTGTTCAGCATTAGCCTGGCCAATGTCCAGAGGTTGAAGAAGCAGACCGAGCAGAGCGGCGTGCTGGACAACGACGAGTGGGTGTCGAGCAATAATGCCGTCGCCGCATTCGTGTGCCAGTGTGTGGCGCGCGCCAACACCGACGCCCAGGTATATGAAGCCCAGGACTGGACATTCTTCCAGTCTCTGGATATGCGCCACCCCCTGGGCCTGCCGACCGGCGGACTCGGGTCGCCGCTCATTCTGGCCGAATGCAGCGTGCCGCTGGCGGCCATATACGAGCCCGCACAGCTGCCCGAGATCACGCGCACTATCCGCCAGTGCGTGAACAAGTACGACAAGACGTACTGCCAGGAGGCCATGGACTGGATGAACTCGTCATACGCCTGCCTTGCCAAGACTGTTGGCGAGCCATGGCGCCATTTCTGGTTCACGGCACTGAACACGAATCGCACTGCCGTCGGTGTCTCGTGCATGAACAGGATTCCAATCTATGATGTGGATTTCGGGGCTGGCAGACCGGTCATGGCTAGGTCGTTCAACCCACGCCCCAACTACATCATTGTGTTTCCGGGCCCGCCAGCCATGACGGCACGGTATGCGGCGATGCCAATGGCGTATGACTCGCTGCATTTGTATGTCACGCTGGAGAAGCCGGCGATGGAGGCACTGCGCAGCGACAAAGAGTGGTGCCGGATGTGCTCTGTTGTCAGCGAATTCTGACCTGCTTTGCGATTCCGGAAAAGGCATGCAATCCGGAAGCGGAATGACGACATTGAGGGTAGTTTTGGATATTAGTCAGACTGAGCTAGTATCGGAAACCCCTTCCGCGGGTTCAGACTTTTTTGCTCTTTCACTCTCTCACAAACTCTCTTTTCCTTTTCACAACATTAAATTGCCTGACAAATTAGCATAATGACAGTTCCACTCGTCGCCAAGCAGCTGACCGGAGACGCGGTCGCTGCCGTGGCTGCCATTACCACTTCCAAGCCCACGATGGCGCTGGGCACGCCCTGGGAGAACAACAAGCCGCTGTGGGTGTTTGGCTACGGCTCCATCATCCACAAGGTCGACTTTCCGGTAGAGGCCAGCGTCTTTGGGTTCATCCGCGGCCGCAAGCGCGCGTTCCTGCAGGACTCGCACGACCACCGCGGCACCGAGGAGAACCCTGGCCGTGTCTGCACGCTAATTCCCGTGGCCGAGTGGAACCGGATGTTCAGGCAGTCGGTGGACCCGCACAGCTCCGTGTGCTGGGGCGTCGCGTACAAGGTGCAGAGCGGCAAGGAGGCCGAGGTCAAGAAGCACCTAGATTACCGGGAGAAGGACGGATACACCATCGATTTTGTCGATGTGTTTGAGGAGGAGGGCATGCCACCGGTGCTGGGCAATGTCATGGTGTATGTTGGCGTCAGCGATAACCCATCGTTTGCCGGTGCATCGTCGATGGAGGAGACGGCCGCGATTATTGCCAAAGCTGAGGGCCCGTCAGGCACCAACAGAGAGTATCTGTTCAGGCTGTGCAATGCACTGCGTGAGCGCAGGGATGATGCACTGGATCCATATCTGAGGGAGCTGGAGGAGCGGGTCAAGGAGCTGGCAGCGGCTTCATAGGAAGATTGCTGGCTGTAGAAAACAATTGGTAGTAGAATTTCAAAAAGGATAGAGTAAAAAACGGAAGGGTAAAAAAACTGAAAGAGGGCTGGCTGCAGCGAGCTGGCACAGAAGTAGCCTTGGGATCATAAAGCAACCCGAGTTTGCTAGAGACCAAACATGTTATTCTGGCTGGCCTGTGACTGCTGCTGCGCAAACGGATTGAACTGCTGCTGCTGCTGCGGCTGCTGCTGCTGGACATTGAATCCGCCACCGCCCATCATGTTCATGCTGCTCATGTTGTTCATGTTGTTCATGGCGTTCATGTTGCCCATGCCCATGCCCATGCCCATGTTTTGCTGCTGCTGCTGCTGTGCCATCATCGCGCTCTGCTGGTTGCCAGCACCCATCAGCTGGTTCATGCTCGGCTGCCTTCCGGTCGGCGTCATGGCGGCACTGCTTCCGCCGGTCGCAAACGGATTGCGGCTAACCTGGCCAAACTGCTGCGTGCTCGACGACGTAGTCAGAGCCGCCGGGCTTAGATCCACCAAGGATGCCCGCCGGTCATGCCGGCAAACGGCGTTGCTGTTGTGTTGGTGGCCGATCCAAACGGGTTTGCCTGTGCGCTGCTGCTTGAGCTGAGCGCGAGGCTGGCAAACGGATCGATCTTGTCGCTGTTGCGTGCGATTTCAGCCAGCCGCGAGTTGGCGTCCCTCGGGTTGACACCAAAGGGCAGCGGCTTAGCTGCATTGCCGCCGTCGAATGCGTTGCCGAAGGCACCGGATGCGCCGTCGAAGGTGTTGCTACCCAGGAGGCTGACGTTGTTGGTACTCTGGGCTTGCTGGGCCATGCTGCCAAAGGGACTGCTGGTGCTGGGCATGCCTAGGGCAGCAGTGCTCTGGCCGAACGGGTTCGCGGTGCCCATGCCGGCGGACGAGTCAAGGAGATTGGTGGCCAAGTTGGGCTGGGAGACGAACTGGTTGATGTTGTTGCCGTACGGGTTGGTGTTGCCCATCTGGCCCATGCCGCCCATGTTGCCGCCCATGTTGCCGCCCATGTTGCCGCCCATCTGGTTCATGCCGTTCATCTGGTTGGTGTTGTTATTGAGCCCGAACGGATCGAATGCACCACCAGAGCTGGCGTTCATGTTGCTGTTGAACTGGCTGTTGTCCATCATGCCACCACCGCCAAAGGCGCCCATCAGATCGTTGGCGGCCGACGACACCGGCTGCTGACCAAACTGCTGCTGACCAAATTGCTGCTGGCCAAATTGCTGCTGGTCGATAAACTGCTGCTGGCCAAACTGCTGCTGGTCCATAAACTGCTGTTGCTGGTTAAAGTTGGTCGGGCTGACAGACTGTGCGGGCTGCGGACTGAACGCATCATCCAGTCCGCCGATCAAGTCAACTTCGCCATTGGCTTTCGCCTTTGCATTCTTTTCCTTCTTCTCATTGTCCTTTGCTTCCCGTGCGCTCTCCTCAATAGCCCGCCGCAGCTCAGCATCCTCGTCGTATCCGCGGGGCACATTCTTTTGCTCTGCCTCGCGCCTGCTGGCCGCAATGGCGTCGCGCATATCTCTGTCTTCGTCTCCATACCGGTAGTCCGGATTTGACAGGCTGTTCTGGCGCCCGTGTCCACCGCGTCCACTTGTCCTGCTCATGTTACGCGCTGGATTGTACGGCCGCTGTGACGGGCCCTGGCTGCCGTACTGCGACCCATACATATCGCCGCCGGGATCGTTGAAGCCCATCCGGTCGTTCATCCAGTTCTTGTTCTTGCGCTCCTCGCGCAGCTTCGAGGGCTCCAACAGCAGTATCGTGACCTCCTTGGCCTTCTGTCGCACATTGGCGCCCTGGTCGCGCCCGCTGTCGTCAATGTGCTGGAACTCGCGCAGCGTCTTGACCACATAGATGTTGTCTACCGAGTACTGCAGCACCTGCTCCGACCCGCAGTGCAGACAGTAGTCCAGCACCGTCAGCGCCTACCAATCAGCACAAGCATTAGCAAGTGTACAGTGGAGAGTTCACGCGGCGCACAATGCTCTGTCGCATTAGGCAATATATACTCGGTGGTGTTACATCGCCAGCCTTGCCTACTGCTTTATGCTGATGCTAGCAAGAAGTGAGAGAGAAGGGGAGAGAATGCCCGCGAGTCGCTTACCTTGAAGACATGTCGCCAGTTCTTGCCCTTGTCGTTCAGGCGCTTGTCCAGCATCTCCATGACCTCCAGGAACTCGTGCCTACAGAGAATGTTCCCGTTCCCCCAGAGTTTCAGTGCCCTTGTCTCCTTTTTTTTTTTGGGCAAAGCGGTGCCATGCCGAGTACTCCCCCCCCACTGCTGCATGGTCAGGCCAAGCTCCCACTGCCAGCAACGATACTTACTGGTTATACGTCGCCTGGGCAATTTGGCTCATCAGCGCCGTCGACGGGCCGCCGACATCATTCGAGGTGGCATCCCGGACCCTCATTTGTATATCCGAGTACCCCTTGGTGTAGTTCTTCCTAAATTCATTGTGGAAAAAGGGTTTCGGAAAGGGGGTTTAGGAACTGTGTGCCTTTTTCGCATACTCATACGTCACCCTCCGCGAGCAGGAGCGCCTGCCTGCATTCGCAGATTCCCTGCAAACTTACATCGTCCGAAGGACGCCTTTTGCCGTCATTGTAGTATGCCCCTTGTGTGCGTGTGTTGTGTGTAGTGGAGGGAGATAGGGGAGGGGCACAAGCCTAAATTACAGTATTATGAGAGAAGAAGAAGGAATGCTCCAATTACTGGTAATGCTCAGCAAGAAACGGGTCTAGTGGAAAAATGTGCAAAAATCCGCCTCTCGCTCCCCACTCTGATGAGAAGTGGAGCGCCGACGCAAGTCAGCTGACAACAGATTTTGTTCTTGGCCAGGGCTCAGACCCCCGATCTCGCTCTACTGCGTGTCATATGACTGCACCGACGCCAGCCGCTCGACATCGCCGATCTCGTCCACGATAAACCTGGGCGGCGGGTCCTGTATAAACGGGCACAGGTCGCTGGGCAGGAACGGGCCAAACTTGTCGACAAACTCGCTCCGCCTGTCGACCTCCTCCAGATGCATCACGTCAAGGCGCGCCCGCACATCCTCGACGACCGCGTGCTGCTGTGCCTGCGCCTGCCGCCGCCGGTGGACCTCGCCGACCAGCGCGTCGTATGCGCCGTGGAAGTTGCGGTACCATGTGATCAGATTCCACATCTCGTCCTGGAACACCTCGACCTCGGTCAGCAGCCGCTGGAACTCGCCCTGCGAGGACTCGGAGCGCGAGAGGAACCCGCCGATGGCCTGCGAGATTCCGCCGATGGCCTGCGATTGCTCGACATAGTCGGCAAAGAACGCTGCGCACTGGAGGCTGCGCACATTTGTCTCGTCAGCACGGCGCCGGATGCCCACCAGCGCATCCTGCAGCTCGGCGATGATCAGAGGGATCTCGTCGGTGTCCCTCAGCAGCACTACAAAAGAGGAGCCAGAGCTCGGCCATTTAGGTTGCATAGACGACATTTACAGATGCAACAACACCGGTACATGGTTGGTGGGAGCATGCGCTGCCACCCCCTCCCCGATACAGCCACTTGCCTTTGTAGTCGTCTAGGCTGAGCACGCCTCCTTCGCTCTCCAGGTCTTTCACGGAGTCCTGCAGCTGCGCGCAGTGGTGGCTGATCATCTCGGTGTCCTGCCTGATGTCTGCGACTGATCCAAGTGTCTCGGCCAGCAGCGCTGCAGCCTCGCGCAGCCCGCCCCATGTCACGCTGATGTCGTCAGGCACCGGCACCTCGATTGCCTGGACCTCGTCAAGCACAGCCCGCGCAAGCGCAACATCAGCCGCGGCGATCTCCTACACACCGACACTCACGATTAGCTGCATACCAACACCAGCACTGCCTGCGATCTCTGTAGTCCCCCCTGCAACGCACCGCTAGATGGTTGAGGCACTCCTCAGTCTTGCCTTGCAGCGCATCCACTGCCGCCTGGTCGATGTGATCGTGCAGAGTGTGCTTGCGCGTGCCGCCTGGCGCGCTGTCGAACGGGCTACGGAATTCCTTTCCCACCACCTCTCTGTTGCGGAGCAGCTCCAGCACCGCCGACATGTCGGACCGCAGATCCTCAAACTGCTGCCGCTTATTCTACATATGGAAGGTGGGTCGTTATCTATCCCATGGAATGCCTTTTGGGCTGCACCAGTGAGTCTCGCCACATGCCCACGTGTTCCGGCAAGCGCGGTGTCTTTTTTACCACGCTGCGTGCCCGATGCAGCCTGGCCTTCTGCAAATGGCCATGCTCCGTGAAGCCACTGGCCAACAGCAGCGAGCGATGCTGAATCGTCCCGTTCGTCTGTCGAGGCGGGCAGCCAGTCGCTGCTTTGTTTTGCTTTGCCTTCGCCTCAGCTTTGTTTTGCTTGTCTGTGGAGCCACAGCTGGCATGCTAAATCTGGCATTGCGAGGTAGGGGAGGTAATGGCAGACCCACTGGGCAGGTCGCACACTTGGGACTGTCACGGCCAACGGGGCAATCCCAAATGGCCGCGTAAGGAAATTTTGCACACTGGCCATCAATAATAGCTCGGCTAGCGGTCCGAGATCCATGGGCGCAAATGCAGAGCACCAATGAAGATCCAATTTGCTAAAAGGGGTTCTGAGAAACGTACCTGAACGGTTGTCTCCAAGTCGCCGAGGTGCTGCTTCAAGTCGGCCTCGAGCGATCTGCACGCCTACAACTGGGAGAGAGCATTTGAGCTTGGATCCCATTCCGTGAGCTGGTTTCAAAACACCCGCACAATCAGCAGCGCCTCCCGAGATGGCAATGGTCAAGGCAAGCACACCCCAAACTCGTTTGATCTTCCCAGTTTCAAGAATAACAAACACTGGCCCGGTTATCACGCAATTTCATCTGCAATTCCCCCCGTCCTACGTAGCCAGGCATTCCAGCCCAAATCCACAGCGAAGGCGAGATCAGCGCAAACGGAGCCTTCCCAGCTGCACGACACAGAAATTCCCGCCATGCTCGTCGTGCGCTTTGCTGCTGCCTGCATAAAAGCCCATCTGCCAGTGTGGTGAGAGAAAAGTCTCCGCCGGGCCATTCTCACAGATAAAAGGGAGCCTTGCCGGGCTGGGTCCATGCCGAGCAGTGGCCCAATGACGAATGGCGCAGGACAGCTCGCACCACCGTCACGAAGTGAGTCTAGAAGGCGTTCTTCCGACTCATAGCAGTGGTGGTTGGACTGTTTGTTTGGGGTGGGGAGAGCAAGCCAACAGGATGGGTCTGGCTGATCGCCGGGCAGCAAACAGAACCCGTGAAAGGTGGGCAAGCCATTGCACGTGTACCTGTAATTGGGCCGGGTTGTCAGCCATCAGAAAGGCTAGCTTTGGATGGACTCGGCAAATGAGGGCAAAGTCCCGCCGGGCTGTCTCCAGACAGGCACATGCCTGTGCGAGGACGTCTTCTGCAACGCGCGTTCCTTGGAGCGAGGGCTCGGACAGTTTTGTAAGCGATTCAAGCGACGCCATCCGGGAACAATAGAAATGACAGTAGGGGTTATCAATCGTCAAAGACATTGTCGACGCCGTGGCCGGGCTATTTCTCCGCGCTATTTGGCCACATGCACATGGCTGCTGCCCGTTATGGCCCAGGGCTGCCGGCAGCTGCATGTTAATGATGGCTTCCTCGAGGCCGGTGTGGTAGTAAAGAAAAAAGTGTCAATTTTAGAATATAGAAAACGAAACTATGTATGAAGAGAAGGGGAGTAGGGTACAAAAGTGCCCAATAGAAGTGACAGGGGGTTGCATAGTGCATCTAGAGAAAGGCGACAAAGCGCAGGGGACAGAAGCTTAGTTGTTGCCCGGGTTGGTCAGGATGCGCGAGGCGTGCTCGGCCTGGGCGCTCTGCAGCCGGCGCAGCTCGGTGCTGTCCATCTTCAGGCTCTTGCCCGACTTGGTGAAGAGCTGGCCCGAGATGATGCGCTTGCCAAAGTTCTGGCGGTTGGCCTCGGGACGGTCGTTGATGTTGGTGGCATAGTACGAGGCACCGCGCGACGGGATGGTCGAGATGCGGTTGACGGACTGGGCAGCATCGATCGAGGCGCGGGTGCGCTGGCGGGCAAGCTCAACCTGCTCGGTGGACACGGGCTCTCCAGGAGTCGGGGGAGCAGTGGAGGCAGCGAAGCGGTCGAGGACGGAGGCCATGCCGAACTTGATGAAGTCGAGGGGAAGGAACCAGACAATGTCCCAGATCCAGACGGCTCCAGCCCAGTGCCCAGCCGGCACCGCGGATCTCGGTGAATCCCCAGTTGGCGTAGACAGTGATCATGGTGGCCACCAGCTGGGCGACAACGAAGGCGCAGCACAGGAAGGTCGACGGGCGCTCGGCGAAGAAGAAGCCCTGCGAGCGGGTCACGAAGATGAGGGCCTGCGACAGAATCGAGACCTGCAGGTAGATGACCGAGTGCAGCGAGAAGTCGTTGCGGTTGGAGAACGCCTTGCAGCCGTGGCGCTGGAAGAAGTTGGTCTTGTCGATGACGGCGAAGAACACCAGGGTCGACAGGGTCAGGTAGCAGCCGTAGACAATGGCGTACGAGAAAATCTCCTTCAGGTTCCAGGCGTTCGGGTGCTTCGACGGCTTGACGTTGTCGGTCGAGATGGTCATCATGGTACCGTCATTAATGATGGCGAGGATAAGGACCAGGAACGGAGGGAAGTCAAACTTGAAGGCAAAGACCAGGATCGAGAACGTCGTGACAACACGGATGGTGACCGAGCAGGTGTAGATGGCGTAGTTGCGCATGCGCTGGAAGATGATGCGCGAGTGGATGAACGCCTCAATGATGGTCGACAGACCAGCCTCAGTCAGGACGATGTCGGAAGCAGAGCGGGCAGCATCGGAGGCATCGGCGACAGCAACACCGACGTTGGCCTTGGCGAGAGCGGGGGCATCGTTGACACCATCACCAGTCATGGCAACCATGTGGCCCAGGTTCTGCAGACGGTCGACAATATCGTACTTGTGCTCGGGGTACACACCGGCGAAACCGTCGGCACGCAGGACAAGCTCGTCAACAGAGTTGGCAATGCCGTGGAGCTCCTCGGGCTTGTTCAGGATCGAAGCGTTGTACATGGTGTCGCCCATACCGAGCTCACGGCCGGTCTCCTTGGCAATGGCCAGCTGGTCACCGGTGATCATCTTGACGTGGACGCCGAGCTCGATGGCACGGTCGATGGTCTCCTTGGTGTCGTGGCGGGGCGGGTCGAAGATGGGCAGCAGAGCGATCAGACGGAAGCCGGTACCGGCACCCTCGGGGTCGTCGCCCGGAACATCCTCCTCGGCAACAGCCAGCGCACGCAGGCCACGGGTGGCAAACTCGTCGACGTCGGCGTGCAGCTGCTGGACAACCTCGTCGGTCTTGTCGCGGGTGGCGAGCTCAAGGATCATCTGGGTCATGCCCTTGGACACACGGTGCAGGGTGTTGTCCGACAGGCGGCGGTAGGTGACCTCGGTACGCTTGTCGACCGGGTTGAACGGGAGGAAGTTGAGGACCTCGATGCCCTCGCGAGCAAGCTTGGTGTCGGACAGGGACTCGACAATCGACTTGTCGATGGCATCCTGGTTCTCGATACGCGAGGCGTAGGCAGACAGCTTGAGAATACTCGTCAGTGGTCAGATCGGTAGTGTAGTGCTTGACAGCCTCAGTCTTGATGGTCAGCTCGTTCAAAGTCAGGGTACCAGTCTTGTCAGAGCACAGGATGGTGACACCAGCCAGCTCCTCAATGGCCAGAGATGCGGGTCACAATAGCCTTGTGCTCGGCAAGCTGCTTGGCACCAATGGCGAGGGTCACCGACAGCACAGTGGGCATGGCAATGGGGATACCACCGATGAGCAGCACAAGCAGGTTGTTCATACCGCGGCGGTAGCGGAACCTGAAGCCCGGGTACATGACAAAGATCTCGGCAACCAGGAAAATCGCAATGGAGATGATGCAGAAGTTACCAATCTTGGCCAGCACCTGCTGCAGATGCCCGGTGCCCTCGTTGGCGCCAGCGACGAGCGAGGCAGCGCGGCCGAAGAACGTGTTCAGACCAGTACCAATGACAACAGCCTCAGCCTCGCCCTGCTTGACAGTCGAGCCAGAGAAGATCTCATCTCCGGGCTCCTTGCCGACGGGCAGCGACTCACCAGGTAAGGGCAGCCTGGTCGATCTTGACGTTGTTGGACACGACCATGCGCGAATCAGCGGGCACGACATCTCCAATGCCGATGGCAATGATATCGCCGGGCACCAGGTTCCTTGGCCTCCATGATCTTCCACTCGCCGTCGCGCTTGACCTTGCACTGGGGAGCCAGGGCCGCCATCAGGGCCTCGACGGCCTTGCCGGCGCCGCGCTCCTCGTAGTAGCCAATGCACGAGTTGCCAAGAAGCAGCAGAACGATACCGACGAAATCCTGCCAGTCAGGCGGCATGCCTTGGCCGTTGGACAGCGCAATCGCCACAAGGGCGGCAGCCTCCATGACCCACGACAGCGGGTTCCACATGAAAGACAGGAACATGAGCAGCGGGTTGACCTTCTTCTCGGGCAGCTTGTTCTCGCCGAACTTTGCCACACGGGCCTCGGCCTCGGACTGAGTCAGACCCCCGGGACCGCACTGCAGCAGCTGGAACACGAGCTTGTTGTCCATTGTCTCGAGATCGAACTTCTCCTTGTCGTAGAGATCAGAGACCGTCAGCGTGTTCGGGTCGACATTGAGCGTCGCAACCTCGCTCGCAGGAGCGGGTGCCTTTTCGGCATCCTTGGACGACATTAGATGGGCTTGGACGGGATACGCGAAAAGGGGGAGTTATGTATCAGAATATAGAGGGGTGAGGGAGGATTATATGGAATAAGAAAAGTAGAAAATATAGGTGATGGCAGATATCGGAAGCGGGAACCTGAACAACTGAATGTTTCTAATACACGCGCATATCAAGGCTTATTTCTCTTGAGGCACTCTGGGCAGAGAGGATGGCGTGAAAGAAATAAAAACTGACGGTTGTTTCCTAGAGAGGGGAGAAAAAGTTCTAGCGATATGAAAGGCCTAGCGCCAGAAGCGAGCGGGTGCCAGCAGCTTTATATTCCGGTGAGGCTGGACGGGCAGGGGAGGTTCGAGGGCACAAAGGCGCGGGATGGGTGGAACTGATTGTGCTCTGTGTGAGCAGCCATTTTTCGAATAACTTTTCTGCATTTTCGCTGATAGCCAGTTTCGCTCCTAGTGACAGTGTGATTCTTGCCAGCCCCAGACCAAATTTTTCCATAGCGTCAACACGGCTGTGCAATCTTGGGGGGGACAGGGGGGTGTCCGTTCTCGGGCTTGGATTGCGGGCTGCGACCCCTCCGAACCAATCAAGCCGCGGACTCCGTGTTTCGCAAGCCTGTTACTTTCGGGTTCCTTTCCGTAGGTTGCGCTGCTGCTGCCAGGCAGGAAGGAAAAATGCTGAATGAGAAAATCTCTTTTTTTTTCTCTCCCTTGCTCCCCCCAAAACGGACTGGCGGGTTCATTGGCCCCGACGGAACGTGGGTCACGAACCCACCCCCCAACTCGCTTCGCAAAACAGCGGTCTCCCCCTTCGTTGGACATGCCCACCGCCTGCCCGTGCTCGCCCTTTTGCTGTGCGAGATCCACTGTTGATGGTTGGGGAGTGCTGCCCAGTGTGGGAAGACTACCTCCTGCTCGTCACCGCCCGCCTGGCTGTAGAGGAGATGCGCCAGCGGCGGCGGTGCTGGCATAGCATGGCGCCGGTGGAAAAGAAAAAGCCAGCTGGCAGGCCATGATGTCTGCGGTTACGTAAGTGATGTGGAGGCAGGCGTGCCAGGAGCCAATCGCAGGAACAATGCGCTGGGCTGTAGATTCTGCTGCTGACAGCTTTGCTGCTGCTGCTTTTGCCGTTGCCGGCAGAGACGGGGCACATTCGCATGACCGCCCATTCGCCACCCCCTCCTTTCCCGTCGGCATTTCCTGTCCACCATTGCATATGCACGGACTTTATCACTTTCTGCCCATGGGCGCATCCGACGGTGACAAGATCGGACACGACACACCGAATTTATTTTGTATTCTGAAACAAACCATTTTGCCGCCCGTTTGCGTGCTGCCTTTGCAAAGTCCGAGAACCAGCGTGTCGCAGACAAGGCAATAGACGATCAGCCCCATACGATTTAAGGCAATAGTTCCGTCCCCCTGTTACCTGCCCAGCGACGGCTGGAGTACCGGAATCCACGCTTAGAGTCGCCGGAGGATACGCTGCAGCTGGCTGCATATTCCACCAGACTCTTCATCATAAGGGCCAGTGGCTCTCAGGCCGGCCCAGGCATGGCGGTTGGCGTGATCAGCGCAACCCCAGATATGCTGCGCTCCGAATAGACCAAGCCATCCACCAAAGACCCATCACAACCCGCCTCTTGCGTCGATTCCAGATGCCGCAATGGCTGTCCTTGTATCGATGCCTGATGCTAGCATTGGGTCTCGCTCAACAAAGTGCACATTAGCAGCGACCAGGGAGGTGGTCGTATAGACCAAATGCAAGGCGATCCGCAGCTCAAGCGGTTCCACTATTGCCACCAGCAAGCCAAATATTGCGATTCCGTGCAGACGACCACTCGCCAAAGGCACCACAAAACTGACTAAGCACGCTCTGCGATATGCTTGCTCTTGCCCACTGGCAATACCCCCGTCTGCTCTCTGGCTTCTAGCAATTCCGAGATGAATGGATAATAGGTTCATCCACTCCGACGGTGAATTGTTAGGACAGAAAACAAACAGCCCGCATCCATTTTGTTGGCACCAACGGACTCCCGCAGCCTAAGGGTACCTGTTCTACCTTGACGCACCACCCCCAGACCGGCACGATGGAAGCGGACATCCACTGCACGCCCTCCCCCCTGCGCGCAGCGGCATCCGCTCCTTTGTCATGCTGGTTCGCCAGAACACGGATATCACCGATCAAACCTGGTCAGAGAATGGGCGGGATGCAAAAAACAAAGTCGTTGGGACAGCCCTTTGGATGTGGCTTGGATGGGTTGGCGGCGCCCGCATGACATATGCAGGATATTGTTTGCTGCATTTTCTACACCTAGCGTCTGTGCCCCCACCGCCCGCCTGTGCCGGCAATAAGCAAGCATGCCAATTCGCTGCCCACCATCGCCCAACCAACCACCCATGCCAGAAGAAAAATACGACATTGACAGCCAGGCGCTCCAGCTGGGCCACACCGAATCGGTTGTGAATCATCAGCGCTTTCCAGCCAGTGCCCGTCGCCAGCAAAAGAAAAAACTAAAACAGTGATGCCCAGGCTAGACCACAGAAATTTTTTTGCAAAGTGACACAATGACATCGGCTGGCCAGTGAAGAGGAGACAGCATTCGCCTTATTGCCCTCTGGGACCTGCGGACCATGGCCATCGGCGTTCAGCTCATGCGTAGCCCCATTCTGTTGGGGGACCAGGGAAGAGGAGCCAAGGCTGCCAGAGTATTGATCTGGTACCACTTTTCCTCAGGTCTGGATGCTCCCGGGTCCAGCGGCACAATGTTTCTCCAGCAGGCGATGGGTTGCTCAGCTCGCCTCACGCTAAGGCGTGCTGGCCTGCGAAAGCAGCCCCATGCAACCCGTGCCATAGCCACGGCTGTGTCTGGGGCGAAGAGCCATCCACCAGCCTCACCACGGACGAGCTCTGGAAGAACCTTTCTCCCCCAAACGCTCGGAACTCTACAAACGCGCCAATGGCTGTATAGTCGCACTATGCAGTATGCCGCACCGTGCTGCGCACAATTGCCTCGCCTGCACACCCCACAGGACAGCATGTAAGCTGGCCGCGGGGTGGCTCGCTTGATTGCATAAATATGTGCGCTTCCGAGTATATGTGTACATGGGAGGTCTCTGTTGGGGGCGAGGGAGTTGCAGGACAGACGCTCACGAGGGACGAACAGGGGGCAGGGCACGCGCACGCCCGGTCGTTTTGGAAACCCAGTTTGGAAACTATGCTACCCTATAGGAGAATTGCACATATCCCGGACATATGCCATGCGAGGTTCTGAAAAAAGTATGAGTAGGAGCGAGTTCCGCCGATGCTGACTCCGCCAATAGCAGTCACAAGCCGGTTCCGCGATCGGCGCCAAAAGCCCACACATCCTTTTGCTTTCACGACTGGTTGCCACATAGATCAGTGTCCACAGTAAAACAAGGCACTCGCTTGGACATGTTCACAGTGCCCAATTGATGTACTGGCGGCGGTGCTCGGAACGGCAGATACAGGACAGACGATACACAACACATGCAGCGCAGATGGCCAATGTTGCTGATAGGGGATTCAAGGGGGGACAACATCTGAAACTGTTTCAGAATCATTTTGCCCCTTGCTTTTTCTGACGAATGGGACGTGCAGTTAGCTCCGGAATGAAGGGAAAAATACATGGGCAATCACTCGTTCCCAGTTTCGGCAATTATAATATCATACGCCTAGCGTCGTAGATCCAAGTGTGGCGAGCGCAAACGGACTATGCTAATGAACAGCGGGGCAAATCTCGATGCGCTCCTGGGGCTGCGATGTGCTGGCAGCAACGCAAACAAAAACCTTTGTTGGCTGGCCAATGTACCAAATGCACCGGAGCTCGCCCCCACCAGACCGTCGCTATGGCACCAATTTCTTGTATACAGCGGAGCTGCTTGGGTCATGGGAATAGCTGTCGTCAGGGGCAAAGCTGCATAGCTGGCCGATCATTAGGTAGCTATATTGCGGTCCTTGGCGTACCCAGGCCAAGCGCTGGGTGTGAATCAGCCAAGCGCAGGCCAAGCATTGGCAACCGCTCGATGTAGAAAAAGAAATGGATGGGTGGAGCTGCCCCCTCTGTCCCTCAAAGCTAAAGCCCGCGCTGGCGCATCATATGGCCAGCACCAATCCACCATCCCCAGCGTGCATGAAATTACATACTGCCTGCTTCTCTTTGCGCGTTCGTGGCTTGGGCTCCCTTGTCTGGTACATGGTAAAAGTAGCGAATAGTCTTTAGAAAATGAGGGAGGGATGATTCTATTGCTGACTGTAGAACCTTCTCAACAGACACATGGGCTTCCAGCAGCATATCATCAACCATCCTCCTCCAAGGCACAGATTGTACTGCTCAAAACAGGTCACAATGACAAGCGCCATTGTGCTGCTAGATCGCACAATGGCTTCCTGGATATGTCGTGTATATATAAAACTGGGTTCTCGCCGGAATCTTCGACCTGTGCAGAGAGCACCGATTGTGACCTCTGCAGTGGTCAGTGTGTATGTTTATTTTTTGCACGAGAAACGCAGTCTGTTTTTGTTTTGTGGCCCCGAATATTCCTTCAAATATATGTCCTGGCTGCCGTATCATGGCTTGTGCATGCGCCTCTTTGATAATGGCTTTTGCTCGCTCGCCCTTTATCAGCCATTACTGCCTAAATACCCAGCATGAATCAAGCATCTGCTTGTATTTCACCACATGCATGTGCCGGTTGTCTGGATGGCTGGGTCGGTAGGCCAGGCACGCCGAAACCCATGGAGCCCGCCGTTTCCTCCCTTTATTGCGCTTGAGGAATCAGCCGGCTGTCGGCTCAGATCATGCTATCAATCATGCTGCCGTTCTCGCCTACCTCTCCCCATCAGCTATCAATCAGTATCGATTGCAGCAAAAAATGGCTGTGGCATTCGCTGGATCGGAAGATATTACCCAATTGGTAATGAACACTGGCTGAAATGTTTTTGCAGCCTGCCAGCAAACAAACAAGCCCGTGAAATTTGTTTTTTGGGCCGAATGCGTCCATCAGCTGAAACTCATTAATTTTCGCCATGTAATTCTGGAATTCTGGGCCTGCAACTGCTCGGGCCCACAGTGCCACAAGGCGGACACAGACTGGCCGCTCTTGTATAACGTGCTGGCAATAGTAGCAGGCTGATGCTCCACAGCCTGCACCAAAGCCGCCGCAGATTAATTGCTGCCTATGGCCAATCCCACTGGGCATGGCAGTCCAACGAGCTACGGAAACAGCAAGCATCTGTTCAGCATTGCTGGCATGGTTACCAAGCTACCTTGTATAACACCGCAGCTCTCCAGTGCCAAAATGTGCCGACCACTGAGGGCCGACATGCTTTGCACTTGTTTGCTGCATCGGGGAGTGGGCGAATTCCACACCATCAGCTCAAGTTGACATGCAACTAGCAAACGAGGCAATGCATTATCTGTCTGTCGCATATGCAGGGCATCTCCTGCTTGGGTAAACCATTATGCCTGTGCGTGATCGGGGAGAGGGACTCGCTGACAAAACCAGTCCAGCCATCCGCAAATCTGATATATGGTGATTTAATCGTTTGTTGTTTGAACTATGGTGTCTCTGTAGAGCGAACAGTCGCTTTCAGCTCCACATTTGTCAACACTGGTCAAAATGAATACACCGAATTTCCAGGGCTTCTGCACACCCAAACGCCGGCCCGTGACGCCTGGCCGGCGCGACAACCCGCTGCCTGTCTTCAACAGCCCGGCTTCAGTACAAATCGGGCGCATGCTCACTACCCCGCATGCAAGCAGCATACGGCCACTCGAGTACGGAACGCCCAACCCGGTACTGGAGGACATGGCAGCGACAGTGTCCAGTGCGGTGGCAACAACCAGCGAAGAGTACGAGGCGCCACGGGTCTGGTTCCAGCGCGACAAGGACCGCAAGCAGAATGACGAGTTTACCAGACGCGTAGACGAAATGGTGCAGGAGCTGAAGCGGCTGGTAAGAGAGCGCAAGGCCGAGCACGAGCGCCAGAGGGTGGACGCGGCAGAGCGCGAGGCCCGGATGCAGGCGGACATGCAGGCGTTGGAAAAGGAGGACAGCAAGATCCTGAGCGCGCTGAAGACCGAGATTAGTGCTGAGAACGAGCTGTCCAAGGCCATCAGTGGCCTGCAGATTAAGCAGCGGCAGGCAGGAGACAGGGTTGGCGAGCTGACGAAGCGCAAGGAAAGGCTGGAGGCTGAGATCAGGCGCCGCCAGGACGCCATTGACGAGAAAGCGCAGTGTGCTCGAGGGCCAGGCGGCACGCGACAAGCCCGAGCTCGACTTTTTCTCCAACACGATGGGCATCAGGATTATTAGTGACCAGGTTGATACGCTGACGGCAGTCTTCACGCAGATCTCCATGTCTGACCCGCAGCGCGAGTTCACCATCACAGTCGACTTGTCACAGCGCGAGTACAAGGTCACAGAGTACAAGCCGGCTATTGCCAATGTGCAGACCCATGTCGACTGGCTTAACGCAACCAGGGACTTCTTCGGCTTCTTGAAGCGCATCCGCCACCAGTTCGCCGACCATTACAACCAGACGCTCTAGCAGTGATGTCACATCCCACCCGCTATGTAAAGCTTATATGGCGCCAGTTTGTCTTGGCAAATAATTTCTGTGGATTGTCTCGCCTACTTCAGCTTCATAAACACTAAATAGTACGCATGCACAATAGGCAAATGTATGTCCTCGCTATTGTCCCGACCCACTACGCACTGCTCTTGGACGAAGCTATCGCGGCTGATGACATCGTCACGCTTGCGGGCATGGCCCTGCTCGACAACGACAATGAACTCCTTGAGCCTCAGGCGGATCTCGCCCACGGCGCTCTGGACATCCTCGAGCACCAGCATGCCCATCGGCCACAGCTTGCCGTTCTCGTCACGCACATCCTGCACACCCACAACAAGCAGGCCCGAGGGCGGCAGGCGGTGGCTGGCATCATGTGTGATTTGCACCAATGCCTGGCGGTAGTCGGCAATGTGGGCGCGCAGGAACTGGCACTCGGGGACATGCGGGACGACGATGAGGCCAAGCGGGGTGTCGGCGATCGGCTCACGTGCAGACTGGGCGACCATCTTGCGGTAGTGCGAGATGTCATTGGACTCCTCGCCGAGCTCCGACACGAGGCCAAGCTGCAGCAGCTGGTTGCGGTTGCGCTCGATCTGGCGCTGGCGCTCCTTCTCGTAGCTGTCGACTGACAGGAACGGCTCTTCCTCCTCAGAGTCGCTGGAGTTGGGGCTGGCCGGGCTATCGCTGGCCGTTTTTTGCACGCTGGGCATGGTGCCACGCGGATTCGCTAGCGCCAGGTCGATCTGCTCCCAGTTGGAGTTGTCGCGGCCAAAACGCTCGACCATGCGCGACATGCAGAGCTGTGGGAAGGTGTGCAGAGAGTGTGGCTCGAATGTCCATCACGCTGCCCATCACGACGCTCTTCCTGTCGATCGGTGATACAGGCACGGCACGCAACACGCGGGCACAAACGGAAACCATGCATGGACGGGCATGCTGGGCGGCAGCGGGGTTATGGAAGCCGAGGCTCGGGTCCTCCTGGTACTGCTCGGCCGTGAGATACATGCGATCGACAGCGTCCTTGGGAACCTTCCGCAACGTAGCAATGAACTCATGCGTGAACATTAGGAAATCAAACTGGACGCACAGGTAGGTTCCCAGGCCGAATGCCTGGCAGTACCGCTGGCGCTTGACCAGCAGCTCGTCGAGCTCGAAGCCGCAGTTGATGTAGTTGCGGATGAGCTGGTAGCTGACGTGGATGTAGAAGCACTCGGCGCGGTTATCCCCAATGCCGACGGTCACGCACCTATTCATCTTTAGCAGCCGCCAGCTGTCCTCAATCACCCGACCCATCTCGCGCTGGAACTCGTCAGGACCCGGGAAGCGGCTCAGGATCGCCGTCGATGTTTGTGCTGTACAAAACACAGTCCTTGTACGGCGGGTGGGACAGAATGTGGTCGTAGCTCTCGGGCTCAGCAAAGTACTGGAGCGCCGGGCCAATCGCCCGCACACAGGTTCCGTGCGTCGCCCTGCATGATCACTGGGCGGTACTCGACGCTCATGGTAGAGTCAGGCGGGATTTGGAACGAGCAGTTGCGCTGCGACAGCGCGACGGCAGATGGATTGATATCGACACCAATGCACTTGCGGTTCAGCAAAAAACACTCAATGGCGTCGGTCCCGCGGCCCAGGAAATTCGACAGCACGCGCTCCCCACGCGTCGTGTACCGGAGCAGCGCCCGACGGACGGTCTGCGGCAGCCACGTGCCGTGGTAGTCTGTGCCCGAATGCGAGCCCCAGCGCGGCGCACGTCCTGGAATGTCAAAGTACGTGGAGTCGACAATCAGCGTAAACAGCATGCTGTCAGTGGGCCCGTACGAGCTCAGCCAGCCCATGCGGCTGCTGGCTGGCAGGCCAAGGCACCTACCCGGTTAGACGACACACAGGCCTCGCGCGTGAAATAGATGCTCTGCGTATAGTCCTCGACCAGGACGCTGTGCTGCGACTCGCTGGTCGGATTGTTGCTGCCGAAGGGATTCAGTGCTACCAGCTCCAGTTCGCCTGGGTCATCGTCGTTCTCGTCGTCAATGATATCGCCGTCGTCCAGTGCCCGGATGCCGGAGCTCTTCCCGTCGGCTACACTGCGCAGAGTGTGGGCAGCGGTGAAGCAGGGCTCACACATAAGCACTCCGCCATAGCCCTTGCGCCAGCGCGGCGACTGCGTGCGACGGCAGTAGTGGCAGCGGAGAGATGCGCGAGGTAGAGCTGCTCAGCCGCTCCTTGCTTTGGGCGGCAGCGTGGGCAGCGACGTGCTCGCGGAAACACCGCTTCTTGTGCGGGTGGTTGGCCAGGGCGTCCTTGGATTCGTAGCAGATCAGACACATGTTGAACTGGGCCTCGGGCTCCGACGGACACTCGAGACAGGTCATCCACATCAGATCGTTGGCCAGATCACGTGTGCATCCCGCGCACTTCACAATATGCAGAACCGGCGGTCTTTGGATGGGTCGTCCCGGTCTTGTTGTATCGAGCCCGCTCGCCATTGGCGTGCTTGCGGCACCAGAACAGCCGGCCATTTTCAAAGTGCTCCAGTGGCTTGTCGGTACACGCCACATGGTAGGACCGCTGGCAGCGCTCGTAGAAGCACCCGATCGACGCCCCGCGCTGCTTGCATCCAGCGCATTTGATCGTGCGCGCACGCCGCAGTGCCACAGCGACATTATACCATTTGTTGTCCTTGGAGACTAGCACTTCGGGTGAGTACTTGGCACACGCGTAGTGGGCCCAGAACCGCTGGCGCCGGACCGAGCCGCTCTCAGTCGTCGTGGTCAGAATGAACGGCTGATTGTTGACGAACCCGCCCAATGTGTCGTCGCACGGATCGGCGTCGCCGCAGAACGCGCAGCGAGGCAGCGACTCGACGATCGACTTCTGCCTGTCTGTGTCGGCCTGGGAGTCACTAGTTTCGCCTTGGGCGTCGCTCAGGATCCGCGACCGGCCGGCAAATCGGGCAATCGGGCCGATGACGGCCGACTTTGTCATTGCACTGGTCGCCACCGTCGTGCCGTGCAGCCCGATAGCCAGCTTGCGCCACAGATCCTCGGCCTGGGCATTATAGTCAACGTTAGGTGTCGAATGTATCGAGCTCATATACAGCAGACGACCCGGCCAAGAGATCCACGCCTTGCAGCGATGCGTCCAAAGACTGGCCCTTCTCCTGGTAGGACGAAAGCAGCTTTGCGGTGTACTCGACGATCTCGTCAATGTCGCAGATGGGCGCACGGGCAAAGCACGGGCGCTTGTGCAGGTGGTTGGATGGGAACTGCTGCGAGAAGCACATCAGACACAGATCGAAGCTCTCGTAGTCGTAGCCGTCGCTTGGCCTCTCGCACTCGGTGCAGTAGTACCGGAACGTGCGAATCACGACATTGCATTGGTTGCAGTAGACGCACCATGTCGATGAGTCGCCAGCCATGGCCATCGCCGCATGGCCCTTCAGGTACTTTGTCATGAACATCAGCCGGTACGCCAGCGGCGTGGAGTCACGCAGGTTGAAGTTGCGCAGCAGCATCAGCTGCACCAGCGGGGTCTCCTCAGGGTCGTTACTAGTGCGCTGCTCGTCACTGCGATCGGCGGCTATATACTCGAGGTTCTCCGCCAGCCTGTGTCAAGGATGCCGCCGCCGCCTTCTTCATCATCTTGCGCTTAATGCGGTCTTTCTCGCGCTTGACGTCGCAATGCAATCCGCGAGTCCCGCTCGATCGTCTCCAGCCGCCCGTCGCGCTCGATTGTCTCGCGCAGAACCCGGATCCGGTCCGAATTGACGTTGATCCACTGGTTGAATTCCGAGGAATGCCCGTCGAAGCACACGCGGATGCGCCCGTGCTTGACGTTGATGATTGTGCAGTCGTGCCACTGCATGTCGCGGTCGCGCACCCGGATTGCGTCGCCCACCTGCAGGAATATGCTGTAGTCCTTCATTGTCATGTGCTCCTTGGGCAACGGGAACACCCCGGCCTCTTCGGGGTGTGTCTGCTCGTACACCTCCTTGTCGTCCATTGCCGCCTTCAGCGCCAAACGCAGCGACAGCGGTGCTGATTTGGTCTCTGGGCCCGGGGGACGCCCAGGCCCACGGAATGCCTTGGGAGCGGGTGCTGCGTCATAGTGTGTCTCAGCTGTGGACACCTCGGATGCCCTCGAATGCCCGTCGTCGTCGTTCTGGTCCAGTGTCCAGTCTTAATTTGGCCTGTGAGTCGTTCTCGGCAGACGTCGCTGGCACTGGTGGTTCGGCGTTGGCAGCAGTGTCTGGCTGCTCAGTCGCGAGCATAATGCGCTGCGTGTTCATCTCCATCCACTCGTCCCAGCGGCGACTGAATCCAATATAGTGCACACGGATCCGGAACGTCTTCACATCGGTGATCTCAGCCTTCCACCATAGCCTGTTGCGGTCGCGCGCTGCAATCATCATGCCCTTGTGATATACGTGTGCGTAGTCCTTGACACGCAGCAGATGCGGTACAGGCTTATATCCGCTGTCCACTGAGATCGGGTCTACATCCGGCAAATCATCCATCTCCTCCTCAGAAGCGGAGGCTGGTGCATTAGAGGTCTCAGCAGCGAGGTTGCTGCTGGTCAGACTAGTGACCCGCGCATTGACAGGAGCCTTCCGTGGCTTGCTTTTGCGCTTGGCCTTGTCTTTCTCGCGCTTCTGCTGCTCCAGCTCCTCAACGTGCTTGTTGTACTCGTCTACCAGAGCTGCGCAGATCTTGCGCGCCTGCTCTTCAGTCTCGGCCAGGAGCTCAGCATACCCAGGCAGGCAGGCCATGGGCGATTCGCGCAGCTTGCGCATGCGCTTGCTGCCTGCCGCAATCCACTCGTTGTGTCCGTGGCCCCACTCAGCGTAGTGCACGAGGAACTTTTTGTCCAGATACGAGATCACTCGGCCCACATACCACTTGCGGTTTGCATTCAGGACCTCGGCCAGTTCGCCCGGATAGTACCCGTGGTGGTCCTGCATGATGCCGCCCGAGGAATCATTGGCTAGGCATTTGACTGCGCGCCGGGTCATAAACGCACCGGTGGTGACATACGAGTTGCTACGCCACTCATCCAGATCACCTGCATTCTCTTTCTGAACCCGACTGCGCTTGGCGGGGGAATCGTCAGCGTCGGTCTGGAGCGGACAATCTCCGGCGATCTCGTGGGCGGAATCCGAATCAGAGCTGGTGCTGGGATGCGGGAACCGCGCATACGGGTTGTGGTTGGGTCGGAATACGCGAACTGCAGCGATGCGCAGCTCCCTTGGGACTTGAGGGGCAGGTTCTTCTGCCACAGTATTTTCAGCTGGAGGAGCCTCAGCTGCTGGCTCGGGCGCTTTGGGGGCTTGCTTGCGTTTGCGCTTTGTAGCTGGCGCCCTGTTCTTTCCTGCCACTCGCCGGTTGCGGCTGCTGGTGGGACGCCCGCGGGGGCGGCTTGATGGCACAGGCTTCAGTGCTGGGCTGCTTGCCATTCCTACATTCTCATCGTCGCCCTCGACGTCATCCTCCTGCCCAAGCCCGTACGCATCGCTGATTGCCTGTTCAATATCGATATCCACAGCACTGTCGTCTTCGCACCATGCTTCGTCCTGGACATCCTCCGAAACCTTGCCCTTGTACATCAGGCGCCGCGACTCAACCCCGACCCACTCGTTGTAGCTGTGGTCCCACTCCGGATAATGCACCAGTGCCCTGCCGGCCTTGATTACCAGGACCACGGCGCTGTACCACTTTTTGTCCAAACTAAGCACTCTAACCCGCCCGCCCACGCGGATCCCCCCGCCGTCTAGCGTTCTCTGTATTGGATTCTCAAACATCCCCAGTTGTCCGCAGCGTTGCGCGGGTAAAGAACGCACCCGTGGTGACCACCGCGCCGGTGCTCGGCTTCTCGGCCCGCCTGCTCTCGTCCTCTGGCTTGGGGGGCACGGGCAGGGGAGGTTTGTCGTGCGGACTCCGCCTTGGCAGATGCGGAGTCGGCGCGGTCGGTGGATCGGGCGTTTCGGTGTTTTGGTCGCCGGTATCACTGTCGTCGGAAAGATCGGAGGAGAGCGACTCGAGGCTACTCAGTGACCCGGATGAGTCAAAGCAGTAGTCACTGATGTCGCCGCCCATGGTGACTTGTGTTGGCGTGTCGGCAGCTATCATCATTTACCAAGGTAACGCAGCACAAAACCTGCCTATTTTTTTAGTAGTAGGGAAAAGTGAGAGGGTCCAACAGACAACGAAAAAGGAACTCGCTCTCTTCGCCAAAGTGAGCCCCATGACAACAGGTATCCTCCCCACAAAGCTAGTCTTTGACCTTCAAAGATGCATTCTTGGGCCTAAGGGGAGAGATAGCAGACGAGCACTGGTGAATAAATAGTCTGTCTCGCTTTTACCTTTTTTGGACATGTGGCTTGCTGCGCTGGCCGACAGAATCCTTGCAGAGCGGCGGATCGGCAGCTTGCTCAGCAGCGCTCCATGACAAACCCCGCATACTCGCAGCTCATCGACGAGCCGACGCAGGCATCGGCTATTGAACTGTTTGCCACACATGCCGCACAGGTTCAGCATGTTCAGCAAGCGCTGCGCGGCACTCATGCGTGGTCTTCCGCGCTTTCTGCTAGTCGTCACGTCCATGTGTAGCTAGAAAGCAAAAATGCTATGCTATAAAGCTCAGGCGAAAAGCAACGCTGTTAGCGACTGCAACAAGGAGTGAAAACCCGCAGCTATCCGCTTACTGTGCTGTGCACCATTATATCCAACAGAATATACAGCTTCGATAAAAGCGATTAATCGCAGCTCTCTTAGTCTGTTTGCTTGGGTGTAAGGTGCAGGCTTTTTTTTAACGAGGTATATTTGATACAGAAGGAAAGGGAAAAAAGAGAAAAGATGCGCTACGTGACTGCACCGGCATGATTATATATAGCCGCTACTGCTAGCTTTACAACAGCCCACAGTTCTTGGCCAAGCATATACCATGTATTTGATGTGGCCACCTAGGAATTGCACCAAAAGCCACTAGACAGTTCCGAAGAATAGACTGCAGAAAGGTTCTCGTTGGCGCCCGATTCGCCATCGCCTGAGCCAGTTGCTATGCTGACGTCAGGGAGGCCGTGTCGGGTGCGCAACAGGTCTTGGTAGAGATGGAGGAGAAACACCGATGTTCGTTAAAGCGGAGATAGGTCGCGCTCTCGAACTTTCCCTTGGCTGCAGCACATACAAGGCTATGGAATACATTGCTGACTAGAGCTGGCATGACAGCCAGCACATGGGTTAGCACGAGAACCGATCACCTAATGGCCATGGGCAGCATTTCTCTGGCCTGGAGGTGAGGACTGGCCTTGTGCATGATTGTGTATGTAGTAGAAGCAGGTATGCTGGGACTGTCCGCGTGTTCCTCCTGGCGATCTCTCGCCATCTGTGGGGAGTCGCAGACTGCTCCGGTACTGAGAGGGCGTATCAGCTCAACATTCAGGTGCCGCAGTATCAGACGGACACTCCTGGATGTGTTCCACATGTCCTTATCTGTTTCCAAGTCCAACGCAAAGTGGTACCAAGACTCAATGAGTGCCTGTACGACTGCCAACACACGACTGCTGTGCGCCCCCTGACCTGGGCCTCTCCCCGATAATATGTGCAGCTATCCCAGTCCGCCACGACCCAACGCTCCAAAGCATGATAGCTTCCGATGCGTCTCAAGCCTGCAAATAGCGCAATGCGACAGAGCGAGGAGACGATCTATGACTTCATTATGACATCCTCAACGTGCTGCTCATGAAGGTCGTTGTTTTTGCAAGGCTATATTATTAGCACCAGCCGATTAAAGAATGGACCAAACCGAATATAGTGCCCAGCCAGCACACGGAAGTTGGGAGCATTTTTCTGCGACAATGGCCAAGCGAGCAAGAGGCGGGATTGTGTCGTACGAACAATCCAACGCTGGCTATCTCCCGGTCACAGGCCATGAGCAACACCCAAGTTCCCCGCTCCCGGTGCTGTTGTTGAGAGAGAAAGAGAAGAAAAAAATTTACAGGACGTGAGTACACCATCAATATCGCGTTGCCAGCCGTGTTTCGACACTCTGGCAGGTCATAGGAAGAGACACCAACCGCGGTGTTTGGGAGAACAGGGGAAGCAGTAAAGCGAAGGCTATGTACGGAGGTAGTTTGCAGGGAAAGATCTCACATGGAGATTCACCGGGGGAGAAAATGCTGTCCTTAGTTGAGCGCAGCAACCTTAACCAGAGCACCGCCCACGATGGCGACAACAGACAGCGAAACGACCAGGAGCACAACGATAACCATCTTGGGGACAGCGTATGAGTGGGATATAGGAGAATGTGTGTCGTGGAGGAGAGAGAGGCAAGAGGGTACCTAGCACGTTCGGGTGTGGCCAACCGCCTTTATAGTACAAAAATTTTCCGCCATTCACCTGGGGGCAGGCGTACCACCTGATTCCCTCAAGGTCTATTTCTGTACCGTCAAACCGACCAGTCTCCGGCATTCTTTCTACGCGCACTGTGCCCGCAGCAGGCTTTTTGTTCAATAATCCGCACTTCACTATATTGCGCATGAAGCTGCTGCTTTTCACACTTTAGTCGATCATTACGTTGAGCGAGTGTCCAGGGCTTCTTGGCGGCGGCAGCAAATCATTTTCTTCACAGCTGCTAATACAAAAATGTTCTCGAAGAACCAGAAAAAAGGCTGCTCCGCCAGAATTCCGGTCATGGTCCCAAGCGCAGGCATATGTGAGCTGTGTGCACATATCATAGTCTGGAAAACAGACAAATGGCCAGTACCAGGAGTCAGGCTAGAGAGCACGGCGTGCAGGGGTTGCCAGGCATGGACAGGTCGTATAAACGCGTCTGCCGATCGATCGTCGCGATCACCGGTGCTGGCTCGATTACAATGGCCATTTTGAGATTTTTTTTCCATTATCAGCCGCCGATTATCACAAACATCCCATCTAGCTAGGCTATACCGGACAAGTAGGACATTCAAAAATACGTCGAGGGGGATATACTGCGCTCAAAATGCTAAAAGACAAGCGTTGCAATCTCCATCCATGCGCCGTTTTGCAGAATCTGCTCGATGACCTGAGGAGTGTTGGTCAGCGCTACATAGATATCCTTGCTAGGTGGCCGCACAGGCATGATGGTAATGACCTCAATGGCGCGTCCCGGCTGGATAGTGACAAACTCGGGGTTTCCGAAACCAAAGTTTGCGTCATACATATCAAACCGCGAAATGTTGGAGATGGTTGCTGACAGCTTGAACGACGTGTCTGCAACCAGCGGGCCCACAAAGCTGCGCGGGTAGCGCTCTTGCACGCCGTAGAAACTCTCCTAGCAGTGGTGCCGTGATCGAGTCGACTGTCTCCCTCACCTTGATAGCAATCTCAGCAATAGATCTGGGTGTAGTCGGGGTCTCAGCCTGCGCCAGCGCGCTAATTACCCGAGGAGTGTAAAGCGCGTTGCCAACGTAGTTCAAACCAGCTATGCCCATCCGGTGGCGAGTGTTGCACACGACTCCAGTGCTCTGCAAGTCAGCCACCTCCTTGGGGCGATTCACCCGCAACATTCAGTGACTTGCCCTTGTTGCTCGAGGCCGCCTTTGTTGCCTGTGCTACCGTCTTGGAAATGAGCGAGACAAGGATGTCGTTGGTGGAAATACGAGTACCTAGAGGCACAAACTCCCTCGCTTGCTTGAGCAGCCCGTCCAATTTGTCGCTGTTCAGTCTGAACAGGCCGCCTTTCAGGCTGTCTGAGGCCAAGAGTTTGTCAAACATTATGTTGCGCGCACTGGGAGTCATCTGCCCGAGCTCCAGTGCCTTGTCGGAAGGATGGATGTAGCACCCCGACATCTTTTCGTCAACTTCTGACCTCTCCTTGGGGATGCTCTGCCGGAATGTTTCTCTATCGAGGCAGAACACCCGGTCAGGAACAGGCACACCAGCAGTAAGCGCATACGTCTCCTCTGACCAGCGCTTGATGAAAGAAAAGTATCCCTCGCCATCCATAGTCGAATGGCTCACGTTGAGGAAGATAGCCATACCGCTGTTGTCCTTGAACCTGACAACATGCACATTGGCCATCTTGATCTGGCCTGTTTCGGCATCGGGCAGGGCAACCGGTGGCAGACGCAGCAGGCCCATGGGACAAATAGCAGGGTCGAAGTTGGCTGCCTTGACATCGCCATAATGCAAGCTGTCGACAACAGTCTCTCGATACACTGGCATGTTCAGGTTATCCTTGTCAACGACGTTGTCCAGACCACCGTCATCTCGCTGGCGCAGGTATCCCGCCAGGATGGGGAACTGGGCAAGCGTCCTGTAGAACCCCAGCTCTAGTTTGTCGCTGGGCATAAAGCCGCTGTCGCCATTCACATTGCCAAAGAAGTACAGGTACTGGATATTGAAGTGCGACTCGAACGCATCTCGCGTGGTCAGACGAAAGACCTGAGATTTGACTGTGCTGGTAAAAGCATCCATGTCCTAGAGTGATATATAGAGCGGAAGAAGAGGGCGGAGAAGAAATGCATGGCCTACAAGCTTGCACAGCTGATGCACACACCACAGGGCCGCAGCTAGGCTCGGTGCAGACAGCGTCAGGTCCGCTGGGTAAACCCCGTGTATCCTTGGCTATGAGTTGACGTTTGTGCACTGGCCACTAGCTTCTAGTGCGGCTTGATCTCCACCATACGACAGGCTAATTGCGATCAAGGTTGGGGATTAGGGGCACTGGAAGGTTCGCTGCCACCCTTGACGACGCATATAAGCACAGCACCAGCCAGACATCCTGGTTTCTTATCCTGTTCCTCCTCTGCAAATTCCACAGCACGCCTTTCATAGCCAGCCATCAAAATGCCTATAGATTATAGCAAGTGGGACAACCTGGAGCTTTCCGATGACTCCGACGTCGAGGTGCACCCGAACATCGAGCGCAACACCTTCATCCGCCTGCGCCAGCGCAAGATCCGTGAAGAGCGCGAGAACCGCCGTCTACGACGTGAGCGTATTGAGACCATGATCCCGATGAACAAGGACCTCATTGAGCGCATTAGTGCGCTGCGCAGCCGTATTGCTGACGCCAACGAGGACTCGCTGAAGGAAATCATGAAGGAGTGGGCGCAGGACGTCGAGAAGGCACGTGTGGCCAAGGAGAAGCGCGACTCGGCTACAAGCCAGGGCAAGATCCCTGAGCAGCCACCAAGGACGAGATGATGGACGCCCTGAAGGCGCGCATCAGCGACGACTTGCTCAAGGAGGCTACGGGTCAGGGCTCGGTCCAGGAGAAGCAGAGCGCACTGACCAAGCAGCTGGATTCGCATATCGCCAAGCTCACCGAGAGCCTCGAGTCGGCAGAGGCGGAGTTGAAGGAGGTCAAGCTCGAGGAGGCAAAGCACATTGACCCGAGCACTATTGCGCACTCGGGGTTCGATCGCTCGTTCGTCAGCAAGAGCGAGGGCAGCTCGTCGGCAGCCAAAAAGCCAGCCACGCGCACAGTCAAGGATACTGTCACTACGGATGAGGTTCTGAACCCGGGCAGTGTAGGCAACTTTAACGATGATAAGGGTGCAGTGGCCGACACTGAGGAGGACTACAGCGAGGACATGGACGAGGAGGGCAACCTGCGGCCTGGATGCTGACAGCAAAAAGTTCGCCAGCTTCAAGTCCATGTCAGACTCGTACGACTACATCTCCAAGAACCTGTCTATCGTCAGCGAGAAGAAGGCCGACCAGATCCTGGGCCACGCATTCACTCTACAGCTTGACGGCAAGGGCGCCATGTCGCGGCAGTACGTGCATCAGTCGCTGATTTTGACCTATATCATGCAGATGGGTCCGTCTGGCGTCCGCCTTTTCTTTGACCGTGTCGCCTCTCCGGGCCGTGCCCAGGAGATGTTCAACAACGATGTCAATTCGCGCTATAACCACATTGTCGAGCGCTGCAAAGTCATCAAAGGCGAGCGCGAGCAGTACACCGAGCCCGAGGTGGAGTCAATCCAGCTCCAGTGCGATGATCCCAATGCTCCGATCCGCATCTCGGTACCCGACGAGAGCAACCCAGAGGAGGACCAGGAGCGCATCAAGCTGTTCAAGAGCATGCCCACTGTGTTCCAGGAAGCGCTCAAGGAGGGTACGCTTGAGGCTGTCAACAAAGCCTTGGCCACCATCCCTGGGCCTGAAGCCGAGCAGCTGCTGGGCATCTGTGGCCAGGGCGACTTCTTGGTCATCGACGGCGAGATTGTTGTCGACCCGAATGAGGAGCCCAGCAAGCAGTAGCCTGAGTGCCATTTAATTTGTTTAGAGCATTTTACGTAAGAATGAGCATATATACTCGTCATGCACCGGGTATATGCTACGTTAGGGGCTGCTGTCGTCGTCGTCACTCATCTCCTGAATCTGTCCGCTCTCGTAGGCGGCGCGCACCGGGTTCTCGACCTTGATAATGCCCGTCTTGTTCAGCCGCTCAAACAGGACAAACAGACGCTCGGCCTCGCGCTCCTTTTCTTCGTCTGTCATTTCCGCCAACTCTTTGGTAATCCCGTCGCTATCAAGGTACTTGCCCGTCACTGGGTCGATGACCCTGGTCCTTGGCATCGCTCCCGCCCTTGTTCATCAGATCAGTCGGTATCTCGATGCCACGAGCAAGCATGTATCCGGCAGCATTCCCGTAGCCCACAGCCATCACGAACTGCCGTGCATCCTGCTGCCACAGGAAATACAGGAGATCAGCCGACAGCACTTCGGAAGCACGCCGCCTTGTGGCGACTTCATAATCCTGACCAGCTTGCTGGAGGTTCCTGGCCGGTCCTCAGGCAGCTGCGTGTAGTCGGCTCCCTGGGGGTAGATGTCATCAAATATGCGCGTGCGTGCTTCTGGGTTCTCGGTTATAACACGCAGCAGAACCAGCACTACAGGCGCAACTTCAATTTGCCTTTCCTCTGACACAGCACGATTTGGTGATGAGCTCAAGTCCGCAATACACTGGTCGATAAGCTGCGTCATTGTCGACAGCAGACAGCCGATGTGTTTCCAACGGTTGGTAGTTGGGAACCACAAGGACTGGATCTCAGCTGGTCCCAGGGTCGAAAAATTCAGCACAATGCTAGCAGCCTGCTTGGCTGGATTCGAGAGATGTCCATCGAACTAGCGGAAGCTGTGCAAGAGCATCGAGGGAAGCACTTAGAATCGGCTTCAATGTGACTGCTGCACCTGCAGTTAGAACGTCGCTCTGGTCAGCATGCGAAGATTCACTAGAGCTGGTAGCACTGCGCTGGTAGAATACTGTCAGGCTCATAGCTGCCTTGAACAGCTCGCCCATCACCTGCTCAGGCGTAAATCCGCCAGTAGCGCCTGCCAGACTCTGGTCCTTCTGCAGGTAAGTCTCCAGAGCATCTGACAGCGGCTCTTGCACCCGCAGCCTCTCTACGCACATCTTTGCACTGTCGCTTGTTGTCAGAGCCAAAAATAGGCATCTGCCACACAGAAATGCTGTGGTTGGGTTTTCCAGTGTGGAGCCCAGTATCTCCGACACAATAGCGAACCCGTCAGCCCACAGCAAAATGTGTTTTGCATCCCGCGTCCAGCAGCATGGCGTTGGCCACGCAGGTCAATGTCTCATTACAAGGCAAGTGCAGTGAGCCGTGCTTCATCACCATCTTGGCATTCCGCCTTGCCCAGCTCCAATGCCAGCTGCAGAAGCGCACCAATCGAGCGCTGGCTACTGAGCTCGTCGCCCGCTGTGAGCTGCCGTCCAAACACCTTGAGAATACTCAGTGCCATGTGCGCTGCTGCTGCTGAGCACCGGTCTTGGTCCGTGTAAACGACTCGCTGCAGTAGCACTGACACACGCTGTTTCCTGTGGGGGAGGTGGAGTGCGATGTTGCTAGAGGATATGCGCAGCCCCTGCTCGATCTGAAATGGCTGGAGATCGGCATTCCCCGCACTAGCGACTAGGTCAAAGTAGTCTTCCTGCGGCATTTTGCATAGACAAGACAGTGTGATATACGTTACGAGAAAGACTTGTCAAGCCCCTGTTTTCGCCGGTGCGTTCCTAATATCTCTATGTTGATGTGCTGGTGCGGGTTGTGGGGATCGGCGGCGATCTGAGCCACAACCACAGTTTGCATGTCTGCTGGAAAAGCCCGGCACCAGCCCTGTGTCAATATCCGCGGCTATGACAGGTGCAAACAGCGTAGTGAAAAAGCACCTCCCACGCCAACAGTGGCGCTCTGGCATCTTGCTGCTTGGAAGAAAAACCTCCCAAATTACGCTACCGTGCAATTGTACCTGGCTGTGGTAGAGGCAGATACTATTCATGAGCGCCCCGCCTTGCCATTACCGTCCATGGCCACTTGTTTGCATGCTGCATTTCCTCTTCACTTTTCATTACTTTTTCTCTGCATAGCTTCGCCCCTAGTCTTTCTTCATTGACACCACTGACACCATGACCGCCTCGTCTAGCATTAAAGCCATTACCGCGCTCAGTCTAATCGGGATCGCTATAGCAGCACCAGATATCATTGGTGACACTGTCAGCGTAGTCAAGGAACGTCCAGGACACAGTTCATAGTGTGGTTGCGCCGGTGGAAAGTGCTGTTGCCGGTGCCCTTGCTCCAATCAATAGTGCCATTGCTAGCAATGCCCAAGAGTTTGGCGCGAATGCGGTCAGTTTTGCAGATAGTGTTGGCGGGAACATCATGAGTGCTGCGTCGGGCGTCGTTGGCCAGGTCAATAACCTCGATGATAACAGGATTTCGTCCGAGCTCGCAAAGCAAAACACGGCACTTGCAAGTCGTGGGACGGCTGGTGTTGCAGTGATTGCGTGTCTGGCAATTGCAAGTCTGATGTGACGGACGGGGCGTCCTTGATTGGCAAGCAGAGTGGGAATGGGTTCTTGGGCTTTTGTTTGAGTAGAGTTTCAGGCATCACAGAACGATATTCAAGACTCAATACTCGAATTTTACATCATGCGTGAAATGTAAGATCTGATGACTGCAGTTTATATACAGACAGCTGGCACGGCAAGCACATTTTGCTTCTCCTATCTGTTTGATTTTCTTCTTTCACTCATAATGGTTGCTCTCCCCCCTGAGCTTCTTGACATTATCATCAAGATAATAGTCACACCCCCGCTTGATGATGAGCTAGGGCCTAATCTGGATGCCAATGTGCCCTGTTTGTCAGTGGACCTGGCTCGCATTGAGAGCGGTTAGCAGAATGTGGAGAGTGTGCACTCTGCCCTATATATACAAAGCTGTGAATATTCATTTGCATGGCCAGCCCGGTCGTATTCCAAAAACCACTCGTCTGCCAACTCTATTCGAGGCGTACACCAGCGGATATGGCGGGGCAGTCAACCACATCGTGATCAGCATCGATGTCAGCACTATGCACGGATACGAGTATGGACAAGACTTGATTACGAAATTCTGCGAGAGCGGCGGCATACAATCGACCGTCAACTCACTGGATGTTGTTTTTGTCACGTCGCCTGGCACTACCAGGCTGTGCCACTATAGCGATGTGCTGCAGTCCATAAGCATGAAAAGAGCGTTGTTTAGATACCTTCCAAGCATTAGCAGCCTTGGTATCGAGAGCGGGCACAGCAGCAGGATGACCGCAATCATGCGCCAGCATGTGCTCGAAGACATATCGGCATTGACTCCAAACAACATCCCGAGTCAGAGCGAAATTGTCTACAGTATTGTCAAGTCCTGGACAAAGAGCATACGACTGTTTACTGGGCTGACCCGCATCCACATCTCGCAGCCTGCTCGAGTGACGGCTAATGTTGAGCTTGTACGCCGTAACGCAGCGACAATCAAAGAGGTCTCCATCTCAGCCATCAATTCTGTCTTTGTTGACGGATTTCTGTATCTGTCTTCCGACCAGGGTCAAGTATATCCGAAGCTGACGCATCTGAGGATAAACATGCGCGAGCAGCCATTGGTACGCATCAAAATTCTCCCTCTCAGAAATAACCCGTTTCCAGCGCTTGAGTCTTTTTCCAGCTGTGGATATAGCATTCCAGGGATTGAGAGCCTGCTGATGCATATCTCTCCGCGACTAGTCCATCTTGAGCTCACGATGGACCACCCCATGTATGGCGCTATGGTGGACCTGGGCATGGTAAACCATGGAGTGTTTCCAAAGCTCGTCTCAGCCAAATTGCACTGGGACTACTACCTGGGCTACATGACTGCTGACGAAAGTACACGCCTGATCAACTGCATGTTCGCATGGAGTCCAATTCTAGGATACTCCAAGATCCGTCTGCCCAACTACACCTTGCCAGACAATAGCCTTGGTCACCCACTATCAGGCTCACTGGTGTCGCTAGATATTGAGACCACCTGGGTAGCCTTCTCGAGGATGCAGCTGCTACAGCGCTGGTTCCCAAAGCTAGAGTCCGCCAGGTTTATGCTCGACTGCAGGGAATTTGCAAGCAGCCGAGGTATGGCCAGCCTGAAATGGACAGATACCTGTGGCTCGTGTGTCCCCCGCTTCAGGGTTCAGAGTAAAATCGATCACTATTCATCCCGTGAATCTCTGCCCCGAGTATGTGCCCTTTCTGAAACTGATGCTCAACAGGCGCTATCCGTCTATCAAACACATAAAGCTCATCCACATCTCGCAAAGACCCTTTTTTATAGGGTTCTAGCTTGCCGGCGAGTATGGCGAAACTCAATGGCAAAAGGAAATTTCTATCTGCTAAAGTGTGGGAAGGCAATTCAATTAAAAGGCTGCTACAAGAGAGAAACGGAATGCGTTTCAGCCCATCGATTCTGGGACGTGTGGTGAGCAGCCCGCCTGGACTCAACTTTTTAGCAATGGCAAAATGGAGGGGTTTACTTTCCTGCTGCCCCTTCATCATCTTGCTTTTCTCCTCCATTCAACTACCCATTTTCAACACTGGTGCGTTTTCATACAAAACTCCCTATCCGCTCTTGCTCGTACCTACTATAATACAATGCACGCTGCAAGCCTAATGCTACTCCCAGCACTGATGCTGCTCTCGCCAGTCAATGGCGGGCGGCCCTATTATCCATTGCCGACGCCTGAAGGTGCACTGGTGCACCCGATGGTTAAGAGGCAAGAGGCGGGAACAGAGCACAGCCTGAACAGAAAGGAGTTCATGGGAAGGATGTTCCCGGCAGTATCTAGTAGTAGCACAAAGTCCGAGAGTGGTGATTTTACTGCTAGTGTGCCGATATCGTAATTCGAGGAGCGGCTAGTATGACTAGGCCAAACTGCCTTTTTTGGGCAAACGAGGACCTACTACCATTAAAGCAATTCTCTTTCATATACCATTTCTGTGCAAAATATGGCTACCTAGTACATCCAATTAGTTTTATAAATACATGAGCTTCCTACTGATAATGTCTACTACCCTCAGGTCAACCAGGCACTGCTGATGGCCATGGTCGTGGTGCACATTGACCAGGACCTTATTCCATTTTGCTTGGCTATAGCTTTACGTTACCAGAGCTGCAACGTTTTCTATTCATCCTTCATTAATCTTGCCATACAGTTGGAGCAAGGCAACTGCCTATATTTTTGTTTTGACCACACGTTTGAAGCAGACATGAGACTACACTGGAAAATAGCAACTGTCACAGCATCTGTGGCTATCAGCATGGCGGCGCTAGCCGAATCGGCATCCACAACAGATGTGCTTGCCACGACAAGCAGTGGCAGCATTAGCCTGCATGGGCATTCAGGAAGAGCCAGCACGTCTACAAGCGATGGGTCACACCGGTCCGCTGGGGCTCTGATCATCGCAATATGCGGAATGACCCTTCTTTAGCGTAGATGTGGGTTTATTTTGAAAAGAAACAACTGTGGATTGAAAGATGTAGACATTAGACATATACGTGGGATAAAAAGGGGGCGAGTGAAGGACGAGTGGTGAGATGTTCGCATTTAGTAGGTGGGTGCCAAGGCAGAGAGCAGGATCACAATAACCCACCCGGTGACAATCAAGCCGGGCCGGCCACTGACGCCGCTATGCGAACGATCAAGCGTCTCCAGGTTCATGGACGAGCGGCCGTGCTCAATCCGGGACTTGCTTTCCGAAAACTCGTAGTCGCCGGTTGCCTCTGCCGATACCGATGCGCTGCTATCAATAGATGCCGAACGGATGCCTGAGTTTACGGCGCCAGGATGAGGCGTAGCGAACTGCTCCCACAGCGAGCTCTTGATGGCAGGATCATTGAGCATCAGCGAGATCGAGCTGACAGCAGACGGATCGTGAATCATGGACTCGAACATCTCGACGGCATTCGGGTTGCTGAGCTGCGATGTCAGCATGGACTTGAACCCGGCATCCTTGAACTGCCCCTCAAGTGCGGCAAAGGCTTCAGGCAGATTCTGGGCCAGGCTATCGAGGGAGACGGGCGGCTGGAACATGGGGTGCGCAGCAGGCTGTGGGGATGGTGATGGTGATGGGGACGGGGGATGGGCTGGGACAAAGTTGTCGGCAGCCACAAGCATGGCCATGGTGGAGATGAGCACGACGAGGATCCGAGAGACCATTGTGAGGTTCATGATCGGCATGAAATATACTCGCAATAATGGAAAGAAGGGATCCTCCTTGCTTGGATATTGCCGATGAAGAAGAATAAGTGCAATAGCAGAACAGACACGCCGCAGAGGAACTGTCCGGGTGAATAAATATAGTGAGGGAGATGAAAGGGGAAAGGAGAAGTCGTTTGCTTTCGGCGCTGGTAGTCTCTTTAGAAATGCAAAAAAAGGAGGCAAATGCTGGTTGTTTTGTATTTTGTAAAGAAAGGGTTAGAGGTGTAGTGAGGCGCCTGGTGCGTGAGGCGTTACAATCGGATGAATGGCAGTGGACAATATGAGGGCATCAAAGGGCAAACGGGCGAGGGATGAAGCAGAAACGAAGAGACAACGCGGCAGAGGGGCAGATGCGGTCTGCACGACAGGGGTTTAAAAGCAAATTTCCCACAGCGTAGTCAATATCGCCAGAAGAAACGAGCAGCAAGCGGATGCAAAGTAGTATTCGTAAACGTGCAATGTCCAGCAGGTGAGCCGAGGGGAGATAAACAAAAGTAGACAGAGTAGTAGGATGGAGGAGAGAAAAAAGCAAAAACAGCAAGCTTGCGCCCGATTTGTGCTATAAGGTTCGGGCTTGCTGCATGGTGGTGTGTACATCCGAGAGGGAGTGGGGACCAAGTTGCCGATACAGGCTGCGAACCGCGTCACGAACTGCAATGGGGGTAGCCAGTGGTCCGCTATCATGCACAGCATATTTTGCGTAACTGTCGGCTGACAACCTAGACCTGGTATTAGTTGGCACCATGTCATCAGCGGATCGCATGTGCAGGATCTGCTGCTGGCAGTGCCGAGCTACACGCAGAGAGCCGTGTGCAAGGAGCGCAGTACCTGCCTACTATTTCTCTTCAACATCAAACCAAGCCGGCGCCATGCCCGACGGTTTGTGTGGCTTAGGCGCGCAAATCGACGCATGCTGTCGACATGGCTTTGGCAGCAGTAAAATCGCCCAAAGACAGGCAGCGGAGCTCATTGGGCAAGACGGGGATTTATTACGACGGCGAAAGGACTACAGTTCAAAGACACCCCTGGTTGCACTAGTTGAAGAACTTGCGGTTGGGCGACTGGCCGTATAGGACGTTGCGCAGCTGCGGCAGCATGCCTGTCGGCACACAGGTCCAGGCGCGCCTGCAGTGTGTTGTCGACGCTGATGCGGCCGTTGAAAGCCGCCGACGTGCACACCACCCAGCACAGTATCCGGCAGCGGCGCGTTCTCGGCAACCGAGACCTCGACCGCCTTGCCGGTCTTCGCCTTGGCGCCCTCAACGGCCTGCGGCACAGCCTCCTTGATCAGCGCAATGTCAGTAGCGCGGCCGCGTACGGTGACCTTGGTGTCGTTGAGCTGGATCAGCGCCTGGGTAACCAGGCTGACCAGCAGTGACCTTGTAGGTCTCTGTGTTGCTCGACACCTCGACCCAGCGCCTTCTGTGCATCGACAAACACTGTGTCCAGGAGGGACTGGCGCTGCTGCAGGACCTGCAAACGCGACTTGTTCACCAGCGTCGAGCTTCAGGATCCGCTGCTTTACGTCAGCCTGCTTCACCTTGCGCTGGAACTGCTCCTCGACGTTGATCGACTCCTGGCGCACCAGCTTGGCCTTCTCAATGTTGAACTCCTCATCGGCCTTCACCTTGATTTCGCGAGCCTTCTCGAGGGCCTCCTGCTTGATGAACGCAACCATTTTGTTCATCTCGGAGAACACCTCCTCATCATTCATGGGGCGGGCAACAGTCGACATGTCTGTGAATTCAAATGATAAAGGAATAGTGGAAAATTGGATGAGAGTAAAAGTATAGGAAATCTAAGAGTGGGGAAAAAGCGTGCAATTCGAGATTTGGCTCACAGACACTGCGAGCTTTTAGCAGCGGGTCGGGGGAGGAGTGACTGCAATATAGTGTCCCCCCAGGATACGTGGAAAAGGCCCAAGCTTGCAGCCCCGTGTCGTCATACAGTTTATTGCGCTTAGTAGAACAGAATGCTCACCAGAATCATGGCCGCTATCATCATAAATACGCGCGAAATGAAGGCCTGCTGGCCCACAGGCTGGCCCGCGCTGGCAACACCGTGCATGCCGTTCGCCTGGACCGCTCGGGAACGTGTACGAGAAGCCCATCAGCGTCGGCAAGAAGCCAAAGCCGCCAGGTGAACACAAAGTTGCCACCCCTCGCGGCGCCATGGAAACTGCCAGGCACGCCAAATGGATCGAATCCAAAGAACTGGTTCGGCTGCCTCTGCGGCGGCGGCGGACGCTGGCCAGCCGGCCGGTTTGGCATGTTGGGGTTTAAGCCGTGGGTCCTTCTCCTCGCGGCCGCGGCCATACACAGGGATCACCTTGTCTTTGTCGCACCCAGCCTTGCACACCGGGCAGGTCGCGCTGCGGTCGAGCCACTGAACCAGACATGACCAGCAGAACAGATGCCCACATATTGTCAGCACCGGGTCGGTCGCCGAGTCAAAGCAGATGTTGCAGCTGAACTCGTCGTTACCGCCTGGCTCAGCCGCATTGCCGGCTGCTGGGGCGCCAAGGTCAGGTTCCTTGCCCTTGTCGGTACGTGCTGTGGTTGTTCCTGACACAATGTCAGTCTTCGTCTGCTATGCTCTCAGCCTCGGTTTGTCGCCGCTGGCGCAGCTCGCTTGAAGGCTCCTCTACACCCGTGATATGCACCTCCTGCTCGTGCCCTACTTCCTGCTGTTCCTGCTGCTGCTGCTGCTGCTGCTGTGATTCATGGCCGACTACAGCGTTGTTGGCTGCATTCGAATTCCCCTCGCTGACCGCAGGCAGCGCTGTTGTTTTGGTGTGTGGTGTGTCTAGGCGAGAGGCTTCGCCAAGGAGCTTCTCCTGATGATGATGATGCTGCTGCTTGAGCATGTTCGGCTACCACAGTGCTTGCCTCGGCGTGTGCATTATCGTTGCTGTCGTCCATTTTGTGCAGATTACTATGAAAAAAGGTTAAGAACTAGGAGACCAGAAATGTATGCGTGTGAAAAGAACGGAATTATCAACCCCCAAGCTACCGCCAGGTGGTGTGAGGACACGGCTTTTCCGGCCTAAATTTCGCATTACTACCAGCAAGGCGTCGCCAACCGATCGATCATACGATTATACCTGCGAATCACGACTTTATGTCTACTTTTGGCAGCTCAGGCCCGGCAGCATGCGCGGTACCCTGGCCATATATCCTATCCACCAGGCATGTCACAGACGTACAATGTCTGAAAGTACTTTGGTATTGAGTGCAGAAAGATAAGGAGGAAATATGGAAACAACTAGTTTTTTTTTTTTTACTGAGACAGCCACTTGTTGAGGATCTCAATCTGGCCGTTGACAGTTGCCCGGCTGGTGCCGCCGACCGAGCAGCGGTTGTCAACACTCTGCTCAAAGTTCCACACCTTTAGGACATCGTCCTCGAACGCCGGGTGGAGCGTCTTGAGATCAGCAACAGAGAGTTCGTTGATCTGGCATCCGCGGTCCTCACCCATCTTCACGGCGGCGCCCGAGATGTGGTGCGTCTCGCGGAAGGGAACTCCCTTGCGCACGAGATACTCGGCAAGGTCAGTGGCCAGCATATCACCGGTGAGGCTGCCCTTCATCTTGGACTGCGTCAATCTAAAGAAAAGGGTGTGTGCGAGTTAGTGACCATGTTTCGCGTGTGTGGTTTGTCGCCACGGTGGATACAATTGCGGCGAGAACCAGGTATAGATAAAGCGTAGCCACAGCGCCAGACTAGTGTTTCTGGCAGTCCCAAAGGCTAATCATAGCGGACATCATCCCCTCATGTCAAAAACTCGCTATGACCTCTTACCTTTAATGTAGCAATGACAGCGGCTGTGATCTGCAGGGATCCAGTCAGCGTATCGACAGCATCAAACATCGGCTCCTTGTCTTCCTGCATATCCTTGTTGTAGGTGCTCGGCAGACCCTTGTAGGTCATCATGAATCCAGTCATGTCACCGAACACACGGCCGCTCTTGCCACGCAGCAGCTCGAGACTATCGGGGTTCTTCTTCTGCGGCATCAGGCTGCTGCCCGTGCTGTACGCGTCAGCGAGCTTGACAAAGCCGAACTCGGCAGTCGAGTAAATGATCAGATCCTCGGCCAGACGGCTAATGTGAATCATGATCATTGAGCTGTGGAACAGGAACTCGGCGACAAAATCTCTGTCGGACGTGCCATACAGCGAGTTGGGCGTGATCGATGAGAAACCGAGCTCCTTGGCGAGCAGCTCGCGGTCGACCTGGAACGGATTTCCGGCCAGGGCACCCGAGCCAAGCGGCAGCTGGGACACCCGCGGCACAAATTGCTCCAGGCGCTGCGTGTCCTGCTGGAACCAGAACGCGTAGCTCAGCAGGAAGTGCGACCACCGGATCGGCTGCGCCCGCTGCAGGTGCGTGTACCCAGGCATCAGAACGTCAATATCCTGCGCTGCACGCTGTACTAGCACCGCAACCAGCTCGCGCAGATACGCAATCTGCTTCTTGACCTCCTCCAGCAGCCATAGACGCATGTCGGTGGCCACCTGGTCGTTGCGCGAGCGGCCCTGTGTGCAGCTTTCCGGCAACAGTGCCCACCAGCTCGCCCAGCCGGCGCTCGTTGGCTGTGTGGATGTCCTCGATCTCCAGGCTTCAGCTCGAACTTGTTGTCCTCCCATTCCTGGTGGACCGCAGCCAGGCCGTCGTGCAGTGTCTGGCGCTCGGCGGGCGTCAGAATCCCCTGCTTCTCCAGCGCCTTGATGTATGCCTGCGAGCCGCGGATATCGGCGCTGTACATACGCTTGTCAAAGTGGATCGACTCGTTGAAGGCTTCCATGAGTGGATCAGTGGCACCGGTGAAACGGCCGCCCCAGAGCTTCTTTGCGCCAGACATTATTTTTGTATGTGAGATGGTGGAGTAAAATGTAAACAGATGCTGTTTAGCTTGCAGAGATAAAGAGGAGATCGGTCTTCGCCGGGTGACTGCGTGTCTTTTTTAAATGGTCGACGGGCTGGGGTTCTTTGCTGATGAGTCGTAAGCAGTTTGTCTTTGCAGATCCGGACAATGCTGCTATTTTTCCTTTTCGCTTCCGCGTTGCTGCGAAAAAGTGAGTCACAACAGGCAACAGCCACCCTCACAAGGAGTCCGCCTCAGACTAGAAACGGATCTCAGTCTGCTGCCTGGATGACGCACTCGCTAGACCTACAATGCTTGCTCCGGCGGATCTGGCGAGGGCGTGGGAAGCCTGCCGGATCACATGAGTGGGACCAGATCGTCTGCAGAGATCGATTGAGCAGACCGGCAGTTTCATATTGTGATCCTGTATGTCTTGGAGGGGGAGATATGCTAGGGAGACAAACTTATCGGCAGGTACCCATGGTCGCTGGTTAGGCTGGCTTGTCCAAGTCACTGCATTTGACGGATAAAAAGCCCAATGTGCCTACCTCTGCCATGTGGCTATACACTGTGTGTATCTGGACATGAGCCATTTATAGCGGTGTGTGCGACATAGCACAGCACCAAATCGTCGGACATCAAGAGTCTTCGAACAGTATGCACGAAATCACAGCCTGGCAGAGACAGATCAAAACATGTAATCAATGCTGATCTATTACTCTATCACAGCACCAATCTAATTGGGCCGTGTTTTTTGCGCTGCCTTCGTCTTGGAGCCCTGACCAAGCACCTGTGGATCAAAGCTGGAGGATAAGCGGGACACTAAAGCTAGCCCTCTTTTCACTTCAGCGAATTTTTGTCACAGGTAAAGACTGGGCGAATCCATTACGGAGAAGGCGCAACGACAGATGCGGTGGTGGAAACGGAGATGCGATTTTTGACGATCGATACGCTGCGCCTGCGGGCGAGGAGAAAATGCGCGGGGCAGCTGAAACAGCGTCAAATTCGTGAAGAAATCTGGAATTTGCCTGCGACATTTCTGAAATTCAAACGCCTTCCACCACTCTGCCGAATGCGCGTGTATGGAGTCGGCGTGTACATTCGGGCAATAGCCTGGCCCATGGGGAGAGAGACGTACTTTTGCGCTGATGACCTGCCTCCCCACTTCCCAATTCCTTGTGTAGGAGTATAAACAAAAATAATGGCTCGCTACGCTGCTGCACCGGCCAACGAGGCCAAGTCCGCTAAGACCCGCGGTTCGTACCTGCGTGTCCACTTCAAGAACACTGTTGAGACCGCCAACGCCATCAAGGGCCGCAAGCTGCTCAACGCTGTGCGCTACCTGAAGGACGTCGAGGAGCACAAGCAGTGCGTTCCTTTCCGCCGCTTCCACGGTGGTATCGGCCGTACCGCCCAGGCTAAGGCTTTCGGCGCCACCATGGGTCGCTGGCCCGCCAAGAGCGCCAAGTTCCTGCTTGGTCTGCTCGAGAACGTCCAGGCTAACGCTGAGGTAAGAGTCGGATTTTCAACAATGAATGGCACCCACACCGCCATCGTGGATTGGATGAATAACGGCAGCGCTGCTGCTGCGCACACGCTCACTCGCTGTTGTTCATGATGTGCTGATATTCCAACCTGTTTATTTGTTACCAACCGCCTTAGGCCAAGGGTCTTAACGTCGAGGAGCTTGTCGTCAAGCACATCCTGGTCAACGCCGCCCCCAAGCAGCGTCGCCGCACCTACCGTGCCCACGGTCGCATCAACCCGTACATGAGCAACCCGTGCCACATCGAGATCATCGTCTCCGAGGAGGAGAAGAAGGTCGAGAAGGCCGACGACCGCGTCACCGCCCCCTTCCAGACCCGCAAGCAGCTTGCTGTCAAGCGCCTCCGTGCCAGCCGCAACTAAGAAAACCATCTGGGAGTAACGTCTCTTTGAGTTTTTTCAAAGTTGATTCTATATACGAGGTCATGCAAAATCTACATTTCTCTCATTCAAACATGCTGTGGGGATTGTTGTCTCACTGCCGCGATTGGCGGTCTACTACATGCGGAAATGCCCCTCTATGATTCAACTGCATATGCATGACATGTCTTGGCTGCCCGCAAAGATAGATCGCTATTTATAGACCCGGGTCTTTTCAGGCCCTACGCGCAGCACTATTTCTGGAGCCGATTTCCTTGTGGGTGTCTGCGGCAACGCACAGTATCCAGAAAGCCTTGGGCTTAGACAGGGTTCCGGTTGTCTGCTTAAATCTTATCTATTTTTAGCGATGTCTCTAGAACTGCCACTGCTGCTGTTCTGCCGCCGATAATCACAGCCATCCTGATTTTTTGCCCCATGGGGCGAGCACGGACAAATACCATCTCCACACCCAATCCCATGACCTCTTGGCAAAGTTGTGGGAATTGCGTAACACCCGGGCCAAACAAGCGCCTGGCATTCCGTATAGTCGTTTCTATACTGGATCCATTGGCGAGTGGAGTGAGCAATTTGTGGCCCACTTGAGCACCGGCCTGGCCACGCAGAAAGCCCAAGGCAGCATGCATCCATGGCGTCTATGGCTGTTTTGATGGTAAATAGACAAAAAAGGACCAATTCCTGTGTAGTTTCCAGCGTGTTCCTGGCCGTAGATTGGTAGCGTGTTGCTGTGCTTTTCTTCGCTGCACAAGTGCGACCCTCGTGCGGCAGAGAAGCGACTGTCGCGGACACCAACCATGCGCATATTCCAAGCGAGCACGTAATGCGATGCCCTCGCGCACCCGGTGGTCCTGGACGCAAAAGACTGCTTTTGGGCGATAGGCGGTGGTGTCATTCCGCAGGTGGGGATCGCGGTAAGCTGTCTCACTCCTGATTGTCCGTCTGTTGACCTATTTTTGGCAAATGAGGTTCTGCGTTTCGAGCTCACTGACGAGAAAGCCGCTTTTTGTCCTCATCTCGTCGGATGGGGAGGGGCGAGAGTAAACACAGACAAGGCAGCAACCGTTGCCGTTTGTGGTATAAAAGAACTAAGAAGCGGTTGTAGCTTCTCGACCTCATTACCATTCATCTTTCCTTTTGTTTCCAAATAACATCTTCCCGATCTTTTTCGCCAGAAAGACCAAAAAGAAAAACACGCTCCCGGCACCCTGTTTATATCGCCATCTCCAAACACCAAGCACATTACCTATCATAACCATGAACACTAAGATTGTCATCGCCGCCCTCCTCCCCCTCGCCCTTGCCCAGAACTCGTCGACTACCAGCGAGAAGCAGGGTATCCTCGACGGTATCGTCAGCATTGTCGGCAACGGTGTCAACCAGCTCACCTCGCACGCCGTTGAGATTGCCAATGATGTCGCTAACGGTGCTGCTTCGGCTGCCAGCCGTGTCGAGTCGGACTTCAAGGCCGGTCAGGGCAAGACTTCGGCCACCCCTACCGCCACTGGCTCCGCTTCCAGCCCCCACTGCCACCGGCCTCTGCATCTGGCTCTGCCTCTCACTCAGCTTCGGGCTCTGCCTCAGGCTCCTCCAACGGCTCTGGCAAGCTCACTGCTGGTGTTGCTGCCGCCGTTGCTGTTGCCGCCGTTGCTCATCTCTTCTAAGCGGATCCTGTGAAAACCACATTGCTCCACACTCGACTCCCCAAAAATTGATTTACTTTTGGTCTTTTCTGTAGCGCATTTTCCTGTTCAAAATATACATACTCCTCTCACTACCAACTCCGCTTTACCTTGCAGCCACCGTTCCGTGAGGCTGTCTGGTGTCTTGGCACGCAGCTGTCACGTTGTCGTCGACTGAACAGCAGTTGGGAGGAACAGCGCATATTCTCAGCCTTATCATATTTGGAAACAAGGATGAATCTAGCACTGACTGGCAGACTTGGCAAATGAAGAACCTTATCTTTCAGCAAACGACCACCATGAATCGCGCTGGCTGGGTATATGTTGGGCATGAAGATGAAGCGATACAGATCTTTGTGCATCCAGTACGTTATTCTTTGCCAGCATCGCATCAAAAATTCTCGTGTGTTCACGATGGGATCAGTCCTGCTACATGCAAGGACTTTTCTTTTGACAACTATTTGGAACCTTGTGCGCTCGATCTGTATAAATGCTTCACCCCACGACATGTTTCAATTCACTTTCACTTTCATTTTTAGCATCCCTACTCGTTAGCAACCACCTCAAGATGCCTGCAGCCAATCGTCCTGGAACGCTGTTCCCAGAGAGCACCAGTCAAAAAATCTGTAGAATCGTAATCAGGTCGTTGAGAACTGGGTCGTTTGATTCCGATGGAATAAACGATTGCGTGGCACCACGTATATAGTAGGTGATCTGCCAACGGGGCTACGAAGCATGCTGTAGCTAACAACTTTGTTGTCTTTACACTATCTTTATAAAGCAGTCCATTTTTGTCTGTGCAGTTGCCCAGTTGCCCAGTTGCTGGAACCATCCTATCCCACTAGCCCCCCAGTTCATTTCCTGATCAAACACCCGATCTGGTCATGAGCGTCCTTAGTCCCTAGTCTCTGTTTAAGTCATCCACTGACATATTGCTAATGATAAACCGGCTCTCTCCCACTGCACTACAGCCCTGGCACTACCGCTGATCAGCCAGTGGCGGCAATCGCGGCCATTTCCGAGAGTAGCTGGCTCGGTTCGGCTCGGCTTACCTGGCCTGTCGCCACAAGATGTTAATAAACGAATGCATGCTCAAGTGGTTGGTTATAGCTCTTTGACGTGGCATCATGACGCCTTTGTGTACTAGATGGAATCATAGCAAGGGATGTGCTGATTTCGGGAAATTTTTATTTATATAGCGGCTGAGTGATTTGCAACACGTATTTATATTCCAGTAATTTTGCTTCCCAAGCCGCCTTGCAGCGGGATGTTGATTAGGTTGCTTAGAAATAAGCAAAATTGACCGACCACTATAAGCATTCACACACGCGTAAGATCCTAACGCGGTAGTATAAAGCTTGCGGAGCATGGGGGCTTGGAGTAACTGAAAACTACTCTTAGGTACCTCTCCACATCTCTTGTACTCTTCACATTTCCTTTGTCAATAAGTAGTTCTCTCCTTAGCCTATATCCCACACTCTAAGACAGTAGTATAGCCTATCCAAACGCCGCCATGAACGCTAAGGTCTTGCTCGCCCTCATTCCCCTCGTCCTTGCTCAGAGTTCGACTTCCCCTGAAGCCTCCGATTCTGCCAGCAAGCCTGCGTCTAGCGGTGTCAGTGCCTCTGTCACTACCAAGGCATCTGGTAGCGCTTCGCCAACTGCCACTTCCTCACATGCTACCAAGGTATCGCCCGCCGCTTCCTCGCAGGATACCAAGGTGTCATCGGTCGCTTCCTCGCAGGACACCTAAGGCGTCGCCTACTGCTTCCTCACAGCCCACCAAGGCATCTGGTAGCGCTTCGCCGACTGCTACTTCCTCGCATGCTACCAAGGCTTCCTCTGCCAGCGGCTCCTCCTCGAAGGGACTGCGTCTAAGACCAGCAAGAACGGTGCTGGACAGCTCACTGCTGGTATTGCGGCTGCCGCCGTCATTGCTGTAGCCCAGTTCCTCTGATATCTTTTCAGTAAGCTTATTCTACCTTGTGAATTCGATCAAACACGCTTTTGTTTAAAGAGCCATGGTGTAAGTTAATTATCACAGACACCGAAATCCTGCAATCCTGTGGTTCCAAATCCTTATGATTTCAGGAACCATGGATCAAAACCTTAGCCACAATGGCCGGCCATACTATTCCTGGCGCCGGCGCCACTACTTAGACGGCGCCTACCCTTTCACCTGGCGATTCCTTCTTCCTCCTTTCATACAGCATATTCATACGTTCAATATACGTCGTGGAAAGGTGCTTGGAGAGTAAAACGTATTCTAGACAGTTGCAGGAGGCTGTCTATCTAAGTGTATCGTACCCGAAATCACAACAATCCTTTTGAATTGGACATTACGCTTTGAGAATGTTCCCATACGAGTAAGGAACAGCAGCAGGCGGATTGATTAGCAGTAAGTGTCAGTGGTTGTGGATTGTGAGAGACAGATTGGTACTACCACAGTGGTGCACTTGTTCGTGCAACGATACTTACGAGCAATGATAAATTATATAATAAACTAAAATGTAAACATGTTCCATGGAAATACAATATAGCTACTCTTCTTCTGCTTGATGTTCAACGATGGCAAGTTCCAGACGGTGGTGTTTTACCTCGAGCTGGTGAGTCTCTTCCATCCGGTGTTCTGCAGCCTGGCTATCAATTGTGGTATGGTGGCATGTCCTTGGTCCAGATATCATAATTACCTGGAATCGTAAGCCAACCCAGGAGCTCTTTAATATCATCAGGCGTACAATGTATACGTTTGCGGGTAGGCATTATTATACGTGTAGGAGATAGGATATTGGTGAAAGTTTTGAAGTCTAGTAATTCAACCATCATGACAAGCCCTAAACACCTAGAGCTTAACATCTGGCGAATGCCGAGTGTGGATATGTGGTTTGAATGCCTTGCTATTCAAAGTTATGGCTCTCGTTCATGTATGATTTAGCAAAGTTGTGTCTCGGGTACGATACACTTGGTAGACAGCTTCTGCAACTGTCTAGAACACGTTACTTTCGAGCACCTTCCACGACGTATATGAACGTATGAAATATGCTGTATGAAAAAGGAAAGGAACGCAGGAAAGCAGGATCTAAGTAGTGCGCCGCAGAATGATATGGGCAAAGTTACATGATCTAAGATTGGTTCATGCATGCGCAAACAAGATATAAACACGATAATAACACGATAATACCAGAATGAAGTAAAGAGCATTTTGTCTTACCACACATCATAAAATAAATACACACGAGTGGCATTTAAATATATAAAACTATCCTGAGAAGAAAGCATGAACAACGATCATTTACTTGGTCAGCGTGCATGCAATCTGCTTGCAAAGCTCGGTGACATTGGATCTGTCGACCTTGTCAAAGAAGGTTAGCCCAGAGGCCTTCTCGATGTACTCGATTGGCTGCGAGAATGTGGAGAGCTCAGTCTTGCTGTCGATCTTCTGGTTCGGCAGCGCAAATCCGCCAAGGGCAAAGTTTGAACCGCCAGTCACGCCCAGGATGATCTTGTAGAAGTGAGTCGGCACAGCAACGTTGGGTGGATTCCCGATGACCTCGTATGTAACTGTCCATTTTCCTGTCGCTTCGTTTTTGGTAGGCAAGAAAAGGGAGCCAGTAATAACATAGATATCGTCAAACTGCTTTGTCAAATCTCTGACAAACCCTTCCAGGTAGGCCCAATAATGCCTGTTAAAACCAATGCCGACCTGCGGGGCCATGTTTGACAGCAAAAAGGTCTCTGTCATAGCCTCCATGTTGATCTTGGCATCGCCGGCCGGTGCCATATGCCCGCGGTCATACCCAGAGCCCGAGTAGTCCTTCAGCAGCGCACGGAACTGCTCGGGGAGCGATTTGTCCTCAGGAAAAGGGGATGTCGGTGCGGTTGGCAGGGCCCTCGAGGTTGGCAGCGGTGAGGTGCTCAGCAGCCCAGTGCGACACGCGGAGAGCGCGGTTGTACGCAATTGCATAGCGCTGGTGGACCCGGAGGTCAGGCAACAGGGCTTGGGTTGCCGTACTTTAGGACGTCGTCGGGGGAAGACTGACGGACATGGAGGGGTCTAGGAGAAGCAATTACAGATATCGCAAAAGCACCCAGAGAGAGTATGAAAGTAGTACGCATTGTGAGAAGCTTTCAGGCAAAGTGAGAAGCAAATAGCCAAGACTGAAGGATATTGCAAGGGTGGCGCGCCAGTTGGTCTTTTATTGAAACACAAGCCTGAGGAGAAGAGGATGTTGGACAAGCGGCTGCCATTACTGCTTCATGAGAACAGCCGGCATGGGGGCACCAATGTAGCGGCGTGGCATGCCACGAGACCGGCTTATTTTGCACTATGCCCGGCACAATTGTGAATAGCAATGATAGAAGGGAGCACAGACATGCAATAGCAGGTGAATGTCTAAAGAGGGACCAGGCGGTCCATCCGGATATATAGTGGACCGGAGGATGGTAAGCTTAGAGGAGCACACCTGCTGAAGCGACTGGAGCCAGATGCAATGGATGTATTTCTAGACAGAGAAAGCAAATGGCGATCATCCATGTACATGTGGACGCGAGGGCGCGCGCAATAGGAATCCTAAGAACAGATGCGCATGTACAATTGCGTGCCCTGGAACAGCATATTCCCACGAACCATTACGCCCCAAAGAAACACATTCACCAAATGTACCAACACATGTTTCAGTTCCCAGGCTTTTTCTTCTTCCATGCATCGTGCTCCAGCTTGCACTCGATCTTTGAGCACAGCGGCACAACACTTCCGGCCTTGCGCTCGATCCTGTCAAAGAACTGCAGACCGGCAGCCTTCTCAATGACCTCCAGCGGCACGGCGTAGTTTGTCAGCGGCGTCTTGTTATCGATTTCTGCGTTCGGCAGCGCGAAGCCGCCAATGGCAAATGCCGGCTCGTTGTTGCGCTTGGCGAGAATGACCTTGAAGAAGTGCGTCGGCACAGCGACATTCGGCGGGTTCCCGATGACCTCGTACTTTACAAACCACTTGTCACCCTCCTTGTGCGGCAAGTACAGCGGCCCTGAAATGCAGTACACATCATCAAACGACTTTGTCAGATTCCTCACAAACGACTCGAGGTCAGCCCAGTAGTTCCGGTTAAAGCCCTTGCCGACCTGCGGGGAAATGTTGGTCAACAGGAATGTCTCGTTCATTGCCTGCGAGTCCTTCTTGGCGTCGGCAGCAGGGCACATGTGGCCGCGGTCGTAGCCCGACCGGTAGTAGTCCTTGAGAAGCGCCTGGAATTGGCCTGGGATTGCAGGGTCCTCCTTGAACTCGGAGGTGGACCGATCGGCAGTGCCCTTCATGTTGTCGCGCGTCAAGTGCTCAGCGACCCAGGAGGGGTTGCGCAGGGCGCGGTTGTAGGAGGCAGCGTAGCGCGAACGCACCATGAAATCGGAGATGGGGCCAGGGTACCCGTACTTTAGGAACTCGTTGTCCGTGTTTGGAGACTGCACAGGGGCACGAGGAGCAGGCGCTGCGAACTGTGCGGGCTGCTTTGGCTGCATGGGTTGCGGAGCTTGAGTCGACTGCGTGGTTGTCTGCGCAGCGGGAGCCGCAATTTGATCGTTGCGGGCTTTGTTGGTCAGGCCATAGACCAAGCCGCCTCCAAGTAGCGAGCCGGCAGCAAACGTGATGATGCGGTGCATGTTCAGGTGGTAGAAAGCCGATGATAAAGGTGACGGGGTTGCAAGAGTCAAGAAACGGCGATAGGCTTCCAACTAGGAAAAAAAAAAAAGAACTGAAAGCACAGCGTCGACGATTAAATTATAGATTGCCCAGGGTAACGTGATCAGGGGCAGTCTGTCTTGGGACAGAATAGCGGGGTCGCGAGCGCTCTTGTTGCCCCGTGCCAGCCGCTGGATGATGCAATTCCCCGTACACGCCGCGCAGCAGGGAGCTGCAAGGAGCGACTGGATGAGGGGATAGTGGGCTATGCCCGAGTTCCGTGGCCTGGGAGAGCGCACGGCATAAAACGAAGAGCGAGAGCGCCGAAACTTGGCAAGCTCATACGCTCTTTTCTTACTATCTCCAGACTCTATTTCCAAGAATGGCACAAGTCAAAGCCTCAGTCTCGCGGTTCATCGAGTATCTGCGCATCAAGACAGTTCCAGCCCAGCCCGGACTACGCCACATGTCACAGCGTTCCTCAAGCAACAGGCCACAGAGCTTAAGCCTGGGGTTCCAGTCCATCGAGTACGTGGCCGGAAAGCCCGTAGTGATCCTGACGTGGCCAGGCACAGACCCCAGCCTGCCCAGCATTATCTTGAACTCGCACACGGATGTGGTGCCCGTGTTTGAGGAGTTCTGGGACTACCCGCCGTTTGAGGCCGCTCGGGTCCCACAGAGGACGGCAAGGACTTTAAGATCTATGCGCGTGGTTCGCAGGACATGAAGATTGTCGGGCACTGCTACCTGGAGGCCGTGCGGGTCCTGCAGGAGCAGGGCAGGCGGCTGACTGCGCACGCTGCATCTGGTGTATGTTCCTGACGAAGAAATTGGTGGGCACGACGGAATGTGCAAGTTTGTAGAGTCGGGCGAGTTCAAGGCTCTGAACGCCGGCTTCGCGCTGGACGAGGGCATGGCAAATCCCGGAAACGACCTCAGGGTGTTTTATGGCGAGCGGGCGCCCTGCTGGGTCAAGTTCAGAGCGCGCGGCAATGTCGGCCATGGCAGCCAATTCATTGAGGACACGGCTGCTGAGAAGCTGACGCCGATCATCAACCACCTGATGGAGTTCCGGCAGGCGCAGTTTGACATCTTCAAAACACCCAACAGCGACGGATCGCTTCGCACGCTGGGTGACGTGACCACCACGAACCTGACGCTGCTGGAGTCGGGTGTGCAGCAGAATGTTGTGCCAGAGAGCGCCCTGGCTGGATTCGACATCCGCATGACGCCGACTATTGACTATATAGAGTTCCGTAAGGGGCTGGAGGACCTCGGCAAGAAGCACGGGGCGGAGGTTGAATTTGCCCAGTTCTGGGATGATAACACTGTGACCAAGACCGACGCATCGAATCCGTTCTGGACCGCGTTCAGCGGGGTCATGGCCGACCTCGGTATTAGCGTGTTCAAGGAGATCTTCCCGGCAGCCACGGACTCGAGATATCTGAGGAAGGCAGGCGTGCCGGCACTGGGCGTCACGCCGCTGACAAATGCGCCGATTCTGCTGCATGACCACAACGAGTTTGTGACCGAGAGCGAGTTCCTCAATGGCATTGACTTCTACGCCAAGGTTATCCAGGCTGTAGCAGACGTAGAGTGACTCAAGCCTCTAGAGTAGAACCTGATTTCAACAAATGAGCCAATAAATGGCGCACGCTTTATAGAAGAGTCACCATTGTGCTGCTGATAAAAAACAAACGCAAGAAGCGACCCGCTTCTTTCTTCACCACTCCACTTTACCCGACTACTTTAAATTTGACCATGGCGACAATTCTGCTCGACGCATACGACTCGTTCACGTTTAACCTGTACCAGTACCTCAGCAAGGCCGGTGCCTCGGTGCAGGTGTACCGCAACGACAAAATCACGCTGCAGGAGATCATTGCGCTGAACCCGCGCAACATCGTGCTCTCCCCTGGCCCTGGGCACCCGCGCGAAGACCCGGGCGTCTGTTACGAGGTGCTCGAGCACTTCCAGGGCAAGATCCCCATCCTGGGTGTCTGCCTCGGCCAGCAGATGATGTATGAGCACTACGGCGGAACCGTGGCCTATGCCGGCGAGATCCAGCACGGTAAGACCGGACTGGTGACTCACGATGGCCAGGGCCTGTACAAGAGCGTGGATCAGATGTTCCCGGTGACACGCTACCACTCGCTGGCAGGCGACCCGGCGACATTGCCCGAGTGCCTGGAGGTGACGAGCTGGACCCCGAACGGAATCATCATGGGCGTGCGGCACAAGAAATATGCGATCGAGGGGGTTCAGTACCACCCCGAGAGCATTCTGAGCGAGAACGGCCTGAAGATGTTTGCTAACTTCCTCAAGCTCACCGGCGGCACCTGGGACGACAACCCGGGCATGCGGGACCCTGAGGACATGGCGCACGTGTATGTCGGCCACACAACGATCCAGGAGCCGCAGCCAAAGCAGGATATCCTGAACAAGATTTTCTCCAAGCGTCAGGAGGACGTGGCCGCGCAGAAGGCCATGCCTGGCCGCTCGCTTAGCGACCTCCAGGACCTGCTCTCTCTGGGCATTGCCCCTGCGCCGGTAGATTTTGTGGCCCGCTTGAAATCCTCGGGCATGGCGGTGCTGGCTGAGGTCAAGCGCGCGTCTCCCAGCAAGGGTGATATTGCGGTGAATGCTGTGGCGGCATCGCAGGCGCTTGAGTATGCCCAGGCCGGCGCTGCTGCGATCTCTGTCCTCACCGAGCCCCACTGGTTCAAGGGCTCCATCGACGACCTGCGCGATGTGCGTCTCGCCATCGCTGCTCTTGAGAATCGCCCGGCAGTGCTCCGCAAGGAGTTCATCTTCGACCGGTACCAGATTGCTGAGGCGCGACTGGCGGGCGCCGACAGCGTCCTGCTCATTGTCAAGATGCTCAGCAAGACCCAGTTAAAGAACCTGCTGGCCTACTCGAGGGAGCTCGGCATGGAGCCGCTGGTTGAGGTCAACAATGCCGAGGAGATGGAGGTGGCTAGCGAGGTCGGCGCCAAGGTCGTCGGCGTCAACAACCGCAATCTGCGCACATTCGACGTCGACATTGGCAACACGAAGCAGCTGGCGGACAAGGTTGCCGAGGGCACGGTTCTGATTGCCCTGAGCGGCATCACGACTCCAGAGGACGCAAAGATCTACGCCAACACGGGTGTCAGCGCTGTGCTGGTGGGCGAGGCCCTGATGCGCACGGACGACAAGAAAGCATTTATTTCTGGGCTACAGCAAATTTGAAATACAAACCCGTCTACGCGGTGCCAAAAGACACTAGACCATGTTGTTGGACGGCGACAGGCGCGGCACAATTATACGGTACGGCGTCGTGCCAGGCTTCTTCTCGTTCTGGATATGGATATGCACGGTCAGCGACCCGTCATCGAGGTTCTCCACATACGACGAAAAGTTGCGGCGCGCGAGCAGCTTCGAGTTGTTGTTGGGCGGGTTCTGTCCATTCACATCCGTTTCAAATAGTCTGTACATGCGCTCGTTTGTGCAGTTGTCGAGCTCATATGTCTTTGCCGACGTATGTACCGCGCGGATAACAGCGTTGGGTGGTGGAACGTTGACGATGGCCGATGAAATGATCTGCGGCATGAATCGCCAGTCAGTCTCAGGCGGCAGGTCCGGATTCTGTGACGCGAACCGACCCGACCCGGCACAGTGGACGTCGCCTGCAACAAAGGTGACGCGGATGTTGCGACGTCTGGCAAATTCCTGTAGATTGAGCACGAACTTTTTGCGCTCGTCGACATGCACGGCTGCGGTCCAGTGGTCGTTCATGTCGTCGGAGAGCTCGGGCTCGCCCCAGATGTTGACAATGGCCCTCTTGTCGGCAATGAAGCTCAGCTTGGTCAGTCCAAGCTTCTTGACGCCCGCCAGCATGTCCTCGATATATGTCAGACGCGGGTAGACAATCGGAACTCCGAGGAACACGACCAGGTGGCGCACGGATTGCGGCACCATGTACAGCCGCTGGAAGATCATATCGTATGTCTGTTCGGTGATGATCTGGTTCAGCTGTCGCTCGTAGCGCGTGTCGGGGCCCAGCGCTGCTGTGTACGGCCCGAACTGCCGGAGCCATGAGTACCCGCGGTGGCCAAAGTATCCGTGCTGGCGGCACAGATCCTGGCTCGTGTGCGCCTGGAACAGCCGCCAGTACTTGAACGCGACCTCCTTGAGTTCAACAAACACCTTTGAGAACTGCAGGTAGTCCGGGTACGACCCAATACCGTCCCAGATGTCGTGGTCATCGACGATGGTGCACAGGGGGATGGATGCCAGGGCCTCAGAGAACCGTCCGTTGAAGAAAAAGCACTTGACATAGTGCGTAAAGTAAAAGTCGTCGCCAAACATGTACATTTCGCGAGTGAACGGCGCATCGCGTCTGGCGTACTTGTCCTTGATCGCCAGCCAGGGCTTCCAGATCGGCGCGCTCCAAACCTTGTCCGAATACAGCTGGTCGCCGCCGCCAACCTGCACGTGGAACGGCGCCCGCCCGTGCTTGTCCATCAGGTCGTCCCACACAGCATCAGTGCCGCCCAGATCCTCCTTCTCCTTGTCGGTCACCGACAGGGACCAGCCGTTGCACGACCAGAACGAGAATCGCCACGAAGTGGTCTGGGAGGGCACGTGGAACCTATACGACGGCCCCGTGTTGTTGATTCGGTACTCCACGACCTTCTCCCGGTTCAGGTCCAGCTGCACCTGGATGTCGATGCGGTAGAAGCACGACATCTTGAACTGGTCCAGTTTCACCGCCGTGAACGGCATTGATGGGGCGCCGCCGTCATTGAGAATCACTGTGGGTGGCGGGTGGCCCGCAGGCACAATCACCAGGACGCTGCCGAGCCAAGCTGCGCTCGACAGGTCGGTGTTGACAAACTGCAGTGCCGGACCCACAATGCCATCGGGCCGCTTGCGACGGAACGGCAGTGGCTCGCCTGTGCGGTAGTCAAAGTTGCCCTCGTACGTGTCGGGGTCGCCCGGCGTGTTCGACATACCCTGGTAGTTCGCGGGCCCGCCGTACGGTATCCCCGATGCGTCGTATTGTGGCGGTCGGACGCCATCCCTTTCGTTATACTGGTCCTTTGACACAGGAAAGTCCATTATCGAAATATAGTTCGCGCGAGAGAATAAAAAAGTAGGAGAATAAAAGTCCAAGTTGAGGAAAGAGGCCCATCCAGCCAACCAACGGAAAAACGAAGGAGTGTGTCCAGGCTCGTTGTGATGTCTTGGCAAATCATGGGGAGATGCGCCTGATTTCTTGCCAGACGGCCAAAGGCTGTCACACCGCCTTTGCCTGATCCCGTGCGCCCTGAATGCCGCTATTTTCTATTGCATAGAACCTTCTGCTTGAGTAAAACAGGAGTTCTTTCGGTGATGACATGGCCGCCCCTGGGTATCAACTGATCTAATATCGGTGAGCAGTCACGGAATCTAGTTTGCAACACCGCGCCAGAAACCTTTGCTTTGGTGAAGCGGCAGCCCATGTTGGTCTTTCTGCAGCCGACATTGTGATTAGCACCAGACCGCATCAAGTTTTCCCAAACGGTCCGCTTTATCATCACCATTTAGCATTTTGATGCAATGGGAAGCGGCAGATCATGTTGTGAGAACGCCTACTCTCCCTCCACTTACCTTGCAATAGGACCAGTACCATCTTTTTACTCGCATCGCTAGTGTGTCATTCTTCTGCTCGCTCTGAACTATTCGCGGCCAGCGCACCTAAGGAGTACGTCATTTGCAGGTAATTTGGCAGCCGCTTTTATAATAAACTCTTTAACGCCATGCATGCTGACGGAGGCCTCAAGGCTATTGGCACCATCAGGAACCAAAACAATGAGTGTCAATTGGGGATTCTTGCATGATTGGGTCAAATGGGCTACTAATTATAAGCATGCGGAGCGCAATGGCAAATCCCGCTCTACGGTTTGCCAATAGTCGAGACCTCGCGTCCGGAAAAATCGATCTTTTCTGGGATCGCACAGAACCACATGCATGGTGTTTGCTAGCTCATGAGAGAGAGCAGTGCTTGGAAGCGGGGGGAGGCGATTTTCTCCAGCGACTTTGACAGCGTGCTGGCTCTTGCGCGGCATCACCAATGGGCTTGTAAACACGACTAATAGCGACATTCGAGCCCGTTGTTTTCGTATTTACGCCTTTCATTAGCCGCCCCACAGTGTCCTCGAGAAAGAACAACATTGCCGATCATAGTCAGTGTGAGCCTCATGTTTTGATAACGTGGACCTGACATATATAAATGGCATTGCTGTCCCAGGACCACGTCCTTTTTCCCTTTCTTCTTTTCATACCAAGTACGTTCATTGTCCTTTCTTTCTCCTTCCATCTCGCACGCCTTTCACCCCCTCCTCTCTGTACTTTAACGCCCGCTTTAACGCTTCATAAACACTACAATGCAGTTCGCTAAGACTCTCGCTGTTGCTGCTCTCGCCGCCGTTGTTGTCGCTAAGGGCGACATTGGTGATGCTGGAATCGCCGTTACCAACACCACCGAGGACCCGACCGCTGCCTCGGGCTCTGACGCCGCTCCGACTGCCCCGGCTGAGACCCCCGCCTCCCATGCTAAGGAGACCCCTGCCTCGCATGCTAAGGAGACCCCCGCCTCGAGCAGTGCCTCGGATGCCGCCTCTGCTGCCGATGAGGAGTCCGGTGCCGGCTCTGCCGCCCCTTCGGCCGCCCCTTCGGCCACCGCCAAGCCCTCGGGCTCCGCCAAGCCCTCGGCTCCGGCTGCCACTGGCTCCGCCTCCAAGGGCGCTTCGGCTGGTCTGGGCGACCTCGATGAGGAGTCCGCTGTCTCGGGTGCCTCCAAGGCCGCCTCCAAGGGTGCTTCGGCTGGTGCCTCCAAGAGCGCCTCTGGGTCTGGCTCGCCGAACGGCGCTGCCACCGTCGCCGGCTCCCTGGCTGCTGCCGTCTTCGCCGTTGCTGCCCTGTTCTAAGCTAGTTTGGAAATCTTTGGTATTTTCTTCTATTGCTTTAGATACTAAAAGCTTCTATGAAACTCTTTATACGTCACTCTCATGGGTATGATGCATGTATGCGATGTGTAAACAGCCGGTGGTCTCTGGGCTGCCGACTATGAAAAAAAGTACAATGATATATTTAGGTGGACTGTGAGAAAGCCCGCATTTCACAGTCCATCCACAACCGGTTTGCACAGATATTTACATCTCCGACCACAGGCAAAATTGTCTCAAAAACGTCAAAACAAAAAGGCTGGATTGTAAGGGATTAAAGAAAGCTACACAGAAAGGCATGTACTTGAAGCGAAGTGACGAACAGTGAGCAGGAAAGACAACTACGCCTACCTAACCTTCTGGCTTCTCTCCAAACCACTGGTCTCGAAGAAGAAATAAAGGAGCGATCCATTCTCTCCATCAGACAACATACTGGTACCGTGCAAGCAATGCGCGCCGCTCTTCCTACAAGCAATTCCCATGTACAAACACCCAATAGAACATTAATATACACATGCATGCAGTATATGGCAACAGCGGCTGTGTGGTTTGATGTACTTACCACGCATAGGCTTGTATCGCTGTATACAAGACGTGAGCCCTTTGACCTTTTCTTCGGCGCGGGTGTTGCAGGAGTAGCCGGTTTTCCGCAGCTATTTTCAGGAGGTACGGCATTAGACTGAGGTGCCTGAGCAGGTATACTGGGCTTACCGGGGGTGTCTACTGGCGCCGGCGCCGGCGGCAAGTCCGCTGGTAGCGGCGGGCGAGGTGGCAATCCTACTGGTGGCAGTGGCGGTCTTCCAGCGGGAACTGGGGGCGGCGGGCGAGCTGTAACCGGCGACACCGGCATAGACTGTACGGGCGATGTGACCACGGAAATGGGTGTATGCTGTGGTGCATTGGGTGGGATTGTGCCAAACGGCCGTGGCGGAAGAGGCATGGGCATCCCGGGCCGTACTGGCGGCATTCCCGGCGGCATCGTCCCTGGAGGAGAGGCAGGCATACCTGGAGGCATCGGCATAGCCTGTGAGACGGGCATTCCCGGTGGAACTGACACTCCCTGCGAGATAGGAAGTGGTGGTGGGCGGAAGCCGGCCATACCGGGCGGCATGAAGGGCAATGGGGGCGGCGGCGGTGGACGTGCCAATCCCATCGGCGGCACAAGCTGCTGTGGGTACGGCGGCATGGGTACTGGTGGTGGACGGGGCGGGAATGCATACATGCCCTGTGGAGGCCCGCTATTCTGCATCGCCATCCGGTGCTGCTGCAGCTGCCACTGCAGAGCCTCTGTGTCGACACTGGCACTTTCGCTATACTGTCCGCCGCCATGGCTATGGCCATGATTGCTGTTATGCCGGGGACGCTTCGTGTACGGCTCGCCTAGGCGCTCCCGCACCTGCCTCTCGTGCTCAAGCAGGTCGCGTTCTGGGATGCCCGAGCTGCCAAAGATTTCTATATCGGTGGTATCCCGGCCCGGCAATGCGTTGGGCACTGATTTGATATTCTCCTTGTGCACCTGGGCGACGTGAATGGCCATCCCGTTGGCAGAGTTCAGCCGCTTCTGGCAGATTTGGCATTTGAAGTGCTTGGCTTTCTGGTGCTGTACCAGCACTTTCTCGTCCTCGAACTCGCGCGCACAGTACCAGCACCAGGGCTTGATCTCGATTTTCTTGCTCTTCCTGCGGCCCATTTGCGATTACACTCGATGCAATGTTGGAGGTTGTGTTTTAGGAAAGGGTGTTCATAAAGTGCTCTGGTACATGAAATTAGAGCCTGAGGGTTTTTTTCTTATCAATTGTTTGCGCGACACGGCAGTTCCTGCGAGTTACGGGGCGACTGTCATGTGGATGTGCGATGATTGGGGCGCTGGCATGCTCTGCCTATCTTGCAGCCTTCGGATTATCCGGGTTCTGTGTACACAATGGTTCGATGTGCTTTTGCAAGTCCCCGCTCGCTGCCAGCGACGACCGTCGCGCATGCGCTAAGCGGGTCAACGAGAACCTGTTTGCTTTCCCTTTCTGTCAACATTAGGTTTTCTTTTTCCACTTGCTTGCAATTTCCAGATGGACTGCATTCTCAAGCTTTCGAGCCACGAGGCGTTCCCGATCGTCGTGGCGGTAGTTGCCGGTACTGTGGTACTGTATGTGCTGTTCTCGCGCAAGCGCACGCTGGCTGCGATTCCGTTCGAGCTCAAGCCCCTTCCCGAGAGCAGCCCAGGCTGGCGTTCCGGCAAGCAGCTCTCGTCGCCCAGCATCATCGTGCCTGGGCAACCCGACCTGATCCAATGCTTTGACCCGGCCACCGGCCGGTCCTTGGGCCAGGTCGCCTGCACGACTTTTGAGGGGCTGACGGAGCGGATCCAGCGCGCGCGCAAGGCGCAGAAGCAGTGGGCCAAGACCACCTTTGAGCAGCGGCGGCAGGTGATGCGCACGCTGAATGAATTTGTGCTGGCACACCAGCGCGAGATCTGCCAGACGGCGTGCCGGGATTCCGGTAAGACCCTGGTGGATGCGACCTTGGGAGAGGTCCTGGTGACGTGTGCGAAGCTGCAGTGGACGATCAAGAACGGTGAGGAGGCGCTCAAGGACAGTAGCCGCGACCCCGGATTCATGATGATGTACAAGAAGGCCAAGGTCATCTACCAGCCACGCGGGGTGGTCGCGGCATTGGTATCGTGGAATTACCCATTCCACAATACCATTGGGCCGGTGATCTCGGCGCTGTTCTCTGGAAATGCCATTGTGGTCAAGGCCAGCGAGCACGTCGCCTGGAGCATGGGCTACTGGGAGCAGCTGGTTAGGCGTGCGCTGAATGTCTGTGGGCACGACCCAGAGCTTGTGCAGTTCGTTACGGGCTTTGGCGATCTGGGCAACGCTCTATCGTCGTCGCCCCTGATTGATCACATTACGTTCATTGGGTCGCCCGAGGTCGGCAAGCTAGTGATGAAGGCAGCGTCGGCAAACCTGACACCGGTGACACTGGAGCTCGGCGGCAAGGACTGCGCTATTGTCTTTAGCGACGCAGACATGGGGCAGTGCATGCCTGTGCTGATGCGTGGAGTGTTCCAGAATGCCTCGCAGAACTGCATCGGCATTGAGCGCATTCTGGTGCAGCAGCAGGCTTATGGTGCGTTCGTTGAGGAAATGCTGCTGCGCATCAAGAAGCTGCGCCTGGGATCGATTCTCGAGGACAGTGAGGTTGACTGCGGCGCCATGGTCATGGCCAACACCTTCGACCGCCTCGAGGCGTTGGTCCAGGATGCAGTTGCCAAGGGCGCACGTTGCCTGACTGGTGGCAAGCGCTACGACCACCCAAAGTACCCACATGGACAGTACTTCCAGCCAACGCTGCTTGTCGATGTCACACCTGACATGGACATTACCCGCAACGAGACATTCGGCCCGATCATGGTTGTGATGAAGTTCAAGGATGAGGCCGATGCTATGGAGATTGTGCATTCGTCGCCATACGGCCTGGGGTCGAGCGTGTTTTCGGGCGACAAGGCCCGCGGACGCCGGGTTGCGCTGAACCTGCGCGCTGGCATGGCCAACGTCAATGACTTTGCTGTCAACTATATGTGCCAGTCGCTGCCATTTGGCGGTGTGGGTATTAGCGGCTTCGGGCGGTTTGCGGGACCTGAGGGTCTGCGTGCGCTGTGCGTCGAGAAGGCATTCACCGAGGACAAGCTGCCGTTTGTCAAGACCCCGATTCCGCCTATTGTCGACTATCCGATCCAGGACACCGAGAAGGGATACAAGTTTACGCAGCAGATTGTTGCGTTTGCATACAGCGACACATGGTGGGAGTCCATCATGGCTGGCCTGCGTCTTGGCAAGCTCTCCATGTAATAGTCAGATTCACTAATCACATAAGCAATGGAGGTGATTTGATTTATGGCTGTGATCAGTTTTCTTGTGAAAACAGCAAATGTGCTTTATTTTTTCTTTTTTTTTTTTCCGGACTCTGCTCTGCATTCCCAGCACACAGGCTCTATTTTACATACTCTCTAGACAAATGGCAGGCAAAAAGGGTGACACGAGCTTCAAGGCCAAGGCCAAGGCAGGAGCCAAAGCGCGGGCATCGGCCAAGTCGCGCGACAAGCGGCGCTCAAAGCAGCAGGCGGCCAAGCAGGCAGATATTGTAGCAGCGCCCAAAGCAGAGCAGGAAGAGGAAGAGATGGAGATGGACGAGGACGATCTGGCGTTTGTGCAAAAGAACGCCAAGGGCCTGGGCTTCCTCAATGCACTGAACCCGGAGAAGCTCACAAAAGTCACAAAGGAGCAGAAATCAAAGCGGATCGGCAAGCCCGCGCAGCACGCAGTGGCAGCACCTGGAGAGCTGTCCGAGAGCGATGACGAGAGCGGCGATGAGAGTAACGAAAGCGACGAGGATCTGGAGGTTTTGGAGAGCAGCGAGGATGAAGCAGAGGATGAGCTGGTGGACTTTGTCGTGTCTGATTCGGAGCAGAGCGGTGCCGAGTCATTTGAGGACGAGAGTGAGGCAGAGAGCCTTGGCAGCGAAGACGAGGATGAGTACCTGAACCACAAGCAGCGCAGAGCACTGAAGCGCAAGGCGGCGGCGGCGGATCTGATGGACTACGAGCATGGAATGCGCAAGTTTGAGTCGGCAGAGAAGAAAACCAAAGAGTCGTCCAAGCTGCCGATCAAGCTGGCGGATGGGCGACTGGTTGCTGCAGAAGAATCAGAGGAGGAGGAAGTAGGGGAGGAAGAGGAGGAAGAGGAGGAAGAGGAAGAAGAGGAGGAAGAGGAGCCTGTACCAAAGTCGACCAAGGGCCTTGGAGGGCGACCAGTGGACTCGGAAGGCGAAGCGGACTTTAACGAGGAACCGGATCGGGAGTCGATGACCCGGCGCGAGTACATTGTAGCGCAGCAGAACCGGCTGGCGGGGCTGGCGAGCGCAGTAGTCCAAAGCCCAGAGGGGAGCGCGCGGGCGTTACGGCTGCTGCACAAAATCAGCGAGGACAGCGACCGCAAGGTGCGGCAGCTGGGCCTGCTGACGCAGCTGGCCGTGTACCGCGACATTCTGCCTGACTACCGCATCCGCGAGCTGACAGAGAAGGAGCGCGCAATGAAGGTCACCAAGGAAGTGCGGCAGCAGCGCATGTTCGAGGAGAGCCTGGTCAAGACCTACGGGCAATACCTGCACCAGCTGTTTGCGGCGGTAAAGCGCGGCATGAAGATCTTTGGCGACGCCAGCGCCGACGTCGAGACCGGTGTGGTGGCAGCACGTGCGCTGGGCGAGCTAGTCAATGCCCATCCGCACTTCAACTTCCGCAAGGACATTCTGTCAGCGCTGGTAGACATCTACGTGCAGCCGTCGTCGCGCATCACCATGCCGGAATTTGCGCCAATGGCTCAGACTGCGCGGCTGGCAGTCCTGCGGCTCTTCCATGACGATGCCAGCGGCGAGTACTCGCAGAACGCAGTGATATTAGCGGCTAAGCGCATCAAACGGCTGTCGTACCGCGTCGATGCCAGCTCCCTGCGCCCCTGGCTGCATCTGCGGCTGCGCGACGAGCTGCGGGAGAACCCCGAGGACCGCAAGCGCGCGGAGGCGGAGCGGCTGCGGAAGGAGCAGCTGCGCGAGCGCAACAAGCTGATGAAGCGCAAGAAGAGTGGCTCAGCGGTGGGCGAGGCGCGGCGGGCGGCCTTCGAGACGAAGAAGCAGAAGAAGGCCAGGCGTGTGCAGCAAGAGGTCGATAGGGATTTGCGCGACGCGCAGGCAGAGGTGACGCGGGAGGAGCGCGAGCGGTGGTTCGGTGAGACCCTGAAGCAGGTGTTTGTCACGTATTTCCGCATTCTCAAGCAAAAGGACAATATCGGCGGGCTGCTGCCGGCGGTGCTGGAGGGCCTGGCCAAGTACGCGCATCTGATAAGCGTGGAGTTTTTCCTCGATTTGTTCCATTTGCTGAAGAAGATCATGCGCGGACAGCACGGTGTCGGCGTGGGCAACGAGGACGACGATACCAGCGACCTGGTGTCGTCCAAGGTCAGCCTCCGCACATCGCTGCTGTGCATTCTGTCGGCGCTGCACATTCTGACCGGCCAGGGCGAGGCGCTGAACCTGGACATCAAGGATTTCTTCCACCAGCTCTACGCTTTGCTGCCGCCGCTGGCAGCCCATGCACAGATCGAGGCCACGCGGCTGTCGTCGCTCTCCGATGGCACACGCTTCACTGTGTATCTGGCACCGGCTGAGGTTGCGCAGGCGAATGCCGAGCGCGTGGCCCGGCAGGAGGACACGGAGCAACCGCAGCAGCTCGAGGAGGCGATGTGGGAGGCGACGGTGCGGAGCGAAGCTGATCTGTTGTTCGAGTGCCTCGAACTGATGTTCCTGGGTCGCACCAAGGTCTCGTCGGTCACGCGTGTGGCCGCATTTGTCAAGCGCCTGGCCGAGGGCGCCTTGTACTGGCCGGCCAAGACCGCGGTCCGCGCTATTGCCTTTATCCACAAGCTCATGGTCAAGTACCCTCATCTCGACCGCTTGTTTGCCTCCGACGAGCAGGCCGCCAGCGGTCTGTATCTGAAGGATATCGATGACCCGGACATGTGCAATCCCTTCGGCTCTTGTGTCTACGAGATCCATTGCCTGCAAACCCATCCACAATGCCACTGTGCGAGCGGCAGCAGCCCGTCTGCTGGCGTTCGTCAAGGCAGAGGACAAGAAACACCAGCTATAAATCTGTTTTTTTATGTCAATCTTACTCGAACCTGACTACCGAACAATTTTCGATGGTGCCCAGAGGCGATGGGAAGCGGTTGCGCGTGTGCATTTTTGTGAGCAGTACAAAGCTCGTTTTATAGTATTTGGCAATTCCGTTTTTCCTTTCTAACCTTGAATTATTTTATTTTCGCTTTGCGCTTGCTTCATTTCGCCTCTCTTTCTAAACCCCCACCCGCTCGGTTTTCTTTTGCTAAAGGGACGGCACAAAAGAAAACCATAGTCCAACCAAAAGTGGGCAGCAATTTCTCACAACTGTACTCGCTCTAATTTTCCTTTTATTACAAAAAATATCCAAAATTGCTGGCCATTTTACTTTGTATTTTTTGTTCATTTTCCGCTTCTTAACCTATTCAAAATTCAACGTCGCGTTGCAACACTAGGACTGTCCCAGGTGTTACTTTATCCCCTCCGACTTGGCCAGCTCACAGCAACTAGTGCTGAAACGCGTTCCTGATAACTCGGCATATCCCTTTGCCACGTTCAACAAAGTCACATTTTTTGCACAGAGCTAGCGTCTATCACGCGACAAAGACGGAGCCGGTACGGGTGCGTTGAGATCGATACAGGAACTTGGTTCCATTTCTTTTTTCGCACTTATTTGGCTCAAGTTCCAAGGTACGTGGCTATCCTGCTCTGGGAGGAGTCCATCACAGGCCATGCATGTGGACTCTGTCTTCAGCACACTAACTGCATACCGTGCTAGGCCATCGGTTGCTTATCTGTAGAGGAACAACACAGTAGCTGCACGAGATCGAGTTGTCAGCGCAATTTTGGTTAGGGAAAGGATCGCGAGGCAAACACAATACAGGAAAGAAAAGGGGGTGTTTGAACAGCAGGCAGAAGATAATCTAGCGGCGCAAACCTCTTGTTCCACACATACACATACAGGAAAGAAATGTCGGCGAGCATCCGAGCAACACCGGTACCTAATATATCGACCAAACAGGGATTCGCAGCACACAGCGCCATGTCAGACGACGGGTCCTCGAGCCGCGATCTCGAAGAGTTCGAGGATGAGCTGCAGCAAGAGCTGGAGAGTGAATCGTACGAGAACCTGTTTGGCGAGGAGGAAGAGGAGGTGGTGGACGATGATGAGGAAGACGATGACGATTTGTTTGGGCAGCCAAATGGCGATACGCCGGCCGACTCGCGGTCGGTGGGCAGCGCGACCAGTTGAGGCAGAGCTGGAGTTCAGCTCGGAGAGCGATGATGACGACAACGACCTGTTCAGTGACGGCGAATTCGAGGACGCGCCAAAAGGCAACGGGCGGGTGACATCAGATTCTGAGTCAGACGACGAGTTTGAGACGGTGGATTTTGGCATCGAGGAGGAGGAGGATGAAGATGAAGAGACAAAGGAAACTGCCGAGGCAGTGCCCGAGGAGCCGCGCCCAGCCACAGCGCCAAAGCGCAAGGCGACAAGCCGTGTGCAGCTGGGAGACATGGACTTTCTGGAGCAGCACAAGGATGCAGCGCCGTCTTTGATATTGCATTTGTTTGACTCGCACTTTCGGTTCGGCAGCCAGGAGGGCGTGTTTCTGTACAACGGGCCAATGCGGTTTTTCTTTGATGCACTGAACGAGGGCAAGATCCCTGTGGACCTGGTTGACGTGCTGTCAGATGTACACTGCCGGTTCTACGACGGGTGCCTGATCGTTGAGGTCCATGACCACCGGCGCACGCAGTACGGCGGCAGCACGGCAGCCGAAGCGGCAGAAGCTGAGCGAGCTGTTGACATGGACGAAAGCTGTACAGCGAAAGCAAGATGAACAATACAGTGGACAACGTGTCCCCGATTACAGCACCTGTGCTTGTTGGTGAGACGAACGGAAAGCGGCCGCGCGAGGCGGACGATGACGGGTCGGCAGTAGCGCAAGGCCCGGTGGTGTACAAGAAGGTGATGCGGCCAACGGCAGAGACAATGAGTCTGGATCTACAGCTGGCGTGTGAGCGGCACCGCGGCAAGCTGGACGGCAGAGGACGTGCTGGAGATCGAGCGGCTGGTGCTGCTTGCGGTGGAGGAGCCGCTTGATCTGGCGCCGGACGTGCAGGTAAGCCGGATCAGCAATGCGATCCGGTACATTGAGTACGGGCACCTGGTGCCACGCAAGCAGCGCAAGTACAACTCGGCAGAGGTGGAGGCAGAGCAGGCAGCGCACGAGGAGAAGATGCGGTTGCTGACCTTTGATGGACGACCGGAGCCAGCGCGACTTCCAGCCGAGCTTCAGCCGTGTGGCGCAGCTGGGTGAGTGGCGCAGCCGTAAGCTCGCAGGCGACGCGCTGGTGTATCCATCGGCGCTGCCGGCGGGCAAAAAGGCAGTGGCGAAGAAGGCGCGCGGCCAGATGTCGTTGCTGGCTGACGGACGCAAGGTGGTGCGGACGCTGCGGTTTGTCAAGAGCGTGGGCGGGCGGACAGTCCACACAGTGTTCAATGTGTTGGAGCTGCCCGACGGGCGCGGGCTGCAGGGAATGTTGCGGTGGGGCTCGCAGCCGGACTCGGCGGTGGGCGGCGAGACACGCGTGTTTGCGTTTGCCAGCGACGCGCTGATGCGCACTCACATCGACAACTTCAAGCTGTTCTCGGCCATGGAGAACAACCGCCTGATCTTCGATTCGCAATATCCCAACGGTGTGCCGACCGCCGGCCCGCCACCTGGACAGGACCCGGCCGACCCGGAGTACCCGACGCCGCAGAACACCAGAGCCGAAACACCCAAACCCACAAAAGCCGAAACGCCCAAGCCTACAAAGGCTGAGACACCCAAGCCTGCCAAACCCACAAAAGCCAAGGCCAAGCCCAACAAGCGTCAGGGCAGTGAGCGCCCGAGCGCCGAGCCCACAGCCGATACAGCAAAGGCGGGCAGGCGCAAGCGCTCCAGCACGCCGCACGATACCACCGTGGAGGACGAGCCGGCGACGGTGCCAAGCGAGCCGCTGGAGGAGAGCAAAGGTGGAGGAGAAGCCGAAGGGCAAGGTGCGCCGCAAAACGCCCGGGCCGAAGGAGAAGAAGAAGCGGGCCAAGACGCCCAAAGCCAAGACGCCGGAGCCACCACCGCCCGCCAGCCCCGCGGCTCGCAGCGACTCGGAGGACGACGATGTGCCGCTGGCGCAGAAATCAGATCCGGCCAGGGCGGCCAATGGCACGCCTGCGGTAGCCAGCGCCGAGCTGCCAGTGTCAGCGGCTGTGACGACGGCAGCGCCGGTTGTGACGACGGTGTCGGCGGTCGCATCGCCGGTGGCAGCCTCAGCTACTGCTTCTCCTGCTACGCCAGCACTAGCGCATCCATCTGGGCTGCCAGTGCCACCAGCGATCATGGCACAGTTGAACAATTACGTGGCCGGGATCCTGCAGCAGCAGAACGGCGGGCGTCCGCTGGCGTCAGCTGGGCAGTCGGTGATCACACCCAAGTTCCTGAAGGATAACCCGCAGATCTTCGCGCAGCTGCAGCAGAAGGCGCGGCAGCTTATGGGCGCCCAGCAACCGCAACCGCAACCGCAACCACAACAGCAGCCTGTCAGCAGCCCAGCGACATCAGTGCGACCGGTGCAGCCACCGATCAAGCCAACGCCCGAGGAAGTCGCGCTGATCCGTGAGTTCTGCCGGATCGCCAACATCAATCTGCAGGCGGTACCGCAGGACCGTGCTCTCATGCTGATGCGTATGGCACGCAGCGGCGAACTCAAGCAACGCATCGCCATGCACTACCAGCAACAGCAACAGCAGCAGCAGCAACAGCAACAACAGCAGCAGCAACAACAACAGCAGCAGCAGCAGCAGCAACAACCCTCCAACAGTGCTTCCGTCCATGCGTCGCCGGTTCCTGCTAGCACACCAGCCAACCCACCAGCTATGCCCAATGGCTCAGACGCCGCAGCCCCGGCCGTGTCGCAGCAGATGCTGCTGGAGCTGTTTGCACGCCAACGCCAGGCGCAGCTAGGCGGCATGGCATCGCAGCCGCCCGCAGGTATGATCCACCCAACCTACTAGCGCTGATGCAGCAGCAGGCGAATGCCACACAGTCCAGCCCCGCCGCTGTTCCACAGTCCATACCGGGTCGCCCACCGATAGCCCGCCCCGTGGCTGCCAGTCCTGCCACACCCAGCGTACCACCGCGTCCCATGCCGAGTGTCGTCGGCAGCCCAGCGCCAGCCAATGCTCCGAATCCTCTGGCCAATATGCAGGCTGCGCTGGCGAATAACCCGCAGTTGCAGGCTGCGTTGATGGCCTAACCCACAGCTGCTAGCCGCGCGCATGGGTCTGAGCTCTCTGCAACAGCAGCAGCTCATCCACTACCTGCAACAACAGCAACAACAGCAACAACAGCAACAACAGCAACAACAGCAGGGCGCCGTGCGTCCGCCACAGGCCAATCTGGCGGTGCTACAGCAACTGCAGCAGGCCGGGCTACTGAACCAGGCGAACCTACAGCCGCAGGTTATTGCCCAGTTGCAGCAACAGCAGATGCAGATGCAGTTGACGCCGGAGCAGCGCCAGATTCTGCTAATGCGTCAGCAGATGGCCAGGCAGATGATGGCCCAGAATCCCCAGCCGCGGCCCAATGGGGCGCCTGGCCCAGCTTCTCAGTAAAAAACACATGCGCCCTCCCCTGTATCTTTTTGTTTTCTCATCTCCGTACGATACATAAACACCCTAATGAAGACCAAAAACCCCTGTGTCTTGCTTGTGACGTTCACAAAGGATGTTGTGAAATCTATCCAACACCTCTATTGCGGCTTGACACCGATGAATATGCGGTAGTACCTGTAGCAGATGCTCTGCGACCTCTGCTCGTCCACAACAAAGCCTGCGTCCCTCAGCTCCTGCGTGAATCTGCTGGGCGCCGGAAAATTCAAGGCACTCACAATCAGCCGCCTCTGTACCTCGCTACCCGACCCCTGCAGGCTCAGCAACGGCATCACCAGCAGCCAGTGGAATCCCATGTAGGCTGCGCGCCATGCCCACGAATCACCTGTGTTCATCTCCAACACCGCCATTACGCCGCCTGGCTTAAGCACACGCATTGCCTCCTCCAGCACCTTCCGCCGGTTCGGCATATTATGCAAGCCAAACGCGCAGCAGCACACGCCAAACTCTCCATCCGCATATGGCAGATGCTCAGCATTACCCTGCCTAATCGCTACGCGGTCCCTCCATTCTTTGTTTTCGAGGCGCCTTTGTGCTATCTCCAGCATGTGTGCATTCAGATCGTAGACGGTGCTAACCGCTGTGCGTTTGAGTGCAGCCTGTCGGCTCTGGAAATATACAGTCATGTCACCAGTCCCCCCGGCTAAGTCGAGCATATGCGCGCTGGGCAAGTATTCAGCTAGCTGCTGTTTGGCGAGCCCAGCGGCATTGAAGCCAGCGCTCTTGTGCTTGCCGTCATACCAGCGCGCAATTTGCGTGTACGCTTCGTCCAGTACCTGCTGCTTGTGCTGCGGTGCTACGTCGGCGTAGGAAGATATCCAGGATATTATATTGCCCATTGGGGTTTGAAAATTGCGATATTGTTTATAAGAAAGCAGATAGTGGATGAGGTTGCGAGTGGAGAGCTTTGTAAATCGCGCAAAGTCTGGAAATGGCTGCATTTATCCATGACACTTGATGGCTGATGTATAATGGTACCAGGGATTGAAGTAAGAGTTCACACATGTGATGTTCGTTGGAATTACACTTGAAAAACGACAATAATTAGGCAACTGACAAAAACTGCTACATGTCCTACATACACATAGCATAATAATATGCCCAAACGTATGATACAAGCAAAGCATTAAACCATGGTGACAGCTGTATATATAATCCTAAACATATAGACTCTTATAATCTACATGAACTCTACCCCACTGTCATCAGGGCTTTATGCCAAAATACACCGCGCCCAGTCCAAGCGCACATGTCTTGTACCCACGTCCCTCGGCCCTAAACCCTGCATTCTTGACAGCCTGTACGAACTTATTCAGGAGCCGGAAACCCTAATGCGCTTTTAGCCAGCCGGTCAGTCATCGCCGAATCACTGAGTCTGTGGTACGCAATCGGGAAAATGACATGCACGAACAGCATCCGGATGAGCGCCCTTGCCACCCGCCTCGTGCCCGTATTGATTTCACCGACGACAAGCCGCCCACCAGGCTTTATGACACGAAACGCTTCCTTGAGCACCTTTTCATGGTTCGGCATATTATGCAGTCCAAATACGCAGCAGTATATATCGAACGATCCATCACCAAACATCGACAGGTCCTCAGCATTGCCGTGCACGACCTTTGCTTGCTCCGACCACCCGGTGTCTTCCAGGCGCCGCCTGGCCACCTCAAGCATTTCCTTGTTGAGGTCAAACACAACTGCAGTCGACTCTTTGTCTTTGTTGACTGACGCTTGGTACTTGAGGAAGCTCACACTCATGTCGCCGGTCCCACCCGCCATATCGAGGAACAATGTGCCGCGCCTGGGCTTGATCATTTTCATTATCTGGTCTTTGCCGCGCTGCGCGCCGTTGAGGGGCATGCTGCCGTGAAATGCATCGTACCGCTGCGCCAACGAGGTATATGTATCGTCCATGTACTTTTCCTTATTGTCTGCCTCCCTTCAATAGCCATTCTGTCGCTGAGCTCTCCATCATTTGTAATTTTATTCTAGTAGTAGAAAAGGAGTCGAGTGAAGGAAATGCTCAGGCTGGCTTTCCGCTGTTTGCCTACAATCAACCCTATTTGTGTTTGTGGCTTACTACCACATGATACGCAAAGAATAAACAGTATCCAGTACTAGCAGTGAAATGAATGGAATAATGCAGAGCTATTCAACATTGCATACCGCCTATGGTTATGTAACACATCCACAAGCAAAAAAAAACATACCTGCCAAAAATAGAAATTGCTGAAAGTGGGATTCGAACCCACGCCTCTTTCGAGAATGCAACTTGAGTGCATCGTCTTAGACCACTCGACCATCTCAGCAACCAGTTTTCAGAAAATGCGATTCTTGCTTGTATATGACACTGCCTTTCATTTGCCGATATCATAAATCCCAGGCTATGTGCGCTTAGACAAGCAAATAATCAAGCAGGTGTTTATTTCGAAAACACGCGAGCAGGTTAAAGAGATCAACGCAGAAAAGAGGGCAGCAGCAGAGGCAAGGAAAGCAGCAGAAAGGGGCGAAAAATTGGCCAAGAAGGCTGCACGCGAAGATGCCATCGGATGCAACAGAGGCCACTGCAGCAACTGCAGCAGTAGCAGCTGATTCATTTGCTGGTGCATTGGCTGCTGCAGCAGACATTCCGGCATGTTCCCAACCCGCGGCCCTACCACAGATCGAAGAACCCCAACTGTGAAGTGCCATGACCTTCTCCGCTGTACAAGCGAGCCATGTAGGCGGGCCATGGCACAATACAGGCGGGCTATTCGTCTCGGCTCTTGAACCGCGATCTCACAGCAGTTCTAAACTTCAGACTCATTTTCCAGTCACTCTGTGATTCAGGCAATATTCCTGAACGGTTCCGTCGTTCTACGGCCATTGCTGCCGATGCTTCCGGCACTACTCTGGCAACAAAGAATCCGCGCAAGAGGTGTGCAGCAGCAGCAGGCGATTCTGCTAGCCAGTAGCAGCGAACCTAGCACTGAAGCGCCTACGCTGAGCAGGCCGTCAGGATGGGAGATGTCCATGATCGGCCATTGCACCAACAACCATCCGACATGTTCAAATGACCAGGTTCACCGTGATGCTCTTATCGACATGTCAACCCATGCTGACTAGCAGCCGACCTCGCATCGCGAGCAGAGCAATTCTAGTACCTGATGGTATAGGTCAATGATCTTAGTCCTCTTTTTTGTTTCTCCTCTACTTCCTACCTTAACTAGCTATCTCAGCATCCTCTTTTCTAGCTTAGTTGCCCAGTTTATGACACATATATATTCTATATCCCTCAGACACCTAATATGTTGCCTAGGATCTCTTGAATTAAATCTGCTTAGCGTTGCAATGGTAAGAGCCTATAGCCTGGTATCAGTTGCAGCACATGCTTGCTAATTGGAATATCCAGCTAATACCATTTGCCTTTTCAGGATGCCGTGGAACAACAACAGGTATATCCCTCATTTTTAGGATAGCCAAGACATGCCAAGTGAGACGTGGAGATGTCTTGGCACGCATCGCCCTATTTTTAGACAGTAGAATGAAGGATCTCCTCAATCTCCTAAAGGAGAGATTCACAAAACCTGTTTGCCCATGCATCTCGCTGACGCTCAACAGGATATAGCCTTGGGATTAAGTGTGGGATCTGTTTTCTTGGAGGCAGTTTTCCACAAAGCAGCTACCGACCTTTCTATCGGAAGCCAGTTGCCACGATAACGCAGGTTTTCAATATGCCGAAGTGCAGGAAGCAATACCGCGCTACCGGGTATAAAAGGTCAAGGCAGAACCGCACTGTCCAAAAAAATCACCACCAACAACATCAGCAACCACATCAGCAACCACCTCACAAACCCACTCCACTCCAAGACAATCAACCATGAAGTTTACTGCCACCGCTCTCGGCCTCCTCGCCACCATCACCACGACCAACGCCGCCATGTCTGCCTGCTCCAAGAAGATCGCTCTGGGTCTGACCAACATCTACGAGAACGGCGACACCGCCTTCCACTACGACTACTGCGAGAACATCCACGATGGCCGTGGCTTCACTGCCGGTATCGCTGGCTTCTGCACAGGCACTTCCGACGCATGGGTCGTGCTGCAGGAGTACCACAAGATGACCGGCGGCAAGGATGAGTTCAGCAAGTATCGACGCCGTCATGAAGAAGCTGGACAAGTCGGGCAGCGGCTCTACCAGCGGCCTGGATGGCTACTGCTCAGTGTGGGGCAAGCTGGGCAAGTCGGACGCAAAGTTCCGCGCCGCGCAGGACAAGGTCCGTGACGAGATGTACTTTGACCCGTCGCAGAAGCTCGCTGATACACTTGGTGCCCAGCTTGATGTGACCCGCGCCCAGCTGTACGATACAACAATCCAGCACGGCGATGGCTCGGATCCCGACTCGGTTGGTGCACTGATCAAGAAGACCAGCGCGTCGTTCAAGGCCGATGCCAAGGGCTCGTCGGGCAGCACGCTCAAGATCAACGGCCACAATGTCGACGAGATCGCCTGGCTGACCAAGTTCCTGCAGGTGCGGGCGGATGACCTGAAGAACCCGCACAACAAGGAGACGCAGAAGGAGTGGTCGGAGAGTGTCACTCGTGTCAAGTCGTACCAGTACGTGGTCGCCCAGAAGCAGTACAAGTGGAGCAACTCGATCAAGGCTCTGGACAACGACGGCAAGGCTACCACTGTCAAGTGCTAAAATACTTCACTGTTTATTATTCAATACATATCCAACTCTCACATACATTCATATGCGCATTAATCCATATGAATAAAATTATTGTCGGCTGGGTGCTCTCAGATATCATAGAGGGACGACCGCTTGGCAGAATCAGGGCTCTTGTTCTCCATCTTTCCCTTCTGTGATTTCGTCAGCACATCCACACTTACAGCTTCACTATCGGCCTCCACCACTGTTGCGATTTCCTTGTGGTCAAACTCCTTGAGAAAAACTTGCTCTAGCAGCAGGAACTATTTGTAGCCTTCAACTCTCTTGGTGCACATAAGCATAGTTTGTTGTATATCGATACTCAAACTTGGGAGTCTAGCTTAGTTTCTCGGGGTTGGTGCTCAATCCTGGATAGCAAATGTCCGAGGTTATAATAATGGGCATGCTGTTTATTACCTGGTTAATAGAACAAGCATCCATGATAAATGCTGTCATGGATATGTACAACTGTTGGTAAATATATCATTAAACATATTGTTGACTCGTAGGTATTATATTGTGTCCTTTCAGATAAGACTAAATAGTGATATGGCTAATGGACAATGTTGCTGAATCGTAAGGATGCCATGTACAGATAATTGAGCGCATATGGCTCGTCCAGTTGTCAGAAGTAGCGAGTAGTTCCATATATGCGCATTTCCTAACCTGTGTGCAGGCTTCTTGAAGGTGTATGTTTGAGCAGTCCGCTTACAAATGTTGGAAGGCCGATCGGCATGCCGGGCTGGCGCAATTGGATAGCGCGTTTGACTTCTAATCATAAGGTTGCGGGTTCGACCCCCGCGTCTGGCTTGTTTCAATTTTAGTTTTTTTTGTGTGAACGTTGGATTTTTCTTCTCAAGCTGTCAGACACATGTACGTGTGTTGGGCTATGTATGGTTGACCCAGGGTAGCCGGATGCAGTCGTCTAGGACTGGCACACTGCTACTCAAGCAGCAGATCTGGTCATGCATTCAGCCCACCTGAGCCAAACCGACCACAGTGCCTGGCACTTCAGCCAAGGGTGCTGCTGACCTGATAAAAATTTGATTTTTCAAATACGCTTTTACACAGGCTTTAAGAAAAAACACAAAAGTATTGTAGCCATAGTTCCCAGTACGAGTGGCGCGTTACGTTCTTCGTCTCGCTTTTTCTCATTCCGTTATTTTTGCACACTATATATCGCTGTTCCAATTATATTTCTTCATTCACATGGAGCTCAACGCGCGACTTGACCAGAGCCTGGACGAAATCATCAGGGAGACGCGTAAGCAGACCAAGAAGGGCTCTAGTGCGCCGAAGGCAACAAAGAGTGCAAAGAAGACAGCCGCAGCAAAGAAGGTCGCTGCTGCAGTGACAAAGGCGGCAGCGCTTACGACCAAGGGCAAGGCAGGAGTAAGTAGCTCGCCCTGTGCATGAAATTGCAAAAAGTACGCGTGCAATCATTCACAATCTTCAATGTTCCATTTTGTAGCGGCGTAAGAAGAACAGCTCGTCCACCGGAGTGGCAGCCCAGGCAGCGCTGAAGCAAGGTCTGAGCGGGTCAATGGCAGGGCGGCTGGGCAACCCCGCTGGGTCCAAGACAGCCAAGGGTGTGGCTGGTCGCGTCGGCAAGGCCAAGGGTGTGGCTACAAAGAAGCTCGAGACCGGGGGCCGCTTGGCGGGCATAGCCGAAAAGCATCGGGCTAAGAAGCGTGGAGTTTCATCTGCTGCTGCCGTCGCCGCCGCTGCCGCCGCTGCTGCAACAACCCGGCGCTCAAACGTGAACATTGCGATCAAGGGAGAAGCGGGGCCATCGACGATCTTCATTACAAACCTTGATACAGAGGCGTCGGCAGAGGACGTGAAGACGTGCTTCAAGCAGTTTGGCACTATCAAAAACTGCACATTGCTGTATGACCGCAATGGCAAGGCCTCGGGGCACGCCGAGATCGTGTACGCGGCCAAGGCAGCGGCGCTGCAGGCCGTGGCAAAGCTCAACAACGTGTTAGCTGATGGACGTCGGCTTTCGGTGCAGATCAAGCCGGGCACTGAATCAGTTTCTAGTGCGCCAGGTCAGCCAGCAGCAGCAGTGCCTGGCACGCGTAGCGGGAAGAGCCGTCGGGGGAAGAGCCGGTCGGTTGGTGGAATGAGAATGGATGTCGACTAAGTTTTTCAATCTGCAATAAAGCAGTTGTCCGGCTTTCAATACTGACGTTGTCAAGAATGCTCAAGAGCACACTGGTCCTGTCATCGTTGCAGCAAATGCGCATGCATTGCTGTTATCTATATTTTTATTCTGGTGTGTGTATGTGAAGTGTCCGACGGGTGACAAGGTGTGGGTGTATAGAGGCAAACATCCCGCACAAATAAAGCCGCCAACATGGGTCTTTCTCGCATATTTTGTCCAGTCCTTGAGCCTATAGAGAATACTAGTCCAAGGTCTTACTTAATATGCAATTAAGAAAATTTTATTTTCTTAGCGATAAATAGACCCAGCCAAGTCCAAGTACGCGGCCCCACACGACATCGCATTGTGCAAAAGGTTTGGGTTAAGGGATCAAAAAATAAAAATAAACACGCGTTCAGCCTGGACGGATTTAGTGTATCTTTTCTCCCCTATTGTACACGCACTCATTTTTACCCCCTTTTTAATGCCTACAACACAAGAAGACTGCCATTTCTTTCTGCAAGGGTCGTGCCGCAACGGCGACCAATGTCAATTCAGACACAGCCTTGCTGCGCGCTCCACCGAGGATGTCTGCCCAGCATACGCACAGACAGGCAAGTGCCCACAGCAGGACTGTGGCAAACGGCACACGGGTAACGCCCACCGGCCTGCTAAGGGTCCACAGGAAATTCAGTGCCGCAATGAGGAAAACGGCGGTGTGTGCACGCGACCCGGCTGTCACTTCAAGCATCTGCGGCCGCAAGGAGCGCCAGGCGGTAATCCGACAAGCATGTTTGGACGGCCACCCAGGCCATCGGCACTGAACCCTAGCGCAAAGGTGTTTGTGCCGCGGCAGACATCAGGTAATTTTGAGGGTGATGGGGGTCCACAGTTTAGGCCGCGGTATCCGGTAAAGGAGATGACGTTGAGGGCCGGTGGTGGCCAGCGGGTTGCACAGCAGAGCGCGTTTGCGACGCAGGCGAGGCCAAGCCCGAGAGCAGCGCGTTCACAGCCCCAAACGTCGCCGTTTCAGACCACCGGAGTGTTCGGGGCATCGGTGTTTCAAAGCCAGCAGAAATCAGCATTTGAGGGCCAGCAAACATCAGCGTTCCAGAGCCAGCCGACATCCGCATTTCGGCCGAAGCAATCATCAGCGTTTCAAAACCAACAGGCGTCAGCATTCGGATCCAGCACACAACCTACATTCAGGGGCAGCAGTGCCTTTGTGTCAGGTGCAGAATCTACATTTGGGTCCACTAGTTCAGCGTTCAGAGCAAAGAGGTCTGTGGTGTCGACCAGTGCAGATGATGTAGAGATGGGCGATGGAGATGGTGAATCCGCTCCAGTCCAGGCTCCAGCCTCAACTACTACCTTGCAGCCGCTAAAGGGGTTCGCTGTGCAGTCAGCGTTCGGCCAGATGGGCATGCAGAGCAGTGCCTTTGCAGCAAAGTTAGCGCCCGCCCCGCTGCAAACGAACCAGACCACGCAGCAGTCTAATCCAAAGGACCAGCAGCGCGAGTTGAAGAAACAGAAACTGATGGCGCAACTGGCAGAGAAGAAAAGGCAGTTGGAGCTCCAGAAGCAGCAGCACCAGCAGCAGGAGAACCTGGGAGCGAAGGTCTGGGCCCGGCCAACAGAGCCAGCAGCAGAACCAGAGTCAGGGAATACACAGCAGCAGAAGGACCTGGGTGCAAAGGTCTGGGTTAGACCGTCGGGGTCTGGGACGAGGCCAGAGAAGCCGACACAGCTAAAAGAACCGCAGGCACAGACAGCATCCGTCATGGCCAAGCCAACCATGCCGCAACTTGTCCCTGGGTCGAGCTCGGCCAGTGGTCAGCACATCAAGTCCATCTACGATATCCTCGGCATCCAAAAGGAGTCTCCGCAGGTGCCTAAGGTGCCGATCCGCAAACGTACTGCCGATGCTGTTCTAGCTCCTGCTGTCACTTGGACTCCTACTCCTAGTGCATCAATTAACTCATCGCTGGCTCCGCCAATGCCAGCAAAAGTGTCTTTTGTTCGATCACCATCGCCGTCACCGTCGCCTATGCTTCGCACAAACCAAAGTAGCAGGTTTTCAGGGTCTGTCCAGAGCCCGCAGCTGCCATCGTACGAAGCAACGCCTAGCGACCACGCTTCTCCGGACTGTACGCCTGCCGATAAGCAAGCAAGCCTTGACGACCATTCTTATAACAGAGAGTCTGTCGCGCACAGTGCTGTACCTGGCATTCTGTCGCAGGCGGCGTTGACACAGAAGACAGAGGAGGACGCTGATCAGGGGCCAATACCGAATGTGGACCTGAGTGCGACCACAGATGCCAAGAAGGCATCGTCATCACCTCCGCCTGCTGTTCCTGGCGTTGTCATAGAGCTGGCTAACAGTGAGTCCACGAGCGTCCCATTAGACTCAGTGCAGGAACCTCCTGCTGAATTGACCTCTTGTCCGGAGCTACTTGAAGAGCAGCCACCAAGACAACCAAAGCCACAAGTACAGGCGACAGCAGCGGCACCCAAAAAGGCGTTATCACCACCACCTTCGAAGCCTTCGGCCGACCAACCCGTGATCAAGATACGGTCGTTCCAAGAGATCATGGCTGACAAGCGTCGCAAGAAGGAGCAGGCCGCCCTGATTGCTGCGGGCCTGCCGCCTACAACTGGTGCCACTACTACTGCTCAGAAGGACCTGCCACCGGAAACCCCCAAGACTGCTCTGCCCACGACACCTGGCAAACGTGCGCGCGAAGAGGATGGGCCTATCGAAACTAAGCGTGCCAAAGCAACACCAAAGAAGCCAAAAACTCCCAAGCGCGAGATTCCAGATTATGTCGCTCTATTTGAGCGCGAAATGGCCGACATTGACATGGCCGACTTGAGTGGGCCGCTGGCTAGTAGCTCGCCCACCGACCGGATCTCCAGCGCTGATCTTGAGGAATTCTATATGGGGTCAACCCTTGAGCAGATTCTCAGCTAACTTTTATGTGTACAATCTGAAATATCAACATACCAGCCAAGAAGAGGGCCTCCACAGCGAACTATGCACAAAGAAGCAGTGTGACAATTGTTGCAAGTGTGGCCCAGTGGTATCGAGGTAGTAGTAGGCGGCCAGAGACCAGATGCAGAGAATGGGCAGGTGAGATATGTGTCACCGGTCATGACGCGTTGCATTTCCAGTAACTAGTTGCTCTGGTATCAACACATAATCATACTACGTATGTAGCAAAAAATATGGCTGTGATAAAGTATATATGCTGATGGTGTCTATTCCATGCGTCGATGTGGATTGTATGCAAAGGAAAGCAGCCCATGTAGGGAATGTCTTTACCTATATATAAGATTGTATAGTCGAAAAAGTGTCCAACCGTCCGCTAGAACCTTTTGAATTGGTTAAAAAAAATAAAACTTAAGCTTCAACACGGGTTTGAGTGACTTGCTCTGTAAACTCCTTTTGATCTTGTGTGGCATCTGACCTCATCGGTGGAACCAGGGTGACAAGTTGTTATTGTAGTAGTCACAGGTCTCCACTAGATATCTCTATTGGTTTAGCATAAGAGCTGCTCTCATTGTTGGTCGGCTTGATAACTTCCATGGTGTCATCATGGTGGTCATCACCGGCTGCGCAACACTTAGGATATTTATTTATGAGCATCTATTGAATGAGGCCATATAGCTCTTCTGGTAGTTATGCAATATTTGTGGATTTATTTTATATATCAATTTGTCTTATGAACATGCGTAAGCGGTAGTATTTGGGCCACAATGGACCCAGTCTGTATAGACTGATTCAAGAGACTGTATCGGTGCTAAAGGCCCCAGGAACCATGCAAGCCAGATAATCTTTAATAAAGAGTTCTTAATGCTATGCATACGCAATAAAGCAAAACTGAACAGCATCATTTCTCTTGTTTTGTCTATTGAAATTCTCAAATGAATATTACCCGCAGCACTACTGTCATAAAGACATCACTTGGTGGTATTGGCTTCCGTGATTCTATGTTGCCCCGCCTAGAGCAATTTGTACATAGTGTCAGTATCATCAAAGAGCATGCATACATGCTTGCACGATGGATATTACTCCATCAACTAGCTGGCGGGGATGCTTTTGACCCTTCAATACCTGTGAAAAAGAGATTCTTTCATTCAATTTATTTATTCATTTATCGCAACCTGAAGGCGAAGACTGTCATATCTGCCAAGGATTTCGTCAACCGGAAGGACAAGTCAGAACTGTCGAGCGCAGATTTCGGTGATGTAGTTAAATACCATATTTATGATTATCTATTACATAATGGCGATATCGAGCTACATGGTGTACGCGAAATGAATCAGGTAGCAACATACGTGGATACCGAGCTGATGACAGCATACAAGAACAACATTGTGTTGCACTATGGCAGTTGCCTACAGCGGATTCTGGCCAAATTGATTGATATTCGCAGCTGCAAAAACACATTGCACAGTACAATGGGCAATGTGTCCAAGGCTGAGTTCAATAACGCATGTCAAGTGTGTATTTATACACCTGCACAGAAGCTCCACCAGGCAGTTACCTCTAGGCACCCTGATCTCAGTGTGCTCACTCCACCGATGCTTGCAATCTACAACAGGCTGGCACCAGTCCTTAATGCCTATGATGCCAAGTACAGATTCGCCAAAGACAGCCGATACTATGATGTCAAGGTAAATCCACTTAAGCATCTGCGTGCATACATTCGCCTATGCCAGCTTATCGAGAATGAGAAGCTTGGCAAGTCTCCCCCTCAATGCTTGCCTCTGCGGACATCATGGATCCCAGGCCATGTGCGCTTAGACAAGCAAATAATCAAGCAGGTGTTTATTTCGAAAACACGCGAGCAGGTTACCAAGATCAATGCAGCAAAGAGGGCAGCAACAGAGGCAAGGAAAGCAGCAGAAAAGGGCGAAAAATTGGCCAAGAAGGCTGCACGTAAAGCAGCGAAGATGCCATTGGATGAAACGGAGGCCACTGCAGCAGACATTCCGGCATGTTCCCAACCCGCGGCCCTACCAGAGATCGAAGAACCCAACTGTGAAGTGCCATGGCCTTCTCCGCTGTACAAGCGAGTCATGTAAGCAGGCCATGACACAATACAGGCGGGCCTATTCGTCTCGGCTCTTGAACCGCGATCTCGCAGCAGTTCTAAACTTCAGACTCGTTTTCCAGTCACTGTGATTCAGGCGGTATTCCTGAACGGTTCCGTCGTTCTACGGCCATTGCTGCCAATGCTTCTGGCACTACTCCAGCAACAAAGAGGCCCACGCAAAAGGCGTGCAGCAGCAGCGAACCAGCACTGAGACTCCTGCGTTGAGTAGGCCACCAAGATGGGAGATGTCCATGATCGACATTGCACCAACAACCATCCGACACGTTCAAATGACCGGTTCGCCGTGATGCTTTTATCGACGTGTCAACCCATGCTGACTAGCAGCCGACCTCGCATCGCGAGTAGAGTATTTCTAGTATTTCGTAAAACTTATCTCACTCTCTAGGTGAGCATTTCAAAATTCAAAAATGTCCTTTACACGTCCTGCAGCCCACACTGCCTGGCGAGTGGCATCCTTTTGCGTAGACATGGCAACGCGAACCCGGTTGATTGGGTCAACGTCAAACCCAGCCAGCTCCTCGACAACCTCTACTCCGACAACATTGCCAGAACTCAGCACCGGCGCTACCAGATACAGCTGTCCATCCTCAGTAGATACACACACCAGTGGCAAAGACCCAGACTCTTTGCGCACGAGCGCGACGTCCGTGATTGCCGAGCTGTTGCGCTTGAACTCAAACATCGGTTTACTGGTATCCGAGTCGCTCCATACTTGCACTACTCCATCTGATAGCCCGACATACACAAGCTGCTGCACAATATCGTAAGCGACTGCACGTACCGGCGTTCCATTGGTCGCGCCGAATTCCGAGATTGTCTTTTTTGTGCCCAAGTCAAGCAATACAGCACGTCCGTCTTCACAAGCAGCTGCGACCACCTTGCCAGCGGTCTCAAATTCATTTTCAGGCATCTTGCTCTCATCCCTCTCGGGATATGATACCAGCCTAATCCTGTTAACTGGCAGCTTCGACAGCTCAAATGTATGAATCAGTGAGGATGACCCGCAGTGCCATAGCCGTACTGTCCCGTCCTTGGAACATGATAGAACATTCTTTCCGACCCCCACGATCTCCGTGTCAGTAACTGTCGCCCTGTGCCCTACAAGTGTCACTGGATTTGTGCCATCGCTCGCTGACCAGATCTTCAGCCGCATATCTGTCGCCCCGCTTAGCACAACCTGTCCCGATGGGAAAAACTGGCAGCAGGTGACATCACCCAGGTGTCCGTCCAGCTCCGCACGCTTGGTGCCCGACTCAGTCTCGTAGACACTCATTCTCCCGTCGTCACCACAGACCACTGCCAGGCCGCCATACGGACTGATATCGAACGACTGCACACCAGTTCCGCGCGTGATCTGCGAGCAATGCATGGTCGTGCGAGGAGCCGAGTATGTCGTTGGCGGAATTCCAAGTTTGTTGCTCGACAGGCGCAGGTGCCGCGAGTCCAGATACTCAGCTGTGAGCTCATCCCGCTTCTCGTTATTAAGGCTAATAAGCGTGTTGCCTGCCTCGTCACTGGACTGTGCCACAGTAATCGAGTCGTGAATTGACGCCTGCCCTTGCTTGTACACCGACACCCAGAACTTGTGTGTGCCCTCAGCGCCTTTCAACGCATTCTTGATGTCCACTTGCCAATCAGGCTGGACTGCAATGTAGCCGAGAGTAGGAGTCATTTTAAAAAAAAAAAAAAAGGAAAGTTAACGAGGAAACCCAGCAAGGTGTGGTGCCAGAGGTATTTTCAAACAGCGGGTGACGTGTGCAGCCCCAAAACCCTTATCTGCCATGTTGATGCGCTAATTGCACATGGCCTTGAGTGTCGCGACCCTATTTAAGGGCCGCGGGCTTCGTGTGGTGTGATCGCCACAGTCGCTCAAGCCCAACGATTATGCGACTCAACCGATCACAGACGATGAGACGGATCTATCGACAAGGATGACCAGGCCATAGGCCATTTAGCCTATTCTATATAGTGGGCATCGAGCCGTTCCAGGAGTGGTCTAGTGTCTACTTTATAGCCCTAACTCTTATGGCCTAGCCTAGGGTGATGAATCAGTCTCATCGTCTGCGATCGGTTGAATCGCATAATCGTTGGGTTTGAGCGGTTGTGGTGTGATCACCACATGAGTGCTGAGCCGCATGTATGCCTGCTATGTCCCTTCCTCACACACCTATCTCATTGTGGCATTCTCTCTCTACACTGAATATTAATAGCCTTGCTGGTGGATAATTTTTTGGAACAGGTGCCGGCCATTATATATGGTCCTGTACCTTCAGCAGGTTGCCATATGTATAACTATCATGAGGTAGTTGAGATAGCGACTGTGTGCTGCTGCTGGAAAGGCTACCTGGGTCTGTATCTCTACCGCAGTATCATAGTCAAAGCAAACTGGGTCAGAAGTGCATCATACCAGCAAATATTCACTTCAAACATTGGTGCCATTATCTCTTCTGGCATCTCCTATCTTACCAAAAGAACTCCATGTCATCGTAACTGGACTCATGCATATCTCTACTCTTATTTCCAATATGGAATATCCTCATATTTAGTGCAGTGCAATAGGGGCGTGTTAGGTATGTCCAACTCAAAGGCAACTTCTACACTTGTAGCCAGTTGGAAGATGAGTTTGTTGACTCAATGGTCCAAGTTGTTAACATATATTCTACCAAATAGTCAAGAAGTGGAATGAAACTTGCACCTAAGCAATCAATATATCAGCTTTGGTATCCAAACCAGGCTAGCTAACCACTACTTGCCTAATATCAGCTCATTCCAGCATCAAGGGAGAAGAGCCCTAACTCAGAGTATTGGTGTCATTCCAAACAGCTATAGGAATATTGCTTTCCTGAACCTTGAAGCTCATAAGGCTTACTATTCATTTAGCATCTATTTGGACCTCAATTCTCAATTTTATGCTTCGCCTCCTACTGCGTGCATTGATACTAGAGTTTTCTGACAGCATCCATTCTGTGGATACAAGGTTCATGTCGAACAGTTCACAAGCTCAGACTGATCACTCAGCTTAGGGATCAGGGCTAACCCAATATATAGGGTTCTGATATCACAAAGTTTGTCAGGATGATCCTTGGTTCAGGGGGGGGCATCTTTCTCAATACCCTCTCTCTACTATTTCGACAATCTGCAGTGGCTATATATGCAGCATCACACTATGTATCTGAAATATGCTGGGATACCAGTTTTTGGTAGAGCATCTATATAGTTTCCAAGGCTATTGAAGTTCAAAATCATCTTCTTGTCATGGGATCTGGATAGAGGAGGATAGTGGCCGCAGTAGTGAGGGGCTACCTTGAGATATCCGCATCGTCAGTCAAGCGGGACACCCTTTTGAACACATCTCTTCAGGAGCTATAACTATACAGAAAGGATTCGGACAACATAGCTAGATATTCAAGGCACATTCAGCAGCTCATAACCCGATGCCCATCCTTGCTGAAGGTGTGTGTCTCGGAGGAGATGCTCGACGATGTCCAACATCATGTTGTATCGAATAAGCTAGATACCGAGGTGTACTCAAGGCAGCCAAGTCTGGGATCATCAATAAACAAAACCAAACAAGGTCGGCGATCCAAGGTGGTATAAGGATTTTTCAGCGACAGTGCCGCACACATCGTATAATTAGCAGGTATATGAAGTACCTTTGTGTACGCACTATTCCTGAAAGGACTATCTGTAGCAATTGCTTCCTCATATACACCCTATTTCACCGTGCCCATTGCTATGAGCTGCGAGTGCACGGAATGGTATAGCTGTATTGTGCCTGATGGCAGTACATGAGAGTCCAGGCATGCTTGTGGGAACAGCTGGCACTATATCTTCTTTGCGGCATCATGCGCTCTATGCTGATTGTCACCCTGAACAACAATGAAAGCATGCCTGAATGCAAGCCACCCGCACATGAATACAGCTGCCCCGGTGACACGCATGTTGGTGGGAAAGGGGGTTGTGTGCGCTGTCACGCAAGCTGCACTGCCTCCCTGGATATGGCAGTTCGTCTATCATACAAAAGGCTGCCTCAGCGGGCTGACTTCCTCCTGGTGTTCGTAGTTTCAAGTCACTTCTAAATACTCACCCAGTGTACAACCCTTCATAAGATTTTTGTGCGTAGCAATGGTTAGCATACTAGGCAACCTTTTACTCAGTGCTCATGGAGTCAGCGTCAGCTTTGCGATTCCCTGAAAGGCCAGCTAGCTGCAGCAAGAGACATGTGGGTTTCGTTTTCAGACGAAGCCTGCGCTGGCTTGACGACTCAGATAGAGGTTCTTGCTGATTTTGTCAGATATTGCAGCTCGATGAACGCAGGCGTCGCCGTTTCTGCGTTTGGGAACCTTCATGGCCTGTTCTGTTCGAAGGATGACATACACGTTGTTGTCCAAAATCTAGGACTGTCCCAGAGTCAGACGCGTACTGTGCTGAAGGGATATTTTTCAGCCTGGAAGTTGCTCGAACAGGGCCAGCAGCTTCCTGCCATTCCATGTCCTGCGCTATTTGCAGATCCCATGGCAAGTCCTGATTGCGATGTTTGGTGGACAAGGAGGCATGGACCAATTATATGGACGAGGCAGCTTGGCTATTTGACATCTACAACCCGTTGTTAGATGGTCTCGTTGACCGCTTGTCAAACTTCCTGCGGGATCTATCCACGGATCCAGTAATTGGCTGATGTGTACGAGCAGCCCATCGATTTTGCCAAGTGGCTAAGACTCCCTGCAAGTATGCCTGGTTCCGAGATACATGTCGTGCTCAACAGTTGCAGTGCCGTTGGTTGCACTGATCCAGATAATGCATCTGGCTGTCTTGTATAAGACATTGCGCATTAACCCCGGCGAGCTTGTGCGGTTGTTCAAAGGTAAGAATCTGAGTTCGAGTTGTGCTTTAATTACAACAACACCTGGTACACTCTTATTAACTCGTTTTATTTGCTGTAGGAGCAATCGGCCATAGCCAAGGCCTCATAATCGCTGCGCTGTTTGCAACAGCGACAGATGAAGCGTCATTCTATGCCAGCGCAGAGAAGGGATTGGGTATCCTGACGGTTTCTTCAGCAGGGTCGTATATTGATTATCCGCCTAGCATATTGGGCGATAGTGTGCTCGATGACGCCCTTGCTAATGGAGAGCAGCCGTCACCAATGGTCTCAATTCGCGGACTGGCCAAGCCATATGTCGAGCAGCTTATCCACCGGTTTAATCAGTGTAATTCGTCTCCGATCGACCATGTGCATATTGCATTGATCAACAACCGCACCCATGTTGTGGTTGGCGGGGTACTAGAGTCGGTTATCTGCTTTGTCAAGTTCATTCGGGAGGTCTGCAAGTCGCCTAAAGAAGATCAGTCGCACATTCCAGTCTCGCAGCGCAAACCAGTTGCCATGGTCGACTATCTGGCATCCAGCGTTATCTGCCACAGTCCGCTTATGCGCAGCGTTGCCAAATGGGTCTACCCGTATGTCGTTAGTAAGGGGTTCCTGTTAGAGGCATCAGGTATGCAGATACCTGTTAGTGCTGGTCACGATGGGCATGACCTCCGCAACGAGGAAAGCCTGACCAAGGCTCTAGTAGACAGCATGGGCGAGTACACCGTCGACTGGCCAGTTGTAGTAAAGGGCGTCAATGCCACACACATTGTCGACTTCAGCCCGGGAGGGTTCAGCATCTTTGCCCTGCTCACTCGCAGTATACTGGAAGGCAGCGGGACGACTGTTATCTGTGCTGGCTCGCTTACCCGCTCGAAGAGGTCCACCAATTGGTTCCAAGGCGGATTTGTACCAGTCCAATATGGGATCGATTGTCAAAGCACCAAACTTTGCGCTTTCGTTTGGGCCGCGCCTTGTTAGGACAGCCCACGATGCCCAAGTACATATTGACACACCAATGTTCCGTGTACTCGGGCAGCCACCAGGTGATGGTGTCAGCCATGATCACCTACCTGCCGAAAGTACCAAATTTGTCGCTGCGATCAACAGGGCAGGATATCATGCAGAGCTTACTGTGTCGTGCAGGGAGACCGCGCTCCAGCTCCGCGAAAAGGTCAGCGACCTCCTCCAGCGTGTGGAGCCAGGCCAGCTTGTAACCATCTGCCTTAACCACACAATTCAGCGCCACTGGACCGAGTTGTTTCCAGCGATTCTGAGAATGCGCCATGAGGGTATTCCAATTGGTGGCCTGAGCATTTCTGGTGGTATTCCGCCACTCAAGGTGGCTATTGATCTCGTTGCGCGCTTCCATGATGCAGGCATTGCTCATGCAGCACTTAGACCATCGACTATCGCCGATATCCGCACAGTGCTTGCAATTGCCAAATCTAGGAGCGAGTATCCGATCTCGATGCTATGGGCTGGCGGCAGATGTGGCGGCTACCACTCTTGGGAGGATTTCCACCAGCCCATTTTGGAGATGTACGGCCAAATAAGGTCGCAGAAAAACATCGTGCTTATTGCGGCTTCAGGCATCGGCAACTGGGAGAGTGCGCTTCCATACATTTCGGGCGAGTGGAGCCGAGTATTCGGCCGATTCCCGATGCCATTTGATGGTATTGCTCTTGGATCACGCCTTATGGTAGCGAAAGGAGGCAGGTACAGAACGGGGCTGTTAAAGAGCTCATTGTTGCTGTGCCTGGGGTGGCGGACAGTGAATGGGACAGTTCATGTACCTGCACTGCTGGAGGTGTTATCTCGATAGTCTCAGAGAGCGGGACCCCAATGCATGTGCTTGCAACGCGCGCAGCCGTGTTGATCAAAGACCTGCAGACAGGCATATTCTCGTTACCTGTTGATAGCCAGCTGGAGCTGATCAGGGAGAAGCGAGAACATATCATCCAACGCTTGAATTCGGACTATTTGAAGCCTTGGTTTGGCTGTAGAGCCGATAGCCCCATTTCCGAACTCGAGGATATGGCGTATTCGGAGGTTGTCCGTCGCATGGTTGATCTGATGTTTGACCAAGGGCAGTCGCGATGGGTGCATGAATCGTTTCGTAGTCTGGTTGCCAAATTCATTCGCCGCATTGAAGACCGCTTCTCGGGAACTGCACGAGAATGTGTACTTGTCAGCATTGGCGAACTGATAGATCCGCTGGACCTGATAAGCGATATTGAAAGGGCATATCCTGACATGGTGGACCAGCTGCTGACATCGGAGGATATTATTTTCTTTTTGGAGCTCTGCAAACAAGCAGACCCCATGCCTGTGCCGTTTGTTCCAGTGATAGATGGCGACTTGTGCGCATGGATGATGAGAGGAACCGACTGGCAATCCAGAGCACCTTGATTCCGTTATTGGAAACGATCCACAAAAAGTGATTGTGTGCCAAGGTCCCGTGTCTGCTCAGTACTCGACCATTATCAACGAGCCAGTTCAGGTTATCCTTGATGACATTTACCATAGTCTTGTCAGCGCCCTTGTTGATGGACAATATGCTGGAAACGAGTCCATTATCCCTGTTACCGATTATATAGGGGCTGAGGAGACAGAATGTCCTGCTCTGCCATCCGTCAATCAGAGCACTAGTAGCTTGGGATGCACCTACTCCTTGCCCTGCCGATAAAGGGCTACTTCCAGGTCACGATCAGTGGTTAGAGGTTTTGGCTGGCCCCCAAAAGAGCTGGCTAGCGTTGTCTCCTTTCTTCACCGCATATTCTCCAGCGCCAGAACCTAGTTAGCAATGGCGTCAGGCAACTGCTGTGTCCCTCAGTTGGTCAAACTGTGGTAGTATCTGAAAAGGAGGATGTGCCAGATCGGATGACGGTGTTTAGCATTGATGGGCAGCCGGACGTCATTGCCAAAATCGATGAGCGCTGCATAATCAATATCGCGATAAACGGTCCGAGTCCTAGGTAAATCATACCGCCTTGACCTCCTGGTACAGGATATGAGCCCTCAAACATGGCAGCCCCTATCATTGAGATAATGGAGGACCGGGATGAGCGAATTGCTGAAATTATTCCTGAGTACTGGCAGTGATCGGAGGGAGAATGCGCAAAACATTCGTGCCATCAACCCTGCAGATTTATCTGTTGGGTTTGAAGGTGATGCATATATGGTGACGAGCGAGGCTGTTCAGAGCCTGTGTGAAAGTGTCGGAAGCACATCTCACCGTTCTAGGCTTTTCTCTAGACACCAGGTGCCTATTGATCTGCTATACACCATTTTCCAGCCATACGTAGGCCGCAATTGTATTGTCGCATCCCTGGAATATTGGGCCTGCTCGACTACCTTCATCTCAGGAACAGCCTAGAATATATTGAAGGGGAAAGGCATATCCACATAGGTGACGTTATTAATACTGTGGTCAGACCAGTGGCCATTATGAACTCGAGCATGGGCAGTATTGCTAAATTCCGTGCAACGTTCTCCAGACACTCTGTCCCTTTTGCAATCATGGATTGCGAGTATGTTTGCAGAGGCCAGGTGGATCAAACAGCACCTTGCATTTAACAATGTCGATGAGCCGCGATATCATATCGTCATGGAGTCATTGGACGACATAGTTGCGCTTGAAACTAAGGCGTGGTTTGTGTATCGCGAAACTAACGACTGGGAAATCAATCACTTTGGGGTCGCGATTATACTTTGACCTTAAATCACAATACCGCTACACGTCAACGGAGATATATTCTAGTGTCGTAACTTGCGGCCCAGTCTACCTCACCCTCTCAAGTTTCGAGCATGTTCATATTGCTGATATAGACTATGCCACTGGTAACTGCGAAGGAAATCCGGTGATAGCCTATCTTGACCAGCACAGTGCAGGCCCGAAGGCACAGCATCGGTTTGAGAATGGTAGTATTCCGATCATGCCTAAGGGCTTCAAATGGAACCATGGATGTGACAGCGCCTAGTGATAACTGGAAATACTCGCAGGCCTCTGGTGATTACACCGCTATCCATAACAATGCTTACATTGCAAAATACGTTGGACTGCCATCCGTCATTACTCATGGAATGTGGACTGCGGGTTCAACCAGAGCACTGGTAGAACATCCACGTCGCTATGGGTAATACAGAGCGGATGCGTTCATATGCCGTTGATTTTGTCGATGCTGTTATGCCCGGTGATTGCCTCACGACGACTATGCACCATGTGGGAATGGCCAATGGTTTAATGCTAGTCGAAGGTGAAACTTGTAAGCAGACAGGGGCAATAGCATTGCGCTTCTCTGCCAAAATCGAACAGCCCAACACAGCATACGTATTCACTGGTCAGGGTTGCCAGTTTATTGGGATGGGAGCAGAGTTATATAGCTCATCAGCAGCAGCGAAGAGTGTGTGGGATCGCGCAGACAAACACATGTTCGATAAATATGGTGTGTCTCTTCTCACGATTGTTCGGAGTAATCCCAAAGCCTATCGGGTGAAATTTGACGGGAAGTTAGGTGCCAAGATACGAGCAAACTATTTGTCGCTTGTTAGACACGATGGCGGATATGCAGCATGTCTATTCCCTGGAATAAGCGAAGCGTCGGCTAGCTATACCCACCGGTGCGCAAATGGCTTGCTGAACGCGGCACTCTTTACGCAGCCCATACAGACAGTAATGTCTATCGCACAGGTAGCAGATATGCGTGACAAGGGGCTGATTCAAAAAGGCGCAGCTTTTGCAGGCCATTCATTAGGGGAGTTTGGGTCTCTAGCTGCAATCGCCGAAATCGTGTCTATCGAAGATGCAGTGGATATCGCACTTTATCGTGGGCTTTTGTTACATTCGTCGGTGGCACGAGATAGCAATGGGCTCTCAGAGTACGCAATGGTGTCGGTTAATCCGAAATGCGTTGGAGATATGTTTGACGAGTCTGTCTTGCTAAGAATCGTAGATGCAATTTAGTAAGCAGAGTCCAGCAGCTGCTTGAGGTCATCAACTATAACGTTCGCATGAGCCAGTATGTGGTTACTGGGCACGTTTCGTCTCTAAAGATCATGGGTTTCGTCCTGGACAAAATATCACATATTAGGGGAGATTCCAGACAGCAGGTATATCCACGCGCTGATAGCTTGTGCCGATGGTCGAATTGAGGAATCACCAACTCTCAAAAATGGTACTGCCACCACAGTTGTTCCTGGTGTTGATGTTCCATCTCACTCGTCCCAACTCTTGGCAAGCTGTTTCTAGCTTCCGCCAATCACTTGCCAGTAAGATATCCAAATCCTCTATCAGCTACGACAGGCTACACAAAAGATACATCCCCAATTTGACTGGCTTGCCTTTCGAGCTCTCCAAGGGGATATTTGGAGACTGTTTACAATATGTGCAAGTCGCCAGAAGTTGCGCGAATGCTGGAATCATGGGAAAACTATAGTTCAGAGAAAGTCCAGATGCAAGACAGCTATGCACGCACACTGGTTATCGAATTGCTAGCATACCAGATTGCATCACCAGTGCAGTGGGTTGGTACTCAAGCAACCTTATTCCATTTATGTGGGGTCAAGCGGCTGATTGAGATAGGACCAGGCCCAACGTTATCTAGAATGGCTGATCCAGACGCTTGCAGCTGGGGCGGTCAAGACCCACAATGTTACGGTACTGCATGTCCTCACCAATCCAGATGCCGTGTACTATAAAGTCCGCGATACAGCGAAGGGGAATTTTGATAAAGGATATCTCTACAACACCTAATCCTCTGGGCCAAACAGTTGCCTTCAATCAAAACTGGTTTGCTTAAAGGCCTCTGAATCTGTCGGATTAGCTCAGCAAAATCCGACTGCCGAATATCCCGTACAAATGGTCGACGTGGTGCGTGCAGTAGTAGCACAAAAGGACTGGCAAGTTGTTGCTTGAGATTCCAAAAACAAAGTCCATCAAAGAGCTTGTTGCTGGAAAGTCTACAGTTCAAAACGAAATTGCAGCCAGGTCTCCAGAAGGAGCTTGGAAAGCCCATTCCCGATAATGGCGAGGATATTCCACTTCATGTCCTTGCAAAGAAGCTAGGGACATATAGTGGGAGCTTGGGTCGATACACAATGGCAATGTTTTCACGACTTGTTAGTACGAAGTTCCCAGGGAGCATTTCCCAGTCTGCTGTTCGGCATCATCTGAAGTCAGCGTATGGGCTAGGCACACTTCGCCAAAATGGAGTGAATTCTTTTGGCCATTACGACAGAGCCAGCAGAAACGCCTTCCTGACGATGAGGCAGCATATAAGTGGCTCGACAGTGTTGCGCAAGTGTACGCACAAGTGGAGGGGATTACATTCAATACCACAAACCCCAATAGTGCTGCAGGCGCTAATGGTTCACCAGTTAGCAATGCCGCTGTTATTGAGAAGGTAGAGAGCAACCAGCGTGAGTTGGCTCTTCAGCAGATCCGGTTGCTGACTAAATATGCCTGGAATTGATTTCAGCAGCAAGGAGTCCGATCGTTGGAGCATTCTGAGACTAGGGTTAATGAGCTGGAGACACAACTGGGCCAGATCAGAGATGAGCTTGGTGATAGCCTTGTCGATGGTAGCAGTGGAAAATTCAACAAGCTGAAGGCTCGGCGCTATAGTTCATATTGGAACTGGGCCCGGCAGGATGCACTTGAGTGGATTTACAGTACTATCGTTGGTGGTGAATCGACAGGCGACACACTAGTTAATTCACAGAGGTCTGCACATGCTGAAGAATCGTACCACACCCTGGGCTACTCAACATGCTCAAAGCAGTTATCATGACGATTGCAAAAATGCGATGATGGGGAGTCGCAGCGTGCATTCAATCTAGTGGAGCAAGTATACAAGCAATGCGAGATATCACTAAAGTCGCCGCCTGTGTACCGCGCGCTTTTTAGGTCACTGCGTCCTAGAACAACTGTCACTCACAAAGGAGAAATAGTCTACACAGAAACACCGCGGGAGGATGAGCCATGTGTTTCAAAGTATATTGAGAACATGCACAGCCCAGCCAATGCACGGGTCACCACGCTTATACATTTATGAGCATTCAGACGACTGGACACGAAACTTCAGTAAAGACAACACCGGCGTGTTTTTCAATTCGCTCATGAACATTTCAGAGTGCGGCATTTCCTTTGAGGGAAGGACAGCACTTATTACAGGCTGTGGCCAGGGGTCTATTGGTTCTGGAGTCCTTGAAGCGCTGCTTTCTGGGGGAGCCAAAGTAATCGCTACAACGTCTAATTATTGCCGGCGTACAACTCGGTATTTTGAGGATATTTACCGCAGGTTTGGTGCTCGAGGATCAGAGCTTGTGCTGGTCCCATTTAACCAAGGGTCATCATTAGACGTCAAAGCTTTGGTCGATTACATTTACAATAAGGATGAGCTTGGATGGGACCTTGATTACATCGTTCCTTTTGCGGGATCTGCTGAGCGGGGGCGTGATCTAGCCAATATCGACTCTCACAGTGAGCTGGCAATGCGAGTCTCCCTGACAAACCTGTTCAGGTTATTGGGTGAGGTATTGTGTGCAAAAGCGAAGCGCAACCTCCAGCTATCACCAACCTTGGTCGTACTGCCACACTCTTCTAACTATGGGGTGGTAGGAAATGATGGGCTTTACAGCATTGCAAAAATTGGTCTCCAGACGCTGTACCGGCGTTGGTATGCCGAAGATTGGGGAAAATATCTGCTACTCACAGGAGCAGATATTGGCTGGGTTAGAAATACAAACATGACATCCGATGGAGCAATCATATACGAAGACATAGAGCGGGTCTGCCGGACATTTTCACGTGAGGAGATGTCACTCAACCTCATTGCACTTCTAAGCACTCCCATGGCTAGGTTGGCAGCAGAAGCACCAGTGTTTGGTAATTTCAACGGTGGGACGGCAAGCACCATGGACGCACAAGCACAGATGATGCTGGCAAGAAACAGGATTGATGCTGAATCTTCGCTTAAAAAGGCGATTCTTTCCAAACTTGTTCTTGATGGTAACGTCGAAGGTGCAGGGAATTCAGGAAGTTTCTTTTCTCGTGACCAGACAGTACCACTCGCGAACCACCGGTATGAATACCCACCGGTAAAGCCATACGAGCAACTGGGCCACTTGCGCTATTTGCAAGGTATGGTTAATCTCGATAAAGTAGTCATTGTTTCCGGATTTGGCGAGGTTGGCCCATTTGGGAATTCGGCGCTACGATGGGAGATGGAAGCATATGGCGAATTCTCGCTGGAAGGATGCATTGAGCTGGCCTGGATAATGGGCCTCATCAAGCACTTTTCTGCGCATCATCCGCTCCTCGGAAAACACTATATTGGGTGGGTTGATGCTAGGACAATGGAGCCAGTACGTGATATTGACATAAAGGCACAGTATGAGCAGTATATACTGGACCATTGTGGTATCCGTGTGGTTGAACCAGAGCTGCATGATGGGTATGATCCAAACAAAAAGTCAATGATGCGCGAGCTACAAATAGCTCATGATTTGGAGCCGTTTGAGACAACAGCAGAAGAAGCTGCCAATTTCAAGCTGGGCAGTGGTGACAAGGTCGATGTGTGGGAGAATTCGGACGGTTCATGGTCGGTAATGCTCCGCAAGGGTACCGTGTTGCTCATTCCCTAAGGCATTAAGATTCGACAGATATGTTGCTGCACAGTTGCCTACTGGCTGGGATCCAACACGGTTTGGGATTCCTGAGGCTATGCTTGAGCATATCGATCCAGTTACCAGTTACGCACTAGTAGCAACTATGGAATCACTGATTCGCTCAGGTATCGCCGACCCATATGAGATTTACCAATATCTCCATGTCTCAGGAGATCGGCTACAGTATTGGGTCATCATTAGGCGGTGGCAAATCTATTCAGAACATTTTCCGTGGCCGTTGGATGGACAAAGGCACACATGTTGAGACTGGTGTTGAGGCAACAACCAACTGTATTTCCGCATGGATAAACATGATGCTTTTGTCGGCAGCCGGATCGTTGAAGCCACCTGTTGGAGCCTGTGCGACTGTTGCAATGTCGCTAGATATAGGGATTGAAACGATCCAAAGCGGCAAAAGCCAAAATCATGATTGTTGGCGCATCAGATTCATTTGCCGAGGATTCAGCTTATGAATTTGGTCAGCTTGGCGCAACAGCTAGTGCTGAAAGCGATGCTAGGTGCGGCCGCGAGCCTACTGAAATGTCACGTCCGTGCACAGCGACTAGGGGCGGATTCATAGAAGGTTATGGTTCAGGGATTGCAGTCTTGATGTCAGCTTCGGTCGCACTAGAGATGGGTGCACCAGTGTATGGCATACTAGCGTTATCTTCAATGGCAACAGACAAGGCTGGTCGTAATTTGACCGCTCCTGGCCAAGGACTAATGACGGTTGCGCGTGAACAGCATTCAGAACTTCCACCAGTACTTGATTTTGGCTACCGGCGTCGCATGCTTAGTCGACAGCTCAGCTCCATCAATGAGTGGAGGATGGAGGAAATTGAGCGGGTTAGGTGTGCCAATTCTAGCAAGGAGAATAAGTCACAAGGGGATATCGATGTAGCAAATAAGGCTCATCGAGTTGGATACTCTTCACCAGCAACGCGAGGCTCTCAATGCTTGTGGTAATGACTTTTGGAAGGGTAACCCGCATGTATCACCATTGCGTGGCGCCTTGGCTACCTGGGGGTTGGATATCGATTCCATATCAGTCGCTACTTTCCATGGGACATCGACACAGCTGAATGACCGAAACGAGTCCGACGTTGTCAACAAGCAAATGCGGTATCTGGGTCGCACCCCTGGGCTACCAATACACGTTGTGTGTCAGAAATGGTTGACAGGGCACTCGAAGGGCGTGGCAGCAAGCTGGATGCTAAATGGGTTGTTGAAGTCAATGACCACTGGCATTATTCCAGGCAACGCAAATGCCGATGACATCGACTCTGAATTCGAAAAATTCGAATACCTGGTCTATCCAAACCGCTCAATACGTGTTCCTCACGTAAAAGCTGGGCTGCTAACATCGTTTGGGTTTGGTCAAGTTGGAGGGGAGATAGTGGTCATTCACCCAGATTACCTGTTTGCCACCCAGACAAAGGAGGATTTGGAGATGTACAAGGGAAAGGTAGAGCGAAGGCAGAAAAATCCATATCGCTATCTGCATGACACGTTCGTGGAAAATCACACATTCATTCAGCCTAAAGAAACGCCGCCATTCACCCCTGAGCAAGAGCTTGGCGTATATCTAGATCCTCTTGCGCGCACACGGTATGACCGAGCTACGGGCAAATATTGTTTTTAAAATGACTGTAGAACTCGTTGAGTAGCTTTAATACACTTCATTTTTAGCGTAAAAATTGGTCTAACTCATGTCAAGCCATCTCCTAAGTAAAATATCTGTGAAACGATGTGAGAACGAGACAAGTTTATACCCTCAGCAAAAATGTTACTGCAATGAAGTGAGGTTTCTCTAATAACATCCAATGTTGGGTTGGTGAACTTGCACAAGACTAGGAAGACTTATCCGTCACTGAGATAGCTTGAGGGATTTACATGGTAATAGCCATGGAAACTATAAGCCAAAAAGTCTAGAGCACAAATAGACGTCAACAATATACCCACTCCAGACTAGTACTGAATATGAGTATTCTGGGAAGACCTCCGACCGTGAGTAGTGTGAAGGCGATAGGGAAATGTCAAAACATCAGTGTTTCGCCAACCATTGCCAAGACCACCTAGTGATATTCACACAGTATAATCGAGGTTTAGTTTGCCAAAGAGGAGGACATTATGATATAGCATACAAATGCCTACATTTGAAGGCTGGAGTGGTCAATTCTCAACAAGATGATGCCTTGCTCAAATATAGATAAGGGTACAATACCTGCTCCTCCCAGCAAACTCATTCTTCGAATCAGGCACCAAGGTTCCTCTAGTGTCGACGAGTGGAGCCTGGATAAAACCAGTAAATGCCTTTTATAGAAATGGTTTCCCTCATCTGCCACCGAAAAAACCATCCAAATTTTGCGTATAGAATCTAGACAGACTGTTTGGATGCACCATTATGCCATTGTGCCATTGTGCCTTCAACCAGCCCTGCCACTTGTGTTTTTGCCGGGCTGGTTCCACAGTGGCGTTAGGGGACGCTTCTGGTTGGTGTGGGGGAATATATTCGAAGCTCGAGGCTTGTCACAGTCGGAGGCGTCTGTAATGGGGGGTTGAGAACGCCACGGCAATACTTCCATTGCCGGCTATTTACGGTTATTACTGGCAGTTGTGGATCAAAGCAAGCTATTGCATTTTAGGACCCACAGAAACCAAAAATGTGGACTCATGCAAGCGACTTCTGAAATGATGATCGATGAGCATATGCAGATCTGTATATGGGTTTAATAGCGTAGAATAGCATGTGATGTTGGATGAAACCTACCGACACAGACTGCTTAAAATATGTTTTTTTTTTTAAATTTCTGTCACAGGCTGCGCTTACAATCACCAGCGCTTGACCCAAGCCTTGCGTTTACCAATGTGGCGCCACATGGCGATATGAGCTCCCATCAGGACCTCAGCACTGGAAACCACCTTTGGGGAAAATTAACCACCAAAAACGCATGCAAGTGCCTCCCTGGCAAATATGTGGCGGCATCGTAGCCACAAAATATACAACAATATATCCGCCAGTGATAGTATATTTAGCCATCTAATGATATATTGCAGAGTTTTGCCAACAAGCTAACTTGCCTGGCCTACCTGCTGTTTTTTGTGTGTGCAAAAGATGATGTGGACTGAGACCCCCATATAAATGGTTCCCACCTAGAATCATGGCTTGATACAGCCACTGGATTCCACAATGAAATATGGGCTGCTGTGTTTTGGACTTTGAGCATGGTAAAGTGTCGATTCGTTCCAGCGAGCATGCTTAAGCCCAAAAAGATATCTAATAGTTCCAGGTATAAAATGACATTGGAAGCCCAAAAATTCGAACTCCTTCGCACACTAATTCACTAGCATCAAAGCAATTTGCATTTTACCAATGGAGTATTTTGTCAATAACGTCACCTCAAAGAAGTATTCCGGGAGAAAGTTTGAAATGCAATGTTCTCTCATGAACATCCGGACGATATACTTCTATGCCAATTCTACTGGCTCTGAAAGTTTCATAGCCTAGCGACAAGCTCGAGCAAGCGTTCTACAAGACCCTCGCTCTCTTTCCATGGCTGGCTGGCTATCTTGAGCCGACGACCGATGGTGGCTTCGAGATAGTTGTGGACAAGGGCAGCTTGAACATGCCCGTCTACCGCGAGTCGCACTCCGATGTGCATTTCAAAGGATGTTCAGTCCTACTGGATTCAACCGTACGACATGGCCTAAGGATCTGGTTCCTGTTAGCGAACTCGCGTATCCGGACAAGGCTACGGGGATTATCAAACTTGTCCAACGTCCACATCATGCGTCTGAAGGACAACAGCGGGGTGATATTTTCCATACAACCTAAACCATGGGGTGTCTGATGGCATCAGCTGTGTAATGTTCTTTAATCGCTGGGCGGAAGAGATGCGTGCGCTGATAGACGGTGTGCCTGCCAAGGAAACCAACTTCTACTTTGGCCATGACATGCTCTTAAAGTACCTACCTGACGAGCGTGCTCCACTCGGCGAGACAGCCCGTGCCGTATATTCAGTGAAGGTCTCGGATGGCCGATTTCATAATGTGGCTCTCGCCTAATGCACGTGCCAAGCTGCTGAGTAACACAGTTGGCAAGGAACCGACACGCGGGCATGTGTTCCGGATCACACGCGCCAAAGCTCGACGAGCTCCGTAAGCCAGGCACTCGAGCATCTGCAACCAGGGTCTCGTCTATCCATGAACGACATCCTTACTGCTGCTATTGGCGGTGTCCATAAACAGGCCGAGGCAGAAGTGGCAATGAAGGGCCGGGGGTGGCTGTCTAAACTGACTGGCTCGGCAAAGGGTATCGCGGGCGAGCACTGCTTGATCTTCCCCTGCGACCTTACGTGGTCGTCTTGGGATGACAGAGTTGAACTACACTGGGAATCCGCTGGATCAGCGAGTTTGTTGTGAGCCCGATGAGCCAGGCGCATTTGCCCATTACCTCTAAGGCAGTTGCAACAGCTGCCAGCCAGGTTCCGTTCTCTGATGTCCGGTTTCACTCCGGAATATATCGGGCAGATCATTGACATGGTTCGCTCGGACGACGTATACATCTCCAATTACCTTGCTGTGTGCTTGAACTACAAGGTTGTATCAACGGTGAGCTACCTGTTGGGTATTGGATTTTATCAGGCTGATTTCGGTTACGGCGTATCCAAGTTTACGACAGTGCATCCAGAATTCAATATGAGAACGTTCATGATCATGCCCTCGCCACCGCCAAGCACAGATATCCTCGTTAATGTTTGCGTTTCACCATCGGTTATGAACACCATCTTGAAGAACAAGTTCTGGATGAACCTTGCCGAAGTAGTTTATTAGTTAACAGTCGAATATTGATGTCTTCAAACAAATACTATGTCTGGCATGAAATATAATCGTCGTTCGCTAGTAGGACCCCGAAGTTGGGTACTGGCCGCATATAGTCACTGTTCCGTAGTCATCTTTTGCCGAAATACCGAATTCCTGTTGGCAACAGGTAAAGCCTTGTTAATGTCAGACTGGGCAGCTATAAATCTCTTCTCCCTGCTTCCTTGCTTCGTTTCCAAGCTGACTCGCACCTTCCAACATTCTCTACCTTTGAATTCCTTTTGCCTGCAAACATTTCCATAATCCTGCAATGCGTAGACTATATTCCTGGAGATACCAGTCTGACAGCGACAGTGGTCGCGTGAGCATCTTCAGCAGCAGTTTTCGCCCTCATATCCGCACGCCTACGATCAGCTATCTCAAGCTCCTGTTAGTCTTTTCAGTCATGATCTGGGTACCACTGTGTCTATTCTACGGCTGTATATACAAACGCAGTACATTGGCGCACAATGTGTCGGTGCAGATAGTCGATCTCGATGGCAGTCCGGTTGGTGCTAATATAGCACAAATGGTCATGGATATCCCTGAAACAGATTCTCTCTCGACATGGGTTCGCATGGGCGGTTTTGACTCTCCTGAAAGCGTCGAGACATGGGTGCGGAAGAACGGCAAGCCTATATAATTGGCTCATCCTACGACCCCTCACAGGCGCTGACTGTTATCGAGTCGAGTGGTCGACACCCGATTAGCGAGATGTTGTTCATCAAAGCAGGGCTGACCGAGGCAGTATCTGTAGTTTCAAGCCAGTACTCGCTCCAACTTGTGAAGGGATTCCAGTCGCAGCAGATGGGGCTCGGTGGATCAGATACGGCACAAACAAACGCAGCAGCGCTACTGCAGCCCATTGGATACACAACAGTCGAGGTATCGCCAGACAACTACAGCAACGCGCCGTTCGCCTTCATGTTCGGCTGCTTCTTGCATGTTGCTTTGCTCATTGGCAGTCATGATTATGTGGAAGCTCACAACATTCCCATTCTTCACCAATGTCAGATTCAGAGATCTGGCCATTATGTGGCCAGCTCTCATCGTCAGCATGTCACTCATCCTGTCGTTCTATTTGTCGCTGGCATTCCTTGGCGTACCGTGGTCCGGACTACAGTGAAAATGCCCTAAACGTACACTGCAGCCTCGTTCTTCAAGATATGGTTCATTGCGGCAGCAGTCAACTCGGCAAATGCACTGTGGCTGTTCAACTGGTTCCTGAACATTCCAGCCTCTCTTTATCGCTTGTCCATCCGTCCCTACTGTTATCTGCACTGTTGTCGCATGTGCGACAGCCCCTGAACTTGCACCTAGCTTTTACAAGATCTTCTACGCGATGCCGTCCTACAACGGCTACCGAATCTTTCAGTACGTAGTCACTGGTGCTTATCCGCACAACGGTAAGCACACCGGAATTCTTATTGCAGAGATTGTGGCGATGATACTGCTCATGACTGCCGGTGTCTGGTTCCGCCAGCTCTTTGTCCTGCGTGGCATCGCCGACTCGCATGGTTGGTTCCGCGGGGAGACTTATTTCCACTCGGAGATTCCGTAGTACAAGGACGTTGCTGTGCAGCAGTATGGTGATTCGGAGAGCACACTTCAGACACATAGCACAGAGACAAGGTCAATCGAGATCAGCGATGTGCAGAGCAACAGTGTCGGCTTGCGGGAGGGAAACCTTGCCTGTTGAATACATTTTAGTGTACACAAACACAATGTGCGACTCCTGGAATTCTGAATGGGCGGTTTGGATGTGTAGCTCGGCTCAAGCTGCATGAACCACGCAGTTTGACTGCGGAGAAAAACAGGTATGAAGGTGCCTATAAAACGCTCCTCAGACCTTTTGCAGAATCAAAAACAACACAACCTGGACAATTTTTACTCTTTTTTCTCTTCCAGCTGCATCCTGTCTTTATATTCCCTTCGCCCCTTCAATGGACATCAATATCCTGTTCGAACGTCTCCATGAAAAGCTTGGCGATGGCGCTGTGTACGCCAGACAGTTCGACGTCATGCGCACGATAATGGAAAGGCGTATGGTCGCAATGAGCGATGCTATCAGGGCCAAGCCGAACTGGACCATCAAGATGCAGGACGACAAGATTCGCCAGAAGTGGGCTGCTGAGGCCAAGAACCAGGGTCTGACCGATCTGGAAATCAAGTATGTTCTGGAAGAACTCGACTACTACGCCAAGTTGCGCGATCCAGAGACCGGTATCGAGGTCAGCGGTGTCGACATGGTCTGGACTTCGGACTCCCTTATTGGTGACGCCCTAGCACAAGAGCTGCACGACTATGCGTTTATCCTGGAAGGTGTTCCCGAGAAACTGAAGGACTGGCACCCGAACACGAACAAGCAGGTGCTGAACCTCATCCACCCGTCGCTGTACCCGCTTTTCTACGACGGGTCTTTCCTGTGCCAGCCCATTGCCTCGCCAGCTGCTGCCCTGGAACCACCGACTATCAAGTGTCGGCCATGCGGTGTTCATGAATGGCGCAAGGAAACAGCAGACTCAGACATGGGCAACGTTCCAGTTGACGGCGATTATTTGTCGAGGCAGTACTGCTGGCTCCCCAGTGAGTTCCATGTTCGCGACGATGGCTCAGTCGAAATCGAGTCGTACATCAACAACCTCCATCCTGTGAGGCATGCAAAACTATACCCAACCATTGCTAACGTTTTTGCGCGCTTCGTGCCCATGTTTGAGAACGTGGTCACGGATCTTGGGTTTATGCGTGGCTGCCGCGTTGTACCTGACCCGTATGCGTGGTTCTCCAATGTGGGTGATCCGTATAATGCTGAGGGTGACGCAGATGATGATGTGGATGAAAAGTACGAAAGGTGGCTTGAAGCCAGAGAGTTCATTACGCCTCCTCCAGAGGAGTTCAAAATGCCAGACCGTCCTATTCCCGCCTTCAGCTTCCGCGGCCGTTGCCTTCAGGTGATTGTCAAGATGTCGAACATCATACTGACTCCAGACAAGCCAGAGTACGAGGGGGGCAGCTGGCATGTCGAGGCCATGGCCAACGAGCACATCATTGCCACAGGAATTTACTACTACGACGTCGATAATATCACAGAGAGCAGACTCAATTTCCGCCAGTCGGCCAGCGAAGAGGTTGGCTACGAGCAAGATGACGCGCGTGGCATGAGGCTTGCGTATGGTATTGAACTGGATGAAGATCGTACGGCCACACTTTCCCAAGAGCTTGGTGGTGTTGAAGCACTTAATGGCCGCTGCATCTGTTTCCCAAACACCTACCAGCACCAGGTCTCTGGTTTCAAGCTCAAGGATCCGTCAAAGCCCGGCCACCGCAAGATCCTTGCCTTCTTCCTCATCGATCCGTCCATGAGAATTCCATCGACTAAGGTCGTTCCCCCGCAGCAGCAGGACTGGTGGGCTGAGAAGGTGTTTGAACTCCCGCTGTTTGGTGACCTGCCTCTTACTATCAAAGATTGTTTGGTCGAGCATGTCGAGTGGCCCATGTCGCTTGAGATGGCCAAGGAAGGACGTCTGAAGCTGATGGAGGAGCGCACATCAAACAACGAGGATGTATCTTCGTCGCATTTTGAGCAAGAGTTCAACCTGTGCGAGCATTAGTGCTTCTGCGTGTGGCTCAAAACGGTGACGCTAAAGAATGTGCCAGAGCTTTTAGGTCAACTGCTGGTAAAAATGGTTATGTATTTGGTGTTGAAGAATTATGTTTGAGGAAAACAAAAATGAGAAAATGAAAATATTGCGCATCTTGAGGGGCAGTCCATACGCCAATGTTCACCAATCCAGACACAGCATCCAATCCGTCCATTAACTTTCAAAATGACTGGTGCTTCCTATCTGCATCTGCTCACTGTCCTGGCAATTTTACAGTGCGACGCGCGTCAGGTTCTAGCGGAACATACGCCCCATTTGTGCAATTGCTGCGGTAGCTGTCAATCTCAGCCAAATAATTTATACTTTTCTATGCGCTGCGATCGACGGTCAAATCAGATCTCGCTTGTGCGGATGACAAATACATTCACCATCGCAGGCCAGTAAGAACGACGGGCAGAGCCCAGTAACGTTCATAGTAAGCCCTACTGCTTCTATGAAATAAGGTACAGACAAAGATTTGGTATAAATAGGATGGCATCTGCTCAGAATTCCATCCAGCATTCAATAACAGTCGATATTCGCTTCATCAGTAACAATCATCATGGTCGACGGCAAGATTAACGAGATCCACGGATGGGCAGCCACCAAGCCCGGAATCCAGGTAGAGCCGTGGTCATACAAGCCGCGGGCGCTGGGCCCCCACGACGTCGAGATCAAGATCACGCACAGCGGCATCTGCGGTTCTGACCTGCACACGATCAAGGGCGAATGGGACAACGTCAAGTACCCGACCATTGTCGGGCACGAAATCGTCGGCACAGTGATTACCACCGGTGCCAGCGTAAGCAGCCTGAAGGAAGGCGACATTGTCGGAGTTGGGGCGCAGGTATACGCGTGTCTGAAAGACACGTGCAAGGTTTGCAGCCGCGACTTGGACCCGCACTGTCCAGAGGCGGTGTTTACGTACGATGACACGTATGCTGACGGCCAGCAGGCGCATGGTGGCTACGCCTGAGGCTGTGCGTGTTCACGAGCACCACACATTCAAGATTCCCCAGGACGATTGATCCTGTGTATGCACCGCCGCTGATGTGTGCAGGTGCGACGGTGTTTGCTCCGATGCTGCGCAAGGGTGTTAAGAAGGGTGACCGTGTCGGCATTATCGGCATTGGGGGGCTCGGCCATCTGGCCATCCAGTATGCCAATGCGCTGGGTGCTGAGGTCGTTGCGTTTTCGCAATCGCCGTCCAAGAAGCAGCAGGCGACTGAACTGGGTGCTTCGATTTTCGTCGACACCACAAACAAGGAGGAGCTTGACGCTGTGCGTGGCACACTCAACTATCTGTTTGTCACAGCTAATGGCAGCAACAGCCCGCACAATGACTACGTGACGTGGATGGACTATGAGGGCCAGATCGTGTATCTGGCGGTTCCGCCAGGCAAGATGAGCTTCACGCCATCAGAGTTCATCCATAGCCAAGTCGCAATCACTGGCTCACTGATTGGCGGCGTCAATATCGTCAAGGAGACGCTGGAGTTTGCGGCCCGGCACAACATCCGGCCGGTTATCGAGCGGTTCCCGATGTCCGAGATCAACCAGGCTTTGGAGCGCGTTGACAGCGGACGGATCCGCTACCGCGCGGTACTGGAAAACTAGATATTGACGTTTTGTTTTAAATGATGAAAAAGATGGAAAGAAAACCCCCTCCTTTAGAACCGCTTGGCGCTCTCGGCCGAGTACTTCTTGTACGCAAAGAATGCACCGCCCAGGACACCACCGACAAGCACCAGCTTGAAGAAGGTGCCCACAAACGACGAGCCCTTGACCTTCTGCATCTCGGGCAGCTGCACATTCGGAATATGGTTGTAGTTCTTGAGGGCCTCTGGACGCAGGGTCTCGGCGCGCACCGAGATCAGATCGTGGTTGTCGCTGATATCGCCGGTCAGCGCCGAGAATCCCAGATACGAGTCCTCCGGCAGCGTCACACCCGAGATCGTGAAGCAGTTGATCCACTTGTCGTGCGGCTGCAGCTGGATCTGCACGTTCAGGAACTGGCCCTTCAGGTACGTCACCTGAGCCTTGGATGAATCCTTGAGGTTGCGGAAGTACGCCTCGCACATGCCCTTGCGGTTCGCGTCGCCGTCATGTGCGTTATCGTACGCCGTCTTGCCGTCTCCAATCATCCCCATGATGAACGGTACCGAGAAATCGTGCTTGCCGTTCGGGTACGTGTCGAAGAACACGCCAAGCCCGTTGAAGTAGTCCTTGTTGCCAAACACCGGGCCTGCTGTCGCCCGGTCCTTCGTCACAAAGAACCCCATGCCGTCGCCATACAGGTAGCCGCCCTTGCCGCCAATCTTGAAATCAAACTCCACCTTCCAGTAGTCGTTGGGAAGCGTCGTCGTGCTCCACAGCCAGCCCTGCCGCGAGGAAAGGTCAGGCGTCAGCCGGATGTTGCCCATGCTGTTGACTATCGCGTCGCCGCCAAAGTCGTAGTTGCGGATTTGGAACCCCTCGTCAATGTACGGCGCCTCGAGCGTGAACGACCGCAGGTACAGCACATCAGTCTCAATGTAGTCATCGGCAAACGCCGAAGGTGCTACCGACAGAATTGACAGGGCGCCAAGCGCGATTTTCGTCAGGGAGCCAAACATCTGAATAAAATTCGAAACAAAAAAGTAAAATTATGCAGCGGGAGAGAAAGCCGAAAGACGATTGGAATGGCCACAACAGCAGCAACAGCAGAGGGGTTTAGAGGCGCCGATGCGTGCGCTGGCTGGAATTAAAAGCTCGTGCAGCCAATAGCCGTAGCCCAGCGCCAACTCTTCCAGCTGCTGATTCGAAATCAGCCCTTTGGGATTCTCTGCCCGCCTTTCCCAGAGCACGGGGGCATTGGAGAGCGATTTGCGCTGAGGGAGCCTGCCGCTTGAATGGGTAAAGGTGACAGCTTGGCAGGACCTGCTCCCTCCGGCACCACAGATCCAGCTAGCCTCAGCTGCGGCTCCAAGCCCAGACCGCGCATTCTTGGGCATTTTCAGCGCACCGCCAGTTCGGGGCTGCTGCGATCGCCGGCGTCGCTATCGCCGTCGTTGTCCACATTGCCTGATGACGAGTCATTAGCAATAGGGCGCTTTTTGCTACTGTGCACAGCGGCAGAGGTCGGCGGCGGAGTCACCCTTTGCCTTCGGCTCGCCGGCGATCGTCCAGCAAATATCGCCCGGGCTGACCATGTACAGCTTGTTGATGTAGTGGTACATGACCAGTTCGCTGGTGTGCGTCACGCTGTCCCTTCCTGTAGGCAAGTTCAGGCTGCCCTCAGGCTTGAGCAGGCGGATGAAAGTCGACCCGGTCAAATACGCATCACATCCAGCCTCATGCAGGCTGCCCGACATGTCACGCGTGAACCGCGGGTGGTTACGAATCAGGCCCTGCGACCTGGACTCTCTTTCCAGCTTTGGCGCAATCTCGTCAAGATTCGATGTCTCATACTTGGCTTTGATGGCTGGCGTCGACTCGATTATGTACTTTGTGTCAATGAGCACTGGCATGAACTTGCCCAGCTCTTTCTCAAACTCGGCGCGCGTGTCAGGCAGCTGCTTGTGGAACTTTGAGAACATGTGCAGGATATCCAGCGGCATGTTGTGGCCAATAACCGGCTTGCGCGCCGCCGACAGCTTGTCGATGATCTCGCAGAATCCCCGGGCGCTGCTGATGCGGCGGTTCAGCGCCTCGATCTGGCGGCCCTGCATACGCGCCATGTCCTTCTTCGTCACCTTGCTGATCTCAATTGAACGGTGGTTGCTGCGCGTGCTCAGGTTATCGTGTTGCCCCACTGCCCCGTATATCCAGCCGCTTCTGGTACGAGTTGCTCGTATCGAACCTCAAGTGTCTTCTTATTCGAGTTTACAAACTCCTTTCAGCGTCTGCTCGAACTCGGCCATAAACTGCTGGCCCTGCTCATCGATGATCGTCATGGTCTGCTTGTTGTTGATCTGGTCCAGCTTCTCCTTGCGCACGCGCGCAATATCGTCGCCGCGCAGGTACATGATGCCTTGATGCACCCACTTGTTGAAATCAAACGAGTTTTTGGCCAGAAACTCGAACGCCGTGTTCTGGCAGCTGAAGTGTGTACTCACTGGAATCCCGCTGACGTTGGTGCACGGGAACACATTGAAGTTGAACGGCCGTGCTTCGTAGTACCCACCGCTCCCCTGGCTGCCGCCATCGCTGTCCTCTGATGCGCAGTCGATCCACGTAAACAGGCAGATTCCTACCTGGACCACGCCGAACATCTCGACGCTCTTCTTTAGCTTCTGGTAGCGCTCATCCTTGGTGTCCATACGGAACGGCTTGCTTTGGCTGTCTGGGTACAGGCCTGTCATCTCCATGTCAATCGCGACAAAGTCGCAGGTCGTGACCGCTGCGGAAAGCTCGCGCAGTGCTCCTCTGAAGTTTTCGCGGGTGACGTCCATTGCTAGTTGCTGCTGCTGCGGCTGCGGGTATTGCCTGGCTAAAGTTGAGTGGGTAATGCGCGCTCCAATTACAGTTGCATTTGGGGGAGGGACAAGAGATAGAGTGATATGGCGCTTTTCTACTAGTTCGGTGGTGTCGAAAATGCTTGCCAGACACCAACAGGCTCTGGTGACGAACGTGCCAAAGACCGTTGACTGTCGGCTCGCAGCAGGCGGTTCGCCGAAAGCAGCTCGCCGAAGGCAGCTCGCATTATCGCCCAGATATCGACTGAGGCGGAATGTTTTTCCGTTCCCCCAAAACAATTTTTCTCTTCTTTCCCTCCGCTGTTGGCAGTTCTCTGAAATTGTCTTTGTAATTATTTTTCTTCCAAACCAAAAAAGCGGTCTCCAATTTAACTACCTTGCTTCCGCACAGCCTATATTATCAGAAATTCACAGCATGGCTTCTATGAGCGCCCAGGAGCAGGACTACCAGCAGCGTGTGTTTGCTGACAAGTGCCGGCGCCTGCACTCGCATTTACTGGGCACTAAGAATCTGCTCGACAGCATTCGTGACTACAACAGGACAAAGTGGCCAGTGCACTACCCCCTGGCCAAGATAGCACGGGCAGCCGAGGCTCAGAGCGGCATGGGCATGCCCTCCGGTCTGCGTCGCTCCAACTCCATCAGCCACTCAATGTCGACCGACTCTGGCTTGGCGCCTTCACCGATGCGCCGCGCCATGACCACTGAGGACTCGAGCGCGTTCAGCAGCCGGATGACCAGCAGCGACGATGATTTGCAGCCAGAGCGCCTTCTGGACCCTAACGACCTCAGTGTTTTGCGGCTGGACCTGCGTCTTTCGTACCACGCCGACTCGGATGTGATGGGCTCGCTGGAGGAATCGAGCATTTCGCGGTTATTCGACGAGCGCCTGTCGCAGTGCGAGGTGCATATCGATAAGCTGATTGCCCGTGTCACCGACAAGTCGTCGAAGATTCTGGTCACGGGTGACCTAAATGCAGGAAAGAGCACACTGGTCAATGCGCTTCTGCGTCGCGAGATCCTGCCGTTCGACCAGCAGCCGTGCACGATGTTGTTCTGCGAGGTCGTTGATGCGTCACAGAATGGGGGCTGCGAGGAGATCCATGCAGTGCCTGATATTGCCAAGTACGACCACGCGGACCCATCGACGTACGTTACCGTAAGCATGGGCGATCTCGAGGATATCGTTATGGATAACGAGGAGCAATACCAGCAGCTGAAAATCTATTCGCAGGACAAGCGCAGTGACAAGGAGAGTTTGTTGCACAACGGCGTTGTGGACGTGTCGCTGATTGACTCCCCGGGACTCAACCGCGATTCGCTCAAGACAACGCAGTTGTTTGCGCGCCAAGAGGAGATCGATGTGGTTGTGTTTGTGGTCAATGCGGAGAACCACTTTACGCTGTCGGGCCAAGACTTTCTGCTGAACGCGGGCAACGAGAAGGCCCACATCTTTATTGTTGTCAACCGCTTTGATGCCATCCGCCGCAAGGACCGCTGCGAGCGCATGATCCTGGACCAGATCAAGGATCTGTCGCCGCTGACATACGAGGAGCGCCAGGACCTGGTGCATTTTGTCAGCGCTCGCGATCTGCTAGCCTGCCGAGGCTAGCGGCAGTGCCCAGCTGCCCGAGCCGTTTGCGCGCATGGAAGAGAGCCTGCGCTCGTTCACACTTGAGCAGCGCTTCAAGTCAAAGCTGGCCCCTGCCCAGCGCTATGCCATGAACGTCCTCTACGACGTGCAGTATCTGGCAGCCGAGAACGTGGCCTCTGCCACCAAGCGCATCCAGGAGATCAACGCCATTCTGCGCGAGAGCATGCCCAAGTACGAGACTCTTCTGACTGAGCGCACCGAGAACTCGCGCATGTCCGAGTCAATCCTGGACGACAGCTGCAAGGAGGTGCGTGAGCACACCACCACGCATCTCACTAACACCGCCACGCATCTGGAGGATGTCGCCTGAGAAGGTCAGCTGGCCCGGCCTGCTCTCGCTGTGGAAGTATGCCGAGGATGTGCTGCTGGCCATCGTGCACCATCTCGAGCATGAGGTCAAGGAGTGCGACCGCTTCACCAGCTTCACCATCCAGCAGGCTCGTCAACGACCTGGCCCAGATCGAGCAGCACCGCCGTGCTCTGGAGCCCCTGGCGCCGTCCGACAGCAGCAGCGGCGCGCTGGCTTTGCCGTCTGGTGGCAGCGACGGGCTGTGGGACGACGGCATGGCCTCAAGCATCACCGCCAGCCAGCTGGCTTCAATCGGCAGCATCTCCAATGCCCTGGACACGGTGCAGCTGGAGCTGGGCGACTTTGTCGACCTGGACCTGAGCCACAACTGGGGCACTCTGACCTCGCTGTCGGCTTCGGCGTCAATGGCTCTCTTCGCCAGCCGGTCGATGGCCAGTAACCTGCTGACGCTAATGCGGTTGTCATCGTCCATTGGCCCGACGACTGCGCGTCGCCTCATGGTGTCCGCGGCCATGCTGGTGGGCGTCAGCTCTGTCTTTTACATGGTGTCCGACATGGACGCGACAGTCCGGCGCAAGCTCTCTGCACGCGTCGCCCTGATGCTCAAGGACGAGGGCTTTCGTCGACCATCACGCCGAGCGCCTGTACACCGAGGCGTCGCGGGCGATCCGGCCGTTTGTGTGGCAGCTGCAGCACAACTTTGAGCGCATGGTGGAGGCCGAGGAGAGGCGCCGGGCAGACCATCTGCGCAAGCGCCATGTGGCCCAGGACTCGCAGATTTACTTTGACGAGCTGCGCAACAAGGCCCAGGACCTGGCGAATGCGGTCAGGGCCGTCAGCGCCGATGTGTGTATCTAAGGGGCAGTGGGGCTTCTTTCCTTTTCCTTTAATATCTTCTCCATATCTGCTTCCTTCTTAGTCTTTAAATGTTGTCCATTTTTGTTTAGCTTCCATTTCAACAGCTCCATTTCAACAGCTCCATTTCAACAGCTCCATTTGGATGCAGAGATCCCTGTGCGGTAATGGCTCGGGGGGATCGTCCCATAGCAACGGACCTGGTCCCCCGCAGTCGCGACATGTACAAAGCACCCGATTTTTGGGGTTCGGTTTTTCCTGGTTCTTTATTAGAACTTTGTGCAAGTTGCAGTTCTCTACTGCTGTGCCGGATTGCACCTGAATCGGGCATGGGACATGAACTGTGTTGCTAGAGCAACCTCAGCAGATATAATCGGCACTATCCCTTTCACTTGAAAGAGTCGACTATGGATTGCTTGTCCGTTCGCTCCTGCTGTACATTTTCCCAAAAAGCTATTTGTTCACAGAGATCGAGATTATCGTCGTACCCGTGCTTTCTCAAGTCCTTCCACGTCTCCTCCTCGTCGCCGGCGTTCGTCTGCAGGTTATAGAGCTGAACGAATCCTTCGCGCAGCAGATCGCCATTTTCCGTGCACTCGAGGTTCTCGCGAATGTCCTTCAGGTCCGCCTCGCTGAAGGGCTCGCCGTTGGTGAATAGCGCAAAGGCCGTGAGCTCGTCAGAGTTCAGAGCGCCATCCTTGTCGAGGTCGTAGCGGGCGAATATTTCGTTTAGCGCTGCATGGCATTTGGGCGTAAAGTCCATGTCGTCTTGCAAGAGTTCGGCCACCATAGCTATTTTCGTGTGCGTGATGATGAAGGGAAAGGGGGATCAAGGCCAGGAGACCCTTGCTTGGGCGCTGAGGCTATGGAGTCGGCCTCCCCCAGCAGCGATTGCATTTACTCGTTATTGTGGGGATTCCTATGGATATAGCATCTGCCAAAGGTCAGGCTGCCAGCCCACTACATGTATCAGCAGTGATATTGGATTTCATGTGCACAAGATTGGGCATTTTGGAGGTAGCATGTAGCCGACATGGCTCCACATGTTCGAAGCTAAAAGAGATTTAGATCAAGCCCTGGCGCTTCAGATCAATGTACGTCTTCTTGTTGAACACGTTGCCCTCGCTATCCTCAAACTCCTCAAACGTATCGACATTTGCCACCTCGTCCTTCTTTTCCTTTTGCACCCTCTCCCACAGCGCCAAGGCCTCATCGATCTTTGCCACGCCGTGGAACTGGCGAGTATTGGGAATCCCTAGCCTCCGCATGTTTGTCGCATGGCGCGTCTCTTGGAAATGCCGCTCATAGGCCTTGCGTCCCCGGTACGTGATGTTGCCGCACACCTCGCAGTCAAACTTGACGCCTAGACCGTGCAGCTTGTACAGCCAGTACGGAATCGGCTTGCCGTCCCACCCCAGGGGCAGATTCAGCGGATTGTACACCTGCTCGTCTTTTGTGTCGTCGTGGTGCACAAACTCCGGCTCCTCCGCGTCCATCTCGTTCTGCCGCTCTTCGTCGGTCAGCGCCTGTCGCCGCGACACGTTGGCGCGTGTATCGCGTAGCCGGTCGGCAAACATACGCGCATATGTCTGGATCAGATACTCTGTAAAGGCCGTCTTGCGGTCGCGCGCCTGCTTCTGCGCAATCTCCTGCTGCAGAGCCTTTTCAGCTGCCACCCTGTCGACCCCGCCCTGCTCGTTCTCGAGTCGAGCCACAACCTTTTGGTGCTTGCGACTGTTCATATGCGCCCTGAAGGTCGTGTCCTTCTCAAACTGCTTCTTGCACGCCGTGCAGAACAGCACCGATTCTTGGTCAATGCTTGTCATCCATCCAGCCACCTTCTGGTCGCGCCAATCCGCTTCAAACTGCTCCTGCGCTTCTTTTTGCACATTGGGCAGGTCAAACAGCGGCATTGCACGGCCCACATACCCTTCAAAGTATGACTGCAGGCAAGCTAGGTACTGGTCGTAGTCCTTGTGCGCCTTGTTCTTGCGGTCGATCGCCTCGAATTTGGAAAACTCGTCCAGGTACTCCAGATACTGTGATCCGTGCGACGCCCTTCAGGTTCACAAACAGCTCATACTGGCTCGTTCAGATCTACATACCGGCCCATCCTCTCCTCACCCGAAAACATAGTATCCAGCTTCTCCATATCCTGCGGACCCACAAATGTCTGCTGATCCACAGCCTCCAGGTCCTGCTCACTGAGCACCGGCGCGCTATCGCCTTCGGCGTCCATAGCTGCCTGCACCCGCTCCCGCCGTGCCAACTCCTGCTCCTCCACCTCCTCCGGGTTATGTCTATATGCCATGTACTCAATTTCTGGTGGCACCACGGCTGTGTCAGGGTTGCGCCGGTGGAAGTCGCGCACGTCGGCAAGCCGCGCGTAAAACTCGTTAAACTTGTTGTCGGCGATTCCATCTGCCTCGCGCTTGCGCAGGCCAGAGTCGTCGGCGCCGATACGCTGGATAAGTTTGCTGCGTGACTGTATTTGGTCAAGCAGGTCGTTGATTTTGTGTTCGCGCAGAAGCTTGTATTTGTGCTTCGACAGGTCCTGCATCATAAGGTCGACAACAGGCCTGCTCAAGTCGCTCAATATCCTCATGTGCTTGCCGCTCCTGCTCGATAACGCTGTCCATGGTGTGGAAAATAATGACTTGTGGAAAGAAAGCTGTTGCGCGCTGACAAGTTGCAAATGGCGCCGCGAATTTCGAAATTGAATCAATCGTAATTTGCTGTTGCACCAGTTTTGGGATATGGCTCTATCGATTAAGGGTATGTCATTGCATTAACAACATCGCTCAATCCTTGAGCTTGTCGAGAAAGGGTGCTCCAGTCTTTGCAAGTGCTGTCACAGATTCGCTGCTCGGGTGGTCCTGACGCTTTTTTTATTCTTCAGCATATGATATCCAGATATGTGCCACAACCTATCATCCCGATTTCTTGTGTACCAATTCTCACGACTGTCGTGATTCGGCAAAAACACAACTACGCATACACTCGCTAAACCTTCCACACATCATAGCCAACAAGCAATGGACGAATTGTAAGTACACGTAATTTAATTTCTTTGAGCCATGGTGTTTATACTAAGTACTGGCGTAAATGTAGAAAGAAGCAGTGGGCTGCGATCCAGACCGAGAGCCTTGAATGTTTGGAGGCGTCTCACCGGCGAGGTAAGGCATCCCCAACTGATATCAACGCTGGGGTAACCCGCATACAGTGTTTGCAACTAATGTAGATCAAGTATGCCTTAGGCGAGCTCCAGGGATATGCTGAAAAGTGTAGGTAGCTGCTAAATTAACCGTTTACAACTCTATGATCCTCAGTTACTAACTGATGCTGATGCTTCTAGTCGAGGCATGCCTAGACAACATGTACGCGCTCTTGGACCACACTGCGGACGGAAACCACAACGGCTTGAAGGAAATGGTCGAAGCATTTGAAAAGGAGATCCAACTAAAGGTATGTTCTGACACTGGTCCACATTTAAAGCAAGATAGATATCACTAACAGCCGTTTCTGAACCCGTAGCATCATTTGGCCGCATTGCTCAGCTCTGAATCCCCGGTCAAGTCTCAAGACGAGCTACACGTTTCTATCTGGAGAGCGCAGCCTTATTCTTGCGATCTTTTAAATGTGCCTGCATAGTAGAAATATATCTTGAAAGCCGCACTCTCGCAGATGGCTGTGCTCTTATAAAAGGTAGGTGCTGAAGGTGCCATAGAAAAAATTACCCATTGCGGCTGTGCGTACTTACACGTGCCTGCCTTCTAGACTGATACGGAGAATTGGTCGTTCAAAACATGAGATATGCAAAAACAGTTGTTTTTTATTGCTGGCCGCAGCTAGTAGACAGAGCTGGTGTTATTTGTGATTCTGGATTGTCTGCAATTTTCCAATAGAACCCGAGTTCTGGCTGCAATCGACATTTGACATGGCTTCGACTACATTGCTGACATGCCTACCACTTGGTTTAAAAAGGATGGCCAGATACCCTTTTTGCCTCCTCTTCACTGAATTTCTTTCGCTTTACTCACCAGCACGTATTTCTCTACCATGTCATCACTTGCCCAGTCTCTCCCTGCTCTCATCCTTGAACAGATTGTCGAATATACGGTTGAATCTAGTTACTCAACTAGGAATCTTCTACGCCGGCAAAAAGCCTTATATATTTTTCACCACAGCGCTACTGCTCAGAGTGTGCTCTGCATGGAGGAACGCAGCTTTGGATAGGATATACCGAGATATCAGGTGGTGCAGTTACAGCCAAACAGAATGCTGCTATCTGTCTAAAAGTGACAGACATTGGACACCTAGAGGACTGCCTGGCGCCTTAGCAACACACAACAGCTCTCGTATTAGAAGAGTGGCGCTTCATTTTGAAAGCTCTGCAATTGTGTATGGCTCTTTAGCTAAAATTCTCAAAGAAGCACCTTTTGGCAAGCTGGTGCTCTCCCGCGTTTCAACTATTGAATTCAACTTCACTTGTTATTGGTCAAAAGGCTGGGACCCCGCTCGATTGGATGTGTCAACCCATGCCCAGGGATTCTGTGACGGGGTGAACCGGATGTTCCCTAATGCAACCAACCGCATATTCTCTCAGTTTGGCGTCTTTCTCCTTGTTGACCCTAACCCATTTCTCCGCACTCTTGTTCAGGGACTTGTTACCAACTCCACTTCTATCGCTACCTATGAGCCTTATCACAGCTATCATATCCGCCTCCCCGAAATTGCAGCGAATATGCGCAGGCTGTCCATTGGTGGCACAACCGTCAACCCATCAGCAATTGAACTCATCCGTCGCAGCGCTACCACGCTAGAAGATCTAGAAGTCGGGAATGTGAAATCTCATATATTCACCAAGATCATTTTCACGGATAGGGGCACACCAATCGTTTATCCTCGTATGAGGTCACTCAATTTCTCGGTTTCATCTCGATATGACCTCGATGTGGATAGCCGTGCTAACTCTCCTGGCGTAGCCTCGTTTCCATCTCTCAGGAAATTCGTATGCACCGGCAACTATCCATCTAGCACCGACATTATCTTCCGAGGCAACGAGCTCACGCTGGAATATCTTCACATATCCCTCTACTCTGAGTTTGTACAGATTTTTAACTCATATGGCACACACGCATTAGGGCGTTTCCCAGCACTGAGGTGTGTCAAGGTGCTGAACTTTGGCTATGGCAATGCTGAGACCCGGATTTCTGCTATGAAAGCCCTCCTCTTTAGTACCAACGCACAGATTATCGAGTATTACGGTGCCAGCATCTCATTTGGATCGCTGGGTACGTCGATAGGCCATTTTGGACAGAATATCACACTCCTTACATTGGCTGATATCCGATTCACTCTTCGAGAGACACTGCAGCTCATCAAGCACCTGCCCTTGCTTGAGGCAGCTAGGGACGGATATCGAACTAACCGACGAGTTGAGGGGCTCAGACCGATTCCACAATTACTGCTATGGTGAATGTAGACTTATCTGGGAAAAGCGGCGCCGTGAGCAGAGCACAGATGCTACTAAACTAGAACCTGAACCTGAACCTGAACCTGAACCAGAAGATAGCGACCTTGACGACAATATGAGCCATCTCAGCTACGACTCATACGATGCCAGCTATGAGCGCCCTTTTCACCGAAACGGCTATTTGACAGAGTACCTCTTCGACCATTTGAACCCAATCTGCACGGACATAGATTTCATCGAGGACCTCTTTAGGCAGTACTATCCGCTCTCCACAACACTTATACTTTTCGATGTGAGTGGATATACGGATGGGTTGTGGCCATGCTGCAAGGTGCCAGTGGTACTCTTCATACTGTGCCCGACACTCAGGCGCATACGGACCAACAAGGTGGTAGACGGCTCGGGATTTCCATCAGTTTATCATGGGGATAGGTTCATTGAGAGATTAGATATTGACAAAAGCGACCAGTACATTTCACTTATCTCTCATCTTCAGCTTTTGGATCTCTCAATACATTAGCATAGAGTATGGACTAATAAATGGAAAACTTTGATAACGCGCATACCAATGATACCTCCACCCAGTACTTGGCAAGTCTATGTTCCACGTATAGCCAATCTCTTAGGCAGCTACTAAGATCATGACACGAGTCATATCGGCAGCTGCAGTACTATTTTTGGCATCAGGATCTACACTTCATGATTTTGTTTTTGGTAAGAGGCATTACATAAGGAGCTCAAACAAACAAGTGCCTTCCCTCCTCTCTCCACCTTGTTTCTTACAGCGTTTATTTTAATCCTATGGCCTCTCCTGCTCAAACCCTACCGACAGTTATCCTTGATGGAGTCATCACCTATCTGGAGAACACTTCTGTGAACAGGGTGCTATTCAGAGATATTAGGCGCTACCCGTTCCGAGAAGTCGTTAAACTACTTGGCGTATGCTCGTGGTGGAGAAACACAACACTGAATCGGATGTACCAGCATATCTGGTGGTGCAATGATGGTGGATGCATCGGGTGCTGCCCAGCTATACTTGATGACCTGTCGACACCACAGTCCTTGACTACTGCACTCAGCTCTGGCAATATATCTCGGGCAAAAACTATAGCACTTCACTGGAAGAGCCGAGATGTGTTGAGCGGCCTGTGCCACTGAGGTTCTCAGGTCTGCTCCGTCCAAAGGCATTGTATTCACCAGCATCACCAGCATTCATTTTGATTTCAACGATGAATTGGCAGAGCACATGGACCCGCATCTCGATGAGATCTTGCACGCTCAGACCTTCTGTGCTGAAATCAGCAGACTGTTTCCTAATGCTCACCGCTGCATTGTGCAAAGCTTCGAGTTCTTCGGGAAGCATGCCAATAGGCTGTTTGTGCAGTGCCTAACTGCCGGGCTATTTACTCAGCCAGTTCTGGCCAACTCTCCCTTCAGTGTCCGTGCCTTGAGTACGCTGGTATTGGAGCACGTTGTTATCGAATCATCGGCTGTGGAAATCATTCGCCAAAGCGCTTTTACTCTAAAGGACCTCAAAATATCTAGCCTGGACCAGCGAATATTCACCAAGGTGGTCTGCTCGGACAATGGCGCTCCGATTGTATATCCTCAAGTACGGTCATTGCATATGAGCCTCGAAAGGCAATTGGATCGAGAGGACCCTATAGCAACTCGACTCTCCAGGCTGGTACGCCATTCCCATCCCTTGAAAAACTCGTACTCGGCGACATATATCCGTTTGGCAACGACATTATTTTTCGAGGAAGTCCAAGCCACGCTACAGCACCTCTACATTGATCTGTCTCAGCAGAACACCACCAGTCCTGGAGCCATACGGTGTGTTCAGTCCCGGCTATTTCAAGGAGCTGAGATTTATTCACGCAATCATCTCATCGTATGGACGATACCTCGGGTCGTTTGAAGAGATCAAGTCTCTGTTCCACTCTAGCACCAAAGTGAGCATCATAAAATGCTACGGCTTCCCGATCTCGGTAGACCCACAGGGACTCTTAGACGACGGCTTTGGGCAACATATCATGCTCCTTGACACACCAAACATCAAGCTCACTATCCGCCAAACGCTGCAGCTGATTCACAATCTTCCAAACCTTAAGCGGATGGCCATTTTGGTTGCAGAAACTGACGAGTTGCGCATCAACACTAGAAGGGTCAGCGGGCTTCTAGGTATGTGGCGGTCGATAACGGATCCGCTAAGAAACATGTCAACTCTGGACAGCATTATAGGACACGCGAGAGAGCCAACTCCCAGATGCCAGACATCCTCTCAGAAATTTGCAGCAGTACATATTTGAGCATCTGGATCTCCTCTATGCCGATATGGACTTCATGGATGAGCTTATACTGCCAGTACTTTCCACTCTCTATCCGTCTCTTCCAATTCGACGGGCACATTCATGCTGATAACCCGCTTCAGGCTGCCAGTAAAATGGCTGTCATTATAATGGCATTGTGCCCGTTGGTTCAGAGGTTCCGTGCATTCAGGCATGATATATGGCGAGTGTCGGATGTGAGTGTTACAAGAGAAACATTTGTGGACCGCAGTAAACTAGAAGAAACACGGCACCATATCAACCTCTTAGGAAAGCTTCGGAGAGCAAAGCCCTAGCCTATTTAGTATATTTTTATGAGGCATGTTCCAATAAAACAAAGCTTGTCATGTCGGCGCCATTCACGTATAAAAGGACAATGTATGTTACAGATGTAGGATGGGAATGTGGCGCCCAGCGGCAATGGTCTAGTATGAGAAGCGGATACTGTCTAGACTACGTCCGCGCATTTTGTGAACTGATGAGCTCTCAACGAAGCATGCGCTCTTTGCCTCCCTTGGAACCGCACTTCTAGCAGTACTTATCCGTCGTCTATCGTGGCCATGCCAATCACCAAGAAAGTAGCTGTGGCCGGGGTTACTGGCGCCTTGGGCAGGTTTTTCGTCGACGAGTTTTTGAAATGTAGCAGCAAGCTTTCGGTGACAGTCCTCACACGTAAGGAAGGAGAGGAATCCACCCGGTCCCGATTTGCCGAGTACCCGCAATTCACCATCCGCGGCGTCGATTACAAGAGCGATGACGACCTAGCCGACGCGCTTGCCGACCACACTGCCGTACTTTCAATCGTCGGACTATGGTGGCATCAGCGACCAGCTGCGTCTTATTTCAGCGGCTGAAAAGGCCAAAGTCGAGTATTTTTTGCCGTCAGAGTTTGGTGCGGATTTTGACAAGCCCGCCAACAAACAGGTTGTGGCACTTTACGCGCCGAAGCGTGTTGTTAGACGGGCGCTCGAAGCATCAGGCGCTAAAGTATACATATATTGTGACAGGGTGCTTTGCGGACTGGTTCCTGATGCCCATGTACAAGTGGGACTTGGAGAACCACACTGTGGAGATCCCTGGCGACGGCACCATCACAAGCTCGTTCACGTCACGCCAGGACATCGCCAGATACACAGTTGCTGTGCTGTGTCGCCTAGGCGAGTTTGATAACCAGACGGTGCGCATTGCATCCCACACGCTGTCATTCAATGACTGGGTGGGGCTGGTGGAGAAGGTATCGGATCGAAAGTTCACTGTGACCTATGTCCCCCCAGAGCCCATCGAGGAGATGATTGCCGAGGATGTGAAGAAGACTGGCGGGTGGATGACCCTGCGCGACCGACTCCGTCTGCTCATTGCAAATGGACACACCCGCTCTGACTGGGGCGAGTTTGCGCTGGACAACAGCAGGTTCTCCGAGGTTGAGCCAGTTCCGATCGAGCAAGTTATCAGCCAGGCGCTGTCTGCAGCAGCGGCCAAATAAATATCTAAATCTGCCCAGTCTGACTCTGGCCCGTGTAATGCAATCCAGTTCCCAGGAACATGCGGCAGTGGGGCATTTCCGGCATGGACCGACTGGAAAATCCACCCGCTCTGCTGTTCCCACGGATAAGGAGGAGAGGTTTGTGCGAGTAACAGGGCCTCATGAGAAGAAATCACTCCCCGCTGTTGCTCAGGCTGAAGCGGCCAGCTCCCTCTGGCCCCGGACTGGCAGGGGTACGCTCTATGAACCCCGAAGTGCATGCACCAGGTTCCCACATCATCAGCCTCAGCCTGCACCGAAGGCGGGCGGCAGACCTTTGCAGGTGACTGACAATACCTGCTGGCAGCAACCCCTTACTGCACTGGCTTTGCAATGCGCCTCTCCCGCCATTGCTCTTCTCCTCTGCTGTCACACTTTCACACGCACTCCAGCGGCTTTCCCACACAACCTTTCGACAAAAATGCTTTCCTCGACTCTTCGCACTCCGGTGCCCCGCCTGGCCCGTCCCCTCCTCGCCCGCCAGTACTCCTCAAGCGCCCCAACTATCGGGTTCATTGGGCTGGGCCAGATGGGCTACAACATGGCAACGCACCTGTGCACAAAGAGCCAATCGCCATTCGTCGTCTACGATATGAACAAAGGACACCGTGGCCAAGTTCCAGGACGAGAACGCCAATGCCACGGCAGCGTCGTCGCCGGCAGACCTTGCAGACAAGGCGTCGGTTATCGTCACAGTTCTGCCAGAGTCTGCACACGTGCGGTCTGTGTACCTTGGCAACAACGGCGTGCGGGACGGTCTGCGCAAAAACACACTGTGCATTGACTCGAGCACCATCGACACCTCAGTGTCAATCGACGTATCGAGGCAGCTGATTGGGCTGGGAGCGCGCGCCGTCGACGCACCGATCTCGGGCGGCATTATGGGCGCCAAGGCCGGTACCTTGACGTTCATGGTGGGCAGCGAGAATGCGCAGGACTACGACGCGGCCAAGGTGTACTTGGAGCGCATGGGAAAGAATGTGGTCCGGTGCGGCGATCTGGGCGCGGGACAGGCGGCCAAGATCTGCAACAACTTGCTCCTGGCAATCAGCATGGTGGGCACGGCCGAGGCACTGAACCTTGGGGTTCGCCTGGGCCTGGATCCCAGCGTGCTGGCTGGAATTATCAACACGTCGTCGGGCCGCTGCTGGTCGTCGGATACGTCGAACCCGGTGCCGGATGTGCTGCCTAATGCACCCAGCACCAACGGATACAATGGCGGATTCAAGTCCAAGCTTATGCTCAAGGATCTGGGCCTGGTGGCCAATGCAGCCAAGGACTCCAAGACGCCGCTGATGCTGGGTGGTCTGGTGGAGAGCATCTACCGCCATCTGTCGAACCAGGGCGACATGGCTGAGAAGGACTTCAGTGTTGTTTACAAGTGGCTCGCCGAGTCGCAGAAGTGAAAATGGGACCGATCGGCTCGGTGTTGCTGCGCATGAACACACTGTGGTAAACACGTAGGGAACCTCTTTTGTAGCCTCCTTTCGCTCTCTTTTTAACAAAAGTATTTTCTATTCGAATCAGGGAGTGTTGCAAATGCGCAAATTCACTGCACTGTACACGCACCAGAAGCAGAAAAAGGTCAAGGCGTGGCAGGAAGGTAGGGGCAACTGCTGGATGTGCGCGACACAGCGGGTTTGATCCTTTCAGCTTACCAAGTTTACCTCTGCCATCGGTAGGTGCTGCGCAGTACGACGAAGAGCACCGCGAGATTGCCTTGTACGATGTCCGACAACAACCGGATCTCCAGCTACCGGCTGCGCGCACGCGAGTCCATAGAGCTGTCGAATGAGTATGACATAGGACGGTACCTATTGACTCTTGAAGAAGAGCAGGGCGGAGAAGGTGATGATGCTGCCAACAGCAGTGGGACAGCACAGGCGGAGAGCATCGCACCGGCCAAATGCGCCAGCTGTATCTGGATCGCTCAGAGCTCGGCGGAAAATACCCAGTCTTATAAGGCCGATGAGGAAAGAAGACACCTACCGGCCCTGCAGCATTGCCACCACAAACCGTGGACCTAGAAGTCGCTGGCCAAATGCCAAACAAAGACAAGAGAGAGGATACAGCTACTTACTCGATTCTGTACACGACGCAAAAGATAAAGAAGGTCAAGGCATGGGCCGAAGGAACACTCACGCATAACCCGAGCAGCAGCAGAATCGTGCTGAGGGATGATTCTGGGACGACTCTAACTAGCTCGCATTTCCCAAAGTCAAAGACGATTGAGGTTGGTGGTGAAATCGATCATGGCCAGTACTTGATCCAGATTGAATCGCTGAAGGGCGAGGAGGCAGCACTGACAGCTGCAGTGTCATCGCTGCAGAATGGAATACAGCTATCGGGGTTGCTGAAGCGTCGACACGAGGCACTGGAGAGGAGGTCAGAAAAACATTCTCGGCTAAACAGCGCACGCCATCCGATAGTCCACAGGAAAACTCCATCAAAAGACGTTGACAGTATACAGCATGTTCTGCCGGATCCAAGTCTCCCCTCGAGTTCGCTGGTCCGAAAGACGTTTGTCCCTCCCAAATCGACAGCGCCAAAATATCTGCACTTCCCACGACGCAGTGAGCTCTTGCAGCACGTAGGGGTGTCTAAGGGTTACAACTTCGGGCCATCGCGGCAGCTCGTCGCATCAGTGTCGTTCAAGGACTGCAGCGAGTACCAGAAGCAGTTCATGGCGATGCTGAACGAGAACCTGATGGCGGAGCTGTCTGGCCTGGCAATCCGGTACTTTTTCATGGCACGCGAAAGGCACGACAACGCAGCATCGGTTGCTCGCTCCAACCCATTCAGCAATGCTAAATCCAAGCGACAGGCGTGTACTTGCTGGCAGCATGGCGCAGGTCTGCAAAAGCGTCGGCATTTTGTACTTTGACAACTGTACGGTGCGCCAGCCATACATGGAATCGTCAGCATTCAAAGTGCAGCTCAGCAAAGGATCAGTCGGCTTCAGCAAAGGAGACTCTGTTGTATTGGAACTCAGTCGCCGAGAAAACTATGCCGGGTATGCAAAAGACGATACGTGGGCAATCTCGACCAGCGACGAGTTTCTGGCTGGCGACACGTTTCTGGCACGCAGCGCGTTCTTCGGCCCCTCAAAAAACAACACCCTAGAGCTGAAGCTGGTTGGAGACGAGGATGCCAAGGTCGCTGCCCGGATATTCAACTCCGACAACGGTCCAAAGGCTGCTCGCCAGCCCAAGGCAGCTCCGAGCGTGGTGGCGATCCGGTGCCTGGATTCGGCATCAGACTGGTCCATGATCGATACAGTCGAGGAGAAGCTTATCCCAGAGAGCTTGCCGATTCTGCCACACCTACTTCAAACCGGGATCGAGCCCTTGGCGGAACCATCCGAAGATGTCGATGTCGGGCAGACTCTTGCTAGAATCGAAGTGATCTTAGACGAGAAGCAGTTCGATCTAGGGCTCAACAGCGACCAGAACGAGATTCTGCGCACAGTCCGTCATGTCTGTTGTGTCCATATACCTGCCAGTCGAAGACACATCGCCGGTCACCATCGTGCACGGCCCGTTCGGCACTGGCAAAAGTTTCCTCATCAGCGCCATCGTCGTCTGCTTGGACGCTATTGCCAGTGAGTTCCCAGAGATATTTGACAACACTGGTTCCAAATCCAGCTTCTATGATGACGAGCCTGAGGACCTGAGAGGGAAGCCGCCGCGACTGCGCGTGCTTGTCTCATCCATGACAAACTTCGCCGTTGACAACATGCTCTCTGCTCTGCTCAAGATTGGGTACGACGGGTTTTTGCGCGTCGGCAGTCTCCGTCGCATCTCCAAGCAGATTCTCCCGTACGTGTGCCGGACATCGGCCAGTGCATCCGACGATATCAAGGAGCTCGAGACCATGCTCGAGGCAGCCGTGGACGAGCAGGAAATCGACGCAATCGAATCGGCGATCCAGAGAGTACGGCAGCAAAAAACCAGCGATGTGCTGGACAAGGCCTTCGTCGTCGGCACCACCTGCTTGTCTTCAGCCACGGCAGCTATGCACCGCGCCAGCTTCCCTCTGGTGATTCTTGACGAGGCGTGCCAGATCGTCGAGCCCATGGCCATGATCGCGCTGGCCAGTGCACAGTGTCAAAGACTGGTGCTGGTGGGCGACCCGCTCCAGCTACCGCCAACACTGACAACGCGTGCTACACAGGAGGCGGAAGCCAAAGGCTTAGGTCGCGGGCTGTTTGATAGGCTCGTGCAGATGGGATACAGCCCGCGGTTCCTCGCAACCCAGTACAGGTGCCACCCACGCATCGGCGCGCTCTGTAACGAGCTGTTCTACAAGGGGCAGCTGCGGCATGGCGTGGCACCGGAAGACCGCACAGCAATACTGGGCGGCATTCCGCCACTGGTGTTCCTGGATACTGTTGGACAGGAGAAGCAGCAGGGAAAGTCGCAGTCATTCTTTAATAGCGGCGAAATCGACATGGCTGTGCGCATGGTGCGTCGCATGGCTGCCAACGGCGTCAGGCCTGAGTCTATCGGCGTCATTGCGCTGTACAAGACCCAGGCAGACATGCTGCGCGACCAGCTTGTCGCCGTCATGGGCAAGCAAAGTGGCGTGCAGGTCAGCACCGTCGATGCGTACCAGGGATCGGAGCGAGAGGTTATTGTGATTTCGTGCGTCAGGACAGACAAGGTTGGCTTCATTTCGAACACCAACCGCATCAACGTCGCTCTGTCCCGAGCAAGAAGGCATTGCTTGATTCTTGGATGCCGCAAGCTGCTTGAAAGCAACTCGCTGTGGCGACGGATCATCGACTATTGCCGCACAGATGCTGGTGGACTGGTTCCCGCACAGGTGTTTATGAACAAGCTCGCCGAGGCTGGCCTCAGCCGTCGAGGATATCCCTGAGGATGCTGCTGACGACATTGAGAGAGGCATGGGAGTTGCCGAGGAGCCCCTCCAGATGGAACACAACGATGGCCATGGCGGACGACCGTGGTACGGATTATGAAAAAGGACTACACCGACTCGCCGCCATCGGCCAGCCTGGACGAATACAACGACGAGTCGGTTGTTGGCGGGCGATTGTCGCAGTGGTCGATGCCTGACGTTCTCTCTGACACTGATGTGGATGCGCTCGACTGCCTGGACGTGGACCTCGACGACATGTAGTCCAGCAGCGGGTAACCTGTAGCTGAAATCTGACCAAGAGTTATGTTTTAAAAAAAAGCTATGACTAGAGAAAGAAGAAACAACTGCTGGATGACGGGCTGATCTGCGAGGGAGAGTCTTGCTGCCCTCCCCATGCCTGGCATATCGCCTGAAGCCGCCTTAGACGTGGAACCGCTGTCTGATCAGCTCGCGCATCCGCGGATCGAACATGCCCATGTTGGCCTCCCACGACTCGCCGGCCATCTGCCGCAGCCCAGAGAAGGTCTGCAGGAACATGTCCTCCAGGGCCGGCTCGGGTGTCTGCCAGTTGAGCGCAGCCTGGCAGAATTGCGGGAAGGCGGCCGAGATGCCAGCCGGGTTGGCGCCAATCATCGACATGAAGCCGTGGAACGCCGACGCCTTCTCCTCGTTGTCCTCTGACGTTAGTCAGCACCAGGCACCAGCGCTCAGCAAACTCGCCAAGGCTGGGCGCCAGCTGCTGCGGGCACACGGCGCCCAGACGGCCGAGGGTGATGGCGGCATTCTCGGCCAGCGTACCCAGGGGTAGCCGGGTTGTTGAGCAGCAGGGTCAGGCGCGGCACCTAGCTCCGGCACATACGTGGCCATAATCTCGCTGCCAGCCTTCAGGGCAATCTCACCAGCCGACCACGCAGCGTTGTTGCACACGTTGATGTGCGAGAAGTTGCGGTCGATCTGCGGGATAAGCTGCTGCATGATCGAGCTCAGCTGCGGCAGGAGCAGCGGGAAGCTGTGCATGGCCAGGTCGCCAAGCAGAGCAAACGCCGATTGCCGCACGTCGGTGACCGGGTCCATCATGCACAGGCCGACCAGCTGCAGTACGACACCGTCGTTGATGGCCACCAGGATCTGTGCGTCGCTGCCCAGCGCCTGGATGATGGCGCTGATAAGATCAAGCGCAACAATCACCAGGTCCTTGTCGGGGGCTTCAATCGACTGGTCCTGCGACGCCAGCTGCGAGAGCTGCAGCGTGTCGGCCACGATCCGCACGCAGCGCTCATACACAGACGGAGCAAACTGCTTGAAGCCGGGGCCAAGGGCCAGGGCTATCGCCGACAGGCACTCGAACAGCGGGAACATATGCTGGTCCTCGGTCTGCACGCTCTCCCACCGCGTCAGCAGGTGCGGCATCAGCATATCAATGTAATTCTGCTGGTTCAGCTCCGATCCGACGGCCTCAGGCCAGCGTGCCGACCGCATCGTACAGGATGATCAGGTTCTTGCGCTGGTACTGTGTGAATGCCAGCATCAGCTTCTCGAGCACGGGGTGGATATAGGGCGCCATGTACGGCCCAGCCTCCTCCTCGACCGTGGCAAAGGCACTGCATGCCGCCTCCTGCACGCGCTTGTTCTTGTCGACCATGGCGTCCAGCAGACCGCTCAGCAGCGGCTCAAAGTAGCTGGTGATTGTGTTGGGCTGGTCTCCAAAGATGGCCCAGCGCCCGTAGCGGCTGGCAGTCCAGCACGCAATCGAGCGCACCAGCGCCTTCTCGTGGCGGAACCACCCAACAAGCATCGGCATAAGGTGGGCCAGGTGCTCCTCCATGCCGCTCATGCACCCCTCGGCAATAGCGCCCAGAGCCAGAATGCCAGCCTCCTGCACACGCCAGTCGTCGCTGCGCAGCTCATCGTTCAGCACAGGCAGCACGAAACGCAGGATGCGGTCGCCAAATACAGTCGACATAACGTCGAGACTGGCGGCCGAGCACTTGCGCAGGTTCCACTCGGCGTAGACGTCGTCGTCATCGTCGCTGTCGTACTCATAGTCGCCGTCCTCCGCATCGCTGTTATCGCCTTCGTTGGCCGGATGTTCCCTGGCCCTCGGTTTGGTGGTCGTGCATGCGAGCACGGTGATGGCGCGGCTTGATATCCTGCTCCGAGTCGGGCACAACCGCGTCATCGTCATCGTTGTCGAGCATAAGCAGGTCCTCCTCCGAGTACTGCATGCCGCGCATCAGCGTCGGGATAACCCTGTCCAGATACGGCTCCAGGTTCTGGACCATGCCATCCAGCTCGCAGAACGTAAGCCAGAACTCGCACGCCTCCATGGCGATGTCCGGGTCCGAGTGCTGCGTGGTGTGCAGCATGTAGTTGACGACGTTCTCGAGCTCGGGCGCCAGCTTGTCGGGCCGCGACTCGAGCAGAGCAACCACGGCCTTGCACACGGCCTTGAGCACCTCTGCGTTCTCGTCGTTGGCACGCTTGAACAGCTCCACAACAAACGTGTCGATCAGCGGCTGCATCGACTCGGACCGCTGGCTGACAAACAGCGTGGTCGTTGAAATCGCATACTCGCGCAGCACCTGGCTGGCCGGAGCTGAAGAACGTCATGAACTTGGGCAGCATGATGTTGAGGGGGCGCGTGCCGTCCTCGAACGGCTCCTCCAGCTCGCGCGTGCACTCTTCACAAATCTTGCGCAGAATATCCCACGCACCCTCGACCACTGTGTACTGGTCAGAGTCCAGCAGCGCCATCAGCCGCGGCAGAATCTCGGGCCAGCTCGAGATGTGGCCCAGCGCTACAATCGTCGCAATCACTGTGCCCAGCGTATGGCGCACCAGCGTGTCATTGTCGCCAACTGCCTCCAGCGACCGGATCTTGACATAGCTGAGCACATCGGTCGGGATTTTGTCAAAGTCCTGGCGCACATTGTTCTTCAGCAGCAGTCCTGCCACTGCACGCACCGGCCCAGTGGCCTCCTGCATGTTGATAAGAACATAGAGCAGGTAGTTGATGTAGTCGTCAACCTTTCTCAGCTCGTTCAGCCTCTACAGGGGGAGAGCGAAACAATGCCTCTTGTCAGCTAAAAATACATTGCGGGTGAGGAGGGTTGGTGTAGACTGATGTTTGCTGGTTCTTCATGCTGTTCTGCTTACCCTGTTGTTCTCCTGCTGGACCTGGTTGTCGTTGGATTGTGTGTTAGTCAGGAGCTGCATGAGCTCATTCAGACTGACGGGGTCCGGTCGCCACTCCATTGTTGCTGCTACTGACTGGGTTTCCCTTAATTCGAACTAATGTGGGCAGTGTTTCTTTGTGGAAAGAACTGGAAAAGGGCGTAAGACTTTTAATGCCTGACAATGAATAATTATGCTGAGGGATTGGTGCTGGAATAAAAATCGCCAAACCAATGCCTTCCGTCAAATGTGTACGCTTTCCGTAATGAGAGAAGGTGTGAGGGTATTCAAGAAAATACGACAAACTGGTCTTTATAGCGAGAAAAGGGGAGAGACTGAAAATTAAACGTGCAACGCCTGGAAAAGGCCGGGGAGGCGATGTCGTAGGCGAGGGCTCGCTGCTCAAGGCCGCAAAATTTTTCAAGGGGTGAAAAGCAGAGCAAACAGGAGTGTTTCAACTTTCCTGAAGTCTCGCATTGGCGCTTGATTCTGATCCGCTGATCGCCAAGCCCCTTGTTTCAAGGGAGTTGCCCAGCTACCTGCAGCATGTGCAATTGTGGACTCGGTTCCGAGCTGCAGCGAGGGGGTGCCCAGAGACATGGCGGATTAGGCACGCCCCCACCTTGCTGCACACATCCCCGGATTCTTTCGAGCCAGCGGCTGACGGCTGCAGTAGCACGTTTGTCACCCGCCGGCGCTGGACAAATCCGGGTATGTGCGCATGCCACAGCCATCACAGACATACATGTATTGGCACATGACTACCCGAGCGGGACCATGGATGCTGGGCCGTCGGGCTGCCATGGCACCAACCTCGTTCAGGGGATGGCAGTACACCTCCTTAGGACCTGCTTCATAGTCGACCTTCATGCTGGACCATCCCACCCAACTTGGCATCGCGCGGGAAGTTGTATGGCAGACGGAGCTCGTCTCTGGCATCAGTTGCATACGCGACCTTGATCCGCGGGACAACTACCGCGCGATTGTACCCCTTGGCCCACATGTCGTTGCACAAGAGCGAGCACTCTGACGCCGAGCACTCTGTTGCATTGCTACGCCTGAATCGGATTCCTTCGTCAAACACACTTGCGTCCAGCACGGCAATGCCATTCCAGCAGCACTGCACCTGGAACGGGTGGTTGAAGACCTGGCCCGAGACAGCATTGTAGTCATCGGCGATGCTGCGGTACTGGTTGTTGAACGCGTTGCCCTGGATGTCGCGCGACACCCATGTGTCGTAGAACCGCAGCATCCCGTACCGCTTCTCAAAATCCTCGCCACACGTCAAATGTGCATCCTTGGGTCTCCGCCTGATAAACCAACTCCATCAAGTCGGACGGGCAAAAGAACACATCGTTCAGGAACACAACCCGGTCGTACTCCCGCGACTGCTCGTAGAGCGGCTCCAATGCTTGTTTCGGATCTGCGCCATGTACTCGATCCGGTGGAACGAGGAGGGTCGGGGATTGCCATCGACCACAATGCGGTGCGGCACATTTAATGCGTCCAATGTCGGGCTGAATTCACGCAGAATCTCTTTGGTCAAATCGCCAGATCCGTTCTCATACATCGAGATGAAAACGCGATGGTTGCCCAGCAGCTGGGCAAAAGACAGGAGCTGTGCGGCCATATTGGGCAAGATCTTTTCGCTATTATACAGGTTGACAGCGATAAAGACGCGCATGTTTGTTGAGGGGTCGGTTAGATTCCTGTAGCGCCGCTCGGCCGACCGTATGAATTTGTCGTTAAAGTTGCTCTGGTGGCAGTACGAGTACAGATCCTCGTTGTGGATCCGTTGGTGGATTGCTTGCAGGTACCTGTCAAAGTGCCTGCGCGCTCGCTGCTGCCTTAAAGCTGTATGTATTTGCGCGTAGTCCATTCAGGATCCACTCGCGCGCACCAGCAACCTCCTTGGCTGCAGAGCCGTCAGCAAGGTAAGATACAGCTTGGAAGATGCCAACGACAGTCAGTATGGTGAGCCCTGTAAGCGCGATCAGCAGCCATTTCCTTGAGGATAGTGTTGAAGACATGATACACGAGTAGCAACGGTATTGAAGGGCAAATGCAGAAAGGTGGTAGAGAGCAGAAGAAGGCTAGTCTGACCCTACAGGGCCCAGCCCAAGCGATGCATCTAGCCTCCCACTAGTTCTCTCACTAGCTCTCTCACATACGACCCGGGTAAAAGGGAGCCACAAACAGCTCGTGGTGACAGTGCCACGACAAGTACTAATTGTGGAACCAAGGATTTCGAGTAAATAAAGGCGATCTCTACCCAAAGCCCCTCTATAATTAGCATTCAGGCGAACTGTTCAAAGGCATACAATTGCCAGCCAGAGCCCACAGTAGATGCAGAGTGAGCGCAGGATGGACTCTTGTCTAGAGATCCTCGGCACGGTCCAGCCCACAACTGGCAGTCTGCAGTCAAGTGCGGCTCGGTTCACTGTGACTCTGCTCAGTGACAGAACACACCGCCGCTGCCTGTGGCCTGTGCCTGCCGAGATGGCACTGGCGTGCTACAAGGTACATGCGAAAACCATATTAGATTACTGGATTTGCCCTTGTAGCTTTTTTTTTTCAGCGCTTTTTTCTTCTGCTGACTGCATTCCACACCTCTTGTCTTCGCTAAATTGCTTTCTTTTCTTACAATGCCACCGAAGCGCAAGCAGCAGCAGGGCAACACAGAGCTGCCGAAGCAGCTGGCAAACAAGCTCTCCAACGACACACCGGGCAAAAACGAGGACACCAGCCGGTTCACGAAAAAATACAAACCCACGATCAAAAACCGCAAGCTCGCACGCAAGCAAGCACGGACAGACAAGAAGCAGCGCAAGAACGACTCGCATAGGCGCAACCGTGGGTTCGCCACGCCCGAGAAGCCCGAACAGCCTGTGAAGAAGCCGGTAGCAAAGCAAGAGAGGAAAGAGAAGAAAAAGAAGGTCGATGATCGCGCGCAGCTTACAAAGTTTGCCAAGAAGAACCAGGGCCTGTACGAGATGCTCAGGGACTCGAATCTCATTGAGAACGTAGACAAGGAGGCAGGGATCCAGAGCAAGGGCAATCCAGCCGATGATCTGGAGGACCGCGAGTTGCGCAGACTGGAGCGCAACCTTGGGATCAAGAAGGGCGGCAAGCTGGAGAACGCATTCTTTAATGAGGGCCTGGGCGAGCTGTTTGATGGCATTGAATTTGGATCGAAAGATATTCGTGTCGCTGCTGCCGAAAAGAAGCCTGAGGCAACGCCGAAACCTACAAAGAGCGATGCTGAAGATGACGGGTCTGAATCTGAGCCAGTGATCGAATCCGAATCAGAGGGAGAGAGCCTCGACGATGACTCTGGGGATGATGCCGCGATTGGCAGCGACCTAGATGGGGATGAGGACGACGATATGTTTGGTCTCAACAATTTTGGATCAGATGTGGATGAGGATGAGGACGACGAGGACAGCGATGTTGCTGAGATGTACCGCAGCCAAGGGATCGATGTTAATGTGAGTCTGTCCGATGCAGAGATGGACGATCTATCAGATGACGACGAAGATGACTCGGAGGACGTGGATGAGGTGGATGAGTCTGAGGTGGATGAGTCTGACAGTGGCCGAGTCTGATGTTGAAGAGGAGACAAAACCCGAGGAGACAAAGCAACCGACCAGCGTGACCAAATACATTCCGCCCAGCCTTCGCAGGCGGCAAGCCAGCGACGAGGACGAGCGGACAGCGGCGATTCGCAAGGTGCTCCAGGGGCAGCTCAACCGACTGAGCGAGTCGAACATCGAAGGCATCATTGGGCAGATCGAGGAGCAGTACCAGAAGCACCCGCGCCACCATGTCACCGAGGTGCTGACCGGCTTGCTGCTGCAGTCGATCCGCTCGCGCATCCACATGCTTGACACATTCCTGTACGTCAATGCCGCTCTGGTCGGCGCGATATACCGTGCAGTTGGTCTGGAGCCGGTCGCGCATTTGGTGCAGAAGCTGATGGAGGAATACGACAAGCGCTTCGAGCTCGGTCTGGAGGCATTCAGGGCAGGTGAGGACGATACAGATGAAGGGTCGGCTGGCAAGGAGTGCCAGAACCTGACAGTCTATATTGCCGAGCTGTACAACTTCCAGGTAATCTCGTGCCAGCTCGTCTACGACGTCATCCGCATGTGCATCCAGGATATAAATGAGTTCAGCGCCGAGCTGCTGCTCAAGATCATCCGCGTGTCTGGCATCCAGCTGCGCAAGGACGACCCATTGGCACTGAAGGAAATTGTGCAAAAGGTCAGCGAGACTGTGAACAGCAACAGCGACAGATTCTCTGTCCGCTGTAAATTTATGGTCGAGAGCCTCATCAACTTGAAGGACAACCGGATGCGGCAGACGATGTCACAGAACGCAGAGAACGTGGTCAAACTCAAGCGCTTCCTGGGCAACATGGACAAGCGGCGTGCAGTGGGTGCAGCGGAGCCCATCAACATTGGACTGCAGGACATCCGTGATATCGAGACCAAGGGCAAGTGGTGGCTGGTCGGCGCGTCGTGGGTCGGCAACCAGGTCGGCACCGAATCGACGATCAAGCAATCGACGGAGATGGACGTCCAATGCCGAAATGGAGCGGCTGCTGAAGATGGCCAAGGAGCAGCATATGAACACAGACGTGCGGCGCAGCATCTTCGTGACCCTGCTGAGCAGCGATGACTACGCCGATGCATTCGAGCGGCTGCTCAAGCTTGATCTCAAGAAGACGCAGGTGCGCGAGGTGATCCGCGTGCTTCTGCACTGCTGCGGCCAGGAGAAGGCGTACAATCCATTCTATTCCCTAGGTTGCCATTCAAGCTGTGCAGCTACCACAACTCGTACCGGCTGACAATGCAGTACGCGCTGTGGGATTTCCTGCGTGAGATGGGCGAGACCGACGTGGGCGGGCTGGGCCGCATCAACACCGACGAGGGCAATGAGACCGACGTGCCATTGCGGCGTATCGTCAATGTAGCCAAGCTGTACGCCTGGCTGATCGACAAGCAGGTGTTGTCGCTGCTGATTCTCAAGACTGTGACCTTTGCGAAGGTCGGGCACAAGGCGCGCGTGTTTTTCCAGATTCTGTTCTCGACGCTGTTCTTGCTGCACAAGAAGCAGAGCGACCAGGATGTGGAGGCATTGCGCGAGACGTTTGTCAAGGCTGTGCCCAATGCAACCATGTGCCAGGGCATCATGTTCTTCTTCCACCACTTCGTCAAGGATTGTGCGCTCGTGTCGGATGCCGAGAAACCGCTGATGCGCTGGGGATGCAAGATCGCCAAGCATGTATTCCGTGGAGCGGCAGGGTGGTGACTCGTACGACGACTAAGCCAGCCTAGGTGCTCCCACAAAGGCCTGTACAGCTCGAAACTGCATATATTCGGTGTTTGTGGTGAATGACGTGAGATAATGCATTGTGCGTTTTTTTTTTAAATTCCATCCACAGAGCTCACCTGGATACTGAAAAGCAACCCATGCCCGAGCTTCCTGATGTCGAGAGGGCACGCAAGCTGCTCGAGGCGAAAATGCCTAGGCAAGGAGATAACGGCAGTAGCGGCACTTGATGATACAATCGTAATGCCTGACGTGCGTGGCAAGAAGCTGGAATCTCTCCTGTGCGGCCGCAGCGTCACTGGTACCGGCCGACGCGGTAAGCAGTTCTGGCTAACTCTGACTGGTCCCCTGGTGATGCTACTGACACTTTGGCATGACTGGCGAGGTATATGTGCGCGGCGAGCACACATCGCATTACCGCATGCAAGGAGTGTCTGGTGGTGACGCCTGGCCGCCAAGATTCACCAAGCTCGAGCTCGAGTTTGGCAAGGACACCGTGGTGGCATTTGCCGATGCGCGTCGGCTGGGTCGGATCAGGATCTTTGAAGGAAAGCCCGAAGACAGCGATACAGGTCACGAAGCTCGGCTTCGATCCAGTCATCGATCCGCCTAAGCCCGTGGACTTTTATGCAATGGTCCACTGTCGCCGGACACCGATCAAGGCGCTGCTGCTCAACCAGGAGTTCTCGGCCTGGCATCGGCAACTGGATCGCCGACGAGGTTCTGTTCCAGAGCCGGATCCACCCGGAGCAGCGTGCCAACACGCTGAGCGAGGAGCAGGCGCATGAGCTGCTGGCGCAAATCATATCGATATGCACCAAGGCAGTAGCAGTGAATGCCGAGAGCAAGCTGTTCCCAAAAGACTGGCTGTTCCACTACCGCTGGTCGAAGGGGAAAAAGGGTGAGCACAAGATGCCCGACGGCCGCGCGATCGAGTTTGTGACGGTCGGCGGACGAACATCGGCGATCATTCCCCGATGTGCAGATTCTGCATTAAGAAGAAATCACAATACATTATAGATAGAGAAATAACAATTAGGTGCTGCTGTGAATCTGCTTGCCATTGACGTAGACCTGGGCAACATTGCGGTCGTCGGCCAGGAATACAAACTGCTCCAGTCCGCAGCTTCCAGGCTTCAGTCCTGTCGCCCTCGTGCTGCACCGCCGGCGTGGACGCGATGGACGGGACCGGCGACAGCGGGGTGCTAAGGTCGACTACCAGCGCATCAAACAGCTTTCCGGGCTCCAGACTGCCCAGCTCGTCATCCATGCCCATGACCCTGGCACCGCCCTGGGTAGCCAGGAACACAGCCTCGGCTGCCTCCAGAGGCACAGCGTCACGGCCCTCCAGCTTGTCACCGCGGTCACGCTTGAGCGCAGTCAGCGCACGGTTGGCCGCAGCGGCCATACGCATGGCATCCAGCATTGACGGCGTGTATCCGCCGCTGACATCGGTACCCAGGCCAACCGGGATGCCCTCCTTGATGAAGCGCCGCACATCGGCGATTCCGCTGCTCAGCGTGAAGTTGGAGTTCGGGCAATGGCTGACGCCAACGCCGCGGCTGCGCATCAGCGCGAGCTCCTCATCGGACATATGCACGCAATGGGCCATGATCGTCCTGCTGGTGAACAGATCGAAGGCATCGTAGATGCCTGCGTACGACCTGCACTCGGGGAAGCACGACTTTGCGAACTCGATTTCGCTCGGGTTCTCGCACAAATGCGACTGGATCGGCAGGCCGTACTTTTTCGCCAGTCCTGCCCAGCCCGGCCAGGCAGTCGCGCGAGCAGGAGGGTGCGAAGCGCGGCGTGATGATGGGCGTCACCAGGCGGTGCTCGGCTTGGTCGCCCAGCACATGCTTGATGAAGTCCTCGGTCACCTCGATGCTGTCCTCGGTCGACTCCGAGTAGTAGTCGGGCGAGTTCGCGTCCATGCAGACCTTGCCGACGTACGCGCGCTGGCCCTTGGTGCGGATCGTCTCGGCCAGGATCTTGTTGGCCTCCAGGTGGATCGTTCCGTAGTATGCCGCAAACGTCACGCCGTTGCGCACCGTCCGGTCGATCACCTGCGAGTAGAACTCACGTGCCTTGTCCGTGTCCTTGAACTCGCTCTCGTGCTTGAATGTGTACTTGTTCAGCCAGTCCATCAGTGGCAGATCATGCCCAATCCCCAGGAACGTAAACTGTGGCGCGTGCGTGTGTGTATCAATCAGTCCAGGCATCAGGAACTGGTCCGCCTGCAGTGAGACCTGCTCGATCTCGGTCTCGGAAACAGGGGCGCCGGTCCACGAGCCTACGAGCTCGGCTGCACTCTGACTGGCATTATCTGTGACGCCGATGATGCGGCCTGTGGCCTTGTCCACGCCAAGCGTGGCCTGAGGACGGATACGCAGCTGGTCGATGGCCGGCGTGTCAATAACGCAACCTGGTGAAGACAGTGTACTTTGCGGAAGTCGGTGTGGCGGGCATTAGTAGTAAGTGACTGTAGGAATAGCCTTGCGTCGAGGGGGAAAATAGTAGCTTTGCGGGGAAAGGAGAAAGAGCCAGCAAACAGAAACAAGGACAAGCAGACTTGGCGAGGCGCATTGCCTGGCGCTTTTATACCATTTGCTGTAGGTCGTGGTGTAACAGCCACCCCCTTGTGAAAGGAACTTCTGGCTGGTTTCTCTTTTTACATAGGGTGGCTCCCCATTCACCACTCAGAACCCACTCTGCATCGCTCGCAATGTGCCTCCATTCGCTGACTGCTCCTGCGATCATCGCACCCGCTGCCACCCAAAAAAATCTCCGGCAGATAATGACGACGATGAGTAGAAAATCCGCAAGCTTCTCTAAGGGTAGCAAAAGCATAATTGCGCAGTACCCGGGTACGTTTTGGCTGCTGCTCTACCTGATAAGATCGGATTCCCACCCTGAGCACTGCCGCGTGACCACCTCTCACCTGCACAAGCAACTATCTGGCCACAAATGCCCGCTTTGCCCTCTGCGCGAATATACGCCCATTGACGTGCATCTCTTTCATGTGTAAGCACTATGTTTAGCAACGATTGGATTATAGACTGCAGAATTACACTCTAGTACTTGGTCAGGCTGTCCGGGCTCAGGCCCGAGGCTTCGGTCAGGAACTTGAGGAACTTTCCGGCACTGCCAAAGTACGCGACGCCATCCGACGAGTTGCACGAGTGGTCATTGTCGTTGACAACATTGCCACCGCTGCTGGAGATACCGGCCAGATAGTACCTGCCATCTGTGCCCTTGGTCATAATTGGCGAGCCCGAGTCACCTGAGCAGATGCTGTTGCCGGGGGTCAGGCTGTTCTGCGTGCAGAATCCGTCGCCTGTGCGGGCCCGTATATCCTGGGTACAACAACGAGCAGTAATCGGTGCTGCCGACCTTGAGCGTGGTTGTCAGCAGAGTTTTGGGCAGATCGTCGACGCCATTGCCATTGCGTCCCCAGCCAGCAACCTGCAGAGTATCACCGATATTGACCTCGTCGGTGGAAATAGCCACGCGGCTGGCGTTGCCGCCAAGAGCCATTGCCGGAATCTTAACAATGCCAATATCGCCATTGTAGGTCGACGGGTTCCAGCCGGGGTTTGGAATGATCTCAGGTTGCAAACACGCCGTCCATTTCAGACCGCACATGGCTGCCCGTGTATACGAGCATGTTGCGCGGCTCAATCTTCTTCCCCGTGGCCGGGTCGTACATGCAGTGAGCCGCAGTGATTACCGTGTCGGGGGCGACGATCGAGCCAGGTGCACGCGGATGAGTACTTCGAGCTGAGGAAAAGGCGCAGCTGCACAATGAACGTCATGTCCGCAGGCGTCGACCAGTGAGCCACCAAAGACACGCTTGGTCAGGCGCGAGTCCGCCAAAGCATTGCTGGCAGGCAGGGCTGAGACTACAGCGAGCGAGGAAACGAGGAGCGCGGCAAGCTTCATTGTTGGGAGCTGAAAAAGGGAGGTTCGAGAGCGAGATGTTTTTTGTTGTGATGGTGTATGGCACGAACCTGGTCGAGCGTGCCTTATTTTATACTCGGACTGCATGCAGCGGACTGCTCCACTTTGCAGGGTGGTTTGGTGTTCTGCATGCAGCCTGCAGTATTGTTACCTTTAGCTTCCTGCTCTTTAAACACCAAGGGTGTCACTCATTCATGTTGGCACAGGCACAATAAACATCCGCATTGCAGCTCAAGGGCGCTGCCCGCACCTTCCTGTAAAGGCAAACTATTACCACCACAGGCGCTTGTGCAATTGTAATCAACGCAACAAAATTGCCAGCGGCGATCTTGGGCTTCTTGCTGTGCATATCGAGGTGCATTGCGAGAATGCATGACCTGATCGGCGGGTGGTGTCTTTTGGTGCACAATAGCCCTGAAGAGAGACACTGGAATTCCAGCTCTAGTAGAGTGCAGTGTTGCAGGGGCTGTGCGCGCAATAGCTTCGGGATTCAACCGCTACCAATCTGGTCGCTGCGCTATGTCTATCCGCAGCGAGAGGGTGGGAGGAACTGCAAGGGACGAGATTGGGCGCTGAAGAACAATACGATTCGGCCATTGTATAGGCCGATTGAAACAAGCGATTCCAAGATGCTTCTGAATGAACAGCTGAATATTTTGCAGCTTCATTGAACAGCCAGAGCGTGTCTGACCAATCTCTGGATCACTAGGAATGTGTCGTCATCACCACCATGATATGCAGACTTGCCGGAAATAGCACGCAGGTCATGGGTAGTCATGTACGTCGATAGTCGCACATCACACGCAGCTTATTATGCAATCTCTTCAAGCTGCACACAGATTATTACAAGGGGGGCTGGTCAGGCTGGCAGACCCTCTGACTCATTGACCGACACAGAAAAAGAAGAGAACAGCGCACATCATCCCCAGGGTCTGGACGCATGGCAATAAGGAGCATCCAAAAATGAAGTGCTGCAGTAAGCGCGTCCTTACTCCTAATTCCTACTTTTACTGGAAACTAAGCATTTAGATGCTGGGAATATATGAAAAGCTAGTCCAGGACATTCGGCTACAATCCTTCCATGCTCGAGGTTTGTTATTACTGTCCCTTGTTGTTTAAAGATCCAAAAGTACTGGTAACGCTCTATTCCGAATTCTATACTCTTCTTATTATATCCTTCCTTAATTTTTGTGACTGTATACACAGTTTATGCTGTTGCCTAACATCCATGTCTTTGCGCTCGGAGACGTCGTGCTTCAGGGCAGCCCCGATGAGTCCCCGGGATACCTGCTCAGCGGCCGCGTGCTCGTCACAATCAAGGTGCCTGTGGGCATCAAGCAAATACAGGTCGTTTTTCAGTCCACCCCAAGTAGGTATCATTGGCCCCGCACAGCAGTGCTTTTGGCATAGAGGAAGATGGGTGAGGTGCTTCTAGGCTGCTTCCATCTAGCCAAGCCACAGGCCTGCATATTATTGCCTTTGGGGAATTATTAGCGGTTTTGAGGGCAGCTGGGATCGATTATAAGAAAACAACAACAAAACTATGTTTATGTTCTGTAGACAGCAAATGGCGCCGTCGCAGGCGCACGTCAATATACGACGACGCAGAGCAGGTGGCGTTTGGGGAGATTCTGCACGTAGGTGCGGAGCACTCGGGACCGTGGGCCAAAGGGCATGTACGAGTTTGCGTTCCAGATCGTGCTCCCCGGATACCTGTGCGAGACCATGTACACGGAACACAGGCAGGTATCGTACCAAATCAAGGCGTCGCTGACAACATCTGCATTGGCGGCCACCAAGCGGTCCGCAATCAAAGAGATCGCAATCAAGCGGGTGCCATACTATGGTGCTGTGTGGGAGTCGCTGACCAACGACATCATAAATGTGACAGCGGTCTGGCGGAACCGCATCGAGATGTGTGCGCTCGGGTGCAGCCGGGTGCAAAAGGACGACCAAGCGCTGCGCGTCAAGGGCGTAATCCGCGCCTTGGAGAAGGGGTATCGGCTGACAAAGGTCGGGTTTATTCTGGAGGAGCGGACGCGGACCCGAGTCAATGGCGGGTTCAAGTGCACGTCGAACATTGCGTCGTTCCGGTACCTGAAGTCGAGTGAGGGGCTGGACGGGTGGTTTGGCGGGCTGATCATCGACCAGATGGCGTTCGACATGGAGCTCCAGATCCCCAAGGCGTACCGCAAGATCCAGTATGACATCAAACACGGGCCGGTCACTGTGAGCCATCGGCTGGCGTTCGTGGTGGCGATCGTCGATGCCATGGGGCACGGCACAAATCTGCGCCTGTTCACGCCGCTCCACATCATGCCAAACGACATGGCCAGCTACGATTTACCATCCTATGGCAGCTCGTTTGCTGACCGGATCCTGCTGAAGGCAGAGGAGTGCCAGGAGGCCTACCATGAGATCGAAGAAGAGGAGCAGATCCATGTCGACCCGTTGCCACAAATAGCCGACACACTTTCATCTTTCGACTCGTCTCTGTACTTGACTGTATGATCTTGCACATAATAAAGCGCTTTTCTTGCAGTGCAGTTCCCCCTACCCACCCAGTAGATCATGCCGGATCCGCTTCTGGGCACATTGTTCCGCTCCGGCTGGAGGCTGTGGGCCACGGATCGAGCGGCTGGCCATTTTTCATATGGTGCTCAGCAGCCCCTCTCTGCAATTCGGCGCTGCGTCAAGCATCAAGACTGCGGCAAGAGGCGCCCTTTGCGCTTCTATTTTCCACAGCCGGGCGTGCCGGGGGAGGGGGAGGCGGTGAGCAAGTCACGGCCACTGGCATGGCCGGTGGGGGAGAATTAGTCTGGCAATTTTGGCTCTATAAAAAATCACGCCAGCGGGCCGCTGCGACCTTGGCCGCTTTATCCGCCAACTGCTCGCCTTGCGCATCGCCTGTCCTCCTTCTCTTCTCTAGTTCTGAAAAAATCGGTTTTTTATTCCTTTCTCACTCAAGGCCTAAAGACTTTTTTTACCTGCTAAAGAGCGAAAGGAGAGGAACACCTTGTAAAACCACCGGCCACTAGCACCACAACCTTATTATACCTTAGTTGCTTTCAATTCTCCCTCTTCATACCCTGTAATTTTTCCTTCTCTTCATTCACATTTCACTACTCCATTGTCACATAATGTCGGTCCAAGGACAGCTTGCTGTCTACACACAGCATCGGTTTACCGGGCGCACTACCATGGCGCCCGAGGGCGAGTCCAGCTTGCGCGCCTGGTCGTGCACGCTGCAGGAGGGGCGACCACGGGTTGCCAATGTAGCGCTGCTTCCGTACGTCAAAGACGTTGAATTCATACTGCACCCTTCGTTTGATAACCCACACAGAGGTAAGAAGGACAGAGAAAGACACTACTGCACACGTAGCTTCCCCCCTTTTGGCGTCCTGCTTGAGTACTGGGAGCCAGTATGTTTTCTATTGATTCATTGATGGTTTTTTTACTGCACTCTGGGACTCTTGCGTTTTTGTCTTTTGCTTCCAGCTGGAGAAAGGCCAGTCCTTTCACCCGATGCTCCCTTCCCTTGCATCCCATTCACGTATATATAGCTATGCATGGTGTATACAGTGGCGGCACAGCAGCCGCTTGTCTGGCATTCTGGTTGATTCCCGGCCGCTGCGGGAGGCAAAAGTAAAAATTAGGGAGGAGTGCGGGATAGCCATGGTGCATAATTGCACAAATATAGATATCGAGGGAGCGGAGAGGCAGCCGACTATGGTCATTACTACGTTGACGATTCGGTCTCGTCAGAGCTAAATTGACCCCTCCTAGCACTTGGCAGCCCCACTCCAGGCATTGGCAGTTTCCCTTGCTTTCCAATGGCCGACGGATGTGAGTAGCGCTCAGACCTCCCCCTCAATTCCCTGCCCTCGCGCCCCCTGAGTGTCGCACCTCATGACTACAGCCGGAATGGTGTTTCATCCTGGGATTTGCATGTTCGCATACGCTTCATGGAGTGGCAGACACACAAACCACATGATACTGACCTGTATGTGCTCGCATCCTCCATTTTTCTTATCTATTGTCGGAATGGACGTAGTCCGGTCGAAGCCGCCATTTAGGATCAAGGAGGAGGGGTGGGGGCAGTTTGACCTGAAAATTGTCGTGCACTTTTTCCACTGCTCCGATACAGTCACAATCGACCACTATCTGACGTTTCCCGAAGAAGGATCCGACTACCAAGTGTACCCATTTGTAAGTATCTCAAACATGCTGAACAGTGCAACTCTGGGTCCGCTGACCGGCTGGCGGAGCGAATCTGCGCATTTTTCCCGCTGCAATATTACGCCCAGAGTGGGTGTATGGGGGCTTTTGGCCCCAGGATTCGCACCAACTGCGCATCCTGTTTATCGTGCATATTATTCGCCGTGCAGCTTATCGATGCCCTCCTGTGGCCTTAATTGCACCTATATTAGAAAATACCGAATCCAACACCGGGATTCCTGTCGCTGTACAATAAGAACACCACAACCGTATCGCGCAAGACGATTCCAGCACGTGCAACAAAGGCGCGCAAGGGCCTGCCACGGGACTCGGCTCACTCTGGACACCGCCGGTCGCCATACGACTCAGACTCGGGCAGCTCGGGCGGATCCAGCGATTCAGACAACACCGACACTGGCGGGAGCAACGGACACGCAGTCCGCAGCGGACGCGTCTCCAGCCGGCCCCGGTCGGCCAAGGAGCCGCGCACATCGAAGGAGCCGCCACGGCCCAGCACATCAATTAAGCATGGGCCAGCGCAGCCAGCCGACTGGGAGCAGCGGCGCAAGGGCGGCAACTCGCGCACAACGCCAGGGTCCGAGCACATGTCGTCGCCGCAGTCTCCAGCCGACCACTACCAAAAGGCAAGCCGCCCATCGTCTCGCGGGACACAGGCCAGACGGACACGTGACGAGAGCCTGCCGCGCTCCCGCCCGCCTGCGGGAGTCGAAACTGGTGCGCAGGCCAGAAGAATCAACGGCCAGAGTGCAACACCGCAACGCCCACGTGCACCGGCCGACATCGGCAGCTCTCCTAACCGCCCCGAGCGTATGCTGGCCGGGGCAAAGCGCAGGCTCAGCGATGCTCCCGACAGTGGTGAGCGCCCGGCTGTGCGTCGTCGCACCGTGGATCCGGCTCGCACTCCCTCATCGTCGCCGCCATCAGCCGGCTCACGTGCATCGCATAAACGCGGCGACTCTGGCATCCGGCCCATCAAGCGGTCGCTGGCAGGCGCCATTGCAGAGGTCCGTGTGCCAAAGAAGCGCCCGATCAAGGCAGCGGAGGAGGAGGATGAGCCGCCCAAGAACACCAGCATCGCAGATGTGCGTGTGCCCAAGAAACGAGCAATCAAGATCCTGTCAGACGAGGACAAGTCGCCCAAGAATGGCACCCTGCCGCAGCAGTCGCCACGCAAACCCCCAACTGCCACGCGTCGTGTGATCCGCGATGAGGATCTGCGCGAGTCGTCTCAGACGGCGTCTGGCCGCGAGGCATTTATCCGCGAACGCGAGCGTCAGCGCCAGGCGCTGCAGCAGGCAGCCCAGACGCCCGCCAAGTCTGCCGCCGGGCCATCAGGGATCCGTCCTGTAAAGCAGAGCGGCAGCTCAGGGCGTGATTGCGCGGTCGCAGCGCCCGGCAGCTAACGGCACTGCTGGCTCCAAGGCCAAGCGCCCGGGAGAGCTTCTCGATGTCTCCCGCAACGACACTACCAACGATGTCGCGAATGAGCCAAGGCGCGTGGCGAACCGCCGTGAATCTGCGGTGCCTGCCAAGCAGAAGCCAATGCCGCCGCCCGCGGTCCCGCCGGCAAGCGGTCACAATAGCAGCCGGTCAGCGCGAGCGCGTCTCGCCTCTCCTATGACCAAACCAAAACAGCGCTTATCAATAGCGTACCGCGCATGAAGCGCACAGCCACTAATGGGTCGCAAGAGAAACCATCGGCCAAGCCCGCCGTGAATGAAAAGGATGCGCTGCCTGTAAATACTGCCGAGAAAATGCAGCGGATTATGCGCAAGGCTCAGGTCATGGACGACATGAATACTGTCAGGTTTTTGCACCTGCTGTATACCCTGCGCGTCGAGCAGGAGCCGACACGCGAGGATGTCCATCACCAGCGAGCTGCTGAGCGCCGTGGAAAAGGACAAATATTCGTACAACCTGTCGGTTCTGCAGCCCAAGGCGATCGACCGCCTGTGGTCGTTTGTCAAGAAGATCCCGTCGTCCTAAATGTTAGAGTTCTCCAATGGGCTCCCCCACCAGCTGCTGTCGGATGGCTACATGAATATACTTTTCTTCTTTCGCCTCAGAGACAGAGTCCAGATTGGGCAAATAGACGCCCATGCGTGGCACAAACACCGGAATTCCTACAGCCACCCTGCTATCCCCAGGGTATATTAGCCACAGTAATTGCGCATTTCTGGCCCACCCGCGCTCCTTTTTCGCCTGCAGCGCTGCTGCAATCGCGAACGGACGGCTAGCAGTTGCGGCAGTTCACACTCATTTGGCGTTCCTGGCCCTCCTTTATGCGCTTCTCGTGCATTTCACATGCATGCGACATGTAAACGCTCATTAATGTCACTAATAGAAGAGCTGCATATCCTTCCGCCAATGTAATTTGTCTGGGTGATTTTTCCTCTTCCACCAGCGACATGCATCCTCCACAGCACATACTGCTTCTCTCCTCTGCTCCTCTCCTTCCCACCTGCTTTTCTCGTTACTCACGCACACACCTCATAGCACGTACATCTCGCCTCCCCTATTCACCACCACATCGCCCAGCCTGGCTGCATGGTTTAAGCTCTGGAGAAGATCCTGAAGCAACGCTATTATTTCGAAGCGATCCTTATAGGAACCCCCCCAGCTCCGTTCACTTCCTTTTTGTGCCATGGATGTTGCAAGCAGACTGCGCAGCCTTGTGTTTTCGCTCATCCGCACACCCATCGCTGTAACTGCAACATTGTGGACATGGGCCATGGCTGCGCCACGGGCGCTAGTCCACTACATGCTACGCCTAATTGAGCTCTTTGAAAACACAATGCTGACCATCGTCTGGGAGTACCAAGGCGACAACCTGCTCAAGTTCCTCTACACACACAGCCACATACCCCAGGCCGCCCTCAAACACAGCGAGACGCGCTCCCAGGGCGTCCAAACCACCGACCTCGACACCCATGACCTGGCGCGCAATGCACGCCAGCGGCGCGACGTCCTGATGACGCAAGTACTCGAGGACCTGGTACCAGCCTTACTGCAAGCCTTGCATGCAATGCCGCAGCGGGGCGAACTGGACCGCATGTCACAGGAGCAGACACAGTGGGCAAAGATCATCGCCAGCCAGCAGAGGCAGCTGATGGACGCAAAAATGCACGACGAGTCCTTGGAGGCATACACACAGATCGCCGCTACCCTGCAGGTGCTGGTTTCGCGGATTGGCTCGGTCGACGAGCGCCTGATCCGGGCGCTGAATGTCAGCAGCGGCCATGTTGATCAGCAGCTGGTTAGCCTGCAGGATGGGCTGGGCAGGGTTTCGCGCGAGTGTGAGCTGGATAAGTCTGCCATCTCCGAGCTTGTCGTGCGTCTCAGCCAGCTCGACAACGTCCTGATGTCAATTGCCGCCTCGCCGCGTACGCTGCCCGGCAAGACCGATGCTGCAGTGGATACTGCGGGCTCTGATGTCGCTGATGGCGAAATGGAAGGTACCAGCAAGGCTTGATAGCGGCCGAGCTAGCGTCGAGGAGCAGCGGGTGGATCAGTTTTCGGGATTTTACAGCTGGAAGTCAATGAAGTCTGTCGGCTCCTCGGAGCCCAGCCTCGATTTGATGAAGCTTGTGCTTGGGGATAAAGCACCGGTGGATTCTGAGATGAGCATTGCCGATATCGACCCGCTTACTGTCGACAACACCGAACCGCCTTTGGTAAACAGCAAAATGTCGATTGAAAAGTTTCCAGAGATCCCGGATGACCAGCTTCCTAGACCAAGATTCCGCAGCAGGGCAGGATCCTGAATTTGTCGTAGAGGCACCTGCAGCAGCGGTGGGTCCCACAAAAGAAGAGGTGCCACTTTCCAGACAGAGTGTTGATGTAGCGCGTCTGGAGCCCGAGCAGCCGAAATCCCAGCGCAGACAGACTATCTCGACCGTATTCCACTCTGCATCCGCATCTGCATCCTCTACCAAGATTGACAGGGCTATTGTTAAGCCGTCTACCAGCCGTTCGCGCAAGTTCAGCTTCAGAGAGGAGTTCAAGCGGCGCAGCTGGTTCGGCAAAAAGAAACAGTAGCACGCATATATAATTGGGAGATGTTATTCAATTAAACTACATTGAGGAAGTTTCTTAGGCAGCGAGTTTAGCAACAACATTGGCAAACTCTTCGCCCTGGGTCACAGCCACAGACAGCTCCTTCTCATTGGGCTGGCGGGAGCCATCACCGCCGGCAACAGTGCCAGTACCCCACGGGGATCCGCCGACGACCTCCGAGTTGTCAAACAGATTAGGGTTACGGAAACCAGTGGGGACGTAGATCATGCCGTGGTGAGCAAGGTTCGGCAGGAACGAGAACGCCGTGGTCTCCTGGCCGCCGTGCTGCGAGCCGGTCGAGAAGAAGATGCCAGCGGGCTTGCCGTACAGAGCGCCCTTGGCCCACAGACCACCAGTGGCGTCGAAGAACGACTTGACCTGGGCGGGGGCAGAGCCGAAGCGGGTCGGGAAACCAAACAGGAAGCCGTCGGCCTCAGTCAGCTTGTCGACAGTAATGACCGGGACATCGGGCTTGGGCGGGGCGTGCATCTTGCCCAGGATGTCCTCAGACAGGGTCTCAGGGAACTGGTAAACCTCAATGTCGACGTTGCCGGCCTTCTCCAGACCCTCCTTGATCGACTTGGAGACCGTGTGGATGTGACCGTAGGTCGAGTAGAAAATGACGAAAACCTTAGGACGAGCCATTGCGCTAGCTGTTTTTTTTTTTTTGCTGGAAGTAGGAGAGCTGGGAGAAATCGATGATGATGATGATGATATGTCAAAGTCAAGCAGTGCACCTTGAAGGGCCTTTTATAGCCAGCCAAGATACAGAAGCTGCAAACCTCAGATTTCACATCTAGGCACCAAGGGTTGGTAATTAAGAATCACTGGGAGCAAGTTTTACAAATCTGCCCACGATCACTTAGTAATGCAGCCGTGCCAGCACCTTTCTCTCTCAATATGCTCTGTGTGGAATCGACTGCTACGACACCCGTTGGACTACGCTCGCGGACTGTGTTGGAGAGACAGGCGGTGTTTCCATTTTCGGAAGGATATCCGCTTGCCTAAGGATACAAATGTTTCCCCAACAAATGGCGTGACGCTTACAAAGATTTGGAGTTCCGATTAGTCATGCAGAGATGGCCACGGAGATTCGGTTATGCAGACCAGAGATTCAGGTCCTAGACCTGAAAAGCTGTCCCTGTCTTCCGCCTTGCATAGGGCAGATGGAATGCGCAGCTGGCTAGCCAACAGGGCATGCTGGAGCTTGAAAACATTCATGACACTTGGTGACTGGAGCCAGGCCACCTGGCCAGAACTGCTACAGGCAAATTGGTCCAGAGCTCAAAGGTAGCCCTCTGATCCGTTACCAGACCACGAGGCGTGATGATGACAAATGCATGAACTGCTGGCGGACCTTTTCGTGTTATCTTTGCGAACTGATTAATATTGGTATGAAACAAAAAAGACTACGAGATAAATTGTTAGAGTGAAATCGCTGTTGCTCAATGGCTATTTTGCAGCCAGCGTATGCTGGCTGGCAAGCATACTCCCCGCGTCCTATCACGCCTTCAGCTTGTTGAGGAAGCGACGGAAGATGCTGGGCTTCTTGGTCACCGTCTTGTCCTGGCTTTGGCCAGCAGAGGGGGCGGCTCTAGCAGAAGTGGCAGCTGCAGTAGATGTAGGAGCGGCGGCGGCAAGGTGCCCTAGCAGCAGGGGCTTTCTCGGCGGCTGCGGCGACAGTAGGCTTGGAAGCGGGGCGGCGAACTTTGCAGCGAACTTTGCGAACTCTTCACCTTGAGTCTCTGCGATCGAGAGCTCCTTCTCGGTGGGCAGACGCGACCCATCGCCATTGGCAACAGTGCCAGCGCCCCACGGGGATCCACCGATGACCTCGGAGTTATCGAACAGGTTCTGGTTGCGGAAGCCAGCTGGGACATAAATCATGCCGTGGTGAGCAAGGTTCGGCAGGAAGGTCATAGCGGTGGTCTCCTGGCCGCCGTGCTGCGAGGCAGTCGAGAAGAACAGGCCGGCAGGCTTGCCGAACAGAGCGCCCTTGGCCCACAGGCCGCCGGTAGCGTCAAAGAACGACTTGACCTGGGCGGGGGCAGAGCCGAAGCGGGTCGGGAAACCAAACAGGAAGCCGTCCGGCCTCAGTCAGCTTGTCGACAGTAATGACCGGGATATCGGGCTTGGGCGGGGCGTGCATCTTGCCCAGGATGTCCTCAGACAGGGTCTCAGGGAACTGATACAGCTCAACGTCGACGTTGCCGACCTTCTCCAGACCCTTCTGGATTGACTTTGCGACCGTGTGGACGTGACCGTAGGTCGAGTAGAAAACGACGAAAACCTTGGGACGAGCCATTTCTGTGTATGTTTTATTGCCTGAAGCGTAGGTTGTCCAAAAATGTAGATGTGGAAATGAGACAAGAAAGGAGTGGTAGAGAGATCAAAGGGGTTTAAGAACCTTCTGAAGGAGGTAGTGGAGTAGGTTGTTATTTCTGTGGCTGTAGTCCTGAAGACGATGCAAGCCCGGCAGTACTTCTTTTTATAGCCGGAATTTGTCTGAGCAAGCCGCAGTGCTGGTGACAATTACAAAACACTGACTTGGGTGGCACGACAAAAATTTCAAATCGCATTACAAATCCTTTTTTTTGTGTGTATCGATTTTCAATTTCGCTTCCTCCCCATCCAAACCTCAGTGCTTCATCACCACTTGAAATAGCTGGGAAACGAAAGAAGCAAGCTATCCGGTCTTTGTCATTCCGTGTTTGAGGCAGTCGGCAAGCAGTGTGATGTGTAAAATAGCAGGGTCCATGAGTAATACGCCTCTGGGCAACTGGCCAGCACGGAATAAGGCAGAGGCCCCACTCACGCCTCTTCCTCTCTCCCTTCACCTGGTACACACAGCCAGGGCTACTCCTCCGCAGCAAGGGCAGACTACTGTCTAGCTGCCAGGCATTGTGGAAACCGCATTTGCTTTGGTACACCCGATGTGCGATGCCCTTGGCTGCGGGCAAGCAAATGCGGTTCTCACCAGGAGTCAAAGCGGGGTGTTTAATCCAATAACTACATTGCTGCTCCAGATCACCAGCGATTATATTTGCGGATCAGTTGTGGCTGGCAGATGCTCAGATAGCGGTTGTTGCTGGAGGTTTTGGAAATTTGCCCGCTTTCACGTTCACCAAGAGACCGGAATCGGCCACATCGCCAATCACCTCCCGTTGACTTTTTTTTCATATGGCGGCCACCGCTGGCATATGCCGCTGAATACTCGCCGGTGTGAGCGCAAATCGTTTGAAGGGCACGCGATTGCATGCATAGTGGAGGAGCTAATGGATAAGCACTGCATCGAATCCGCCTTTGCTGCGCACGCATTTCTAGTTCACTCGCTGCCACCACTGCTGACATGCCGACACTACACTCACACATCACCACACTCACATTTCCAGTGGCCTGATTACATACGGGGATCATCCAGAGCATATCTCGTGGCAGGCGATTGTGAGGCGGGCTAATGCCTGTGCCAATGGTGGCATGGGATTTCACATGGCATGTGTGCTGGGTCGTTTTATCCCTCTCGGCCGCCGGCATAGCAGAATTTGGCAAAACATCTGTGCTGGCCAAACAGGGAATACCGGGGGCGGCCGTTGGGTTGCTAGCAGCAGACACGCCCTAGTGCTTTCTGCACACCGACGGCAGCGATTCGCCGCTATGTATTCCTGGCTGACATTGCCTCATTGTCTCTGTTTTGAGTTGTCTTCGAAAGTTGTCTCGAAGGAGGTGGTGGCGAAGGGGATGGGAAGGGAGGCTGAAGGCACGGAGTGCACTATACATCTGCAAGCACAAACTGCAGCCTGTCTTGCTGGCCAGGTCAGACACCAGGTCGCAGAGCACACGGCAGATCTACCCGACAGCAGCTGCCAGAGATCACCCTGGCTCCAGTATCCGAATATCACTAGTGTTGCCGCGTCTTTAATGCCCCATTGTTGCTCAGTGGAATTAAATCCTAACCGTCCTATAAAAAGAACACACCCTGGAAACGCATGTGCAGCTCTGGGGTTCTACAAGAAAGGACCGCTGCTGCAAGAGCAGAATGCAGGCCAATCCATGCCAATAGCAATTCGTGAAGGCAGCTTTTGTCATTTCATTCTTCTCGCTGTGCAAACCACTGGTAGTGCGCTCAAACATGGCTGATAATGCAAGCGCGGTTTGGTTCGTTCCTTGATGTGGACCTCTTGTTTGGCCAGGCCAAGGTAGCACTGAGGACCTGGCACCGAGTGTGATTTCCGAAGAAAACAAGCCATGCATAATTCTGGCAAACTGTCCGTGAAATTACTATAAATCCCTCACACCATCCGCCATCATTTCGCCTGTTTTTTCACATGTACACGCCTGCTCTACCCAAACGCACTCTCTTTGGACCTGGTTCATTTCTATTTGCAGCCTTTCTCCCCACTCCTCACTTTGGGTTTCTTTTTTCGGTGTCTTTCACGATACTTGTGTTCAGTGTTTTGGAGCTGTGAATCATCCGAAGCGGGTCCCTTGGCACGTTCAGTAGTGCTGTCCGTTGACTTCTTCACCGCAGTAGTTCCGTTTCGGTCTTGCTTACCGATATTAAGAACGTGAAAGATCAGAAGACTCAGCCCTGCCACCGGTGTATCCGCTGACCCGTAGCACCAAAGTGCCTTCTCCTCTAGCCCTCCTTCCATAGGTACAAAAGGGCACCAGGAGCCACCCCTCTCGGCTGTAGAAAGAAAATGGCTCCAAACATACTTCGCACCATCAAGTCACTACTATCTCCCCATGCACAAATCTTAAACAACTCACTATTTGTTCACAAAATGCTCTACGTTCACACACGCATTCTTCCTGACACGCCGTACATAACACTGCGTGGTCAGCCAGCCGAGGCGTCAGGCCAGGAGGTCGCGGGCCGCGTAATGATCTCACTTGGACGCTCGATCAAAATCAAGTCGGTCAGGATCTCGTTCCAGTCGCGATCCAGCACCCGGCACCTGTCGCGTCGACAGAACGCCATCAGCGGCGACCTGCAGCTGACGCAGCCGCTGTTCGAGGCCACGGCACCGGCGGGCTTTGAGACATGGCAGCCCACCAGCGAAGCCCGCGAGTTCCCGTTTTCGTTCGCGATTCCTGGGCACCTTCACGAGTCGGTCGCCACAGAGTATGGCCAGATTGGGTACGAGCTCAAGGTTACCCTGCGGACTTGCGGATTCGGAATCAACGTGTGGACCGAGTCGCTCAAAATCCCGGTCTACCGGGTCCCTGAGGACGGCACGCCCTGGGCGCTGTCGCTTGCAGAGTCGATGCAGCTGCAGGCCGACTGGCTTGGTGCCGTTGAGCTGGAGGTGCTCAGCGACTCGGTTGCTTATACAGAAAAATCCAATATCGGCGTTAAGACGGTCGTGCGACCGCTGAAGAAGGGATACACCCTGGTGGATGTGGGGCTGAAGCTGCGCGAGCGTATCCGCTGCCCGACGGTGGTCAACAAATTCGGAGACACAAAGAACATTGAGAACACACTTTGTGAGTCGACGCTCAAGACCAGCGACCCCGAAGGCGGCCACATGTTCATGCTGCCACTGACGCACGAGCACAGCTTTGACATGTCACTGACTGTGCCCAAGGCATTCAGCCAGATCCAGTACGACATGAAGTCATCCTCTGCTTCCGCATCACCCACGAGCTAGTTGTTGCTGCCACTATCTTTGATGAGAAGGGCGAGCCGCACTACTTGCGTACATCTATTGGTGTGCACATTGTCCCGCCCATGGCCATCGAGGGTCAGTTCTCGCACCTGCCATCGTACACAGAGTCCAACGACGACGCGCTGCTGCTGCGGGCACCAGCCAGTGCACTCCGCCGTCCGTCACAAATCCTGGCCTTTTCACCTTCGATGAACAATCTTGCGCTTCCACCGCCCAGCTACCAGGCCCACACCATGTCATATAACCGCCACAGCATCACCGTGTAGATTGCATGTTTCTTATAGCTTTTCTAATACAATATACCTGTTTCCTATCGCAAACACTGCCATCTGGCCACTGTTCACCGACAGCCTCTTGGCTCGGAGCAGACAGGATCGCCGCATGAGAACACACATAGGCAGGAGGCGTGGTTTAATGTTGATTGCCGTTCCCTGTCATCAGCTTTCGCACAGCTGGTGACTGCCAAGAAAATATTGATCCACTGTGCCTCCGCGTGGTTGCTGGCCAGCACAGGCAATAAACAAGCGAACTCGGAATCGACAATGGCCACGAGCCGGCCCTGAGCAGGTTTTTCTTGCGGCCACTTGTTTTCACGCGTTCTAAATAGAAGGCTCCATCCTTTTGCGTCCAGATATGATATCTGCCATCACTCTTAGCTCCCTATGCCTCACCTTGTCACTTTTTAGTATCAGACGCTTGACTTTTGTAAAGATGGTGCCAAGCATACCCGAGACAGATGCCAGTCCTGTTCAAGTTCAGAATGTGTGTTCCAGGAGCTGGGACAGCTGGTGCACACACAATCACCACGTTGCGCCTGGATGGCGTTGGCTTTGCAGAAACCGTAGAGAGGGTGCTTGGTGGTAAATAGCACTTCAAAGTGCATCTGGCTGGACATTCTCACACCTAGTACCTCGGACATTCTCAATCTGGCCCAAGTCGTTGGCATGGACAGTGAGGCAGTGCGTGGGCTGCTCGGTAGTGCTTTGGTTGACCGACTGCACAGAACTATTGGCGCGCTCCCAAAACCACTCCCAGCATGCCGCACGACTGACAGAGCCCTGTATCTCTGCTGGGCCTGAAACCATGGACACAGCGGATAAAATCGAACAGTTCCTCACCAGTGGCAGAATGGCGCCCACTGACACCGGCGGATGGACTCGAGCCAGTTCCACAGTGGATGGCACCGGTTGCGGACAGGGATTCATCGGGTCACACGATCGGCCTGAGGACTGGTGCACGCCGAGGCCGCCGCAGTGAACCAGAGTCAACGGACCGTTGAAGCGTGAGAATCGTATCAAGCGGCTCTACCGGGTACTTGATAGTCCCAAAACCAAACGGCACAGCACGTGTGCATGCGACAGTCAGGCGCTGGGGTACGCGAGGGTCGTCGCTGGGACAATTCGCTTCGCCACTCTGAGAAGGCGTGCTCAGGAACCAGGACACTTGCTGGAGAGATTTCCCAATACAGGGCAGGGCCAGCTCTACGACACCACACCGTGCAAGTGTGGGCCCAGGGACCCATCGTGATAACATTCCACCAGCACCTATCACTGGCCATCGACAGCGTCTTTTGTGACATGGCTAGGCGTGAGTTTAGGTCAGCGTCTGCGGAGTGTATTGTCCAAAGTCCTTGTCAGCTACTGGCTTCACACATCTTCCGAATGCTTGCCACTACTCACTAGGGTTGCAAACGCGCTGGATCGCGATCTGATGAAGCCAGGCTCTCAGCAAGCATGCGAGTGTGCGCAGTGGATACCGATACTTGTGCGGAGCCGCAAAATAGTTCTAGAGCTAATGCGCCGCAGTCAAACAAATGCTTTAGTTCTGGCAAAGCTCGGCCGCTGGCTCGGCATGGATGGCAGCATATATACGCTGAAACCAGTGGTGTGCTATCAGTCGCAATCAGCTACGCCGCTGGTGAAGCATTTCTCTAGGCTTCTCTCCATGGACAGGGATGTAGACGGGGCAGGCACAAACCACATATCTGCGCTCTGTGCGTGGCCATTCATTGCAGCGCCGCTATAGAGTGTGCAGGTTACAGTGCCACTACGCAAAAGCCATTTGGCAAGCGTTCAAGGAAACAGAGATGCGATTTGCGCGGCTGCACCGGATGCTGCTTGACAGGCAGCGAAGGCGGCTGTTGACTGCAGAGCACACCATCCATTGCCGCCTCAGGTCGTTGTCATTTGCTCAAGTGCTCTTCTGGCCGCTGGATACTGCTCACAGCCTGCTCCGGCTGAACGGTATCAAGACCATTGGGCGACTGTCCAGCGACAGAGGAAACCCCAGGGAATTCTGGTACGTCTTGCTGGTCTTTTTCGCGTACTTGGTCATTGCAACAGCGACGCACAAGTATCGCCTGAGGAGGGCCGAGGCTAAGGCAGCGGCAAGCAAAGAGGCCAAACGCCAGATGGCCGACAAGTGCAGACGAGCGAAACCATGGCTGGCTGCCCCGCGGCAGGACCCAGCGACAGATCCTGCGAGCCACAGCGCCAAAATAGCGCCCGGCCATCGATTGCCGCCGGTCAAGCGCCGGCATAGTTGCTGCATCTGAAAATCTGTGCAACATAGTTGGCCAAAAGCAGGTTCCAGAGACTGGCCTGGATGCCAGCTTGCCCGCCCCACAGTGCCCAGGCTGTCTAATGCGGATGAGGGCGTGTGTCGCTCCCTCCCTAATCGATGCAGCTCGTGGCCATTCGGATTTATAATACATTAGCAAGCTGGCGCCAGCCATCGCGCTTTGCCCTTTTGCTTCTCCAAGCCGCAGCTTTTTATACATCTCCTACCACTATTAGCAATAATGGCCGACCGCAACCACCAGTTTGAGGACGATACCCTGGAGCCCACGTACCTTCAGGGCGACGAGCACCACTCGGACGAGGACGATACCAAATCGAGCACCCATCCGTTTGTCACGTACAACTCGCTGGCCAGCTCGAGGGTCGAGGCCGGGCCGTCGTTTGTCAATGCGTACTTTGCCAAGCACCACAATGTAATCGATCCGCTGGCTGCCCCACCTGGCACGCAGACACCTGATATGGGGCGCACGAGTCCGAGCACCAACTCTGGTCCCGCAGCCGCAGCCATGATCAAGTGCCGCCAGGGATTTGAATCCGGTACCGATGTGGCCCAGCCAGCCTGCCCAGCAGCCGGTGCCGACCACGCCGCTGTCGATTCGTGTGTCGCAGCAGATGAAGGAGGAGCACAAGGACACAGTGGTGCCACAGCTGTCACGCGCAACCACCTCGACCCGGATCCGCGCCATCTCGGATGCCTCAGATGCCGCAGATACTGCTACAGGATGCGAAGACCCAGACCACGGACATCGACATCACCGAGAAAGTCTCGGGGAATTCTGGCTGAATCCGTGATGGATCTTGAGAAAGGCGATCCCGATGTCGACGACGACACCACCAGCCGCAAGATCGAGGATGAGATCCGCAACATGATGCGTAAGGTGCATATCCATGACATGACGGATGGAATGGGAGGGATGGGCGAGGGCCCGCAGGAGCTCAAGCGCATTCGGCGACACGCTGGTCAAGTGTATGGAGCTGCGCGACAAGTACATGGACATAAGTTGCCAGCATGAGGCAGGAGAACCCGAAGAACAAGTCTGGGTGGAAGATCTACCCGAAGCCGCCTCCGCCGGCCTGGCACAACTTTAGCCACAAGTCCCCCGAAGACCAGCCCGAGGAGTTTGACATGGGCAAGTGTGAGATCCCGCCTGAAGACGAGGCGGTGTTTGAGATGGGCGAGGACGGCATCTATGCCGTGTATCGCAACGAGGAGCTGCGCGCAGCCGGCCAGGAGCCGTTCACCAAGGCGCCGTCGATCAAGGAGTTCTACATGGACATGGACTACCTTCTCAACGCCATGTCTGACGGCCCCATCAAGACCTGGGCCTTCCGCCGCCTGCGCTATCTGGACGCGCGCTGGCAGCTGTATGTGCTGCTGAATGAGCGTGAAGAGACTACGCAGTCCAAGATGGTGCCGCACCGTGACCTGTACAATGTGCGCAAGGTCGACGGACACGTGCATCTGGCCAGTGCCATGAACCAGAAGCATCTGCTGCGCTTCATCAAGTACAAGCTCAAGGCCGAGCCGGAACCGCCCCGTCATTGTGCGCGACGGCCAGACACTGACGCTGCGCCAGGTGTTTGAGTCGCTGAAGCTGACTGCGATACGACCTGTCGATCGACACCCTGGACATGCACGCGCACAAGGGCGCCTTCCACCGCTTCGACAAGTTCAACCTGAAGTACAACCCAGTCGGCGAGTCGCGTCCTGCGCACTATCTTTATGAAGTCTGACAACTTTATCGACGGCGAGTACTTTGCACAGATCACCAGGGAGGTCATGTCCGATCTTGAGCAGAGCAAGTACCAGATGGCCGAGTACCGCATCTCGATCTATGGCCGCTCTATCGACGAGTGGGACAAGCTGGCGGCATGGGTCGTCGACCACAAGGTGTTCTCGAGCAATGTGCGCTGGCTGATCCAGACCCCGCGCCTGTACGACATCTACAAGGCCAGCAGGCCAGGTCGAGAACTTTGAGCAGGTGCTCCGCAACATCTTCCAGCCCCTGTTCGAGGTCACCAAGGACCCGAAGCTCGCACCCCAAGCTGCACGTCTTTTTGCAGCGTGTTGTTGGATTCGACTCTGTTGACGACGAGTCCTAAGCCCGAGCGCCGCATGCACAAAAAGTACCCGCTGCCGCGCGTTTGGGACTCGAGCTCCAACCCGCCATACACGTACTACTGCTACTTCACCATGGCCAACCTGTGCTCGCTGAACCAGTGGCGAATGCGCCGCGGCTTCAACACCTTCGTGTTCCGCCCGCACGCCGGCGAGGCCGGTGACACCGAGCACCTGGCAGCCTGCGTTCCTCACTGCCCAGGCAATCAACCACGGCATTCTGCTGCGCAAGGTCCCGGTTCTGCAGTATCTGTACTACATGCAGCAGATCGGCCTGGCCATGTCGCCGCTGTCGAACAACGCCCTGTTCCTTGTGTACGAGCGCAATCCCGTTCAACACGTACTTCCAGCGTGGACTCAATGTGGCCCTGTCGACCGACGACCCACTGCAGTTCCATTTCACCAAGGAGCCGCTGATGGAGGAGTACTCCGTCGCTGCTCAGATCTGGAAGTTCTCGAGTGTCGACATGTGCGAGTTGGCCATGAACTCGGTCATACAGAGCGGGTTTGAGGCCGAGGTCAAGCGCCACTGGATTGGCCGCGACTATCTGGAAACCAGGCCAGACAGAGGTCCACAAGACCAACGTGCCGCTGTGCCGTCTCAAGTACCGCGCGTCGACGCTAGCTCAAGAGCATGCCATACTGGCAAGAATGACAAACGAAGGCTGTGACAGCCCGGTCTTCAAGTAGAGCAGGAGGTTAGCAGCATGGATTGCAAAAATAAATGTCCTGTCTATTTTACATGCGTCTGGCAGCGAGAGGCACGATGGGGTTGGATGGAGCAGCGCTTGCCATAGGAAATACCATCCGCACATTGCTATATGCACAAGATAAAACCATGCCGACATTGAGCATTTTCGATGGGATACGTTGTGAGTCTGCGCAGATAACGTTATTTTGAAGAGATAACATAAAGAGGATAAGAGAGGCTAGCGACTATGAAACAGGTAGGGGGCAAGTGTCCCTGTTTAACTTTTAACGCTTTTCAGGGGAACAAACCCGCGGAGAGCAGGCCCTCCAGAAAGTACAACTAAAGCTCTTTTCCATAAAGAAGCCCAGGAGAAACTGAGGAATCCAAATGGAGCCGGAGGTCTTAGTTGCAGGTGGGGACGTTGGCAGGGCGGGCGTTGCCGGGCAGGGCGTAGAAGTTCTGGGTGTAGTAGCCGTTGAGGGCACCGGCGCCAAAGTAGGCCATGTTGGCGCTGATCATGTTGGCCAGATGGCTGGGCGAGTTCTCCAGGGCGGTCTGGGCGGTGGCGGGCGAGTCCATGCCAGCGGCAATGTTCTCGGCGGCGCCGCTCCACGAAGTACCGGCAGCCGACAGGCGCTTGCCCAGAGAGCCCTTAGGGTCGCTGTGAGTCATGTCGCTGGCGCCGGAACATGTACTGGGAGTGAGCCTGAGCAATCGAGTTGAGCTCGGTGGACAGACCCAGGGGCTGGACGCCGTGCTGGGCACGCACAGCGTTGATGCGGCACAGCATGGTCATGATCCAGTCGCCGCTGGACGACGACGACGACGACGAAGACGAAGAATCGGTGGGCGTCGAAGCAGGGGCGGCAGCGGATGTGGACGGGATGGAGACCGGGGCAGCCTTGTGGCCGAAGCCATTGGCCAGGTTCTGGCTGGTGGCGGCAGCAGCGGTAGGAGCAACAGCAGCAACCTTGGAGGTCGAAGGCTTGACAGCGGCGTTGTTGTCACTGCCGGCAGTGACATAGACCGTCTGGTAGACAACGGCCACGGCGGGGGTGGGGACGGCCGGGACGGCGTTGGCGGTGGCAGTCTCGGTGACAACCACAACGGCAGGCATGGCCTGGGCGGCGAGGGCAAAACCGAGCAGAGTAGCGACCTTGGTGAACTGCATTGTTAATGTTCTGATATGTTGCTGTGAAGAGCAGGTGATCGGGTAAAGGATATATGGGGGTGTACGTAATGTAGGGTGGTTTTCTTTTGGCGGCTAGCGCTGTAAAAGAAAGCAAAGAAAAGTCAAAAGGGCGGAGAGGGGGTAAAGGGAGTCTTGTCTTCACAGAAGATGTCAGAGAAAGGGATGGGTGGTTTGAAGCGCTGCCAGGAGACGGCGACCATTTTATAGGATTCGAGGTGTGCTCCCATCTAAGCAGCTCGCTGGTTCCACCCCTAGGAAAGCCGCGGCTTTCCTAAGAGTTCATGCTGTGCATCTCCAGCCATTGGCATAGAGCGAATGGGCATGCGCGAGCGTATAACCAGCGAGGCAAAAATGGACTGCAATGCTTCAAAATGGCGTACTGTAACCCGCTGTCGCACCATTCTACAAGCGAATCCCCCCACTGACCCCGCAGGCCCGTTGTGCTCAGCGAAAATGTCGGCCTGCTGAGGACCAGAGCCGCAGTTTGGGGCGGGTGAGCAAGAGGGGAGGAGCGACGGCAGCCTTCTTGGCTAGGCAAGAAATCCGGTAGTGAGCAAGTGGATCGAATCCCTCTTACTGGCAGGAAAGGAAAGGACATGCGCAATCTCGTCATTGCCAGCATCGGGTGAGAGGTGGGTAGAGAAAACCACCCGGTTTCTACATTCGGCTGGCTTTACTCTGAGCAGTGTAGATTGGGTCGTTGCAGCGTGGATTTTTCCTGCACTGTTTGACAGTGTTGGAAATTCGCCTCTTGGCCCCGCTCATTCGCCCATTCACCCATGCCAGCCCCATTCCTGCTCTGCACAGCCAGTCATGATTGAGCTGTCCATCTCAGTTACACCATGGCGAAGTAGACATCCTACTGGAGCGCAGAGTGCGTAGTATTGAAATGCTTGGTCCAGGGTGATACAAGGACTGAGCACATGCTACCAATTGGATGGCATAGCCGCCATTTCGACAATGCTGTTTGGCTGCAGCAGGCCCTGGCCGCGCATGTGTGGAGGATGTTCAGGATGTGCTCAACGATGTGTCCGCGAACTAATCGCGTCCAACGGTGCTGCCTGCTGCACTTTCCAAATGGGCTTCGCCAGCCCATTTGCTCCGCAGATACAAACAAAGTGCTATGTGCTTTGGCGATGGCATTCAAACCACGCACTACATGGTCCCATTCCAGTCGCTTGCAAATGGGCTGCAGCTGCGATGATATGCGGAATAGCGTGATGCATAGCTCTGCTGACATGCTCCAAACATCTGGAATGGGGATAGCCAGGAACTAGTTGCGGACTACAAAGTCTATTCAGACCCTAAAGCCCCAGCATAACCCGATTGCAGAGCACCCCCACCGCTCATCCGTTTGCAGCTGGTTTTGGGTATAGCCACACTCTTTTTGGCCTTCACATTGGACCACAGTGGCCCAAAGCCAGCTCTAAAGCGCCATATCAGCCATTTCATTCATAGCGCCAATCTCTTCTGCCGCCCTATGGTCCATCCACTGTACACCGGGCGGAGTAGATGTGCATTCCATTCACATGGCCTAGAGCGACTGGTTCCAATGACAAGGCAGAGCAAAGGCATGAGCCGAACGAGATTCCCGCGAGGTGGGTAGGGTTCTGGTGGGAATAGAAGCTGCGGGATCCACGCTCGACTCGTAGAAAGGGCGGGATGGACATTTTCTTTGGCAGTTTTGTACTGCGGAGCACAGCAGAGAAGTTTGGAACCATTTATTTGCCCGGTCAGCCCGTCAGCGATGGATACGCCAATAAACAAAAGGCCGTTCTGGCAATGCATTTGCCAGTTCCTGGGCGCTTGGCAGGCAAACAGAGTCCCAGGGTGAGAGACTGCTACGCAGTGGGGTTGAGAGTGGAGGGAGGAGGGTGCATAACAGTGCTAGCCCATCAGAACCATGGGACCAGCGGCTCTGATTCGGCAACAGGGCAGGGTACTTATCCATCACACATAGTGTGCTCGGAGGAAAGATACCGCGAGATGCCGAAAATTATGTAACTTGTCTTCATTTGCTGAGGCCACCCAAGCATGGTCGTCAATCGCATCATCGATGATAGCTGTGATTGTGCACTAGGTGCACGTTTTTTATAGCTTCCCCACATATGCGCATGTACTCCGCGGTTGCATCACCAGCCATGGCTTTTCATGGGAACATACTGTTATCTGCTCTCCATTTGACACAACCTAATAGAAAAAAGCAGACATCCACACTCGCCGCGCAGAAGCCGCAGGGTATCTCCCACCCGAGTGTGTCTGCTGAATAAGATTGATGAGCAGCAAGACATCAATCACACCCTTGCCGACAGTTTTCCATTTTCCATATTATATACGCGGAGCCGATGCCGATCACCAATGAAGTAACAAAATAAAAGTAGGGATAGCGGGAGGCGGCGGGATCTGAGGAGTGGAGGGGATGTGCAGTGCATTAGCATGCGAGATAGCTGCAGCTTGGCTCTCCTAAGGTTGCCCCTCCCCTTCAATATAAGAGATGGGAAAGCCTGGAGATAGTGTTGTCAGTTGTGACTTTTTTGGTGCCTTTGCGGAGATAGCGTCGGCGGCGACACCTAGGGGTTCTCATGTCACTTGGAAACACATGCAGTGGTGTATTTTTCTCCCACAGCGCCCCAAATCGACGCTGCCAATTCATTCAATCTGCAGAGCGGCGGGCTTACTGACCTGTCCGCCATACATGATGTGCATACGATACCCTCCCTCCCTCCCTCCCTCGATGCACTCCGTACAGGCCAGGAGAAGGAATGGAGGCAGTGTATAAAAGCAACAGCCCAAGGCGGAGGCGTGCGTAGAGGACTCAACTCACACATACAACACAATCCCTGCCCTGCTATCTTCACTATTAGACACCTGAGCTCATGTTTTCTACTCGCATTATCCCGCGCACTACACGTTTCCGCACACCCTTGGTGTCCCATCGGTACCAGTCAACTGTCGCACCCACCACACCGGCGGGCAAGACTCTTGGCCCTCTCTCTGGTATCCGTGTCCTTGACATGACGCGCGTCCTCGCCGGCCCCTTCTGCACGATGCTCCTGGGCGATCTCGGTGCTGAGGTCATCAAGGTCGAGCACCCGGCGCGCGGCGACGACACTCGTGCCTGGGGCCCTCCGTTCAAGCTGTACGAGAAAGAGGTTGCGGCCATCGAGGGCGTGACGTCCAAGGGTGGTCTGTACAAGGCGCCGCCGCAGTTCAAGGGCGAGAGCGCATATTACCTGTGCGCCAACCGTAACAAGCAGTCGATTGCCGTCGACATGAAGATCAAGGAGGGGCGGCAGGTCATTCTAGATCTGGCCAAGGAGTCTGATGTCTTCGTCGAGAACTACGTTCCTGGAAAGCTGGCCGAGTACGGACTCGGCTATGAGGACCTGAAGCGGGTTAACCCGAAGCTCATCTATGCGTCAATCACCGGCTACGGATCCTTTGGCCCGTACGCCAACAAGCCAGGATACGATACCATCATCGAGGCCGAGGCTGGTCTCATGCACATTACTGGTGAGGCCAACGGGCCGCCGGTCAAGGTCGGCGTGGCTGTTACCGATGTGACCACGGGAATCTACGCACACAGCGCGATCCTTGCGGCTCTGCTGTCGCGAGTAAAGTCCAACGTCGGCCAGCACCTGGACGTGTCGCTGATGCAGACACAGGCGACAGTCCTGGCCAACATTGCCTCAAGCTACCTGATCGGCGGGAAGGAGGGCAGCCGACTTGGCAGCAGCCACCCGTCGATCGTCCCCTACCAGGTGTTCCCGACCAAGGACGGCAGCATCTGCATTGGAGCTGGCAACGACAAGCAGTACAAGATCTTCACGGACGCCATCAACCGGCCAGACCTGCTCGAGAATCCCAAGTACGCGACCAACGCAGATCGCGTGCAGAACCGCGACGAGCTTGTTGCCCTGATCACCGAGGCGCTGAGCATCTGGAAGACTGACGATCTGGTGTCAAAGCTCGAGGGCAGCGGAATGCCGTTCGGGCCGGTCAACAACATCAAGCAGACATTCGAGCACCCGCAGCTGGTTGCTCGCAAGGTCGTCAAGGAGGTCGAGCATCCGTTTGCTGGCACCCTGAAGCTGGTTGGCCCCGCCGTCGAGTACTCGAGCTCGCACGTCGGCGTGCGTCTGCCGCCGCCCATGCTCGGCCAGCACACCGAGCAGGTGCTGCGCAGTATCCTCAACTACTCTGACGAGCAGCTCGAGACCACTGTGCGCTCCGGCGGCGCTGTCCTCTACGACTACAACCTGCCTGCGCAGGACGCGTTCGATCTTCCCTCTCAGTAAAAAGCCACTCCGTATATTTTTCAAACATCAAATGAACTCGACATAGTTTTCCGGAATCAATCCGACCTGGTTTCCCTTATAGCCGACCAGCCAGCCGTCGCACTGCTTGTACGAGATAAATAGCATGTCGTTTTCCTCAAACGCGAGTTCGGTCGGATTCTCTGCCTCAAAGTCATACAGTGCCTTGGCTTTGCCCAGGATTGTGTTGGTTGTCGGAGCCGAAACGTTCGGGCCGCCCGGACTCAAACGACGACCAGGGGTCAGCATCCTCAATATGCTGTCCGCCGTCCTCATCCTCGCTGGCCACTGCATGGATGCCCTCGAACACGCCCTCGTGCCGCGGGTCGTCCTTTGAGTACGCAAAGTCGCGGATAACTGGTTTTGCATGCGCAAGAGGATGTCTGCTGGACCCTGAGCACGCGCTACTGCTGTCGTCGGCAACAGCCGCTGCTACATTTCCCGGCGCTGTCATTTCTTCTCGCTGCTGTGACAGAATGCGGAGGGGGAGATAAAATACAAAGGGGTGAATGCGCTGAATATAAATGCACCAGGCAACAAAGGAAGAAAAAAGTACTCCAAAAATATTAGCGGGAATAAAGAGCAGCAGAGCCTTTGCAGCGCAGCATGGGCAAGATTCGCCTGTGGACAGTGATCACGTGGGATCATTCCAAACATAGCCGTCTACTACCGCACATTTTCACCAGTCGTAGTCGAACCGCTCCATGGTCTCTGCCTGCTCCTCGGCGTCTTTCTGGGCCTTGCGCCGCATATAGAAGATCGGGCAGTCGCGGTTGTTGCACACGACCTCCTGGTGTAGCGAGCCCTGGCAGCGCTGGCACTCGGTCCACAGCCGCGAGAACCGCAGCTCCATCTCTCGCATCACATCCATATGGCGCATGTGGATCTCGGGCAGCTTTGGCGCACAGTGCTTGCACACAGCCTTGTCCTTGTCGTCCTTGCGCAGCGGCGCGCGGCAGCCCAGACAGGTCTTGGTCTTGACCATGAACTTGGACAGGGCGCCAGAGGTGGGTGCCGATACGTGGATCGTGCGTGTGTGCGCGCCGTTGAACAGCGTGCCGACCTTGTCGCCCAGGATCGGCTCAAAGATGCGCGTCAGGGGGTTAGTTAGCTGGTGCTCGAGGTAGTATGTGGTGTCGATTGGCAGGTTGTTGTCCAGCACGTAGATTGGGTCCTCGGCCTTCTCGTACGCGCGCGCGTTCTTGGGGCCGCGGATGATGACGTACGGCACACGGTCTCCGAGCTGCGGAGCCGAGCCCGCATCACGCTTGCGCATGCGTTCGGCCAGCTCCACGTGTGCCTGCTTGGCAGCGTAGTCGGTCTTGGACAGCTGCTTTGAGATGACCAGCATCGACAGGTCAATCTTGTTCTGCAGCAGATCGGAGATCGTGCTCTTCACATACTCGACGGCGCCAGTGACGTCGCGGTCAATCAGAAGCTTGTTGAGGCACGTGTCGAGCACCAGCGGCAGCAGCTGGCAGTTGTCACGCCGCACAGTCTCCAGGCCCTTGGTGTCCAGCTTGTCCCACTTCTCGGGCCGCGTCCAGTACAGCCCGGCGTACCGCTTCTTGTTGATCAGCAGATACGGGAAGTACACCTTCTCGAACTCGAGCTTGATCGGATTGACAAACTTTGTTGTCACGAATTCGGCTGCCTCCTTGCCCAGATCCATGGCTTCGTCGAGCGTCTTGACTCCAAACTTGACCATCACCGAGTCTGTGTCTCCGTAGATGACCTCGGCGTTGTGTGCGTATCCATTCTCCACAGTGTACTTCTTTTCGACCTCATGCATCGTCTGGTCGATCATGATGCGCCCAAACGCTGTGACTGACGACGAGATCTGCAGACACGGCAGCTTGCCGTTCAGGGCTCCGGTGAATCCGTACACAGAGTTGGCACTAATCTTCAAAGCGAGCTGGCGGCCATTCAGCACCTGCACCTTGAATGGATCCATCTCCTTTTTTCATGTCGGACTTTGCCTTTTTGCGCGCACCCAGCAGGGACTTTAGAATATACGGCAGCAGGCCCTCGCGCCTTCCGGACTTGACAAAACAGTCGCCGCTCGGGGACACTGTGTAGTCGACGTCCTTGACCAGGCTGAGCCGCTCAATAGTTGCCTTGTTGAGCAATGTCGTGTAGCAGAGATTGTGCGCCATCATAATCGAGGGATACAGCGAGGCAAAATCCAGCGTGGCAATGGGCACGTCGTAGAAGCCACGCTTGGGCTCAATTACCGTGGCGCCCTCGTACTGATTGTTATCGCCCTGCGAGTCGACCACCGGTACCACCAGATCCTGCTTGATCGTCTGCCGGAACAGCTGGCACATGACACGGATCTGCTGTCCACGCGTCAGCAGGTAGTTGAACGGCACGCCAGTGACGCGCGCCATCTCGATGTTGTTGATCAAGAACATCAGCTTGTCCATCAGCCGCTGCGGCAGAAACGCGTCCTTGAGGCAGTACACCGCCAGTCGCCGACGTGTCTCTGCACTCTCCTTCTGCAGGTCGCTAATGATCGAGTACGGCACGTCCTCCTTCTGCTCACCCAGGAACTTGGCTGACACCGCGTTAAGCGAATACGACCGCAGCGCAAATCCGCCGCGCCGCATGGCCTGCAGGACATCAAACTGGCAGCGGCCCTCGATGTTGATGACCTTGGAGTCGCTGGTACCAAACGCCTTGCTGGAGAACCGCGACGTGGACACCTTGGAGGCCACCCCACGCATGCGGCCCAGGTACGGGAAGTCGTGGGCACTGAGCGCTTGAGCACGGTCAATCAGATATGGCAAGTCAAAGTTGGTTGTGTTGTACCCGATGATCAGGTCAGGGTCGCACTCGCGCACAAACTCGGCCCACTTGACCAGTAGCTCCGCCTCATCTTGGAAGCTCAGCACCTGCGAGCCAGGGATCGGCGCACATGTGTCCAGCGTAAACACATTGCGGATGAACGGCTGCTTCGAGCCCTGAACAGTCACAATGTTGGCCACTTGGATCACCGGGTCGTGCTCGGCCTCGGGGAACACGCCTGGCCGTCCAGCGCACTCGATATCCACGCTCAAGATCCGCAGCGGCGCCGTCTTGGCCCACTCGTCCTCAGGCTCATGTGCAATGATGTTTTTGTAGTTGATTTCCACCTCGTACTGGCAGTGTGTCGAGGGTGTGCCCTTGCGCACGTGGTACTTGCCTGCGGGCAGCTCAACCCAGCTCGCGCCAACAATGCCTGTGTCCACCATGAACCGCAAGATAAACTCGATGTTGCTCTCAAACGGCGCCGACGCATGCTGGCCAATGCTCTGAATATGGAACCCGTCCTTGACGATCCTCGCCACTGGCGCCACCATGCGCGGGTGTCTGACCGTGATCTTGAAGAACGGCGCCTTGACATTCCCATGGAACCCCCACAGCGACTCCTTCATACAAAGCTCGACCGACAGGACCGGGTCATGCTTGCCGCCACCCAAGTTTCCGGGTGCCCTGCGGGCCAGCTGGTTAAGCTGTGCCACGACCTGTGGGATGTTTTCCGCAGCAAAGCCTTGCGGTGCCGGGCAATAAAAGTACGGCGAAAAGCCTGTCACAAAGCACGCAACAGAGTTGCCTTCCTCTGTCACGCCAAACAGCCGCGCCGTCACGAAGCTCTGGTCTGCGCCGTACTCCTCGTCAATCTCCATCTGCTGGAACACCAGGCTGTCCACGTCAGTATTAAGCACGCGTGCTGTAGGCCGTGGCCATGCCGCCGAGGGATCAGCCACAGGCCCAGTGGTCTGCTCGAGCTGCATAAGCTCCTCTTGGAAGTCTACAGGTGCGTCCATCTCCACGTCTTCGTCGACCAGGATATCGCCTGCTTGTGACTTGGCCTTTTGCAGGCGCGACCGCTTGTTCTGCGAGCTCTGCCGTGACGGCTGGTGCGATGACACGTGGAAGTCCGTCACGTCAGTCTTCCTCTTTGTGTCCGAGGTCTGCGAATTGGGCGGCATTCCGAGATATTTTGAAACGATAGTGTGAGGAGAGGGAAAAGGGAGAATAGCGGTGCTTGGGAGAAAAAAAAAGATTTTTTCGTTTGTGATGCTCAGCTGCAAGGCATGCAACGCGACAAATGCAGCGCGCAGAGCTCGCGACCGTGATCGAATCTGCGTAATCGATCAGAGCCTCGGGGTTTTAGAAATGGCACGCTTTTTGTGAAGGTGTAACGGCAAACTTGAGCTCCAGCATTAGGCTTTCACGTTCTCGCCACTTAAAGAGGCAGGGCAATTATGAAATGCTCTCCTTTCCACTTGCTCTCTCCCTATCGCGACCCAGCCTCAACCGGCACAGTTCTTTCCTACACACCAACCAACTTAGTATCTGCCCGCACTACTTTTCTCATCTCTACAAACTATGGCTGTCAAGAGAACCTACGACTCCTTCATCGAGGGCATCCCCTCGCCGCCGTCGAGCACGCCCGTGGCCAAATTGCCCCGGCCCAGCAGCTCTGGTGATGAAACAGGTAAATTGCGTGCATAGTGTAGGCTGCAGTAAATGCGATTTCCATATACTAACTTGCCGAATACCTCTGCATTTCTAGATCGGGCCATGATGTTGTTCCGCTACGGCCAGCAGCAGCCAGCAGCAACAAAACAACAGCAGCAGCAGCCAACCAGCGGCAGCAGCGCAGCAGCCAACCAGCAGCACAGCAATACGGGCCCATGTCCATCGACATGGCGCAGTGCACATCGTGCACAAAGCTATTCATGGCCAGTGCCAACCTTCAGTCCAGTGGGTGCCGCAGATGCATGCGCGCAGTCTGCCCAAGCTGCATCCAGCCATGCTGCTGCTGTGGCGGCAAGTTCTGCCAGTCGTGCTCAATGTCGGACTACACCAGCTATGACATCCAGACGGTCTGCCTTGACTGCAACTAAACACAAATGTACTTTTTCTCTTTCTTCTTTTCTCGATTCGCAGAAACCAAAAAAATAAAATAAAACTCCGTCTGACGGGTCTATTCGTATTCTCAAAAAGCACATTTTACACCTTGATCTCAGGCTGCTGGGTCGGCAGCTGGCCGAACCGCTTCTTCAGAGTAACGCGATGCCGCGAGTACTTGTCGTCGGGCGAGAACCGCGCCGGGTGCGCGGACTTTGTTACCTCACCGGCATCGGTGACCTTCTACAATAAAAGAGACATGCATACCGAGGATTGAGCAACAAACTGTCGTTCTTGTAAAACACCGGAAACCAGGAAACCGTTTGCCGCTGAGGCATCCAGGCAGAGTCATAGGGTTCTCCTTACCTTCAGGGTGTAAACACGCTTGCCCTCGGCGTCCAGAGTGTACATAAGATGCATGGTAGATTTTGCTGGCGAAAAACTGCGTTTCGGCTACATATACAAAAGAGAAAGTGCCGGGAGCATTGCTGGCATTGCGTTAGTCGCATGCGTTTACATGGCGGGTTCTGACACCAGTGCTAGGCCGTGTACCGTGTGCACTATGCAATCAAACAGTGTGAGCGTGTCTGAGCCAGCGGTTCATCACTGGTCGATCAGTGTCCAACAGCATCGTCCTTCTCCTCCTGTGATCTGTCCAGCGTTTATCCAGCAGGGCTAGGCCGACTACTACAGTCTGGGCATGCGTTACCTTTTAAAATAGAGGAAAAGAGGGGTCTGTGGATAAAAGAGCAAGCGAATGAACAAGGTTGAATTGAGAGACGAAAAAGAAAAAAAGTGTCGAATGGCGTGCTGTGCCAATAAAAAAAACGTTGCAAAAATATTTGATCGCGCGTGATTCCTCGATCCATCAGGCAGAGTTCCAGAATCAAACAAGCTTGAGGTTTAGTAAAAAAAGATCAAACAGGCTTGAGGATATTGGCATCGCTATATGCTGGGGCGGGTCATTGCACGCTGGATATACAGCGCAGCATTTGCCCTCTTTCTGCTTCGGGATATGCTGGCTGAACGTTCTTCTTCATAATCAACATGTCCGCACAGAAATCATTCCTTGACGGGTACTCGATGGACAGCTCGCTCAGCGGCACGCAGATGTCGGTGCTCCATTCGAACGACAACTCGCAGAATGAGACAGTGGTAGGGGCATGATGAGTGATATGTTGGACTGCAAAGTATGGACGCTGGTAATGCTATTAACAGATGTTTGCATCGTGTAGTTTGACAGCCAGCCAGTGATGGCAATGCGACCACCAGCTAGTTCACAGCATACAGGGTCATCAGCAGGTGAGGAAGGTGCGGACGGCTGCACCAGGACCACAGGGCACTGAAGCGCTCACTGGATCGACTAGGGCAGGAAATGGCGTCCTCGTTCACATCGCTGCATGAAAAGACCAGCAAGGTCAATCTCAGTGTCAGCGACCTGCACTCCTGATCTGAAGAAAGTTGAGCGTTCCGTGATGTTTGACAGAGACATGTCGAGGCCATCGGTCGCAGATATTGAGCTTAAGCTCAGCAGCACCGGTAAGCATGGCAGACAGATGTGCAGCCTCAGGGTGTTGCTGATCTGACGAATGCACTAAGCACAAGGCGCATTTATGTGTATTTGTTATGTAGTGCAATCACTGGAATCGCGACTTCTTGACAAGATGTCGGTGCAGGTGGGGGCAGCAATTGAACGAAAGGTGAATGATGCAATGGCTATCACTCGATAAGCACAGCCCGCAGATGGCAGACTGGAATCGTTGTCGCTAGTCACTGGCCTTGCCGGAGGTCAAGGAAATGGTCAAGGACCTGCAGGCGAGTGTTGAGACCCTGTCAGCTGCTGCATCCAAGTCAAGCAATAGAGCGACAATGCCGCTGCTTCCACCGCTGCCGTTTGAAATGGGTCAAGCGCAGCCAATGCCAATGTTGCTGAACAACGACGGCATTCTGGCAGGCACCAAACCTGCAGCTGCCTATGGGCGTGGAACTCCCACCGCAGATGGCGCCCATGGCTCAGACACAGCAGACTGGCATGTGTGGAGGCTATGGACACAGCGTAAACAGCCTCACGCTGGTGCATCCAGTGGACCGACCAGAGCACGCCAACCCGAACGAGAGTCTTTTCAATGAGGGATGCGATCGCGGTGGTGGACAGCGCATATCCGTACGAGCTAGATAATGGCTGGCCAGTGGCACCGGCCAGCGGCAACAAAAGACCGAAAACTCAGAGATAGCCGCTGGTTACGTTTGTTCTTTTTCCTTGTTGGTTTCTCACCGAAATTCTTATGCTAAGGAAAATGCAGGCAAATGTTTTCGCGCGACGCATGGTAATGCGAGGCCAGCACGCGGCATTTCAGCAGGTTCGGCGCGGTACAGCGGAGTAGCGGTGACAAGGGGTCGCCATTTGCGGAAGCACCTGGACCGCTGCCACTGGGAGACACAGCAGAGCAGAAGCGTATGGCAGCGCTGATCGAAGAGGCAAACAGGGCGGACACACCGCCGGCCGGGCTGACGAGTGAGGAGCTAGAAAAGTTCTACGAGCCGGTACGCGATGCGAACGACCCGCTGAAGCCGTTCCCAAATAACACAAACCCGGTGACGGGAGAGGTCAACGGGCCGCGGGGGCCAGAGCCGACGCCGGTTCGGTGACTGGGAGCGCAACGGACGAGTGTCAGACTTTTAGATGGAGGTAGGGGAGCAATAAATGAAGAAATATACACAATAGCAGCTAACTGTACAGGCATTTGTTGACGACGGAGATCGGGATATCGGCAATGTTCGGGATGCCGCCGACCTCGCAGCACAGGTGATCGTCGGGGGGCTCCGCCGGCGCGACATTTCGAGTCCTGGATCATAGAAGGTGTCAGGAGAGTTCAGTCAGAGGGGTAGCATACATGATATATGCCATATTGAAAAAGTATATGGACAGGACGGCCATGAACAGCCATGCAGGCAGGGCCATGGCCCAGTATCTGTCCGGGTAGTACGTGAAGCCGAGGGCGACACAGTATGTGATCGGGCAGGTATGCCCACACCAGATAGGTGCCGAATATGGCTAGCGAGACCATGTAAACGACAAATCCATAGTACTCGAAGGTCGGCGTCTTTGCGACCAGCTGGTCGCCTGCCAGCGACGACGGCGACGACGGCCAGGGATCAGCGTAGCTGGCGTCGTTCTCGTGGCGCGCAGAGGACGCTGAGGATACTGAGGGCAGGTCGGGCGAAGTGCGGGCGCGCAGAGCGCTGGCGGACGGGCTTCGGGTGGGCGAAGTGGGGCGTACGGGCGTGTGGAACTGTCGCAGTGGCACGTACATTACAATTCAAAAAAAAAAATACGAACTGAAAGAAGCTGCTGTCTGAGAAATCCTGGTGCTGGCGTTTGGTGCTGGAAATTAATTCGTGGTTGGAGCGTGCTTGTGGGCTGGGGAGGGGCAACCAATGGGGGATGTTGACGTGTGATCATCCTTGCCATTTTGCTTTTCAGCAGGCGAGCAGGCGTCAGACGGCAGTCCTGTCTTCATTTCAGCTCTACATTCGACAGTTTATTTTATTCTTTTAGTTCATTTGCGCATTGTTGTTAAGAGAAATGGACTTTGTAACGCAGGCGAAGAAAATGGGGGTTCGGTCGGTAAGTGCGGCGGGAAGAAGGGACAATTGACCGAAAAAGAAAGCAAGAGCCCGGCACAGCGGCAGCACTAAAGCCTGGCACAAATTTGCTTCCCACTCCTGTAGCTGCTTCTCCAGGGCCTGACGTTCCTCAGCGTGCTCACATCGGCATTCATGATCTGGAAGGGCATGTCGCTGTTCACAAACAGCGAGAGCCCAGTGGTAGTGGTGCTGTCGGGCAGCATGGAGCCAGCGTACTACCGCGGAGACATTCTGTTTCCTGGACAACGGACATTCGGCGATCGAGGTTGGCGAGGTGGTGGTGTATAAGCTGGAGGGCAAGGACATTCCGATTGTGCACCGGGTGATGAAGGTGCACACAGAGAGGGAGAACGGAAAGCAGTTTTTGCTAACCAAGGGCGACAATAACCCGGTGGACGACCGGGGACTGTATAACCCGGGGCAAGCTGTGGATCCAGCGCGATGAGATCGTCGGGCGCGTCAAGGGATTCGTGCCGTACGCGGGCATGGGCACGATTTGGATGAACGACTATCCGCAGCTGAAGATGGGGCTGCTGGGGACGCTGTGCCTGCTGAGTCTGTTTAGCAACGAGTGAAAGGTGGCAAATGAAGTCACCAAGGGTTAGTTTTTTTTATTCCATCTTCAGTTTCATAAAAAGGACCGTGATCATAGCGCTGCTGAGTGTGGTGCAGGTTATTCCCAGCTAGCGGTCTTACTGGGTGCGGTAGATGTGGTCGGACACGCGCGCAACGTCGACCATCTCGGCCACGTCATGCACGCGCACAATGGCAGCACCGCCCTGGACAGCAGCAGAGACGGTTGCGGCAGTACCCCAGACGCGGTCCTTGGCGTTCTTCTTGCCGGTGGCCATGCCAATGAAGCGCTTGCGGGAGCTGCCGACCAGCACCGGGAAGCCAACGAGCTCCACCGGCAGATCCTCCTCAATGAAGCCCTCGTGAGAGTCAGCCGAGTCGGGCTTGCCGGAGCGGTCGGACACGGGCGCACGAATATGGCGCTTGGTGAGCTCGGGCAACCGCCGCAGCACATCAAAGTTCTGGCTGCCCTCCTTGGCAAAGCCAATGCCCGGATCCAGGATAATGTTCCAGCGCGCCACGCCGCAGTCCAATGCCTGGCGCACGCGCTGCGCCAGCTCGAATCGCGTGCCGCGCACCACGTCGCCGTCAAACTGCGCATAGTCGTTGAGCTGCGTCATGGTTGACGGCGAGCCACGCATATGCATCAGCACGTACGGGCACTGGCGCTTGGCCACCAGCGGCAGCATCTCGGGGTCGTGCGAGCCGCCGGTGACGTCATTGATTATATCAGCGCCCGCGTCCAACGCTGCACGGGCCACGTCGGCATAGAACGTATCGACGGAGATCGGAACGCCGACCTGCTGCTCGCGCAGCGCACGCACCACCGGCACCACGCGTGCAATCTCTTCGGTAACGCCGACGGGCACAGCTCCGGGCCGCGTCGACTGGCCGCCGATATCAAGAATGTCGGCGCCGGCCTCCACCAGGCGCTTCGCGTGCTGGACGGCACTGTCGCAGGCGAGGAAGTCGCCGCCGTCGCTGAAACTGTCGGGAGTGCAGTTGACGATACCCATGGACAGCGTGTGCTTCTGCGTGGCCGGCACCAGCGATTGCAGGAGCCCTGAGTGCGGCTGCAATGGCGTGACCTGCACGATGTCGTTTGGCGCGTTGCTGTGGGTGGTCAGATGGCGGAACAGTGCCCCGGCCGATCTGCCGAGCCGCTGATGCATGATGCTGCGGTCCAGATCGCACAGCGGGCCGAGCTGGAACCGCCGCTCGTGCACCAGTGCATGCGGAAGCGTGAGCCGCTCAGTGCGCATCACTAGCTCGTCGTAGAACAGAATGTCCAGGTCGATCACGCGCGGTCCGTTGCGGATCACGCTGAAGTCGCGACCCATCTCGGCTTCGATGCGCTTGAGCTCGTCCAGCAGCGCCAGCGGCTCGAGCCGGGTCGTGAGCCGGCATGCTGCATTCAGGAACGCCGGCTGGTCGGCCACATACATGGGCGCAGTCTCGTACAGAAAGCTAGTTTCCACCAGCCGCGACTCGGGCAGAGCCGCCAGGTGCAGCAATGCCTTGTGCAGGTTCGCCAGGCGGTCGCCGACATTCGTGCCCAGCGCAATGTACGCGCAGTGCATGTCGCCAGGAGCCCGCGGCTCGCTGGCAGCCGCAAAGTCCGAGCTGGCGCGGGTGATCTCGACTGCCGAGCACGCAGCAAAGACCAGCGCGCTGGGCTTCTCGACGCGCACGGTGATGCGCGGCACGTGGCACTCCTTGACCCCAGCGCGTGCCACCGCCGTCGCCAGCGCCTCGACGGTGCGGAACGAGCTCTTCTCCACCAGCTCCGTGATCGCATCCACCACCGTGCGGAAGTTGCGGTACGCCGGCACCGCATCCCGCACCTCAGCCGCCTTGCGGTAGTGCATGGTCAGATCCAGATCCACCACCTGCTTGGCGTGCCGCTCCCACAGATTCACGCCGATGATCGTGCTCAGCTGCAGCCGCCGCACCGCAATCCGGTCCTCCTGCGCCAACGCCCCTGCCGCCTGCTCGGCCGCCAGGCGCTCGGCCCCCACACGGGCCACGCGCTGCCCAAACTCCTGGTCGCTCTCATCCGCCGCCTGCACCGGCTCGCTGCCCCAGCTGCCCAGCATCTCCTTGCGCGTGCGGAACACCTCGACGCCTGCGTGCTTGGCGTGCAGGAGGGCCCGCGGCTTGTTCACTGTCACGTGCACTGCCAGCGCCCGCTCCGTCACCCCCAGGCACGTCCGCACGATGCCATCGGCAAGCGCCTCCAGCGACTGCAGCCTGTGGGCTCCCTCGGCAAACGCCGTGACCTGCTTGCATGCGTTGCCGTAGTGCACGCTCTCCGTGACCTTGTCTGTGCGGCCCGCAGACGCAATCGACGTGTGAATTTCAGCCGTAATGAGGACCGGCTGTTTCTTTGTGCGCTCCCACGAGTCGTGCCCCAGCACCGTGCGCACCTCCAGGTCCCGGAATATGATCTTGTCTGCCATCCTTTATGTGTCTTTAAAATACTAGCTGAGGAAAAATTTTAGTTTGGGAGAGGTTAGAGACTCCGATCCAGCCGAGCCCAGACTGGCTTTTAAAACTCGCGCGCGGCCCGAAACGAGGAAAATTGCTGGTGACGGAAGATAACAAATTCCCACCCAACCACCGCTGGTATCATGCGGTGTTCCCAATTGTTTGCTCAACCGCTTGCCAATCCCGTCTCTCCCTAAACCCTCCCACCACCCATCTCCACGCTACATTGTCGGCGGATCCCAGTCCCACGTATACAATATGCCACTCCAGTCGCATCAGCCATATTTCGTGTGAAACGACAAGTGGCCGTGGTCGATGAATCGTGCAATTGCTGTGACCATGTTTACCCATCTGCTGCATACATAGGCGTGTTCCTTGTGGATACCTGCAATGTATTTTAATTACAGTACTTTTGAAATACATTAGCTGATGGCCTGTTACTGCCAGCGTTCCATGCATCCAGAGTGCGACACAGTAAACACCGCTAGCTGTCTGTCAATGCCGCTACACCGTGCCAAATTCTGAACAGCAGAAGCCTGCTTGCACCTGCCTCCACGCTCCGGATATATATCACACAGCAATGAAGATTAGTCTACTCGTAGCATTGGCACTATCGTTGGAATCTGTCGGGTCGGCCTCGCTTATCTCGACAAGGCCAGGGAAGATCGAGCAGCAGCAACAAGAGTTTGTCAGCTCAGCCCTGCCCTTGGTGGTCCTCGGCTACCTGCACGAAGTTGCCTCCGCATACCGCCAAGTACATCCAACCAGCATTGCCCGCCTTGATAGTCAAGCCATGTCGGAGTCTGCCAGCCACCAGTCTGAAAGTACTGTTCCAGATGTGGGCGAGCTTGGTGCGCTGCTGGCAGAGCTCGACGAGCTGGGCTTCTCGATCGGCTCGAGCCAGGTGGATCAGATGAAGAGCGTTATGAGCGAGATGCACACGGCATCGTTCCTCGACAAGGAGATATCGGCACCGGGCGAGGTTTTACGGATCCACCAGTCGATTGCAGAGAACGTCGAACAACCCAAGTGAATTCTCGCTGAACGGCTGCGCAGAATAAGCTTATCTGCTCTTTGAAGATTATTTTTGTGCAATGGACTGTCCACAGAAACCGCAGGACACCCGAGTCCAGTACTTTGGATCTCCCAGAAATAGGCGGCACACAGTGTAGTCAACAGGAAATCAGCAGCTATTAGCATGGGTCTCTCTCCTGCTTGCTGCTCAGATTCCGCACATGATTGCCTAATTCCAGACATCGTATTGCCAATAGGCGATTTGTAATCATACCTACCATGTCATGGAAACTAAAACGCCGACAGGAATCCGAACGAGAAACCCTGCCTAGGGCGAATACACCCACTCAGAGCCAGGTACCGATCTGTGAGCTACGATGTCAGACTGTACATTTCACGAGCGAGAGAAGCGTGACAGCGATGTGAATTGCCACCTAATGTCCATGGTCCAGATCTGATCCCTTCACGTTTTGTTATGGATAGACCGACTCTGCAATCTACCGCACCACCGCCTGCATTGCTGTACTTTTGTCATCCAGCATCTGTAAGCACAATTCGTAATCCGAGCCGTTAGCATATTTGTAAGCCTCCCTCCCAGTCTCACGGTAGTTGCTCTGTATAAATTGAGAACGGCCTGCCGCATATCCCCGCCAGCCACACACAGCACTACCAGCAACTATATAATCGCAACCTACACTTACCACAGTACTGCCTCGCATAGTATATCATGGCCCGCCCCAAGGTCTTTGTCGTCTTCTACTCCACCTACGGACACGTCCACACCATTTCCAAGTCAATCAAGGAAGGACTGGAAAAGTCTGCACAGGTCGATGTCGAGGTATATCAGTTCCCAGAGACCCTGTCCGAGAGCGTCCTCCAGAGCATGTATGCTCCACCCAAGCCCGACATCCCTGTCATCACCGTTGACAAGCTAGCCGAGGCCGATGGCTTCCTGTTCGGATTCCCAACCCGCTTCGGATCTGCCCCTGCCCAGGTCAAGGCGTTCTTTGACTCCACAGGCTCGCTGTGGGTCAAGGGCGCGCTCAGTGGCAAGCCTGCAGGAATGTTCTTCTCAACAGCCTCCCAGCACGGTGGCCAGGAAACCACCGCGTTCTCGTTCCTTCCCGTTCTCGCCCACCACGGAATGGTCTTTGTCCCCGCGCTCTCCACCAGCGCTGGCAACCCGGGTGTCGACCAAGTCGCAGGCGGATCGCCGTGGGGCGCAGGCACGGTTGCTGGCAGCGACGGCGCACGCCGGCCCACCGAGTATGACTTGGCAGCAGCCGTGGCACAGGGCGAGAGCTTTGCGAATATTGCCGCAAAGCTGTCGGCGTAAATGCTTCAACCAATCCTGCACACATTTCTGCCTCAGAACAGACGCGGAGACACATTTGCTGCTAACTATTTTTGCCTAATGGAATTTTCTCAATCCACTGCGATGCGCGGTATCTTTGGTTCCCCAGTGCGTATTCTTGCTCCGAAAATTCCTGATGCCCCTCACCGGTGTTCCTCACAGTGGCTCACCAGGCCAGCTCCACACCTCAGTGAGCAGAGAACAGAATGACCTGCCACCACACGCACCGACTGCAGCAGACAGTGTCTTGGCATATTATCATGGAACGTCGGTGTATGCCAGCTGCCTATGTTTATCTGACACCACATATTGCATGGACTATGAGGAAAGGCTGCCAGTAGATGCTGCCTGCAGTGGTCCAAACGTATATAAATCTCTCGACACCAGCCGTCCATTTCTACAGAATCCACCAACATACGCAATCCTAATCTGGGCACAGCCGCTCCAATATTCTCTGCTGTTCTCTACCACCTCTCCAGTTCTGCCTACCAGCACCTTCAACTAGCCACCACCTAATATGGTCAAGGTTTACTTCGTCTCTGCTGTGCTTGCTGTGTTTGCCCTGAATGCATCCACCAACGCCACTCCACTTGGTGACACTAACACCAACGCATCTGCTGCAATCTTCTCTCGTCCGCCAGTCGCTCTCCCCTGGGGATTCAACGCCGATGCCTTTGGTCATCTGCCAAATGGTGTGAAGCACATTCTCTTGGCCAGGCCTGGCATTATCCGTCGTAATGACGATGGGAACATCACCGGCAACGATGATGACCATGCCAGTGGCAGCGATGATGACGATGCGAAACCTGTCCTATCAACTCAACCTGAGCCAGTCCCAGTAGCTCCCGCCGCTATCCGCCGCTGCCCGCATCCCAAAGGGAATACTAAGGACAACAGTGGTCACGGCAACGTTACAAACGATAAACATGACAATATTGAGCGCCAGGGCGATGTCAGCGACGGTTATGTCAGTGGGGGTCATGTCAGCGCCGGCAATAGCGCAGGCAACGATACGGACAGCGGCAACTAGGTTGGCAAGTCTAGGTTTGGCCATGTCCAGTTCACCAGCTCTTCGATATAGCTGGTTCACTTTTTGATTTTGTGAGATTTCAAAATGTGAATCTCGTTAAATGTTGGCATGAAGGCTGCCTGGACGATTGCAACCACTCCTGCTATTGTCTGCAGCCCAGCCAGCACTGCTAACGAGGCTGACAGTGTCATCTGCTCATTATTGCAACTGCTGAAAGAAGCCCGTGGAATCTGCTAGCGACAAACATCATCCCTACCTGACACAGACCACCAAACATCACTTACCTTCGATCCTGGTATAGCAGTGAGCTAGTATCTGTGCTGCGGTTGAGATAGGCGGAGACTGTGCCCGGTACCTTCCCGATCCCTATCCCTACACATACTTCTCCGACTACCCTGGAGCCATTGACTACACAACTACAGCTTCCTTGGGTCGGTATATCGTGACAACGTTCACGCCTACATATTCTGCCGACACATGCAGTGGTATCTACAATGCCAAGTACAGTGGCAGCACGAGCCAGCGTGCTACTACAGCGACATACCTGAGCGTGAATCCGATTCTCCTTGTGGATGTTGCGTATACTGCTTTAGACGACTATATGCCTTGTCCGCAAGCGCTGCCAGACAGTCCGCGAGTTCCGTGGACAGAGGCGGAAATTGCTGCTCAGGCAGCGAAGATACGAGGCGGACTTTGTATTCCCGCAGCCGAGTTCTTGGCGGCAGCTGACAACCTTTGGTAACTATTGCGTAGTGCATGACGCATGCAGCCAGAGGGCTGCCGGCATTAGTTGCCACTAGTATAAATACCCTGATGCCTGTGCTGCCATACACAAACGCAACACCAGCCGTTGCTCCGGATACTTTGGCTATTTGGCTTTTCTTTTTGATTCATTTCTTTAACCACTTTTAGCACTTTTTCACCATGGTTCAGCTGCCACTTGCTTCTAGCCTGCTCGCTGTGCTTGCTCTGCAGGCTCGCGCCAGTGCAGACAGCAGCTTCCCTACTTCTACCGAGCCCAGTGACATCGGTGTCGAGCTGTCATCCTCGACTGAGCTCGGCGATATCGGCACCGACGAGTCACCCACTGCCGTGTACTCACATCCACCCATCTTCTATCCCTGGGGATTTATGGCAGACGCCTCATACAACTTTAAGCTGGATCTTGCCAAAACCAAGAGCGACGGCGGAGCTGTAAACTACGGCATCGAGGTTGGTGGAGCGTGTGCTCAGTACACGCCTGAGCCACGCACTATTACCTACACTCGCTACGAATTCTCCGAGCCGTACTGGATGGCAAGGAGCGACGATGCTGGCGACGATGACCGCGACAATGACCGCGACAACGATGGCGACAATGATGGCTACGATAGTGATCATGGCGATCTGGACTCGTACTCGGCGCAAGTGTTCACTACAGTATTCACCCCGCGCTTCCCGCAGGTTGGATGCAGTGGTGTGTACAAGGCCGAGTACAGCGACAGCAACAGCCAGTATGAGAGCTCTGACGCGTATGCAAGCAAGTATCCCGATGAGCTACTCTTGGAGCCGCTGCTGGCACTCGGCGAAAATGGCTTCCTTGGCTCTCTTGACTGCGAGCTAGGCGCTTCAGCAACAGATGCCTTGGACGATATTGACAGCGACGTCGACTTTGATGAGGTTGATGTTGGTCAGTTCTTCTCAACCCTTGCGGCAGCAGCAGAGGGAGAGGCAACTATTGCTCATGCCAGCAACAATGGCAACGATGATGTCAATGGCAATGGCAGCGACGATTTTGCCGTCGCTACCGACAACTTCCGTGGCGGCAACGTGGTTGACGATGCAGACACTGACTGACTGAGTCTGGCGGCACAGCCTGAGCACTATCTTTTATCCTTCTGTAAAAATCCCAAGAACATCGCTAAGTACACATGGTCGGTGTGTGAAATGTGTGCATGTGGCATTGGAATATTCTCAGCTTGGATGTGCTCACATTTGCTCTGGGCAAATGGCTTCTAGAATTCTAACCTAGTTCCGACAGCGCGCGCTGCCAAGACCGATAGCCACAAGCTCAGCCAGCAGTCCTCACTCAGCTAGTTAAATGGATATTGACATCCGCTGCACATGTGCTGACAGTGAGCTGCGGAAATTCGCATGGGCTGGTATCCCAAACCAGTTTGTGATACGGAGCGAGGGTCCCATTTTGGAAGAAATCAGTAGGTCGTTTCCGATTTGCTGTCAACCGAATGTTCTGTGCTGCGTTGCCAACAACCTGTCCCTAGCAGTCTCCCAGTATGATGCCACCAGGACCAGGGGCACTCCTTGCGCCAAGCCATTCATACAGACTATAAAATGTGTGGGATTGCGGTGCGGTTCTTAGCCCATCATCCACTTTAATTACTCACAAACCCCATGCAAACAATGCTCAAGCTAGGACTCGTCTCTGCTCTTCTCGCCGCAACAGCCATCCAAACGCATGCTCAACAAATCACAATTATTAGTACTATTGATGTAGCTAGTGCCAGCAGACTTGGTGAACTTGGTGGACTTGTCGATATCGCGGAGATTGATAACGAAGTGTCACTATCGTCTGGAGTTGATCGTGACCTGTTCAACATGATGAACTATCCACTGGGAGTCCTGGCTGATGCCCAGTACAAGCTCAACTTTGAGGTTGTCAAGACCAAGAGCGACGTCGGACCTGCCCGCTACAACGTCAATGTGGATGGCGCGTGTGCACAGTATACACCTGAGCCATATACTTATACATACTTCGTCCCTGAAGGTTACACCTCCGGCTCCTATTATATGGGCAGTGGATATCATAGCAACGATGGGGAATCGGATACGCGCTCCTGGATACCTGTTACTCGTACCTACACGCCTTATTATGCGCGAATTGCATGCAGCGGTGCTTACCAGGCAGACTATAGCGACAGCGTTACCCAGTATACTAAGACAGTCGAGTACGCAAGCCAATATCCAGATGGAATCTTCCAAGCGCCGTTTACTGCATTCGAGGACAACCAACCCCCGGCTTGGTACCCGTGGTATTCATCAGGATACTATAGTGCTAGATCAGCCAGTTACTACGATGTTTCTAAACCCACGCCAACTGGATATGGGCCGACATCGTCTGCACCAGTGACTCCAACCCCTTCAGTCTAAGGTAATAAGCACCTTGGGCCCAAGTAGAACTTTTCTTTGTGGTGCCAGCATATAAGAAACTATCGAATAAATGAGGACATGGTTGCCTACTCGTCCATATATGTCCTGCCACGTGTTTGTATGCTAGCACAAGTGAGATGTGGATGTGGCAGCATGTGATAGGACAACTTTTTATATAGATGATGTGTTAGTTTTCGAGGATATTAAGAGGATCATTCGCTTTGCTGTCAGATGAATGTCAGCTCAACTACTCCTGGCCATCATATGGTGTCAACAGTGTTGTGCGGTCAGCGATTACCACTATGATAATGCTATGGAAGTTATCAGGTTGACTGACAATGAGAGCAGCTCTTATGCTGAACTAATAGAGATATTTAGTAGAGGCCAATGACTACTATAATAACAGCTTATTACCCTGGGTTCAATGATGAGGTCAGATATTGCATAGCAGCAATATCTTCAAAATGGCCAGTGCGTGGCAATAGCAGCTTTCCTTTTCCTTTTCCTTTTCATCAGTTTTGAAATACAAACTTATCAACCCCCTATTAGCATAATAGTAGGAGAAAGAGAGTATATATGACATGCCGCTAGGGTGGTTCCGACTCACCCAAGGCGGATTACTCACTGAGAGCGGCGCAGCTTTATCCAGGGCCGTACGCGGCTTAGATGAGGGCTCAGTATGCGCACTCGGCGCTTGCTTAAATACCCCTTGCTGACTCCTAGCAGCAGGGATTCCTTCTGGTTTTTCCAATATATTTTTGTGAACGCTTACTTTTAGTTCTATCAGCACATTTATAATCATCACTAGGAGAACACGCTACCTAGTTTCCTCTTCCCTGACATTTGACCTAGGTCGTTTTAGGCACGCACCGTATTATTGAAGTATATTTTGTGGGCTATGATGAGTGCTGACAGAAGAAAGGCACCTGGCACCACATATACTCCATTGAGCGCCACCTGTTGCAAAATAAACAGCCTTGTGCTTTCAGTAGTCAGTGACGTCTCTAGAATCCCTACCGCTGCAAAGACAAGCTGTGCTCTGTCGCTGAATGCAGCTACATTCAGGCTGCAGCCCTGCGAGGTCTGATGGTCATGCATACACAGGCAGGAGCTGAGCCTGAAAGGCACATACGAAAATTCTCCGACCAGCACAGGGCACGCAATTGGCCAGTGGCTGGCCGGCTTAGAAAACAACAAAAGCGGTTGGCTAAAAACCATGCGGCGCTTTGGCCAGCTGACTATGCAATTACTCTGGCTCGCAAGAATCCAGCTAGTCAAACAAAGCCTACCGCTTTCCGAAAAAAGAGTGGTTAGGGCTTTCGGACGCTCTCCTCTTTTCCTATTCTCCGAGCTCTGTCGTTTTTCAACTTGCTTTTATTTTTTGCACTCTTAGTGCCTTTACTCTTTTGAAGCATGGGCAGGTAGGTCCTCCTATAAGTGTCTGTCGTCATCGTCCATCGAGATAACGATTGGTATTGGTAAAATAGCTGATTGTTTGGGTGCCCTTTCCCTTACCCTTGTAGCCGCTTATTCTTTTCAGGACTCGCAATGCCATTAGGCAGCAGACACACACAGAGCTCGCGCATTCATGTACTGGGAGCAGGTGCAGTGGGGCTGCTCTTTGCGGCACACCTTCGGCGAGCTGGGCACCCGATCACCTTGCTTCTGCGGTCGCAGGAGTCGGTGAATCGGTTTGCTGAGGCAGGCAGCCGGATTGGAATCTACAATGACTGGATGAAAACACACCCAACACGCAAGCTGCTTTACAATGAAGACGGGCAGGTTGCGCCATGGGTTGCCGAGGACTGCCAGGCCGAGACCACCGACACAGAGTCGCCTATAAAGCAGCTGGTGGTGACAACCAAGGCACAGGACACGCTGGAGGCATTTGAGTCTGTAAAAGATAGGCTGGATGCGGAGTCGACAGTAGTTCTGCTGCAGAATGGCATGGGCACATACGAGGCAATTCATAAGGAGTGCTACTCATCACATAGCCAGAAGAGTGCTGACAAAGTGCCAGCGTTTGTAGTCGGCACAAACGCGCACGGCTGCTTGCGCACCGACGCGCGATTTGAAATGCACCACACAGCCATGTCCCATTGTTCCTTTGCTGTGCGCCCCTCGCTCGCCAACCCGCCACCGCCATTGCCTGTCTCGGCGCTCGATATGCTTACCGCCCTGGGGGCGCTGCCATTGAATGTCAGCGTCATCAACTGGTCTGAGCTGCATCTGCAGCTGCTGCTGAAGCTGGCTGCTAATGCTATAATCAATCCCGTCACAGCGCTTACTGACAGTCGTAATGGCTACTTGGCGCCGCCGCCAGAAGGCACGCCCGAGTGCAGAGAGGTGGCGGGCACGCAGGAGATGAGGGGCCTCCTTGGTACAGCGTGCCAGGAGATCGCATCGATCTATGCGCGTGCACACCCGCATCTGCATGACCAGCTGACGGGCCCGAGCATTGAAGAGTACGTTGTGCATGTGGCCAGCGTGACCGCGCGCAACCGCTCATCGATGCTGCAAGATGTCAGCGCTGGGCGCCAGACTGAGGTTGATTGGATTAACGGCTATCTGGTGCGTCTTGGCCAGCAGCACGGCGTGTCGACGCCAATCAACTCCCTACTGTACACACTGATCAAGCTCAAGGAAGCGGCCCAGAGCCACACGTTCTTTAGCAACTGATATGACATAATTTTTATACAGGTGGTGAAAGACGTTAATTTGACAAACTATGTAGACGTGTAGACGGGTGGTGGAATGTCGATGATGGTGAGGCCATTGCCACAGGTTGAGAATCTAGCCACTCTAACCGCAGAATCAGAGGAATCCACAAAGTCTTTCTGATCCCCAGCGGTGCAAATGAGCGTGTCCATGGCAGAGTCCTCATACCGCGGCAGCTCGCACCCAGTAGTTGCGCCTTTGGGCATGACATAGACGACCGAAGACAGCCTGATATTGTGCACGGTCATGTTTTCGTCAATGATCGACGCCATGAACACGATGTCATGAGAGATACGCAGGGGACCTTCGCAGATGTCATACTGGACCCCAGTGAATGCCTTGGGCGCGAACACAGCGCCTGAAACAGAGATCTCCTGGTCAAGCATGATGCCGCCGGTGCGCGATGCCGCTGTAGGCGAGAACCGCGTGTTCACCTTGATGCCATCGACCACTTTCACGGTGTTGCAGGCATCGACGGCTCGGGTGCTCTGCGCAACCACTTGGCAGCCATGCGAAACAGCGCCAAACAGATCATCGAAGGGTACCTCAACATATTCGCGAAGCTGGAACCCGACGCTCAGCACGCGCAGGCCCTTGACAAGCGGCCTCAGCACGCCACGGACACGCACCAGATCCTGGTCGTGCACGATCCTCGACCTTGTGATGCCTGTCAGCTCAATTTTGTTGCGCCAGCCCGCGCTGACATTCAGCCCCTCGGCGGCAGCAGCCATCCATGGGGAGTCTGGCAGCGGAATGCGCTTCACATGTACTGGCACGCATTTGCTGACAAAGGGCAGCAGCTGAATCGCAGAGTGTGTGCGCATCTCAGCCACCACCTCGTATCCGATGAAGGCGTGCGGTGTGAATACGCTTTCGTTCAATGAGCCCGGGATGCTGATGGCGAATGGCCACGAGTATGTGCCCTGGGAGGTATCGACTGTATGCGTGAGCTCGATGCTGGGTGCTGCAGCGTAGGCGGTTTGGAACAGCTTCTCCTTCAGCGACCGCAGTGTGATTGTCAGCGACCGGACACGCTGCTGCGAGCGTGTTGTCAGGACCACTCGGCCTGAGAGGACCTGGTTGTGCGCCTCGTGCGGCAGCCCGTAGAGGACAACATCTGGGCGATCCAGCCTGATTTGAAGTGTCTGGGAGGAGAGCATGTTCTATTGGGATGTGTGATAATTACAGAAGGGAGGAGGAGATATATGACAAAGATGGGATTTTTTGTGTTCCTGAGACTGCGCACAGCCGGCAATGCCTTTTATTTAAGGCTCTGGGCAATAGCGGCCAAAGGCAAACAGATGTGGTCGTGATGCGAATGAAAGGAGCAGCCTGCAGCCGGAAACATGCCCACTCCCTTTTGGTTGTGGCCGTCGCGTATTGTGCACCAAAAAGCGAACAGCTTTGCGAATGAGATTTTCCTTGTTCCCTTTGGACTCTACGTTCTTTATTCAAAATCTCCCCTCTTTTTTCTGCGACACGCCCCCAGAAAGTAGACCGTGAATGGCGAATAGACAAAAAGGCGGTTTAGACACCTGACAGAAAAATAAGCAGTATTCGCTATTGGAACAGCAGCGGAGAATACTGCGTGCAAAGGGGAGGGAGGGGCCAGTGCCTAGTCACTCATGTTTGGAATGGCATTTGCCAAACACCGCCGCCTACCCCCTTCTTCCATGGCCCACGCGCGCAGACACCGTCCAGCAACGGCTGAGCGCATCGAGTTCCGCGCTCGGATCCCCGCGTTGATTGTTGGCGCCGGCATTGTTGAATGCTGGTCGCATGGCCGGAGGCAGCAAATATTAATGGCAATAAATTTCGCAACAAATATGTTTAGCAGCGTATTGTCACCACTCCAAAAAATTAAAAACGGAAGCTTAACTGCCGGTCCGCAGCTCGTCAAAGTACGGATGCTGCAGTGCCTGCTCGGCCGATATCCGGCGCTCGGGCGCGTACTCCAGCAGTCGCTTCAGCAGATCAATTCCCTTTGCGCTGAGCTTTGGCAGTAGCGGCTCCAGTGGCACGCCGCCGTACACCGGGAAATCGCGTTTCCACTCTGGCAGCTGCGAGCAATTCGGCCACACCCGCGCCGAGCCATCAAACGGCATATGGTCGATCTGCTGGTCGACAGGCGTGCCGAGAATCTTGAAAATGTGCATCAGCTGGTCCTCCACCGATGTGCCCGAAAAGAACGGCCGCCCAGTCGCCATCTCGGCAAAGATGCACCCCACCGACCAGATATCAATCGACGTGTCGTACTGCCGCGACCCCATCAGCACGTCAGGCGCCCGATACCACAGCGTCACGACCTCATGTGAGTACGAGCGCACGGGAATCCCAAATGCGCGCGCCAGCCCGAAGTCGCCCAGCTTCAGGTCGCCGCGCTTGTTGATCAGCAGATTCTGCGGCTTCAGGTCGCGGTGCAGCACGCGGTTGCGGTGGCAGAACGAGATGCCGCACAGCAGCTGGTACAGCAGATGCTTCACTGTCAGCGGATCGAGGTCGCCGCCGTACGCATCGACAAACTTCTTCAAGTCCGAGTCCATGAACTCAAACACCAGCGTCAGCTTCTTGTCCGTGTGCAGCACGTCAAAGAGGCCGAGGATGTTTGGATGCTTCAGCTCCTTTAGCAGCGAGATCTCGCGGATCGCAGTGCACGGCACGCCCTCCTCCTCGTTGTCCAGCCGGATGCGCTTCAGTGCCACGACCTCGTTTGTCTCCCGGTTCTGCGCCTTGTACACGATGCCATATGTGCCCTCGCCGAGCTTTTCGATTTTCTACTCGCAGTAAACAACAAAGGCTCGTATTCAGTGGCTGGACAGGTGGTGCAAATTCGCAAAGGCGGTAATTCAAACCCGTGACTTGCTCCAGCCCGTGTGCCTTACCTGGTACTTTTCCATTATCACCAGCGCGTGTATGTGTAAGAAGCACAAACGTGGAAGAGTAGAATACAATTTTCTTAAAAAAAAAAAAAGTTATCGGCGTGAAGCAGATGAGCCTGCTTGAGCGCTGGGTGGCCAGTTCACCTCCCCCCCAAAAAGAACAGTGGTCAAAGCCCATGAGCTGCACCGATTGGCCACAAAACGCCCTCCCCTGACAGATGATCACGTGGTTTACCAGTCGAGCGAAGATCAGAAAATCTAGCTGCAATCTGGGAATATCCGCAGCCTCAGAAGAACCCAAGCGCTGTCTCTGGAAACTGTGCTCTGCTGGGAGCTGGTCGTGGTCTCCATTGCATTTCACCCACTACGACAATTCCTATGAGCAGCGACACCTTTCCAGTCTATGACTCTTGCGGCCGAACAATCCAGGACGGTGATATATTCTACATCAGCCTATTCGAGGACTGTTTTGCTGCAAGTGCTCACAGCGACGGAATATTCTTCAGTGAAGGCTCGTTTGAGTCTGGAAGCCAGTTCACGATCGAGACCGTAGATGGCTTCAAATACATCAAGGCTGTGAGATATGATGGCTACATTGTTGTGAACGAAATAGGGAGAGAAGGATGCCTCGACTTGGTGATTCTGTCCAAAGAGCTGCCTGAGCCTGAGAACCGCCTCTGCATTGTACAGCATGAGCGATTCAAGAGTATCATGCACCTAAAGACTGCGGACGGATCGGAATCAGTTGAGCTCATGCTTCTCAAGTCGTCGTGCGGGCTATTCAACCTCAGTAGTAGACACGCACTTTTTCAGTTCAAGCGCGGTAACGACGGTGATCTGTAGAATATTTCGTTGATAGCCCCACTCTTGCTCACTTTGATGCAACACAAAACGACATGGGTTTTTGTACCACCCAGTTAATAACAGGTGCCACAGTGGTGTGAATGAGAACATAAAACTCGTGTTTACTTTAAACCACATATTGCGTTCAAGCATTCCTCTTGCTATTGCCAAGCTTGCTCAGTGAATAGCAGAAACCACTCAGCCTAACTGCGTGCCCCCAAACTCTTGGCCACTTTATATTTTGAACATTCAAATACAGCACTGCACTATCACCTCAGAAGGGGTGATGCCTTGCCGGGTCTTGAAACTCTGGATCGGGGGATCCGAAGACGCTTTTTGGTGCAAAACATTCGGCCACAGCTGTATCGTGATCAGTGTCTTGGGCGGGCACACTGGCGGTCCCCTTTGATCTCCACCATCATATCCGACAGATGGTGCGGGCCGACAGAATGCAAGCCCAGAAATGGTATGATTCCAGCACCGTCTGTCACACAAAACATGCAAGCAATATTCTTTTGGCACAGCATGTATCTTTGCGTCTGGTGCCCCCTCGCTATCAGAGCGCTGTCTGCTGGTTCCAATGGGCCCTCCTGCCACCAGACCGTGGTCGTGGCGGAGGTACAAAAGGAGGGCGGATCGGGCCCAGATCATCGCTATGGCTTCTCGTTATCTTTGCTCTGTTTCTCCATCTCATCTCATCTAATAAATTTCCGCTAGCCATGTCTCCTCCCCACCACCCCTGCGCCCACAAGGTCCTCAAGGACAAGGTCGACTCAATCAAGGCTGGCGATGCCGAGGCAGCCGTCATCGAACTCCTGGGAGAGCCGACTTCGCGCACGACCGAGGGTGAGATCACTACGCTCGCCTGGAAGTGCCCGGGCCACGAGGCTAGCCACATCTGCGTCGACCTGAAGGAGGGCGCTGTTACCGAGGCTCGCTGGTCTGCCTAAGGCGCTCTTTAATCAAGCGTGTTTTGGAAGCAGAAATATACTATTCGCACATAAACACATGCAGGATCTTGGCAAAGTGCACACTACGCTGCAGGAGGTACACGCCTTTCTCCTTGTTTCTGTAGGCGGGCGCAGCCTGAATACAGTTTGCGCCAAGGCGATGATCGGGCGATGTGTGTTGCAAAAGGGCAGCCCGGCATCTTGGCTAGCTACAGTGAAAACCAGCCTGTATTCTTTTGTCTCTTGCGTGCTGTCGATTATCTCAACAGCATACTATACCACAGCAGCTCGGCCTTTATAGACGGAATCGTCATCAAAAAGTAAGGGCTCATGGATCAGCAGCAGTCCCATGCTTTCGATAAGCAAATAAGCCCTAACATGGGTTGCAGACAGGGTGGTCAGCCAGAGCATTTTCTTGGCAATTTGCTCGGGATTTCTTGGCAGATGTCTCCCCAGCAATGCACCAGAAACTGGAAGGGTTCGGCAGGAATCAGCCAGGTCTGCCAAGATTTTGGCTGAAAAAACACCAAGTTAGCTGGTAATTTAAAAGGGTCGCAGGGATAGGTGAGAAATCACTGGGGACTAAATTTTGATTTTTTTTCCCTTGCTGTGCCTCAGTCCAGACCGAGGGACTCTTTCCTCCTCTCTGCTCCTCGTTTCCCACAGAAGCCAGCTATTTCCCCTCCCCTCCACACCTCGCACTGCTTTATTGATTGCTATAGTATTATGACTGCTTCCCATGGGAACCCGCACCCGGTATTCTTCCACAACGATATCATAGGCGCAGTAATCGACTACATCGCGCAAGTGCACAGGCATGATTTATACTATTGCTGGTTGCCCAAGGACTTTCGGCCGTTGGTGAACGCAGCAGCAGTGTGCCAGTCATGGCGTCGACTGGCACTTCCCTTGGTGTTCAAGTCAATGATAATCGAGGTTGAGCGGGTGGCTGTCGAGCATGGCAGCGGCCAAGTATCCAGGCCGGTGCATCGAGAAAAGTGCCTGTCCAACGTTGAGTTCTTGCCGCCAGGCTGTGAGAGCCTAGCGAAGGACCTGGTTCTAAGCTTCGGAGCTGACGTTATTTCAGGGAACGCGGCCAGGTACTTGGAGGAGATTGGGGTTAGTGGCCGCAGCTGGCCCGAGATCAAGCTGCTGAGTATACACATTTCCGCAGCGGAACTGGAGGAAGTAGACGATCTCGATGATTTCGACGAGCACGGCGACCCCAGACCGCTGTACAGCGCCGAGCATGTCATGCAGCTCGCTAGCTATGCATTGAAGCTAGTGCCAAACGTGACCAATGCTCTTATCCAGCTAGACTCGCGGCCGTCTGGCGGAATTGATCTTGAGGAGGGATTCGGGCAGCGCCTGCAGGATATCAAAATGCTGACTATTTGCGAATCAGTCATCTACCACAACCGGACATTGGTCGTGCCGCAGCTCACGTATCTCGACATAAACTGCACGCAGCTGGAGTCGGTGCGCTGGCTGGCAGGCGCCAGTGCTGCGACGCTCAAGGTGCTTTTGCTGACTGGTATTACGCGCGATCTGTTCTACTCATCGTTCTTTGATGTGCCTGAATCGACGTCGATGGTGTTTTCCGATCTCCGTGTGCTTGTGGTCTACATGGCCAGCCAGATGGACGATCCGCACACGCCGCCCTCATCGCCCGTCTCAGTGCCTATGTTTTCATTCCCAAGGCTAAAGACGCTGCTACTCTCGACGCGTGCGTGCCGATCTGACACGTCCTGGGAAATGGTTCCCTGGTTTGCAGACTCCCCGCTGCATGAAGTGTACCTGATGGGGGCAACAAGGTTTGCCCAGCAGTTCGACTTTGCAAGGTACCCGGATCTAAGGACATTTGATGCGCTGTTGGCGGACCTGACGGAGCAAGATAGCGTGGAGCTGTCAGCCCGACTGATGTCGAGCAAATCAGGCATCAGGGAACTGGCGCTGCGGACGGCAAGGGGTGGGATTCCGATATCGCTCGACATAGGCAGCACCAACATCCACGACCTGTATCTGACGACGGAGCTGACGGCAGCCAAGCTGCGCAGCATCGTAGCGCAGCTGCCACGGCTGGTTTTTCTTGGGTGCAACCCTCCGTCAGAGAAATCGGATGACAGTGATGCAATACTGGGCGCCGAGGCAGTGGCCATGCAGATCCCGGCGCACGACTTTTCGCCGATACATTCGAGGCTGCAGGAGATCAAGCTCCACGACCTCAACTGGCAAGGGAGCATGCGGTACGGCATGTCGAGGCAGTTTGTGGACCTGGCGGCCACATTTGCCTGCATTCCGTCGCTGCTGAAGGTGCGGATCGGCGTCGATTTCATCGATGGCGGTGTGTTCATCCGGCGCCTGCTCACCGAGATGCTGGCCACGGATGCAACGCCGCACATGCGTGAGTTGTCTGTAATATTTGGTAAGATCATCGAGACGCTGTTCGATCACTAGCTCGGCTCAGCGGTGCTTGCAAAGCGAAAAACGCAAAGGGCTAGAGCGGCTCGGCTCGGCGGTTTCTTGGCTCGCGCTCCTGGTTGTTACGTGGAGCTCGCCTCTTTTGCTTCACAGGCTGCATAATTTTCTGTTATAATTCAAATACCTTTCGTTGCATTTTCTCTATACATGATGGACGCAGAGAAGGCGCAGCAGACCGACGTGCCAACGCGGCGGTTCCGCGAAATCCACTACCATCGGTTTCCCTTGGGTACACGCAGCAACGTCCACGGCTGCTGCTTGCTACGCACGCACCTGCCAGTGCGTCTGCCCCGGCCACATACAATGCAGCAAATCTACACACATCCGCCGCCCGGGGTCGGGTACCGGCGCGCGATCCCTAACATTACAGAGAACGAGTCCATGTCGCGCATAATCGAGCACGAGGAGCATCTGCTGCAGGAGATCAGGGAGGAGCGGCAGCGGACGCGAGCGTGGTTGGACGGTGGGAAGGCAATTGCGCGGACACATGTGGTGGTGGCCACACAGAACAACCTGCAGTTTTTTATTGCTGGATTTGGGTACTGGAATGTCCTCGATATGAACATGCATCTGGAGAACGAGGCGTGCATTGGGGTCAAGGCGTTTGAGATGTGGGCGGAAGGCGGCCAAAGTCCAGGCGAAGCCGAGCAGGATGAGGAGGAGAAGGAGGGAAGGCAGACCAAGGGCATTGAGTCGCCGACGCTGCCAACGCTGGTCGTGGCGTTGACCACCCATATCAAGAGCAGCGGTCATAATGGCAAGGGCAGATATCGGCTGTATGCCATGGGCATCGATTCGCTGGATGAAGTACCACAGGAGTTCATCGACAGGCATGCGGCTAAGCCTGAGCGACCGCAGTCCAAATCGAGCGACAGCCAGTACACGGAGTCGCCTGAGGCACGCCCGCAGTCTGAAGCTGACGCAGCAGTTGAGGATGCAGAGCCGCAGGAGCTGCCGGGCACAGCTAGCGTGCACGGCGAGCCCGGATTCACGCGAATCAACCCGGTAGACGCACTGCCAATGAACAGCTACGCATACCTGGAGGAGCGGCTGTTCAGTCTGCGTGTCACCAGCTCCACCCCGTGTCTCGACCTGGACTATCTGCCGTACCGGATCTCGCAGGACGTGATCAAGGGCCTGCCGCCGATTCTACTGGTTGCGGGCAACGACAACCGGGTGCACCGGTACGCCCTGGGCAAGAATCAGATTATCGAGCTGCAGGCAATAGTCGGTCCGCGGACCAGCACCAGCTTGACGTTCACGGTATTTGACGGGCGGGTTATCGGGCCGTACCATGTACAGATCATGGCGCAGCAGGAGTTTGTCGTGACACTGCAGGCCAGTGAGATTTTGCCCGAGGAGGAGGCCAAGGAACACAGCCCGACGGGCCATTGGCGGCGGCTGCTGCTGGCAGATGAGGAGGTGTATGACGCAGCACCAATACTCACCACGCTGTTCACGCCCGACTCGCAGTGGATCGACCGGACCGCCTACGACGCGGTACTGGCGCGCAAAATCGATGCGCAGCTGAGTCAGTCCGGTCCGGAGGAAAAACTAGCTACACACGAAATCTATGATGCCGAATGGCCGGTGGGCCAGATGGGCCGGTTCCCGAACCGCCATAGTGGCTCTGGCGGGTATGAGGACCGGCCGCGGGTGCATGCGCTGGTCGGGTTTGTCAGCGAGGAGGTGGTTGTTTACCACGACGTGCCTGTGACTGGGCTGGATCCAGTGCCGACGCTTGTAGGCAAGGGCAAGTTTGGCAACGGGCTTGGCGGCGTGTTCTCGCTGCCGGGCAGTGCCAAGGAGGGGCTGGTGACGTCGGTCCATTTCGATGATTTGGACTTTGACGGAAACAAGGAGATCATGGTCGGCACGGTGTCGGGCGCGGTGCTGATTTACAAGGCAGTCGAGGGCGGATATGCGCTGGTGTGGAAGCGGCGGTTCCCGGCACCCGTGTATGCAATCTTCAGCGTCGACATCAACTGCGACGGCGCCAACGAGCTGGTCGTCATCACGCTCAGCGGAGTGCATATCATGCAGCCGAATCTCTCGATCGTGCGCGCCAAGCTGCTGAAGCAGCTGATTCTGCTCAGGCAGCAAAAGGACGGCAAAGAGTCAGAGTAAGCTAGCGAAATTTCAGAGTTTTGTACAGGTTTGCTAAAATAAGAGTTCTAATTGCAGGTGGCCTGCAGGGCACGCGAGTTCAGGCGGGTGAAGGCGACATGCGGCAGCGCGGCCTTGAGGTCGTTGATGACAGTGCGGTGGGAGCGCGCGTAGTTTGTGCTGCATTCCTGCAGGCCCGGGAACTTTTGCTTGATCCACGCCGACAGCTCCACAGCATCGGTGAGCACATCCTCGTCGGCAGACAGTCCGATCCACTTGACGTTGTTCTGTGCGGTGGCCTTGTGCTGCGCAGACTTGGCAAAGCCAAAGAATGCCTCGCTGCGCAGGGACGCCGACACCCGGACCAGCCCCGGCAGCTGGCGCACCAGCGTGTCCAGGGTTGACGCAGTGAATGAGGCGCGCGGGAGAATCAGCGTGTTGAGCGACGCCGACAGGCAGTGGGGCTCGGGCAGCTCAAAGTCGTCGCACTCCACGTCTGTGTCGGAGCCTGTGCTGACAGCCGACAGCGCAGGCGACGGCAGCCGGCCATACAGTCCGCCGCGCACAGTCGCGCCGCTCCACCGCCGCGAGCTCAGCACGTCCCTTGTGCCTATCAGCCGGCAGAGCTGCGAGTCGTGGATCTCATAGCCGGGCGAGCCCTCGCTGCTGCGCTGCTCAACCGACAGGTAGTGCAGATGCCGCAGGCCGCGCAATACCGACACCAGCCCGTGGGCCGACAGGCGCGGGCCGGCGTAGTCCAGGCTGTTGGTGGTCAGGCGGGTCAGCAGTGGGCAGGCCTCGGGCAGCTTTGCCGCGTCCAGGTCGCTGATGGCCGGCAGCGCGAGCTCCTGCAATGCGGGCCAGTAGCCGTCCCAGACGGTCTGCAGCCAGTGCTCGTTCTGCAGGGATACGGCGCCGCGCGAGCTGCCGGGTGTCAGTGCATCCACGTGCTGCCACACATGGCGGACCGTTAGGCGCTCCAGGTTCGGGAACATGCGCGGGGATACGGGCAGCGCCGAGTCGGGGCGGCTGACGATTATGTGCTCCAGATGCAGCGAGGTCACCGACTCCAGACACACGCCCCGGGCGGCAGCCACGGCCAGCGACTCGATCCACGCGTGCTCGATCCGCAGCCTACGCAGGCGCCGCTGGGTCTGCAGTGCCGTGACCAGCTCGGGCGTAAAGTCCGAGCCGCCAATGGCCAGCAACGTGAACTGCGCCGGGCGGCTGGCCAGCATGGCGGCGGCGCCGGACTCGGCCGGCAGCAGCTGCGCCCACTGCTGGTCGTAGCCGTACGGGCAGATGGCCAGGCGGCCGATGCGCGCGCACCGCCCGCCCTTCTGCTGCCCCCACACCAGCGGCATCATGTCGCCGACAGTCATGGCCTTATCGCGCACATACAGCTCCCCGACGTTTGGTGCATATCGCCGCACAATCTGCGCAATGCGCTGGTGGTCGTCCCGTGTTCCGCTGAACCACTCGACAATCAGCGAGTCCAGGCTGCCCCACTGCATGGCCAGGATTGTCTCCAGCTCGCTGGCCAGGTCTCCGTCGGTGCTGCGTCGCGGCCCGCTCTGGTAGAAATCTGACGACCGGAAGATCAGCCGCCGTGTGAACTGCGAGTAGTGCTTGGCGATGGTCGCCAGACGGTCTGTGTGCGGCCGCCGCATCCACCGGTTGCTGGTCACCAGCTCCGAGAGGCCCTGGTGGAGCGCCGCAAATCGCCATGCACGCGAGGTTTGCCGCAATGCCGATAGTGCTGGGCTGGCGAATGCCGCCGGTGCGTGGTTGCCGGTACACCCCAGCGACGTCTGTGTGCAGGGGCAGGGCTGGAACTGCCGGCAGATGGCCAGCATGAGCTCGAATGGAAGTTGCTGAGCCATTGTATATGTAGTACAGGAGATTATGTGGCAGGAGGAGTAAATATTGTGTTGCGAAGAAATATAAATGTAGGAAGAAAAAAATGCCAGTGCTTAGGGACTTTTGCTGCCCTGCCAACTGGGCGGGTCTGTCGGCATTTATACTTGCTCGCCGACCTGGCACGGCGTCGTTGTTTGTGTGGGAGAGAAGGATCCTGACTAATTACTATCACTCCAGTCCTTCCATAGGGAAACATCGCCTATCACAGAAAGTAGTTGTTGGTTTGGCCGAAATAATGCCAGTGTCCCCGCCGCCCTCTTGACTTGGTTCGCACGGGCCATTTGTCCAGCCTGTGTGGAGGATTAGCGACAAGCGAGATTCACCGCACAGCGCGCCTTTCAAAGTTTTTGTTTTTTTCTGCTCGGAGAAAAGGTGTTTTTGGATTTTTTTCTCATGACACCATCCGGTGGCCCGATTCGCGATGCTCTCTCACTGGCCCGCGGTCACTGGTGGAAATGAAGCGGGCCTCCGCACAAGGTTAGCGCTTCTGTAGTGCCCTCAGGCGAATGGAATAGTATTCCCCTCACACGTTGCTACTGGGACCTGGTAGTTCGCGTGCCAGCCAAAAGCCCGGTATTGTTTTTCTGGGGCGCCGTCGAGATTTCTCATACGGAACTCGGGGAAAACCCGCCTCTCGCTCAGCACTGCATGCCTGAATGCCTTCACTGGGCCGGGTTTGCGGTTTCGAAAAAAAATTGGCCGGGCACGGTCTTGAAAGCTGAACAGCAATGCGGCTGCGCACAGGGCACATTTTTCCTTTGCCGCTCGCAGAATAGAAAAAAGCACAGGCCACTCGTCTATACAGGTCACGGGTCGCCTGCTGCTGCAGCAACACCGGACATTGCAGGCAAGAAAGAGGGGATTCACATGGGTCTTTATTGCTGTGGCCCAGGTGGTGGCCTTGTTCTTCATCTGCCTCGGCATAGGAATTCTGTGCTAGACCTGAGCAGGCGCTGGCGCAACAAGCCAACAAGCAGGACCTCGCTGCCGTAGATGGGCATTCGCTTTTCCTTTGACAGCTCAAACTGCGCCCACATGTCTTTGTCCTCGGAGCACGAAATAACGAGCAGGGGCGGGATCCGCTCGTCGTCCTCCTTCTTGCTCTTGCTAATGTGGATCGACTGGTTAATAAGCGTCTTCAGCTGCGCCTTGGTCAGCCTCTCGACCGCTTGGCCGCCAGCGCGCTCAATCAGCGGGCGCAGCACATTTACTGCCGGCACTGTGTGCGGCGTGATGAATATTGTGACTCCATCGAACATGCGGTGCTTGTGTGCACGCTGCAGCGAGTCGCGCAGCACGAAGTTCCACCTGGCTTCGGCGGCCTCGTCGACCAGCTGGTACTTCTCCGTCTCGCCGTACTCGCAACCCTTGTCAGCGGTGGGCCCAACAGGGATCCAGCGGCCACGCTCCAGCGAGTCGTCCATCCACTCGCGGCCGACAATGGCAATGCTGCCGCTGGCAACGGCTTCCAGCATCTTGGCTGTCTTGCCGACCTTCTTTGCCACCAGGTGGGTGGCTAGCTCGGTGCTGTCGACAATCTCGCCGCCCATGGCGATAATGCGCTGCTGCTCGGCCGGGCTGGGCCGCACCTGCGTGAACATTATGCGGACGATCTGCTTTTGGCGGTGGGTCGTGGTGCGCGCGCGCTTTGCTCCGTCGGTCTGCGAGCCCGACTCGCCATTCGCAGCCTCCGATGCCAGTGTGCGCTTGGCCGAGCGGCGGTACGACTTTTCGCGCTTCATTTCGGTCTCGAATATATTGGCTGCCTTCATCATCTGGCCCAGGTTCTTGGACGCCGCCATCGCCGCTCGCCGCGACGAGTGCCGTACTTTGCCCACGACCAATGTGTCGGATTCCGCCTGCCTGTCCTTGGTGCCGTTTGCATCAAGCTCATCTGACGACTCGGGGATGCCATTGCTGTCGTCGTCATCCTCGCTATTATCCCCATTGGCCACCACAGCATCGTCATTGTCGTCGTTGGGCTCTGGGTAGACGTGGCCCTGGTCAGTGCGCACAGCCGAGCTGCTGGCGTCGCCAGGCACTGATCTTGCGTCCACGTGCACCTCCGAGTCGAGCTCGCTGTCGCTGAGAATATCGAGGTCAGATGATTCGGCAACGCTGTCGCCGGCCGGCGCATCGACCCACCTGGGCAGCTTGCTGACATTGACCTCGGTGCTGCCGACCATGGAGTTGAGGATGGGTAGATTGGGAAAATACGTGAAGCTGGCATGGCTGACGCTCAGCGCCTTCCACCGCTGGAAGCTCTGCTCGAGCCAGATGTGGTTGACAATGTGGATATCCCAGTCCATGGCCCGTGCGTACTTTAGGCCCTCGGGCATGGCTGTGATCAGGTGTGTGTTGCGGCGGGTCATGTTGGGCGTGTACTCGGCGCCCATGGCCAGAATCAGCTTCTTCAGGTACTCCTTGGACGCTCCGGTGTAGTGGCTGGTGGTGATGACCAAGCCGGCCATCCCGCGGGCGGCGGTGTCGGGTACCGGATAGTGAAGCAGGCGCTTGGTAGGCGGCACTAGTTTCTCGGTAAAAAACAGGTGGTAGAGCCATACAAATGACCCCACTACCTTGCCCAGGCGGGATGCCTTCGAGTAGTCGTAGCCTGACCGGTTGTGGCAGATCAGGACATCGACAGCCTTCCAGTCGTATGACAGCGAATCCGGGTCCTCTTCACCTCCCACCTGTGCGCTGACTGCACCTGCTTCCGAGAGGCGCTGGTTCAGCTGCTCGATGGCTCCCCGGCTGAGCATCGACCGAAGCTGCGAGTCAACAGCGACAAAATACCCCTTCAGGAACTGCGTGGCCGGCTTGGGCAGCTCATATGCATTGGCGGTCTGTGTGTTGCCTGCGGGCACTGCAATGTCGCTGTTCTGCGCTTGTCCCTGGTCCCGCATGACGTGGCCGGCCAGCATCGGCGGGTTCGGGAACAGGTACGGGTCCTGCGGCACCGACTGCACCATGTTCATGGTCTCGTTGAGCCAATGCACCAGAATCGGCTTGATGCCGAGCTGCGGATGCTTGGTGATATACTCGTACTTGGGGCCGGTATCCTTGATCATCAGGACGTGGGTGACGTCAGGCATCATCTTTTGGCGATACTGGCCGCCCAGGGCCATGACAGTGCCCAGGATCTCCTCCTTGTCTAGCGCAGGCACTTGCGTGGCTACGACCACCATGCCCGAGAATATGCGTTTTGCCGACGCCGAGTAGTACTTCTCCTGATACACAGCGCCTGACTGCGCACAACGGATCCACCCACTTGCTGGTGACCACGCGTACGCCAGCGCTGACAGCTAGCGTGTACTCGGCAAAGTGCGTGTCGGGGCTAACTATATGCGTTACACGCAGCACGCTCTCCTCGGTCTGCGGCGACGGACGTGGCATGTAGAAGCGCGCAACGTGGTTGATCATCTGCGGGCACGCGCGTACCAGAATGCCGTTTATTTTGGCGCTGGCCGACTCGGACTGTCGCAGAAGTGCCGGCTTTGGCGCCCTTGCTGTCGAGCAGCTGCGCAATCTACCAATATATCCATGTTGTTAGTGTTTCTGCTGGCGCTCATTTCGAATGCGAATGCTGCCCTGGATACATACCCGCTGACACTCGGCTGGCCCGTATACCGGGTTGATCCAGTACACGATGTCCTTGAAGAGCGGGTCGGCAAACCGGATAAAGTGCTTTAGGTCATGGTCCGCAAGGTTCTCCACCTGCAACTGCTTGGCTGGCTGACTAGTCGCAGTACCCTCCATATTGGTGCTAGTACATTCAAGGTCCCTGCTCCCTATTGACACTGCGAGAAATATGAATGCGAAGGCCGGAAAAATAAAGAAACACAAAGGCGAGGGCGAATATAAAAATTCGCCAGCCTAGTACTGGGTGCTGTGGACCGGGCCTACCCGCCAAACTTTTCACTGGTTCCCGCCAGTTAAATCACACCCCGCTCTGATCTATCCGAGTCGCGTGTACGCGTAAACAGCTCTGTTTTTAATCCATGCACCTGGAGTCGCCGCTGAGGTGCAAACCGCACCTAGGCAAAAGGCGGGTGCGAGAGGGGCTTGAATGGGCACTTTTAGGTGGGTGCGCATTCCGCGGCTTGCGCATTGGGGGATCCATGCTAGACAAGCCGGGCGGACCCCGTAAAATGCTGGCGAAATCGCGGGACTTTGCCGATTTCCCGAGTTTCTGCTGGCCACGTCACGTGCATGTGGCCCAGTTCGCCTGCCGCCCTTGTCGACTCTGGGCTATTGTTCGAGCTGCTGTGGCCGCCTGCACCCCTGGCACTTTTGGCTGAAGAATTTTCCTGCCTGTCCACGCCAGTTCCTTCGTTTCTGCATTTGTTGAATTGGACGATTCGGTTGAATTCAGGACTCACTACTCCTCCCACCACATCAAAAAGAGAAAGCGACTACAAAAGACGGCCAAATGAACGGACGAACAGGTAAAGCGATTCAGCCGGCCTCGATTTCAACCGTGTAGAAAAAGGCATATGTGGGTTTCTCATTGCAAAGCTGGCCAATCTAGATGCGTGGAATGCGGCAGCGGGCACCCCTGGACCGACACGAGCCTCGATGGGCTACGAGCGGTCAAACTCGATAAGCAACGTAGCCAATACGTTTGGTGGGTTCCAGGCTCAGAATTTCGCGCAACAACAGCAACAGCAGCAACAAGCGTACCTGCAGCAGCAGCAGCAGCAACAGTCACGGCCAAATATGTCCGAGTTCCCGTCATTAGGAAGTCCACCGGGCTTATCAGCGGCGATGGCGGCCCAGCAGCAGCAGCAACAACAACAGCTGTACCGGGCGATTGCAGCTGCCCGGGGCGGCGACAGGCAAACAGAGTTCTCGCCCAAGCCCAACTTGAGCTCGAGTGACTTCCCGTCATTAGCAGAGTCTGCAGAACATGAGCCCAGCGCGGCCAATGCCGGCGATTCGGTACCAGCAGGCGCTGTGGGCGACCAGCAGGCGATGGGCGGCGAGCGGCCACCGGTCGGCAGCAGTAAGGCAGGCAGCATAGATGCGACAGATCGGTATGGGATGGTAGGCATGCTGACAACAAACGACTACGGCTTTGATACGTCCAAGTTTGGGCTGCCATTGCCGTCAGCGGGACCGCTGTACCCGACGTTTGGCTCGCCGTGGGCCGACCAGAGCCAGACATACGGGTTGATCGAGCCCGACTTCAAGCTGCCAGCGTGCTATAACCAGCACCAGCCGCCGCCAGTAGTGAGCAAGATCCCTTCGCTGCAAGACGAGACACTGTTCTATGTGTTCTACACAGTACCACGTAGCGAGCTGCAGCTGGCAGCGGCCGACGAGCTGTACCGGCGACAGTGGCGGTATCACAAGGAGCTGCGGCTGTGGTTGACAAAGGATGCCGATTCGCGGCCGACGGCGCAGACACCGCGGGGCGAGCAGGGCGTGTTTGTCTTCTTTGACACGAACCTGTGGCAGAAGGTGAAGAAGGAGTTTCTGATCCTGTACGAGCTGCTGGAGGACAAGCCCAGCGAGGCGACAGGGCGGACAGGTGCGCAGTCGGTACCACCTGCCCAGGGATTGCAGGACTCGCAGCAGGATTCGGCGGCACTTGCAGCCCAGCAGCAGCAGCAGTTTCAACAGCAGCAGGCGGGCAGCTGGCAACAAACACAACAGATGATAGCAGCTGGCAGCGGCAACAGCGGAGCGCAGAGTGCAGCTGTCCAGCAACAGCTGATGATGCTGCGGCAGCGGCAGGAGAGCATGCAGGCCATGCGCAACATGGGCAACCCTGCTGCGGCTGCTGCTGTCAGTTTTGCCGGCCCGATGCCAATGGTATCTGGAGCGCAGATGAGCGACAGCATGTTCAATCCAGCGGTGGCGGCTATGGCGGCGGCCCACAGCATGGTACCCCCACACATGGAGGGCGCCATTGGGAATGCAGCGGGTGCCTCGAATGCGCCGGTTTCTTCGAGCATTGCTGAGGATGTGGCGGCAGCGTCCATGATGTGATATGCGTGTTGTAATCCCTGCGCCTTCGTCTGAGCGCATCTGCACACTGGGCGTCCCATGTCTCGGCTTCTCCAGCCCTCCCCTCCCCTTACCTCCTTCCACTAGCCCTCCTTTTTCTTCTCCTCTGCCCTACATTAAAAACGTCTTTGTTCAGCTGCTGCACATGCTCCATGTAGCCTCTGTGCGTGACTCGGGTCTGGTGCATGTCAAGGCCAACCACGAACGCGGAATGCGCAACTTGGGAATACGGAAACGGCCAGCACCCCTCATCCCGCTGCAGTCTAGTGAGCTCGCCAAGAGTGGGTGGCCAGAAAAGGAGGGAAATCATGCTCTCAGGCAGGGCCTGCTGACGTGTGGAGGGCAGGTAAAGGCTCGCTTGTCTCGCTGGCATTTTTTAAATACCCTGTCTCCTTCTTCTCCACACCAGCTTCTTTTATTCTTCACCTTCAGCAATTTTAAAAAAAATCGTACAGAGCCCTTCAAATGGACCGTCCGCCGTGTATTGCTATTCCGTTCAAGCAGACCAGCGAAGTCGACTGGGCGCGAGCACTAAAGCGGTACATTAGCACCCAGTACCAGGAGGACCCGGAGGCGTATAGCGAGGACTGCAACCGGCTGCAGCGTATGCGCCAGGACATGCGCGGCGCAGGGCCCGACAACACTGGCAGGGACCTCATCTACCGGTATTACACGCATCTGGAGACGCTGGAGCCGCGGTTCCCGGTGAACGAGCAGGGCGTCAAAGTCGCGTTCAAGTGGTAAGTGGATAAAAAAAGCGGCTCCTGCTCCTTGGCATTGTCATAACCGCTGTGTAGTCTAACCGGCGCATTCCCTGGAGCACCAAGGATGACAATGGCGGCGGGACTATATCTGAGGGTTTTGTCTCCTGTTTAATCATGTGGACCAGCACCGGATGCAAAGCTTGCATATTCTGCTCACCTCCCGCTTTCCGGATTTCTCTCAACAACTAGGACAGACCCATTCACGCATGAAACCACACTGCAGCACTCGCTGGCGTTCGAGAAGGCCAGTGTTCTGTTCAACCTGGGTGCGGCCGTGGGTATGCATGCCGCAACCCTCTACTCTGACGCAGCCGTCGACCCCGAATCCGAGTCACTGGTTCTGGCGTGCACGTACTTCCAGATCGCTGCTGACCGGTTCCACTACATCAGCGAGAACTTTCTGCACGCTCCTTCGCTGGACCTGCAGCAAGAGTCGGTCAATGCACTGTGCAATGCAATGCATGCGCAGTCGCAAGAGTGCGTGGTGGAGAAGGCCCGGCTCGACGGCAAGAAGGATGCGACATTGTCCAAGCTGGCGCAGCAGGCGGTGCTGGCTTATGCAACGCTGTGCGACAGCCTGCGCCCGGCGATGGATAGCCACCAGCTGCCGCGCGGGTGGCAGCAGCTGGCAGAGACCAAACTGAAGTACTATATGGCATATGTGCAGTACCACGAGGGGCGGGCAAACGACGCCAAGGGCAAGCACGGCATGGCCATTGCCAGGCTCCTGCAGGCCGAGACCTTGCTGCGCGAGGCGACACGGCTTGTAGGCGAGTTTTCTGACAGCTTCTTTGCCACGCAGGCTTTGACAGACGACCTCAACACGGGCTCGGCGCAGGGTCTGGCTGAGGCTATCAAGAGCATGAGCACCAAGGCCGCTGATGAGCTGAAGCAGATGAACCGCGACAACGACATGGTGTACAACGAGTCCATTCCGTCGTTTGCTGCGCTACCGGCAGTTGAGGGCGCCAATGTGGTGGCGCCGATGAAGATTGACAGCATGTATTCGCCCGACGACCTCCGGCGGATTGTCGGGCCTGATCTGTTTGAGCGCCTGATCCCAATGTCCGTGCACGAGAGCTCCAGCATGTACAGCGAGGAGAAGGCCAAGCTGATCCGGACCGAGGACGACAAGGTGAATCTGGCCGACGGCGAGCTGCAGGCCGCGCTGGCGTTCATGCAGATGCCCGACATTCCTCTACCGGTTCAAGCGGTACCTGGCAGCCACCACCCCTGGCAACAAGCGGTCTGGCTCTGGCGGCTTCATCGCCGAGCTGGCCGAGCCCAGCGCTGATGTGCGTGATTTGGCTCAGGGCGTGAGCATCCAGGAGCGCACGGCTCCGCTAACCGAGGTGCGGGCGACACTAGATGCCCAGCGCGCACGCGTCAAGGACAGAATCACCGAGCTGGGCCAGATGCTGGACCAGGAGCAGCAGGCCAGCGACCAGGTTCTTGCCGAGTACTCGGCTGACCCAGCCTTTGCTGGCTACAAGCCATCGGTAGTAGCGTCGCAGTTCTTCCGGGACGTTCTGCTGGAACAGCGCAGGTCGTTCGAGAACGGCACCGCTATGGACCGCACGATCTTTGACAAGTACCGCCAACTGGTTGCACCCTGGCTGCCCACGCTGCAGAATGGTGCCGAGGGCGTCACCAGCGCCCTCTTAGAGCAGCTCAAGGACATCGACTTTGGCGGGGCGGCCAGGGCGGACGGCGGCGAGACTCTGCTGGACGTTGGCCAGAGCCAGCCTGTGGGGCTGTCGGGCCACGTGCAGACCGTACAGGACACGCTGGAGCAGCTCGATGAGGTCAAGAAGCAGCGACACACGACGCTGCGGGACCTGAAGAGTGTTGTCAAGGACGATGACATTGCCGGCACACTGATGAAGTCTGCCAGCGGCAAGGAGCTGCAGCAGCTGTTCAACCGCGAGCTGCAAAAGTTTGACGCCTACACTCAGCGGTTGCAGTCGACGATGACGCGCCAACAGCAGCTGGTCAAGCGGCTTTCCGATGAGTTCCGCACCATGATGGAGTCGCCTGAGGCCCGGCGTGTGCAGGAGAAGTGGGATCTGGCCGAGCAGCGCAAGGCCACTGTGGAGGCACAGCTGCTGGAGGCCGTGCAAACGTACAAGATCGTCGCCCAGGGAATGAACAGCGGCGCAGAGTACTACAAGAACATGTACAGTATCCTGGAGCGCCCGCACAAGGATCTCCTCGAGTACATTGAGGGCCGGGCGAGCCAGCGCGAGCAGCTGGTGAAGCGGGCCAGGCAGGAGAAGGCGGCGCGGGAGCAGGCCGCGCTGAGAGAGAGGCTGAATCAGTATGCACCGCCACCAGCACCAGCTGCCCAGGCGTATGCGCAGGTGCCGCAGAATAACCGGACGTTTGAGGTTGACCACCTGGCGGACCAGGCAGCCCAAATGACGCTGAATGCACAGAGGGCCAATGTCCCGCCCCAGCAACATCAGCTGCAGTACCAGCAGCCGTTGGTTGACCAGTCTCCGCAACAGCAAAGATACCAGCCACCACAGCCGCAGCCGGTTGTCCACTCGTCGCCACAGCAGCCAATATATCAGCCGCCGCCGCAGCAGCAGCAGCAGCAACAAATGTACCAGACGTACAGCCAACCTCAGCAGCAGCAGCAGCCCGTGGCCCACGAATACCACCAGCCGCCTGTGCATGTGCATGCCCACCAGGCGCAACAGCAGCCGCAGCCTCAGTATCAGCCGCCGCCTCAGCAGTACGCACCGCCTCCAGTCGCAGCCCAGGCATCCGCGCCGCCGCCCGTTGCTACTCAAGGATACCAGCCTCCGCCACCTCAGCAGCAGCAATATGTGACAAGCATGGCTCCGCACCAATATGCCCTCGCACAGGCGCCTGCGGCTGACCCTTACACCTCCGCGGCATCCCGCCAGTCAATGGAGAACAAGCGGCGGACCAACCCGGCGGACCCGAACTTCCAGCCAGGCTACGGCGGTTACGGCGCCCATGCGGCAGCCCCACCTGCTCCTGTTCCCTAGCCACCAACGACGTGTACTCGGGCATTACCACTGGCTACGGGACCACACATGCGCCGGCCTCATCGAGCTCCTATGCACCGGCACCACAGGCTACGCACCATCACCAGCACCAACAGCAGCAGCCAGTGTATGTGTCGCAGGCACAAGCTGGCGGATATGCGCCGCCGCCGTTTGCACCGCCGCCCAGCCAGCCCACCAGCTACAACAGCACCGTGGCAAGCGTCACCCAGCCGCAGTATGTCCAGCAGCAGCAGCAGCAGCCACAGCAGCAGCAGCAGCCACAGCAGCAGTACTATCACCACCCGGCATCGGTAGGCAACATGAGCGCGGCTCCGCCACCAGTGGCCTCCACCAACATGCCATACTCTGTGCCTATCCAGACCGCCCCGCAGCAGTATAGCCAGCCGCCGATTCACCAGCAATACAGCCAGCCCCCGCACCAGCACCAGCAGTACCAGGGACCGGTGCAGCAGCAGCAACAGAACAGCAGCAGCCACCGCAGCAGCCGGCATATAACCCGTACGCTTACTCAGCACCGCCGACCGCCGCCGTCATTGGAGGGCCAGTCCCACAGGCGCAGCCAGTCCAGCCCGTCCAGTCTGGTTATGCACAGCAACCACAGTTCCAGCAGCAGCAGCAGCCCCAGTACTCGCATGGCTACGGCGGCAACGTTGGTGGATCGCTGATGGACTAGCGAGTTTTCACATTAATAATCTTCCACTATCTTTATACCATGCTTTGACCGCATATTTCTAATCCTCATTGCGGCTATCGGCGCTCCCGCGTGAATGCGCGAGCGGGCTAGATGCCATTTCTGGTAGCAGCAGCGGCTGCTCCCGTGGAAAGACAATCGTCCCACCTTGGAGCAGACTCGGCGCTTTGCGGACCTGGTGATGGCGCCTCGATATGAGCACAGACGTGTAGGCTCTGGCGCGCGCTGTGCACCAATTGGCAAAGAATGTGCCGGCCAAGGGGATCTCAAGAAAAGCAGCCGCCTGCGGCTTAGTCAGTGCGAGAGTGCGTTTCCAGGAGTGGGGGAGGAGACGCTTTTCTCCATCCCCCACTCCAACAGCAAAAGCGCCATGGTTGCTGGTATATAAGCTGCTGTGCCCGCACACGCCGCTGCATTTGTGCTCCAACTTCTCTGTTCTCAACTAGTTTTTCTCTCTTTCTCTTTTTCCTATTAAAGGCTTTAGCATACATTCTTTGACCATGGTTCTCGCCACCGAACTGAACGCCTACAAGCAGCTCCAGGCCTACTACGATGCGGCCGGCAAGGACATCGACATGCGCCAGCTGTTCAAGTCCGACGCATCGCGCTTCTCCAAGTACTCCCGCACGCTGAAGCTGTCGTCGCTCGACGGCAAGCACTCGACCGAGCTGCTGGTCGACTTCTCCAAGAACCGCGTCGACGACAAGACGTTCCAGCTCCTGCTTGATCTGGCCAAGGACGCCAAGCTGGAGGAGTACCGCGAGGAGATGTTCACGGGCAAGCACATCAACGTGACTGAGGACCGTGCGGTTCTGCACGTTGCGCTGCGCAACGTCGGCAACGAGCCGATCTACGAGTCCGGCAAGGACGTGATGCCCGAAGTCAACGCGGTGCTGGAGCACATGAAGGAGTTTTCGGAGCAGATCCGCTCCGGCGCCTGGAAGGGATACACTGGCGAGCGCATTACCGATGTCGTCAACGTCGGCATTGGCGGCTCTGATCTGGGACCCGTGATGGTGACCGAGGCCCTGAAGAAGTTTAGCCAGCCTGGGCTGAACGTCCACTTTGTGAGCAACGTCGACGGCACGCATATGGCCGAGGCGGTCAAGAACCTGGACCCGGCCAGGACCTTGTTCATCATTGCGTCCAAGACCTTCACCACGCAGGAGACCCTGACCAACGCCCAGTCGGCCAAGGACTGGTTCCTGGCCACCGCCAAGGACGTAAGTACTACTGCATTATCTCGCAGGCGCTCTGTTTCAATATCCGCCTGCCGGACCATTCCTGTTTTTTTCTGTCCCCCAATCCTCAGCCCACCGCATTGGGCCAATTTGTCCGGTGGGGCAGAGGGACAGGCAATCATGCTCTTCACAGAAGGCGTGTTGCTGCTGCGAGACACTGGGCACCGCTCCACACGCACGCTTCCTAGAACGATTTACTGATGACACGCAATTTGCTACCCCAATATTTAGGAGGCCCATGTCGCCAAGCACTTTGTTGCTCTGTCAACCAACACCGAGGGCGTCACCGCCTTTGGCATTGACGCGAAGAACATGTTCCAGTTCTGGGACTGGGTCGGCGGGCGCTACTCCCTGTGGTCGGCCATCGGCCTGTCGATCGCCATCTTCATTGGCTTCGACAACTTCCACGCCCTGCTTGAGGGTGGCCACGCCATGGACCGTCACTTCCGCACGGCGCCCCTCGAGGACAACCTGCCGGTGCTGCTGGGTCTGCTCGGCATCTGGTACAACAACTTCTTCGGCGCCGAGACCCAGGCGCTGCTGCCGTACGACCAGTACCTGCACCGCTTCTCGGCGTACTTCCAGCAGGGCGACATGGAGTCGAACGGCAAGTTTGTGTCACGCGACAGCCGTGAGGTGAACTACCAGACCGGCCCGATCATTTGGGGCGAGCCCGGCACCAACGGCCAGCACGCGTTCTATCAGCTGATCCACCAGGGCACCAAGCTGATCCCGTGCGACTTCATTGCCCCCACGCACACTCTGAACCCGATCCGTGGCGGTGTGCACCACGACATCCTGCTGTCCAACTACTTTGCGCAGCCCGAGGCTCTGATGAACGGCAAGACCCAGGAGGTTGCCCGCGCCGAGATCCTCAAGGAGGGCAAGCTGACCAGCCAGGCCGAGATTGACGCCCTGGTGCCGCACAAGTCCTTCAAGGGCAACCGCCCCACCAACTCGATCCTCGTCAACAAGGTCATCGATCCCTTCGCCCTTGGAGCCCTCATCGCCATGTACGAGCACAAGATCTTCACCCAGGGCGCCATCTGGTTCGTCAACACCTTCTCCCAGGAGGGCGTCGAGGAGGGCAAGCGCCTGGCCAAGGCCATTCTGTCCGAGCTCGCCAACCAGGACGACGTCAGCTCGCACGACTCGTCCACCAACGGCCTGATCAACTTCTACAAGGCCAACCGGGCGTAACCCCTGCTGCTTAGCTCTATGTTTATCTCTTTGTCCAAATAACAAGTCACCGAAACCATCCATTTCCAGCATGCACAGACATCGGCAATATGTGCAAGACAGCTCGATTTATTGTAACCTGCTCTAGACGATTGCAATGCTGCGTCAGACCGTTGTTGGCTCCGGCGCCTTCTCGGCAGCGGCAGCAGCAGTCTCCGCGGCAACAGCCTCCGGCTTCTTCTCGCCGATCCTGGCGGCCCTGATCTTCATCCGCATCTGCCTCTCGGCCTCCTCCTTCGCCTGCTCGGTCTTCTCCCATGCCAGTCGGCGTTCATTCAGCACCGTCTTGATCCTGGCCATCGTCTTCTTGCACTTTATGATCCGGCTCCTGTTGGAGAAAAACTGCGGCGGAATCTTCAGCCTCGCCGCCTCCTCCACCTGGCTCGCCAGCACATTGCGCTCCTTCAGCACGACATACCACAGCTTCTGCAGGTCCTCCCAGCTCTTTTGCCGCAGCTCGCTCGCCGCCCACGCACGCCCCGTCGGATCCTGCTTCACGGGCAGCCGTTGGCCCTTCTCGAAAAACTCCTCCAGCCCGCGACGAACACCTGCGCGGCGTGTTGTGAGAGCACCTAGACGGTTGAACATTTTTTGGAAATTTGGAGAATGAATAACTGAATTGAAGAGAGCAAAAGCTGTATGCAATAAGCAAGAGGAAAAAACTGATCCTGAATTCCTGTGCACGAAGCTGCTATCTTGGCTGCTGATCCAGTGATCACATAATTATCAGAGCTCGGCATGTACCTCGTTGGTATGAGGTGTGGGCGTCGGCGTCTCGGGCACAGGCAGGGTTGCATCAGCACTAGTTGGCGTGGGTTTGACGGTATCTAGCTCTGTTTCACTCAATGCCATATTATTGCTACCGGCCACTGGTCATCCTCGAAAGCAGAATATGCGAAGTGAGCAAGTTGAAATGGTTTCTGACTCGCAAACTCGACTGTCTTAGTGTGCTGGCTTATGCTGTCGCTGTACACAGCCTCATACACACCGCCGCTTTCTAGATCCACGTAGTTGTGCGCCCTGTAGAGACACATGGTATCCAAGTGTACTTTGGCCAGTTTACTTCTTCGCCGCTACTCACGGCTGCCAAGAAATAATAGTCTGGCTAATAGGGTACGACAATATCGTCAACAAACTCGTGGGGCTCCAGTGTGAATTCAGTGCATATGCCGTGCATGTAGATGTTGTAGTGAGCAGGTCTGATATCGCCCTTGGTCCTGACTAGTTCGATATTGAGCTTGTAATCGCCATTGGCTAATACACCAAAAGGGCAATAAAGGACCTCCCAAACAGCAATAGATGTTGGAACCGCCTTAGTTTCTTCATCTTCGCTTACAGAATACCCATCCACACCGAGTGGAGGTGCTATGGCCGCAAGCTCTGATGTCCTCGATTCTTCACTCGCTGGCGTGAACCCAGAAATATCGTGATCCATCTCGCTTGACTCAGCTCTACGCGACTCGGAACCGTACCAACTACCGCTGGCCGGATCCGGGTTATCCTCGAATGCAGCCAACCCCTGAGCAACAAGCTCAATATGCAGGATGGCTCGAGTATTCGGTTGGCTTCATGTAGTGGCTAGTACTGTTGCTATATGCAGCCAAATATGCTCCATTGCATTTCACATGCGAGTGTTTGTATGTAGCTGTATGTGTAGAAGCCACCCAGGAACGAGCACGCAACTCCCTTTGGTCGCTACTGTACCCGCTGTCCATAGAATAGGAATCCGATGTGCAGGCTTTGAAGTATAAATAAGTGTATGTTCATGGCTCAGGAATAAATTTGTCGCACGCGCCGTTCACATTGATGTTGTATTGGGCATCAACCAGAATTCCACATGGATAGTGCTGGGCATCAAATATTACTTGGTCGTTTTCAGAAGACGCACCCAAAGTGCTAACAACGACTGCTTCCTAAACGTACATGTGGAGGGTTATCACAACGAGAAGAGCAGTGGCGAAACTGAACACTAGCACTGTTTTCATGATGTTGGCGAGTTTTGAGACAAATGAAAATTCGACAGCTACCTATGAATACGTGCATTACATAACTTGTTTAAATATATTGTTGCAGGTATTCCCACGCTGGTGGTACTATATGAAGACAGCAAATAGTTGAGCTGACTTTCATTTGACAGCAACGCAGAAACCCCCTTTGATTTCCTCAAAAATTGACACGTCATCTATTATTAAAAAAAAAAAGCCTGTCCTAGCACACCCTGCCACATCCACATCTCACTTGTGCTAGCATACAAACATGTGGCAAGACATATATGGACGAGTAGGCAACCATGTCCTCATTTATTCGATAGTTTCTTATATGCTGACACCACAAAGAAAAATTCTACCTGAATTCAAAGTGCTTCTCATTGACTGGAGGGGTTGGAGTCACTGGTGCAGACGATGTCGGCCCATATCCAGTCGGCGTGGGTTTAGAAATATCGTAGTCACTGCTTGATCTATCGCTATAGTATCCTGGTGAATACCACGGGTACCAAGCTGGGGGTTGGTTGTCCTCGAATGCAGTAAACGGTGCTCGGAAGAGCCCACCTGGATATTGGCTTGCGTACTCGACTGTCTTAGTATACTGGGTAACGCTGTCACTATAGTCTGCCTGGTAAGCACCGCTGCATGCAATTTGCGCATAAGGCGCGTAGGTTTCCGTGACGGCTATCCAGGAGCGCGTATCCGATTCCCCATCGTTGCTATGATACCCACTGCCCATATAATAAGAGCCGGAGGCGTAACCTTCAGGAACGAAGTATGTATAAGTATGTGGCTCAGGTGTATACTGTGCACACGCGCCATCCACATTGACGTTGTAGCGGGCAGGTCCGACGTCGCTCTTGGTCTTGACAACCTCAAAGTTGAGCTTGTACTGGGCATCAGCCAGGACTCCCAGTGGATATTCCATCATATAACCCACGTCGCGATCAACTCCAGACGATAGCGACACTTCGTTATCATTCTCCACGATATCGCCAAGTTCGCCAATTCTGCTGGCACTAGCTACACCACTAATGACAGCATGTGCGCTCTCTTGAGCATGCGTTTGGATGGCTGTTGCGGCGAGAAGAGCAGAGACGAGTCCTAGCTTGAGCATTGTTTGCATGGGGTTTGTGAGTAATTGAAGTGGATGATGGGCTAAGAACCGCACCGCAAGCCCACACATTTTATAGTCTGTATGAATGGCTTGGCGCAAGGAGTGCCCCTGGTCCTGGTGGCATCATACTGGGAGACTGGTAGGGACAGGTTGTTGGCAACGCAGCACAGAACGTTCGGCTGACAGCAAAACGGAAACGACCTACTGATTTCTTCCAAAATGGGACCCTCGCTCCGTATCACAAGCTGGTTTGGGATACCAGCTCATGCGAATTTCCGCAGCTCACTGTCAGCACATGTGCAGCGGATGTCGATATCCATTTAACTAGCTGAATGGGGACTGCTGGCTGAGCTTGTGGCTATCGGTCTTGGCAGCGCGCGCTGTCGGAACTAGGTTAGAATTCTAGAAGCCATTTGCCCAGAGCAAATGTAAGCACATCCAAGCTGAGAATATCCCAATGCCACATGCACACATTTCACACACCGACCATGTGTGCTTAGCGATGTTCTTGGGATTTTTACAGAAGGATAAAAGATAATACTCAGGCTATGCCGCCAGACTCAGTCATAGTCAGTGTCTGCATCGTCAACCACGTTGCCGCCACGGAAGTTGTCGGTAGCGACGGCAAAATCGTCGCTGCCATTGCCATTGACATCATCGTTGCCATTGTCGCTGGCATGGGCAATAGTTGCCTCTCCCTCTGCTGCTGCCGCAAGGGTTGAGAAGAACTGACCAACATCAACCTCATCAAAGTCGACATCGCTGTCAATATCGTCCAAGGAATCTGTTGCTGAAGCGCCTAGCTCGCAGTCAAGAGAGCCAAGGAAGCCATTTTCGCCGAGTGCCAGCAGCGGCTCCAAGAGTAGCTCATCGGGATACTTGCTTGCATACGCGTCAGAGCTCTCATACTGGCTGTTGCTGTCGCTGTACTCGGCCTTGTACACACCACTGCATCCAACCTGCGGGAAGCGCGGGGTGAATACTGTAGTGAACACTTGCGCCGAGTACGAGTCCAGATCGCCATGATCACTATCGTAGCCATCATTGTCGCCATCGTTGTCGCGGTCATTGTCGCGGTCATCGTCGCCAGCATCGTCGCTCCTTGCCATCCAGTACGGCTCGGAGAATTCGTAGCGAGTGTAGGTAATAGTGCGTGGCTCAGGCGTGTACTGAGCACACGCTCCACCGACCTCGATGCCGTAGTTTACAGCTCCGCCGTCGCTCTTGGTTTTGGCAAGATCCAGCTTAAAGTTGTATGAGGCGTCTGCCATAAATCCCCAGGGGTAGAAGATGGGTGGATGCGAGTACACGGCAGTGGGTGACTCGTCGGTGCTGATATCGCCGAGCTCCGTCGAGGATGACATCTCGACACCGATGTCACTGGGCTCGGTAGAAGTAGGGAAGCTGCTGTCTGCACTGGCGCGAGCCTGCAGAGCAAGCACAGCAAGCAGGCTAGAAGCAAGTGGCAGCTGAACCATGGTGAAAAAGTGCTAAAAGTGGTTAAAGAAATGAATCAAGAAGAAAAGCCAAATAGCCAAAGTATCCGGAGCAACGGCTGGTGTTGCGTTTGCGTATGGCAGCACAGGCATCAGGGTATTTATACTAGTGGCAACTAATGCCGGCAGCCCTCTGGCTGCATGCGTCATGCACTACGCAATAGTTACCAAAGGTTGTCAGCTGCCGCCAAGAACTCGGCTGCGGGAATACAAAGTCCGCCTCGTATCTTCGCTGCCTGAGCAGCAATTTCCGCCTCTGTCTACGGAACTCGCGGGCTGTCTGGCAGCCCTTGCGGACAAGGCATATAGTCGTCTAAAGCAGTATACGCAACATCCACAAGGAGAATCGGATTCACGCTCAGGTATGTCGCTGTAGTAGCACGCTGGCTCGTGCTGCCACTGTACTTGGCATTGTAGAAACCACTGCATGTGTCGGCAGAATATGTAGGCGTGAACGTTGTCACGACATACCGACCCAAGGAAGCTGTAGTTGTGTAGTCAATGGCTCCAGGGTAGTCGGAGAAGTATGTGTAGGGATAGGGATCGGGAAGGTACCGGGCACAGTCTCCGCCTATCTCAACCGCAGCACAGATACCAGCTCACTGCTATACCAGGATCGAAGGTGAATGATGTTTGGTGGTCTGTGTCAGGTAGGGATGATGTTTGTCGCTAGCAGATTCCACGGGCTTCTTTCAGCAGTTGCAATAGTGAGCAGATGAAACTGTCAGCCTCGTTAGCAGTGCTGGCTGGGCTGCAGACAATAGCAGGAGTGGTTGCAATCGTCCAGGCAGCATTCATGCCAACATTTAACGAGATTCACATTTTGAAATCTCTCAAAATCAAAAAGTGAGCCAGCTATATCGAAGAGCTGGTGATCTGGACATGGCTAAAACCAGACTTGCCAACCTAGTTGCCGCTGTCCGTATCGTTGCCTGCGTTATTGCCGTCGCTGACATGACCCTCACTGACATAACCGTCGCTGACATCACCCTGGCGCTCAATATTGTCATGTTTATCGTCTGTAACGTTGCCGTGACCACTGTTGTCCTTGGTATTCCCTTTGGGATGCGGGCAGCGGTGGATAGCGGCGGGAGCTACTGGGACTGGCTCAGGTTGAGTTGATAGGACAGGTTTCGCATCGTCATCATCGCTGCCACTGGCATGGTCATCATCGTTGCCGGTGATGTTCCCATCGTCATTACGACGGATAATGCCAGGCCTGGCCAAGAGAATGTGCTTCACACCATTTGGCAGATGACCAAAGACATCGGCGTTGAATCTCCAGGGGAGAGCGACTGGCGGACGAGAGAAGATTGCAGCAGATGCGTTGGTGTTAGTGCCACCAAGTGGAGCGGCGTTGGCGGATGCATTCAGGACAACCACGGCAAGCACAGCAGAGACGAAGTAAACCTTGACCATATTAGGTGGTAGCTAGTTGAAGGTGCTGGTAGGCAGAACTGGAGAGGTGGTAGAGAACAGCAGAGAATATTGGAGCGGCTGTGCCCAGATTAGGATTGCGTATGTTGGTGGATTTTGTAGAAATGGACGGCTGGTGTCGAGAGATTTATATACTTTTGGACCACTGCAGGCAACACTTACTGGCAACATCAACTAGCAGCATCTACTGGCAGTCTTTCCTCATAGTCCATGCAATATGTGGTGTCAGATAAACATAGGCAGCTGGCATACACCGACGTTCCATGATAATATGCTAAGACACTATCTGCTGCAGTCGGTGCATGTGGTGGCAGGTCATTCTGTTCTCTGCTCACTGAGGTGTGGAGCTGGCCTGGTGAGCCACTGTGAGGAACACCGGTGAGGGGCATCAGGAATGTTCGGAGCAAGAATAGGCACCGGGGACCCAAAGATACCGCGCATCGCAGTGGATTGAGAAAACTCCATTAGGCAAAAATAGTTGGCAGAAAATGTGTCTCCGCGTCTGTTCTGAGGCAGAAATGCGTGCAGGATTGGTTGAGGCATTTACGCCGACAGCTTCGCGGCAATATTCGCAAAGCTCTCGCCCTGTGCCACGGCTGCTGCCAAGTCGTACTCGGTGGGCTGGCGTGCGCCGTCGCTGCCAGCAACCGTGCCTGCGCCCCACGGCGATCCGCCTGCGACTTGGTCGACACCCGGGTTGCCAGCGCTGGTGGAGAGCGCGGGGACAAAGACCATTCCGTGGTGGGCGAGAACGGGAAGGAACGAGAACGCGGTGGTTTCCTGGCCACCGTGCTGGGAGGCTGTTGAGAAGAACATTCCTGCAGGCTTGCCGCTGAGCGCGCCCTTGACCCACAGCGAGCCTGTGGAGTCAAAGAACGCCTTGACCTGGGCAGGAGCAGATCCGAAGCGGGTTGGGAATCCGAACAGGAAGCCATCGGCCTCGGCTAGCTTGTCAACGGTGATGACGGGGATGTCGGGCTTGGGTGGAGCATACATGCTCTGGAGGACGCTCTCGGACAGGGTCTCTGGGAACTGATATACCTCGACATCGACCTGCGCAGACTTTTCCAGTCCTTCCTTGATTGACTTGGAAATGGTGTGGACGTGTCCGTAGGTGGAGTAGAAGACGACAAAGACCTTGGGGCGGGCCATGATATACTATGCGAGGCAGTACTGTGGTAAGTGTAGGTTGCGATTATATAGTTGCTGGTAGTGTTGTGTGTGGCTGGCGGGGATATGCGGCAGGCCGTTCTCAATTTATACAGAGCAACTATCGTGAGACTGGGAGGGAGGCTTACAAATATGCTAACGGCTCGGATTACGAATTGTGCTTACAGATACTGGATGACAAAAGTACAGCGATGCAGGCGGTGGTGCGGTAGATTGCAGAGTCGATCTGTCCATAGCAAAGCGTGAAGGGATCAGATCTGGACCATGGGCATTAGGCGGCAATTCACATCGCTGTCGCGTTTCTCTCGCTCGTGAAATGTACAGTCTGACATCGTAGCTCACAGCTCGGTACCTGGCTCTGAGTGGGTGTATCCGCCCTAGGCAGGGTTTCTTGTTCGGATTCCTGTCGGCGTTTTGATTTCCATGACATGATAGGTATGATTACAAATCGCCTATTGGCAATACGATGTCTGGAATTAGGCAATCATGTGCGGAATCTGAGCAGCAAGCAGGAGAGAGACCCATGCTAATAGCTGCTGATTTCCTGTTGACTACACTGTGTGCCGCCTATTTCTGGGAGATCCAAAGTACTGGACTCGGGTGTCCTGCGGTTTCTGTGGGC